GAAGACCCAGGGTTCTAATCATATCTGTAGACCCCTCAAAAGCACAGTCTTAACAGGTCAGTTCCAAACTGTCACAGTCATTCTGAATTTTGATTGGTACCAGAAGTTCAATCTTGTTCTGGCAAATAAGAGTGAAGCAGGTCTAACAAGTCCTCTTATGTGCTCTAACACAAAGTGATGCATGAAGTTCAGTTGCTTACCATGTTTGTTTTGGACCTTTTTGAACGGTAGATAAGCACTTTGCATGATGATGTTAAGTTGACCATTTGCATGATCACGTTAAGTTCACCTATTCATTTCTCCACATAACTTGAATTTGGTAGACTCACTGGCATGTAATTACAATTTCAATAACAAGAAAACTTGAAAGCATCTGGTAGTTTAAATCATATGATACCATCATGCACTTGCCTGTATATTGAACTCTGCTGTGTTTAAGTTCTGTCTCTGATTACTGTTCCTGAAATCTATTATGGTGACACTCTATCCCTATTGAACTTTCTGTTAAATAAAACCTCCAGGTCAAATTGTAAATCTTACTGGGTTAAAAATTATTAGCAATGTTACTTCAGAGCACTTAACTCAACATATGATTCATTAAAATATAGCTTGTGTTCTGATCTTGTAATGCACCGATCTTTTTTCCCTAGACTCTTCCATTTACAACAACATCTACCAACCTGAACTAAATTTTTCTGTGTTCTTTATTGAAAATACAGTCCCCACAAAACCTAAATACAATAATTATAGTGAACGTTTTTCTCTCAACCAACTGAAAGTTGAACTTCATGCCCTAATTGACAAAAGAAACCTACACTTAGCATTGTGTTACTTTACATGTATGTATTGTCCAAAATTAGTCATACATTCAAACCAAATCAAGCTCCCAGTGGCCTCTAGTGTAGATTACATCATTTCCCAAATGTCCCTGCCCTTCTGCAAAGTTTTATCTTTGTGTATGGGTACACAAAATGTCAAAAATATTCATATTAAATTCTTCCCTAAGGTAGGCCTTATTTTCACTACTTCCTAAGTAGTGCACATCACTGCGAGGATCACTTTCATTCATGTCTTTATCCGCAGTTCAAATATATGACTTTCATATATTCTTAACCGTCTGTGTAACTTTTGTTGTCAAAATGAGACCTCCATAACAAAGTTTGGCCAATAACTCTCATCTTCAGAATGAACATTTCAGGACTTTTGTATGTTAGTTATCTTGTGTTGTTGATGAACAGGATCAATATTGAAAACTATCTAATGGTATTCAGATATTAGCTCTTCTAATAGAAACCCAATGAGACACCAGACACTAAAGAGCAGCTCAATCTCGTAAGCCACACATACGCATTGCGGACCTATTTTTCCGGAGGCGGAGGAAAAAAAAAGACGACAAAAAACAAAGGTGTTTTATGATAATAACTCAATGTTAGCGTATAGAGTGGTATGTTACTCGCAACGATCAGATCGCCGCATTAGGTTATGTATCTCGCACCAATCAGTGCGTCGTTTTGGTTCTTTGGTTTGAGAAATGTTCAAATTTCAACAAAGTAATGGGGGATTCGGAGAGAGCGGTTCGCAAGATGGAATCATCATTCAGAATGAGAAATGATGGCTTTTCTGTGTTTTTAACGCGTATTTTACCCCGCTTAAGGAGAAATGCGATACTACTGAACAGATGAAAGACATCAGATTATCTACATTAAACGTGTTACTCATGCTGTGAAAATGGTGGGTAATTGTTCGAGAGAAAATGGAGTCCTGTGCACTGTAGCATGATCATGGTTATTGTTCCTTCACGACGAGAAAGTGTGGAAAATTTTTGAATCAAGTATCGTTTGAGGTGTTGATGAATTGTACCAAACATTTTGATTTAGGCATTTCTTTAACGGCAAGTTACAATATTCATGATTTGTAGAGTGTACCGATTATATTTTTATGGATTGGTTTGCTCGATGCCACCTCTGGATGAATGTCTGATTAAAATTAACTATGGAAGATTTTGTGTGGCTCCTAGGAAGCTTTGTCGCCTCATGTGACATCGTGTTTAATCTATATGCGATGTTAGGAAGTGTTTTTATTAAACAACCATTTTTCTACGAAAGATGGCTGAGTTTTCTTTTAGGGTGGTTTGTTTGCAGTAAATTTCATGGTAAACATCGTGGTGTGTTACTTTCGATGTTAGCAGTTTCAACAGTTGCGAGTGTGTTGCAAGGTGGATTTTGTGTCATGATTGGCTGTTAAGAGAAATTGTTTGGTTGTTCCGAGGGTAATTTTGAGAACACTGGACGAATGGAAATGTTTTCCTAACTGGAGAAAGTGAGCTTGTGGAGTCGTTTATGTTTGACCAAGGACGAATTCAAATACAATCGCTAGCATGTTTATTTGATTCTGTTAACTGGAGTGAATGATTTACGGAGGTAAGTTAAAATTACGTGATCTACTGACGTTGAAAATACATCAAGTCGAAGGAACAGTTTTGATCTCGGTCCGCATTTTCGTTAACAAAATAAACTCATACCGCCTAAAAATAATTGTTTCTCGAATATTGCGCGTGTTAAATATTCAAAAATGACATCTCATTTACATCTACATCTACATCTACATCTACATCTACTTTCAGTAAGTTGGTAAAATCTGTACAAGCATCGCACCAACCGACTCGCGCGCAATGTGAGAAGACTATATGAAGGCTTGAAATTATATTTAGAACGATTTTGATCAAGAAACGGACCAGGATTATTCTACAATAGCGCAAATAACGGTGAAAGCTGATCGCGGAAGAGCGATTGCGTGACGCTCGGTAAGTCGTAAGATGACATGTCATCACATACCAGGCGAAAAAAACACTTTAAATTATCAGTCTGCATTTTGTACCCTCTCTGCAGTCTACATTTTGTATCCGGTCTGCACCCAGCATTCTGCAATTTTTTCTAACAGGTATCCGTGGCACCAATACAGTATATTTTTGGTTATAGCTATTCGCCAACACACACAATCGACCACAAAATACCCATGAGTGATTTAATTGGACATTTTGGTTCCTTTCCGCGTTAGTACTCTTTCCTTTTGTGAAAATGTAGACATCACTTACAATGTTTCAATCAATCCACCCACCCCAACTGAAATAACTCTTGCATGCATAATATGCCTGTGATATATATAGCGAATTTTTTTTTATTCAAGGCACACGGTTCATTTAACGGTATTATTTTTTTCCCGCCTATTTTACCTTTTCCGTTGCGACAAAGAATTTTTTTCTGCTTCTAGCTGATTGAAGCAAGCTGAGACAGAAATATTTATTTCCTGGTGTTGATATCGATTTGTTTATATAACAGACTGTCTAAAAATGATTAATGTAAAAATTGATCTAAAAAATTGATGGTGGGTGAATGTAATTACACTCGTGTTATGACATCCGGTTTAAGTCGAGTAAATAACATGTGGAATGTCCTTCCGATGAGTAAAGGAAATAAATGTTTTTCGGATTGTGATTTATCAACCAGTAATTTTGAGGACTCTATCAACTCAAGAGGCGTCATTCGTTGACTGTGAAATTTTAGTAAAAGTGTTCATGGATCAGAAGTTTTCAAGTGCAAACAATTGCTTCCGGATGCTTCTACCCTTCGAGATTGCTGTGCTTAATTTTTAGCAAATTTGTCAAATCCCGCACATTGAGACAGCAGGCAACAATTGCTCTTTCACGTTATTTCTTAAACTAAAATAATCATAAAACTTCGAGAAATTCACAAGAATTCGAGAAATGTGCGAAGTCATGATCACAAGCTAAGCGTGAGTGCAGTGGTGCGTAATACAACTTCTACGATATGCGAGCTAAAAATCTCTCGATCGGTCGCTTTAACGCAAGATTCTACCAGATTACGTTCTAAATCCATTTATCACTAATCTTTACCTAAAACTAGAGGTACAAAATCGACTATCCAACAATCACGGGTGCAAACGCTCGTACAAGTACACAAGAATATTATCGGTTTGGTTTCAATTTACATTCATTGCACATTGCAATGAAGCATCCTTACCGTAATATGAGTATTCGTCATCCATTGTTGATGAGGCACTAGCTTGAAATTTGACCCTGATGATTTGTAGAATTGGCGAATGCTAAATAGGAAAAAAAGAGATCTTTGTAGCTGCTTACTCAAAGACTACAATGCGAATGAAAACAATAGAAAGTAAGAGTATGATGCACTTTCAATCGCAAATATTAGAAGTTGGCTATTAATCTTTTTATCAAGGAGTTAACACAAGAAGTCGTATATCACGTCTGAGAGTACTTAAGTAGAATTACTTGCTTGTATTTTCTAGTACAAAGCTAGAAAATTGTTCCGCTTTGGGAGAACTTGTGTTAGTTGATAAATCCCTGAAAATTCTGAGAAATTATTACATCAGGATAATTCATAAGGAATCCAAGAAACTTACCGTCAATCTTTACAGTTTTTCAAGCGAGGATTCCTCTTCCTTTCCCGACAGAAACACTGTCATAAATAACTCATTCAAATTCACCGCGCTTTTACTTTGAATGAAGTTCGCTATGTAATTCCGGTTTTCTTGGGAAACCCTGAGGGGAAAAAGAGGTAGGGAGCTGGGAGCAAGCCAAATTGGGAATCTCCTTTCCATGTGTGTTACGTGTGAGTCCAGTTATTTTCAGCAATGTTTTTTAAGACAGGGAGAATGGCAAGACTGCATTATTAGAGTTTACTTCTCTTGTAAACAGAAAATTAAATAAATGTGAGCGAAATGGGTAACCCTCATCACGAGAAGAAAATTGGCACTGTAGCAGCTAAAACTGCTTGCGTGATCTAGAAATGTTTCGCTGGTCAAACCAAGATTGCTACCTTGCGTAATTGTAAGTTGACGTGGTCGTTTTCATATATGATTTCGAATAAACCTTTGGATACTTCGTTCATACGTCGCCAAATTTTGCTGACTATCTCTGTCACGCCACTGTGTTCACCCTGGACAAGAATGACACCTGCACACGTGATCAACAACTTCACGTCAGTAAACTTGGCGAATCTCTTGAGATTGATGAGCTGTGTTTTAAAGAGCTTAACAACATCTTTGTGTTCGATCTTTTGAATTGTGAAGGCGTCTGCGAGACCTTTTCCAAGTCTTTCTTTTTTAACAGCGAGTTGTATGTTTATTTTGTTTGCGGATCTGGCCCAAAACCGTGTGCCAAACGGGGCTTCTTTGCAGGTGACTCTCCGGTTTGCACAGGAGGAGGAGTTGAAATCAATCTTTTCGCCGATTCTCAATGGACCTGACTTGTGGCAATCGATACTTATGTGAGAACTTCAAAACCCCCTTGGAGCAGTAAATTTTGTCAAAGTGGATTGCGTTGTCTTCTTAAACGTTTTGCGACTTGCTTTTGGTATCTGGATGGCTGTTCTGAGGAAAGATCATCGGAAAGTCGAAAACAATAGTCAGGAACACTGTACAATAGGGATCAAGAAGCACATAGCATTTAACACCACATAAAGTCGAGTGTGCCTGGAAGCTAACGAGGTACACAGAAACGAGGCTCACTAATAAACTTTGCGTGTGAAATAGTTTACAAAAAACGAATGTGGTCTTTTTAACTTCAGTTCTTGCAATGTCTCGTCACAAAGGCCTTCTTCGCAGCCGCTCTTTTGAAACATTTCTAAAATAATGAAAAACGATGAAAAACTAGGACAGGAATATTCTATTGCCGTTTACTCTGCGGGCAAGATTCCAAATGTAACTTTTACACAGTCTTGGGTTTGACCGTGTATGAACCATCGCCCTCGCGATGGCCAGAAAAACCATACGGCAAATGACACAAGATTTACTTTGTTACACGTGCTCTTGCTCGGGTTGGCTTGCTGACAAGCTGGGAGGGTATCAAAAGTTAGAAAAAGACTAAACAGTCCCCTTATAGAGCGATTAGTAAATAAATTTCTAGAGATTTCGCTTATAATTGCAGAATCGATCACAATAGTATTATTACTACAGAGGTAAATCATTACACGATATCAAACTACAAATACACTTATCTTTGTTTTGAAAATGGTGGATGAATGACCTTATGTTATTCGCCTGTATTTATCTGTGAAAAGCTGATTTCTCTTGAGGCTGGCAGAAACAGATAGGGACAGCCTCAAAGCCGAGAAGGAATAAGATGGGAGGTGTGAATGGGAAATCAAAAGATTCCCTGCCTTTGCAAGCTAGTATTACAAAATGTCAATTGCGGACAATGAGCCTTTCAGTTTTGGCGCGAAAATATTCGTGACAAGTGATGCCGCTTGCTTGTCACGCAACATTCATAGTCACACGGTCTCTCTACAAAACCAAGGATTACTCTACTCGGAAGACTTACACTGCGATTATAGAAATTTTGATGGGGGGTACCTTACCTGAGTAATCTTATCTGCTGGTAGGACTTCTTCTCCCTCGCTCGTTCATACGGAAAAACTTAAGATATTGCCACAGAGCCACTAGTTGAAGACGAAAAAAAACCAACACGTTAATTTTTCTTCCTCTACTTTATTTCAGTCAATAAACCTGTTCGTGAAACCCGAACATGGGTAATACTACACCACATTTTCTGACCAAGCTTTTGGTTGCCAACTAAATAATAAATCCTTCTCTGAGTTTCTTCCCAGTGAATCTTTTACACCATAAAATGTCATCGAAGCGACTTCGCTTTAATTACTTATTAAGCGCAGCAAATATGAACACGTTTTTCGAAGTTCTCTACTTTCGCCAGTTTTCTTGGGTACAAAATTGATGCAAAACAATATTATATGTCAATCTGGCGACAAAAAAGAAAATATCGTTGTGGAAACTTTCCAAGCGAGAAAACTGACTTAGCGTTGCCTTGGATCTAGCCTCTTCACACGATTTCTCTCGAACAAACAATATATAACCTTTTTAACGCAGCTGATATTCAAAAATTTATTAAGAAAATAAAAACCACGACTGAAGATGAGAGGTTGGCCTAGAAGTAGAAAAAGACGTCATTTCTATTCTAGCCGCAACACGTTCGGGGAAGTCCCATGGACATTTTTGCTTGCTTTACCCAAATAGTAAAATCACCAAACTCTGAGAAACATATACGGCTGTTTTAGAAGTCCAATCGTCTTCCCAGGATAGCAAAAGGTCATTTATCACGTTACCTTATGTTCCTTAAACATTCTACCAACTGTCAATTATTGATTTCATGGTTCATTTTTCGAGAAGATGATAAGGACATCTCTTCATGGTGAAAATTGGCAAACAAAAAGGCTATTATACCGCAAGATAATAAGTTTTTTTCTTATGTGGACGTCGCCTCATAACCTTAAAAATAGGGTTCCATACCAGCCCTAAATAACATGGTACACATAGTTTATACCAGTAAAAATTTGGGGTCCGTACTCATTCCTCGGCTTGTCCGTGCCCGAATTTTTCTGCTTTGTAAACGGCATTTAAAAGTCGTCCGCTTTTCAAGCCCTTTTGTTCCTAATTGATTTTATACTTTTCTTTTCATGATCAATTCACACATCGGTAACAGCTGCTACAAAATATTTCCCCGACGCTCTCAGCTGCAAACTAAATACTCTCTACTTATTCAGGTTCTCTTAAAAAAAAAACTCAACACTAAACAATTTATGTCGTCCAAGAGACTGAAAATTTGTAACGAGGTAACGTTTGGTTGCAATAAAGACTAGAATAGCTCATAAGTTCGTGAAATAAAATTCAATTGCACAAGGGTGTTTCATGTTCCTTTTCCTCGTGTATGAGCCCTTATGCGCCTTTCGTGTTCTCCAAACCTCACGCACGCTGACATGTCAATCAATCGTTAATTTTCTCTAAGCTACTGGAAGGTTATGAGATATTCAGGATAACACTGATTATCGTAAAATACTACAAAGGCGGCAGGGTTTGCGGGGTTATCGACCACTGATTCATACAAAATCTCTGGCCTCGCAGGGTTTTTAGCTGGAGGTACTATCATGCTAGAGTTTCCTCGACAGTATTGTCCAACTAAGACACGAGCGAGGTACATGTGGCGTGTTCCACCTCCACGTGCATAGCCAAGGGAATATGAGGCATCTCTTGCGAAGTACACACCGCGCCCAAGGGCAACTCCTGCATACGAGAAAGACAATTCGCGTCAGCAAGAAAATATATCGGAAGATTTCTATAAGCAAAGTTTTGGGTGTAAACATTGAATGGTTTCGACAAATAACAATCCTGAACCAAGTAATGGCCTCTCTCATCACAGAGTTTTCTGGACCTCAGTGGTAGAGCATCGGCCCACGAAACCCATAGGTTTGAGATTCGATACCCCATGGGCACTGAGAACTTTTTTCTTTGTTCCACGCGTGACACGCGTCAAGACGAAAGCATTTTACTTTGGCAGCAATGACATGTTTAATAAAGAACTTTGAGGAAGCTTAGAAAGGGAAGAAAATGTGAAGTGAAAACGAAAGGTATGGATAATTTTCAACCCATTATCACTCATCCAAGTCTAATCATGCGTTTGAAGTTTAACACACTCCTAGCGTCATATAACAAGGACTCTTACCATTGACTCCAGCGAAGCTTCTGTTGAGTCCTTGCGCGTTGATACTGATGATATTGTTTGAGTTGGTCCCATGAAACAGCTGTCGCTCGCTGTTTCCTCCGTTGTCTTTGTCCATTTTCCGTTTTCTCACCATGTAGGACTGGTACAGATGAGGATTTTGCACTCGTTCTATCTTGGTTATGGTCACCCCCGTGGCGGTCACTTGAAACTTATTTACAACATCTTGGTACTCAGTGGAACCTGGGTGCAGTTGTACCGTGTGTACAGTCATGTCAGGTCGAGGCATTGGTGCCCAGTGCTTTGGTAGAGCAATTCCTACAGAAAGGACCACAAGATTAGAATGTTGAAGTGCAAACCTCTTTTTTTAGGATAAATTTCAACATCCAAGTATATTCTTCACCAAGACTAAAAGACAAACACATCACTGAGGAACCTGAAGAGAAACCTTTTTTAGGGCAAATAATAACCCCTATATTGTTCACTACCTGAAACATTCTCTAAGACTTGAAATAGCTCTTAGTCCTTTCTTAACGCTTATCGAAACATCCTCGTCAAAAGAGATGTCTAGTAACTAACCTTCATCAGCACCCTTCACCTTTCTTGTCAGTGTTATTTGTTCACCAGACGTTTGTCCACGTCCAGAGTTTCTCTTCAAGTCGATGACAAACTTGTCTCCGCGTAAAGAAACTTGCACTGTGTGCTCGTCTTTGCTGTGGGCCAACTCAATCTTGGCATTTGCTTTCGGAGCAAACACCATTTTTGTGCCCCGTATTTCATAGCTCCACTCTACGTTTTTTGAAACCAACTTCGCTTGCTCTTCCTCCTGCTTCTTTTTCCTCCTCTCGCTGATCTCTTTCCAGATCTCCCCGACTATTCCAGATACTTCGGTTGGTCCACCACGAACGACAATGCGATCTACGTCATCCTCAATTTCAAGTTTGACGTCACGGTCTTTGGCTTTTTTTCTTAGGATATCTTTTTGCTTATCGGAAAGCTGACTGACGATATCACTTTCGACTTTTTCCATCGTACAAGCGTCAGCGAAACCTTTCTTTAAGGATTCCACGGCTTTTCCCACGCTCACCCTGTCTTTGCCGATCACAGAAATTCTTACAGAATGTTCATCACTTTGGCCTGGTGCCTGCCTAGGTCCGCGTCGTCGGGTTTGCCTGGCTACTGCATCCTCTGAGTCACTGTCTTCTTCAATACCTTGCACCAGTTGTTTCTTCTGCTCTTGTAGAAAATCCTGCATCATAGAGGCCTGGAACACGACCACTCTTACTTTTTTAATATTTTTGCAGCGGGCACTGAATGCGTTTAGTGCTTTGAACGTCAGTTGGGCTGAGTCCGCTCCGTTCAAGCCGTATCCTCCTGTGCCAACACACGGAATTGAGATCGCTTGAAAGTTATTGGCGTCCGCAACGCGAAGACCCTCCTCCAAACATTGTTGGAGATGTTGCTTATCTGAGGAGCCTGGAATTATGTGAATAATATGAGATACTTGTAAATTACCTCCGCTTGTCATTATTGCTGTTCCAGGAGGCTGCTTTCCCAATTGGTTGCATTCTTGTTGCACAAGTGGACCACTCTGTGTTGCTATGGCTTTGCTTAGGTCTCCGGCGTTATTCATGTTCATGTCCGTGCTGTTGATATTCATGATAGCGTCAGTGCTGTTCTCTTGCGTCAAATCACCATTTATCACCTCGATACTGAAAGGGCTAGTTAAGGTCATGCGCTGAGCCACACCTACTTGTGGAGAAAACGAGTGCCTCTGATGTTCTTGCTGAAATGCCGACAACATTGGAGACTCAAAGATTACGATCCTGACCTTGCGGACATTACGGAAGCTTCCACTAAAGTTTGTCAGGGCCTTAAATATCAGACTGGCCGAGTCCACCGCAGAAACATGGAATGCACCAGTACCAACTGCGGGAATCGAAATGGATCCAAGACTATGCGTCTCTGCCAGCCGAAGACATCTTTCAACACACTGCTGGAGGTGGTCTTTATTATTGGTGTCTGGAATTAAGTGAATAATTTTCTGCGTAGGGAGATTTCCACTGCTGGTGATCAATGCGGTTCCACCTGATTGCTGTCCGAACTGCTTCAACTCAGTCTCAACCTGTGGCCCGGCTAGCTGTTTCACTGTCTGGCTCAACTTCCCAGCACTGTCCATATTCAAGTCCTTACTTGTTATATTCACTATGGCATCCGTAGTTTCCTGGCACAAGTCGCCCTGCAAGACTTCAATGCTTACACCCAATGTCCCCACTGTTTTCTTCCATCCAAAGAAGGAACGTATTCTTTTAGTTAAAGTCGTGATGGCAGGGAGGCTAGTTTGCTTGGGCTGTAGTTTGTCCATCTCTTGTTTGAAGGCGGTAGTTAATGCTTGATCTTGGTTAAACACGACAAATCGGATGTCCCGTAAATTAGAACTAGGGTTGGTTTTGCAGAAATTGACTGTTTCATCCAACATGATTCTCGAGGCTGCATCGCGTGGGAAGTGTAGGTTTCCAGTCCCAATGACAGGAAATGCAATGGAGTTCGCTCCAAGCGTTTCGCCTGTTTGCAGACACTTTTGAACGATGGCCCTTAGCGTCTACAAAAGATGAAATAGAAGTTGTTGACAATCATTTCATTCCTATGAGATCTCAATAGCAATTCTCCACACTGTCTCCTGTTCATTTCTTTTGAGTTTGGCACTGAAAATTTGGCGTTAAGTCATGTAATATCCCCTTAGTGATATATTTTCCTTCTTCCCGTCACCTTTCCGGTTGATAATGGATTGATAAAGGGAGGAGAAAAAAAAACTGACTGGTCACTCCTTAAAGTAAAAAGGTTAAAAAACTGAATCCCTTTCAAGCTATTTTTAGACTTCCTGAAATCTGTTTTCAAGAGATCAAAGTTATCTGAAACTTGAATTTTGTTAACATTTTTCAGAGGATATTAAGAGGGCGCCATGTAGGATGTTCACACCAGTAGTAATTTCCTTTCAGGATCAGCATCGAGGATGTTTGAATTATAACCTCACGGAAATTACCTTTGGGCCTAATTAATTCTTTTCTAGTGGTGAAAATTTCACAACTCAATTTTTTTTTCCAGTAAGATATTTGCTCTTACTAATTCTACAAAATTTCTGATTAGGATTTTCGTATGATATTAGAAATTGAAAGTTACCCAAACTTCCAACACCTTTGTTTAGAAGCCTGGCATATTAACTCCGCCCACGCTCCTCTAAATCGTAATGATGGCGGCTTACCTCCTGACGCCCATTTACACCTCGTTAGAAAAAAGGCAGCTAATTAGTGAGCGTATAAAAGGACCTCTGGTTGCAGCGTTTAGATCACCCCTGATGAAGACACTAGACAGGAGTGTCGAAATTTTGGGTCTATGAATTGTAACTTCTCGGTTACATTCATTAAATCTTTAAACGAGAGTAGCATTAAACCATGTCTGACATGACGGAATGTTTGGCGATAATCTACATCGGAAATAACATCAAATCGAGCCTAAACAGTCTTCAGTTGCTGTATTCTACAAGAGAATGGATAGGATTCGCCAGTCGGGCATCCGATATCGTTTAGGCTTTCGTCAAATCTAAACAACAAGTATTCTTCGATGTATTTTAGAAAGGTCCTTTCCTTCAAAAGTGAACTAATACTTGATTAACTACGTAAACTTCATTTTTTCTTACCGGCTCCCCTCCACCGTTGTTCCACTTACAACAGTTAGTGTGAATCACGTGACTGACTGAGGAAAAACCACCAGAGACAGTGATGTCACCAACGTTGGGGGTTGCGGCCTGAGGACCACCGGCATTCATGATTGCTTTATCGCATGCTCCTTGAGAACTGACAAGTACGTCAGCCTGAAATAAACAACCGAAAGAATATTGTCAGTGCTTCATTAACATCTTCAATATGGTGGACTGTTGTCGTTATCAGACTTGGCACTCTTAATAGGCGAGGCGTTAAATAATGTAACCACACTCAATGAGCTGATGAGAGCTAAGTAAAGAACTAAAATCCACAAATATGCCAACATGATCCTCTAAGGTATTTTCTGTGATATTCTCCTGGTGTGAAGAAATTAGTGTCAATCCTACCTTCTCTGCTCCTATGTTTCCAGGTTTCCACGACACTCTGTGCCTTTGGGCTATTACCAGGGTAGACGAGTCAGTTCCAGCAGTGGTAGCGTGGTCATCTTCCACATCATCTTCACTATCGCCTGAAGAAGTAGAGGCGTCGGATACAGATTCGACGCGCAACTCCTCGTCTCTTCCTCCTCGACTTAAATTCTTCTGAACTTTTATGGCACAGTCTTGATCTTTTTCCACCGATTTTACCAGTCGATCTCCTTTTCCACTCTCAAAGTATTTTCGAAGACCTGGCTGTTTCACTTCAAAGGTTTTCAACTCAGTGGAATCTATCAGAGCGTCGAGCTTCTTTCTTACACGTTTCAAACCTTCTCTGTTTCCAGAAATGATAAAATCATCATCGTCTTTTCCCTTTTTAATACTCACTACAAAATCTTTTAGTTGATTTTCTATGGTGCGTAGATCTTCTTGACGTAGCTCGAGAAAATACCTTCGCATAATATCAGACAGGCACACGAAACTTTCCTCCCTCATGCAATTGTTTTCAAGAAAGGTATTTAACTTCTTTATCACTTCGGTCACGTTATCACGGAACCCAGCGACGTATGTATCGTTCCAGTTGTCCCTCCGGACACGGACAGCCACTTGGTCCATCTCGTCACACAACTTCAGCCATTCAGATGACTTCAACAAATGCTTGCTTTTCTCGTCCACTTGAACTTTCTCTTCCACCATCAACTTGTTCACGAGCCTCGCTGCGTTGTCTGCATGCGCTGCTGATGATCCCACTATGGTGGCGTCTTTCTCAATAACGAACACTGCTTCCACGTTGTTTCTTTCCAACTCACATTTGACAGTCTGAAGCCCCTCATCTGAGTTTAAAATCTCCAGGATGCTGTCGGATAAAGTTAGTTTCTTCTCAACCATATCAGACATATGTTTGTAGAACTTCATGGTTGCCTCAATAAACTGTGGCTGGGGACCTTCGAAATATATTTCTTCACCGTCAGTATCAAACTTGATCTCCAGCTCCTTGTTCTTTTCTTGGAGGTTCTCGGCAAATTTTATCTTCTTCAGCAAAATTAAGCGCTCCTCGGCAATATTTGGAATTTTCTTCCTCAGGTAAGTTTTTCTGGTCTCCTCGCGGTAGATTTCTTCTAACTCCGACCTCACCTTTTCTTCGCTAATTTTCATGTCTGTTCCTAATGAAACGATCCTAGCAATATTTGAATCAGGAATAGTCTTGACCAACGGGGGATTAACTCCCAAGCAGGTGCGTATGCTGGGAACTTTTGCTACCACGGCTTCCCAGAAATCTTTGTTGACCTGCACATCGCACTTTGCAAACTTGCCGAGGTAATTTTGTACTTGGTCAATGCATTCAGATTGCCAGGAATCACTGTCATCTTCCCCACGGTACACTATAACAGCCATTTTGTTGTTGGGTTTCCAGGTGACTTCGCTCTTCTTTCCAGCCAGCGAATTGTTCAGTTCAGCTTGGAATCCTGTGGATGTGACGTATTCCATAACATCGGGATCTACAGCTATGTGCAGCTGTTGTTCCTTAGCATCGGGTGTCTGGCTCACTCGAGATTCATTGGCCTCGGTTGTAGGTGCTCCTAAGTCACCGGAATCCTCTGCTCCATCAACGTCTTCGTCTTCTAGAAACTCTCGGTAAGCTTTAATTGAAAGCTGGGTTTTGTGAAACTCGTGAGGTTTCTCTTCATGTCTGGTTAAAACCCTTTCCATATCTGTTGATTAAAGCAAGTAAGTGTCAGGAATTTCCACGAAAATGTTATTTTCGTTTCACAACAATTCATGACATTTTAATTTAAGAAAGACACGCAGATTAAGGACGATGGGGTGTTGGGGCAGAGAAGATCAATCAATCAATCAATCAATCAATCAATCAATTTGATCAATTCAATGATCTAAATTTTAAAACGTGATAATTCATCCCTCCTTAAGTCTAATGTTATAGATCAGATGACGTCAAAATGGTCTTAAATCAGGGCAATCAATATTTCACTCACGTTCTTACCATGTTGGAGGATCAGATGTCGATTATTCGTGCCTTTTATATAATAAAGAATTAAAATATACGGGAAAATACTTTTATATTTTCTAGAGATCAGTGACCCAATACAAACCTTTTATATAACGTCTTGAAATGTCGATTATTCAACCACAGCTTGACTACTTTTAGGAACATGGTGAACCTTCTCCACAGGACCCCCACCATTTCGACGACTCTCAAAGTACAGTTCAATAAAATCATGGGTAATGTCTGAAAACCCAGTGACAAGGATGCTTTTGCAAACCGGGACTTGTTCGATAGAAACCTTTGCACCATCCAGACCTCTCTCCTCGCATTTGGTCTTTATTTTCGTGAAATCTAAAAGAAAATAGATCACATTCTCAAAAAATGTTTGTCTCGTGTGATCTCCACTTTTATAGTGTTCCTGAAAGGAACAACACTCAATGAATTACATGTACAGTTCACAAATAAATTGATTACTTGATCTGGATTATTTTGATAGTTTGGAGAAGAAAATCGAAATGTCTTTTAATGGTGAGACACCAAAAATAAGGCATCTTAACTCTTCAGGTACTAGTTAAGCATACAACAATCTTAATCAATGAAATGTTAATTTCATATAATTTGAAGGTAAGTTCATTTCTTAAAACTAAGAGGATGAAACTGAAGCGGCGTGACCTTTCATCCCTGATAACTCACGAACAGATCAAAGTGCGATATAGAAATTTCTGCTTATTCTCCAATTAACAATTGATTCATACGTCAGCGTGCGTTCATCGAGATATGAAGCACGCGGGGAGTTTAGAGAGCACGAAGGATGCGTAAGAGTTGCTCGAGGCGTTGCCGAGAGCAACTCTAGCTTCTTGAGTGCTCTCTAAACTTCCCAAGTGCTTCATATCTCGATGAACGCACAGCTGATGTATGAACCAATTGTTTTATAACATTTTCAACCCGATGGGAAATTTTTCTCGAGGAATACGTTTGCTGACGTCATGAGCGTGCTCAATAGCAATATGAAGTACGCTCGCGCAATTGAATTTGATGAGACAAATTTACTAGGCATGTTATAAATTCAGTTGAAAGGTATGTACCTTTGATTTCATCAGCCATGGTGACCAAGGCTTTTCCATTCTTCAGCATCTGTACGTCCTTGACCTCTTCCCCACCACTCTTTGCCTCAATAAAGTTCACCAGTCCGTCTGGCGAAGTTTTCTCACTAAGCCCTCGAATGAGTATTGTATTTCTTTCAAATTGAGACTGATCAGCAGGACGGGGGGCCGGGGTTTTACTGCTGACAAGCTCCCTTTCTTGAGAATCTCTTCCTTTTCCACCTAGTTGTTTCAGTTTTCTTTGCATGAATTGAGAGTAGTCTTTAGCATCTGAGAACTGATCACCCTCCTCAAAATCTCTTGGGATTTGATGTTGCTCCTGGAAATTGCCACCCCGTCTCCCACCTCGTCCCCTATCCTTTGGCTTCGGTTTTGGTTTTGGTTGACGCCCTCGACTGCCTTGACCTCCACGTCCCATTTCAGGTTGAAAATTGCCTCCATCACCAAAGCGCCATTCCTGAGATCCATAAAGCGAATTATCTCGATGTCCTGCGATTGGGTTCGGACGAAAGCCACCTCTTTGTCCTCGTTGGTTTCCACGTCCTCTCTGCGGCGGAAAGGCGTTTTGATGACCAGACCACTGTCCTTGAGGGGCATAAAATTGATCATCTCTAGACACTTGAATGTTGTTTGGACCCTGGAAAAACCCACCTCTGGGTCCCCTCTGTGGTCCTCCTCTTGTCGTGCCTCTTTGTCTTGGGTTGTTGCCCCGACAAGCTTGGCTCCCCTCATTTTGATCAGACTTATCGCTATCGCAACTATTTCTTTTTTCATCTTGTCGTTCTGCATCGCCATGTTGCCCTTGCGTCTGATTTTTTTTTCTGGGTTTTCTTCTCTTATTCTTCCCTCTATTACTTTCCTGCCCAGGGCCTCCGTAAGATTTGTCCTCTGCCACCCAAGCTTGCTTGATAGGGCCGTGTGTCTGAGGATTTTCAAATTTTCCTTCAGGTTTCGTAATCAATGGTTTTCCTTCAGCTGGATTTTTAAAGAGGTCCGCAGGATTCTCCATATCTTGAAACTCTTGTAGCTTCGTACTGGCTTTTTCGATATTTCCTTTCACGTCATCTCGACGGAGAATTCTTTTGATAAGAACTGGTGGCAAACAACTGAATATCTCTTGCAGTTGTTTTGATTTTCGTTCAAATTCCTCCGGGTCCTCTTCTTCCTCTTCCTGCTCTTCTTTCTCGTTCTTGTTGACAGCAAATGAAAAACCCAACTCCTTGTCAATATTCTCTTCAACTGTTTCACTAACTCCGCCATCTTCTTTGTCAACAAAGTCACTGACATTAAAAGAACCAAGATCTTCATTCCCTTCTTCTTCTTCTTCGTAATCGTCGTCGTCGTCTGTGAATGAAAAAGTGAGGGACCAGTTAGTTTCTATCAAAGGTGGCCCTGTAATACATGTGATACCTCTCAAAGTCAACTACCAAAAATTTACGAGCGCCTCAAAAGTCAGTGAAGGTGATTATACAGGATTCTCTCCTCTCTCTCCCCCACTGGAAATTTCTTCCTACCACCCTGCGTTTCAAATGTCCTTGTAGCTTTTTCCACCAAAACCGCACACGATCTCCCTACAGTGAGGGTCTGAATGCCACTGAACATATAATAAAACGTTTCATCACACTACAAAATTCAACGTAACAGTCTTGGAGTTAGAGAGACGAAACTCCTTTTTGTGAGGAGGAAACCAACGACAGAGGTAGTGTGTGATAAATAATGCCGGTGTAATTTGGGGCATAATGCTACAGTTGGAGCATCAAACATAATGGCTGTATAATGATTAAAACTAATTAACAATTCCCTTGATTTTACAGTTTAACAAGAAATTAATTCTGTCGCCATAGAGTCAACAGTGATCCTGCTTTTCTTGTTAAACTTTAGGAATTTTATCCAGTAAATTGTCATGATCTGAACTAAGCCTTTTACTCTCAGTAAGTTTTACCTATTGGTGATAGGAATGGAAGGGAGGCTGAGGGGCTCTTAAAAGCTAACAATTATTACGAATTATTGAACTGAGCATAATGGAAACAAATTACCTTAATGCCATTTTGTTTTCAAGGGTGACACTCAAAAGTATAATGCTCAAATATTTTAGCATAATTTATCTGATCCTAGATTAAAGTAGAACACAACCACTCGTGGGCATTTCATTCCGAGACTAAAAGACTGAAGATATCTTAATATGCCTGAATAAAAAATAACAGCATCTCCAAGTGTCTGCTTCATTTTATTTAGCGAGCTTTTTTTAAAATCATTCGGTGCATTTGTCTGGTATTATTTTTCCCGATTATTTTACATTTCTCTGTTGCGGGCAAGAATTTTTGCTGCTTCCAGCTTATTGAAGCAAGCTCAGACAGTAATATTTATGTCCTGGTATTGATTCGATTTCTTTGTGTAACAGACTGTCTGAAAATGCTAAATTGATAGTGAGTGAAATTAGATATTCTCGTGTGACGGGACTTCCGGTTTAAATCGAGCAAATAACATGGGGAATGTCCCTCCGATGAGCAAGGGAAAAAAAAGTTTTTCGACGCTGACCTAAAGATTTGTGATTTATCAACCGGTAACTTTGAGGATTCTATCATCTCAAGAGACGTAATTCCTTAATTGTGAAGTTTTTTTGATGCCCTGTTTCCCGAAAGTGTGCTTGCATCAGAAATTTACTAGTACAAACAATTGCTTCAGGATGCTTTGACCCTTCGAGATTACTGCGCTTAATTTTTAGCAAATTTCTCAAATCACGGGCATTTAGGCAATAAGCAACAATTGCACCTTTCACGTTATTTCTTGAACTAAACTTAGGATAAAAACTCGAGAAATTTGCGAAGTCATGAACACGAGCCCTAGTGCAGTGGTGCGTTAATAATAAACACCTACGATATCTACAGTATGGGAGCTGAAAATGTCTCGATCGGTCGCTTTAACGCAAGATTCTACTAGATTACGTTCTAAATCCATTTATCAGTAATCTTATACCTAAAACTAGAGGTAAAAATTTACTGTCGAACAATTATGAGAGCAAACCATCTTATAACTACACAAGAATATTATCTGTTTTGGTTCCTATTTACATTCATAGCAAACCTTACCGTAATATGAATATTCGTCATCCATTGTTAATGAGGCACGAGCTTGAAACTTGTCTTTGATAACTTGTAGAATTAGCGAATGCTAAAATGGAAAAAAAAAAGGTGTTTGTCACTGCTTACTCAAAGACTACAGTGAAAATGAAAACAGTAGAAAGTAAGAGTATATTGTAGTTTCAAACGCAAATATCTTAAGTTTGCTATGAATTACAGAAGGCAGCTTCATCTCGCTGTAAAGCTGTAAAAGATTTTGTCTCTTTATCAAGTAGTTAACAGTAGAAGTCTTTGATAACTTCTGAGGGTACTTGTGGGGAATTAGTTGCTTGTATTTTCTAGTACAAAGCCAGAAAATTGTTCCGCTCGCGAGAACTTGTGTTAGTTGATAAATCCCTGAGAATTCTGAGAAATTATCGATGCGTTCGATCACGGATTACACCAGGATAATTCACAAGGAATCCAGAAAACTCACCGTCAATCTTTACAGTTTTTCAAGCGAGGACTCCTCTTCCTTTCCCGACAGAAACACCGTCATAAAATAACTACTTCGTATGCAGTGCACTTTCATTTTACATGAAGTAACATTCTAGGAATCGTACTTCCGGCTTTCTTGGAAAACCGTGAGGGGAAAAAGAGACTGGGAGCAAACCAAATTGGGACTTCCCTTTCCGGGTGTTACGTGTGAATCCAGTTATTTTCAGCAATGATTTTAAAGACACAGAAAATGACAAAACACCATGATTAAAGTTAGCTTTTCTTACAAACATTAAAAGAGGCACTGTCTCGCAAGACAAACGATTAAACGTTTATTTATCATTATAGCCGGGATAACGACATTTTTGTTGCATGAACAGGTTTTAGTCGAAGATGTTGCGGAAAGCTCGCGCAGGAAAACAATATTTCAACGTTTCGCCGGTCGAACCAAGATTGTTACCCAACATAATTGTAAGTTGACGTGGTCGTTTTCTTATACGATGTAGAAAAAAAGGAAATGATCCTGTTTATTTGAGGCTTCTTATATTTGAAAGTATAAGCTTGAACTTAATTTCCGGGATTATTATTGATGTCAGAGACACTGAATTTTAAAGTGGACTGCTAAGATCTTTTGTTTTGGCTACAACTCATTTCTTTTTTTTTCTATATTATTACGGCCCCACACTGGGGTGGGGGGGGGGGGGCCTGAATATCTCGTATCCTATTAATTCCTGTGATTTGTATCACATACCAGTTCGAAAGATCCTGTATCTTGTTAATTATTTCCTCAAGTATCCTTCACCCCTATAATTTTTTAACCCAAATATTCCGTATCCCGATAACGCCTAATAGGGCCTCGTAATTTTTTGTTTTCCATCGCCACATTTGGACAACTCATTGTCCTAGCTAAATTTTATAACTACTCAGTACTCCGACATTGTTTTTATATCACGCATAGTGGAATATTTTCTTTATACTTCCTGACGGTGCGGTAAATCGGCGAAAGCTCAGAATAAAAGGGAAATACAGTAGCGGAAGACCTTCACGGAATCGTCCATTTAATCAATATGCTACTGAAAGACAAATTTAAACGTTTACTAAAACTAAAGGGTGTCTTTTAATTAGCGGCTTTTTAGTATATCATAACATACATTATTTATGTCCTAGCTTTCAAATTAAACTGTTCTAGGCAACGTTTTCACATTTCGTACGCTATAAGAAATATAAAGAGTCTACCGGTAAGATTACTCTACTTTGAAAATTAATGAATTCTCTTCAGCAAGACCTCGTTGAATTTTGTCTTATTTTCATCCTGTTTTTCGAAAAGTGATTAGATATTCTGGGTAACACTGATTGTCTTGATACACGACAGTGATTAAAGGGTTAGCCAGATTGTCGACCGTGGAATCAAACAGAATCTCCGGAAACTCAGGATTTACAGGGGGAGGTTTCAAAATGCCCTTTTTTCCTAAGCAATATCGACCCACCAATACTCTGGCAAGATACATAACGCGATGAGGACAAGCACTGGGTCGAGTTGCGTAGTGCATTGAATAGGAGGCGTCCCTGGCAAAGTTGACTCCAGCACCATACATAGCTCCTGCAAAAGAAGAAAATGGGAGTAATAATTTATGTCATTTCTAGTGCGATTTTGAATTGGTATTGAAGGACATGGAGCCTTTTGTAAAACTGCTTGTGTGTCGTTATGTAATGTGTCACGTTAGGTAGAGTGTGTGACAAAATCACATGATATGCGAGAAAAGACCTCGTGCAAAATATGTTATCTTTGGTTCTTTACTTTTACAGTGGACCGATATTGTATGATTTTAGGTGCTTACAGCCGGTCAGATTATTTACTGGTTCCAGCACAATAATGGACAATTTGCTGTTTAAAACGGAAAACACTTGTTATGCTTTTGAGTTTAAAGTGCCGACTTCCTGTCGAAAAAAACTTTTCTTTTATCTTTTGCCCATGAAAAGGGTTTAGGACACATGTGTCAAAAATAGTTCAGTTGTTCTCCAATTCTATTTTTTTGTGTGGCCACAAGCCAAAAATGATTTTTGGCTAGACCACACATGTGGACGGCGATCAAATGTTTAAATCTCACAGATTTTGTCCAGCGCGCTGCGACTGCAATAATGTAGCTGACGGAAATCCTATCTCGCGACAAGTTACAAAATGTATTCCGTTCGTTCACAGACAAAATATGAACACTTCAATTGAAATATTTTTCATACCAACGTGATCAAAGGAGACCCTTCTCTTCGACCTTCATTTGTATATTAGAAGTTCACCAATTTGTATGAAAGAATTCTCAAAATACAGGCTTTAATCGGGCTAAAAAAGCATATCAGTGTATAGTTTATACACCAATGATTCTACTCAGCAGAATCGAAGTGAGAACGAAGTTATTTTGTTGTTATCCTTATCTGGAGAATCTGCTAACCTGTAAAGTGAGACTGTTGTAACGACTCGCCATTGAAATCGAATAATTATTAAAGCTTGGCTTGATATTATGCGGTTCGTGGTGGTCATTTGAGCCAACCATTTCCTAGTTAGGACAGAATGCTTACCGTGTGCAAATCCAGAGAATCTCCAGTCGAATCCTGAGTAATTGATTTTCTTTGTGTTGTCAGGAGTGGTGCCGTGGAATAATTGTCGCTCGTTGCTTTCTCCCCTGTCAGTTTCCATCTTTTGCTTCAGCAACTGATAAGCTTGATACAGATAATAATTTTGTACCCGTTCTATACTCACGATATCAACTGAATGGAGAGTCTCTAAAATTCTATCCATGACTTTCTGGTACTCAGGTGAAGAGCTATCAAGTTTTACCAAGTGAACACTGATGCCGTTTCCTTCGTTATCGTGTGACATTGGTGTCCAGTTTTCTGGTAAAATGTTTCCTTTGAGATAAAATGCTTTAGTTAAAAAGTGAATCTACGTAAGAAATAACTCATCATCATCGAGCCTAAATATTCATGATGATTCCATTAACTCAAATAACAGAATTCCTCACCTCCTCCTCGTCCCATTTTCGTACCTCTTTCCTCAGGACGACAGCTTGGGGAATTTCTTATGTCGCGGTACAGTTTCCTCTCGGCGAACTGGGCTTCAGTGAAATTGCCACAACAGTTGTTTGGATCCTGCGGCTGTTTTCTGCCTTTCGCAAGATCTCCAGCGACGTCATAGTCGTGGATGTTGCTATTATTTTTGATGAAGGCTTTGAGCGACAAGTTACATTTTTCCAAAGCTGCATCGTCACTTTTCCTTATTTTATCAGTTACAGTATCGTTTATATCTAGGCTGCTTTTACTGGAAAACACTTGTAGCTGTAGGTTTGGTTGTACCTTTAGCATAGCTGGCGGACGTGAAGCTAGCGGTAGCGGCGACGACCTCGGAGCTCGTGGAAGGGGCTCATTACACTGCTTATGTTGTGTCGTTGATGGTGGAAAGTCCTCCTCATGTGATGGATGTGACAGCAAACGTTCTTGAAGTGATCTTGGATTCATCTCAGATATACTGGGTGGGGGTCCTGCTGATTTCATGCAGTCCTTGTCGTTTTCTGTAAGAAAAGTTTAAAAATTACTGCCCAGCTCACAGGATCAATATTCCTAGATTAGTCGGAAAGGTGGAGGAGAATTCTTTCCGATCTTTAGGGGATAAACGAGGACCACTTCCCGTAGCATGGTAATCGATGTTTACAAAAGGTAGCCCCTAATTTGTTACTGCCTGTTGAAGGTTATTCTGATTTGTTTGTTACCTCGCTGTCGCCTCCAGTTCAGTTTCGGTTTTTTTTCCGGCGGGTCGGTTATTCGCATTGTCTCTTCGGTCTCAGTTTCCTCGATTATGGTGGTTAAATTAGTCATCGGTCGTTTTTCTGGCACATCACTGTTGTCTGGGACTAAATATTTCGGTTTACCGGCAAATTTCGAACCCGACGAGAAAATATTCTTTAACTCATTGACCAGCCCTGTTGGTCTACCCTGTGGTGATAGAGCATTGGACAACTGGCATGGCGTTGTTCGATCACTAACAACCGTGTCTCCGACAGCAAACCCGGCAGATTCATCCTGTTCAACACATTGATTGAGGCCGTCTCGAGGCGTATACCCACTGCTCAATGCATCACCTGCATATGAAAGCACATTCACTATGATAACCTGGTCAAGTAACGGCTATTATGTGAGATTTCTTAAATGTTGGAAACTGGCTCTTACTTCAACGGAGAGCCTATCTTGAGAAAAAGAAGCTATTAGTTTGACCTCGCCTCTAATCTCATCACGTGATTGTTGCTTAGTTACCACGCAAGAACGTTATTATGGACACAAACCTAGTATGTTACATTAATGGAGGGCTGATTTACACAAACAGGTCTAGATTTCATGAATAACTTTTTTTTTGAGGTCTTAGGCACTATAATCGTCAATTTAAAGGACAAAAAAAGACCCTTCCCAAAGTGATAAAGATTTGCAGTTGGATTAAAATAAAATTTACACTACCTGTGGGTTAACTATAAGTTGGGTGAAGTACACCTAGCCAAGACGTGGCTGCACCGAAATGCAACGGCATAGAACTGTAAACAATGCGGTAGATTACAGACTCCGCAAATTGACTTTCTTGGCTTTTGCATTTTTTAATCGAAAGTTAGTGTTACCTGCTTCCGGCTTGAAATCGATTCCTTGCTTTGCAAATCCTGATGACTTTGGATTTGGTGGTGATGCCTGCCTGCTGGACGGTGATAGTAAATGAGTTGACTCTTGTGGATGCTCTTGTTTGCTGGATTGTGAAGGTGGTGGAGCTGACTGTAGTTTGGGTGGTGATGCTTTCCTGCTGGACTGTGAAAGTGATCGAATTGATTGTGGTTTCAGTGCCACAGGTGGTGGTATTAGTTTGCTAGACTGTGAGGGTGTTTGAGTTGATTCTGTTTTTTGTGGTAGTGCTGGCTTGCTGGACTTTGAAAATGATGGAGTTGATCGTAGTTTCGGAGCAACAGCTGGCGGTTGTGGTGTACCAGTCCTGGTCTGTGACGGTGGCTGAGTTGATCGTGGTTTCGGAGCCACAGGTGGCGGAGGTGGTTTACCGGTCCTGGTCTGTGACGGTGACTGAGTTGATCTTGGTTTCCGAGCAACAGCTGGCGGTTGTGGTGTACCGGTCCTGGTCTGTGACGGTGGCTGAGTTGATCGTGGTTTCGGAGCCACAGGTGGCGGAGGTGGTTTACCGGTCCTGGTCTGTGACGGTGACTGAGTTGATCTTGGTTTCCGAGCAACAGCTGGCGGTTGTGGTGTACCGGTCCTGGTCTGTGACGGTGGCTGAGTTGATCGTGGTTTCGGAGCTACAGGTGGCGGGGGTGGTTTGCCGGTCCTGGTCTGTGACGGTGACTGAGTTGATCTTGGTTTCCGAGCAACAGCTGGCGGTTGTGGTGTACCGGTCCTGGTCTGTGATGGTGGCTGAGTTGATCGTGGTTTCGGAGCTACAGGTGGCGGGGGTGGTTTACCGGTACTGGTCTGTGACGGTGACTGAGTTGATCTTGGTTTCTGAGCAACAGCTGGCGGTTGTGGTGTACCGGTCCTGGTCTGTGACGGTGGCTGAGTTGATCGTGGTTTCGGAGCTACAGGTGGCGGGGGTGGTTTACCGGTCCTGGTCTGTGACGGTGGCTGAGTTGATCTTGGTTTCCGAGCAACAGCTGGCGGTTGTGGTGTACCGGTCCTGGTCTGTGACGGTGGCTGAGTTGATCGTGGTTTCGGAGCTACAGGTGGCGGGGGTGGTTTACTGGTCCTGGTCTGTGACGGTGGCTGAGTTGATCTTGGTTTCCGAGCAACAGCTGGCGGTTGTGGTGTACCGGTCCTGGTCTGTGACGGTGGCTGAGTTGATCGTGGTTTCGGAGCTACAGGTGGCGGGGGTGGTTTACCGGTCCTGGTCTGTGACGGTGGCTGAGTTGATCGTGGTTTCAGAGCTACAGGGGGCGGTGGTGGTTTACTGGTCCTGGTGTGTGACGGTGACTGAGTTGATCTTGGTTTCCGAGCAACAGCTGGTGGTGGTTTACCGGTCCTGGTCTGTGACGGTGGCTGAGTTGATCGTGGTTTCGGAGCAACAGGAGGTGGTGGTGGTTTACTGGTCTGTGGCGGTGACTGAGTTGATCTTAGTTTCGTTGCAACAGATGGTCGTGGTATGCTGGATTGTGAATGTAATCGAGCGGATTGTGGCTTTGGTGGTGGTGCTGGCTTGCTGGACTGTGACGGTGGCGGTGTTCTCATTGATCGTTCTGAGAGAGTTGATGGTTGTGGTTTTGACCTCTTCCTTTTCCCTGTGAAGTATAATAAAAAAAACTCACTGTCCGTGGAACGAAATGTTGCAATTATGGATCTTCTGCATCCTCAGTTCAGTTAGTAAACGCTGACTACTTAACACTTTACTCCTCTTTTGCGCATTTTCTTGGCATGTCGTCGAATAATACAGCATTTAAAGTTTAAAGTCAGGGCAGTTTCTGCTGCTTTATTTTACCTTCTCCTGTCCAGTTGTTTTCCTTCTGGCTGAGTCCATCCAGGGGGGTACAACTTAACCCCTTTTTCAACTCCTTGTCAGCGGCTGTCGCCGGTAGATTGCGCATCCTGGTATTTTTCTTTGGTTCAAATTGTTGTAAGCACCGAACGGCTGCTGTTAGGTCCCCATTAACTTTATTGTTGCAAAGAATTGCTCGAAAGAGAGGCCTTGGCAAACCTTGGAACTCATCCTTTAGCTCTTTAACCTTATCTTCCAATTCCATTGCTTTATCCCCCAATCTTCCAGTACGCAAGTGGGTGGATTGCTATCCCTGGGTTGCAAATTCGAGCGATATCTAAGTTTGAAAATATATTTTAAAACAGCAAACTTAAATTAGTGCTCTATCAAAAAGAACTCATGGTTTTTGGAAACGTTCAGGACACACAATGTCCTAGGAGACATCTATGGCAGTGAACGATAGCGATAATCGTGATGTCTGTGTATTCCCAGAGTTTTCTTATTTGGTGCATGCATTTCTATCAGGGAAACCTATTCTTAGTGGGTATAAATTCAATACTTCTGAATCTGTCAAGAGCTCACTTTTTTGTATTTAAATCTTCATGGCAAGGATCTATCCTTTAGCAAATGCAGGGAGGTAAATCAGTACCTCTTAATTAAATCCGATCGAGCGGAAAAAGCGAGGTTCCGTAACTTATAATTTAAGAACAGGCCTGGAAAACGAGGTTAGTAAGATATTTTTTATCTCTCTGGGTTTAAGTAGAGGAGGAGTATTTCAATTCGAACAAAGTTTTTAATTCAGCGGGCGTACCGTGAGATACGTACTGTCAAATTGACCGAGAATAGCACACGTACTAACTGAGAGATGTAATTGCAATTAACGAAATAAACGAGTTTGTAATCATACAGACACTCCTAACCAAGAGAAGCCCATCTTTCTTAGATGGAAGTGCAACTGAGTGTCTGATAAAGGCGATCTGAATTGAATATTCTTCTTTAAATTGATAGTCTCCTTCAAAGCAATTCTTGTGAATGTCACACAACAGTTCACTAAACGAGTTTCTGCTTGCGTGACATCAGGATCAATACATATTACAATACACTTTATTATTACGGCCCCCCCTATACGAGGCTATTCTGTCGTGATACAATAATATTTATATAATAAATTACAATGGGTAAAAGAATGTTTAGATGTGTTGCAAAGAAAAAAGACACAAAAAATTATAGTAATAATAATAATAATTAACATAATTTCGTATAAAGGTTAAAAGATCCATTTAAGAAGAGTTTCTGATAAAATGGGCCACTTTCCTTTCTAAACTTAAAATATCGTTTGTGCTTCAAATGTTTCCTGGAAGGAGGTTATATTCGCGAAATGCGAAAGAGTGTTGGCCAGTTGATAATCTGCATTTAGGTAGGTTTAACTGAGACATATTTCTAGTGGTGCGTCCCGACACTAAATCTGTCATGAAATAAATAAAAAAGATTAGGTGGTGCCTGCTTTGTTCTACACTTATGGACAATGGTGACGGTATTTAAAAAAAACAAAAAAAGTAGTGCATATAGTTATTATTATTTCACTTGCATTTAAAATTGCCTGTGTGGCCTTGTCAAAATGGTGAGTACATTAGAATTTTCGATCAAAAGTGTGTCTAACAGTACTTATCTTCAGCAATATTTCCGCATAGCGCCGTACTAACAAACATTATATATGTAAACAGGCCTTTGTCGAAAGGTGGCTAAGTGCGAAGTAGTAGGTTACCTTTGAGACTTCTGGCTTTGTTATTAAGGGGTTCCAGAACATACGGCACCGAAGCATCCACTAAAACAATCACAGCAAGTAAAATCCGTTTTCTCGACTTAACTTTGCAAAAGAATTAATTTCAGGAGTTCTTCGGGCTTTCGATTCCCAGAAAGGAAACGGAAGTAAGTGTGCACTTCGAGAATGAGAGGGGAGGGGAGGGGTCGTCTTCTTTATCGCTCTAGTAAGTAACCGCTGAATCAGATATTATAAGCACCACTATTGGGCGACAGCGAATGTGGGTTTTATTTTCTCTGCGGCTAAGAAAGGGAGTTATCGAATATTTTTGTTTCAACACCGAGAATATTCTTCCGCTCAGGGGAGGTTTTCTGTTTAAAGACAAGCAAAAATGTATTTTTAAAAGGAGGACGAACTCAAGCGAGTAAAACGCCTTAACAGCGGCGAACCACATCACTTTATCGCGAGATAGATAATTTAACGTCCATTTTCCATTACAACGAAACATGCGCATCTTTTGAAAAATTCACAGTTTTTAATATTATAATACAACAGAAAGAATTTGTGTAGAAAAAAAACATCAGTGATATTTTATCGTTTCGGTCGAACCTAAATTTCCACCTATCAAGAAACTTTTGAAAATCTTTCGATTTAGCCTTTGCTGCCAATCTTCTTTCCTCCCAATGTATATCGATACGCTCTGGTCTTTTGTAACCTGGATGAGCTTGGCGTAACAGGATTTTGTGCAATAGCCTCCTTTTGAAATGTTGAAGGTATCGTGGTGTTCATTCTCCATACCTAATAGGACATGTAAAGAGTTCACTTGGGAGATCATTAAATGTCCTTATTTTAATTTTCATACACGGCTAATGGCCGTGGTTTTCAGACGAGAAGTTGCAGAAGCGCCTCGGACAATAGATCCGTCGAAGCTGTCTCGAAACGAATTTTTAGTGTTCCGTGCATCACCTGATGCATATGAAAGCACGTTTCCGATGAAAAGCTGGTTAAGTAACTTAATTATACGAGATCAAAGTGCCTTTATAACGAGAAAGTTGTTTTGGCGGAGATCTTCTGAGTGTCTAACTGAAAGACGATATCATTTGCTCACTTAAAACCATTCATGACTTGGTCGACTCTAAGAAGAGAATTTGCATTTTGTGACAGAGAGCGGTAGGGGAAGTTCATTGTGTCTTGGGAATAAGATAAAACATTGAAAAATAAAACAAAGAAAAGAAAACTTTTCTTTCATAGTTTTTCTTTTGTTTCTTTGCTTAGTGCCTGTAAAGAACAGCGAATCATGGTCTAAAAAGAGACACCGATCAGTCTCTCCTCCCTCCCCTCTATGCCTCCATTTCTCATTCCTTTTTTTTTCAAAGTTAATTCCCTTAGCGAGTAAACGCTGACTTAGATATCGCGGGCACCGTGCCTTAGCGTGCGCCTCTGTTGTGCTTACCTGCATGTAGCAAACAGTTCCTTGATTTACTCTTTACCCTGTAGTCTTAACATGTTAGCTGAATTAAAAATATATACATGTAGGTTATCAACGTCGTTCAACTGTTAGATTTTGTCGACAATTTCCGAGGACCGCCCGACTCGGAAACTGGTTTTTAGTACTCCTCGGTTGTGCTTCACGTCGCCACCTTACAAGTGCCCATGCTTCCTTCTAAACAACAGTGCTGGTCATCATGGGTCCACGATACAGAAATCAGGGATCAAACCGTCTCACAAAGGCCGCGCAAGGCGATGGTAAAAAGATCAAACATAATAAATCCCTTAAAAATAAGGTCAGGGACGTACAGAGACTGCTTAAAAAGGTGAGACAACTCGAATATTCGAACAAATACATTCTAGCTGTTATTTGCAGCGTGTTCATTAATTTGTTCGTCAGCTGTTTGAGGTAGTTTTGTTCAGCAGAGTTCAGCATTAAGAGAAATCGCTAAGCCTTAATTTTCCGCAGAGGGCCCTGGAAAAAAAAAGAGAGAAACTAAAAGCTCGTTGCAGTTACGTTCTGTCTTCTGTACTGTTCCAGTGATCTTGTTTCTTCTCGTACATTAAGTTAGTGCCTTATATCACGAGATTGTAAGATGAATTGAGACGCAAAAAAAGCTCACGGTCGCTGCAGTCACAGCAGTAAACTTGTATGCTTTATCATTCTCCATACTGTTCACTATGCATTCGACAAGGAGGTTTGACAAGTACTGACAAGTTTAATGATCATTTTCTTAATTCTCATGACCGAAATGTTTGATTCATAAGTGATGCAGTAAGGGGAAATAAGACATCAAAATCCACAGCTACAACACAAGGCGTGCAAACACCTTTTGCCTACAATTACATAGGACATTTATATTTGTCAGTTTTACCGTTTTTTACATACGCTCATGTAAAATGGTTTTATGGCCAATCAGAGTGCGTGTACTATTTGAATTATTTTATAATGTAGACTATTGTATTGCTTCACATTGAAAGAAAAGTCTTATATGAATGAAAAATTCTTTAAAATTTAATTTGGTGTTTCCAATTTTTTTTAGAGTGATCTTCCAGCAACAGTGAGAGTTGTTCAGGAACGCATGCTTGATGTCCTCAAAGAGACAATTAAAGATAAAGCAAAGGAAGACAAACAGAGAAGGATTGAGAAAAGATCTAAAAAAGTCAAATTCTTTGGTTGGTGATTCTGACACCTTTATTGTATGTAAATTTGAGGTTTAGCTGCATAATGAAGTAAATTTTGAGAAAAAATCATGAGGAGAAAAGAAAATGCATTATTTTGCACAAACCAAAGAAAAAAAAAGTGTGTGCTTGAGCCAAGGAGGAGCTTATGTAGTTTCTGTAGCATCAAGGGATCAATATCAGTATCTGGGCAACTGCCCACCTACCCCTCCCCTAACTCAACAACAGTCAATTGATAACAAGTTAGGGTTAATGTTGGGTTAGGGGAGTGGTAGGTGGGCAGTTGCCCAGATACTGATATTGATCTGTATGAAGAGACTAGAAGTATAACTACTCCCCCCCCTGGATGGGATGCTGGTCCATTGCAAGGTTTCCCCTCAGCATTTCACCGGACTTATCTGATAGTCGGCTGGTACCCATATATACTCCTGGGTGAGGAGAAAAAATGTGAAAGCAAATTGTTTTGCTCCAGGGACACAACAGAATGACCTCGTCAGTGCTCGACCTGGAGTCCAGTGCACTAATTATAAGGCCCCTGCATCTCCCTCCAAACAGAAACCAATTAAAGTAGAAGTCTTTATTTATTTTAACATCATAGATGTAAGTTTCCACCCTTTCTATCCATGAATAAAGGGGGTCTAAAGAAACTCTGGTGTTGTGTCAGTGGGAGAGTATAGCAGGTAATTTAGTGTTAACAACTGAGTTGAATTTTAAAGCCAATTTATGTTTTCAATTCAGTTGGTAACACTTCATTACCCTCTATCCATGGTTTACACTTTATATCCAAATTAAGTAAAAGATCCTACTAGTAATATTTTTGTTTTCAGACTAAAAAAAATTAAATTTTCTTGTTTTTTCTTTCTCTTTTCAGAGAAAAAAAAGATCTTTAGAAGATTCAAATCTTGTATGAAAGAGCTCAGTGATGCAGAGGATATTGAGACAAGGTTAGTCAGAGCAAATGGCAAAGGAACAACACTCAAAAATTCAGCTTTGAAACTCTTTACAATACCAAAGTTTCCCTGTTATACACAATAACACATTACTCCACTGTTCACTTCAGAGTTAAGACACAATGGTAAAAAAGAAATGCCTATGTATTTCGAAAGTAAGGGGTGAAGAAGTTATTACAACTCTGTTCTATGCATAAATGTTAGTTTTTGTATAATATACATGTTTTTATTTAATCTAAATTTTTGTAGAAATTCTGCACTGAAAGAACTTGAGGAGATCAAGCAGCAGTGGAATTATGTTCAAGTAAGCAAAGGGTGGTGTCTGATAAAATTTGTCTCAAAAATGTTTTAATTTTGTCCTAGTTTCCTCTTGAATTGGTTTTGGTTTTGTTTTTGGCAGTGTTAAATTTGAGTTCAGGAGTTAAGCACCTGGTGTAACCTATGACTCCCAAGAGTACCTAGAACAATTGTTTGTGTAAAAACCACGCAGAAATTGAAAAAAATCAGTTTATTTCCGTCAATATACCAAAGAATGGTCAGAAATTATTGATAAATTTGGCTGTTCAAAATTGAACAATACATGCCAATCACTTCTCAACCAGCCAATCAACATGGATAAAAAAACACTATACACCTGTGTGGTATATACTAACATTGTCTTTTCTTGGGGGCTGTCCAAGATCATGTTACCATCATGTTAATGAACCACATTTCAGTGTCATTTTTTCTTCTTGTCAAAGTGGTGTTATTGTAATTTGAAAATAATCTTTTGCTCAATTAACACTGTTTTATCTTCTCTTAGCATTTTCCAGGAAACACAAAGTATATTTCATTATTTCCATTGACATCCCATACTAATGCAGAAATTGTTGCAAAACAAGGTACAGTTATCTATGATTTAGTTACATATTGGGATAATGTTTACTATATCAGTGTGGAAAAAGCTGCAGAAAAATCCTGGAATTTATATGTTCAAAAGAATACATATCCCTCTGGAACAAACATGAACCTAGCTCACAAGAATGACTTTGGCAAAACCAGCCCAGAATTATCACAACAACCAATCAGATTAAGGGAAAATATCACAAGGTGCCAATGAGAATGCAAATTAACAACAAGCAAATTGCTTGGAACACAGAAAAACACAAGAGAGTGTTTTAGTTTTGTATCTCTTCAGTTGAGAGAGGGGCACAATTTTTATGTACAAACCACCGAGCAGAGTAAAGTAAAACAAGTGCTATCATAGCTTTTTTTACCCTGATTCAAGTTTGATCCACATAAAATTCAACCTTAGTTGATTTTATTTCTATGCAATTTGCAGAAAAAATCCAGGAAACTATTGCAAAGAAGGTGGAAGCTGGTGAGTTGGGGGATGCATCCAGTACAATTTGGAAAATGGGCAAAGCATCTCAAAGAGCAAAAAAGGAAAAACCTAATGTGGTATTGAGTGATGAAGAATTTGGACGAGCTGCGACAAAAAGAGGCAGTGAAGATGGTGAGGAACAATTTGTTGTGTTAATAATGATGGTTGCCATGGGAGATGTGGCGCTCCTTTAATTATGGACCCTAAGCAGTCAGGACGGTGATGCTAAGGAAAATGTTGAATCAAGAAATGAACTTTCATTTTTGTGTAGAATTTCGGCAATGGCTCCATGAGGTCATCCTCTATACCAGTGCCAGACCTCATTGGGGTAGAGGGGGTTAGTTTCTGCAGAAACTGTGGAGCTGCGTCGGTGGGAGAGTATAACATGGTAATTTAGTATTATCAACTGAGTTGATTAGGTAAATTGGCCACCATAAAGAGTTTAAAAGCGGACGTTTCGAGCATTAGTCCTTTGTCAATTGCTTTCATGAAGGGCTAATGCTTGAAACGTCAGCTTTTAAACTCTTTACGGTGGCCAATTTACGTAATCAACTCAGTTGATAATACTTAACCCTTTAACTCCCACGAGTGACCAAGACGGAATTTCTCCTTACTATATCAATACAATATCAACCAGATAAGTGGTGAGAATAAAGAAAAATATCAATTTGAAGATAAGTTGATCTAATACTAAATTCTCTGAACTAACATTATAAGAATTGTATGGTTGACAGTAAGGAGAATTACAAATTTGATCTGGGAGTTAAAGGTTTAATTACCCTCTCATCAGGGTAGGCAGTGTTGAGTTCCAAACGCAACTGCCAATAGATACATTAAGTTTTAAACTGCACATGCAGAGCCATAGCTCTCCGCATTGCAAATTAAAAACGACTGGCTAGAGGAGAATCGCAAGTCTCCACTTTTATCTTGATTATTCCCAGGTTTCTTAACTTCTGTGAGCACTTTGTATATATTTAGTTGGAAAACCCTTAAACCTACAAAACCTCCCAAGCAAGGATATTTTATACTCAAGCGCTCTCCCACTTAACTATCTACAACTCTGGGTGGAGAGGGGCCTGGTGAGAGTTTAGTGTCTTGTCACAAGGACACAACACGATGACTTGGGCAGTTTTCGAATCCAGACCTCTACATCTGCGGTTCAGCGCGTAGACAACTAAGTGTTTTGGCAAATGTGATGAAACATACTGATATGGTGAATGTTTGTGCGTGTTCTTTTAGAATAGATAATGAGTTCTTTCCTAAGGGAAGAGCGTTTTCGGAAACCATTTTTAATAATTTTTCTGCTTGTCATGTTTGATAGAATCTGGAGATCAGGAACTACCGCTAAAAGTCGACCATGAAGAGGATGACTTCTTTATGGATTCAAGTCCAAGCCCAGGTAAGTAATGAAGATGTAGTAGCGGCGGAGGCAAAACGAGATGGGGGTTTGGGTCGGGTCGAAAAAAAGAGGAGAGAAATATGGGTCCGTTGGGTTCCTTAAGCGACTCGTCCTAAGCCTCCCTCCTTCCTTCCTTCGACCCGACCCAAACCTCTCGCTTTTTTTCGCTCTGCCGCTATTACAGTGCACAGTTTGACTAACGGAACGACTGGGACAGGCTCGGTTATCACTGGTTGTAGAATCACGCGTGAAAAATTGGAAGAGAAAAAAATTAATGTAATTTGTGCGATATTCACACGCATATTTTGTGCGTGCAGATATCCTTTCCATTCCTCAGAACTGGTCTGTTGACTGTGTTGTCCATAAATAGAACAGATAAGCTCTGAAAACTCACGGGACTAGTCATAGGCTGAACTGGTACTGGAATTCAGGTTCATGGACTACTTGTGAAACACGCGAGAGTTTTCGGCGCCAAATGCCCAGTCTAGAAGGACCACTAGTGAAATTAATTTTGACTGTAAAAGCATACAAGACTATGCAACTTACACGCACTACCTCGCGAGGACTACTCGCAAAATTTGCCAGAGTCTTAGTCGTTGTATGCTGCAGACAGTGGTGGTAACGATTCCCATTCGTTTTGACTCTGGTAACACGCGAGGCAGCGTAACTTGCACGCGTGTCTACGCGAGGAGTACACTTCACCGGTTTGGGCAAGTTTTTTTAACTCCGGCCAAACAAGCTCTCTCAGTACAATTAGGCTCAGAAATTATGGCGTATGTTGTCATACCATTGTTTTTTTTTATCTTTATGCAGTAAAAAAAGAGGTGAAAAAGGAGAAGAAGAAGAAGTCGTCAAAGAAACTAAAAAGATCCCAGTTTAAAATCGAGAAGAAATAATTTTTTTTCTCAAACCGCTACTCGTTTCTAAGAGGATGTCTTTCAGGTACATACTGCAGCTAATGTTTTCGTAAAATTATTGTTAAAAAGAGAACTGATTACAAAATCAGAGATAGTATTGAATTACGTCAGCTTAAATATATTTTCGTATGTTTCCTCAGAAGTAGTAAAGCGTAAATAGTGTGAGTTTATTTATTAATGACATCGATGTTGTCGAAATTTCCAAAAATATTTATAAAAACCTCAACTACACTTTTGTTGGTAAGAAATATATTCTATTTTCCTTCACATTGTATGTGATATAAAATAAACGACGTTTTCGGTACGTGACGTGAATTTTTTTCATTGAGAAGCTACAAAGAGGTAATACCTGTTTTCATAACCATTACGGTTTCCTCAAATGTGATTGGTGAATTAGCTGCTTTATTTTCCACTAATCATTCTGTAGAGTTGTAATCGGTCAGTGTAAAGAGACAGTTGGCTGTAATGGGACACCTGTCATTGGACAGTTGAAGCAGCTAACCATACCTAGTCCACTCAGCTAAATCCGCTAATCTCAGAATTTATCACAATAACCATGGCAACAACCACTTATCCTGAAAAAAAACTGTGTAATTTCCAAAATTGAGGAATTTTTTACCATAGACATCGTCTCTTCTGGATATGTTTATCCTAAATGTATTTTTTTTATAGGAAATTGCAACGGTTATGATTAATTGGCGACTGGACTTCGTGTCGTCCAATTGGGTTTGTAATCATACCCGTGATTGACAAATCACTCGTATGATTACAGACCGAATAGGACTCTACTCAGTCCTATACAATTATCAATACACATTATTGATTAGTTCCAAATTATTAACAGAATTTTGAAATAATATAACTTTGGCAGAAAATAAATTTAGTGAATTGGAAATTGCGTTGGGTTTTCTCTACTTCAAAATGTGATTGGTCCAGTAAACTCGCGCCACTTTTTCAACCAATCACATTGAAAGCTAAAACCAATCATCGCGACTTGGTCACCCGCGTCTTCCCGCGCTTCGAGCAGTTGCGTTGCTTTTACTTCATTGGCTGCATGTGGTTTTTCTTCTTTGCTCTGATTGGTTGTGGTGACTTCTTTTGTTTTGGTTTTACGACAGCTGATTGACATGCGCTATAACAAGGCGTACATCAACAATATTGGATCATTTGCATTTCGTTCAAACGTCGCTGCCTAAAATGGCTCAACTGTAATGAGCTTATTTGTATTGTAACAAGTTAATATCAGTCTTAACGCCCGCAGATCGAGTTTATTCCAACAAAACACTAAATCACATTTTCACTTTATCGCATAATCTGCTCTTGACGTTAAATAGAAGTGTTTTTACACTGAATTTAAAATGCTGGAGGTGATGTTTTATATACTGCTACCAATGGAAACGAACAACTCCATAAACAGTCTATTATTTAAGAAGGACTTTACACTCCAGAATATTACGTCATGTAACGGTTACGCTTTGCTTCAGCGGAAGCGCTTTCAGCTACAATAACACTCCACTGAATTTGCTACTAATTTATTTTTCGAATGGCAAGATATGACAGTCTTACAGTCTAGTTTTAATTAAAAGTATTCTATGCATTGTCTCTAAGGCTTCTTGGCGTATTCTCTACAAAGAAATTGGCAACCGGAATATAACACCTTTTTCATTTTGCGTACAGCTTTCCGTGTTCGTTCTCAAATACAATCACTTTGCGATGGCACTCAAATGATTAAAAAAAGCAAATGGAAAACCGGAGAAACAAAACAAAACAGAAGGGTTTTATGCACGACATAGAAATATTTGTGTTACAATAACAATGATTAAACGGAAAGAAAACGTTAAGGGGTTGCGTGGTATTCACATTATTTTGTGAGCTGTTCTTTACTTTTCAAGCAATAATTTTACGAACTTAGCTTGAATGTAAGCTATTTCAGAGACGGAAATATAAAATATTAACGGAGTGTTTCAGTTTCCATAACGATGATTTATTTAGCCAGCGTTGGCTAGCAGGTGTTTATTGAGCTAAATTGATGCATGGAAATTACCAAAATGAAAATTGTTTTACATTTATTTTTTCCTTTGTTCCTTTGTTACCTGTGATTCGTCAGTTGCAAATAGGTTTCTTGTCAGGTCGGAGCACTGAAGCTTAAACTAGGAGGAAAAAAAAGGGCGAACTGATTAGAAATCTTTTGGAAGGAGGTTATTTAGCCTGCTAAGATGTTAAACGGGAAAACAACTGCTGCTGAAAAGGACGGAACTGTAAAAGTTGTTGTTCAGATGATCGTGTTTACCTTTATTATAATTGCTACATTTGTAGGCAACGGTTTAATCTGTATTTCTGTGGTGAAATTCCGCCATCTGAGAACAAACACGAATTTCATCTTGCTTAGCTTAGCGCTGACTGATTTGACAATGGTATCAATAATGATTCTTAACGCTACAACCACCGCCATCGGAAAGTGGATTTTTGGCGAGTTTTGCTGTCGTGCGATCGCCTCTGTTGGTCTCACGTTGTCGTTTATTTCAATTCTTCATATGTGTTTGTTGAGCGTTGATCGCTATATCGCCATCCAGAAACCACTTCGTTATCAATTTATAGTTACAAGAAGAAGAGTGATAACAATTTTGTTGCTAATTTGGGTGTCAGTGAGTGTCACTCTGAACATACCACTAGCTGACTTCGAGTTCCGCGCAGACACTTATGGGTGCACAAGTGACTCCAACCGTGACTCCAGTGAAGATTCCGTGTACATTTTCTTCCTTGTGGGACTATTTATCATTTTTCCATTTGGAATAATTTTCTTCTCCAACGTTGTTGTCTTTAAAACCGCCTTCACACAAGCAAGGCAGCTGAGCAGAGTTGAACGAAGCCTGCGCGAATCATCCGCAAACATGTGTGAAGAAAGCGAGCCACAACACTCAACGAGAACTGTCGAAACACACTCTTTGAAGCGGGAAATAAAATCAGCCGGGACTTTCGCCTTGGTTGTTGGAATATTTCTGCTCTGTTATACGCCATTTTACACGGCTGGAACATACAGAAAAATTGCTGGACCTCTGAAGGTTCCTCGTAATGTGCTAGTAACGACAATGTGGGTTGGGTTTGCCAATTCGTTTTGCAACCCAATTGTCTATGGATTGAGGTATTCACCATTTCGGAAGGCCTTCAAAAAATTATGCCCCTTAAAATCAAAAGGGAATAGGAAAAGAAATTACAGTTATAATTCTTCAAGTGATCGGCGCGATCGATTTGGAACGGTTTTGTCAACTAGTTCTGCTCTGTAATTTTAAATTCTCTGTCGAGTCGTAAAATAGCTGTTTTTCTCTTTTTTAAGGTTCGATTTAGATCTCGCATTTTCTCAAGTAGCAGGTGCAAGGTCAGAATTTGTTTCGTTTATTAGCAAGTCTCAAGTTGACAACGTCAAAATGAAAACAAAACTATTTTATCTACAATGACAAAACGTTAAGCTGGTAGAGTAGGAAGTAACAGGCTTGTATCTTGTACACAAAAAATCGTTTCTTGTACCTTGAATTTAAAAGAGCTAACAGCAAATAATTTCATTGTAAAATTGATATTCTGTACGTATTAATTTAGTTTGTAAAATGTAGATCGGTTGCGGTCTCAGATTAAGAAAGATTATTGCCAAGTAATTTGAATTTGAATCAATGCGAAATGTATTTATTCTAAGCTTCTTACATCTGACAGCTGTTTCATCGTCAACTCTTATTACAGTGCTGACAAAATGCCGTTTTTTACAGTTTATTTATTTTGTACTGGGTGGTCAGTCTGACCACGTAGTGTTAAGGGAAATTTTTCCTGGAAAAACTCAAGCAAGCTGAATAAAGTTATAAACGAGGAGACGGCTTTTAAGTTCGTCACAGCATGGGAAGAATCATATGACGTCACTACAAGACAGCTGAACATCAGACAATATACATTCATGAAAAAAGGGTCGCTATTCAAGTGGAAAACAGCAAGGAGCTGAATATATTTTATCCGTTCAAGCTGTGAAAGTGCATTTACTAAAAAAATTCATTGAAGAATTACTCAAAAAGTAAACGATTTTCATGTATGTTTTCATTTCACGAAAGTCAATTTGCATAATTATTTGGGCGAAAACTATTCAATGGAAACTAACTTATGAGCAAATTATTATTTTTCTTAGTTTCAATGCCTCGCGTTAAATAATTGATATTCTGAAAAGGGAGTGAAATGGGGAAAAGTCATTGTATCTAAGCTATGGTGGATAAAAAAAATTTTCTATAATCCTTGTGGTCGCAAGCCATCTGATTTTAGAACTCTTTCGATCGTAAAATTACCGAGCAGAAAATTGTTTTGGTCAGAAATAATTTAAAACATAAATTTAATTATTAACGAGTTGACGATTTCTGAATTCAGCTAACGATCTTTTGTTGACAGTGCAAGATAACTATCTCAATTAAACAGAATGTGTGAACATCGCTTGTTCTGTTTTTCGTCGAGAATTAATTGAAAAAATACAAACAAGGGGAACATCTCAATAGACTCTTCCCTTGACGAGTTGCTCGAGCCACTACAATTAGCCACGCACATACGCTTAGATCACACGTAAACTGCAGGCGCTTCCAAGATGGAATGACCGTGAGCGCCTGGGTGAAATAGGAAAATTGGCCCCAGTCGCACGCGCATGTGGGTAATTCGCGCGAGGCTCTGGTGATCAGAATTTATCACAAAAAAATCCAAAAAATGCCTGGACTTCATGAACTCGACCCAGAGTTCCTCGAACACGTTGAAACATTTCGCGCGTGTTCCATTCAACAATCAAGAGCTTCTTTGATTCGTGATCATTTCCTTCATTCTCGTGACCTTAATGTTTGATTCCGGGATGATATTGTAAGGAGAAATTAGATGCTAGTCACGTAGAGAAGTAAAAGGTTTAGGCCCACACTGTCCTTCGGGTTCCCGTTCAAATTATATCGACATAATTTTTCTTCATTATTCAGTTTGCAACCTTCCCAAATGAACGTGGAAATTTCCAACAATTTGTAAAATCCAAAAGAAACGTTTATTATATCGTATTCGTTCATATTCAATATTCATAGGTTATTCGTACATCTTTAAAACAGACACCAGGTCTGCCAAATCAAAGAGGTTTCACCCTCGCATACACTCAGAATCGATGAACTGAGCTAAGAGCAAAGTGAAGTCAATCGATAATAACTCGTCAATCATCGACAGTTCGCAGCTTTGACGAGTATTTCTTCGGCCTCTATCGGCTCATTGTGACTTTTTTCCAAGAAGAAGACTCTGACATTAGTCCCGCTACAACTCAATTGACAATATTCAGATAAAATTCACAATACTTGTCTCCTTTTTCAGCTGCATACCTATTTAAATTATTTTCTTTAGGAAGCCTTCAACTGCTTTCCGAGATACTCCCTAAGGGAAGAGAAACACCGTTAGCACTGAAAGACTAGTTGCAAGATTTTCACCTTTTATTTTACTAGCGTCATGTTCTCTCGCGGTTTCGACCAGTTATGAACGCACAGCAATATTTCAATGCGTGTTTCACTAGTGGATGTAAGTTTTCCACCGCACCATCACTGGTACAGCCGAACCTCGTTCTACTACATTACCCGCTTACACAGACTTCACCCTCATGTCACAACATTTTCTTGTTCAGTTTTGTCTTGGTAATTTTGCTTTTTAAGTCAATGACAAAATCTTCAGCAAAAATTTTTTTCCTGTCAAACCGCGAAACAAAACCTCGGTTCTTGTACGTTTCCCGTTATTTGGAGCCTCAAGGATTGATCACATTGACAGAAGAAACAATCAGAAAGATGAATCATCTCAGAACTCACCAGTTGTGAACCATGAGTTTCTGTACAGCAAGTAGAGCTTCCTTGCGAACATTAGGGTCATTATGAGTCATCATCTTCATCACCATCACTTTACACCCAAGATTCTCCAGTACACTAGAAATAAAACAAGTAGTCACCCATCAGCTACAACGAACCATGTGACAGGCGTTCCTTGTACATCGAAGGAAACTGGGACTAGAGACAATTCACCTGTTTCCGCGCATTACCTCCAAAATATGCCTTTATTTGGTCATTACAATCTGAGACAAATCTTTTCCTTTCTTACGAGAGCTGACGACCGGAATATCTTTTCCTACATTCTCCGAAAAGCCATCGAATGGAGAAATGAAAATCGGATAACGAACTTACTGTTTTCCACGTGGGTAATGCCGGACGTACTCTCCAGTATCGTGAGCCGCCACTGCTAAAATAGTCGGATCAGCGGACTTCTCCAATAACTTAGTCAGGATTCTTGAAAAAAATATCAGAGCAAATACATAAGTTCATAACTCTTCTCCACCAGCGACTTGTAACCTTTGCACGCTGGTGACTATAGAAGGTTTCGTGGTAATATCTTGATAACACGGAGCAACAGTACCTAAGATACTACACCCTGCTGCACAGGTTCTCATTTCACCATACAACACTTTTCTACTTCCACAGGCACACCACGAAGAACCTGACACAGGGATGTTCTGAGATCTATGATAGATATGTTGTAAACTTACTTCAACAGTTCGTAGTTCTTTTCGTTTAGACGTTGAGCGTTTTCTCTCTGCAAAAAAAAACAATAATTTTAATAGATACTTGGTGCGCGTGACCAAAAAGACTGTTCCTAGAAACGTGCTGCTCTAAAATATTGTCGTTAATGAGAAATATAATTTTGATCATAACGGAATCAGAGAGGAAAAGTTAGGAAAAATATATAAAGTATTAAAATCAAACCAAGTGAAAAACGTGAAACTGTTACAGCCATCTTCAATTACTTGGAAATGAAAAGTTAGTTACCCAGAACTTCTCCGATTTGTGTACTGGACTCCACTCCAGTCTCCCTGATCTAACCTCGGCAGCGTATTCATCAAAGGTACTGGGTCGAGAGAGAAAAGAAAAAAAAAGGTCTGTTCAAAAACCAGAGCAAAATGTGATGATCTTGACAAGCGAATGATTCTTACCTCAAATCTTGTACACGTTCATTTAGTTTTTCATACACAAACTCCACATCTTCCTGAAGAGCAATAAGAAATACATAATAAACTCCCAAGATCTGATTGTAAATTCTCCCATCTAGCTGCGAGGTATTTCCTTGTAAATTAGTTGCAAGAATTTGGTGTTAGATCAAGTTAACAACCTTACCCTGATAAGTTTGAGTATTCTCATAACCTGTTGGGTGGTTTATGAATGGATATTTTAAGGGGAAGTTGCATGTTAATCACTTCTAGGCGCTAAAAGGTTAACGAAGCCTTTGAGAACGGGAATTACCCATATACAGCTCAATTCCGGCGGTAGTAATGTTTCTCTTTCCGAAGCCTACAATGTAATAATTGCCAAAATAGATGAGATATGGACCTAGAATGGCTGAGCGATCAACCAAACGGATGCGATGCTGGCTGAGATTTTCAAAACTTCTTCTCGTATAGAGTCAACTGCAATCACCTTAACCACCATAGCTTCCGCGGTAACTCAAGACTGGTGGACACTTTTTATCTAATCTGTTTCTGATTTTTGTTCACTATTTATGCATCTGAGAGTAGACTCCGGTTACCTCACCCGAACACTTCCTGCATGCTGATTCTCGCCCATTTACCCAATCTCACATAATTTCGTAAGCCTCTACCTTCTAAGATCTTGGCAGTTCTTCCTAATAACTACCATACATTTCCAATAAAATCCTCTAACTAGCAAGTTTGCGCATCTGCATCAACTCTTTGCTGAATTTTACATTGTTAAGAGATGTTAGCATTTAAACACTTCTAAAACTTGAGTGAACCACACACCTCTATGTCTACATCGACCCAGGTTTTGCCATTCAACACTGAAAGAACCTAAGAAAAGAGATAGTTAACACTAAATTACCTGCTAAGAAAAGAGACACGAGTTTGTATATAAATATATATGCATGATTCCCTGTAACTCTAAGTTTCGTGCTTACGCACTCGTCAGACAGATTTAAATCTGTCTGACGAGTGCGTAAGCACGAAACTCAGAGTTACAGGGAATCATGCGTGTTTCATTTTAGTCATTTTGAACTATATATATATATATATATATAGTTATAATTAATATATAGTTATAATTAAACCCCTGAAGACTGAAGCGATTCACGAAACAGGCTTGTCGGGAAATGTAGTTGCGTCCTTTTTTCCTCTCATAATATATATATATATATATATATATATAGGAAGTCTGCAAGTCGATTTTCGCGTGGAACAGTGCTCAATACGTTGAAGCATAGCAGAATAAATATTATGAGAGGAAAAAAGGACGCAACTACATTTCCCGACAAGCCTGTTTCGTGAATCGCTTCACTCTTCAGGGGTTAAATTAAAACCCCTGAAGAGTGAAGCGATTCACGAAACAGGCTTGTCGGGAAATGTAGTTGCGTCCTTTTTTCCTCTCATAATATATATATATATATATATATATATATATATATATATATATATATATATATATATATATATATATATATATTTAATATTCGTACGCTTCAGACATTTGCTTATCCCTAACTGGAATGCCTGCCCATCTCGAACAGCACTGTTCATTTTAGGCTTGAAACCCAGAGAAGAAGCCCAGCGAAAAAGCGGAAGAAAATACATTACTACCTTCCTTACGGCACGATAAACATTTCTTTCATTCCTAGTTTTAGATTTTCTGCAGTAGCTACATTACGCGCTAATTTACAAGCAAATTTCATCCAATTCTCCTGAGACAGTTTACCTATTTTCCGTTTTTTAAGAAGTTATTACTTTGGCTCAATTTTCGTCGATTTTAACCAGATGTAACTCATTGTTCGCAACGACAAATCTGGGAAATTTCTCAAAAGTTTATAGTCTTCAGTTAGTTGTGGGTTCGTTTGGGAACGTCTTCGGCTTTCAGAAGCCTTTCAACGTTAGAAAAGAGAAGGACTGAGGTTGAAATACTCGTTTCCTTACAAATAAAAAATAAAAAAAGAGAGTAGCGGAAAAAAAGAAGAAAAATTCAAAGTTTGTCAGCTTACAGGAAGAAGCTTGCATTGAATCATAGACAATGCTGCTTCGTTCTTCTTCTCCTCTGGTTTCTCTAACAAATTCTGAAAAAGAGAAAGTTTTCCTGTTAGATTAAGCACCCTATGATGCATGTACGCGACAAACAAAGTCATTTCATCTTAAATTGAAGTATCTTCCACTTTAAAATAAGGTGCTGGACAGAAGCTGTCTCTTCTCTGCTTTTAGGCGAGTGGGGGCGTGTGTGAGGCACGCGTGAAGAGTACACGAAAGGCAAGTCAGGCGCCAGTGTAGGAGTGGCAATTCCTCCCATGCTCCCCCACTCACGCATTCGCCTCTCACGCTTTCTGTGCGCTTTTCGCGCACTTTCCTCGCGCTCACCTCGCGCTTACCTCCGCCCGCCTAAAACACGAAAAAAAGCGACGTCTCTTCCGCAGTATCCAACAACGAAATGAACCGTACTCGAATACCATCTTCACTAAACTTACCCTTAGCGCAGCAATAATAATCCGTGTCACTTTCTCTTTGCCTGATTCTCTCAAAATGTCGGCCAGCACACGAATAACAGCACTATTTCTGTAAAAGAAAATTATTGCTTCATCATGACAAGTTGTAGTTCAGTGAGTGAGAGATTTACCTTTATCATCGCATGAGCATAACTAAAGAGGAAGGGGTCCAAAGGTATTGGTGAACTTTGGTTTTAGGACATGAATTTCTTGGCATCCTCCAAAATTCCAAACACGTGTTTGTGTGCTACCCTTCCTGTTAAAAAAATCTACCTATGCTTCAGTATTAAAACAAAAAATGTTAACTTTTACATGTTCATTACCCAATCATACGCTCCACAATCCTAGGATCAAACGACAACAGCCAGAGAACAAAAATGAGCTGGTACTGAAGCTGGAAACCAATATTAGGGGCCACAAGAGCAGACACAACACTGAAGGAAACAGATAAAAAAAACATCAAATAGATGACTTGAAAATTAACCAAGACTGCAAATCAACTAACCCTTTAACTCCCAAGATCAAATTGTTGATTCTCCCCTCAAGCTCCTGCATATTTCTTTGTAAATTAGTAACGAGAATTTGATGTTGGATCAAAATAACAACTACTGTCCGATACATTTGAGTTTTCTCATTACCTGTTTGCTGGATAATGTTTGGATATTATAAGGAGAAGTTTCATGTTAATCACCTATGGAAGTTAAAGGGTTAAAGATGCTCGAAGGATGAGCCTTTGAAAGAATTACATCTGATTGCATTTAATTCAGGTGCACTTCCTCCCCCTTCCTCCCCCTCCTCCTCCCCCCCCTCCCTCAGGATTATAACTGGTTACAGGGAAATAGTTGGGGGAATCTGAAAAACATTCTGGGGGTTGAGTGGAACATGCAGTATGCTTCACTTTGATTCAGTTGAGCATCCTGTGTAAAAGGGGCTTGAGGTAATTCTGTTATATTTCTGTTTAAACACACCTTTGAATGCCATCTGCCTTGAAGAACGCTTGTCTGTATACATGATGTCTCAACATCAGCTGAAGACACTGAGCTACACTATGATGGTACCCATTTCCCTGAAAAACGAAAAAAATTATTTTCAGACACATTGATGTGACAGTAACTGAGTGAATAGTGTTTTATTAACAGCGTATCCCTTCGTGTTGGCTCTTCATTTACGGCAAACCATTCAGCCTGATAAAAAATAATTCAAGGTTACAGCAATGTGTTTACCCTTTACACCCTAACATCAGTATGCATATTCTCCATACTGTTCTCTATACATTTCCTAAGGTTCTGACAAGGAGAATTTGTTTAACAATCAAGAGTTTCTTCAATTAGTGATCAATTCCTTTATTCTTGTGACCTTAATGGTTGATTCAGGGATGATATTGTAAGGAGAAATCAGATGCTGATCACTCTTGGGTTTAAGGGTTAAATACTTACTGCTGATGCCAGGCCATTTTTCATCCAAGACAGGAAGTAATTTAGGTCAGAATCTGGCAACAAAACTTTTCCCCAGGAAGCCAACTTAGCTATAATAATACCTGTCTGAAAAAAATACAATTAAAAACAATTATTTTACATACGGCTGTGATAAAAAATAATTATTAAAATAAATATCATTTCTCCCTGAGAGGAACTTTAAGGACAACTATTTCATGGTGCATAAAATTTGTAAGGTTGACAGCTCCAGATTTCCTGAAGACTTGCAGTTTTTAGTCAAAACTGCACAAGCCACATGCAAAGTTACTACACTGTACATCTGGAGACAAGTGAGAAGGGGAATGTTGATCATCTGAGAGTGATACGGTGAAAGCCCAGCTGTTACCTGATGAACAATAAATTGATCCTCTCTGTTGAGAAATTTCAGAAATGAAGCCCACACATTGACATTTGCCCTGTGTAACAAACATAAAAAAACATTCATCATTCATAGCTCTGAAGGCAAACTCAGGTAAAATGAAGGGCACGCAAAAATCAATACAAAATGCACATTTACCTTTCACCAAATTCATGAAATATAGATGCTCTGCTTCTTTCCTCCTGAAAGTGAAAGAATTCACAAATTCATCTTTTCGAACTAAAACTAATGTTATAAAAGAAGGAAAAAATATAAGATAATTTTTGTATTTTCTTTCACACTCTTTGGGAAGTCATCTTCATTTTTACCTCTTAATTTTAATCATGAAGCTCCCAAGATCTCATCGTTAATTCTCCCCTCCAGCTGCTATACATTTCCTTGTAAATAAGTTATGAGAATTTGGTGTCCGATCAAGATTAAAAACTTCTATCTGACAAGTTCAAGGTTTCTCATTCCCTGTTTGCTGGATATTGTAAGGAGAAGTTAATTGCTACAGTGCATAGAAAACAACTGGTTTAAAAGGTAATTATGAATAAAATATGCATTGATTTGAAATATTTGTAAATTTACTGCCCATCTATAAATGTTCTTTTCCATTTCATGTTCATCCACTTAAGTGCCAAAAATTAACAAACCATTGTGCTTCACTGGACTTCACCATCAAACAGACAAGGAACTACTTTCATTGGTCAAAAACTCAACACCTGTTTCAGCCTACCTTAATTTGCTGTTATGGCAAAATAAAAATTGAAATACTTACAGTCAGCATATCATCAATTAGGACAAGTATATATCTGATTGTCTTGTCCCGTGACAGTCGAGCAAGCAATGACAAACAGCTCTTGGCAAACTGAAGAAGAAATATGCCGTGGCAATTAAGTCCATTGAAGAGAACAGTTTGAAGCAGTTCTCAAGAAATAAAGTTTGAAAGTGTTTTGTCCACTTTTCACATTTTCATACCTGATCTCCCTTCTCCTCAAGAATTTTTCCTCTTTCTTCAACCCCCATGCAGTCATAATCAGCAATCATTTCATAATCCTCCGGGTTTATCATTTGGCTCCTTATGAAATTAAATTAATCCAGTCAGAAATAACATCATATAATAACTAAAAGACATTAGCAGGGATGTAGATAATAGCCAGAAGCCGGGAAAATTACCCAGCTGTGAACGCAATTTTTCTGGCTGTGAAGCACCACTTCTTTCTCCAAAATGTTTTTAAATGTTGTCAGAAGATTGTTATTTATTTATTTCATTTGCTTACACCTTCTACGTATAGCGTGCCAAAGGCATGTAAGAGTGGGCCTTCAGCCCAAATACCTGCCTATCATTGCAAGATTCCCGCCTGTTAAAAACTTTAGCTACATCCCTGCATTATTAATATACATGCCAGTAGTAATTTTGACACTGAAATCATTTTGAACCCATTTCCCTCTGTTTGCAAAGCAAAAATGGACAAAAGTTCAAATTGTTGTTAGAACAGATCATCTAAATCATCTGTACTTACTCTATTTATAGGTGCACAATTTTTACTCTCACTGCGCACCTGCAAATCACTAAAACTAATGGTACCTTTTATAATGGAATATTTTCACAAAAATATCCTGTTGGAAAATTGACATTTTTGCATTCTTAAGTTGGCAGTGTGTCTGGGTGGGTTGTGTAGCTGAATAACTACAATGTTTTGTCATTCCTGTGGATCATTATTGTCTTCTCTGTCATTACTTTTAAAAGTATCAATGTGGTTATCAGCATCATCAATAATTGTCTTAGAAACACCATCAATCATCACCAAATGTTACAATCTTAGTAGGAAAAGTTGAAATTCTTGTTTAGGACTCAACTACTTAGAATGATAATATTTTGCATGCCTAGCTATGGAAAAATTCAATTTTTCTCTAATTTGTTACAGAGCTAAGGTCTCCTGATGAGAAAGGGCATGGAACTTACTGAACATAAGTCTGCCAGTTGACTTTCTGTTTCCTAACTTCTTCACTCTCAACTGATAACAATCCAAATGGCATAACAATGGCTGCAAAAGATACAAAGATATGGATGGAGCAGGTAAGGGTAATTGGCTCTCACAGCCAGTAACTGTGACTATTATCTCTTGATAGAGTAATTTTCAATTGAGTATTAAAAGTTATTTCAGAATGTTTTGATTTTGCCTTACTTTTCTATGTAATTGGTCCAAAAAACTCAAAGTACCCTCCCTGCCAATCAAGTTCAAACTAATAGGGACCTTACACAGTCAGAATAGTTATGTCTTGAGAGATGTCATTTAAAAAATTAATTTATATTTCAGCTGGAATTTCACAAGTGGCTTGAGGTGTTTACAGTCTCTTAACCCTTTAACTCCCATGAGTGACCAAGACAGAATTTCTCCTCATATTAACCAGATAAGTGACGAGAAAATAGAAAAATATCAATTTGGGGATGATTAGTTGATCCAATACCAAATTCTCTGAAATAACATTCTAAGAATTGTATGGTTGACAGTAAAGAGAATTACAAATTTGATCTGGGAGTTAAAAGGTTAAAGTGTCACATCTCAACTTCAGCATATTGTATCTAAGCTGGATTGAGTTCCAAATGGAAAGTTAAACAATTTGCTGTCGTGGTTTCCTTTTTCAGACCAGCAAATTCTGGTGATTTTAATGTATTTTGGAGTGGACAGTTAAGTATTGTACAAAGTTTTAAAATGCACATGTATGCTGAGCCATTGTTTAGCCATGTCCTCTGTGCCATTGCAGTTGTGGTTTGCTTCAGGTCCCTCCTATCAATTTTGAACTGGTCACTAGCACTTTCTCTCTTCATAATCATTATTCTGTTTTTTACTTTCAAATGAGTCTTCATTTTTGCCTCAAGTTATTTTCTTGACACTTTTCAATTTGTTCCAAACATTTTAGCACCCCAGTTATGATTACCTTCCACTGTGAGATTACAGCAAGATATGTTGCAATCCTCAACCAATCAGAGTGCAAGAATATCTGTGATCACCTGAGCAATGGTACTAAAAGCTTAGTACCTGATAGGTACGCAAATTAATTCAAACAGCGCCAAATAGATAGACAAATAAATAAATAGGATAGATAAACGAATAAACTTTACCTGAGGAAAGATTTGGATCTTCCACGCCCTTGTCTGTGGCAATATCTGTGAAGCTCTCGTAACCGGCCATAGTTTGAAACTGAAGGAAAACAGATCAAAATAACGCAAAATCAGCTGTTTCGACAAGACACTGTTTTATGATTTCCGACACAAATTGACAAAGCTGATACTACCACGTACAGTGTACTTTAACTGACTGAAAATAAAGACTCGAGCAATCATTAAGGTTCACCTCAAATGTATAATGGATTTTCCAAACGGAAGTACTGTTACATCTTTCATGAGGGATTTTTCGACAAATACTGTATCTGGTAAATCAAATCTAATCACTAAAAAATTAAAGATCCTCTCCTATTTTCCCCGACATGAATTGAATGAGCCTTCTAGAAAGTAAGAAGAAGTCTAAAAACACATAGACTAGAATATGATGTTAAGGAATTACCGGCTAAATATCGGCGAAGACAAACTTGTTATGAAGATCGAACCTCCATCACCCAGATTCATGTGACCTGGCCAATGAGACCCGCGAGAGACTGGCATTGCGACAAGGCTTGGTTACATGTCCTAAACAAAGAGGTCAGCATAGCAGAGGGGCATTTTGTTGCGCATGCGCCAAGAAAATTTGTTCGGCGCGTTCGGCGCCATTTTGATATTTTCAGCGCGCTTCTGCGGGTTTTCAACTGAGCGATCGACACCTTTCTGTGATATTTTTTGGAGAGGGATGGAAGAGTATGACAAGTTTACTACCATTTCTAACTCTGTGGATACTTGTGGAGTTTGCTGGCTCTTCGGATGAGGATATTTTAATGATCAAAGTGCGAACAAAACGTGAAAAAAAGTCGAAAACTTGAAGTTTGAGATTTGATTTGCTGACGATCAAGATGTGCACATGAGACTACAAACCTTGAAGGTTAGTCTTAAGATGTTGATGTCTTACTTCTATAAATCACGAAGTGATGTGTGGAGGCGATCGTGAGATATTCGTTACGATAATAGAAGGTAGTTTACAATTGGATCTTATTTTACTTCAACTTTGAAATAAAATTACGTTAAGTTCGAGGTGGCCCCAAGCTTCAAATCACTTCAAATAACATCTTATCTTCTTTCTCTTTGTTGTCCCATTGGACACAAGGCTTAAAAAAATGTTCCAGCTTCAGGATTGAGTTGCTCTTTCTATAACCTTCGGCGAATTCGTTTTTGGGAGGTTGAGGTGGATTTTCAAAGTCATGGCTCACAACTGTCTTTGGCCATTTTGCTCTCCAAGTCTGTTGTACTTGGTACGTAGGCATGCGTCTTAACAACGTTTATAGTCTTGCCTCGATCATCTGCGGTTTTATCTAATTTTTTTGCTGTGTTTTGGTGAGAATTTTTCTGATTGCCCTTTTGGGCTTGAAGGGCTAACTAGAGGATAAACTTCGGTAGAACTTGTTTTATCACATGGCCCCCAAATCTCTCACCACTGTCAGTTCATTGTTTATTTATTTAGCCTTCGGTCTAACCAGTTCATTTACCTCAAAAAATCCGTGGGCTTTGTCTCATAAGTTTAAACTGGTGCCGTTTTCTTCATGTTCATGTGTTATTCGAAACGGATGGCGTCAGCTTCATTCTGTCTTGTTTATTTCAGTAGAATACTTCTGCCATACGAAATGAATTTTGAGTCGAAGTGTACTATAAAACTCGCAGATTAAAATTATCTAACTTTCTCTGGTTCTTAAAACATGAGGTGAGCGATACAATAAATGAATAATTACTCAAGGGGCTGGAACTCTCTTTCTTTAGAATGTGAACTACAGTATTTCTGTCATATTTGAAAACGAATTTCGGGTTAAAATGTCTTCAAACCAGTTTGACTTGTATTTCTCTTTGCCAGATAAGTCTTGATCCTTCAATTTTTATTTCTTAATTGAGACTGATGATTGGAATTAACTATTGTGTTCTCTGCTGTTTAGGGAGATGTGAAGTGACCCCACTACATATGGTCAGTACTATTGACAGAAAGGATAGGTGTGACATTTGCTGTGGCAAGCTGGCATTCAAGAGAATGTCATTAGTACCAGAAGCTTACTACTGGTATAAATTATCAATCTTTTGTTCTCTCCACACAACTTGCCTCAACTAGCTTATGCTATATGCAACTTGTGTCTATACCTTTTTTGCAACTATAAAATTACCAATAAAGTTTTTTGAAAGTTTTGTCCAAATTTCATGGGAAAACAATATGAGGAGTGATCAGGTGAAATATTGTCCTGTTCCATAACAGTGTTTGAGCTTCCAGGCAGAGCTAAAAATTTCTTAAGCGACTGATTTATGATTTTCTGCCTTAAAATTAGCACAGCCAAACCCCTGGCTTGAAAACTATTAATTTCTGCAAATAGGCATCCAAGCTGATGCCCATTACTGCAGAATATGCAATATCAAAGTCCCCTTTTGACTTAGGTCTCATTTCTCTAAAATCTGATAGATGTAGAGCATCAATTTTCATAAAGAGATCAACAAACCTCTTCACATTAGTTTAATCTGACCTCACTAAGTCTTATTCCTGAAAAGAAAAGGCTTTTTTTTTTTTTACCCTCACTGTTAAATATCAGCCTTACTGGTTCTTTGTTGTTTAGCATGTGTAAGAGTCTTTTCAGACCATCAAATTGTCACACAACTCTTGTAATTTAATAGGTTGGAGAATAAGGTTGCAAAGAGTGTATATGATTTTTTTGTGCAGTTGAAATGATAAATGATAGTGATTTTCACTGGGTAATAATTGATTTAACTATTCATCTTACAACTGGAAGCCCAAAGTAGTACTTGTTTTCATTCACAATTTCCCCACATCATCGATCATATCTGATGATATTTCCGAGACTAATGATTGAAAAGACTTTATCTTACTCTGATAAAATCCATAATTATTCCTCCATTTCTAACCAGATGGAGCTACCATATCTCTAGCATTAGCATTGTCTTACTTTTCTTAACTTGACATTAACCTCTTTAGTGTTAGTAATCGGCCCCGCTGGTTGAGATTCATTTAAAAAAAACTTTGAAACAAAACATAAACTTCTGTAAACTTCATTTTTTCGCTAAAATTTCAAGTACAATGCACTAGCAGTACAGTTGAAGCAGTACACAACGCTTACAGGAAAGTGAATACTTCAAATGATCAACGGTAACTTGAGATAGCAACGACACGATTAAAGTACACTATCCAATACGTTTGTGCTCTTCGGCAGGCCTCTTGTATCCCTCACCAATAACATCTTCATCGATCGCCCAAACAATCATGAGACAAGACTCGAAGTCATCTGTATAATCTTTTGCTTCTTGAAAATCACTTCCTTCCACACACCACACAACAATTTCAAGGATTTGCCGCTTCCATCTACGTTACAGAAGAAAAAAAATGAGAAGAAAGGTTGTCTCAAATACTCGAACCATTGTTTTTTTTCCGACGTATTTTACTGCTTCTTTTCTTTCGTGATTCTCGAAAGGGAAACCGACGCAGGCGCATACCAGCGGTTTCTCGTATCAAACTAAAATTTACCGGACATGCGCAACAAAATGCCCCTCTGCTGGTCAGCATTAGATTCCATCCACCAAAACCACCTCGGTCGAGAGGGACTGAGTTGAAATATTTAATAACTTGCAAAACATAACCGAAGATTCTCGGAAATCTGCAAGTGATGTAGCCGAACATCCGAAGCTGTAAATCCCATGATTCTTTTGGAACAAACAGAAATAGCATAGCGAGAATTTTAAGTCGCGAACCATTGCTTGATGGTAGACATGCAGATAATTTAGGATACGTCAATTCTGTTGATGAGGTGCATAAACTTATTGCGGAATTTGAAACAGGAATGACGACGAAGTTTTCTTTCTTTAAAGCTGTCAAAGGTTTCGGGAACATATATTTATATATATTGATATAGCTCTTTATTCATCCATGTGTTTACTTGAAATAAATGTGAAAGATTTATAGGATTTTCAGACCCTATTTCAGACAGAAAATCCTATAAATCTTTCACATTTATTTCAAGTAACCTTTAATTTCACATGGATGAATAAGTATATGCTCAAGATGCAGAATGTCTTTCATTTTACAAACTATTTCCCTTCTATGGATAGACAGTGAAAGGCCTTTGCCACATTGGTGAATCAAACCATTGTATACCATGCATTTTGTGATAATTGTTTGTTTTTGCTCACAATATCCAGAAAAATGGAGGGGATAAATTTAAATAGCAAATTCTATTAATGGTTAAAATTGAATAACATTGGAAGATCAAATTAACTTTGTACTGTTTAAAATTCAGTTTTGGTTTCTTGCTTATTCCAGCCTCTTAATATTCAAAAGCATTCCTTGTCATTTTTGTGTTCTTCTGTGTACATAACTTGAAAAATAAACACAGAGAAAGGAAACCACAAAGGATTAAACTTGAAGCTAAAGCAAAGTTTAAGTTGAGCCATAGCTGATCCAAATACTGAGCACTTTGTATTGTAACCCATTTAGCAGTAAAGTTTATCTATATGTCTGCCAGCTTGCCACAAGTCTTACCCCTCTCCTTCAAAAGTCTCTATAAATAAATTTTTCTTTGTGGTCCCTAATTGATGATAAGTATATTACAGCTCCTCAATTTTCCTCTCTCAAGACAAGTTTACTCTAAATTTAACAAAGTAATGGACTTGATAAATTTCTAGATATCAGTATACAATAATCAATATGTTATAAATAAGAACCCTAATGCTTAATTTTGCAGTAATCACCTTCCTCCTTTTCATTTGCAGACCAGACTGGAACCTATATAGGTGTGTTTGCTTGTTTTGAGTGGGGATGGAAGAAAAGGAGTCATGCCTCATATCTGATTTATTAAATCGCATTTGTTCTGTTTATACATGAGTAGAACTACCTTGTTCTCTGAAAAAATAAAATTTCTTGCATTTTTTATCTGTGCTTCGCAGTCAAACTTCCTTGTGTCTTGGACAAGAAATCTTATTTTCTTGAAAACAAAATCTTTGTTTCCAGCCTTCTGTAATAGGTAAATATAACAGTGTAAGATGAGTGACAGTGTATTTCTCAAGTTATTTTTTGGAATGTGACAAAACGGAAGTGTCATAGCGTGATAAAGAGCAAACATATGATTGCTTGATAGAAAGCAAAAAATGCAGAATTGCATATATTTTCTCCTTTGTCAGCAGCATATGTTAGTGAAAAGTTCTTATAATTGTTAACTTCTAAACCATCTTCAATTTAGCCAAGATTGAACTGTTATCACGTTTGTCATAAAAGTATTCTGAGATCAATGTCATATGACCCATTCATGTATTTGACCTTTCGAATTAGCAAGCCATAGTTGACAGAAACACAAAGGTTGAGGATAAAAAGAAATTATTATATACAGTACTTCTTCTGCATCTTTTCGTTAGGACATTATGAAATCTCACCTTCATGCTCGACGAGTAAAGATAAGAAGAGGGGGCCTACCCTGGATGAACTCTTCCATACGTAAAGAGCTGAACAAACGCTACAAATTACTCCTTAAAGCACAGAAAACACCGAAGGGCTCACAAGCCTGGATAGATTACAAGAAGGCAAGAAATAAATGCACCAAACTCCTTAGATTAGCGGAATCAAGTTATTGGCTAACAAAATTTAATGAGACAACCTCTGCTCGAGATTTTTGGAAGACAGTAAGATCTTTCGAGGGAAAACAAACAGCTACAAATATCGGACCGATTAAAGATAGTTCCGGAGTTATTCACGCAGACGATACATCAAAGGCCAACACTTTAAATTCCTTTTTTGTCAATGTTGGAAAATCCCTCTCGAAATCAACACAAGATTCTTCAGTAAACTCTCCTTGTCAGTCCGCAAGAAAAATCAGTGCCTCTCTTTATAACATAGCCCTTAACAGAGACCTTTTAAAATCTTCTCTAAGGTGTTTGAAACCTGGCAAGGCGAGTGGACCTGATGACATATCCAGCAAAGAGCTGTACCTTATTGGAGACGCATTTTTGGATTGCTTTATGCCACTGGCTCAAAGAAGTATTTTGGAATGCAAACTCCCCAGCCAGTGGAAACAGGCACAGGTAAAATGTCTTCACAAGAAGGGGAATACTCTCGACTGTGAAAACTACAGGCCTATTTCCCTTCTTAGCATTCCGGGCAAGCTATTGGAGAATGTTGTAAGCCAACAACTTGATAACTTCTTATATAGCAACAATCTGATCTCCTTAAATCAATGGGGCTTCAGAAAAGGAAGCTCACCCGAGCTGCTCTTACTTTCCGTTACAGAACGATGGCGTTTAGCCTTGGATGAAAGCAATATTATTGGCGTAGTCTTTATTGATTTTCGGAAAGCGTTTGATTGCGTCAACCACACAGTTCTTATGGATAAATTACACTCTATAGGTATTAGTGGCTCTTTTTTACGATTGGCTCTTAAATTATCTTGATAATCGTAAACAATTTGTCACCGTAAATGGTTCAAACTCAGAATTGTTGGAAATAGATACGGGTGTACCCCAAGGGTCTTTACTTGGTCCTAGACTTTACAGCATTTACTCAAATGATCTGCCCGGAGCCACAACGAACGCTTCCGTTGAAATGTTTGCAGATGATACTACTGTTTTTTGCATTGGAAATACTGTTGATGAAGTTTTATTTAAGATACAGAAAGCGATCGTTGACTTAAACAAATGGGCTAAGGATAACTTCATGACTATTCATCCCGCAAAAAGTGAACTAATGTTGTTATCAAAATCAAGATTCATCGGACCCCTACAGAAAATTTGTTTAGGGCAAAATGAGTTGTCATTTGTTTCCAAAGCTACATGTTTAGGGATTCTTATCGATAATAAACTCTCTTGGTCGCCACATATAAAATCTTTGAGCAAACGTTTTTCGGCAAGAGTGAAGAAACTCAAACACCTAAAAGGACTCGACAATCGCCTCTTAGAGTCAATTTATTTCAAAGGTATCATTCCAAGTATTGCGTATTCTATTGCATTATGGGGATCTTCTAAGTCACTTCAGACACTGGAAGACATTCACATTGGAGCCGCGAGATTTATTTTTAACCTAAAGGAATCTACCCCCAATACTGAAGTTCTGGCAGCGACAAAATGGAAGTCCTTATCATATTTCTATAAAAAGAGGATTGCCACTATATCCTATCAGGCATTTTACAATAGAGCTCCGGCTGCTATAAGCTCTTTGTTTACTAAACACTCTCCGTTGAGAAATCTAAGGGACAATCTGAAGCTATTCGTGCAACGCCCTAAAAGTGACTTCCGTCGATCTTCTTTTTCTCACCATGCGTCTGTTCTATGGAACAACTTACCCGTGTACTTGAAGAGCAAACCGAACATTGTTTCTTTCAAATCTGCTCTCAAAGCAAAATCCGACATTTTAGATAAAATAACATTTAATGGTTTACAGGGACTAAATAAAGACGTTGTAAATTACATATATTAAAGCTATTTTACTACTTTTATTTATTTTATTACTTTTTATTACTACTGTAAATCAACTGTATATTATATTACTAGGTCTTACATCCTTTCTTACTTACCATAATTTCGCTACTTGTTATTGTTATTATTTAAATTTTGTAGACACTCTTTAGTTTTGTAGGTCCACATCAGCTTTTTAGCTGCCATTTATCGACCTACGTGACAAATAAAGTATGTATGTATGTATGTATGTATGTATGTTTCCTTTTCTCTCCAGCTGTTCTATCAATGCCGTGCTGGCAATTGAACACTTTCCTTCCCAAAATTAGGAAAGGCACACCAGTAAAAAACGAATTTTTGCTCCTTAAATATCTCATGCATCTTCCCCCAGTATTTTGTGACTTCTGTTCGAGGAAGGAGGTGTAAGCATTAAATTAACCCGAATGATTCCACAATTGTGACATCATCCAAGCCATGCCAGAGGACTTGAACTAGATAAACTAGTGAGAATGCACAATAGCGATAGCAAAGCTTTGTAATGCTAAAGAGCTATATCAATATATATAAATATATGTTCCCGAAACCTTTGACAGCTTTAAAGAAAGAAAACTTCGTCGTCAATCCTGTTTCAAATTCCGCAATAAGTTTATGCGCCTCATCAACAGAATTTACGTATCCTAAATTATCTGCATGTCTACCATCAATGGTTCGCGACTTAAAATTCTCGCTATGCTGTTTCTATTTGTTCCTCAAGAATCATGGGATTTACAGCTTCTGATGTTCGGCTACATCACTTGCGGATTTCCGAGAATCTTCGGTTATGTTTTGCAAGTCATTAAATATTCCATCTCAGTCCCTCTCGACCGAGGTGGTTTTGGTGGATGGAATCTAATGCTGACCAAACAAAGATGGCGGACGCTCTTACAGTGCTCTGTGAGGATTTTAGATGAAAAAGGAGTTAGTTGTTTCCTTGGAATGGCCTGAATTATCTTGAAAAGTATTGAAATGGAATCAGGTAAATATTATAATCCTATGTGTGAGTTTAAGTTTCGAAGAAGAGGATCAAATGTTGTTTCAAATGAGAAGTTAGTCAACAGTACTGTTTCGAGGTTTTTTGGGTACTAAGCAATTTTGTTGTTGTTAAGCTTTTCGAGGGTGCAGGAGGTTGTTGTTATATGTGGTGGCTGATTTTCCTTTGATTATTTTAAGCCTAGCTACACCTTTAGAATTACGTTTTTCATTTCTTCTCCTGGACTTGAAACCCTGGTATAAAAACCTTAATGTTTTTATTTCAAAATCGTATTCCGGTGCAATGCTGCTTTGCTTATATCTACAGAAAAGAGAGGCGCCAGTCCATCCCCAAGCATACCGCCCATCTCTAGAGAACAAGCTCTACTGGAGACATTTTTTCATGCGCTCAGTCAGTTTGCTTTTGATAAGGCAAAGGATCAAGTGGTAATCTCCTTGGCATTTTTTACGACTTATTAACCCTCAAACTCACCAGATCTGTTTCTAAATCCCCCCCCCAATGGCAACTACACATTTCCATGTAGATTAGTTACAAGAATTTGGTGTTGCATTGTGGTAACAACTTCTACCAGATAAGTTTGGGTATTTTCATTACCCAGAGATGCCAACCTGTTAAGATCTTAAATCTTGAGATTTTTCTCTCATACCACCACAGCATCAACCCAACAACACCTTCCCAGCTGAAAAATTGATGCCCAGCCCTGCTATGAAATCTATCTCCTTCCCTAAAAATGTAGAAAGCTTTTGTTTAGTTTCTGCAAGATTTGATTGCATAAAAAATGCTTTAAGAAATGGCAACATGTGTGAAAAACCAGAATTGTTTTGATTTGGGTAAATTTGGGAATACAATGTTAGCCTACAGTGGAGCAAATACTTTGAAAGATTGTTCATTGCTAATATCTGAGAGATTTGGTAAATTATGTAGGAGAACAGAAGATTTGATCTATATCCAAGAGATTCCCACATCATGTGGGAGAGTTGGCATGTATGATATCCTGTTTGTCAAATAATGCATAGATATTAAAGGGAGACGTTACACATTAACCCTTTCACTCCCATGATCTCTTTAGTAATTCTCTTTACTGTCTGCTATATACTGCTTACAATTTTAATTTGGAGAATTTGTAGTGACTCAAATAATAATCCACTAATTGATATTTTTCTAAATTCTCATTACTTGTTTACTTGAGATTGTATTGATATTTTAAAGAGAAGTTCTGTCTTGGTCATTACAGGGAGTGAAAGAGTTAATCACTTTGGGGAGTGAAAGGGTTCATTACTAGAAAAACTATTAATTCTCCCTCATTTGACAGGGAAAGTAACATTGAAATGTTTAACTTTTTAATTTATTGATTAATTTCACTAGTATTATCAAGGTTCTTACTGAAATGAGATCCTCCTTGGTTTCCCAAAATGGACTTCCTCACTGGATTTAAATATACCTTGTTCTAAATTTAAACTGTGCAACCTCTGAATAGTTTCTTATACAAGCAATGAGACAAAATCAAATACAGCTGTGTCCTTTTGGATAGCCAAGTCTTGAGTCAATTCAGCAGAATTTATAGTTTAAGGTGGGAACCAAAGGCTTTTTTGCTCAGAAGTGATACTGACATTAAATTCCTGGTTATTTTTCTCATGTAGGAGAAAGAGAAGGAAACAAAAAGATTACCGCTGGTATCCAGTACACCATGGTCTTCACTGCTAGTTACCCTGTCACATCTGGCTTCTGCAGAAAAGACATACTTCTCTTTCCCTTTTATTGCCAGAAGGTTGTTCAGGAAAGATGTATGTAAAAAAAAAAGCTGACCAGATTTAATGCCTGACTGACAAATAATTCCTTGCCTTGTTTTTATAATGATCTCCAGTTAGGCTGTCAAAGTATCAGTCACTTCTATCAACCGAACAACAGTCATTTCAGGACTGCTCTCACTAGGACAAGGAGACTATAGAATCTTTTAAACAGAAAGTGACTAACCAGGGTTTTCAAAAAGATTTTGAGTAACCAGACTGTGATAGAAAGTAGCTGTCACCAGAAGTCAAAGGCTCCTCTGCAGATGAGGGTACAGGGAGCCACACGAAAAGCCCACATGTTTTTCAGAGTAGACAATAAAATGCAGTGGTTGCTAGCATATTTTGACAAGCCTGGATTAATAATACTGAATACTTTGTTAGAAACAAGTTATTATTAATATGTATCATTTAAGTTTTAGTCAGCTTATTATAACAATATTGTGATTACACATGCAGGTCAGGTACAGCTAATTAATATGTGCTAACTAATTCTAATCAGGCTAATTATATTAATTAATGTGTACTTATGGGCTAATCATTTATGTTAATTAATTTTTATGTGTAAACTGATTGAGAACATGTAGTTTTGTTTTGCAATATTCAAGTTACATGTAGGCCAGAAATGTAATGCAAAGAAGGTCTTGCACAATATACATGTAGTGTCTCTATTTTTTTACCTAGTTAGTTAAATTGAAATCTGTATATTTTGTTCGCAGTCTGTAAGGGACAGCTTCAAAACCCTGATAGTGGAGTTGAAGAAAATTGAAGAAACAACACACAGTTCCACAGGGTCCCCACTAGAGGGAAGTTTGTTGGCAGAGCTGTGCAGACATTTGTGTCAATTTTCACAGGCAAGACAGGAGTTAATTGACTTGTATCTTTTGGTAAAGTTATACAGACTTGTTCACTCAGCCTAAGTGTCATAGAGAAGGTTGTTTTTTGTTGTTATGTGGTTCTTTGGGGTGATTCTCTCTGTGTAAAAAAATGACCATCCATTTCCCAGGTCAAGACTTTGTACTTTGATGCTCAACTCCTTCCTCTCTTGTTTTACCTTTTAAGTCCCACTAGTGACCAAGACAGAATTTCTCCTTATTCTATCAATACAATGTCAAGCAGACAGTTAACGAGAATAAAAAAAATATTAATTAGGGGATTATTGGTTGATCCAATTACAAATTCTCCAAACTAGCATCACATGAATTGTATGGTAGACAGTAAGGAGAATTACTCATGAGATCTTGGGAGTTAAAGGGTTAAATTAGTTATTCTCCCTTCCAGCTGCCATGCATTCCCTTGAACTTGAGCAACTGCACACCTACCCCTCCCCTAACCCAACATTAACCCTGACTTGTTATCAATTGACTGTAGTTGGGTTAGGGGAGGGGTAGGTGGGCAGCTGCTCAGATAATAACATTGATCCAAAGAAATCAGTGTGATATCATGATTACATCCCCTAACTGTTCAGTTTCTATTTTCTCATCACATATTCTCTTGATATTGAGTAGACAGTGTAAGAAGAAGTTAAAAACAATCATGATGTTGATATCTTGCTACAGCCACATGCAAATGATGTTTTCTTACTTGTCAATTTAATGGAACATTTTAAATTGGTACTATATTCCTTGATTGAAAATGTTAATTACAGTTATGAGGCCATGGCAATGATGGGATCAGCTACAAATGTAAAATATACAGACTTGTCAAATATGATTGATGAGATTTGTCAAAGGTATGTAATTTTTTGAGCTAACAAGTTAACAATTGTTGTACAAAAAGTGTAAGGACTTTTTCTCAGATAGACTCAAAACTTAGGTCTCTCACTTCATCAATGTTGTTAATTCTTATCATTATCTGTTCAGATGTTAAGCTCTCAGGAGAATATTTAATGCATACATACAAACAGGAGTGGAGGCGCATTGGCCTCATGGTTAGTGTGCTCAACTCAGGATTGAGTGGTCTGGGTTCAAGCCCTGGCCAGGGTCATTGTGTTGTGTTCTTAGGCAAGACTCTTTACTCTCACAGTGCTTCTCTTCACACAGGTGTACAAATAGGTACTAGCAAAAATGCTGGGGGTAACCCTGCAATGGACTAGCATCCCATCCAGGGGGGAGTAGCAATACTCCTAGCCGCTTCATGCCAAGGGAAACTGGAGTGCTGGCCCCATTGGCCACTTGGGCCTGTATAGAGGCTTATACAAACAGGGTTAAACATCAATAAGGGCACTCGTGTGTCACGTGGTGCTCATATAAGGTGTGGTTAGAAGAATAGCCCCAATCTCTTTGCAATAATAGCCTGCTCAAAGTTAATCAGTAGATACATGTATGTTTCTTTGTAGACACAATAAGGGCTTTCATCATCCCATTTTGGATTCTCTTAAATCAAGCTTCAGGTATGTGACTCAGATACACATTTTTATCAGTTTATTTGAACTCCAGCTAATGTTTTTCTAAGACTCTAGTTTTGGGTAAATTATGTAGAGTTGCTATGACAAGATGATAAGCATTATTATAAAAATCTAAATCATTGCTATCGAAGGACCAAAAAATTTGCTAAATGTGACAGAACAATTGTCTGCATCCATACATTGGCCATGTGGTGACTGGGTCATCTGTGTCATTTTTGTGATATCACCATTTGCCATTGACATGGCCAGTATGGCTTTTGGATCAGATTTCTTGCCATCCCACACTTACCAGGTGCATAAAATAAAGTTTGTACAGTTTGGCCCACATGGCTGAAACTTATGCTGTCAAGTATTAGATGAGATGACCAAAGTGTCCGAGCTGTTCCTTGGACTTTCAGCTGGCAACTTTCTGAAGAAACTCCCAGAATGTTTATTTACCCTTTAAATCCTAAGATCTGATTGTTAATTCTCCCTTCTAGCTGCTACACAATTTCTTGTACATAAGTAATGAGAATTTGGTGTTAGATCAAGAGAACAACTTCAGCCTGATAAGTTTGTTTATTAATTTTTACCATTAACTCATTACCTTTTTACTAGATATTGTATGGGTATTATAGGGAGAAGTTACATGTTAATCACTTCTGAGATTTTAAGGATTAAATCATGTTTGGTGTTTCACTTTCCTAATTCCTAATTGATCAAGATCAATTGAACAAGATCAAACTTTGACAGCTCACCAAGATTTTGTATTTTTTCACCTAGTTTTGAAGTGGATATTTTGTCCAATTTGTTGAAATCGCAGTGTGACATGGCCGACTGGAGATTCCTTCCATCCCTTCTTCACCTTCATGAAAGTTACGTCAAACTGTCCTCTTGGTGTCAGTTTCTACCACCAGGGGAGGTAAGTGTTAGACATGTTACATCTCTAACCTTTTTGCTCCCAAGATCTGATTGTAAATTCTCCCCTCTAGCTGCTACACATTTCATTGTGAATTAGTGACAAGAATTTGGCATTAGATTAAGGTGACAACTTAAATATGATAAGTTTGAGTATTCTCATAACTTGTTTGGTGGTTAATCTATCGATGTTATAAGGAGAAGTTACATGTAAATCACCTCTGGGAGTTTAAGAGTTAAAGTAGTGAATTTATAGTTAACTAGAAGTTATCCTCCATAGTCATTGAGAAATCAAATTGTGACAATATTGCTGATTACACTCCAAAGATATGGGCACATGCTTGGAGAGTCATTGAACTATTCTGTGTGCAAACAAATATCGTTATCCCAGGGAAAAAATAAACTCTAACTATTCCTTACCCTGCCGGGAGGCCCTCATAATTATCACCAAAGAACGAGCATTTCTTTGCCTGTGAATGAGACAAGTGGAGGAGAGGTCTAAAAGGGGTCTGGCACTAATAATGAGTGCTGTACCAGACCTCTTGCTGGCTCACTTTGGTCAAGGACTCAAACTTTCTCCTGGGAAAAGAAACATTTTGTAATGTAGCTGTTTTGACCAGGGCCTGCTCTTATGCTAACCATTTCTTGACTATAAAACAAATGATTGATTCTCCATCATCCTCCCAGCTATCAACCTCACTCACACGTAAGAAATCACTATTTGGCAGCACCCCAAAGAAACACATTGAGGCACCTTTTCTTTATCAGTGGCTTGGAAAACTGCAGGATGCCTTAGTTTCAAAGGTGACAATGTAAAGTTCATGTACGTGTTCTGTTTTGTAACTCATGTTGGGCAACAAGGATGGAAAATGATGACGATGATGATGATGACCATGACCATGATAATGATGATGATGGTAGTGTTAGTGATGATGTAGACTATTAGCAGTCCTTCCTTTTCGGCAAAGTCCATCATGCAAAAAGTCATCAAAAAAAAAAAGAGAAAGAATGGTGGCTTGCAGGTTGCATAGAATTCATGCTAGCCACCATTTGTTTGTTTGTTTATTTTTTTGCTGATTTATTTTGGGAAAGGAAAAAGGAGGGACTCCTTACAGTCTAGTAATGAAGAAAATTGCATCAGTATACATATTTTCCTTGCTATCTCCCAAGGTAATAACTGGAGAGTTTTATATCAATCCAGAGCCCTTTTAGTTGACCCTAATGTTTTATTCAGTATGAATACTTTAAGGAGAAGTTTGATGCTAGTCACTTTTGGGGTTTTAGGGTTGGTTAAATATGACCAAGAGGTGATGGGCTTTAGATATGAATCACTATAACCCTTAAACTCCCAAGCTCTATTTGTAAATTCTCCCCTCTGGCTGCTGCATTTTTTCCTGTAAGTTAGTTACAAGAATTTAGTGTTAGATCACAATACACTGTAACAACTTCTATGTGATAAGTTTGAGTATTCCCATAACCTGTTTGCTGGATAATGAATGGATAATCACTTCTGGGAATTAAATGGTTACACTACATGATGCAGTAAACTCAGTCTATTTTATACTTCACTCTTCTTTTGACACACATTTGCTCCATTTTTTTCTATTAGTTCACTCTTTATTTCTACTATATACTTGGGAGACAGACCACACCAATGGACATGAAGTCATTAATTTCACGGGCTAGTATTGATTATGTAGGAAGGTATGTGTCACTTTGTGTATCATGGTGGCTAATGTCATTCATTATAATTGTGTTTACTGCTTCAATACCTGCACCAAACTAGTGACAAGATCCTGAAGGAAATCTTTTGTTTATCTAATGAGTGCTTCAACCTTTCACTTCCAAGATCTGAAAGCTTATTCTCCTAACTGGTGACCTTAAAAACCTTGGGTGTCTATTTCTGAGAGTTAAGTGTCCTATCAAGACACTTACCCCTGGTTGATAATTTTCTTGATTCTCAGTAACAATCTAATTGACATTTTGATAAAGCTGTAAGGAGACTTTATATGTTGGTCACTCTAAGGAGAAAAGGGGGAAACCTTTTTGTCCCTAAGAGTGACTGGCATCTAATTTCTCCTTACAATATCACCCCTGGTCACACATTTAAGCCACAAGAGTAAAGGAAAAGATCACCAACTGAAGAAGCTCTTGATTATAAATCAAATTCTCCCTGTCAGCACCTGAGGAAAGATATGGAAAACAGAATGGAGAATATGCATACTGATTTGAAGTGTTTGTGTTTTTCAGGATCATGGCATTCATCCGTCGTTCAGATGCATTTAGTGTCAATATGTTACTGGATACTCATCAGTTGGAGCTGTACCAGGGACATGGATACCACTTTCCCTACGATATTAAGGAGAAGCCCTCTGGCTTGGGAGCTTTTCCTGCCATCTTTTCATTCCCTGGGGTAAGTAACATGTCCCTAGGGGTATGGTCTTTTCTGAATTTGGGAAGCAACTTTCCGATGTAAAATGGATAATCAAATAAACAATGTTATGGTATAATTTAACTGACAGAAAAACACTACAATCCCACAAACTCAACTAGTTTATTAAACAGCAAGTTATGTTCTTAACAAGGAATGACTCCTATAAGCAGTATAATACTTATTGTTAAAAAACTTAATTTAGCCCAATAATAAATATCATTGCTGTCTCCAAAGTTCCTTGAAATGAGCAGTCTTCGGCAGTAACTCTCTCTTGGTATAGCTTTCAAAACTGAGTCGTCCCTCCGACAACAACTACTACTACATAAGGGAGGCTTTATATATATATATATTCACAAAGTATTCTGGAACATCCTCAACTTTGTATGTGAAAAGCTACACACTGTACTGGTTAGCAGGAGTGTTTAAGAACCAAGGCACTTTCGCAAAGAGAAGGGAACATAACCCCCAGTGTTGTAGTCTGGCCTTGTTTTTGTTTATACAGGCCCACACTTATTAACCAGCTTTAGAGCTGAACTGGGTCAGCCTGGCTAAATGACACAAATAGATAATTAACCCTTTAACTCCCATGAGTGACCAAGACAGAATTTCTCCTTACAATATCAATAAATATCAACCAGATTAGTGATGAGAATCAAGAAAAATATCAAGTTGGGATAATTAGTTGATCCAATACTAAATTCTCTGAATTAATATCATCAGAATTGTACAGTTGACAGTAGGGAGAATTACAAATGCGATCTGGGAGTTAAAGGGTTAAATAAACAAAACATTAGTTCAGATTGGGTGTAATTCAATAATCAAAGGATATTTTTAGCAAACTACATTTACACCTGCCCCTTATAAAACTTCCAAGATTACAGGTAATTTACAAAATATGAAAAGAGGTGAAAAAGAGAATTTTAAAAGGGCTAACAAACTTTCTTTTTTTACAGGAGCGGCCTGTAGGGCACTGGCCAAACATCGTGTCTATACTCCTCGATAAAGTTCATGAACTCAATGCCATGGAGAAGATCGTGTACTTCTTTGACAATGTAGGGCTATTGCAAAGAATTTAGTAACATCTCCTTTTCTGCCTTATTTCTCCACAACTTTTTCCTACTCTCACTTGTCTGGTGTTGGTTTAATTTTTAGCGTGTCCAGAGCACATACTTCTTGACTCGAGTGGACCCACGCCTGACTCTTGTTGTTATATTCAACAGTAAAAGATCAGAGAAGGACTCTTATGTTAGCACATTTCTGACTGGTAAGGAAATAAATCATGAGAATTGGTTGAAGCATTTATGCACAGTGAACATTCCTTGCTTGAAAAACAACCACTAAATTGAATTTGGTTGACCCCAAACTTCTCGTAAATACAAACCCATAGCCATTTATTGCCCTCGATTAAACTGTGGTACTGTGCTCGGGGAAGATTTTACAAGACAATTTAGTTGGTAATGTAAATTTGGGACAGTAAGGAGTTTCTAAAGCTGGCATTTCAAGGGTAAGCCCTTCGTCAGAGCAATTTGCTCGTCAATAAGAAACTCTTTACAGTGGCCATTCACATTATCAACTCAGTTGATTATTAAAACCAAATTATGTTGTATTTCTCTCAAAGTTCATTTTCCAGGTATTTTTTTACTGTCAGCTTACTTTGAATCCTTATTTTCTCAATCAATCCTGGCTTCCCTGAGCAAACAATTTGAGTTGAGCTGAATTCTGCTGTAGTTTCCTCACTGAGTGGCACTCCAATCTGCTATGTCTGGCCACTAATTTATTTTTTTACTTCACCACATGGTGAGTTTTTGACCCTTTACACCCTAACATCAGTATGCATATTCTCCATACTGTTCTCTATACATTTCCCAGGGTGCTGACAAGGAGAATTTGTTTAATGATCAAAGTTTATTAGGTTGGAGATCATTTCCTGTATTCTCATGATCCTAATTAATGATTCAGCAGCATTCATGTCAGGAGAAATTAGACGCTGGTCATTCTTAAAGGGATTAAAGAGTTGAGTGTAAAACTCTGTTGAGTAATTAAAGTATGGGTGGCTATTGATAACATTTTTGGTTCTCGCTTGCATTGTAGAAACAGCTGCCCTTCTCAGAAACACAAAAGTCTTTGCTATGCTTAAACAAGGGGGAAAGAATTGAACATAGAGAGATGTTCTTAGTGAAGGTGTATATCTACCACTTCAATAAGAAATGGAGCTCGGAAGTTAAAGGAAAAACAGAAAAGGAGGCTGGATGATTAGTTAATTAAAACATTGTTCTAAAATACCAAAAGGATAGACAATCGATGTAGTAAAGAATATTTATTACCAAGTCGATTGTGAAATTGAAGTGGTGAATAATATTAAATGTAAAGTTTATTTTGTAAATATGAGTCCATTAAATGGTAAAAAAACACTCGTCCCCTACCACTTTTAGACTCATCTTGCCTAAGTTAGCCTCGTTTTTCTTTGCTGACCAACATCTGCCTAAAGCTACCAAGTTTGCTCACATCTACCCCTGGTCAGCCACGTTCATCAACGTCTACCCTTGTTCGTCCCTAAATTTTCCACTTTAACACACATCTATCCAAGTTCACCACGCACAAAAAGGTTAAGTTAGGGGTAATGCAGGTTACGTGGTAGAGTTTGATGGGTAACACCTTGAAGGACTTATTGTTTTTTGTTTTTTTTTCATTTAAATGCCCCACCCAATATTTGATGATTCTTTATTTGATCAACAAATGTTGTAGAATCCAGCAAAGTCTATGTTAGTTTTTGGTGCTGCTGTTTAGGGGTTTTTGTTTTGTAAGCGTCTTTTTACAATGTGAAAATTGTCTTTCTGAGCCTTTCACTCACAAAAGCAGATTCTTTTCCTTAAAACTCCTCCAATAACTATGTACTATGCTGGAGAGATATGACACTTCTGGTTCAAATGCTTCACCAATCAGGCACAGATAGCAGTGAAATGCCTGTGGGATTCTTAGGGGGATGTTGAAGCTTCTAATTGATCAGCGCTTGATGTTGAAGCTTCTAATTGATTAGCGCTTGATGTAGAAAGGTCACTAACTGTCCTATTGTTTAAAGTAAGGTTTTAGGAAAAAAAAATAGGCCTTGCAGACTTTTTACTAAAAGAACAATCAGATGAAGAAGTGTAGAATAATCAGACACTTCAACCTCCTTAGTCAGCTAAAGACTTTATTCTTCATCTTTGGTCAATTTTTCTGCATGTTCACATCTACAAGGTAGTGTTTACTATTCATACAAGTACAAATTAGTTTCCTCATAAAGCTCTTGCCAAACAGTCTGCCTGGTAGTTGAAAAATGATCCCAAACATGGTTGTATTCAGAAAACTGTGCGCATCCAAATATTTTTGTTAATGTTGGTAGAATGGAAGATTTATGACGAATTTTTTTAAACTCAAGTTTTTATGATACTTTGACATTTTAACTGGAATATTCAAAATGGTTGCTCCAATTATTTTACTCAAAGAGGACAAATTGTCAAAATTTGTATCAAATGACTGTTAATGTGCTCCCTCTAATAATATCACCAAGGAACTATCCTTTTGCAATACTATATGCAATGCCTATGAATTCAAGGGTTTCATTGGCACAATTTAGCCAGGTTAATTTATTAGCTTAAGAAAGTCATTCCAGGCAATTTTATTGTGTGTTTAGCTAAAACACGCAATTTATTTGAAATTACAATTATTTTTTCATGTTTTTAAGTTTTAAAGGGGCATAAACATTCCAAAGCCTGTCTGAACAGTTTTGTTACTTTTTTTGCACTGAATTAGCATTTTCTGTAGTTCCTCTCACCTGCTTTATGCTATACCTGAAAACTGCATTTGTCCTGGTCAGTTAGAACAAACAATATATTGTCCTGTTTAACAGATATCTCAGCTTAGAATGTGTCATTTAAAGACAATAGTGTATATTAGTGTTTATCAAATATTTCAGATTAGTAATGGAATATTGTAAATATTTAGAAAACAATTTGTTTACTTTTATTTTAAGATAAGATCTTAAACTAAAAGTAAGTTACAAGATAAGTACAAGCTATCCAACAAATGAAGGAATGGAATGCTTTATTCCTATATGGTGTTGATCAGAAAGCATTAGTTTAAATATCTTACAATGCTTTAGTGTTTGCAATTTAGACGAGAAGACTATAATTAGAAGTCATATTGTAAAGGGTTCTGCTTTGAATTTAGTATGTCATTTAGAATAACAAATTTTTTTTATTAGGAAAATTATATTAGAAAGCTGTAGATGAGAAGTGCTGGTTTTTTTTTGTTTTTTTTTACATCGTATATCAGATTTGTCTGATTTAATACTGATTTGGAATGCTGTTTTAAAAAATCTGGGAGTATAATTTTTTTATTTGCTTATGTTGATCAGAAAGGCTAATGTGAAAAATCTTAGATTATAATGCTGTATTTAGTGATTTTGATTAGAAATGCTGTTTTAAAAAAATCCGGATTGGATTGCTGTATTTTGTCATGTGAACTATGAATGCAGTTTTAAAAAAAATATATTAGATCAGAATTCTTCATATCATGATGCTGAATAGAAATACTTGTTAGTAAAATGTAATTCTAGAGTCCTTTATAAATGACGTAAATTCTGTTAGAGAAAAGTCTCAGAGTACATTAAGTACATTACTTAAGTTGATTAGAAATGCTGTTTTAAAAGATCCAAGGTTAAAATTCTGTATTTTGACATTGCATAAAAATGCTATTAAAAAAATGCTTTTAAAAATTTTTTAAAAAATGGTACATTAGAATGCTTTATTTAATGATATTGATTGGAAGTGCTTTTTGAACAAAATGCTACAGAGTGCAGAAATGATGACATCAATAACAAATGCTGTTGATTAAATCTCAGTTTAGAATGTTGTAGTTAATGATGTTTATTGGAAGTGCTATAGTACTTGTAGATTATTATCCAACTGCACAAAGTAGAGTACAAATAATCCACAAAAGAGTAAAAATATTGTGCAAGATTGTACAGTTATTTGGACAGTTGGTCATTTTGTATTATCTATCTGCTCTGCTTTTCAATTTGGAGATAAGTAGTTGATCCAATACTAAATTCTCTGAACTAACATTGTAAAATTTGTATGGTTGACAGTAAGGAGAATTACAAACTTGGTCTGGGAGTTGAAGGGTCAAAGGGTTATATATTATGCTGTAGTTAATGATGCCAATTAAGAATTTGTTTAAAAAATGCCTGATTAGAGTGTTGTATTCACTGTTGTTGATTCAAAGCACTCTTTGAAATAATTGTAGATTAGAATGCTGTATTTTTAAAGATTTCCATTGAATTGCAATATTAAAAAATCATTTAATGGAATGCCATTTTTTTCAGTGGTTATCTGGTTTGTTAGGGTCAACTTAGGGGATATTGTTAAAAGGACTTGACACCCACACATTTGGCAGATTTTCATGAATCTAATAATGGAATCTGTGCAGTTACAGAATCTTCAACTTTGCTTAAAGGGGTAAGAGAGAACTTTTGCAGACTTTGGGAATGCAGGAGGGTAGATTTAAATTTCACAATTGTTTTTGGTTTTCCTCTATCATTGTATTATCTATAAATTTCCAGAATGGTACATAGCGATTTTACTCTTTGTCAGGGGTATCATCTGCTCATGGGTGACAATTTGTTGACTGGTAGGGGTTTGGGACCTGAGGGGATCCTTTTCATACAAAACCTAGTGAAGCCCACTCTCCCCTCCCCAAACTAGAATGTTTTGAAGATTCCAGAGGTTGGTGTAAAATAGATAGAAGTTTCAAAATTTGAAATAACAAGTTAAACACAATAGACACAAAGCAATTAATTAAGGTGTACTTTATTTTTCGCCATGTAATATTGGATGATTAATTTGAATTCAAGACCAGTGCCAACTAGCATTATTTAACTCTTTCACCCCCGAGATCTCAATTGTTATTCTCCTTACTGTCTGCCAAACAATTTTTATGATGTCAATTAGGAGAATTTGTGAATGGATCAACTAAGGAACTAATTAAGGAACTAATTATCCCATAATTCATATTTTTCTTTATTCTCGTGACTCGTCTGCTTGACATTGTGTTGGTGTTGTTAGGAGAAATTCTGTCTTGATCATTCATGGGAACTCAAGTGTTAACAAGAGGTATATTGAAGGAATATTGATTCTTTTCTTATTTTCCATGCATACATAACTTGGGTTTCCTGTGACCTAGAATGGTCTACCAAAGCTTTCCAAGATACAGCTAATATTTTGTAACGTCACCATATCTATTACGTAAGGGGAATATTAGCTGAGGTAAGTTTACCTAGCGTTCAAAGTTCTTTTTCTCGTCTACTTCCTTTTTATGCTTGCAGTTACTCAGCATTTGCTATTGTTATTCCTTTATAACAAGAAAACTGCTTCTTACAGTTATTTTTCAACTTGAGAATTTGATTAAAATGTCCGAATTGTAACTTCCATCCCTTCTGTGACGTTAAATGAGTAGTCACGCAACACGTGTCACGAGCGTTAAGTAACACGCCAAGAACAGTTACCGTTGAGAAACGATGAGCAATTTCTCCTGAAAAAAATTGGAGAAGACGTGGAAAAACCATTCTGGCCCTTCTTAAACCTACGTTAAACTTTCATCATGAAAAACAGTTCAAAAACATTATTTTATTTTTAAAACACACACGCTGAAATCAGTTTATCTAAAAAACTTAATCCACAATAGCTTATTTTCCACGTATTTGCGCTTTAAATCTAGGTTTCACGTCTTTCAGACGTTCTGACTATAGTAAGCAAAATAATTAATGACAAATATCATGGTACTAAACATAAAAAAGACTTATGCTTGCCAGCTATATTGCGAAAATGATTGCGAATGATTTCAGATTGATTATATATATAAATTTAAAAATCATGTGATAAAATATTTTGTTTAACACGGCCCAGCCTTCATAAATTTAACATAACCCAGAGCGTAGAAAGGACGCAGATGGGCGAAAAAGAAGACCTCCCCAAGCCCCTCTCATTTAAGTTTCCTTAGCTCGTTCGGAGTTTGCATGCCCAAGGCCCTACCAACTGGGAGCGTTAGCCACGCCCAAGCTACGTAAGCCTATTTAGCACTTTTAAAAGCGTCACATGAAGACTATTTTTGATAAATATTTTTCAAGGAAAATTTCTAAACATTCGAAAGCATAAAACTCATTTCGGCGGCACATAACTTGAACCATCATGAAATTCTTCGAACATCTTTTAAATGTTTTACATCATTTCTACCTTATTGAAGCTAAATACACACTGATAAACAATCAATACTCTTTACCTTCGTAACGTACTACTGAAAATATTTCATCCGATCAACTCTTTTCAAAAAGGTTTTCCAAGAAAATCTTTTTCCTTTTTTTCTCGTTCGATGTGAAGTTTTCCTTTTCCAAGCTGGCGTGATTGAAAGACCTGTCATCATTCATCGGCTGGGGGGAGAGGAAGGGCAAAGGAGTTTGGGGGATCACATGGTTTCCAGGAGGATCAGAGGGGGAGGGGGAGGAGGACTCTAAGGAATATCACACGCCCTATGTAAATTCCATCGTGACACAGACGACATCCTCTGACCTTCCCTCCCCTCCCCCACCAGTCCCGATGGTAGATCTCTTCCCTCTCTCTCTCCGTTTCTAAATTTCCTATAGGTCTTTCTTTCCGATGCACAGCCCTTTTTCTGTTATTGAGAATTTTTTTCGTTGCGTTTTGCCCACTAATACCCAAAACCCCGCTCAAAGCTAAAACGGTCTGTCCTCACTAAAGGCGTGCTGCCTTGATAACACACCAAATTCTCCCCACGTGCGCTCCGATACGTTGCATGAGACAGGCAAAGAGAATTTTCATTTTCACATTAACCCTTTAACTCCCAAGATCTCTTAAGTAATTCTCTTTACTATCTGCCATATAATTGTTATGATGTCAATTTGGAGAATTTGGTATTGGATCAACTAGTAATTCCCGAATTGATATTTTTCTTTATTCTCATCAGTTTTATGCTTGATATTGTATTGATAATGTAAGGAGAAATTCTCTCCTGGTCACTCATGGGAGGTAAAGGGTTAAGGATGTCGTAAGTTAACTAAGTGCTAGTCTTGCTCTCACACTCACCCGTATCTACATATTTAACAATTTTATACGACTACCATTCTTGATTTTTTTTCCTTTACCTCCCTAAAATCAGTACTAATCTGCCAAATCTTTTCGCATTTCTTTCAATGATTTATAATAATGGCGCGTGTTGTCGTCAGTTATGTAACTTTGACGTCTCTAGCTGTGATTGGCTGTGATGAGTGATTGACAGTTGATTACATCAACGGAAGGAAGGCCAACAAGAACGCCAGTAGTCCTGCTCGGATCTCAAGTGTAACTTGCGTGGACTGGGAACGTGTCTTACCTTAATGCAGAGAAAACGAATATATTAGAGCAAAATATTACAGTTACAGATAAAGAGAATTTATCATATTTTCATATATGGACGATAACTAAAAAGGAAGTGATAAAGAAGGCTTTAAAGATTCAGGCTTGGACGGGAATCAAGCTCGTGCCCCTTTGATACCACCTCTCAGTCTTAACGCATACCTTCACCCGGTGGTTGAACTTCAAGTCTGTCTGTAAGGATCTTTAACGGACCCAAAGAAGTAACTCCCTTGCGCTGGTCTTGATTCGATGCATCCCGCCGCCTTCTGCTGTTGCCAAGGTCTTTTGTGCAACCTTCGGTGCAACGCGTTTGGTTCCCGGAGTTTTCAGCGCAGACGAGTACCTCACAGTGAAGATACACTACTTCTGACCCCTCTATTTTAAACGCTGAAAAACTGAACCGCTGATAAACTGAATCCGATACTTTGTAGTTTAAGTATTCCGTCTTAGGACATCTGAGAAAAAAAGTAAAAAGGGTTAGGTCTGTTTGAGCTACAGGGCCTCACGCCCGCTTAATGGCAGGGAGCTCTTTGTTACAGAGTTTTTTGTTGGAGAGGGTTGCAAAGCAACGAAAGACGTTCTAAAGGCTTTTTTTCACATTTTTTTTACATTCTACCATAGGAACATGAAAAAAAGTAATCCTTACCCCTCCTCTATCAACCAGTAGACCCCTGAGTCGTTAGCATTCGGTGTTGGTGTTGATGTTGGTGTTGGCGTTGCCCAGCAGTTTTCGAGAAGCATCGACAAGCCTGACGCATTGGATTTCACTCTCACTTGCAGATAAACACTTTCACTGACATGAACTTTCACCGGAAATTGAGTATATTGGCTAATGTACTTGTCCGTTTGGAACATGTTGGTTTCAAATGTGAAGTTCCCAAATTCTACCCAATGAGAAAGCAAGGAGAGAAAAAAAAAAGGAGAAGTAATACGTTATTGAAGTTTAAAATACTTCAAATTTTACCAACGACCTTTTGTAATTCTCGCCACTTAGGGGCAAGTAGCGGCGAGAACGAGGTTGTAATTTATAATGCACGGTGTCTAGAACGACACAACTTTCGGATCGATGTCTCTGATCTGAGCAGCTGCCCACCTACCCCTCTCCTAACCCCAAAACAGTCAACTGATAACAAGGTAGGGTTAATGTTGGGTTAGGGGAGGGGTAGGTCCGCAGTTCCTCAAATACTAACTTTGATCTTAACTAAAGGTGATAAAGAGACATCATTTTGAATCCTAAATGTACTGACACTATACAGTAGAACCCCTACAATTTGAACACTCACTTTCTCGTAATTCGTGATAGTGGCCTCCCTTTCCCAAACAAAATATTCAATTTTGCTCTGACCTTTCAAACCTCCTGATACAATAGAATCCCAAACTTTCCTCAATTTGCGACTACAACATTATATTTACTCTCCCCCGCCCCCATCAGGAGCTTCGAAAATTCACAATTTTCCCCTGCAGTCAAATTTAACATTTCGTTGTAACCTAAGTTGTACCAGACATTTAGCTTCAATCCCTGAGGATCTAGCGACGTTTTCAAGATAGAAGGGAGAAAACTTCGACAAACTCGCCTTTTAGGAAATTTTATGCATTGTTTTCTGAGCATTATAACCCTTTCAATCCCAAGATCTCTTTAGTGATTCTCCTCACTGTCTGCCATAGTTATTATGATGTTACTTTGGAGAATTTGGTATGGGATCAACAAATAATCCCCTAATCGATATTTTTCTGGATTCATCACTTGTCCGCTTAACATTGTATCTATATTGTAAGGAGAAATTTTGCTTTGGTCGCTCATGGGAGTTTAGGGGTTAACGAGGTCTTACCTGTTGGTGGTTCAACAATGACTTTTGTGTCAGGTTTGAAGGAATGCAGCATTATTTTCGCAGTTGTGTAGTATAAACAATGCAGGCGAAACTGATATGCAGGTTCTCGTGCGATGGGAGATCTACCAATGAGATCCGCGTATACTTCATTACGAAATCCCAGTAAGTTTCTCTCCGGACCGGCCTTTGTGCCACATCCACCCAGCGGTGCTCTTATGACCATAATGGAGCTGTTATAAAAATAAGGACCACAACTGGGGTCTGTGAGGCGGAGAGTGGCTGGATCGATCCTTGCATAGTGCTTTCGCGTGAGAGTCAATTCCATGTAATCTGGTTTACAACGCACGCGCAAGCCTTGATAACCGTTGCCTGAGAGAGAAAGCGTTTTACGTCAATATATTTTATGCTATACAACACAAATGGGGAGAAAAACTTTATTTTAACAGATGAAATAATAGGGGATTGGAACTAAGAGAAAATCTTGTCTTTGGCTTCCCCTCAGACTTCTCGTCAAGAGAACCTACTTTTAAATTCAGTCAACCAGCAGTTCCTCTCGCGAGAGGGCGCGAATAGTCTGCGAGGCGGGGTAAATACAGCGGTCAAATGTCTATGCATGAGCCAAAGTTGTAATGACTTGGTCACACAGTGGTCACATGAGTCAAATGAGTGCGTAGCATCTGTTATCGCCTTCTAGCGCTTCTTGTCATCGCCCCCACAGTAAGCAAACCCCTGGAGAAAAACCCTAGACAATTGTTGTCTCGGCGAAAAACCGGCGTCAGCTTATGTTTTGCAGAAGAAGACTCGCAGCCTTCAACGCTCAAATGGCTCCAGTGGCGGAGCATGCGCAATCATTTTGCCGCTGTGTCTCGTTAGGTAGGATGCTTTCAGGCTGTCAGAACCAAGTTGTTTCTTACAAGTTACAAACAACCCCACAAGCTAATAAGTCTCGGTGTTTTTTAGAGCGCATAACTTTTTGATAAAGCTCAAAACGGAATGGTAAATACAGGAGGATACCCGTACTTGAATAAGTCTTGAGTTTTCCATGTTGTCACCATTATCTATGAACGTTACAACTTTCTTTTGCTCATTTTACGAGACAACGGTCGTTTCTTATGTTTTCCTTTGAAATTTTGTGCGGGAAATTGGAGCGCGGGTGGCCAGAATTGATCTCCTCGCAGCCCCACGCGTGCGAGGAGTCAAACGAGCAAAGCTATGCGCGTGTGTCTCCGCTATACGTGGGCCTCGATTTTATGCACTCAACCCATTTTCCAGGCCAGGGTCCAGTCACATTTTCAACACTTTTTAACTTCACCTATATTGGTCAACAAGTGCCTTTCGAGAAATTTGGGAAATAAATTCACAGCCTGAAGCGTCAAGCTCACACGATAACGTCATTCAACCGTCTACTATTAATTAAAAACACAATTACAGTTAAGTCAATGATGTGGTTTCACGATGTAAACAATTCAGTGTGTTTTGACATGATTTCGTTTCCATTCTTTTAGATTGGTTCCAATTTTATGAATCGTTCGTAGGCAGTTTGACGAGCAAGTAAATAAAGAGTCTTAGCTCGTCTTCAGAACTCTGAGAGGCTAGATTTACAAAGTAAATAACGTCAATTAAAATAAATGATTGATTGATTATAAATTGAGTTTATTTGTACTGTACTCCAAGGCACGACTTTCTCAAAAGTTCCATGGGAGACAACCAAATTGGAAGTTCACAGACATGACATCCACAGCATGAAAAACAAATCTACCAGTTGTAGGCCATTGTACTGTGAATAGATTACAACTGACTTCACAGCAAACTTTAAACTCTTTCTAGCATCGATGCTACACCAAATTACCGGAATAACACTCGCCATAGTTAATCTAGTGTTATTCAGCAGAGCATAAACTTTAGACAGCAATCCTTAAAAGTTACGCTTTCTCTCGAGCAGAAACTTCATGTTTCCGTCTGAACGAAAAATCTAGTCGACATTGCAACCAGCTGCTAGACTGAACTGAGAAAATATGCCTAAAATGTGTCACCTCCAATAGCTATTTGTTCGTTAGAAAGCTTAAAGATCGCCTACAATACCATCTTTGTGTCGTCTCGTCTTACTAATCTGACACACCCGCACAGGGATTGTTAGCGATTTTTTTAAGTTTTACGAAGCATTTCAAATGTTTCTCCTACATGAAGCCATGCCATCGTAAATAACTCCCCAAACAATTCACCTCTAACACTTTGCACCATTTCTAAAATTTCGTGAAGAACTGGCTGGAATTTACTCAAGAGCGTTAGCCCTTCGTCAAATCGATGACGAAGCTCGAAACGTCAGCCTTTAAACTCTTTACGATGACCAATTTATGTTTTCAATCCAGTTAACAGCACTAAATTACCCTGTTATACTCTCCCACCGACGCAGCACCACAGTTTCTTTACCCCCTATATTCTAGAAAACTTTTTGAGCGGAAAGAGTACTGTCGAAGCGAAAATTTAAGGATTGAAATTATACGACATCGGGTGTGAAAGCGGCCGCAGCAGTTTCTAGACAAAAATTTGTAAGTATAATTTTATATTTACATCAAGAAACACACAACAACATGACCAGAGCCAACATTTTCTCAATTAGCGGGTTTATAAAAAATAAATACTAGACCGGCCGGTCGTACTAATATTGAAAAAAGCGACAATGACCTACTTGAGGCGCTCGAATTTAAACCGCGAATATGGTGTATTTTTTGATCTTGTTCATATGTATGGGTTATTACTAATGCACAAGAGAACCATTTTGAACATATTAATGGATTAATTTTCCATGCATGACAGAATATGCTGGACTGCTCGAAAACTAGACGCTAAGAGCTTCATTTTGCATGGAAGCAGTATCTAGATTTTTTTGTCGTTAAATGATTATTGGAGAATAAACGAAATAAAACAATCATTTAGTATAAAAGGAGTAATTAGTATTTTTACCTCACAACGTCGAAATATTTAAGCAATGGAGACATTTTACAATGCAAACTTTTCAGTTTGATTTTCACCATCGAACTTCTCAAATTACGATCTTTGTAGAATGAAAGAAATAAAACATATTCATTAGGTATTTAAGAAGAACTTGTCATCCGAGTTTCACGATGTCAAAATATTTCGGCAATGGAAGCCATGCACAATGCAAACTTTTTAAGATTATTTTTCGGCAATCCCTGACAACGCACTCGCTAAGTTGAGAGAATGTTATAAAAATAAGTGCCAGCCATAGTTCTTGTCATAAACGTCTTGGGTTTATCAAAAAGATCCCATGGCCAATCTGTCAACGATTCAGTTTTATCATCACTCAGTATCTTTCACCGACAGCTTATTGGATATTAATCTTTCATTAAAATTCGTCGTTGCATAAAACGCTTTCTCTGTTAAAAACAATTCAAGCTTGAAGAAGTCAATGACAGTTCTAAATGATTTCTAAGAAGTAGAACGCTTAAAGACTGTTATACGCCACGAAACGATGTATGTTGTATTTGAGGTTCGTTCACAAAGGTGTCAAAACAGACACCAAGACATAAACGTTCGTTCGTTCTCGAATTGCACAACAGCGCTTGCCGGACAATACATTTGATATTTACCTGTAAAGAGAAGTTTTCTCATCTGCACTACATTCTGGGGTGAAAGCGTAATGGCAAAGCGTACTTATGTATAATGAAGACAAAAAGATATTTTTTTTTTAAGTTCAACAAATACACGAAGTAAACAGTGTTTTTATGATGTTGAGAATCAAATACAGTCAACTCAGTCGAACGAAATTGCGACTGATGTTATAAGTAGAGTTCTCAAGAGATGCCCCCAACAGAAAGTGGTTCTTAATGCATAGATTTAGAGCGAGATGCGAAGAAACCGAAGCATAAAAACCGAGGTAGCCGCTAAACACGTGCAACAAGATAATTTGAAAAGTGTTTGTGATCAAACAAGAGCTTTGCTATCGAATCGTACAGTGCTCACCACAGGAGAAACTGAACACAAACCAAATAAATCATAAGATCAGCTCATGTGAGGTCCACTCAAATGCTAATTCAAAATTTTCTTTCTCAATATGAATGCGTATTATTTGAAGCAAGAGCGCAGATGGAGCAACTTTGAGTGCGTGAATTTCACGCCAGGGTTGTTTATATTAATCTTACTCATTACAATCTTTACTTACTTGCATGAACTGTCACAACGGTCAAAAGAGCCAAGAAAATCTGGGCGAAGCATTTCCTGAGGATAATTGTGGTGTCGGGAACCATTTCCATAAACCAGTGACAATAATTCCAAGTTGCTTGGGGCAAATTCACAATGGTCAACAAAAACCTTCTCTCTCTACGAAAGCGGCGCCAACTCCTGTAAGGCCTGTTTAGTAAAGCCTTTGAAAAAACACTGTCTGGCTGCGAAAATCTGAAACTGTATCCTCAGACACTGCAACGCGATATTTCTACCACATATAGCGACAAATCCAATCAGCTGGAGCGCTTGAGAAGCGTGTCTTTAAATTTTTTTAGTCAACACGAGTCGGAGTCATTTCGGAAAAACCCGCTGACCCATTGGCTTTGTCACGCGGTTTCGTGACTAGAACTTTCCTATTGAGTTAGATCACGGATAAATTTATGTAGATTTTTTGATAACCTTATTAGACGTGGCATTTCAGCCGTAACTTTGATAATTTTGATATGCATAAACATTGAAGAAAATTCCAGATGTGAAAAGTTTTTAAACATTGATATCAACTTCTATTTCAAATTATTGAGAAAAAAAAACAAACAAAAACAATTGAATTACTCTCCTACGGTGAATTTTCAACAATGGACGCGACGGAAAAATCGCTGAAACAAAAGAGCAAGTACCAGAAAAACATGGAAGCCTATCAGTCACAGCAGGTTGTCCACCCAATTATTGTTTCTTAAGTACAAAATTGATTGACATACTGATCTCACCCGATAAAGATGTTAATTATAATCCAATTTGTATAAATTTACCAAATAGATTTGTTTGTGATGTCTGAGTCGCCATGAAGGTTATCAGGGGTTATCAGGTGTTGTAAAGGCCGGAGCTAGCGAGCAAGAACGAATATTTATCAGTTTTTAAGGAAGAACGTGAAAATTTGGCAAAATATCAGAACTGGTGTCTTGACTTAGACTCGAAAAGTCATAAGAAAAAACGCGATGACATTGACTTCTTTTGCAGATACGTGATGCTGATATTAGAAAGATAAAGTTTGAAGTAGATGAAAAGCTTATGTGAACAAGTTGCACATTAGTTTGAAGAGTACGTTCTGCTTAATCGAGCAGGTAATATTTAGTTCAGTTGGAATACCCGAGGCTGAAAACGCACAAGACGTTGATTTATAGCGTATGATTACGGTTAATAGCTTTCGGTGGGATGCGAAAGAACGAAAACATCGAGAATTCACGCAAAAAGTAACCAATTAAAACAGGTTCAAAAAGAGAAGGGAAGTCATATGTCCCAGGTGATCAAACACTTGCACCTTTTCATAAGTGTCAAATTCTCGCTAACTACTTTTCTGTCGCGTGATCACGTGTCTACTCGTCATCCTTAAACAATCTGACTCTATAAATGACTTCCGTTGCTAAATGTGTCATTATGATTCCATCCAAAATCGAAATATCGATCAGTCTGTGCCATTCTTTCAGAAAGTCACGAAATACCTCTATTAAGCCACACTTTCGAAAACGACCGGCACAAGAGTGGGGCTTTAAATAGTGATCAATACTCTCCATAGAGTGCTTGAAGCTGCATGTGTAAGAGGCCCTTGATAAAAGATGGAAATGTTGTGATAATGCTCAAGGGTCAAATCTCTTTCATCAAGAGTGCTTCACACTGCATTAGCTTTTATGAGAAGCTTCACAGGCCAACTACTTAAACTTCGAGCAATGTGCTCTCACATGAGATTGGGCGGGCTTACATGAAAATAATATCAGAGAACTTCCTCTGACTTGAAAAGCGTCTTTTCAGTAGTCCATAAAAGAAACCGATTTGAAGGGGACAGTAAAACAAAAATATTCCATGTTGCCGTGCTTCTGTTCAATAATAAATGTGTTATGAACAAAGAAGTGGCACGGAGGAGCAGCCGAATGTCCGCGCGAAGAGCAGCCGAATGTCCGCGCGAGGTGCAACCGAATGCCAACATGAGGTGCAGTTGAATGTCACTGATGTTAGTTCTCACCACATCCAGTGGCGTTTTTTATGTTCTATTACTGAAATGATGCACGGCAACATAGTATCTATTTGTTTTAAACAGTAAAGAAGAAAAAAAAAGTATAAATTTTTACGTTCAGTATATGCGTCTGACCTCTAATAGATCATAAAGAAGACCCTGAAGATAGATTTGGCTTTTCATTTTTTATTCAGTTGTTTGCTTTGAATCTTGGTCTTCGTTGGTTTCACCACTCGATGACTTTTAGTTAAATCATACTCCTTTCTTTTTTTATTTAATTTTTTTACCTAGAAGCGTATTGCTTTGGTTCTCTGAGCTGGTTTTCTTCAAACTGAAGTATATGAAATCTGAAATAGGACGCTGTCCTCCGAGAGGATTGGGCCGAATTGCTAAGTTACCCGCGAACCGCCGTCCTAGTTCGTTTCGGCAGACTTCTTTCCCATTAAATCTAGAGCTCGAAAACTCTTAGTATTGTATAAATTTACCTCATTTTTCTAATATTTTTACTTGTGTTTCTGATAAACTATCATCAGATATGAGCTAGTTTTAAATCCGATCAATTCCTTAGTGACCAAGCTTTTCAAGGAAAAGATGTAAGTGAAATTTTTCCTGGTTTTTCTTTCTTCTGTACATGACACCTTCCTTTTAAAGAAGATTTGAAACTTCAAGCCTCGGTCGTAAGTTGCCTCACCCCATAAATTTACTAATTCATACGTTGTTTTGTGATAGTACAGCGTTGTCACGATATGGAACATGCGCAATGACGGTGGATATGTCTCTCCTTTTCCTCTATTTATTTTCCGCTTTTTTTTTCTATTTATAAACACTTTTTCCTTAATGAACATGAGAACCTAATGGCTGTCGTGGTTCACGGCCTAAAGGGGGTAATTATTTTTTGCACAACACAAAATAATCCTTTAGTTGTTTAGAGTCAGCGTGGTTCTGTAGACGAAACGGTACGCAAAGTGTGACAGAGACAATAAGTGTCGCTAAAACCCACCCCCCACGGGGAAGAAGACACAAAACAACGAGCCTGTGTCTTGAATGTATAACGCTCCCAAAGATAAAACAACCAGGGTTCCTGCGTTATTTTTTATCTGATTACAAGTCTGAACGAAGCCAATTTTAGTCTACCTATGCATAACCTGTCTGCTTTTCCTTTGTCTTAAGATTGTACGGTTTAGACAAGTGTATTTCAAAGATTTGGGTGTGAAGCGAAATCCTCTAGCAGACCAAGACGTGGCTAATTTAATCATAGGCTAGACTGTTTTGACTGAAAATTAACTCCTCTTAAAGAGAGCTTGGCCTCGTGAATGAAAATTTTTCGGGAAGATTTAAGCTCCTTTAAGAGCTCTATAATCTGTTTTTCCGTTAACGGGTTTGAATTCCAGGATTCTCTAGACAACTGTGTCACAAATGAACGATATGATAGACATATCATTAAAATGATTCACCGTAAATGTTTGCATTGAACTCAAAAATTTAATAAATTTTGTCTGGCTGACTGCTCTTTCTTTCATTTTCTTAGCTTCATAAGTTAATTGACTTTAAGAACAATTAAACGCGCGACGCATTTGCTTCTAACTCCTCAATGACATATTTTCGTTGTGACTTTTGGTCTATAAATATCATTTTCAACCTAACTGACTTCCTATTTCCTCTTTGTACGTGAGATTCTATGCAGGAGACAAATCAAGATCCTAATTCGGGTAGATTTTGAAAGAAAGTCTAGTCGAAATTAATTTCACTGTCAATTTCTGTGAAGCTCGCTGAAACCATGGCCTGCGTAATTTATACCGAATGTCCGGTACACAGAAGTAAATTAACAAAACCTCGTGGTTTACTTCTGTTTAAACAAAAAGCTTAATCTAGGACATTGTACTTTGGCGCTTTAAAAACAGGATATTCATTATTTGCAAAGTCGAGATAACATTGTGATTGATTCAGTGGTTCATGAATTAAAGAGCTCTTAGCGACGGTTTGAGGCGTTATTCATCTAATCTGCGGAAAGTGTTTGGTTGTCAGGGGTACCATGTGGCAAGTTACTAATAGTGGGTTTTATGTTCTGATATAGTATCGGCGTGGAGCGGTAGTAAAAGCATTCAGGTCAAATCATATTATAGCTCGGTTTATCCTTTAGTCTATGAAGTTCCGTTGGGGCCGTCAACAGAGCACGCTGAGGAAAATTAGCGCCTGATTAAAGCTCCGTTCATTAGAGCATTTTTTACTGATGGTTCAAGTAAATCCAGCTACAATTGACAAAACCATGAGAGTACCAACACAGTTAAGTTCTCAGTTGACTGCAACTGGCGAATCACATATGTGCTGTGCCTCTATAGAAGGCCTAATTGCGGTCCTAAAGAAAATCGGCTTTGTACTGGACAAAGAAGGATAACACATCATGGACGATTAGATCTTTGTTGCTCAATAAATGTCTTTTTAGAAAGAGAAAAAAGTTGAAAAAAAACCAACGAGATCGATATTCTCGAAGTACGCTGACCAAGTGACTTTAATCGGTTTTTCATGCTGCGAGTCTAATTTCTAAAATTAACAAATTGAATTGCTTTATAGGTGGTAAATGTTGAGACGATAACCTTTTACAAGCTTTATTTCAAAATATTCTCTTTCAGTTCACATATGTAGTTTTTACTAAAAACGTAACGGCAAAAAAAACATGAAATTTATTTTAACCGATATGTATTTGTTTGATGGCGTGGATTTACTCTTTTCAACCAATGTTGTAAGCCAGTTTATTGCAATTAAGCTTTCATCCACTAGTAATCTAAAACTTTTATTGCCTCGGGCAGTATAATAATCCGCTGTAATTTCTATTCGTTTAGTTTCTCGCTCTGTTTAAAACTCAACAAGCGCTGCTCTCTCACGGGAAATTTCGATGGAAATCAAGTGCTGCCGCGCTTACGAAACCTCGAGGGAAATCAAGTGCTGCCGCGCTTACGAAATCTCGGGGAAAGCTGTAGTTTTAATCAAGTGCCGCTAAATACTGTTTTAAGACATAAGAGCCTTGTTGAGTTGCAGAGTGCTGTAACGCCCTGTGAGGACTTTGGGAATAGCAAAGCTTTATTTGTTTTCATGCAGATACCAGCTAATCATGTGAAAACACTTGCACAATAAGTTTCTGAAAGAAGAAGACACAAGTATGTTACTGCCTTCAATTCTCACAGCAAGTGTGTTCTTGTAACTTGTAACTATTCAAATTGTAGTTCTTTGAGTTAGTTTATTGTATCGTTTCCCTTAGAGATTATGTGTAATATAAATTATGTGTAATAAAATTTGTCATCTGATTGTCAGAGTGCGAATGTCACTGTGATTTATTCACGACATACACAAAGCACTGGACTTCAAAATTGAATAAACTATGCGTGGTACGCGGTTGAATACTCTACAGGATGTAGCGATCTCGATTGTTAAGAAATACTGTAAAATTTATATCAGTTCTTTGAAGTTCTTGATTATATAGTGCCGTCTGAGCAAGAAGAACATCTTGAATCATCCGTTTCTGCCCACTCTCAAGAGCATTTATTTTATGCAAATGATTGTTGGGACCGCCTAGTACAAACGCTCCAGAACAAAACGGATGGTGATAACTAAGGCGTGAAAGACAAACACTATTGGTTCTTGTTTGTGAATAATAATGAAATAGCGGCCCCATAAAGAATACCATCCTTGATCCCAGTGAGCTGATACTTAGACGTCTGCAATAGCTGGTGTGAGCGCAGCTCGTCTTTGATTCTCCAAATTCGTCTTTCGGTCAAACTTCTTGGTGAGGGATTCGCCGATTAAAGCGATTACTACCAAAAATGGCGCTGCACATTCTCGTTGCACTTCTTGTAGGATTTTCAAACGGTAAGAAATTGTCATAACTTCTTTGGTTCCTAGAAGATTCCATTACTGTATATCAAATATTTGGATTTTGATTTAAGATTGCTTTTTTAACAGTTACATCTTGCACAGACGAACAGTTTGTTGATTAATAGACGCGAATAATACTCTTCTGATGTGATCTTATGGCGCGCTTCGGAATAAATTGTGCAAGAAAATTCTTCGTAATTTTCCGTCGCGCTAACCAGAATTCGCACTGAGGCGAAACGGCGCCGTACTTTCCTTGATGTCTTGCACAAAGCTCTAATTTTACTAGCGTTTAAAGTTGGAGAAAGTTTACGACAATTTCGCAATGCAGTAGACCAGCTAACTTGAACAAAATCCTTTGACTCTTTGTTCGGCGACAGAGAGCTACATTCAACATTCTTTCAGTCGCTGATGATTCATTTGCACATCCCAGCGCTTGTTATCTGCGGCCAAAATTTTTGTTTCTTTGTCTTGCACGCCCAAATGATTGATAATTTTGAATTTGGTTCGCTGAATGAAGTGAAAAAAGATGTAGACTGCGCGTTTCTTCGAGTCTGTAGGACTGGTCGCAAGGCCACGCACCATTGCATACCGGGTTAAATATGCATAAAATACAGCTTGAAAGCAAACATGTGCTGTAGTTTATTAAGTGATGTTTGTTTTGTCTCTGTTACACGCTTTTAATGGAAGTCACTTTCGCTGTTCATTTCATTAGATGAATCTCAAAATTTACTTGTAACTTTGTTCTCCTAGTTTTGCTTGAAATTTTTTTGGGTGTGGTTGAATTGAAATCAGACCTGAAGACCACAAATCCCATGCCTTTTCAACCTCCGAATCTAATGAATATTAATCGCTAAACCCTTGGCACCTTTTTGGAAAGTATTGACAAACAGTTTTGACAAAATATTTCGCTTTGTTTGGACTTGGCTTACGATATCAGCTGTGTCAAATATAGCTATGCTCGTTTCAGACATTTTGGCTATGAAAACCCTTGCGTGTGTGCGGGGCTTTTCGCGCGGGGCTTCGAAGCAAGTATCGCGACTTAAAAACATAGTCACAAAAAGGTTTTCGGGTCAGTCAAAACAGCTTAGATTAAAACGTTTTTAATTCATTCCGAGATAACTTCGGCTTCCCGCGTTGTGCTTTGTCTCATTATGTTGGTCGTCGAAAGAGTGATCGAGATCTAGCGAACAAAATAGTCCCGCGGAATTTTTTAACGTGGATATTACACTCATAATATCGGTGTGTCACCGTTTTGAGGCAGAAGATTCTCAGACGCCTGAAATATTATACATCTAATGACGATTCATATAGTCCAAAGCTTTGATTCGTATCAAAGAATTTTGTTCACACTTGTGATGCAACGAGTGAGTGCTTCTATTGTTTACGAGCCACCTGCCTTTGAAAACACCGCGCGCATTTTTATGGTCTCTGCGCAAATGGAGCACAAACCAGAAAGTCAAAACTGTCTCGGTCTTGACATCGCTAATATCTTTGTTGGCGCCCGATGATATAAGCAGATCCAAATCTAAACAAAAGTCACGGGGTATATTGATATGATTTTCATCATAGATGCCATACTCCCAAGGTTCATTCTTGCTCAAACAAATCACCCGAAACTTCTTGATTTTTTTTATTGAGTCTTCATAAGATAGCGAAGGTCCTGAAGACCACAGCCCAATTTGCTTATGGCCTAAAAAGCAAGAGCTTTTAAGTGTCTAACTTTAACAGCCAACTTGTCAACTTAGGCTAACATACTTGCAGTTTTTCGTTTACAACCTTCTCTTCGTTAAGTGCTCCTCAGATTTTCGTGAGCTTTGCAAAACGTATTTGTTTCTTCGCAGCTAATGTTTTGAATGATCAGTAGACCGTTTATTGTCACTTAGCTAAAAGCTTTTATCTTAAAACATAGTTTGAAATATGGATATTAAAAAAATGCATATACAATACGAAATAATTTGCTTTCATCAAACAATATTCTGCATACTCTAGTTTCGCGTTTGGCGCACATGGAGCCACCTTGCGTTGCCTGATGAGATATCAATTACTATCTGTCATATTCTACCGCGTTTTCTGAAGCTAATTGCTTTTAAAAAGACGTCTGCAATTCTTGCTTGATTAAGAATTAAAACTGGTGGCAAAGTTTATCAACTTAATTAACTCGTGGGTTCACAGGTTTTAACCAGCCGTCGCCACTCTGATCCTGAGTCCACAAAGCCTAACTTCTTGCATCTTCTTAAGTAAATGTCTTAATCCCATATCTATTAATGCAGGGAAAATTGAAAGCGTAACTACGAGATACAGCAGCAGCAGTATGCTAATAGAACTTTTAAGTAAAAAAAGGAAGATACAGAAAAATTGTTCACACAGAATTAAACCTCGCGTGACACGCGCAGCAAAGGAAGAACACGCGATGTTTCTTGCTCGATCGAGTTTAGGCGTTTTTCCACGCCCTTCGGTAATGCTTGTTACCTTTAGAACGTTCAAGCGGTTTTATGTTATCCCACTTCTAGCTATATTTATATCTGAAGTGACAGGTATTGTAAATGACGGGGAAAGCAGCAGCCCAGAAAGATCGAAGAATTCCGCGAAGAATGTCGACGTCTTTAAAAAATACTAGGTCCCAGGTCTTTGCACTTTTGCTGTGCTAGAACATTCGAGGGACATTGCATTCCTTTTGAAAAAACATAATTTTGTTTAATAAAAATCAACTGAGCAGATATTATTTCAAGCATCCTTCGACACGTTTTGTTCAAAATTGTAGTGCCTGCTTTGTTGTTCACTAAAAAAAATTGGTGTTTTCTGTTTATTTTCAGTTTTTGGCCAAGAATCACCAACTTCTGGTCCCTTCAAAAGTAAGTAACGCAGACGCGAGATCAGCGCGAGAAACGGTTATGGTCTCTGAGCCATACCTCCGGAGATTTAGCGAGACTGTAGAGATATTCTGTTTACATTAATTATGGGGATTGTTAAGTTCTGTACATTAAAACTATCAACAGAAGAAGAAAAAATTGAACTGGCTACAATACCAGAGGATAAATTAAATCTTAATCCCTGGGCACAACATTTAACGATCAAATTGATACAAGTTCAATTTGGAGGAGAAGGGGTTAGGCAGACACTCTTGGCTATCAAGAAAACAGGAATAGTGAGTTTTACTTAAAGTGTTCTATGGCATCCTGAGCATGAGGCTAACGCACTTATTGTTGGACCCAGTAGTGTGGTATTCAATGTTTTATCATCTTTGTTATCTTAGCCCTGTCCGTCGAATGTACTCACGAGTATATGATGGCAGTGTTGGAGCATCATCCCAATCATACCGATCTGGACATGGACAAAATCACTCTAAAGGACGTAAGCTGTACCCTTACTGACTTGGGAGAATTCAATGCAACCCATCTGTGGATGAAAGCTCCGCTTGATGGCTGCATGACAGAACACAATACAACTGAGGACACCATCACATACTTGAACAGCATCGTTGCCGAGACAAGAGCCTCTGCAGGTAGCGTTCTGATTTCCAGGGAGTTTCAGGCAGAGTTCCCGTTCAAGTGCAGCTATCCACGCTCCGCTATCATGTCTGTCGCCAGCTTCTCCCCTCGGGAAAAAGTTATCTACACAAGGACAGGTAAGAGAGAGGTCTGGGTACTTTTTCTCCCCAGGTCTTTCGCGGCTAGATTAACATCCACTGTCAGTCGCCTGTTAGGCTTTCTTCAAGGCCCCCATGACCAAACCATTAGGCAAATTCAAGAGGGTCAAGACTCGGAATATTTAAGTTAAACCGAATTTTGAAGGTTTTTTTTTTCCTATTTGCAGCTCAATTCGGCAACTTTACCTTTACGATGGACATGTACGAGACGGATCAATATTTGAAACCATATGACAGCTACCCGGTGAAAAAGGACCTTCAGGAAAAGATGTACCTCGAGGTGAAAGTCACGTCCAATGATTCCAAATTGGTGCTGATTCCTGAGAGATGTTGGGCCACGCCCAGTGATGACCCAAACGATGGAAAATTCTTTGCTTTTATCGAAAAGGGGTAAGAGGCTCTAAAGATCGTCCAAGAAAAAATAGAAATTAAAATGACGAAATGAAGCGTTAATACGACTTTATCAAATTGCTTTAAAAAAAAAAAAAAACCTTGGTTTCTTGATTGTGAGACATGACATGCTTGAGAGAGAGACTTTAGACAATGTCAGTATCTGAGAAACTGCAAGCTCACCCTAACCAGTTGGCTGAAAAACGCTCTTTCGGATTTTTCTTTTTTACACGAAACTAAGCCGAGAAGCAATCACTGAGAAGAATCCTTCTTTGAGGTTTCATTAGACGGACATGGGTCAGCTGTGATATCTCCATAAATTTATCGGTATTTCTGGTATTACGATCGAAATTCCCGTTATGTCGTACTTCTGTATCTAATCCGTGTCACGAAATCATCGGAAGTCCTTACACTTGTACATGCACTTACATCTATACTCTACGTTCTAATTTTCCTGTGTTGTATCTTCGGTTCTATCCAGTTGCGCTGAGGACGAAACATTGGTGTTTAATTACGAGGAAAATGCAGTTCAACGCTTCAACTTAGACGCTTTCCGCTTCTTAGGGGAGAGCTCAGGGTCCACTGTTTACCTTCACTGCGCTGTGGAGGCCTGCCGTAAGGGAAACAACGAGTCACGTTGTGCCCAGGGATGCGACCGGGACAACTCCAGGAAGAGGCGTAGCCTGGAATTGGATAGCGTTGGAGAGCAGACTGTTAGCATTGGACCATTGACCGCTGAAGATATTCAACCACAAGAACAAGGTTAGTGTGCGCGTGTGTTCACGTACGTATGTGTGCGTGTGCTTTACATATTGCGCGAACGTGAGATTTGTGATTGCGTGAGTGAGTGGCAATAATATGCATGGACAGCAAACATCTCGTTAAATCGTCAGCGTGCGTGAGTGTTATCGTGGGCAAGTAAATGGTTTTGACCCGGTCGTAAGCTTGTTTTTTTTTCTCCCCCACGAAGCAAAATCTCACTATAAAAAGTAAATTCCTAACATGTTTGGTTTCATTCACTTCACAGCTCAAGAATCTGGAAGTTCGCTGACCGTTATTGCCGCGGTCGCTGGTGTCTTGGGCGTGGTCGTGTTGGCGCTTATCACGGCTCTGGTTGTGTTGTACAAGCGTTTTCATTCACCCCAACAGGCTGGTCGAGTCGTATACAGTACGGCTTCCAATGACGAAAGCAAGATGCTTGTGTGAGAGAGAATGGGTTGACGTAACGTGGCACACTAAAGGAAAGTCTTTCGCCTTTCACCCCTTCCTTTTGTTAGCCTGTGCAGCAAATAACACTTTCGATGATTTTTTTATTCTTTTTAGTTTTTATCGAAAATTTTTTTTTTATCACTCGAGCTTTTAAATGATAAGTTCTAACTTTGAGAACCTTTGAAAAGCTCTCAAAACCTCGATCGTTTGGTCTTCATTTACACTTTTGTACTAAGGCAATAAATTTTGCATTGAAAGATGGCGTGCGAACAAGAAGTCGTTTCAGTAAAATAATTTTTCCATTCAACTGTTTTTTATACAGAAACAAATCAATTAATCGGTGACACTTTTATCGAAAGTTTCTAACAAAATGTTTGCGGTGATGAATTGCTCAAGCGTATTTGCATGTTGGCGTTTAAGGTTTGACTAAGTTTGATTAATCTATGCAGACTTGCTACCAGTCGTTACGCAATAAAGATTTGACGAGTTGGCTCTGAGCCTAGAGAACGCTTTCCCAGCATTCCTTTCGTACTTCCTTGTTCCTCCTCAGCCCTCTATCTCTTTTCCTAGGCGTGTAAGAAGGAAGGGATTGGGCGCAAGTCTAATATGTTGATCAATCGTTGCTGTTTTTCGTAAATTCTAGGAAATGAAGCGAAACAAGCATGCTTAAAATTTTAGCAAAAGGGTGCGACACAAACAGAACGACTATATCACGTTGTTACCGCTTTTAAAGCAAGCTCAACAGAGTGAAGAAATTTATACACTCTTCTCGATTTTTGCTGGAAAAGGGACCTAGAATCATTCTATTCAAGGGTATTGAGGGGTAGCTTGTATATGTAACTTTGTTTTTTATGAAGATTTTCCATCGAGCAGAATCTTAGCGTTGCAGGCTAAGAAGCGCTACTTTTTGTTAATCCTAGCTTTTAATTCCATATTTTAAAAAAATCAAGTTAGCAATAATGTGCCACTGTAAGGAAGTCTTTCTTTCCTATTAAAAATGCATGAAAAAATACAGGCTTGTGAATTACGAACCTATTTTGAAGTGTTCAAAGTCGGTGGTAACGGTGGTTTCGTCATAGTCTGCAGAGTTGTAGCTGTCATCTCTGATTTTTACGGCAGCGAAAGGCTGAGGAGAGAAAAAAAAAATTTTACCAAGGGGGGTGACCGAAGGTCAAAAGGAAGTAGAGGGGAGGGGTAGTGCCTTTTCCTGCCCCCCCCCCCCTTACCGTCCACTCTAACTCTGTATCAAACATGGTCGTTCGGAATGAACAAGTGCGAGCTTTTATCTTAAATCCACCAGAATAAAACCCCTGCACTGCAAGGTAACTTCGCCACCGGAATTTTCTTAATAAATTAAAAATTATTGCACTGCACATGCTAATAATTCTGCGCTTGATTACCGCCGTTTTGTTACCAGTGTCCCCTCTTTTTAGGGCATGTGGTCTAATGGCGAGTGGCTCCGGGGACGAGAACGGAGGAAATTGCGGTCTTTTCATGGAACCTGTATTGATTAGTTGTAAACAAGATTAAGTGACTATCATTTCCCTTTTTTTCTTTAATCCGGGAATAAGCACCTCAATGCCGAATAAAGGTAATTGAAAATAATCAGAGACGTAAGCCAAGACGTTTTCGTGTTTTAAATCTTCGAGTACCGCACAGCTAGCCTTCAATCAGGCTTCATGAGCATCTTTAGAAGCCTCCAGAGGTCTGTGAGCCGTCTGACTCATTTCTCGTGCCAGATCCCTAAAAACCTCCTACTACCGAGCAAAGAGGGCAAGCTAGACTTTCACAGACTTAACGCGAAGCCCGCGATACTCTCGTGCTGCAGCACCAACGAAATCGTTCTCGCACGCGCTACTACACGACATTCAACGTGCAAAGTTTGACAAGGTTCTTTCTCAGAGCAATGCCTTAAATAACCCGAAAAAAAAAGGAAAAACAGAGACAAAAATCATGATTCAGTATTTGCAATTTATTTAGCTACCTCATTACGTTTGATTTAAGCTTTAAAAAGCACATAAATACTATTTCCGTCAAAAAGAACTTCATTCCCCAAGATTCAAATAATACAATAAATACATATTAGTGATAATATTACAACAGTTGTACAATCCTTTGATATATTGTCTCTTCAGTGTCTTTAAATAAATATTTCCTTATAAATAAAAGATGTCTACCTACGACGTGGAATGCTTGAACAAAGAACCATTCTCGTCCATATTTCCCACTACCAAAGACTTTGGTGAAGTGAAAAGTGAAATTATATAAGATACTAGTTTAATACATAACTATATCGGTCAAACCGTCGTTGAAAACCCAACGCTACTTAAATGAAATTCTCTATTTTACTTAAATTAATCTTCCTTGTTACTGGTTATCTACTCTTGAAAATGTGCCATTTGATATTCAGTACTATTTCATTTGTCACACATTACTCTTGCGTTACGCACCGTTTCGACCCGGTGAGCACAAGACCGTCACGCGACATAAGACCCTATGTCACGCGACTCTTGAGCCCTTACACAGGTTTGGTTCTTGCCCGCGGAACTATTTTGTCACGCTACGTTGCTAATCAGGAAATAGTTGTGTGACGAACCATAGAACTGCTGCCGACAAGACTAAACTTAGACATTTGCTCATAATGTATAAAACGAAAAAGGATTGAAAACTGAAAAATTATATACCTAACACTGATCTTTCTGCAGTCCTTATATTTTAACAGCAGCACAGAGCTAGAGAATCAAACCTCTGACTTCCAGAAGTGACTAAAATACAGCTTCTCCTTACAATGTCTATACATAATGAAAACAACAGGTGATGAGAATTGACATGCGCATCAGTAGGAATGAGTCACCTTCATATAGCACCACATTCCCCTACCAATTTTTCATGGCAATGTGTACTGAGCAGCTCGTAAGGAGAATTTCTTACCAGATCAGGGAAGTCAAAGGATCAACCTTATATTAAACAAGGCAACCAGTTTGGTCAAACAGTAAAGTTAAGACAACGGTGGTTATTCATTGACTAATAAAATGACGCAATAGCCATAACTGAATGACTTGCACATAACAGTGGTTCGTTTATATTCGCTTCGGATCTTTTTTTCAATCAGGCGGTAAATTTAAAGAGGCAATTTTACCACGGCGTGTTCAATGATGAAAAGTTTTTTTTTCATCCAAAGTTATTTTTCCTTCTGAATATTAGTTCGTGGTTCCTATAAGCACGTCTCTTTAGATTGTTCTTAATTGAGAGAAAAATCAAGCTCAAGTTCCTTACCTAACTTTTTTACTTACGTAAAAACTAGTCACATGATCCTCGTCTGTGTCACCCTGTGATCAATCAACTGAAAGTCTGGGGCGAGGTCGGCTCTTGTCCAACTTAGTCTTAAAATTGTTCATAATTTAACTATAAATGTAACTGATTCTCGGTCTACTTCGCCCATAAAGCGTTTCCGTGGTAAAAAACATTTCACATATCGTCTGTTTATTCATCAAGCATGAACATTTCAACTCCGAGTGAACTTTTACTCCAAACAGAATTCCCAGAATTCCACAGTGGACGCCCCAAGCTTAATCCATGTCATACAGATGTCAAACTCATACATAGTCTCCCTCCTCGTCCATGTTATGCGCGTGACCTGGTGGCGGGATGATAGTGGGCATCGGTGACGTCATGCGCATAGGACTGGGCACGCCCGGATCCCTAGGGGAAGGACCTGGGGACTTTTTTGGCGATCCACCACCGAGTGGGGAGGAAGATGATGGAAGGGGCGGATCACACATGGATGACGTAGAAAACAGTTTATACCAACTAATAACAAGATTACTAAGGTCCAACTCGTCGAGTAAAATCTGTACAACGCCCATGAAGACTTTTCTGTCCATGCGTCCGTAATCTCCCCACACAATAACCTGCAATAGAGAAGAACATACGAGTCAAGTAAATCTTTCAATAATAAGACTTTTAACATGTTAAAATAACTAGATTAATGGATCTTAAAATGCACCGGTAAGGTTTGACACGTAACTCGCTGAGTACTCCATTGCCAGTTAGCAATGAAAACGAAAGAATCGTACTCTGAAACACTCAATAAAGAAACACTCATTTCACTTACCTGAAGTGTCTTTCCAGTGAATTCTACCTTGAACTCGAGTTGTTGTTGATATAACGGTTCTAACGTTCTTCTTGCGGTTCTGGTTTTCTTTTTAATTAAGCAGCGTTTACCGTCCATGACATATACTTTAACATAAGGCGCTGGAATCAGAAGAAAAAAAAAAGCAGATTATTGGTGCTCACAAATGAAAGCTAGTGTGCGAGTGGAGACTCATTATCAGTGCAGCAGGACGCACCTTTCTCCACCGTCGGGAAGATTGAGACGATTCGAGAAGTTTGCCGGGGGTCTGGTACTTATCAGTGCCAGACCCTTTGCAGACCTCTCACCAGCTCGCTTTGCTCATAGCTCATTTTCTCGCGGGCGAGGAAAGCCGAAGCGCTTATAATGAGCGCATGCTCGCAAGCTATATTAAAGCTAAACGGCACAGGAAGATGAAGACTAGACGAAGCAGTGTGATGATAAACGGAGACACCTCAGCTTTGTGTGATTATTTCATTGCAAAAGGAAAAAAAAAAGAACTTGCTATCGTCGAATTAACAAGACCTTGTCGACAGAAGTAAATGAAGGGCTTTAGACAGCAGCTAAAAGACCTTTCCGCAAAGAGAGAAAAGAGAATTGGTCCGCTATCCTCCACACCTCCGCCATGTTTTTGATCGTTTTTGTTGCATCGTGGTCTCAAACTATAGATTAACGAACTGACGAAGAAAGCGTTCTCAGTTAAGACCAAAATTCGCATGCCCTCGCACTCCCCCCCCCCCCCCCCACCTCCGTTTTCCAGGCCTGGTTCCAAGCGAAGTAAATGTTGACATTCCAGCCAAAAACGAAGTGTTTACCTGGTAGAATCTTCGAGCCCGGTTTCGGTAGCAATCCCTTGGCTCTGATGACCTCGACCTCTAACACTCCTCGCCTGTTGTAGAGCGCCAATTGGATGTCTCCCATGGAGGGTGATGCGAGAACCTGGCGCCCAACAATCTGCGCTGGACCTAAGCCATCGATAAAATCGTTCAGGTGACCCTCGTTTCCAAGTTTTATTCCGGGCGGAACCCAAGGACTGAGGAGAGACAAAAGATTAGCTCGGTCAGTCAAATGCGAAAACTCTTGTAAAAGAGGATAGGTTTCTATGGAAACAATAGAGGCGAAGGTAGTACAGGAGGCCATTTCCTAATCCTTCCATCAAAAGAATCCCCAAAGATCACTGTTGTCGACTAAAAATACCGACGTTGAATTCGCATCAAAATGAGAAACAGCTGGGATCATTTCCAAGGAAACAAAAACGTGTGAAAGCTATGTTCCATCTAAAAAAAGATATTGAATAATAACGAAACAGTTTTTTGCAACCTTTAGTTTAACTGTTAAACTGATCACGATAGCTTCCGTCAAAAAGGTCTTGGATTATCTAAACGCCTTCATTTTAAGATCTGAAGGCAAATTCATCCAACTAATAACTATAGGTTTCTTGGTTAGCTATTTCTGAGAATATAGTTCGTTATCAAGCAAACATCTGTTATTAGCTCGGCAAAGCGATAGGAGGTGCTTTCCGTTGCTTTAAAATAATTGCTGTAGATTTATCATTACAACAATCGATAAGTTTTTGACCAATCAGGGCGCACGTAAAATCTCTTTGATTTAAAAAAAATCCCTTGTCATTTTCAGAAGTTTGATAGTGAATCCAAATTGTCGGGAGAATTTCGAAACTGATCGTCGACCATGTTAAAACCATACTAGTACCGTCAATTAACTGAAGGAAAAACATACATTTCCACCAATAAAACCCCTTTTCAATGACAATTACGAGAGAGCCTTGACAATTTGAAACTATGTTGGATATTTTACTTTGCTAAAATATTATTTGCCGACGTTGTTGGGCTGTTGTCTAAACAAAAACGCATTACAATTAAAAGTAAATTTTCATCTTTAAGTCCCCTGCCGTACTGGCAAACATTTGTCTTTAATTTGAAGAATATAGTCTTTCATTTATTTCCGAAAACCATCTAATACTGCAATCCTTCATAATTTAAACTGATTCTCGATCGCACAAGGGTTGTGGTATAAGACCGTATTTGTAACTCGAGATTAATCAGCGTTGTGTGTGTAATTAAAGAACAGTGTTATGAGTTAAGTGGACATGGCATTTTGTATCTATTTTTATGTTGCTGCGATACGAGGACCGGTTTGTCTTCCTCGTCATGTTTCAAATGAACCGAATAACACTTGGGTTTCTTGTACCGCAGTTCACAACATTTCAACTAAGGAGCTTTCTAACCCCGTAAATCAGGAAAATTTTTGGATCTTCTTCCTTTCGAAGTGACACAGTTACAACAGAGCATTTGGACCAGAACAAACAGCGATAAACTCGTGAATTCATTAACAAATCGATCTGTTTCAGCACAAAAAGTGTTCACTTAAAGAGTTACTCATTCACGTATCTTGTTTGAAATTCGTTTTCAACGATAGAAGTCTTTCTCGTTCTATTTAGCCTTAAAACCACTGCTTGGTATCTCGAAAATACTACGGCAATTTTCAAACGATGAAAATGGTAATAAATTTAGAGAAATTATTCTTCCAATTCGCAGAGGATAAACCGATACATTTCGAATACTCGGCGGTAAACCCTTTCAATACTATTGTAAAGCATGCCTTGAAACATCGAAAATATGACAAGAGTAGGATACATGAAAGATACATTGGCATAATAACCGCCGCGCATAACAAACTTCCGCTCTAGTTAAACTCACAGTACCAAAGATTATCGCGTGAAAAGGTACCCACAGTTTTTGGCGTTCGCCGGTTAATAGGTGTGGTCTACCTTCGCTCTGATTTTTAAAACTTTGTCTGTCTTGGTAAAATCCACTACGAATGTTCCTTATTTGTTTATGCAAAAGTCTGAAATTTTACGTCGTGGCTGGCAAAGAGCGAAAATTTAGGACCGTCAATGAATTAACGTTCACTAGTTTAGACACTCGAGAGTAATTCCTTAAAGGCTGCGATTGCAACTGAGCGGTGCTGAAATACACGGCATAAATACACAAAACATCATCCTGCAAATATTAGAGAAAATATTTTGGCTACAGTGACTACTGAACAGAGTGAACTCACCTTTCTCTATTTGCTCTAACAGCCTGACCAACCACCTCAAAAAATCTCGTCATTTCAGCCTGAAATTCTCCCACAATAACGACTTACCGCTGTGTTATGTCACTTAAACGCATCTTAGGGTTGTCGCGCAATGAGAATCAGTGATAATGTCATGTTACAAAAATGAATTGTCACTCTAGCCGTGAACAAGCCGTTAAGATGGTTAAAAGGCGATAACTAATAAATAAATCATTAACACGATAATATATGCATTATTTACGTATACAATCCCATGGAGCATTAATTATTCATATGCCAGAAATGCCTTAGATAGATCAAACCTGGGATTTAAAAAGGAATTGCATTTACTCGAGTATCAGTTAGTGATGACCTTCGTGGCAGAAAATATTACATTTTATCTGCTCCACGCAACGCAGCATAGGAAAAAAACATTACAATTAAGCGAAGAACATAAATACGCAATGGCTAGCGACTAAGTATTGCATTAAAACCTACTTCAAAACTCTCTGTGAAGTGAAGTGAAGCCGCCTTATTGCCGCGCTTCATTTGCGTACATTTCTTAAAATCTTGGTATTATTTCCACTGAGAATTTGCTAACTTTAAGACCTATTTCGTTTGTTTACTTAAATCTTGACAGAAAAGCACCAAAATAGCATTTGCAAGCAAATAAACAGGCTGACTCACTCTATCTTTGATTACTAAAGCAATAGAAAAAAAGGAAAAATCAAGGCAAATTATCTGCAAATAAAATTTAAAAAGTATCACAGTGCAACTGTGAACAGAAATGAGCACGATTGACTTCACGAGTAACTCCTTTTTTTTTTAAAGAGAAATTGAGTAAAATTCTCAAAAATTACACTCAAAATTCGAGAAAGGATCAATGATAAAACAAATTACGTGAAGTACCTCACAGGAGCCCACAAATGTGTTGCAACCGTTTGAAAAACTCGCTCGATCGAAGACATGAGTTAACACGACTCGCTTCCTCCAAGCAGAAAACTAAATGGTTTTCAAAGTAATATTTAGCAAGCGTCTGTGAAGAACAGACTGATCTATTGAAAATTTCTAAAATAAAACAGCTGGCAATCGTACCAAACAAACCACCAATACTGTAACAATTAATTTGAATATTTCAATTTTCCAAGGAGTAACTATAGACACCACAATGTCCAACTGGTATTTGAAACTCACCTTTTCAATCAATCATTTCACTCCGACCGCCATCGAGCGCTAAATTTCTTTGAGATTTTTCTCTCAGTTAGTGTTTGCAAAAATTGGTCTTAGAGTTGCTTTGCGCCCTTCAAGCAAAAGCTCGTTAGAAGTGCGTTTTTTTATTATTTTCAACCAAAGGCTTCGCTACCTTGAAGGGCCAGCTAAATTTGAAGAGCGCGTTGAATAATCCTTTCACAATAAACCCGCTTACAAATGAATTTTAATATGTTTTTTGGGTTTGCAGAATGGGCGTTAATCATCTCACACAATCCTGGTCAACGTTTGGAAATGTTTCTGTAAAATCCTGCGATTTTTAACCGAAAAAAAGTACACTTACAGTTGTAATTTCAGAATTGAAACACCGAAATATGAAAAAACCCATTAAAAAGTCCTTAATCAGTACTGTTTTCAAGTTCAACACTGTTTTCAATAAAAACTACGAAACTGTTTTCAATCAACAGCTTTCACTTGGTCGTGAATTCAATCAACTATATTAAAAAAAGCTTTCAAGTAATGAAATTAAACCTGGAACATAACAGATTTGTGGTGCCTTTGATCCAACTTATCCAGAAAAAAACAAAGCTCTACAACCCAACAAAAAGAAATTGAAAACTTTTCCGACAAAAACTACACCTCACGGGCCCTCCAGAAATTTCAGCAGTGCTCATTGTAAGAGGTTGATCCAGTTTTCAAGCTTACAATGAAACAGCTATTCCGTATGCTTTCATTATGGACATTTTTTATGACGCTAAAGAAAAAGTTGTTGATTTGGTTTTTGTAATGACCGGCGTTTTTCATGGTAGCCTTCAAATAAAAACAAATAATGACCAATTGGAAGCACACAGTTGAATATGCGGGCTTCTTTTTACACCAAATCAATTTCGTCCACTTCAGGTGTTAAGTGAAAACCATGCACTCACAAATTGTAACTTGATTTTCTCATTCGTTATTTATTACTACCGTAAAGAGCTGACGAGTTTCAAATTTAATGAAAAAGAAATTATATCACCTGATAAAGCGAGTGATAAACGAGACTGAAAAACAACATAGCCGAAAAAATGGGATTTCCTTCTTTTAAGAAAAAAATTAACACACAGATTTTCAAGTTTGACCTATCTTATGGAAATCAGTAAGAATTTTAAGAAAGATATAAAATATTTATAGCGTGCGTGGGAGAGAGAAAAACCTGTGTCCGTCTTAAGTTAAAAAAAAGATATAACTAGGCTAAAATCACGAAAATGGCACAACCCGAGCCTGCAGACATAAGTCAGTGGCACTTACCTACTCTCGACACTAGTAACCGAGCCTGGTATACTGTTCAAACTTCCGCTCCTGTCACTTGCTATAGATGACGACCGACTACTCCTCCCACTTCCGCCGAAACTCTCGCTACGTCCCGTCCCGCGGGATGGCTTGATGTAACCGCCTGTAGGGAAGACATGAAGATTATTTAGACTGCCGGAACGAGCTTCTTCACGAGCCAGCAGTTTGCCTGTGGAGGAGAGGAGTGAGGAAAAACTTGTCAGTATGTTTACATTACAAAGTGGTACAAGGATACAAAGAAATATTATTACGCCAAAAGCAAGGAAAGAAAAGTCAAAGTATAGAAGACTGAACTCACCTTTAACTCAGCAAGAACGGTTAGTGTTAGCATTTGAAGCAAAAAGAAGATTGTTTGATCAATATCTCTGCACTGACCAAGATATTAAACGTTACATGTAGAGATACATATAAGCAGAAACAGAGACAAGCCAAGAGAAAGTGACTTAACCCCCTCAAAACTGACCGTGGTATGTTTACACTGAGAAGTTTTCATTGCAAAACTTTTCCCTAGCGCTTATGTGGGAAAATATGACTAGTCTTCCTTCCCAAAGTCCTCTTATCCTCTATCAAGTCATTTTTGAACAAGGAGGCTTGTTCAGAAAAAACTTGCTAGGGACGAAATATGCTGGAGTAGGTAACTTGCGAAGTTCTCTGAATTAAGACATTTTGGAGGTTTCATGGTAATTCCACATATGTGAATTAAATCTAGCAAGCGTCGTTGGTAAGGTTTCGTGCTGTAGTATTGGCAAAAAATTTCTCGACAAATGCGCTCGTGTACTGATTAGACATAGCATGACAAAAGACAAACTGAGAATTTTTCACTTTAACGGCAACTCACCGTTTGGGAGCCCGCGATCTTTATCGTGTAAGCTTGAGCTGCTCTGACTTCTGCCATGACCAAGAGGGACTGGACTTGGGATTGGAAATGGACTTCTAGGCCTCTCGCCTTCCGAATCAAGGTTTGGCAAGTTGCTTAAACTGTTGCGGCGCCGCCTTCCGTCTTCTGTCGACAAGAACGAATGAAAATATGTAGAAAGCTAGCTTCCTCTCGCCAACAGCGCGCGTGTTTTCAGGGGAGCGCGTGAGAAGAAGGAAACAGGCATGTAGAGCGAGCACATTTGTTCTCGCGCGTTCTGGGGAGACGCGCGTGTGGAAGTAAGACGTACGTGGAGGGAAAGGTCGTTGTCCTCATTCGATAGCTGTTATTTTCTTTTTCTATTGAAACTCAGATACTCATCGATATGCAGTGAATAAGGAGTTTCATCGTCTGAAAATGTAGGCGAAGTAAGACCATTGGCTGCAAAGTGGTACTTTTTGATAGCGGATGTTTAGTAGGTGAGGAAAAACAACGAAAAAATGAACGTCGGCATTGAAAATCAACTGTGAAAGAAGTGTGAGAGGTAGGTAAGTCTACCACATGTTTAATATCTAGACTCTTGTCAGCATCATGATTCGTTTAAGTTCACGTTTAAGGTTAGGAATTCTCCACGTTTAACATTTACTTTATCCCAGAAACGTAGTTGATCAAAATAAAAAATAGCTTGCGACCACGCCCTCATTATTAGCGCCGCAGAACGCGCCTTTCTCCGCCTGCGAGAAGATTTGAGTTGAGTCGCAGAGAGGTTTCCGGGGGTTTGGCACTAAAAATGCCAGTGCCAGACCCCGTGCAGACTTCTCACCGCTTTGCTCAAAGCCTCATACTTTCCAACGAGCGTAGAAACGCACGTGCTGAAGCGCTGATAATGAGTGCATGCTCGTAAGCTAAAAAGAGCAAAGTTGAGTTTATAGTACAGGGACCGGTAGTTCGAAAGGTGGATACCGCTGTCCACTGGATAAATCTTTATCCGGTTGATAGCGCAGTATTTCTTGTTAACACTTATCCGCTGGATAGTGTTATTTGCTTTTTGAACGACTGGTCGAGTGCTTATGCCCTGGTAAGGGCGACGGACTCCCCGTTCTGGCCATGGGCCTCGGAGACTGGACCCAGAATTTTCATGTGTGACCAGGCCTAGTTAACAAGTTTATATTGCTATTTCATTGCGTAACGTGTAAGCAAAGTTAAGATGACAAACAATGTCAATGGTTTAGAATTGTTTTATGTTTGATGTTTGAGTGATTAATGAATGAACTCACGGGGTCGTCTGTGACTTTCATACGGTACTCCATGGTCATGCGGTGGCATATCAGGTGAATACATGCGGTCTACAATAGCAATATAGCATGATTAGAATTTAAAACAGGCGATCTCTTGTTCGAGCACTAGAAAGCAAAAGTTACCACAGAAAATTTAGATCTCTGTTATTTTTCCCTTATTTCTAAACATAACTTATTAAAAAAATTAAACTTAGCAATACACTTTCAGATTATCAAAGAATTTTATCTACAACCGTCTGAGTGGCAATGGCTTGCAAAATTTAAACAAACTGATGATGGATGTTTAACGTCTCTTACGTTCCTCTTTTAAGGGATCTCCATAAACACTTTTGGTGAAACTTAAACACTATTTGACTCTTTGGAGTTTATTTTCAATTTTTTTTCTTTCGTATGTAATTGTCGTTATATTGAGTTGAAAAGTATACGAATCAAGTCAAAGCTGCTTAAATTCGCATTAGAATTTACTTAATTAACTAATTAATAAATTAATTATAATTTTTATACTATGAGTCATTCACTTCACTAAACTTAATGATATTAATTTATATTAATTTATTCGCGAGATTTAAGTATTACATCAGCGAATGTTACCTTGAGGAGTGTGTGGCCCCTGATGATGCGGGGGCATCCCCAAAGAATGCTTATGCCCTGGTAAGGGCGACGGACTCCCCGTTCGGGCCATAGGCCTCGGAGACTGGCGCCCAGGTCGCGGGGACATGCCCGGATCAAACATTCCCTCGTTTTGCGCATACACGGCGTCTGGGGCCTGGCCATATCCCATCCGGCCTTTAGCGCCGCCAACGACTAGTTTAGCCCTAGCAGGGTCGACATCTTTTAATTTCTGTTTAACAGCTCGGGCCCGCTCTTCTTCGTCTGTGGTTAAAACGGCTTTATCTCAGAAATTACATTTGTTTTAACTTATTAGTTGTGATTATTGGGAAAGTTAACCAGTTGTTTTAAGACTTAAGTTTATGCATTTCTCTCTTGAAGAGAGCATGGTTATAACAATTTTTGAACGAACTTGTGTTGAAAGTATGACATAAGACTCGAGTCAACTGTTGTTAAGAGTATACGCCAAACTCGTTTTCTCTTATCGGTCAACAGTAACATGTATATTTCAACACCATCTCCTGACAACCGAGGTTATGTGTAGTTTGTTGCAAGCCTAAATGTCTTATCAATTGCTGCGGACGGCAAGCATTACAACCAAAACATTCGTGGTTACTTCATGCAAACTTTTTTTTAAGATAGTCAGAGTAGGAATAGTGCTGTATATAGTTTTTCAAGGCAAAATTTCGAGAAAAATTTTTATCCAATACAAGGTTTGAATCACGGAGTGACAGCATAAATTGTTGTGTGGTCGTCCGCTTGCGGGAAATCCAGGAAAGAACAGCTCTCGGTGACAACGGAAGACGTTTCGAAAACCTAACAATGACCTCGCTCCGGCTGTCGAAACTTTAGTAAAGTTAACTGCCACCGAGAACAGTCTCCTTCAGGGCCACCCGCGCTTGGTCGATCCCAACAGAGTCAGACCGTGTTCAATTACAGTTTCCACAAATAATCTTAAAACTTTTACATATTTATCTTTAAGGTCAAAGTGCAATGTAGTGTAGCGTAGATATCTGTGCTGTGGAAAAGTGAGTGATGCTTGCTGTGGTGTTTTTCAGTCAGCTTACCCATAGGTTCGCGTCCTGGCGGCAATTGAGGCAACATGCGGGACTTTTTAGCCCCGGGGCCTCCGCTAGGGGACATTCTACCAGGGGAATACGTTCCGGGGGAAATATAACCATGTATACTCGGGGACATGCGATCGTCGTGAAAGCGACCAGGTCCATGTTGGTGAGGCATTGGTCTAGTCTGTTGCGCCAGCATTCTGTTGGGGTCAGCGGCATAATGGGGGTAGCTAGAACCTGGCTGAGGAGACTGGGACGGATGATTTGGTGACGTATGGTATGGCTTGGCAGTGTACGCTTGAAGTGAAGTTTATACGAAGATTAGAACATGCAGGAAAACGTTAGGAAACCGAGGACCTTCCTTGCGTTACTTTTGAAGAAACAACTAGTACTCTTTCTTTTAAATCGACATACTGCAGTGGTTGATGAACAATTGGACAGTTTACAGCTTATAAAATTATGGTTAGGTTCGTTTAATTAATTGTGGTACAAAGTGAGAGTTTAATTCAACTTCAGAAAAACGACTTACGTTAATGGCTTGATTCTGATGATTTAAAAAGTTACTTTTTTAAGCTAAATACGTCAAGGAAACTGTTTTTTAGTTTCTTACTAAAAAAGTTTACTTTCCCAACAAATCTGAACCTGTCCTGGAAAATTCTAAATTATGTTCGTGTTTCGAGCAGTCGAGTCACGATTAACAGTGGGCAGTACTGCGTTGATTATACGCAAATTACGCGCTTAAATCTCTGTCCTACCTTGCACCATCTGTTGTTGGACGAACGGAGGTCTGGGACTGTCTCGGTGATGATCAATCAACTGTTGCTTCAGCAGGTCATTCTCGGGTGACTGAAACGGAGGCTGGGAACTAGTTACCGGTCCATTTGGAGTATATCTCGACTCTTCCTCGTAATCGCTTCCATAACCGGTCGGACCAGCTGAGGGAGAGGAAAAGAAAATGATTAGTACCGCTGCACATGACAAAAATACGAAAAGAGCTTTCCATATATCTGCGCAATTGTTTGGCCTGCGCTTATTATGTCATACCTTGATCGCTTACTGGCTCCCCAGCTCCTCTCGCTCCTTTAAATCTGAATGAGTTGTGAGGAGACTGGTTAGGAGTGGGCGGCACCAAAGGATCATTGTCGTCTTCGTGGTTCTTGAGTGGGTACCAGTACCCGTTACCATCGAGGTTTGCCTCAGCCATGCTCAAAACAACCTGTGTCGAGATTGACAGACATGAACATAAGGTCATTTATGATTTGAGTTTAGAGCACTTTGTTGAATTTAATAACGATATGTTTCAGCAAACGAAGACTATAAATTGGACAGACACGAAACACATTTTACTGCTGAGAGAGCAATTAATACTCAAAATACTATCTCATACCTCGCCAATAAACTCGCTTGAGCCAACTTTATCATAATCCCATACGGTCACTTCGAGAGCACGGCCACTGAACTGCAAAGAGAAAAAAAAAATTTCCGTCTAGAAAAACTCTTTAAGAAAATGTCTTAGAGGACATCGAACACCCTAAAAGATCTTTGAGGCGTTGAGCGACAGAATCAGTTAACCCTTCAAGCCCTTGGAGTGACTGGCAGCTAACTTCTCCTTACAGTATCACACCTGAAACACATATTGAGCTCACGAGAATAAAGGAAACAATCACCAACTTAAAAACCTCTTGATTGTTAAACAAATTCTCCTTGTCAGTACTATAAGAAATGTATGGGGAAAGTGTGGAGAAGATGCAAACTGATGTCAGGGTAGAAAGGGTTTAAGAATCTCAACTATCTTACAAGAGTAGTTTAGTATTATCAACTGAGTTGATAACGTAAATTGGCCATCGTAGAGTTTCAAAACTTAAAACAGAACTGGAAAAATTGTTATATGTTTTCCACATGACAACAATTGATGGGGAATTTACCTTCTGTGGCCGGCACGGATAAACAAACGTCTGATTCCATTTGGGATTGAAAGATTTCATCGCTGTCTTTGTTCGTCTTTTGCTCTGCATGCTGCAAAGTGTATACATATACTGTTACTGATGAAATTCGCTGAAAGATATCTCATCAATTTTTTATCAACAGCCAGCAAAAAGCCTTCATTATTAGCACTTCTGCACGAGCGTTTTTTCGCCCGCGGGAAAGTACGAGGCATTCAGTAACGAGAGTCGGCGAGAACTCTGCAAGGGGTTTAGCACTATTAATGCCAAATCCTTTGGCAAATCTCTCCCCGGCTCGACTAAATTATTCCCGGCGACGAAGAAACGCACGTCTTGCAGCGCTAGTAATTTATAAGAAGCAGCCAGAGGCTCCGTCAGTGGCCTGGGCGCAATTCATAAAGGTGCATAACAGAATATGACAGCATATGACAGTATACCTCTTATCAGGAAGAAAGTAAATCCTAATATAAGGGTTAGGTGGTGTGGTGGTCTCTTTAGGAGCCAGGCCTTCAGCTCCCACAACTGTCACGTTCAAGTTTGCAGCATCTTCATCATAGAACAGTTTCAACTAAAAACAAAAGGATGCAGCGTTATATTAAAAAATTATGGTTGGGAAAAACCGTCGAGAAAGATGTAGACTTGAGTAGGATTACATAGGCTTTCTCCACGGAAAGTCTTAAGTTTTCCTTTTTCCCCTACTTTTGTTTCATTTTCCAGATGTCTAAGAACGTTTTCCGGGCATATCTTTTGCATATTCTGCAAGACAGCGGTTGTTTCTCAAGTTTTCTGCAAAAAAGGAATTTGTGCGGGAAATTGGCGCGAGGCCCTTGGCGCCCTTGATCCCCTTGCGCATGCTCAACGTTTGACCGCTGTGTTGCACTAGACACGGTTTTCCTGACTCGCATCCGCACTAAACAAAAATAGGCCTGCGCTCTTCACAACGACTCCTAAAGCCACGGAACCACACGTACCTGTAGACGACCTGTAACTCTTGCTCCTTTTCCTTGTCCTTGTCCTTGTCCTTGTCCTTGTCCTTGTCCTTGTCCGGCACCAGTTTGTTTCACAGACTTGTTGGATTTTTCATCCGGTAAAGGACCGCCACCAAAGAAAAAATCGTCATCTGTAAAAAAAGAGAGACAAAATTGTGCGAAATGTTCTCCAAACATCGACGGAAAAAAAAACTAGGTGGATCCTGTTATCAACAGTAAGCATGATCAAACAGCTGAAGACTGTAAAATAATGTTTCTCAATAGTGAAAAGTGCATATCTGCTCATGCGCGAGTTTGTACCCGCCTCATCTTGGCGGGAAAAGTTTTAATGGGATCTCGTTACTGAATAATCAATTTTGCTTTCTGCAAAAAAAGCCGACAAGGTTTTTTAAAGTTAGAGAATTCTTTTGTTTTTCCAACCAGAAAGGGCTTTATTGTTTTCGATAAAAACAAATACATAAAATGACTGATCCTTTCAACCCCAAGATCTCGAGTCATTCTCCTTACTGTCTGCCATACAATTCTTAAGACGTTAGTTCGGAGAATTTGGTATTCATCACCAATCCTCTAACTGATATTTTTCTTCATTCTCATCACTTATCTGGTTGATAATGTATTGATATTGTAAGGAGAAGTTCTGTCTTGGTCACTTGTAGGAGTTCAAGGATTAAAGACATAAAATAAGGCATGGAATCTACACATTTTTTATTCATTTCACGAAGTACTTGCAGTGAAATCTCGTATCCAATGTTGAATTCGTCTTCGAGTCTCACCGACTCGATTTTCAGAGAAGTAGAAATATAACCAGATTTGAGATTAGTCAAGACTTTGCTTAGTTGTTAGATTCACAAAATGAAAGAATTTAACGGGAAAAGACAAGGCGAGGAAAGAATAACAATGTTTCAAACCTGCTGGGGGCTCGTACGAAGACGACTGACTTCTACCAGTAGACATAAGCCCATTCTCCCTCTGTGTTGGTATTACTGTGGTCTCTTCTCTTCTGCTATCCGGTGGCTTTCTGTCCTGTTGAAGTGACATTGGAGCTGCAGATGGGGACATCCGGTCCCTTTTTACGGGGGACTCTCTGGTAGGGACCTGCTTGGGAGATTCCCTCTTTTGTTCTTGTCCCCGTGGTGACTTGTCGGGTGACTGGGAGGTCCTAGCTGGAAATTTACTCCTAGGGGAAAAAATTTCAAGAAAATCCTACCATTTATGAGTATTCTCAAAAACTCCTTCCCCTCCCAACCAAAAATCATATTTTTATGTAGGGAGGGGAAGGATTTCGTGTTCTTTCAGAATTAAAAAATCCCTCCCTGATCATTTTCCCCATTCTCACTACCGTTCTCCCTGATTATGAAATAACTAGGTAATGAGAATTTGTGTGTATTGATCACTCACTTATCTCTACACACGATGAGGTGAAGTTCGTTGCTATCTTGATTGTCCTCCATGGATGAGTTGATAATTTCCACTACTTCCTCAAACGTGCAGTCCACCAAAGACTGTTCATTCCAGTCCTGAATTTCATCACCTGTGTAAGACACCACCTTTAGTTAATAGCAAGGAGCTGGCTACCAGATAGAAAATGCTAGCCAGAGAAAACACCAGTTATCGATAGTTTATAAGCATTTCGCGTCGAAAACCGACAGAACGACGAAAGAGGTAACTAGAAGACAGAAAGACAGACAAAAACTGTGGTGCTGCGTCGGTGGGAGAGTATAACAGGGTAATATATTATTACCGACAGAGTTGATATCGTAAATTGGCCTCCGTGAAGAGTTTAAAAACTGACGTTTCGAGCGTTAGGCTAACATAAAGACTGAAAGACAGGCAACAGAGACTGCCAGACAGACAGACAGATGGACTGTCTCACATACTACCAGACAGACGGACTGCCAGAAAAAATGGACCGATAGACTGCAAGACAGATACACAGACTGCAAGCCATATTGGCAGGGGGAAGAGACAGGATAACAGACACACAGATATAACAGACAGAGGCAGGTAGACATTTAAACTAACAGACCGACATATTGATAAACATAGACAAAACGGAAAAATAATTGTCTGCTTGTCCGTCAATTTGTCTATGTCTCTGTCAATAAGTCAATTGATTGATCAGTCCATCCGTGGTCCAAAAGACTAATTTTCCTGACATTTGTTCACTTTTTCCATCAGTCTGAATTTCTCTCTTCCAGTCTACCACAGAGCAAAATAACTCAAGTCATTACCAATTTGAAGCTTGGCTTGTCTCTCAGCTGGACCTCCCTTTCGTATCTCAGTGATAAAAGCTCCCAGTTTCCCATCATCTGTCATCTTTCCACCAATCACCTTAAGCCCATATGCACTGTACGGATCTGAAACACCCATCACCCAACATCAGTACGCATATTCATGCTCTCTATACATTTCGTGAGGCGCTAACAAGGAGAATTTGTTTAACAATCAAGAGCTTCCTTGGTGGGTGATCATTCACTTCATTCTTGTGACCTTAATATGTGATTCTGGGTTGACACTGTTGGGAGAAATTAGATGCTAGTCACTTCTAGGGATAAAAGGTTGATAAGAAAAAAAATCACGTTACCAGTTGATGAGCCCTTGTATTTTGGGTCTATTGTCAGCAGCACTTCGCCTAAACACTTGTTATCTTCGTCAGGAGCAGACCACTTAACAAAGGTCTGAAAATGAAAAAGGAAAGGATGTCAAATTGATTCTGCTGCAAAAACAGGACTAAAATCTTTCCCACAAGGGTAAAATTAATCTCATGAAGCTGACTTATCTCCATTACCAGCCATTGTTCAGGAAATGAGCCTACACTCTTAGTTCCTTTTCTAGAGGATCAAAGACTGATGAAGGAAAATGTTGGAAATGGAGCCTAGAGGCTGATCTTCCAAGAAACTACTTAATTAGGTTTACTATACTAGCTTTTTCCTGTCCAAGATTATACCCAGAGTTCTATGGCATGGAGTCACAAGGATTATTGACACTTCTTCGAGCAGAGGTGTATGCATAGAAAAAGCTGAAAGACTGGTTAAGCTAGCGAAGGAGACATGGCTAAACTGGCTGGAGGTTATCCTAGTTTCTGTGGCATGAAGTGACCTGAAGCACTAATCAGGCTTGTCTGATAGTTCACTAGCACTCATGTATACTCCTGGGTGGAGAGGAGCACTGTGAGAGTTGAGAGTCTTGCCCATGTCTTGCCCAAGAACACAACTTAATGATCCAGCCAGGACTTGAACCCAGGCTTCTCAACCCAGAGTACAGTGCACTGACCAACAGTCCCCCACTGGGAAGAGTTATAGCAATATCTAATAATACATTTGAACTTCACAACAAAATCTGCTAATATTTCTCTTTTAGTTTGCTTTTTCTCTGTCACTGTTTCCCTTTGTGGATGTGACAAATGTACTTATTAATGAAGCTCACATCAGACTTATCTGCACAAAGCACATCACAGCACTTTCTGCTTACATGTATAAAAAGATATATTTAAAGGAAATCAATTGGTCAAACTGCCATGCATGTAGATAACAGACAATTTTTATAAAAAGATGTCAAATATTTATCAAGCAATTTTTCATGCAACAATCACATGAATTCAAAACTTTTTTGTACTGGACTCAACTCAGTGAAAAAACAAAGAAAGTTCAAAAAATATTCTGACGTCCCACAAATCATTTCATCAAACTAATCCAATTTACCAAAGGAAACCATATGATGGAATTCCTTGCTGTGGAAACCATGTTGTTCAATAATTAGAACTGCAGAAAAATTGAAAACTTAAGTCACAATCAGGGTAAGTGAATTTATTGGTCAAGGACATGACGTAACCTCACTGTTTCATTTTTCTGTTTTTTTCATATCTAGTTATTTATTTTTTGCTTGATGTACTGCAAAGTGCAGGGCTTTACCCTCATCATGACAGCCTGGGAGATAATTTTACTCCACCTCATGCATTACAGAGCTTACTGCCTATAGTAGAGGTAATGAACACATACACTGTACAAAGAGAATGAGCTTCATAAGTTTTATTCCTCATTTGTAGGAATAAAAATGATGAAAACTTGTAAGATGCACATGTACTTGTAACTACACTCCCTTTCAAGCTGATCAGCAATGAAAAAGATTTTGTGAATTAATCACACATCAGTGGGAGAATAAATTAAATAAAATTCTAATAATTGCCAGAAGCAGATAATTCAACATCAAACCTGCAAGGGGTCTGTGTTGGTCTCAACAGCAGGAATGATTTCAGATTTCTTGACAGAGCTGACAAGGTTACTGACAACAGCAGAAGGTGTCATGGACACAGAAGGAGAAGAAGAAGAAGAAGTGGCAGTAGAGGGAGCAGATTTCTTAATAGAAAGAGCACTGACAAATCTGTCTCCCAAAGACTCTCGATCCTGTATTGAAGGTGGCTCATCTTTAAAGAACAAGTTACTCTGTGGGGAACCGAACAAACAAAAGTCAGCTCAAAGCTTCAAGATCCTCTCAAAAACACTAAAATTTGCATGCTGTATCAGCCACAAAAGAAATTACTATACATTCAACAAACAATTATTTAAGATATTATTCCTACCAGAAACATTCTGAAAGAGGATGGAATTAAATCTAATAAACACTGAGATCAGAGCCATCCAACAGAAGTCTGCTGCATTGAAGGTCATAAATAATTCATACTTGCACGTTTTTGAATGTTAATTTGAAGAATAACTTAATTACATGTATTGATAATTTTTTTTATCATAATCCAGCAAGCTGATCTTGAAAGAATGCCACAGAAAATAAAATATTTATCACAGCAAAGTGATTTAATTTCTTCAAAATTTGCAAACAATTTAGGGGTCAAAATTGAATGAGAAAAATCCTTCAGCTAATGCTTTTCTTGGGTAAAATTTTATCTTCAAAAGCAGTACATATTTCTTAAGTGAGGCTCCATAGCTTTCAACAAAAAATAAAACAATTTTTGTCTTCTGAAATCAAATTTAAATGTTGTTTGATATGAGAGATACAAGAGTTATTTGCAGAATATCATTTATTAACTCTTGTATTTCATCACAAATAAAATATCTCTGGTTCGGAAAAATTATTTTTAGTGAAATATAAATTAAGAATAAGGATTTGGCCTAAATTGCTTCTTGAAAGATAAATATTCATGTAAATTTATCGAGAGAGTGTACATTTGTGTACAAAGGAATAAAAACAAGTAGAGGTGGCAAGCACAGGATTCGCTTCTCAAAAGTAAATGATATTTTTATAATAAATGGTAAGAAAATTTTGATACAGAAACATACAAATAAACTGTTGTAATAAATATAGAAATGGATGTAAAACGAGTGTGGACAGGGATTTACTTGAGATGGTAGAAAAACTTTGTATCATGATGACAAATTCTAACCTCACACCAAAAATACTATGAAATAATAACTACAAGATTTTAGAGGATGACGCAAGAAAGCTTTCTAAAAATCAAAGTAACACAAACATTGGTAGATAAACTGCAACTTCTTTATCATGAATTTGATTTTAAGCCAGAGGGTCAGATCCATAATGTATATCTCTGGGTCTAATTTCTATGATGTTTCATAACTTTCCCACAGAGAAAAAACAACAGAACTCCAAATTCTTGTGAAAATATATGTTTAGGAAAGTGACCAGTAAAGTATTTTTCACTTCCTTCTTCTCAGTTGGAGGTGAAATGATAGCAAAAAGTGATAGCTTGAACTCTTCTTGAATGTCACATTTGTAGTGATTATGTCAACTTAACTTAATTTTGCAGCCTACCAAATACAATGAAGAAAACCATTGTACACAGAACATCTGCACAACACATTATTATCAAAGACTTATTGAAACTTTGCTATTGTGTCAACTCTGACAAAAGTTATTTCATACAGAGCAACCTTCAAAAAGCTTGCTTGTTTGATTGCTGGGTTATACTGCCCAAATATTTGGTGCTATACTACAACAAGAATTTCTAGAAAAGTTCCAAATTCTTGCTCACTATTGCTAAATAAGATCCTATGAGCCATTGCCTGATGCATTGAGTCATTTAGAACACAACACTAAAAATAAGTGAAGTGACATGAGTGGACCACTGTATAGTTTAGTTATTGAGGATAGTACACAGGACTATGGCAAGTTTCTGTGGCAGATATTTTGATTGTTCAAGCATCCTAGGAAATAGTTGAAGCATTTTCTTTGCTCTGAAAAAGGGCAAATTATAGTAAAATTCTAATTCAGCTTTTTAAAAATTTGTTGTGGTGGTAAATCTGTTTGAACTACAACTTCACCATCAAAGCAAAGCAAGTCTGATTGGAGCTCTTCAAAATTTTTACGTATGTCAGGAAGCTTACCTTGTCTCTTGTCTCATCAAGTGACATGCTCCTTGGTGGGCTTCTTCTGCCATCAGGCTCCTCATCAAATGATCTGACGCCATCTCGATATCCAGGTCTATCTGTTCGTTTGGGTGACTGCCCCAGCATGCCGTGCTGATTAGAATCACCAGCAACAGGTCTCAGCTCCACTCTCTCCTGCCTGTTGGAGAGGGCAGGTCCCACCCTTCCATTCATCATGGAGCTATCATGTATCTGGCCGTTTCTGCTGTCAGACTTTTGTTGTGCACCTTGACCATGCTGATCTGGAAACCTGTGAGTTCCAACATTCTGCGCCTCAGGACTATATCCATTTCTAGAATCAGGCAAATGTTGCCTTCCTGACTGATCTAACATTGGACCTTTATCAACAGAGCTAGCCCTTGGCTTTCCTTGTTCCATAGGATGACCTGGTTGTGCAGGTCCATACTGCCCTCTAGAGGGGTCCAAAGGAGAGCCCTGTGGTTGATTTCCATAGGGCCCTCTTGGTTGCTGTTCTAATCTTGGCTCCTGTGGAGATGGTCCCATTCGCCCCCTTGTTTGGTCAGGCATACCATCTACTTTGCCCCTTCCTTGCTCTGGATATGGACCTTGCTGGGGTGCCCCTACATGGTTTCTAGGAGTACCTAGCCTTGGTGAGCTCATTGGACCTCTCATTTGATCAGGTCCCATTAAAGGAGAGCCAGTCGGGCCTTTAGGATGTTGATCCAGAGGAGGTCCTTGCCTTAGTGACGCTGACTGCATTTTTGCTGGATCAGGGCCCAAATTTAGGCGTGGTGAGCCTAACTGGCCTGGATGCTGAGGCTGGCCACCCTGTTGACCAGCTGGCATTCCATGACGTGGTTGCCCACCAACAATCATCCTAGGCCCCATCTGAGTCACTCCCGGTGGTGCACCTGCTCTTGGACTATGCTGGGGTCCCATGCGGTCACCAGGTCTTGGGCTACCTTGCACTGGGTGAGGGCCTCCTACATGATTTGGAGGGAAACTTCCTGGCTGTCTTGGCCTATTGTCCATTGATGGATGCCCAACAGCTGGTCCTCCTGGCCTTGGACCTAAATGGTTGCCAGGTTGGGTGCCAGGTGGGACCCCTCTTCCATGACCAGGTTTCCCATCAACCTGTCCTGGAAAGGGAACTCCAGGTTGGCTTCCAGGGGGTGCTGCTCTGCCATAACCACCTGCAGCTTGTTGTTGGGGTGCTGGAAATCTTGGCTGCTGATGAGGCCCTCTCATTCCAAAACCAGGTCTAGGTTGATTTGGAGCGACAGCTCCCCTGGGACCCTGCTGCTGAGAAGCTGGCAGAGCTCCTCGTACAGCAGGAGAGGTTCCTGGATGTCCCACTGGAGTAAAGCTTGAATTCTGTTGCTGAGGGGGAAAGTTGGGGTGCATTCCTGGTTGAGATACTGGACCATGCATTCCTCTACCGTGAGGTCCCCCTGGGGGAACACCAGGTCTGACACCTGGTCCCTGGGGTTGTTGAGGTTGTCCTGATCTAATTCCTTGAGCTTGACCAGGCACTGCCAGTCCTCTTCCTGCTCCTTGATTCATGGGGCCGGCCCTTTGCATGTTTGGCATTCCACCAGCAGCACGGCCATGAGGAGCATGATCTAACTCTTCATGTCCCTTGAATTTTACAACTTTTCGTCGTACTTTATTTTCATCTGGTCTGTACAACTCATCATCACTTAAGTAAGCAGGGCTCCCAGGGGGTGTCTCATGTAGTGAATCCACCTCCTCATCAGAAACTGATGGCCTGCGAAACCAATTTCGTTCACCATCCTTCCCTTTTGTCCTTCTCCCACTACCCCTGCCAGAATCAGATCTGTGTAAGGAACCTTGTCGCCTCATAGCTCGTTTATCTTCTTCTGTTGGAATTGCTCTAAACTCACTTAATTTTAAGTCTGAGTCATTGCTTGGTTTATTTTCATTGGCAGTTATTGCAGGTCCAAACCAGTTACCAGTTTTAGTGAGCATCTCCTGCTTCTTCTGGCACACAAGACACACCCATGACACCTGAAATCAAAGAGTATTTGCCTCAGTTTCATTTCAAAGAACACTTTCACTGTCTTACTACATAACCCATATTATTCTACCAGTTCTTTTAATTCTAAAGGGTGCTTAATTGCAGCCCTTTTTTGCAGGATTCCTCTCTCTGGCAGATTTCTAAACTAATGGAGTAACACCAATTACACCGGATACTTCCTCATGTACCAATCCCAATAAGAGAGAGGAGTGGGGCTGCAATAAACAGTTTTAACCCAGTTAGCTTTACTTTCTATCTGGCCTAGCCTTATTTATCTGATATAGCCAGACTTCATGCGTCAAATGGCACCAGTAAGACTCAAGAACTCTATCACACTAACACCTCTTTCAGTTAATCCATGAAATAAATTCAACTTACCTTCTCACAGTTGAATTTTTTCTACTTTATAATTTTTAAAATTTGTATAAAATCCTGAACGTCTTACCATAAAGTATGTGAACTCCATTTACAACCCAGTTTAAAGGTATTTCAATAAATCAATCATTGAATGGTGATTTCATTCAAGCTTGGGTGACAAAATAATATTTGTCCCTTTCTAACTTTTAAAAAAATTCAAATGTTCATTTAAAATCTGAGCCAAAGCAAAAGTTAATAGAAAAAGTTAATTGTGAATGACATCAAAATTAAATAAAATGGCTTTAAAAAACGTGCATGTCAATATTATAATTCATTTAATTATCATGAGCTATATTAAACTTACATAAAACCTAGTAATTTACATTTATTAGCGAGTTTGATTTATCATTTACTGCATATTGAAAAAAAGATATCTAGCATAACGTAAGCAGATTTTATCATAAAAAGTGTTGGATTACATTTTTAAATTGTTTAATTTATCATTTATGTTACGCCAATTATTTCAAATCATTGTACATTTTATTTAGTATTTGATCTAAACATGAGTGGTTTTATCTTTTAGGTAATTATAATTATACTTATCCAAGGCCTGTTTTAATTTAATTTAATTTTAATTCATCCTAATTATTCCACTTTATACAGATCATATGTTACTACATTAAAGACTAACTATCAACTAGTAACTAATTACTATTATAATATAAATTATGCAAATAAGCAAACATTTTTTAATCAACTCCTTCATAATTATTTAGTCATTTACAAAATGTTATATTTTTTAATTTTAAACAATTTTGAGCAGATGATGTTCATTACTGTTTACTAAAATTATCATCACCACTAGCTCTAATCATTAGAAGAGAAAGTTAAGGGAAAAACATGTTTGGCAACAAGTTCACATGACAAAGTCTTGCCACATGTAGCTTGTAGTCTGAAAAAAAGTCACAGCAGCCTTAGGTGAGGACAAGTCACCCCAACACTACTGCTCCTGTGTTAAGGCAAATTTTGTGGAAATCTTTATAGCTGTCAGTAACAAAATTTTGTTGCGTGGATCTGATCCCAAATTCAAACCAATGTGATTGCAGCGAAAAAAAGATATTTAGGAAACTTCTTCATGTTAAGAAAGACAAATTGTTGCAGCAAATTGTTACTACATTATGTTACCATGATTCCATCCCTAGTGTTCCTTGGTCTTAGATTTGTCTGTTGTATGCAACATTAACCTGTCATTTCATATCTCATGCCTTACTGTTCTTTATTATGCTAATTTAATGTTATTTACCCATTCATAAATTTATTTTTAAGAATGAAGTATCAAGTGAAACTCTTTAACAGGTACCTCTTCTCTCCAAAAATTAAAGATCATGTCAAGAAAAAGCCTGAATGTCATTACAAAACCAGCAGCTACCTGTGGTTCTGTATTCAAGTTTTTTGGAGGTATTAGTAATACTTCAGTGTCAGGTTAAAACCCGATAAAGGAGTCCTACAACTCAGTGTCCTCCTCTTAAGGGAGTAAAGTGTAAAATTTCCTGTCAGTAGTAACTTTTATTGCTGCCTAAAATCGTATGGAATTGTTGGAAATTCAACTAGTAAAAGGATTGCCCTGGAGGATTGAAATTTTCATTAGCTGTTGTTCTTAAAATAAGAGAGAAAACTGTCCCATTGACTAACATGTTTAGCTGTGATGATTGGAAAAATTCTCTATGAAACTAATTGATGACAAAAACACTTGGGGGGAGGGTGATGATTGATGATTTTAAACTCAGCATCAATAGCTGATAAAATTTACTTAATATCTGTAAACTAATAAAAAAACACTCTCAGATCTCAGTTAGAGACAATAAAACACTTGGGGGGAGGGTGATGATTGATGATTTTAAACTCAGCATCAATATTTTCAAACTCAGCATCAATATTAATGAATGATTTTAAACTCAGCATCAATATTAATGAGCTCAACAATTCTCTATAAATTTACTTAATATCTGTAAACAAATTGATGACAGAAACACTTGGGGGGAGGGTGATGATTAATGATTTTAAACTCAGTTAATGAGCTCAACAATTCTCATCTTTACTTAATATTGAAACAAAAGGAACATTGACCTCAGCAAATATTTTCAATTCCAAGATCTGTAAACAAATTATAAAAACACTTTATAGATCTCATTGAAACAAAAGGAACATTGATTGTGGATAAACTTTTTGGTTGAAATATTTTATAAATTATGCATAACTTCTGTCACAACCTCAGTGAGCAAAATACAATAATTCAATTGCTACATCAGAAGGAATTCTCAAACCAAAGCTTGTCAAACTAATTTTTGCATTATTCTGTGCGATCATGAAACAATATTTTTATTAAATCCAACTTTGTAGAGAAGAATAAAGATCTATGAGTCAGTTCAATCCTAGGATTAGGCTACAAAGTACATAAAAACACACACCAAAGCTTAGGAAAAGTAGATGAAATAATGAAGAAACTGTTATTTGGAAGAATCAAATTATGAAGCAGGTAAATTAACATGTATGTTGTTTTTGTAAGTGTTATTAGCATACCCATCTCTGAAATCTCTCAGTCCTGGTATGAAGAGGCCAGCAATCATTATGGTTTAGATTTGATTACACACTCCATACAAGCCCTTGAACAGAGTAATCTTAGTAGTCCAGAGGATATTAACATTTGAAAATGAATAGCATTCAGGCCCCCAACTGAGGTTCAGGTGGATTGGATCATACAGAAATGTCAAACATTCCTTTCTTTAAATTCATAACAAGGAGATTTCACATTCACACAGCATGTAAAATTTACAATAAAATATTGTAGCCTAGCATGAACTGTGGAACATGTTTACTAAAAATCTCTTCACAGATGCCTCATTATTACAAGTTCCCATAAGTTCTTGTTCAGTGCAGCAATTTTCTAATATATTGAAGTTTTGCACTTTCATGCAGCTTTGACAAACACAACAAGAATACTTTCTGCACAAGATCACTTTCACTGCTTCTCCTGATATTTTATGTAGCATTTAGGAAAATTACTGAAGTTGAAGCAAAAAGCTGTTTTGAGCATTGAACACCACCATCATATTACAGGAACACACTTCCAACAAATTTTTTACAACAGCCTTGTTCCACATTTGGTCATTAACCCTTTCACTGAGATCTGATAGTTAATTCTCCCCTCTAGCTGCTACCTATTTCCTTGTAAATCAGTTATGAGAATTTAGTGTTAGATCAAGACAACAACTTCTACCTAGTAAGTTAGAGTTTTTCTCAATACCTGATTGTTATTATAGGGAGAAGTTCCATGTTAATCAATTGTGGCAGTTAAAGTGTTAAAAGCACTTTAAGAGAGTACCTTGGAAAGGTTGTACTGGAAAGAACTTTAAAATAAACACCAAAAGATGGATATGAGGAAATAGATTTTACACAAGAAATTCTTTGCTGAAGCATTCAGATTGTACACTTTGTAATTTAACATATTTTTGCTGTCAAACAAAATCAGATTAAATTCTATGTTAAAGTAGAGAGGTTTGCCATTGCACAAGGGCTTCTATAGCATATACATTGTATTCAATACAAACTGTGCATGAATCCAAATATTTTTTGAACTTGGGGATCTTGTCTTGACATAACACCTAATTCTCATAACTAAAATGCAAAAATGTATGATGGTCAATGATGGGAATTTAAAGATAAATCAAGAGACGGAAATTGTTTCAAACAAATCAATATTTTTTCACAAGAGAGTCCAAATAAACCAACTGGAAGGGAAAACACTTTACAAGAAAACTTTTTGACTTGTACAAAAGTGTTCCACTGCCATCTGTGTAACACTGACACAAAGTAAACATTTTATACTCTAGACAATGAAAACTATTAATGGTTGCTTTTACAGACAAAGCAATTTGAATAATGCATTCCCTAATTAGTGCACACTAAAGTGCAAAGGGAAACAATAATAATTACAATTTTTCACTGAAATTCTAAAGGTGTCACATGCCTTTATATTGTAAATTACATTGAGTCTAACTTGCAAACCTATCTATTCATAAGAAATCTGTTCCATTAGTAGGCTTTGGTGCAAAGCTTTTCAAAGTAGGCTTTGGTGCAGGTTTACATTTCTGTGGTATTTACAATTGCTCAAAACTAAATCACTTTTAGTCTGCCTCTTTCAATTGACTAAAACAACAATTTCTTGGAAGGTTTTTTTTAACCCACTTGGTCTTAGTTTCCAAACAAAAAATGCCAAAATATCCTTGAACCCAAAACACATAGTATCTTCATCAGACAAAAACAATTTAAGGTGTTTTTCTAGTTAAGTTCAGTAGAACCCCCCCCATGTGCTTCTTATGTACAGAGAAAGTCAGTCAGATACTCAGTAACACTGGTTTTCTAAACATTTTGTTATTTGAAAAGTAAACACAAAGTGATGAATAAACATGAACAGACAAATTTTCTGCTAAAAATAAATTTCACAAATTGCAAAAATATAAAAAAAACTATCGAAAGCTGTTTTTGCCACAAAACCTTTAAAATTTAGGGTATAAATTCAAGAAATTGTTACTGGTGAGTAAATAATTGATGATATAGAAACACTAGCTTGCATACATCAAGTCACAGGTAGCAATCAGCAAAAAAAAAAGTTACCAAGTGAGTAGTCAGCAATTATTGACAATCCCCTAATTCATTTAAAAACAGAAATATCTATTTCAATGCTCTCACCAATCCTTTACAAAGCAAATAAACAAGTGCTGATTAAAAAGCTGCATGGATGCTCTAGTTAACACATATTTACATATAGATTACAGGATTTCTATTCTCATGATAATTTCATAACACAAAAATAAACACTCCTGCACTGAGTTTACTCACAGGGTGCCAAAGGCAATTAACAGTCTTTAAATGGCTCCCACAGTGAACTGCTCAGTAAATAATGAAAAATAAAACTTATCGACTATTCACCTCTAGACAAACTGATGCAGGTCTAGAAAAAAATTAAGGTTCCTTCTGGATCTTAACTATACACACACACATACACACACCAGAATCCTGATTATCTTACATTTAGTTCATTTTAATTATTTTTTATAATACAAAAGTTTAAGTTTATGGTTATGTTTATGCTCTAATATCCAAACTCTTACAATACTGTCAAACAAGAACAGATGTATGCTATTCATGAGGATTCATGACATTTTCACATTTACACAAACTGACATGTATTGAATATTTTAAACATTTTAATATTTAAGGGGGTTTACCATGTGCAGCTAAAGAGTCTTTATTTAATAACCATTAATTCACTGTCATGTGTATAGACTGAAGTTTAAGGTCCACAATAAAAGAGTTTTAATTTAACTGACAGATGCAGTTACTATGACAAAAGGGATTGTTAGGATCTGATGGAAGGTCATGTGCAGCACCAATATAAGCAGTAATGCGTCAATAGGGTGGTTGAAATTAAAGGAAATGAACAAAATATGAAAAAGGCAGGTGCACACCAAAGTGGCATCAGTTCCAAAGAAGTTAAAGCGTGTTTTTCAACAAAACATATATGGCTCCATGATAATTTAATTTGAGAGCAATTACATTTTTTTTCTTTGGCATGATAATAAAAGAATTTATGAAGAATTTCAAAAGGGCAGTTTCAGAGAGCTATACAGGACAGACTTGCAAGACAGGAGAGAATGTACAAAGGGACTTCAAGTCTGGGAAAAAATTATATAAAAAGTGGGGGAAGGAGTTGGAAAAGTAATATTTCACAGAGACTTGCCAAAAAAAATTGTGCATCATAGGCAAGCTTCACAAAAGAAAAAACCATCACAATTTCAGTTTAACAAGAATCAAGTGGTACAAAGCATTTCAAAGGAGATCATGGCTTGCAATTACAAAGTTTGAGTTAAGCACTCTTGGCATTAGATTGAATACAGACTAGAAAGATAACAGAATGAAAAAAAAGGTAGCAGATCAAGCTGAAATGTGGGGATGGGAATGGGGTGACTGAGACACCAAACTGAGAAAACAACCCAACTCAAATTATTTTCCAATATGTCCTTTGCACAGCTCAGTAGGAACAATGCACCTCTGATCAATTGTGACAAAAGCCCAACAGGACAGTAATTGATTTGTGACAATGTGTAGGAAAGGAGTGTTTTTGGCAATTAGTCCTAGATGAAGTCACCACGAAAAGATTTGTCACAATATTACAAGATTGAACTTTTTTCAGTGCCATTTTCAAGCAGACTGGTGATATTTTCTACGCAAAAATGTTTGGGGGTGTCAGAGGGGAGGGGGCACAACCCATAGATTATCCTTCAGAGCAACTCCATGACCTACGGATAAAGATCAAAGACCATCAAGACAAGAGAATGACAAAAGTATAGAGTGTTTACAGACCTCAGGACCCAGAGCAAGAGTCTTGAAGTCTTGTATCAAGTTCGTAAAGAGAGACAGGCCCTGTCCTTGCTGCAAGAAAGTTGAACAAGTTAATACACATTTTACAAACTAAGATCTGTGCAAATCAGAAGAAAGAGACACACAAGAGTCTAAAGGCTGAGTTGTACTAACAATAATGTCGGAAAGGCCAGAGACCTTTGGCTGAAAGAAAACAAACACAGACATCAAGGCAATTTAACATGCATGGTGGAAAGTAATATTTTTCCAGGGATATATTAAGAGTTATTTCAAATTTACCATTATAAGTAAATAGACATGTATGCTTAAAGTAAATTACTTTATGTGGATTTTTAAATTATTGTTTGCCAAGGTGAGTATTTTGCAAGACAATTGTTATTTCTTACCTGAAGTTCATAAAATTTATTACATGCAGTAATTTTCCTCATATACAGTACAACTGTATGATATTTTAATATCAAAGTCCTGGGAAAATTGTTAGTTTGAACCAAAATTGTTCATAAAAAAAAATTGGTAAATAATATTTCTAACACTTGATGTATGTGTACATCTGTAACATAAAAACTGTCTGCCAAATAACCATGGTACAGTGTATATTAAACATTCAAGTTAATAGCAATTATAATGTTAGAGGTAAGTTGAATTATCATCTAATATTATTAATAATATTAAGATTAATATCACCTGACTCAAATATCGATCAATAAATTTATAATACAATATGTGACTACAGAGATTATTGTATAGGGTATGAATCAATCAAACTTTCTGCAAAGGTGCTTGGACAGCTTAAATAAAAATAAAAATAAATGGAACTACATGAACATGTAAGAGGCAAATGAAATGAAAAAGGAACAAAAATGAAATTGAAACAAGAGCTAAATGACAACTTCTCACAACTGCGAAACAAAGATCTACTGCACACAGTGTTCACCTTTTCACCCCTAAGAGTGACTAGTGTCTAATTTCTCCCCACAATATCAGCCCTGATCAAACATATTGTCATGAGAGTAAAGCAAACGATCACCAACTGAAGAAGCTCTTAATTGCTAAACAAATTTTCCATGTCAACATATTAGGAGATGTAGAGAGAACAGTATCAAGAAAATATATTCTGATGTTAGAGTGTAAAAAGGTAAACTGTCATCATTTAAGGAGGCTTCTCAAGATCAACTTCAACCAGTGTAATCACTTTCAAGTTGTGAAATTTTACAAGACAACATGACAATTTCACCAATGACAGCAATTACCTCATGAAGATTTAAGGTACGTATAATTTTAAATGACTGCAACACACTGCTTTACCAATCAAACAATGATTCATTGAGATGCTTTATAGATTACAAGCATTTGTTATACCCTTCCCAGTTTGTATACAGTAAAGGGTATAAAAATCTTAATTTTTTCCAGATAACCTTGCCTTAATTTGTTCTTGGTTCCAGCCATTCAACCAATATCTCAGTCACAAAAACAAAAATCTTGGAAACAGAACAACTTTTCTTCTCATACTGAATTTAGGGAACTGTAGGCTTGAAACAAAGCTATCTTAATTGACCAGACCAGAGAAAAAGTGAAATCATTACAAAATTTGAAAGCCTCTCTACTACTAGTGCACATTAACTCTTTGCAGTGGAGTAAAAAAAAGGATTTTACTGTGGAATTCATGACCACAGTGCTTTTTCATATAATTTTTCAAAATGTAAGAACATTTTTGCCCAGAGTGTGCACAGTGCTTGCATTTAAAACAAGGTTAAAACTTATTATAAGTATCAATTCATTCAGACCAGCTGAGCATATCGTAAAGCTTGGTAGCAAAACAAGAAGCAGGAAAAAAAAAATGCTTGCAAGAAAAACATTTGGCAGGTTTAAAGACATCAATATTTTTTAGGGAGTAATCAACCAGAATCTCAATTTATGAGACATTACCTTCTGAACAATTACCATCAACACTTAAACCATAAATTAAGAAAACTGTTTTAACAGGTGCATTGCCAAAGTACCATGCCAAAACAAACACATTTGCAATATTACCATAGCCATCACAATTAAGAATGTTATTGCCAGAGGGAAGTTCATCTATTAGATGTTCCTAAGCAGTGTTTCAAATTCTCAGCCGGCATTGTTTGAAAAAGGAAACATGTAGTCTAAACAAAAGTCGGTGTCTTTAATTTGTCAACTTGATGCAAAAAGAATTCAAGAATTTGAACAAAACCAGAAGAAAGATTATATAACTACAAGATGCAGAGTCAACACAACAAAATTTCCTTAATGAGATATGCAAAAAGATTGTTAAAATTTGGTGGCAATTTAGGCAAATGTTAAATTTTTTTTTCATTCATAAACAGTCAAAAATAACCCCTATAGAGATCATACTATTGGCTTTGGGAATGTCAAAATGTTACCAAACAAAGAAAAAATAATACTTCAAATTTTAGTATGTTACAGTTTAAAGCATAATCTTGAATTATCATGAAAAACTTCAAATAGAAGTTCTTTGAAGTTGAAAGTTAATCAAAACCCAACATCAGATAAATTAATGCTGAAAGCATTTGGTCAGATGAAGAAACTGCCTTCGGGCAAAAGCAAGTTAACAGAATACTACTGACATAGCCATCGCTTAATCGACCAGCAAACAGTAACAATTTTAAAACTCCTCCATGCTTATAAACCATGTCATTGGAAATGCAACTCAGCAATAAAAGTCATAATAAAGAGATTTTTCTAGAAAAAGGCGCAAATAATTTTTGTGCCTCATCAAATTTCGAGAAAGAAATTCTTCACTTTTTAATTAATGTTTGGGTTAGTTTGAATTTTTAATAGACTCCAAGACGTAATTGCTATCATTTATCAGTCTTATAACAGTTGCAAATCTAGAACACCAAAATTTGGCAAGTTTTTTTTGCATGAGGAGATAACCTTGTTCACTCTTTGAATCAAGTGTCAGAGCTAAATTCTAACCACAAAAGAAGCGGTTGTGTCTAGCTTCACTGAAATAACCTTTGCCGTGAACTTTAGATCTTATCAATCCCTCTTAAATGCATTTTATATATGGCTTTGTTCTACGTCAGCAACACAGACACATAACCACACCAACTGGTAGGTGTAATGCGAATAATAATTTCAAGTGCTAAACACATGATTGTAAGAGGTAAGATGAAAAAGCAAAGTAATTTGGAATAAGAACAAATATTGCTTAATTCATAGAGCTTCATAAAAGTTTAAATTTTTGTTATTGTAATGGCAAGAGAGAGGATGAAAAAAGGAAATTACCCTGTGGTTTGGGTGACAAATAATACGACCAGATATTTGGTTTCCAATGTACTTCTGCATAATCAATGTGAAGCTACAATCTGTCAAAATACACTTTATTCTTCGCAAAAACAAAAAGTATTCTTTAAACTTGCAAAATGGACGAGTTAGATCACAGCTTAAAGGGCTTTTCAGTCAGACAGGTTTTAAAAATCTGGCTAAAAACAAAAATAAAGGAAATTTCTTATGCTGAGTATTATGAATATTGATCACAATTTAATAATAGAGAGTAAACAAGATAATTTTTATCCAAGTTTGAAAAGTGTACATTTGAAAATTTTCCAATACAGAATGCAGAGGGGCTGAGCAGTTATTTCAACCAGATCTTGACACAAGACAAATATAAATCAGTAAATTTAGCATTATTTACTCAAGGCAGGTTCTTTAAATACAATGCTTTATGAGGCCAGAATGTTTTGATCTAGTAATTATTCCAAACAGAGAATTTCCACTGTGAATACATGTACACTTTTAAAAAAAAAGAAAACATTGTTTTTAAAAAAATAATGCAGAAGTATTTGGAGTGGTTAAATTTTAGACATGTCATTTCATAAGCAAAATGTTTGCCAAAAAAAACGTTGGGTGGGTCGATAATATTCACCTGTACATCACAACTGGTAACGAGCATATTGGAAAAAAGTACTGTTCGAACATTTCACTATAAATTAAGCCATTTCCTACTCATTCCGATATAAAAAAGTAAACTTTTGAAGTACCCTATAATGTTAGCGTCCATGGGGATTTGCTAAAATGCCTAGAAACTTCCATATTCATAAAAAGTAATCCGCCAAGCAGAATTGGAACATAAAATAGTATGTGAAATGTAATACTCCGAGGAATGTTCCCGACACAACAGTCTGTAGCCCTTAAAAATAATCCGCAGGAAATTTTCACTACGGAGTTGTAATTGCAGATTACCATTTTAAAGTTTAAGCCACCGTGGGCAAATGATCGATGAAGCTTACCGATAAAATTGTTCAAGCTTCAGTGAATAAGAAATTATTTTAAAAGTAAATCTACAAAGTGGAAGTTTTTAAAAATACATGAGCAAGGAAGCCTCTAGCTGTCAACACTGTGTTTACTATCAGCTCTGCAAAACCCTTCAGCAAATGTTTTGGAAGATCTCAAGCCTTGAAATAAAATGTTAAAGTGTAAAATTGGAAGATTAAAGTTATACTTTGACTTACCGAAGTCTGAGTGGGCATCGATGCAAGAAATTGTCGAAGAATCCGATATGAAGGTGGGGGAAAAAAGTAGAAAAAAATATTCAGTTATTTTAATCTAAGCGAAATCGAGAACCACAAAGGTTATCCACTACTCATCAAAAAGATCCTACAGTCGTTTAAAATTATTTAAAAATAGAGAGAAAATGTGAATGACGCCTATGATAACAATAGTATCTTTTACACATTTCCCTACGTTGAAATCGCTTAAAAAATTTCATAAATTCACCTGTTTTGTGCCAGGAATAGTAACTTGAACTCCGCACCGCGCACAGACTTTGAGTTTACAATACTTGCACTCTTTACCGGCACCATCAGTAAATTTTGTTTTGTGGCAAATTTCGCAAACATTGTCCTCCTTTAGAGCAGAATCCGCTTGTGCTTGACCACTCTTTCTTTCGACGCGATGTTGATAACTTTCCACCTCCTTCTGTAGAGATCTACAGCAGAAACATGCCAAAGTATAAACACTTGTTTAATTTCCAACCAAGCGTGAAAAAATAGCGAACTATGCAAGCTCAATATAATATAGTGACCAAACGAAGTTCAAACGATTACTTTTCGGAAAAGATATCATTTCTTCAAAGGAATAAAATTAAACACGCCGAGAAAAGCAGCATCAGCTATCGCCAACATGGCGTTATGTAGAAATTTTAGTAGTGGGAATTTAGCTTACAGTTGCAACTGATTTGTCTCTTCTTCCATTTGTTTTTGTCGTTCCAATACGGACTGGATTATTTCCTTTTCCTCCTCGGTTAAATTCGAGAGATCTGGCGGCGGTGGAGACGCCGGTAATCGAAAACCAGCCATTTTCCTCATCCTAAACAAGGAACGTCAGGAGAAACCTTGAGCGAATTTGTGGGGATTCGCCTCAGAACGGCGAACAAGTCCACGCTAAACAGAAAGTTGAGCTCCTAAGATGCTGCAAATCGCTATCTAAGTTGATGCTCAAGCTTCCACGTTTCCACTTCCATCGTAATTTTTCATTCATTCTTTACAAAATTCTCTCCATGCCCAGCAAAAAATTATTGTTAAAACCACAACACTGCCTATATTCCGTGGTAAAACTTGACATATATGCTAATTTTAGCACCGGCCGAATGGCGCAGAAATCGGTAATCTTCGGAGACTGTCGGTAATCTCCGGAAAACTAGTGCAAGTCACGAAGCAACGCGAAGTAGCAAAGTGCTCTTGAAACGTACGGAAGGGAAAGGATGATTCGCCGCGGCGTCCCGCAAATTCAACATTTTCGTGCATTAGATCAGTTTTACAGGAACATAACGTGACCGAAATTACGGGATTAATCTGGTTGGAAAACGTCTCTGGTAACTAGGCTACCCAAGGTTATCAAAAAAAGTTGCCTGCGAAATTGGAATTAACTTGATAATTGCTGCATTACTCAAGGTACTAGACGGTTTAGTTCAAAATTGACTTGTTTAAAACATTTGATCCAAAAAGTTAGCCATACAGTAACCCAAATATTGCGAAAATTATGTAAGAAAGCACCGCAAGAAATTTAGCGCCGAAGTCTTCTCTCTGTTAGCCATTAAAGGGTTTTACTTTACTTATCAACTTTGATTGACATTTTGTTAAGTGTCAGCACCTGCTCCATGGCTGAGTCACGCTATCAATACTAAGCTTCTGAAAACGGACTAATCAGAATGCTACATTTACACTAGAGTAGGACTGGGGCGACTTAAGACCTTGGCCTCAGAGATACCGAGATTATGAGTACTTGGAAAGGCGAGACAAAGGTAAACTTGTTAGCTACAAGGTCACACTGTGAATTTTTTTGCTTTCGGTACACGTTTTTGAAGAGACATGTTGTTGTTTAAGACTTCCCCGCGTCTTATGAACCAAAAAGAGACCATGTGCTATCTGCTTTAGTTAAACAGGGGACCACTCTTCATTTATCGCCGGGAGGGGGGGAAAGGGATCGGAGGAATTTTGGGGGATGGGGATCACATACTTTTCGAGGGGGGAGGGGGGAATTACTACTACAGAGCCCTGAGGGAGGATCATGTAAATTATGGGCCAATTACCCGTGTGATTGGCTCCTGATATAATTTTTTTTTCGTGGCAGAGAAACTAAACTGAGAAAACTTTTTTTCTAACTTTAGAGTCCATTTAGGACTTAGTAATGCTATAAACTTGGATTTTAGGGCAATGCCATACAAAATTATGTTAATTAACCTTTCGTGAACTCAGCGATACGTATAAGAAGCTTCTGCAGACTGTTGATCAATCTATCAATTCAAAAAGGTTTTTTTATCCGTGTATGCGAAGGCTGAACGTACATCTCATCAAAACACTTAACAGCAAGTGCAATTTTGCGAATCTGTCTAATTTGAGTTAATCAATTTCAAGTCACGTTCATAGATGTTATGTCTTCGTTCAAAGCATTTTCATTATTTTCAATCAACTTGGTATGTCGGATATTATTTCTGTGTCACCAATCGAGCCCCTAATTAAGCCAAAATGCAAAAAGATTCTTATCTTGTGACGCTCAAGTTAAGTGATGCGTTTTTTTACAGTGTCATATATATATATATATATATATTTTGTTCTTTCTAACGCAAAAGTAAGATGTAGCAGATTGAATCGTTTCATTTTGCAGAGCTCTCTGAAAGGGGAGTCTCTACGGCCACCCTCGTATTTCACGTCAGCTAGTACTTTGAAGCTTTGCGCAGGGATCCAACTTTCGATGAATTTTCAGGAAGAAAAACAATTTGATGATTGCCTGTATTAAATTAATGCGATAGGTTTTTATCTCCAACTTGATTTTGGCGGATAAACCGAAAAAAAAATCGTTACACGAGTGTCACTATTGTTAGGTTGGGGATAGAACGCTGTACCAGCTATTTCTGGCCCTGAGGAGAGGGAACTTTGTCTTCAGTGAGGTGTCTTAATAGCATTTGAGGGAATACCACGTCGTAATGTCATTTGAGGTTATCGCTATTTTAGCAAGGGGGAGGAGCGACACGAGTGCCTCAGAATACCAACACCCCTCCCCTAAGCTGCTGTTTTTCTGGCCACAGCACCTATGTACTGTCGAGTTCAGCTGATTTTGGATTTTGGTGAACTGCCTGTATTTTCTGATATTTTAAAGTTTTATTTCGGTGATTTTGACCCGCTGATATTTAATTAAATTAAAACATGGCCCATCCAAATTTTGTGACAAAAAGACAAATACAGAAAGGATTTATAATATAAACCATCACACCCACCCACTTCCCCGATTAATACAATCGAGACCCAAAGAATTCACGATCAAAGATTTTCACTCCACCTACTCTATTTACACTCGTTATATCTCTAAAATTTACATTTCAGATTTCGTTCCTAAAATGTATCTGGAGTGATACTCATTCTCTTAAAAATGAACAGACATCAGAGTTTACGGTGTGAATCACGAGTATGGCTTCGCTATTTTCTGCTCTCTGACGGATAGGGAAGATTACAAATCTTAAATCCGAAAAGTTTTTAAAACTTTCACAAAGTAGCGCCCGCTGATTCCAGTCAGCGGCTACTCGTACATTTCATGTCACGGCAAATATTAGTTTTTTACATACGTATGATACAAATCTAAATTCGTTATTGATAGGATATAAAAACCCTTCTTTTTTCAAAATAGTATTCGCTAATAAATCCGTCGGCTATGTCTGACTCTGTGAGCTTCGAATCAACTCTTTATAGTATTTCTAGAGTATGCAAGGTATGAATTAACAACAGTCAGTTCTTTAATCAAAAGCATTCATTTTTACTGTCGACCATTTAGGCATCAGCTTCGAATGTTTGGCGCGAGAAGTCTGGGGAGAGTAAAAGATACTCTCTACGGAGGGATAAGGTGTCAGCCCTCCCCATGCCCAGCACTCAGAGTTGTTTTACCCTCTCCAGAGATCTCTTTTGGCAAATAAATCCAAACTACAGCCTAGCGATCGAATGTCACAACCCAATGGGTTTAACTTGGCGCCAAAATTTCCCAGGACTATTCACAGTCCTTTTCAGGCGTATATGACGCGACACTTAGCACGTGACCTCAAAAGGCACGTTAAATTGCCACCATATTTGGCAAGTTGAGGTGCACTGTTTTTTTCTTTGCATCTCGTCCAGTGAGATAATACGTAACCAACTGTCCTTTTCCTTTGACTTTTACAGGTCCGCGGTAGATGAACTTAAAGCCCCTGTCTTTCAGAATCTCATACGTCTGCTCTGTAACCTGCAAAAACAATAGCAAGTTCCTCTAAATCATTGAAGCTGCCACGCGAGTGTCGCAAGCAGGCTTCGACACGCGTGCGAAGTTCGCACGTTTCCAGGCGGCCAGCGATGCGAAGTTCAAGAAGCTTAATGCCGCAGTGCTTTTGAGAGCCTCCTCGCAGACTGCGCAATTTATTGGTTATGAAAAAAAGTTTCGGTATATACATTTGCAGAAAAATAAACACTTGCAAACGACATTTGAAAGGAAAGCTTCCTGAGGAAGCTGTTGAACTCTCGTTTTAATATTTTTTGGGTAACGGTCTTCATCAAATCATCTTCTTTGGCAAAATTTTTTCTTCAACAAGCTTTTCCCTTAAAATTTCTCGGCCCAATAGCTAGCAAGACAGTACTACACATTCTTAGCATCGGTGTTGAAATTTCTAAGTAGTGCTATGAAAAATTTTCCATGTTCCATTTACCTTTTGCACCTCTCAACTAAGAAACAATACGAACCTGCATATAGCCAGCTTTTCCTGTACTTTCCATCCTGCTTGCAACATTTACCGTGTTGCCCCAAATGTCGTAGTGCGGCTTTTTGGCGCCAATTACTCCGGCTACAACAGGACCTTGACAGATTCCTTAAAAAAAAGAAAGGAAAATTGTTAATTGGAAATACCGAAGGTTTTGGAAACGGACTTTCACTTTCTCTTCGTTTGTCCAAGTAGGGCCACTCTCGACTTATTTACTTTCTATAAACTTACAGAGGGAAACTAAATGCGATAACTCACCCACTCTTAGGACAAATTGATTGAAGCATTCTGCATTGATAGAATCCAGTTTGTCTCTTAAGGCAAGTGCAAAGTCCACAACCGTCACAACTTGTTCCCAGTTCTCACTGTGTTGAGACTGAACATCGAAACAAAAAATAATTAGTACTCGGATGTGAACGACAGTATCAACTTTTTCGTTCTATTGCTATTGGTACCAAAAATTAGACCGAAGATTTTCCGCGAATAATCTTGTTTTGTCATCATATCTTGACAAATTAGTGATAGGCTTAGCTTCTAAGTTTCGTCATGTTTTCAATTCCTCTTAGGGACGAGCCTGGCGGGCGGGAGGAAGCCTAAAGAGTTTTAGAGGATCACATGGTTTTCAAAGGAGGAAGGAGAGGGAGGGGGGATCAGTCGTTGCTCGCAGAGTATCAAGAGGGAATTATAGTAGATTGACTGCCAATCAGGGGAGGTGGGGTGGGGTGGTCATTAGAATACTCCAGAGCCTTTGGGGGATCAAATGAATTTTATTCTGACACAACAAAAATCCTCCTTTACAAGTTGAGGAGTTGAGTTGTGGTATTTTGGTCCTTGTTCTTTATCTTTTTACCTCACATTCTGGTTTGAGCCCTGCAGCCGCCATATAAGTGCTCTTGATCGTTTTGATTTTCTCAATACTTCGAAATCTAGCCTCTGCCAGAACCTGGAAAACAAATGAAAATTAAATAATATATCTTCAAATTCAATAAACTTCCATTAAAATTTTGATGGAGTAATTTTCAATTGAGGGCAGAAAGTAAGTCGGGATTGCATTGGTTTTGTTTTATTTTGCTCTGTGATTGGTCCAGAAAACTTACACCTCTCTCCCTCTACCAATCAGATGCAAAACTAGAACCAATCACGACTTGGTGCCTGCATTTTCCCGCGCTTTAGGCAGATTGTTGTTTTTTTTAAATTATTTTGAATTCTCATTGGTTATTGCCGTTTTAATTACTTTGTTTTTGCTTTTACGACACTCAATTGAAAAGCGCTCAAAGATTTTAACATACCAATAACCAATTCAAGCCCTTGCAAGTTTGTTTGCAAGTGCTCAGGTTTTACGAAGGATACCCCACGTGGGGGAGGGGGAGGCAGCTGCCTTGTCTCTAGGAACCATATTAACCCCTTCACTCCCATGATCTCATGAGTAATTCTCTTTACTGTCTGTTATATATTTCTTAAGATGTTATTTTGGAGAATTTGGTGTTGGATCAACTTATAGTCCTTAAATTGTCATTTTTCTTCATTCTCATCACTTGTCTGATTGATATTGTATTGATATTGTAAGGAGAAATTCTGTCTTGGTCACTCCTGGGAGTTAAAGAGCTAAGTGAATGTCAGTGCAAAGGTTGTGAATTTCTTGTGTTACTATTAGTTTCACTATACCTCGTCAAAATCGTTTATGATCTCGTTCAAGAACCTAATGCATTCCTTTCCGCCATCGTTGATTTGATCTTCAGAGTAAAACTCGTCAAAGTTTGGAATTGAAGCAAACATGACCGTCACGTACTTGTATGACTGGCTGTACAGGTCCTGTCACGCAAAACAAAAGAAATGTGTCATGCAACGCTATGATTTCAACTTGACTTTCGTTCGTTACTATTAAAATGTTTCGAGTTAAGGGCGCAATCTCATTTCAGTTCATGAGAGTTTTGAGAAAAGCCGAGACTTTTGGGATTTTGTCAACAGATCATGTAGAATTTGTCCATAAACCGAACAAAGTAAAGTTCTGTTTTCACACAAATACCACCTTGAGTCTTCGACCAATGAAAGACAAGCACTAGAAGACTTGGCGCGAGTGGTAGAGTTTCCCGCGTTTTCTTAGCCAATCACGTGAAGCCTACACCATGATTGGGTTTGAGAGATAAACCATAATACTCACAAATATGAAAATGACGCAGCATCCAACCTACCGTTTCGTCTTTATTCTGATGTTGTAGAAAATAATCCGCCACGTGTTCAGGTAAAATGTTGTTCACTAACTTTTGATTTCTTTCCCTGATTTTTTCTAATTCTGTTTTCTTTTCAAAAGCCTGCAAAAAAAAATTACATCTTGCACCTCAAAAAAGAGTTTCCCGAAGCGCGCTCTAAAGGAGTCTAAAGAAATAATCGGAAGGTCGTTCGTTCGAGCAGTCGGAGTTCTTTTTTTCTCGAGTATGCCCGTGTCATTTATTGAATATCCTCGTCTTTCATTTAAAAAGTTTTCCTTTCGTATATAAACGCAAAATGACTCGTGGCACAAAGAGGTTGTCATTATGGAATCAAATATTCAAGCATACCTCCATTTTCCACAAGAACAACAGACGTGCAGTTCGCTCAGCCTGAAAGAGACATTTGTAGACATTAGCCAGGCGTGTGCAACATATGCGCGCACGTGTCTTAATGAACACCACATACACTTCTACTGCCTACTCAATCATTGAAAAAAGTGAACACATGGGGTGTTTTACTCAATATATCTCTTACTTGTCGGCCATGAAGGACAAGGATGCAAAAACAGAGCCCCATGATGACAGACGAAAAATACTTCTTTGGAACAAACGATGTGTTTCTATCAAGAAAGATCAGAGAATAAAAACGAATCAAAAGAGTTAAGAAAGAGAGGGAACTGTACATGTACAGACAGGGACGAAAAATGAGATAATGTAAAGGAAATGAATGGGTCGGCGAGAAAGACGTACAATTCTTTTTCATTTTTGCTTTCTTCAATCTAACCCCTCCCCCCCTCCGTGCCTATTCCCTCATCTCTTTTCCCTAATTCCCTATCACTCGTCACCCATCCCCCATTGCAACCCTATTCCCTGCCCCCATCCATCGTTCTCTATCCGTTGTAAACTTTCTTCTATTCCCATTCGCTATCCCTTATCCCCCTTTCCCCTATCCACCCTTTCCCCTATTCCCTATCCTCCTTTCCTCGATCCATTTTCCCCTATCCCTTTTCCCCTATTTCCTATCCCCTATTCCCTATCCCCTATCCCCTGTCCCTTTTCCCTTATCCCCTATCCATCCTTTCCCCTATCCCCTTTTCCTCGATCCCTTTCCCCTATTTCCTATCCCCTACTCCCTATCCCTGTTCCCTTATTCCTTATCCCCTATTCCCTATCCACCCTTTCCCCTATCCCTTTTCTCCTATTCCCTATCCTCCTTTCCTCGATCCCTTTTCCCCTATCCCTTATCCCCTATTTCCTATCCCCTATCCCTTTTCCCCTTAACCCCTATTACCTATCCACCCTTTCCCCCATCCCTTTTCTCCCATTCCCTATCCTCCTTTCTTCGATCCCTTTTCCCCTATCCCTTATCCCCATTCCCTATCTACCCTTTCCCCTATCCCTTTTCTCCTATTCCCTATCCTCCTTTCTTCGATCCCTTTTCCCCTATCCCCTATTTCCTATCCCCTATCCCTTTTCCCTTATTCCTTTAACCCCTATTCCCTATCCACCCTTTCCCCTATCCCTTTTCTCCTATTCCCTATCCTCCTTTCTTCGATCCCTTTTCCCCTATCCCCTATCCCTTATCCCCTATTTCCTATCCCCTATCCCTTTTCCCTTATTCCTTATCCCCTACTCCCTATCCAGCCTTTCCCCATCCCTTTTCCCCTATTCCCTATTCCTTTTCTTACTCAGTTGCTCAAAAGTTGGGACAATCGGGACAGGCATATTCCCAGTCGCCTATTTCCTTCCCCTACCCCTTGTCACCTATCCCCGGTCCCCCGTTCCCTGTCCCCTATCCTCTATCCTCTATCCCCCGTCCCCTGTTCTATATCCCCTATCTTTTTTGACTAAATCCATCCAGCACGATGTTCCTCACCTCAAGCCTATCCTTCGCTGTTTCTGCCTTTACGCTCCATAAAACCAAATACCTCCTCTCTCCTAATCCATTCTCTCTATATCCATATACTCTATGTCCTATCCATCGTCCCCATCCCTATTTCAATCAGCAAACCCTGATCACCTGCCCCCCTTTGTCTTATCTCCTATCCCCCTGTCCCTCGCCCTAACCTGTATCCATCCAACATCATATCCTTTTAACTTGCTGTGTACACTAACAATCAATTTAGAAACTTACTCATGGCTATAGTGCACATAAGCGTCGTAGTTGTCGTAAATGTCTTGTTGAACAAATATGTTGATGGTGCAATAAGTGAGTAACACACCCAGTGTTAATAAAACCTTTAGTGAATGACTGAGTTGGACTAGCACAGAGATTCCTACTAGGATCAGGATACCATTGTAGTAGAAATACTAGAAACAAACAAAATTAAACGAAACATAAAGTTAAACAACATTTATTGGAGGAGAAAATAACAAATAACCTAAAAATCAGCGAGAGTGACGCGAGGGGGTGTTTGAATTTTTCCATCTAATCCGGTTTTGAAGTGACTCGCTTTTAGAAATGATCGCCTTTTCTAGTCACCAGAAAAAAAATGTGCGGAAAGGCTAGGTCAGCAAAACCTCGAGAGGATAATATCTTTATTTCAAAATGTATGAGTTGAAAAAATCTTTTACTCCACAAAGTGAACTTGGTATGGAAGGTAATAACCGTTCACAACATTTCCCGAATCTCTCTCATTTTCTTCAATAGGCAAAAAAAAAAACAATACTTGACTTCACGTTAAGATTTGCATTTCCAAAGCTCTTGCACTTCTCACTTCTCAAAGGCGGAGAAGTGTGGCAGAAGAGGCAGATATGGTCGAATCTGAAGTTTCAGCCACCTCCGCCTCGTCCCAGTCCTCCGAGGGGCAGAGAACGGAAAGAGACAAGGCTTCCTTTAAAAGATTAGGACCAAGAGACAGTTCACTTTCCAGTTACTGAGCTTTGTGCAACTACGTACCTGAGGGTATTCACAGGACGGACTTAAAGGATCAAGATACTCTGATCTGTTATATCTAAGCGCCACATCTGTTTTGTCCAGTTTCGTTGCTGTACAACCAAGCTGAGGAGGGCGTGAAAAACAATCACATTAAGTTACCTGTCTGTTCTGTGCTTTTGCACAGCGGTCAAACGTGTGCGCAAGTGCTAACGTTATAATGACGGTAACGTGCTTTCAAGCTGTTTGAACCAGGTTGTCGTACAAGCCGGTAAGTCACGGTGTTTTAAAAGTAAACAACCTTTTTTTTTTACAAAGCTCAAAGTAAAATGGAAAATCACAGAATACTCATAGCTTTGTACTCGAAAAGCCTCAAGGTTTTCTCTCACCCTATTTTTTTCCTTGAAACAATTTATAAGCACGCTTCAGTTTTTTCGCATGTTTTGCGTGATAACGAAACAGTCCTTTGAAACAGGGCGCGGGAAATCGGTGCACAGTTAGCCAGAGTTGATTCCCTTGCGCATGCCCGGCGTTTAACCGCTGTGCTCAGTTTGCATGTCCTTCTCGTTTTCAACGTAGCATATAGGTTACGCGTCTAGAAAACATTTTAACGACTCAGCTAATATTTTGTTTGCTGTCTTTCCTGAAAAATACCAAAGTTACAAAATAAATTCGGGGACATAGAGATGATGGGTTCATATATTCAGTTATCGTTCCAGAATGGCTTGTAATTTAGTTTTTCTCCTACCCAGACCTCGCACGGACAATGTCAATCATATAAGGTTAGACCTGGGTACGAAATTGAGGGAAGCTTACCATGTCAATCAATTCTGTTCCAACCAATAATGATACGCTTAAAGCAGCGAGAAGCGTCCGAGCTGGTTTACTGCTATCGAGGACGTTTGAAATATCCACCAAGAACTTGGGGAAACACTGAAAAAAATATTCCATATATAGATAAATTTTTAACGTAGTAGGTCCGTGTTTGAAGAAAATTGTTTCCTTAGGAGGTAAACATTTAGCGAACGTGTTGGACTCGGAAGAAATCTAAGGACTGCGTGAGATTCAAACTCTGGCAATGTATGATTTCGCAGTTCATTACTCTGCAACTGAGCCAAAGAGAATTCAGCGGTGAACCAGTCACCCATCCAACAAGAGCTTATCCGGCTAGGAGTATCACTACTCCTCCCTGGATGCAATTTCATCACAAGGTTACCCTCCAACATTTCATCAGGCTTACCTGACAATTCATCGGTAGCCATTGAAAATAAAATGCTTTGCCTAAGAACACATTGACCCGGCTACGAATCCAGCGCACTAACCACTTCGCCACTGCGTCTATCGGTGATCCAAATTATGTACTCATTTCATTTATTCCTTTGATATCTAAAACTTATGCCAGACATTGAATGATAAAAATCAGCAGTAGAAAGCTGTCTCTCACCTTTGGAAAACTGACAGCAGCTGTCAGGACCGTGGGAATTGCCAGGAACAGGAATCCCAAGGAAAACGTCAAATAGTTTCGTAAAGATCTGTGCGAGACAAAATTACCATGAGATACTTCGAAATAAATGATCCTAATTTTTCTTTCGTATGCGTTGTGGAATTAATTTAACCGTCCCTTCATACCAGATCTCTACGACGACACAAAGACAAAACGGTTATTGATTGGCGTTCGGTGTGGCACTTTTTCCATAACAATGAAAAAATGACTGTTTACTGTAGAGGAGGAAAACCTCCAACTTCCTTGAGATTGTCGTTCTTGAGACCGCTAGTGACAAATAGATGTCAGTAAAATATCTTCATTTCCAGCCCCCACTCTTCACTTTCAATACCTCCACTAACCCCCCCACCCCTCCCCCCGCCTCTTACTTACCTTGGTAAAATTGCAAGTTCAACAAAGAAACAGAAGACGATGATAACGCAGAGGCAAAACAGCGACCCTCCACTCATTTCTTGTTTTTCCAGGGCATACTGTAGAAACAATGCATAAGAAAATATTGTCAAAATGAAACAGCACTACCCAGATGTTAAAGCATAACCGTTTTGTCGTCAGGGCCCCTGTTGATACCAGTCTTATGACTTATGACCGTAGCTTTTCCCAGCTTCCTTAGCTTGAAGTGACTGGGAGTATTGCAACTACTCCTCCCTGCGTATGATGCTAGTCCATCGCAAAGTTACCCCCCCCCCTCCCTCCCTTAGCCAGTCATCAGGCCAGTATTCAGTTATACTCCTGAGTGGAGAGAGAGAGAGGTCGTGAAAGTAAAATGTTTCGCCCATGAATGTAATACAATAAGCCGGCCAGGTCTCGAGCCCAGACCTCTCCAACCGGAGTCCATCGCAGTAACACTACGCCACCGCGTCTCCCGATGTAAAACAGATGGAGATGTTCATATTGCATCAAAAGTCACGTAGGCTTTTCTACCATGGAGCTCTTCAAATAAATAGTGAAAATTTTGTTTTTACCTGGAACTCACAGTCACTTTCCATAAATCGTAGAGTAAAAGGATTCATTTTCTCCTTGACGCTAAAGAAAATTAAAAGATGAGATAATTACTTACAGTGGAATATTGCAAAAATAAAATTAAAAGCCATTAATGAAAAGCTATGGTAGCTATTTCTTTATTCATCTCGTTTTTTTAAGTGTGCATTTATGTATTTCAAAATCCATACCCTCCTGCTCTCTCATCAAGAACGTCTGACAACAGTTTGTTCAGATTTTTTTCACTGAAATAATCAACAATGAAGAACGTGTTAAGGAAGAACGAAGATGTTTCGGCAGTAAATTTCAGAACCCATAGTTCTAAGAAATAAACAGAGTTTACTGTTGGTGTTTCCAGACTCTCTTTAAACATAATCATTGGAACACCAATGCAGCATAATCTCAAGATTTACTGATTTTGCAAAACAGAAAACATTTTTAGAAATTACCAACCATGTTGCAGTCGAGGAGTCTGTCTTTTCCGACTCTTCCTCCTAAAATGAAGAAAAAATTCTTTTACATCCAGCATTTACATCAAAAACAAGAAGTTCACATCTGACCAATCACGAAGAAAGTTAGAAAATATAACCAGTATTAACCAATCAGTATTCAGGACAGAAACGTTACGAACGTGCCAAGAGCGTGAAAATATGCAATCTGCGCCAATAGCGGGAAAGCATGCCGCCCGTGCCAAGAGTGAGGTAACATGCAGCCTGCTCCAGTAACGGGAAAGCCGGCAGCACATGTAAAGAGTGGGAAACATACAGTTTTGTGTAAACTATGAGAAATCATTTTACCTAGTCCTTTCTTAAGGACTGTTCGTTTACAGGATCTTCTTGTATCAATTCAAATAGTACTTTTTAAAGACTGGTTTTAAAGTTTATAAACGAGAGAGAGGAGATACATGAGTCTGATAAGGAGAAACCAAACCAGTGATTTAGATAACTGCGAGCGTCTTAACGATAAATTGAGAGTGAAAATCATTCACTTACATCAAAAAGAGAAACCCTTCTAAACTCCATATCTTCTCTGTTAATAATACGTTGTTTATCTCCCGTAATAAGCTCCACTATCGGTGACGACGTTCGTCTTTTTTCTTTTGAAGAAGGCTCAGTCAGCCACATGGCATCCACGCTTTCCTGCCAAAGTAAACAAACAAACAAAAAAATTTTAGCACTTTACATAGCAAATAGAAATAAGTATGGGCTGCAAGAGACTTGCGTTCATAGGATTGAGGTTTTTCTTCGCGTCTTTCCAGTTGTCTTACCATATCATCCATTTATGTCAGATGAATAAATTTTATAGCACTTTTTTATCAAGTGACGTGAAACAAAAACCCAAGTAATCACGTCCACCGATCAGAAGAAAGTAAATGTCAAGAGCAGCTAATGAGACCCGAAGCGCGGGAGAACGCGGTTGACCAAGTCGTAATTGGTTTTATTTTGAATCTGAGTTGAAAATGGTGCGGGTTTTTAGGAAGTAAAACGAAACAAAAGTAATCCCACGTTACTAACGACACTCAGTTAAAAATACTCTTAAAGAAGAAGACTCACCTGGCTTGGGGATGAAGCTGTTTTATCACCGTCTTCGTTTTTTCTTCTCACAATCAGGAACGTTTTAACTCCTTGTTCTTTAATGAAATCATTTCTAGTGTGACCCTCACCCGGCTCGACATCGTAATCCAGTTTAACGCAGTTGTATGTGGGCTCTGATATGTGAACACGACTGTAAGAGAAAACGATGATTAGGGGAAAAACAACCTGATAAGGGCGTGGATAGCACAAGATCTCCTTCATCTTTAGCAAGAGGAAATGATAGCTTATGAAAATAAAACAGACTGATATGTTTGTAGTTGTCACTGAAAATATTTGTTCACGGTCCGCTTACTTGAAAAACCCCTCTGGGTCTCTGATCCATGTCACATTTCGAGATCAGCACCGAACAAATTTATAATGGCCATGAAGAAACAAGGCGGTATAAGAAATACTATCAACGGACGATGAAAAAAGTGGGGATGACACAAGGCGAGAGCTATTGACTGCAACCGCAGTGGCCTGGACTCGAAACCGTAACATTAGGGTTTAGTTTCTCGCCAAATCGACCTTGTTGCACACGTTCCTGCAACCGAGTTCCAAACCTCACCGAAAATTACGTGGATAACTTATTACCTCATCAGACTCGAGTAAACGCGCGTACCCACAAACAACCGCACAGGAAAATAATACTTTTATTATACCAACCCTGGTATTCCACCGGATTCCATGCTGTTAGCAAGTGTGACGTCATTTGACCAAGCATCAAATTGCCACTTAATCTTTCCAAGGACTCCGGCGAGCACAGATCCTGTATGGACTCCAACGCGCATATCTAAAGTTTTCACGCCGGTTTGTCGCCTGACCTTGCTGTGGGAACAGAAAAAAATACATCATTGCTATTCGTTCAAAAATATATATCACAAACACGGCGTTAGATGGCTACTCACGCTATGTGGCTTATCATGTCACGTCCCATTTCAACAGCACATTGCGCATGCGCTTTGTTGTCATCCAGGCCTGCGATGCAATAGTAACAATCTCCCAGAATTTTGATTCTTTGACAGCTGTTTTTCTGCATAAAAAGGAAGACAGAGTGAATGTCGACATATCAGGAACAGCGATATTAACTTCCGCCTGATAAGCTTGAGTATTCTCATTAACTGTTTGCTGGATTTTGTATAGATATTATAGGGAGAAGTTACGTGTTAATCACTTCTAGGATTGAGTTTATAATTAGATAATTAGGTCAAATAAATAGGAACTTACTGTCCCAATCTTGTCAAAGTTAGCAAACAACTCGTTCAGTGTGATAATTAACTCCTCCGCTGTGCACTTAGAGGAGAGTTCCGTGAACCCAACGATGTCAGCAAACAGGATGCTGAAACGAAAAGGAAATCGTTTAAAATTTCATCTTAGCATAGAGAACCTAAGTTTTACATTTCCCTGAGTTTTAAAGTTTTCTCACCAGTTCTCTTTGAAAAGTTAACCCTTTAGGGGTTTCCTCTCTAAAAGGGGATCAAAATCACAATTACCTGCACTCCTGATGTCGTCTGATAAACAGTTTGTTAAAAGCTCCGTCTTTCAAAAATGTTCCATCATTTTCTAAGTCATTAACCATTTCTGTGGCTACGTGTTTGGGAAGGACTGAGTGAAGTAATCGTCTCTACAAGAAAAAAAAGGGAAAAACTGCATTAACACGCTGTTAGGTGCTCTACAAAATGAAGAGTGCCAAACAGCGAGATAATGAAGCTCGGAATCAAACAAATATTTATTTCTTGTTCTAGATTAGTCCAAACGCACCACCAAATATAAAAATCCAAGTGATATTCCCCCGTTTTCAAACCCTACGTCCAGTACGACAAGTCTTCGTTTAGAATTTAATTCAAGAAGAAAGAGTGTTTTGCGGTTTTTATAGGGGAAAGGAAATGTTTGAGAGCTGTTTGCATCTCGTATATGATTGGCTGAGCCGTAGGTGTAGGGGGAGCCTTCCCTCACTTGAAGGGTAATTTTCCATCCCTCATAATCACGACACAGAATATTACGATGCAACTCTACCCAACTACTGGTTTGTTACTAGGTAACGATGATTGACGTGCGGTTACCGGAATAACCCACCTGTTGTCGATTTTCCGATTCCAAGGCGATTTTCACCTCTAATGACTGCCTAGTTTCCAGAACAGATCTTCTTTGTCTTCTGTCAGCGATATAAGAATCTATAGCACCAATAATATTGCTGCAGACGAACAGAAGAATGTTTGCCCCCAGCTGTTGATAGAGCAAAAAAGATATGGATGAGATCGCCATAATTCTAATTATCTGTGAATTCACGATGGAAAGGATTTTTGATCAAGTTTGTTTTGGCTAGCTTGCCTTGGCAGTGAAAATTGTAAAATATGACAAGTTTTTCCTCTAAAAATATTTTTATTCAAAAGCTTGACAGCTTTTAAACAAAGAGAAAAACCTGTCACGGATGAACTTTGCCAGACGGAATGAATTGCCAAAGACACCTGACAAAGAAATTACTGTTCATTTGAGGTAACCATTATTTATATTTACGGTTTTACGTCGCAAGTGCAGTTGAAAATCGACCTTCCTAATCTAGGTAGCAAACAGTAAAACACAATACAGTCAATACAGCCAAAAATGAAGAAAATCACATTAAAAGCTTAATTAAACTGAGAGAACACCGCCTCTTCCTTTGCAATCTGTCTACTTTGGACAGCTTCGTTAGTTCACATGAATATGTTTCCTACCTATTTATCAGAACGGGTACTTTTAGGTTATTACTTGACGCTGTCGAAGCCAACTTTTTCTGTGTATCTACAATCAACTTCCGTAGTTAAAAGAGTTCTAATATTGTTCGTTTTGGTTTCCAATATAAAAGTATAATCTATAGAGTCATTTATTCCTATCAAAATATTATCCCTTGTATTTGCCGAGCAGCAGGAGTTCAGATCTCACTTCCTGAGAAACTCTTCAACTGCAAGACACATTGGGGAAAATTTCAGTCAACGATCACCCGTCTGTCATTAGGAAGTCAATAAAACATAGCTAGGAGGAAAGGCTTTTGACAGGCCTTGATAAAATGTACAGTTTTTCAGCCAAGTCAGCTACGGGTTTCAACATTTTGTGCAACAAAAAGTGGTTCGCAACGCTTGGAAAAATAAAATTTTGTTCTGCCTCCAGAAACATCGTTAGCAAAATGTCGACCAACGGTTCAGATCAAGTGACCGAGAAATAATTAAAAAAAAGGCTAGTCGCAGATGTCCCGTGAAATCCATTTCAGGTGAATACAAAGGTTTCAAACTAGAAATCCTGGCGCCTGCTAGCCATATTTCCAGCCAAAATAAAAGCGATCTTTTTAAAAGAAAAATAAACTCCAGATACGTTTGAATTTCGGCGCCGACTTTCTGATTCTTATTTTCAGTTGCGTGCAACAGTCTGTATCATATCACATTTCAAGCCCGTGGGGAAAAACAAAAACATTCCGGCCGTTATCACCTTGGTAGCAACCGCTATTGTTAATTTACACACAAAAATAGGTTTACTGTTTACAGCTGCGACCATAAGAATCATAATATTTTTGCTATATTCTTTTCTTTCTTAATGGAAAATAATGATATCTAAAAGACGAATTATTTGTAATTAAAACCGAAATTGTATGAAATTCAGATGTTACCAAGAGATATTAGATGGTCAATAAGCCTATTGAAAGCCGAATTTGACATCGTTGCGTTGGTCGATTTCAGGTTTGTCTTAAAGGAAGCTTTTAGAGTTTTAGCTATCTTTGACGAAACAATTCATTACTCAAATTACATCGCCGGTGATAAATTTTTCATGAAGACCGCTATTGGCGTTCCACTGCTAGTGACGCATTCTGTCTGCCATGTGACGAGGTAATAAGTTTCAAAGTCATTATGTACGAGAGACCTTTGTAAACAAAACCTATTGCCTCTCACTTTCATTACAGCGCCATATGCAGGATGATATTTCTATTAATTCACAAAAGCTATTAGCTATAAAGCTTTTCAACGTAAAAAAGAACTCGCGTCTACGTTTTCGTCAAGAAATAAATTAAACTCTTAAATAACTGGCTAGTCTTGATAGGGGTGTTTCCAGTATTATGCTTAAAGTAGACTTGGTTTAATTATTTTGTGTTGCTAGGCTAGATACAGTAGAAACCCAAAATGATGAATACATTACGCAACCAGAAAATTTTCTTTCGCACTGACAGAATTAGTTTTTCAGGTCTAGCGTCAAACGCACGAATAAATTAAGTATTGGGTTATAGATTCAAAGACAGTTTATGTTAAGTTTAAAATAACCGAAGCTTTTACAGCAAATCTGCAAAACTAGGAATTTTTTTTCGCATTTAGTTCTTTCAATAAGCCATAATTTCGTCAGTTAACTTTGTGAAATTTGTGCTTTTAACGCAAACGTTTTGGTCGTAAATAAGTCTGGTCACCGTAGCAACTCTACAAAACTCTGAGCGATAAAAAAAAGGTTAAATTTGGAAAAAAAACACTCTTGCTAAACCGTTGCGAAGAAACGAGTAAGTTTTGCATCATATAATGAGGCTCGTTTCGCTTATTTGCTCTTAAAGAGATGTTGCTGTAATAATATTAAGATTTTCTATTGTAAATATAGTGGCGCTTCAATATCGAGAGAACACGATCTCGAGAAACAACTTTAGCAGCTAATTTTGTGTGCGTGTCCGGCCAAACTAAGCAGAAGTTGAGATTGTTTTGCTCTACCTCACCAAGAAAATTGTCGCTCTTAGGTCGGCAAGAAAGTAAAGAAAGATTTTTATTTTTAAATACTAAGGCAAGGATATAAACATGAAAGGAAAACCAGATGGTTCTAGGTTTTCTGTATTGTGGCATCTCTCGCGGAAGACCGGCAATTTAAATCACGCTTTGACATATATCTGCGCTAAAAGACGCGACATTGCGCGTGGTATAAATACACGGGTATGGTCCAATTTTCGACGTCAAAACAACGAAATAAGACCTCGGAAGATCTTAATAGTGGGTAATTAGCGAAACCTTGCAAGCGTTCCTGATAGGGGACTGCAAATTCACTTTCATCATTCACTTCTCAAGTGGGCCGTTAGGTTGTTTCGACATCAGAAGTATAAATTTGCCACAACTAATAAGTTTTCTTCTTTGCCTACCGCGATTTTTAAAACTCTCCGAATTAGAAAACTTATATTTACTTACCTGCCTTCCAAAATACTCTTTATTCTGTGTAGCAAAACTGCTAGTGATAACTATATGTCCAACAGCAGTTAGGAGCGACATGGCAGCACACAGTGGCAAACTGGCGGGTAACATAACGTTAGTGATAAACATAAAAAACAGGAACATCCCAACGGAATCACTTGGCACCAGAGGATCGTAACCGATAGCCAAGTCCACTTGCAGCTGGAAGAACACTGTAAACCATACAATATAAGGCAGGAATTTAAAAACTCGAGCGGGAAAAAGCTTCAAAAAATACAGGATGATAAACGAGAGGTTTAGCGCGCAGAAGGTAGATGTCATTATGATTCGATTCACTTGTGTCGGGTTCGATTTGCTAAAAACCACGGAATACATTGTGATTAAACATAGATTGACCACAAAATCCAGTAAAATTATATACAAAATCCTGTCCAGTTTGTGCCGGCAGTAGTAGCGTTGGTAAATCTCTTCCAGTTGGTGAGATGAAAACTGTACTCTGAAACAAGCAGGCAAACACATCAATTTACCGATTGATGCGAAAATAAGCCGCATTTTACTCGACTGTGCGTTGTTGTAAGAGCTGCTGTCTTTAGCAAAGGCAACTTTAACATTTGACGTACTGATCTTCGATTCAGAAACAGTTCTGTCACAATCGTGAGTTCTTGTGTTTATCGCTTTCAAGGAAGTACGAGTTCCTGAATTTTCTCCTTCCTCTGAGTGAGATTTCTTTCGTCCCTTGCAACTTTCCACCGCATTAATATTATTTTCAGTTTCGTCACTCCATTTCACAAACGCAGGCGAAACTCTCGCAGTTACCCCATTTTTCTTCATGATTTTTGATAGTTTTTTGTCACCCTTTTATGAAACACTTTTACCGCAAATTACCAGCTCGTGGCGGACTTTCATCGTATTTTTCATATGCGGCAATCAAACGAGTTTACACTGTCTACCACCTCACCACTGCGCTTATGCAAATATAAGTCAAACCTTCTGCACAAGTCTGATTGGTCATCTTAACAATGCCACGGTTGGAAGAAAGTAAAACCCGTCGGCAGAATTTATTTGACTAGCATGTGTTTTACTAACAGGCAAAAATAAAGAAGTTAAAATTGTTGACTGTATTGTTGTTGTTTTTTTCGCTTAATAATCTCATGAAAATTTTAACTCAAAAGCGTCAATAAATTTTTTTGTTTTAATTAGTCTAAATTGAAACGTTTGCGTGCGAAGAACTGCTGTACACAGCTTCGGAACAGTCATTTATTTTTTCATTTCGATAAAACACTCCTTTATAAAGTGATAGAGTCCTTCGAGAAGAATTTGTACACCAATTTTCCATTCGTGTCGAATATGCAGATAAGTAAAATAAACTTCCCGTGTGTTATTTCGGTAGGGCTAATGACAATTTTTATTCTTTTACAAATTCGATGTCAAATTTTCATTTTAAAACCCGTTTCAGTAATATCAGATACGTGATATGAAAACTGACCTCGTTTGTTTCAGTCTCGATTCAGCGTGATATTAAGATCATTAAGGTACAAACTGTGTCGAAAACAAAAACACGCTTGATTTCGGCAGCGATAGCTTAAGACAATTTATCTCCATTTTTTTTGCCAAAGTTTTTTGTGTTCGAAAATAAAACTGAATCCAAGGCACTTTATAACATCTATACCCATAATAGGGTATCACATCGATAGCTAGAAATGAAATATAACAATTGAAAAATCAGAGAAAGTATCATGGCATTAAATGGTGCCCGTTGGTCTCAACTAGAAGACAAGCAAAGCATAAAGATATCTTTTGAACAGAAGCGCCGTAAGTCTGATAACTATTACTGATTAAAAAAAAAAAAAGAGTAGTTTTCCTTTTAATTAGTCTGACGATGGTTGTTTTGTAGCATATTCATTCCCTAAAAGCTTTTTCTAATTTTAATTTTCATGCACTAGTTTCAAAGAGGGCGATTTTTCAGCAATGGATATTTTCTACAATTTCATCGCGCGCATAAAACGGGCAGAATCCAATAATTTGTAGTTGCCGTCAATTTGCATAAAACCTTTCCTTCTTCGCCCAGAACCTCGAGCTTAAATGCTCAAAATAATATTATCCTAACTATTTTCCCAGTCAAAGTGCAATTTAGATTTTAAATGGTGTAGAACTCGAGGAGCTAAAATTTATTGTCGGGCTATATCTACTAATAAAGACATTTGCACTTCGAACAGCGAAGGAAAATTAGTACAAATTGCTCCGGAAGGATCATTCATTTGGTCAAAATTTAACCCGCAAAGAGGGAAAATTTATGAAGACAACAAATGCGCACCTGTGCTTGAACAAACATCGTATTAGTTTTTCCGACAAATATGTTATAATTAAAAACCGGCTCCAAGATGTTCTGTCAATTGGTGTAATTTCAGAGTTTAAAGCTTGCAATTCATCTTGTCTTCAATTTGACGCAGGCTTTGATAGAAAATTTCTAGCAGAAAATGGAAACAAAGCGAGTCGAAAGCTTCCTTTGTTAAGAGTCTTTGGCCTTCACAGGGGAGGTGTCTTGAAAACAAGAACTCACTCGCGCACTTCATTCCAAAATCGCTCTGATTTGGACATAAAATTTACACCTTGGTGTCATATTTTGCTCCAAGATGCACATGCTTTTAAATATGAATTTAGGCAAGAAACAAAGTTCGAGAGAAAAATAAAAAAAATGGAAAAGTTTCGAAAGACGTGACGACAAATGACACTCCATATTGTTGTTGCAGATTACAATCCTACAAATAATAGGCAAGCAAATTTGTACTTGCTGTTTTATTTTTCATATTTGAATCATGCTGTCAGTAGTTTCCTGGTAATTATCATTTAATTTTCTATTTGTTTTCAAGACCTGCTTTGTTTCGAGCGGAAATGCTATTCTATCGAAGGTCATTAATTTACTCATTGACAAACACAGAACTTTTGAACTGTCGTAGTTAATTAAAACAGCTACAGAATGGCCAATTTGTGTTCTCCAAAAATATAAAAAACACGAATTCTTCCGTATTGCTAAGATTTGCATAGGTTGTTATCAAAAACAAGATACTTACATCTTGTGCAAACGTTTCTCGTCCATCTGTTTACAATCAAATTTGCATCTTGCTTCGTTCCATATTGTTTCAGTTTTTGTCTCAGAATTAAAATTAAGAGTTTCTCGAATTGACAATGAATAAGAAACGCTGCCATTTTGTTTTTGCTTTGCTATAATCTTTGTCAGTATCGAAAACTAGCGTGAAAAAAAAAGGGTCGATGTGTAAAATACTCCATGGTGAAAAAAGGTGTCATATCTTCTTCTCTGTTAATATTACCCCCGAATAAATCAATTGGTCACATCAGTCAAACCAACCGGGAAATACGATTTAAAACGAGACAAATTTTCAAATCAATTTTTGCAGTTTTACTTCTTGACTTTCTGTTTTTTTTTTTTCTTATCCTATCTGCCACAAGAAAAATGTCTCAATCAAGTTTTGCTAAGGCAAACAAAAACAATGATGTATGTGATTATGACCCGTTACATCCCGACATCAGAATGGATATTCCTCTTAATGTTCCCTACACATTCCCTAAGGTGCTGACAAGGAGAGGTTTTTAAAAAATCAAGGGCTACTTAAGTTGCTGATCATTTCCTTTATTCTCAAGACCTTAATTAATGTGATTCAGGGGTGATATTGTAAGGAGAAATTAGATTCTGGTCATTACTATGGAATGAATAAACAACCCTAAGCATTTTCGTAGTGTACCAAAAGCAGGTTCCTCAGTGGCTCGCTCCCCAACATTTCAAACAAGGAATATTTCGAATAATTTCCCTGTTAGTAAGAATCTCCTGTCAGTACCTAATTTTTCAAAGGAAATAATAACTGCCACCTGCTTTTCGTACTAGCAGTCAAAACTTGTATGCGGTGTTTTAGGGGGAGGAATGCGAACTGTTATTTACAGTTACAGTTAGTTGAGGAGAGGGAGCTGGGTCGAGACAAGGAGACCTCTTTTCGTGCCACACAGTGCCACACTGTGCCACACACCATGCCTCCTGTCTGTCTCGTCCCATTCTCCTCTCGCCCTTAAATGGATGTGACGTAGCTTTATTTCTTCGTTTATTAATTTCGTACAACTTCCCCAAATCAATTAGTTCGTCAGCACATGATGGCTTTAATGTTTAGCATAACTACGGTAAACGCTCAGATAGGCCCCTGAGGACCTTTGATTTGGGTCGGAGGTCCTACAGAGAAGAGGAAGGAGGCTTACTTGAGAGAGCTCTTATAAACACCACATTGGGGGCCAAAATGCCAGTCATCATTTTTCTTCTCTTTTGCAGCTCAGGATACTGTTGTTCAAAAAACCTGCATTGCAAACAGAAACTAGAACAAGCATACTTTGTCGTGTAACGATATACATGAAAAAAATAACGCGCTTGTGATTGGCTGAAAACGAGTGTAACACGAGTGCAAATGACAAATAGCTCGCGCGCGCTATCAAAACTTCGTCTGTCTTGACTTTCTGTGGTGCTTTTTTCAAGTAAATTATAAGGGGGAAGGCAAGGCTAACAAAAGGGTAGGGGGGTATCTGGGCAACTGCCCATCTACCCCTCCCCTAACTAAACAACAGTAAATTGACAACAAGTTAAGGTTAATGTTAGGTTAGGGGAGAGGTAGGTGGGCAGTTGCCCAGATACTGATATCGATCTGAAACGTTTAAGGCAAGAAATTCTTCTTTGTCAATAAAACGGATAATATAATTCAAATAATAAATAAATAAACAAACAAACGCTTTTAGGAAAACACAAAGGGTACGATGTAACAGTTGGCTTGCAGCAGTAAGAGATTGGTCCTAAAATATCAATTCTTGCAAAATCATGAAACCTGTGCAGTTGTTCAGATAATAAAACGGATCTAAACAAAGTAATCGTTGTGTAACTTTAGTGTGCGTTCATTCTTTGACCCAAAAAAGTACATTTTTCCTGGTTTTTCTTGTCAAGCGATCACACAGTTAGCAGCCTGTAATTCTTCCTGTGTTGACTCTTTGGGTGCGTCTGAAGAATTCTCTACAGATCCTCGAATCCTTGAAGTTCTCTTGCATCCGTTTAGGGAAACCGTTCCTCCTTTGTGTTGCGATGTCAGACCTGTGTCTTGATGGTGCGAGTTGAGTGGTGTATCATCAGTGACACCTGACTTTTCACTGAGTTTCTTCTTCATTTCATCCAATTCCATACGCAGACTACCAAGAAATAAAGAAAAAAGAAAATATTCTGTTAAAAGATGGTTTAAAACGCGTGAATTAAAATCCATCGTTGAAATCATTCAAAACCCATCCATATTTCATTTTGCAATTAGATAGGTTATCTACAGAGTGGATAAATATCAGTATCTGGGCAACTGCCCACCTACCCCTCCCCTAACCCAACATTAACCTTAACTCGTTGTCTGGGTTAGGGGAGCGGAGGGTGGACAGTTGCCCAGAAACTGATATTGATCCAACAGAGTTTCAGAGAATTTCGCTCCCATTCGCTCGCATACTATTTGGCGATGGAAACGTCAGTTTTAGAAACTTTGATCGATGACCAATTTAAATTATCAACTCAGTTGATAAAACCAAATGATCTGAATAGAGGAAAAGAAATCCACGACATCGCAATTTCAGCCGAATATTCAATCGGTTTCTTTCTATGCTGCGCAATATGACGCAAAAAAAGACACACAAGATCAAAATCGGACTTACCTCTGCATTTCACTGTTATACAGATCCTCCTGTTCCTTGATAGTTCTCTCCCTGACCTCTTGTGTTGTGTACTGTAAAAGCATAAGCTACTTAGTTCCGCAAACAAATCAGTGCTGAAGATGATGTTTATTTAAATTGTTGTTTTTCCAGCTGGTCAGTTATCTCATAGCAAGTTTCGATTGAACTTGGATAGCTTTGGTTTTGCCGTGCTATGTTCTGCGATCAGAGTGAAAAATATGCTCCACTTTCTAACGTGCAAAACTTAATCAATCTCGGCTTGTTCACCCCCTTTTTCCCACGCTTTTGATAGTTTTAAAGTTCTTACTTAGAGTTTAATTGGCTCTTTGGGATAATCGCACTTCTTCGCAATTTCCACTGTGATTATTTTAGTTTTAATTTAACACTACCGGATCATCAAACTTCGCTAAAAACCCAAAATAAAGGGGAAAAATTAACAACTTCAGTTAAACCATAAACTGACAAATGACTTAACTAGCTCCAGACGTGGGAAAATCACCCGTGACCAAGTCGTAATGATATGCGCTGTTACATCTGATTGGTAGAGATAACTAAAGATATTCAACCAATCATAGAATGAGGAAAATACCCGACTGCTGATACCATGGAAACATTTCCACGTTCAATATATCACGAACCTAGTCGCCTAGTTTTGTATCAGATTCCGCTACTGCAAGTTCAAAGCGTCCGCATGTTACTCTCCATCAGCGCAGATGGACACAAAGTCTTCCCAACACTCAAGTGAAAAGAACAACGGATTAAGAGGAAACGGCACTATTTTCTATGAAGTAGTAACGCATTTTACAATAGTTACTTATAGCATTCTTGACAGTACCTCTTCGTTCCTATTCTTCTGACGGAAGAAACACCTGTAAAAAATATGAATCGTAGTTGTCAGTGTAACATTGGCGAAAATTCTTGCACGGGTTGTGTGCAGCCAGTTTGAAGCTCGGGAAATGTTTTCTTAGTGTCAAGCGTAGGAAAACATAAACTCAAAAGAGAAGCGCGGGAAAACATGCAATTAGCGAAGAGTTCGGCGCAAAAGACTTGCATCAGGTACGAAGCGCGGGAAATATCGCCTGATCAAGGTCAAAAGGGCAAAATATAAGAATATGTTGAGACCGAGCAGACTCTTACTTTCCGTTGGGAGTCGTATAGGTCAAACCGGGGCAATTCACAATCTTGATCTCCACCACAAAACGATCTTCAACTTGTACCCTTGAACTGAGCCTACCACAAAAACAAAAGAAGAAAACGATAAATAACTTTGATATATGAGCTGCTCGCCTCAAAATCCAGTTTGTGCACTCGCACACATTGCAGACTTGCGTTGGGAGAAATATACCCCAGATAGCCTAATCTGCAACTCAATTCACAATTCCTTCCATCTTACTTTTCACTGCCTCGCTGTCTCACTACGGGTACAAAGTCCACTTGATAGCTGTGATGTTTGACTGACGGGTGAAAGTGATCCATAATATCATCGACACCAAGACGCAACTGATCACGCTGCGAAACAATAAAAAAATGGTTAAGGGCACTCATTTTGTTCTGCGCATGCTTGACTTGTAACCGCTGGGCTCACCCAACCTTGGAACGGGAGCTCGTAAACAGGAAGGTGGAAGGTTTTACAAACAAGATGTAAACTTAACTTTTTATCTCGTACAAAACCATTTCTGGGTTCATTGAGGGAAACCATTCTATCTTAAAACCATTGAAGGGAAGACTTTCACAATTTTATAACAGACAAGCTTGAAGAGGTTAAATGTTTTTTTTGTGAACTTTGCGAGGCAAAGAATATTCTCAAGCATACCTGTTTTTTATTAATTTTCAAACCAGCCACAATCCCATCTTTGCGAATTCCAAGGTAAACTGTTCCACACTTGCCACTGTTCAAAAACGCACATAGGGATCTATAGAAGAAAAAAAAATAAGACTAAGTTTTCATCCCTAATATCATAAGCATATTCTCCAAACTGTTTCCTAGACATTTTCATTTTTTAACAATCAAAAGCTTCTTTAGTTGGTGATCATTTCCTTTATTCTCATAGCCTTCATGATTTATTCAGGGGTGATATTGTAAGGAGAAATTTGATACTAATCACTCTTAAGAGTTAAAGAGTTAATGTAAACCTTCAATACGCCATGGCTTACATTTTTCCACCAAAGTCCTTAGGTATGTAACACAACACTGCTATCACGCGATGTCACGCGATGTGGTCGTAACGCACTCATAGGCACCCAGTTAAGGACACATGTCGCGTCAATAAAATGCCACATAGCTACCAATCATTAAATTAACTGTATTCATGGCCTCTTTAGGGCTTACCTTGTAACTGGCTTTATGGAGACATTATTTACGTTGGTCTGAGGCCTGGCAATTGAAATGAGTGGAAAAAAAGAGGAAACAATTAGTGTGGTACGGAAAACAACGTTGCAGGAAAAAAAGGGGCCAATGAAATCATTAATTACCTGATATCATGCAGGTCATCTTCACTAAACGATACATGATAGCCTTGAATGTAATACTTTTCTTTGTCAACATCTGTCTACAAGAACAAGTTGCAGTCATTGTTAGTGCATTATTAATAGTTTTCCGTAAAAGTAATGTTGGGACTCAGGCCAAGCGCCAACGCTTAGTTCATCTAGGTTCTCTCAGCAAGAAATAGCATTCATTCTAGCATTCAATTGACCCTTTAAACCCTAAGAGTGACTAACATCAAATTTCTCCCAACAATTTCACCCCTGAATAACACGTTAAGGTCATGAGAATAAAGGAAATGGTCACCAACGAAAGAAACTTTTGATTGGTACTCAAATTCTCCTTGTCAGCACCTTGGGAAATGTATAAAGAGCAGTATGGAGAATGTGCATGCTGATTTTAGGATGTACAGGGTTAAGCAACTGAGACTTGCCTGCAGTCATGCGCGCTAATTATTAGACCAGCGAGTTCGCAAAAAGTACCTTCTATCTGGAGCTCCGCTTTTTAGGCTTAGCTAAATCCATCTTTCACTTAACTTAATCAGACAAGATTTTTATGCATAAACCGCATAGTAAAGCTACCTACATTATCGCTGGAGGATGTAACCTGCTCGCTGGTCACCAGTTTTTCTCCGTCTGTGTCCCCATCTGTATCTTCATAGCTGTTACTGATGTCATAATCTGAGACTCCTTTTGATTCTCCGCTTGAACTGCGTCTAATGTTGTCTGGAGAAAGCGCCACTGGTGTAGGTTTAGATTCCACCTCACCGCGACGCAACCTGTAAAATTTACAGTATTTCATTACGTGTGGAAAATAGATTAATTGCCGTGCAATATTGCAGGTAAATGAAGATTTCTCGCTCAAGAGTGCTCCTTTATTGAGCGTCATAACACCAAGGTTAAACTAACCACAAAAGCCAATCAGAACAAGCAAAATATCATAGGGAGCCAATAAGAACGCAAAGCAAAACAGGTAACAGTTTACGGCGCGGGAAAACGCCGGTGACCAAGTCGCAATTTGTTTGAGTCTTGAATCTGATTGGTCAAGAGGATAAGCACGAGTTTTCTGAACCAATCGCAAAGCGAAGAAAAGCAAGACCAAAGCAATCCTTGATTAATTTGGACACTTGACGGAAAATTGCTTTTACATGAACTCAGTTACTTGTTTGAGGAAGCACATGATACTTGAATTTCTACTTTCATATAAAAAATGATCAAGTTTACATAAAGTTACAGCTTTTCTGAAGCACGATAGTAAGCTACCTCCGTCGCCTTCGTCGAGGTCGTCTATAACGCGATCCTCCATCATCTGATACAGCCAAAGAAAACTTTTTTCCCTGTCAACAAATTTAAAATAAATATCCTTCGGTGACGATAAAAATAGCAACAACACTAGTATTATTTAATGAGGAGGATAGAGTTGCAACACGCACACAACCATTCGTAAACAGTGCAGTTTTAACTAAGTTACAACCTTATCAGTTTAAGCCATAAATTTCGAGGTCACTCGAGCCGAGTGACCCACAAGGCGCCTCGGTCTTCGACAGGAAAAAACAAGGACTTTTGTATTGTTTCTCAGTGGGGTGCTGGTCTATGTTACCCCTTCCCCTCCCTCCCTCAACATTTTGTTGTGCTTTACTGAGAGCTTGCTGGTACCCATTTCCTCTCCAAGATTGAGAGAGGCATTGTGAGAGTAAAGTGTGTTGGCCAAGAACTCAACATAGTGACCAGGCAAGGTGTCGTACCCAGTCCTCTCGACCATGAGTCTCACACGCTGACCGTGAGACCACAAAGTCCCCAGACGTAAACTCTAAGACTCTACGGGCCTGTTATTTATTTATTAATTTTTAGACTATCTAAATTTGGCTGAATCTTTTATCTGACCATTTATTTTTGTGAGCAGTTTTAGAGAGCCGACGGCTAAAAGAGGAAAGCCATTTATTTATTAAATCAACTCTGTGAAGGAGAAAACCTGAAGCTTACTTTCTGCGTAAAACGTAGGAAGTAAATGTTAGATCTGGTGTACATGATGAGCCCTTATACTTTTAAATTACTGTATTGACACTTGCCTCGTCAACTATACTGCGGGGATCAAGGTCTCGAAACGTTTTCGTAACCTTCAAATCACAGTCCTCAAGACTTGTTCTGTGGAAAAAGAAAAGGATTGTTGCTCCAGCAAGATATGGGGTAAAAATTTGATGCGTTGTGTGCAGATCAGGTTACTTCTGTTTGCTCATTGCTTTTCTACAATGGTAACAATTCACAGCCACCCTTCATTTTCCCGTGAAGCTCGTCTATCCGACTAAATGTGCACTAACAAATGACTTGATAATTTTTAAAGTAATTTTCAGTCGAGGGTCGAAAGTAACCCCAGATTTCTTTGCTTTTGCTTTACTTCGCTCTGTGATTGGTCAAAAAAGCTCTCTGCATGCTTTTAACCAATCAAACGGTCTACGAAAAACCAATCGTGACTTGGAGGCCAGAATTGATCCCCTTACGCATGCGCGACGTTCACTCGCTGTGATGGAAGGCTCATATTCCGGCTCACAACAGACTGTAAATTACTCACATATATCTGCCTACTAAGTTCCTGAGAGCATGAAGGCATTTGGTCTTTATTGCTTCACTTTCTGAGGCACGATAAATGCGACTCAGTACAATCAAGCCATCACTATCGGCCAGGCGACAGCGGTTCACATAAGAATCTCGAACCAGGTTTTGAATGGCTCCGACAGCCAGCAGGAGAATCTCTTCATCTTGTAAAAACCTCTGGCAAACATCTACAGAAAAACAGCACAAAAATCAAACAAAAAAACGTAATAACTTGTAATCAATGTCAATCATGCAGTTTGGTTGCCCAGGTTAGGGAAGTCCTAGTAAGGACCGTTATTGTTGGAAGGGACCTCTGATCCAGCAACCCAAGTAGTCATGGGCAGAAGTCATCATCAGAGGGGTAAGTATGTCTGCACTCAAGCCAAGTAGCCTCTCCAGGTGGGACTCATCCCTGCTTCCATGGCATGAAGGGACTAGGAGTACTGCTCCTCCTCCCCAGATAGGATGCCAGTCCAATGCTGCCCCCCCCGGGCATTTCATCAGGCTTCCCTGACAATTCACCAGTACCCACTAATACTTCTGGGTGGAGAGAGGCATGGGGACAGTAAAGTGTTTTGCCCAGGAACACTACTCAATGACTCAGTCAGGTCTCAGACCCAGACCTTTTGGCCCTGACTCCTGACTGCTATCTCATGAGCCACCTTGTCACCCCCATCAACAGAGCAGTTACCTGATTATGAGTTTCCAACTATCAAAACAGAGAAAAAACAGTAAGTTACCAAGGAGAGCTTGAATGCCTCCCAGAAATCCAATTCTGACCTGCACCTTACTGTTGATGGCAAGATTCAGGAGGGCCCCTACAGCCTGGATACAAACATCTCTGTTTGGGACAGTACACAGCTGAAAATGAGCAGCAATGTTGGTTTAATTAGGGGTAAGCCAGCTAAAACCTTACAGGTGGTTTAAACAAATTGGAACAACAAGATCAGATATGCAAAGTGTTTGTTTAGCTCAGAAGAAGAAAATTCTCCTGCTGTTATGCAGATTTCTGTGGCCAGATCTAATTTTACTTCAGACAAGAAGAACATTTGCTTGTTACTTTACATGTCTTGATGACACAACTTTACACTCAAATAATGATAACTGGTGTGGTCAAACCTATTTTTGCTTGGAGACAACTCATCAAAGAGGTATATTAACTAAGCTTTAATATATATGTAGCCTTGAACTAAATGCTGGAAAAGTCCTAAAGCTGTATTTAAAACTTGAACTTAGTTCAGAATTAAATTCTTCTTTCCAAACATAAACTACTGAACAAACTGTCCTCCAATTCAAGGAGTTGACTGGGCAAAACCTTTATTTGACCAGACCTGACCATCAGTCATTTTGAGCCCTGAACCTAAGCATGCAATTCTCATAAATTTATGGCAGAAAGGGATAACAACTTATTAATGTGGATTTCTACTCAGTAATGTTTGTGGCTCAATTCTCACAGACAGACAAAATAATGCTATTTTCACTAAAACAAGACCCACCTTGATAAGGTATTCTAGTCCTTCTTGAGCAGCAATATAAAGACGATTTGAGTTATCATCTTCAGTTAAATTTCTTAGGGTGCCTGAAATATGTTAGGAATGAGTATTTAATATTAATGACTGGAACATTATATACACACACAAAGATGACTCTGATTTTATCATAATGCTGTGTAAAGTATCATGTATTTACCAGCAGTATGTTCCAATACTTCAGCACTTTTTGGTGGTAGTTGAATTCCAGACAAGCAGCATAAGGTTGCCTAGAATCAGAAAATTGAATTTTGCTCGTAATACAAAAAAGATAACCCTTTACACCCTAAGATTAGTATGCATATTCTCCACACATTTCCTAGAGTGTTGACAAGAAGAATTTGTTTAACAATCAAGAGCTTCTTAAGGTTCTTTTTCTTGAGGTTTTTTTTTTTACTGAGTTAGTACCTGGGGAGGAATCTTAAGTAGTTCTTCTGGTAAAACGTACAAGCAGTTAGCAGAAACAGTCCCAGTGAAACCATTGTCAATGGCAAAGACTTGCACAGTGGCACTGCTATCAGTGCTATCATCTGCTAATAGGACTTGAGCTCTGTAGGAGTTCCAGTGACCTGCGACAATTTCAGTGACACAGACATATGTTCCAGGTTTTGGAATGGCATCTAGAGGAATTTGTTCCTAAATGACAAAAGAATGCAAGACATCAGTCAGTTTTCCTTTCCTAACTCTTGCACTCCCAAGATCTTATTAGTAATTCTCCTTACCTTCTGTCAAACATTTCTTATGTGGTTAGTCTGGAGAATTTGGTATTGGATCAAGTAAGAATCCCCTTATTGAAATTTCTCTTTGATCTTATCACTTGTATGCTTGATATTGTATAAATATTATCAAGAGTAATTCCTTCTTACTCACTCATGGGAGTTCAGTGGTTGGCTGATTACAAGAACCTCTAGTCTCTGTTAAGAATTACCTGTGCTAACAGCTTTCTATTAACTGCTTCCATCTTTTCAATCACTGGTTTACCTCCAACATGGGCCCAAAAGTGACATGCATCAATCACCTGGGTAACATAAATATCTGCCCATCTCCCATCTGCATCCTGAAAAATGACAAAAATTGCTTGATCTGTGTTATGTTCTGACTTTCAAGATAAAAAAGATAAAAAAGAAAAAAAAGACTAGAGCCTGGATTTAAATCAATTGAAAGAATTATTTAGAAGAATATACATGTAATGGATGAGAGAAACAATATCATAACGGGGGGGGGGAGGGGGGGAGTAACATTTAACATTCAGATAAGAGAAGTCCTGAGAAGGACCATTGTCAATAGCAGTAACTGATCAACAACAACAATAGCAGAAGTCGTCCCTCAACTCTGACGACGACTTCTCTTACCTGTACAATCAGACCACCAGATCAAAAGAAAAGAAAGATGTAACATACACTTCATAATGATCTAAATCATACAAACTTGTACCTTAGCATTGACATATTTTCCTTTATCCTTTGAGCTTTTAGTTTCATCGAGTGACATTCTTGGCCACATTAACTGGCTCTTTATCAACTCGTCAGTAATTCTTATATCCTGATAGTCCATTGTGGTATCATATAAATCAATGCTGTACATCCTGTTGACTTGTATCACACCACTCACTAGACCTGCAAATCATAGTTCTACACTTAACCTGTTAACTCCCAAGATCTGATCGTTAATTCTGCCTCTACCTGCCACCCATTTCCTTTTAAATTGGTTCCAAGAACTTGGTGTTAGATCAAGATAACAACTTCTACCTGATAAGTTTGTGTATTCTCATTACTTGTTTTCTGGATAATATATGGATATTATTGGGAGAAGTTACATGTTTATAACTTCAGCGAGCTAAAGGGTTGAATAAAATACATGGTACTTTGACCTGCAGTTACCATAGAAGGAGGTTCTTCCCACAGATTCAGTCTGTGTTACAAGGATACGTTTGAATGGCCTGGTTTGACTGAAAACACAACTTATTTCCTCACCAGTTTTGATTAACTTTACAGCCTTTTCTCTGATATTGTCCTGGTTCAGTTCTTTCAATTGGCCAACTAGTTTCTTTCTGTACGTTAAGTCATGAAGTAGTTGCACTGCGTCACTGGAAGACCAATAAGGGGGCTGACAACAGTTGCCATGGAAACCCTCAGGGTTGAATATATCACACATTCTGACAAGAAGTTTAATTGCACCAGCACTGACTACCTCTGTTTGACATGTTTTACTCTGAAAGGTGACAAGACGAAGCACCGCAACAGCCTGCTCATGAGCAAGAAATCTCCAGCATGCATCTTCTGTGGTGTCTGGTAAAATATAAATTAACCCTGATTAGAGAATCACACTTATGAGGCAAAATTTATTAGAGATTGATTAAGTCTGTTTAACCCTTTAACTCCCAAGATCTGATTGTTAATTCTCCCCTCATGATGCTACACATTTCCTAGTAAATTGGTTACAGGAATTTTGTGTATGACCAAGCTAATATCTCGTACATGATAAGTTTGAGTATTCTCACTGCCTGTTTACTGAATAATGTTTGGATACTGTAGGGGAAGTTACCTGCTAATCACTTCTGGCTATTAGATATGTAGACCTGTATGGGATACTCCATCTCAGGTTACCAACTAAAACCTACATCTTTAAATCTTAACCTTTTTGCACCAAGATCTCATTACTAATTCTCCTTACTGTCTGCTGTACAATTCTTATGATATTAGTTTAGAGAATAAGGCATTGGATCAACTTATAATTCCCTTACAGATACTTTTCTATATTCTTATCACTTGTCTGCTTAATATTGTGTTGATATTGTAAGGAGAAATTCTGTCTTGGTCACTTATGGGAGTTAAAGGGTCTGGTTCAGGATACCAACTTTTGTGCCACTGTACCTCTTCCAAACTCTTCATGTGCAGTTAAGTCAATATACATGAATCTGAAGTTTTGAAACCAGGGAAATATTTCAGCTCTAAAAGCCACGTCATTTGATTTTTAAGATAGTCTTGTCTACCAAAGAGAATGTTCCAAATGAGTGGACTCACCCTACCCTCTCAAGGGGCCATAGAAATTCCTCACTAGCTTTGCATGACACTAAGCAATAACTTTCCAAACCTCCACCCTCTCCTCCCTCCTTGACTTAGAATTCTCAATGATCTCCCAGTAATAGTTTGTCAGACAAAAATGTAAAAGAATCTGTGTAATTAGTTAAATGTCACAACACCTGTATCTTCAGGTGACAGTTCAGGATCACAAAGCTTCAACAGTGGAGGAATTCCTCCACGTCCCACAATCTTAGCCTTCACTTTTGGGTTTCCATAAGCGAGAACTCTGAGGGCAGCTGCACAGTATGCACCAAGGCTCCAAGGAATGGTTCTTTTGTCACACAAACCTACAATGCAAGATCTGACTGTTAATTCTGCTCTCTACCTGCTACACATTTTCTTGTGGATGAGTTTTGAGGATATGCAGTTAGATCAAGATAACAACTTCAAACTGGTAAGTTTGAGTATTCTCATAACGTATTTATTGGATAATATATGGATATTATAGGGAGAAGTTGCATGTTAATCACCTCTTACAACTGTGATTATCAGCAGGATTTCATGCCCCCCTATGTCCTCAGGGAGGTGATGCCTGCAGCATCACAATCCGAGGCTATACAGTCGAAAATCTTACTTTTTGCTAACTTGCTGGCAAACAAGTACAACAAAAGCATGCAATTTTTCAGTGAGCTATTGAATAAAATTCAGACCTTCGGAAAACCTTTGACCTTCACAACCACAAGGACAACCGCAGCCACCAAATAACAGCTAATTTCTAAGATCCTCGTTTTCATTCCAAGAAGACGTATTTATACACGTAAAACCGAGTTTGTATCTAATTCATTTCCAAGTATAACCCATGCTTATCAAGCAGTAAACTGCGCGGAAGTTACGCTTTCCACAAAGTTCTGTATTGATCTTTTGTCTTCCAGAACAATTATCGAGTTGTTTGAACACGCGCATGCATAAACAAAAAAATATAAACAAAACTCTAGTTGCGCATTTAAAAGCTGGTAGCCATATTTTAAAACACCATTACTAACCCTAAGTAAAAGATCCTCCTTACCAATAATAAGCTCTACAGATCCTTCATCGACGAATTCTTGCTTTCTCTCGGGATTTTGCAAAGATTCTTTGATGATATCTTTCAAAGCTTCGATCGTGTCGCCGTAATTCCGCTTGGAAGGCGCCATGGTAGAATATCTCAGATGCTTAGCTAACTTTTCGTGTAACCAAAAAAGAGGTAAGGTATGATTAAAAAAAATTCAGGCAAACAATCTTACAATTTCACTACAGTACCATAAACGAGTTGCTATTTTGCGCAAAAGTGCGCGCGAGATGAACCATGTGAGTCACGTGTCCCACAATACTTTGCGCGCGTCGATTTACCTTTCTTTCTCTCGTACTCGTCATAAAAGTTGTAGAGTTCTCGCCTCGAGCTAAGGCCTTGAATCCGCATCCATCGCTTTATCAAGGCAACCTACATCCGTATTTTTTGACAAAAAAGTAACGTAAGAAAATAAACTAAACGATGGCATCAACATCAGAACTTGCTTGCGTGTACAGTGCTCTCATTCTCCACGATGATGGAATCGCCATCACGGTACGTAATAATCAAAATGACGGAATTGTTATAGGATAAGTATCGTTCATTTTAAGTGGCTGTGATGAACTTACACCTCTGACATATGATCGTAAAAGGGTGATTCCATTTTTTAAATTCTGAGCCGCTTGTATGTGATTATATTGGAAAATTAGTTTCGAATCCAGATGTAAGAATTCTGTGACATGTTTCCAGTTTCCACGTGAATGCTGGTTTTTGATCGATTTATGCATCAATTTAAACCAAGTCTTTATGATTAATCAATTCAGACATAATTCGGTACAAGGTTGTTCTTGGTTTCATATTTAAAGCATAAACATGGTAAGCACAATAATTTATTTTACGAAACTTTTTACCCTTTGACTCCATGTGTGACCAAGACAGAATTTCTCCTTTATGTCCATATAATATAAAGCAGAAAAATAACTGGAATAATGAAAAATATCTACTAGGGGACTATTCAGGTATACTGAATATAGGGGGTAAGTTTCTTAAGAAACTGTGGTAGTGTGTTGGTGGGAGAGTATATTGCTCTGACAAAGGGCTAATGCTCAAAACATCAGCCTATTAACTCTTTACGATGGCCAATTTACGTCTTCAACTCAGCTGTTAACGCTATACAACTAGTATACCTGCTATTCAGGTATTCTCAATTCTAAGATCATGAGAATTGTAAGAATTGTAAGGAGAATTACTTATGAGATTTTTGGAGTGAAAGGGTTATATTAGCACATATAACTTGTGAGGAGAAAAATGATGAGGAAGCATTATTATTTTGCATGGTAAAGTTTAAATTTACAGCTGGAGTTGCTATAGAAAGTTAATCTTGAAGCCCTGGCTGCAGTTTAAACCTAGAAATCAGTACAATATTGCTTGACAGATAAAAATTATGCTATCTTAGGATATGAAATGTATTCTTGCTTTAATATACTATATTCTTACTGTTACTCAACAGGCAGAGAAGATCGAAAAGTTAATTAAGGCTGCCAAAGTTGATGTAGAACCCTTCTGGCCAGGACTGTTTGCCAAAGCCTTGGAGGGACACAGTCTAGAAAGCCTTATCCAGAGTGCTGGTGCACCTGGTGCAGGAGGGGCTGCTGCCCCTGCTACAGGAGGTGGTGGTGCTCCTGCTGCTGGTGGTGGAGATGAGGCTAAGGAAGAAGAAAAGAAGGAAGAGAAGAAAGATGAATCTGAGGAATCAGATGATGACATGGGATTTGGTGAGTTTAAACTCTCAGATTTATGGAGCCTTTTTTTTTTAATAACTAATCAATGCTGGTAATATTACATCAGGTTATAATTGGTTAGAAGAATGTAAGAGGGTCTATAGGAGTCCTGCAGTTCAATAATATCCTCTTCCAGGCCTCTGACAGTCATGGAATTTGTTTCGCTCATGGAAAATTATGGAAAATTAAAATGATTGAAAATGATAAGTTCAAGAAGTTAGTCGTAGAATACCTAAATATTTGATAATACAGTAGCTTTGTGGTGTAGAATTTATTATTTTTTTTAAATTTGTGGTGAAAAAACTACTGTCTCATGTGGGTACATGAGCAATTTTCCCCTTTGAAGTTTTCCTCCTAATTTGTTGGTATAAGATGAACTAACCTGCTCTTCTTTCTCTTCCAGGATTGTTTGACTGAGCAGATACTGTCACAGCAGCAAGAGTTATGTTTAAATAAAAAGATATAACAGAAACAAATTGTGGTCTTGTTACTGAGTTTGTGTATTGATATCAATGTTTTGTTCATTAAAAAAAAAATGGACTTGGGTTGTTTAAAATCTGATAGATTTGCCCTTGATATTGTTGCTTTTTGGTGCAGCTGTGTCTTCTCAGAGAGTTTTACTCTTCTTCCATTCCCTTGCATCTACTAAAACCAAGAATTCTTATTAGTGTAATACATTCTGCCATTTCTAACACTAGCAAGATCTGTATCAAACTTGTCTCAAATGCCTGTCCAGAACTACGAACATAACTGCTCTATCTACTGACTGGAAATTCAAATGTAGAAAAACCAGCTATTTTTGGTGGAATGCCTTCCAGTAAATCAATCTTCTGGGATGAAATTGTCCAAGAATCTTATCAAAACTCCACCAAACTCTCCTTCAGGCAATAGTTAAGCGTTGAATATCATCAACAACTCTTCCCATCTGTGCTTCAAGGGTCTCGTACTCACTTATCAGAGAGTTGAGTGAGTCTAAACTAGTATCAAATTGCGACACTTCCATGCCATCAACATGAGTGTAATGATGAACATGAGCTTTGCGTTTGTAGAGCTTCATAAAGCGATCCTTGAGGTCCTGAAAAGTGTGCCTGATGCATGTATTGTTAGATAGAGCTAACAGTGAGTATGGATGACCTACAGGAGGAACAGAGCACAGTCCAGTCTTCCATCCTTCCTGATTCCAGTGAATAAAATTTAATGAAGGTTTGAGTCTTTCAATGTTCCTCCTAATATCAGAAATTTCAACATTTCCTCTGAGCATCAAAGCACATGCCAAGTACAAGCTGTGTTTAGGATCAGCTTTAATGAGTTGGTGATCTTTTGAGAAAGCGTCTGTGAACATTTGATCAAGTCTTCGCAGTGGAAGATTTACATCAGTGAGGCTGTACAGTGGTGTCTGGCTGGAGACCAGGTAGTGGATCTTGGGAAATGGCACTAAATTCATGGTGATTTCATTCAAATCAACATTTAGGGAGCCTTCAAATCTAGCAGAGCTTGTCATGTTCAGTATAAGGTTTGCAGCAATGTTGTTCATGTTGTCAAATGGCTTCTCTGGTCTTTGGTCAACGCCACCTTCACCTGATGTGACAGCACTGCTGGCTTTAACACGTGATTGGCTGCTTGAAGAGAACACCTTCTTACCAGTCTTGGATGGTGGAAGGGCACTTGTAACTTTATTGCAAATGTCCACCAAAGCCTTTTCAAAGAAAATAATTATAAACTAAATTAATCACCCAATGTTTTCTCTTCCACAGTGAAGCATATGCTGAGAGGAAAGAAAGTGAGAAAATGATATGGTCACTGTACAACTAGAGGCTGGAAAAATTTGGACATGAAAGGTGTTGTACTCGGGTCTAGTCAGTGGATTTTTTGTCCTTCCGCCTTCAGTTTTAACTGTTTACACCCTAACATCAGTATACAAGTTCTCCATACTGTTCTCTGTTCATTCCCTATGTTACTTACAAGGAGAATTTGGCTGACTATTAAGAGGTCCTTGAGTTTGTGATCATCTCCTCTATCCTCATGAGCTTAATGTTTGATTCAGGGACGATATTGTAAGGAGAAATTAGATGCTAGCCACTCTTGAGGGATGAAGGGGTTTTACTCACACTCCAAAGACAAAGGAGAGATGTCAATCATTGTCTTAAATTATGAAACATGATAACGCGACCATAGTAATTGTTTCACCCCTGTTTCACTACCAATTCTTGGCCGACCATCAGCCAACTGTTGGCCATCTGTCAGCTGACTGCCAGCCAACCATTGGTTGACAGTCGACCGGCAGTTGGCCAACAGTATCTTTTGGGAACTGTTCTTCACTTTCACCCAGCGATAGAGGATCAGAGCAGAGAATCTGACGATCTGGGTTTCAATACCTCATGGGAGACTCACAGTTTTTTTCTGTCTAATGCTTGTGAAAAATCAAATTGTATCTTTTTTTGAGTTAATACTTCTCTACAGCGTATCTTTATCTATCCCACACAAAAATTTATGTTTATCTGGGAAAATTACAGCGGCAACAAAAGCTCAATTCAGAAAAAAAAATATATCTCGTATAAACTAAGTAAATGTAAAAAACTAGTTTATTATCATGCCTACCTGGTTTTCTATTGGAAGAACACAGTCTGCAAACTCAGTTAGCTGATGCATGGCAAGGACACTGAAAAGGGAAAAAGAAAATGACAAAATGATCAGTCAGTGAGCGTAAAACATTTCAATCCCAAGATCTCTTTAGCAATTCTCCTAACTATCTGCCATACGATTCTCAAGATGTTAGTTGGGGGAATTTGGTTAACTTATTATTACCTAACTGATATTTTTCTATGTTCTCATTCCTTGTCTGCTTGATTATGTATTTTTATTGTAGGAGAAATTCTATCTTGTTCACTCATAAGAGTCAAGGGGTTGATAAAATCCTGATTATTTACTAGCTAAAAAACTAAAAGAAAGATGCTGATGTGAAGATTCGCTACAACTGGTCGGTAAATAATATTGCATACACTGGAATTGACAAGAAGTGTAGTACAGGTACCTGTTATATGGTGATGTGATAACATCGTCATCAGCCGATGGGAACACAGCTGTAGTGAAGCGATACACATCTGGATATTCATCGGCGAGGAGGTTCAACACTGATGTACCCAATCCTGAACCAGTACCTTGACATTAGGATAAAATCGTTAGCAACAAAAACACCATTTGTTTATATAAATATGATAATACTTCTTGCAAAAAGCATCATTCTCAGACATGATTGGAAATTTAGTGTATCTTGTTTTTATCACTCACTCTCTTAATGACCTCATCCTCTGCAGCCTACCAAAGGCATGTGAAAGCAGATACCTTTTTTTTTTTTTTTTTCTTTTCAAAAGCATGTTAGAGGAAAGGCCCCTTCATGGTGTTTATATTCCTAGGGTATAACTTAATTAGCCCCAGGCCTCCATGCTGCACCTAGCCAGCTGTTGACTAACATTTAGTAGTCATACAATCACTTTGTTTGTTCTGTTCAATTGTTCCAATTTCTTTACCCTCCCTACCCTAGGACTTTCCTCAAGCCCTCAGAAGCTCCATGTTCCCTCAAAAAATGATGTCCAAACTGATTTACTGTCTCTTTTGTTCGCTGTTTTATGTGAAAGAGGTGTGGAGGCAGACAGCAAAAAGCTGAACACATCATCTGCTTTTGCAGATAAGTTTTAACCCCTTTTCTATTTACCTTTGATCCAAAAAATATTTACAAAAATTAGATAAGACAGTCCATTACAAATGCAAAGGCTAAACTTTTAATGTTTTTATTTCCTGTAGTTACCAAGACATAAATTCTTCTTAAAATATCCATAAATTTGCTGATAGGTGATGAGAGGAAAGAAAATTTCAGTTTCAGGATACTGTTTGGCTCTCACCGAATTTGCAGAGCTTAAATTATAGGAAATGTAAACCAGACAGTGGAGAGAATTGATACTCAGACCTAAGAAGAGAAAGGATAAAAAAGGCTACCTCCACCCATGGAATGGATGAGGAAAAAGCACTGTAGGCAGTCACAGAGTTCAGCTGCATGTCTGATCACTTCGCTGATCTGTTCTCTGTATTGTTGTCCGTACATCATAAATCCTGTAGCCCTGTGTTAAAAAATTAAAAAAAAAAATTGGTCTCTAACTACTCTCCAAGTCACTTTTCTTCTTTTACTTGCCCCTTTAACTGCTAAGAGTGACTAGCATCTAATTTCTCCTTACAGCATCAAACCTAAATTATACATTAAAGTTACGAGTGGCTTAGAATAAAAGAAATGATCACGTACAAAAGCTCTAGATTGTTAAACAAATTCTCTTTGTCAGCACCTTAGGAAATGTATAGAGAACAGTATGGAGAATATGCATACTGATGTTAGGGTGTAAAGGGTTAAGGGTCAAGCTTTTCTTGTGTCACACTTAATTTGTATCACAGTCCTTCTGCTTAAAATGTGCCTCCCAAGTTATGTGAAAAAAATATCTTATTAGGCCTTAAAACACCTGTAAGTGATTAACATGGAACTCCTCCCTTTAATATCAAAACATTACCCAGCAAACAGGTGACGAGAATATTCAAACTTATCAGGTAGAAAATGTCATCTTGATCTCACACCAAATCCTCCAAATGAAATTACAAGGAAATGTCCTGTGGCTAGAGGGGAGAATTAACAATTAGATCTTAGGGTTAAAGGGTTAAAATTAAGAAGATTATACACACCAGTTATTTCCTGATCCAGACACATCAGTTATTGACTGTTGACAGTCAAATACATCACGTAATGGACCTTTGAGAATCTCATTCACAACACCTTCCTCCATATCGATAACAACTGCCTAATAAAAGCCAAAAAAACATGGAAGTTATTTCACAAATTCTTAGCCAAGTGCTCCAAGAAGGCCTGAAAGATAAATTCTGGGAAGGAGCTTGACAAAATGAAATTACAGATTTATATGACAATACACCTTGGAAGTTCAAAATTACATCTATAATGACACAAAGGCATGAAGAAGTCAAGTACCATTGACCCTTTCACTCTCAAGATCTTTTTAGTAATTCTCCTTACTGTCTCTCATACAATTCTTATGATACTGGTACAGATAATTTGGTATTGGATCAGTTAGCCTCTGGTTACACATCATTACTGAAATTTGAAACCAACAGAGAAGATCTTTACTATAATATTCAATAGAAGTGTATCAGGTGATGTACTCTGGCTTATAATAATCTACACACCCTTGCTTTTAATGATTTTATCTTCTGCTTTGCATTTCCCAATGGGATATCAACTGGATTTTTGTATCTGAAAAATGCAAAAAATACTAGCTGAAACAATTATACTAACTCTTTGAATTCATGTTTTTTCCTTTGTGACATAAAAAACACATTTTGCTTGGCATACCTTGTATCAACATTACGAAAGAAACTGTTGAGGGATTCGTCAAATAATCCATTCTAGAACAAAAACATAAACAGCCCGTATTTAAATGACAATTAACATAAAACTGTTAATATGGTTTTTGACTTCTGTAAAAATTGCAGTGTACCTTATTTGTGCTGGCGTGTTCTCTCAAAGCCAAATCCCAGAATCGGCAACCAATCTAATTAGAGAGGGCGTTAAATAAGGATAATGACATAGATATTCATTGAATTTCACTCGTTTTAATTGATAAGGACAAAAAATGAAACGTAAAAAAAAACAGAAATAATAAAAACACAAAAACAAACGAACAAATTCAAGTTTCAAGTTTACTACCTCCAGCTAATCAAGGCAAAGGGTATAAAATATTCTTAAAAGATTACAATTACAAGGTCGAAGCCTTAAAAGAGTAGATAAAATGTATACCAAATAGTTCAGCAAATTTGAAATGGGTAAAAAATTAGAAATTGCAGTCTGCAACGTACAAAAAATCGAGAAAAATACAAAAAAAGCACATGCAATGGTTAATAACACAGCCATTTTTATAAATCTATTTAAAAAAATTTTCAGACAATGGGATCATACCAGAAGAAGAATTCTCATACACGATTCTAATAAATAAATACAGTAGACAAAAAAAATTCAACGTTGACGAACTCACTTGGTTTCCACATTGTCCCACTGAAAAAAAAAACGGAAAATAATAAAAATTTAAACACACAATTAAAAAAATTTTAAAGTGTTAATAAGTTATTACCTTGAACCACGATCGATTGAGTCATTCTAAGACTTTTAAAGTTGTTGTCACCAACGCAAAATGGCTCTTCTGCTGGACGCCATTTTGAAGTTTCGCGCAAAAAATTGAGCATGCGCAATGGCATAAATACGGGTACTTGACAGTGGAATCATGGGAAATCAGGCCTCTTTCACCATCGTGGCTGCCTTGAACGAATTTCTGAATTGGAAAGACGAAATTTATTTAGGTATATTTTCTAAACTTAAGTATCTGTGATGTCTTTTATGCGATAATAAGTTTCCTTAATTATCATTTCAGTCACTGAAATGTTTTTTTTATTGATTATAGGCGGTCAAACAGCAAAATGGTGTCCTCTAAAAAACAGGTCTGTTAGAATTTTTGTACACGTGCATTTATTGGTAAAACTTGCAATAATTACTCTTAAAGTTTACGCGAGAGTTTTTGTCTAAATTCTCGTGTGAACAGGGGAAACTTGCATCGTAGCTTGATGAGGGGTTTTTGTATAATTATACTTTGTAATTTATTGTTATTATCGTCATCACATGTACAGATAATTCGAAATTACATAGAAACTGATCACTAGACAGGTTTACACTCCACGAATGTTTAGTTTCAATCATTCCGTGTAATCAGCTTAACCCTTTTCTCCCAATATCTGATCGTTAATTCTCCCCACAAGTTGCTTCACATTTCATTGTAACTTAGTGACAATAATTTGGTGTTAGATCAAAATCACAACTTCTACCTGAGAAGTTTGAGTATTGTCACTACCTGTCTGTTGGATAATGTATGTATACTAAAGAGAGAAGTTGCATGTTCATCACCTCTGGGAGTTAAAGGGCTAATCAACTGACATGTATTATGTTGTCTAAGTGATACTTTTTAAAACCTTGCAACTGATATAAGTGACATAAACAGTGTTAACCCTTTACCTCCCATGAGTGACCAAGACAATTTCTCCTCACAATATCAATACAAAATCAAGCAGACAAATGATGAGAACAAAGAAAAATAGTAATTAGGGGATTATTAGTTGATCCAATACCAAATTCTCCAAAGTAACATCACAAAAACTGTATGGCAGACAGTAAAGAGAATTACTAATGAGATCTTGGGGGTTGAAAGGTTAAAGCATCTCTAAGTTTATATAAGTCCCTTCAGTATGTTGTAGCTACAGTTTTATATGAACCATACTATTCAAAAATAGAAGCCTAAGCCCAAGGGTGATCTATCATTTTTGCTGTGGTTTTCTTACATCAAACAATTCTGTGAACAATGAAGTTTGGTGTTATACTGCAATCTTGCTCAAGAAAGTTGCATGCAAAAAGCCAGTGAGCAGGCTGTATAGACCAGACTGTCATGTCATTAGTTGAATTTATTTGTTGACAGTGAAAAAGTGAAGTTTGTATTCTTAAATTCACAAAATCTTCAACATCAAATGCCTGCCAAATTTTATTTACAAATTACTGAAATAAATTTTTGAGCGGCTTTCAATTGGTCGTCAAAAATGATCCACAAGTGCTTTAGTTCTGATAAATGTGCTCTGTGATTGGTCCAGAAAACTTATGTGACCCTCTCAACCAATCAGATTCAAAACTTGTTTGTGATTTGGTCACTTTCATTTCTCCACGTTTAATGCAGCTGGTGTGTTTTTACCTAGAGTTTTCACTGGCTAACAATGATATCGACCATAGCATGGATTGGCTGATAACTCTGGTTTTGGTTTTTCAACTGAGAACAGCTCTAAGGCTGATGTACTGTATATAGTCTTGGCTTTTGTCCATCGTGTGTCACTTACATTAATTCATGTGTTCCTTACTTACTTACCAAAGCTTGTAGATAGAAGTTAATCTCAAACATGTTTCCTCCTCCAGAAAAAGGCAATGGAGAGTATCAACTCTCGTCTGGCACTTGTGATGAAAAGTGGAAAGTTCACTTTAGGATACAAATCTACTCTTAAAACACTGCGACAGGGCAAGGCTAAGCTTGTTATCATCTCAAATAACACACCTCAGCTTAGGTAAGACATTTAAATGTCAAGTCTCATTAAACTGTGTACATTTTAAGACCAGTTTGCTCAATATGTGATTTAATAGTGATACTGTATTAAAAATTAGATCCTGGTAACTTTTTGGGGTGAAAGGGTTGTAATGAAAATTGATTGACTTAATGATTTATCTCTGTTTTCAAGGAAGCTTACGACTTTCTGCTGAATATATTTGAAAAGAGCACTTTCACTTGCAAATAGAAGGTTTCCATCCACATTTGTTAACAGTTAACCCTTTGATCCCTTAGAGTGACTAGCACTTAATTTCTCCTCATAACGTCACCCCTGAATAACACATTTTGGTCATGAGAATAAAGGACCTGGTCACTAACTAAAGAAGCCCTTGATTGTTGTAAAAGTTCTCCTTTTCAGAACTGTAGGAAAGTATAGAGAACAGTATGGAGAATATGCATACTGATGTTAGGATGGAAAGGGTTAAGGTGTTTTATGTTTATAATGATCAGTGGTAACGGAAACACAAAGCTGTGCCTTTGTGATAAGAACTTGCCTTTTATGTAAGAAGTTAAATTAGCTTTTCTGTGAAGTAAGTCCATGTGCAGGTGATCTCTGTATGCAGTTATTAAAAAGTGGGTTGGAAAATTGTCCTTGATTTAATAATATTGAGATAATAATCTCTCTCACAAGTGAGCAAAGCAAACTAGTGAGAGGTACCTTTAACAGCATCATTAAGATAATATTTGTGTCTACATGCAGCCATGTCGTATCCTCTTCATAAACCATGAAAAATTAAAACCTAGAAATATTTTGTATTTTTGTACAGGAAAAGTGAGATTGAATACTATGCCATGTTGGCCAAGACTGGAGTCCATCACTACACTGGTAACAACATCGAACTTGGTACAGCCTGTGGCAAGTACTTCCGTGTTTCAGTCCTCAGCATCACTGATCCTGGTGACTCAGACATCATTCGTTCCATGCCAGCAGAACAGCAGACAGCACAGCAACAACAGTCTTAAATAAATGTTGTAGAAAATGTGAATTAAAATGTTTCTGAGAAAGAGGCTTTGTTTTGTTTTATTAGTTACTGTCATTTATGTATATGTTTTAATGTTTGGTACACAGGCTGACTTTGTTAAATGTTTTAGGATGTACCATAGTTCTGAAGAGGGAAGAAAGACAGAGCTTTTTCTGAAGTGTTTTGGCTGGTCAAACAAATGTATCATAATTACTTTCTGTAGATTCAAACTCCAAACTGGCTGCGTTAAGTAGAGCCTTCCATTCCTTGTTTGGACTACAGGGATCACAGACAGAGCTTTTTCATTCGTGTTTTGGCTTGTATCATTTGGATTCAAACTAAACTGGATCACATTCCTTGTTTGGACTAAAGGGATCACAGCTCTGATGATTTGATCAGTCTTTTGAGCTGTTTACATCTAAAAGATTCATGCAATGTGGCTGTCTGAAGTTTCAGCTGCTTTCTTGTCTGTATCATCTAATAGAGAGTCATTGACCTGCTACTCAAGGGTTAAGATTGGAAAAGCTGATGCTTTAGACTAGTGTGTGGGTGTGTGATGATGGTGTATACTTTGATAAAAGTGAGTTTTGAAGAGTCATTTGGTTTCTATAAGAATGGTTCTATGTCTTAGCTGTCAAATGACCAGCAGGATGAATTCAAATGTTTTTAAACCTGCCCTAGGAAGGTGTGTTTCAGTTTGTTTTTTCAGGAATCTAATCAACAATGTAAATTATGCAGACTGTCTTGTACTCAAACAGCATGAAGTGGGGGTAGACATCCTATCCTCAGTTGTAGGGAATATGTTGAAAAGGGAGATGCCCATATCATGGTTGAGATAATTGTTAGCAAATAATTTTTTTCTGAATTTAGCTTTTGTTTATCATGGGGATCATTTTGACATGTCTTTTAACTCGCCATAATAAAGGTGGAAAATATGTCCGTTGAAGATATGATATGGGTTAATTGGCTTAACGGAAATTATCAACACTTAACTTCGTGCAAGAATGCGGGGGCTTAACGAATCGATACCGAGCATCATCCGATCACGACGTCATATGCCGATGGTAACGGTTGGGAGTCACGTGGCTTCCTACCCTTTTAAGGCCCTAAAACGGCCGTAAGAGCGAAACGGAAGTCGTCATCAGCGGGCCCGGCAGGAAGAGAACAAATGACTTTAGGCTAGCGCCGATCGCGTATTTGTCTGCAAACAAGTTTGTTGTTAAGAATTTTCTAGCGGTACGCAGTAAGGAGGCCAAACCTAATTCGAAGTACGTGTATCACGAGTCCAAGTGCCTTAAATGTCAAATGAAGAGGTGAAGGATTACGTGGGTAGCTCCGAGGGCGCGTAACAGCTGGTAGGATATAGCAAGAGCAAAGCTGCTAAACACCTTCATTGCCAAGAATGGCTAGCATTCTTAGCGTTGTTTTGTCAGATTAGAGTTTGATAAATTGGTCGACAAAACAGTATCATGGCAGAAAGGAATATGAAGATGAAGAAAAGAGTCATCAAAGAAGGGATCCTTCATAAAAAGACCAGCTTGCTGAAGCAATGGCGTCCTCGGTTTGTAGTTTTGAACCGACAGATGCTGTGCACTTTCAAGAAGGAAGACGACCAGAAAAGAGGACGAACTGCGGAAGCAAGGATCTTCCTGATGGACATTGAATCCATAGAGAAGTGCGAGAGTAAGAAGCGCAAACACTGTTTTAATTTGATCGTAGAGGGGAAGCCTTTCTTCAGCTTCAGTTGTAGTTCTGAGCTGGACAGAGAAATGTGGATGCGATCAGTACAGATAGCTAAAGAGAACGAGCTCAACGAAGAGGAAAACGATCCAATAAGAAGAAAAAGCACCAAACTAACTGGAGGACTCAAACGGATAACCATCCAGAGAGAGAAAGGACAGGGGCTCGGTTGTACAATTAAAAATGTCGGTGGAGTTATCCTTGTCAACAGAATTCTCGAAGATGGGCCTGTTTCGACTTCTGGCATCCTAAGGCCGGGTATGTAAAGCTTCTATGTCTTAATTAAAAGTTTGATCAGTGATGTTTACTAGTAACCTGAACTTTAGAACATAATCTTTTGCAGGAGGATGTAATGTCATGTTTCTTTTCATGCCGTCTACTGTTTATTCGGATAGCATCTGATCTCTTGAGAATTGGCGGCAGATAAACACCAAGAAAGCGCTAATTTTCTGTTGAATGTGGGGCCTAATTTCATAGATAAATTAATCCTAGCAACATAAATTGCCCTTGCGGTTAAAATTTACGAAGACATCCGTGTTAATATCCACAAATTTTGTGCGATGAACAAAACGTACAAAATTCATGAACAGAATTAAATTTATTCCATGTATTAGGACCACATCACTCTTAGGGAGTACAGGTGTTTTGTTTATTTGGAACAGAATTTTGTTAAATTGTTTAAATTTTTGTTCCGTGTCACCACAGTAAGTTTTCAAAGTGGCAACAATTTACCATCTAACGTGGTTTTCTGTCAGTTTTAGTTCACTACAGCCTGTATCTCACAAGAGTTAAGATTTAGACGAATTTTAGGTATTGTTCTTTTCGACTAATTAGTAAATCTTTTAATATCTTATTCAGAAGCGACATAAAGCGACTTTACATCTGTTCAAGACCTGCTAATTTCCGTATGCAAATTGACGTACTGCACGAAATTCACGCGAGCTGTTTGCATCATTTATCAATATCCATTGTTTTGTCGTCGAAGGAAAAAAAAATTCGACCAAATCTTCAGCGGCTTTTGTGACTAGAAGATATTGATAACGGTTTAGTGTAGTAAAAAAAGTGGAATTTTATTTAAAAAATCGCTGTTTTTTTAAGGGAAGTTCACTTTTTCCCATTTTTACTTTCTAAAGGGAAGAAATTGCATCGTCTTTATTACATTTTTTACGTCAGAACATCTGCATGAGTCCAATAACTTATTATGAACTAAAATTCGTTTTTCAAGATATGATATTACATTTATTTGTTCAACATGGCATAAATTCAAACTCCCTTACCTCCGCTGATACCGCAATTTTAATTGCTCTTTCGAGTTTCAGGTTAAATTTAAAAGATTTTCGACTCATTTTTAAACAATTAGAGAGGAAAGTGAAATGCATGACTCAACAAGGAACAAAGGCGGTTTTTTTTTTTGTTAGAAGGAATCATCTGATAACAATTCTAGAACTTTCAGTTTCTTGAGATATAATTCATAATGGTGATGTTTGCTGTACTTCAAAATATTATTGTCAAATTGTGCTTGTTTTTTTAAATTGGTTTCTGTCATATTAGGACATTTTGTTCCTAATAGTTTGGCATGTAGCAATTAAAAAACCATCAATTTGTTAGATATGAATACATAACAGGTTTTTATGCCTGTCAAATCTAGCAGATACTAAATTAATCTCTTGCTCTCCTGCATCGTTTCCTGACAAATTTCTTAAATAACAATAAATTTAGATAATTTTTTTTTGAAAGGGGAGGTCAAATAAATTTGACCTGCATGAAAAACATGTTTGGTTCTCCAGCACGAGAATGGTCATATTTGGTAATTTTCCTTCATCAATTTTGGAGTATGGTGTTAATTTTAGAAACTCCATTTTGCAGAGAGAGTGTAGGAAGAAGGGCTCAAGAAATTAACGGGGGAAGGATGTTATCAAAAGTGGAAAACATCCCTACATTTCATATTTTAAAGGTTGACATCTCTGGTTATCATCTCAGGTTGTCATCTTGTGACAAATTAAATTAATTTTACCTATTTTCTCCCTCAAACTCCCAGAAGTGATTAAAATCTATTTTCTCCCTTTAATATTCATCCATTTTCTCACAAACAATTAATCAGAATACTCAAACTTATCAGGTAGAAGTTGTTCTGTTGATCTAACACCAAATCCTTCAAATGAAATTACAAGGAAATGTGTAGCACCTAGAGAAGTGACAGGTATCCTAACAAAAGTGTCTTAAAATGTAGCTCAAAATTTACCTTCTTTTTTATTCTGCTTGTATTTAACTCTATTTCATCTCCCTTAACACAGGAGACCAAATCCTTGATATCAATGGGATTGAAGTTGGCGGCCGCTCTGTTTCGGAGATAAGTGAAATAATCAAGGGAAGTCCAGAGCTAGTTGTTTGCACAGTGAAACCATTCTCTGATTACCGCTACTGCGACACACACTCAACAGGTCACACAGAATATGCTGAAATAGACTTGGATTCTCTTAAAGCTAAGGGCAATGACGACAGCAGCAATTCTTCACAAGATGGTGGCTCTGATAGTCCACGGGAGTCCAATGATCAGAAAATACATAGTGATGAGGTAAAGAAAAGACACTCACTACCAACTGTCTTGCCAGACATTCATTCTGCTAAAGATTTTCATAAGGGAGACACTGTCAACTATCTCGAGCTAAACTTTCCCCAGAATGATCGCCCACGTGGCAGAAGCGATGCATCACGTTCCCCACAAGTGCCCCACAGAGCTGGCAGAGAGCGCAACAAGCCAGCTGCTTACATAGAACTTGAGTTTAACAAGAAGGAAAATAAGTTTCAAGAAGTTGGCAAAGAAAGTTCTGATGCTAAAGCAGGAGATAGGAAAAGTTCTTCGCTACCAAGATCATAAGAAATTGGAGCTGTATGTAACTGTTTTTGTACAGGATTTAACCTACTAAAATGTCACTACACTTTCAAGAAGAAAGGTGAAACTAAGAGTGAAAATATCAAATAGGTAATATTGTTTGATGTAACAACCAAATTCCTAGAGCTAAAAATTATAAAACATACAGAGTTGTCATTAGAAACCAGTAGGCGGTGGAATGCTAGCTGTCAGTTGTGTCCCAGTATGGACATAATCATGTCCCACGTCTTGGGAGAGTTTGAAATTGCAATTTTTTTCCAGGAAGAGGGTGCAACCAGACACCCCTAGAAGTAAGGGGGGGGGGGGGTAAGTTTCTTAAGAAACTGTGTTGCTGCATCAGTGGGAGATTATAACAAAGTAATTTAGTCTTATCAACTGATTTGATAACATAAATTGGCCACCATTGGCTCTGACAAAGCATTATTGCTTAAAACATCAGCTTTGAAACTCTTCACGGTGGCCAATTTACGTTATCCACTCATTTGATAATACTAAATAACCCCCCCTCCTCCACTTTGTGACATACCATGTTTGCTATGCAAGCATTGTTCAATTGAGCCTTTTAGTCAGTTCAGATTTTAAATCTATCCCATTTCCTAATGACAACCCTGGAAATATAAAGGAAATATTTTGGACAATTCATATTTAAATCTTGACAGTGGAAGTGTGAAGATTACAGGTAGAGCACCAAATGTAATGGCCTAGAACAAATTGGCCTTAACCCTTTAAGTCCCACTAGTGACCAAGACAGAATTTCTCCTTACACCAGTAGTGCAATATCAAGCAGACAAGTGATGAGAATGAAGAAAAATATCAATTAGGGGCTTATTGGTTGATCCAATTCCAAATTCTCCAAACTAACATCAGGAGAATTGTATGGCAGGCAGTAAGGAGAATTACAAATGAAATCTTGAGAGTTAAAGGGTTAAGGTGGCTAAGAGAAAAAAAAACAGTGAGCGGAAGAAGAGAATGGCTCACTTGGTTGTGTTAAGAAGTGCCCAATGCAAGTTATGATAATCTTTGTTAATTTTTTTTTCTTTTTCCTATCCAACTTTTCTGTTAATCAAAACTACAACAAAATTCTCAAACATGATTGGTTATCACTTGCCCAATTTGAGCACTAGTGGGATGCATCATGCTTTTAGTGGGACAGTGTAAGTGGATGTCATGTCTGCATAATTGGACAGTAGGTGTCTAACAGTGCATGCTGTTGTGGCAAATTGTTGTGCCGTAGTTCCTCTTGTTCAAATCATGGATTCTTTATTAGAACTTTTCTTAATTTACTTCCTGGTGATAATTGTAAAAAATATGCCTAACATCAAGTATAAATTTCTTTTTTTAATATTAATTTGTGTCAACTCAGAACTCTTTTGAAGGGAGATCAAGTGGAAAAAATTGTGACATGTTTACAATTTTATTGTAATTCTATTTTATCCTATTTATTGACAAACCTACAATTAGATCATTATACTTTAGGGGAAGACCATTTATTAGACAGAGGAGAATAACTTTAGCTCATTCATGGTGTTTAATGTTCCCACGAGCTTAAGCATTGAGCCATGATTATGAGTCGTCATAAAAAGTGAACTCTTCATTTATTAGACAGAGGAGAATAACTTTAGCTCATTCATGGTGTTAAATGTTCCAATCAGCTTAAGCATTGAGCCATGATTATGAGTAGTCATAAAAAGTGAACTCTTCATTTATTAGACAGAGGAGAATAACTTTAGCTCATTCATGGTGTTAAATGTTCCAATCAGCTTAAGCATTGAGCCATGATTATGAGTAGTCGAAAAAAGTTACTCTTCTGATAGATGCTAGGAATCACTGATAAATATAATTTATTTGAAAGCCTACAGCACAGAGTAAGTGTATATACTAAATACTTGTTGTGTGCATTGTATTGGTAAAAAAAAATGAGCAAGGTGAATTGTTTTGTAGTATAAAGCACAACTTTGGGAATTTTTTTGTTTTGGTGTGAATTTTATTCAGTGACTGCGATAAACAAGAACATACTAGTAATAGCTGGTCAAATAAATTTAAATGGTCAGTTTGAATTGTGTTAACTCATGAGTGACAATTATTTGTGTTACTTTTAATCCTTTCCATGCATATTCTCCATACTGTTCTCTATACCTTTCCTAAGGTGCGGATAAGGAGAATTTGTTTAACAATCAAGTTGGGGATCTTTTTCTTTATTCTCATGACCTGAATGTGTGATTCTGGGGTAATATTGTAAGGGGAAATGAGATGGTAGCCACTCTTTGGAGTCAAAGGGTGAAGACTGTCTTAAGGTAAGAGCAATTTTGAGCACTTGTCTCACTGTTTAAAATGCAGTGCAGTGGATCCATTACATTACTTTAATTTGAGCACCAAATTTGATAACCTTATCTGAAGGGAAGTTTATAATAGCACCTGGAGGTGGAAGAGCTACTAGAACTGGCAATGAGAAAACACAGCTACCTAAAATTCATTTTCAGGTTTTGGTTCTGCTGTTTTTAATACAAAGCTCAGTTGGTAGTGCTCATCAAGTATTTGTATTTTGTACCAAAATATTCTCAAAGCTCAAATCATGTGAAATATATGACAACCAAAGGAGACGCTTAATTTTCAGACCCTGGGCCATAAAAGGTCAAAAGATTGTTTGTCTGTTTAATTGCAGACCTACTTTTTCCGAGTCGGTGAATCACAGAGAGGATGATCGTGGACTGGAACGAATGGCCTCTCGACGTAGTGAGAGATCACGTAGTTTACCTTGAATAAAATTTAAGAAAAAAACAGCTCCAAAAATAATTATTGTACGTCAGGAGACTCTTTTTTTATGAAGTTTTTCAGATAGTGGGCAGCTTGTCTGTTAGGGCCCTTCTAGAAAATTCTGAAAACAAAGCATGAATTCGTTGCCTTGGAAATTAGCAAGCTACTTTGCACATCAATAGTCTTAGACCAGTGAATATTGCATGTACCATTGTGGATTTTTGATGCTCCTTTCATGAGAAATGGCCGGACGAACCTTTGCTATTCCATGTGAAATATGCGCACAAGGATTAGCCGACGTGAGAGGAAAACTAAGAGGAGAATTCTGGAGTCAGACGAACTGGTTATTCCAGTGACACCTTCATAAGATCGCTGAAAAATTTTCGTATCTTCTCTATATAGTTACGGGCAACGTAAGCTTATTGATTTATTACCGCCGATCGTGACAGTGATTTGATTGCAGTTTCTTTCTTAGCTCGCTCACCGTTTTAAACAGTGGCAGAGGTCTTGTTAGCGGAACTCTGACGGCGTTGAAATCTTAATCGGGAGACACGCTCCCAAACCCAGTATGCCGCCTAGAAAACCTCCTCATGTCGTTTGCTACATATGTGGTCGTTTGTATGGAACGACGTCAATCTCGCTCCACATTCCAAAATGTCTGGAAAAATGGCAGATCGAGAACAGTCAGCTACCGAGACATTTACGACGAAAGCCGCCTCAGAAACCAGCAGGATGGGGTAACACTGCTTTGTCAAATGACCCGAGGGAAAGAGAATCGCAACTAGATGCCATGAACGACATGGCTTTCCAAGCTTCGCAGATGCAGCTTGTTCCGTGCGAGAATTGTGGACGGACTTTCAACCCAGATCGCTTACCAGTGCACCAGAGAAGCTGTCGACCTAATAATCCTCTCAAGATATCCAAAAACTTTGATCCTTCGAGGGTTGGGTCTGGAAGGCAGAGCACGCCGGGAGGGGGTGATTATGGCAGGAGCCCGCCACCCCCTAGAAAGCCAAAAACTGTTGTGTGTTTCATATGTGGCCGAGAATTTGGTAGTAAATCTATCAGTATTCATGAACCACAATGTCTGAAAAAGAGGGAGCTTGAAAATAGCCGATTACCGAAGCATATGCGAAGACCACCTCCTGTTAAACCAAGCATACTTCCCAGTTTGTCTGGGGGGGAAGACCTCGAACGCAGGAACCAGATGGCATATGAAGCAGCTCAAAAACAGCTGATTCCCTGCAGAAACTGTGGCAGGACATTTCTACCAGAAAGGCTAGAAATTCATCTGAGATCATGCAAACCCGGGAGCAAGACAGTGCCAATAAGACAGTCAGGTAGGTGTGCTAAAATTAGTCTTTACCAGGGTTTCATTTAAAACTGGTTACCAGTGCTCTTCTACTGCCTATAGGACCTCTCAATACTGTCTGTTTAGGCTGCAAGCAGTCTCTCATGTTTTGGATTTTGATTCCCATGGGTGACCAAGACAGAATTTCTCCTTACATTCTTAATACAATGTGAACCAGATAAGTGATGAGAATAAAGAAAAATATCAGTTTGGGGATAATTAGTTGATCCAATACTAAATTCTCTGAACTAACATTATAAGAATTGTATGGTTGACAGTAAGGAGAATTGATCTGGTAGTTAAAGGGGTAATTACAGCTCCCTTTTGGGGCACAGCTGCCTATTACACTATTAGTACCACTTGTGGAAAAAGTTATTATTACCTCTGATTTCTCACCAAGCCTTTTGAGTTTGTGGTTTAGGAGAGACTTTAGGAGTTCGTGTCATTTGATGTAGTTTTCTAGAGAATGAAAAAAAAAGATGATTGCAAGCTTAAAGAAAATTCTCATGTGTCTCTTCAAAGGTTCAGCTCGCCGACTGTCCCCTCTTACCAACCCAGGGGAGATGAATGCTACCCACACTGGTCAGTACGGCAGACAGAGCCCCCTTACCAGGTACAGTGATCAAAACAACAACATCAGTCCATTGGCTAAGGACAAGACTTTCATCAAAGGAAAGTCTACGAAATCCACTCCTCCAGCTTCTTCTCAACGTCCTGCAAGGTTAAAGCCAATGTCCAATACTCGTTCACCATCTCCATCATACAACCTCACTGGGAATTCTCCTGTGATAGGGAGTCAACCAACAGAGCAGGCATCTGAACCAGCCAACCTGGCTCAGTGTTATAACTGCGGCCGCTCATTTGCTGCAGATCGCTTAGCAAAACATGAAAATATATGCCGCAAAGCTGGTAAACAAAGAAAGGTTTTTGATGCTACAAAAATGAGAACACAAGGGACAGAGGTAGCTCAGTTTAACAGACCTGGAGCTAGGAAGGCACCTGATCCACCCAAACCTAAATCAAACTGGAGAAAGAAACATGGTAAGGAATTTGGTGATCAACCGTGAATTTCTCCTAACTTCAATACATTGTAATGCAGAATGGTGATGAGAAATGAGAAAAGTCATCAGCAAGGGGAATATTGTTTGATCAAGCAGCAAATTCCCAGATATAAAATCATAAGTAATATATGACAAACAGTGTGGGGAGTCTATATGGAGATTTTAGGTGTGAAAGAGTTTTAAAGCAGCTGAATAATTATTAGATCTGTGATGCCTCATTAATGCTCTGTACCACAGATTTACAAAGTGTGCGTCATTTCATTTTCCAACAATGATTTCTTATTGTTTATATAATTTATCTTTCTCTTGGTAGAGGAATTCATTAATGCCATAAGAGATGCCAAAAAGGTACAAGAACACATCAAGCGAGGTGGCAAGGCATCAGATCTTCCCCCACCACCTCCTAGTGAGAACCCAGACTATGTGTTCTGCAGGTTCTGCCAGCGACGCTTTGCACCAACAGTGGCTGAGAGGCACATTCCTAAGTGCCAGAACACAGCAAACAGGCCTTCACCTCCCAAGGCAAGGGCCTTGCAGGCAAGTGGAGGGCGTTTTAACTCCAGGAATCCTACTTCCTCAACAAGGAGAGTTTATCGGTAGAATGTATAGTTACCCTAATACTAAATATAGCCTCTGACGTTTATAGTGGAACTCTGATGGTTGGGGGGTTCGACATCAAACCACAGTGAGGTAACAAGGAGCCTGGCTGTAGCAGATCACTTCATGTGGTGTTCCTTTTACTGTTGTTGAAATTTCTGTCTTCTTTCTCCCCAAATTATGTGGCACAAGCAGGTTTAAGTTGGTGTGTATGATCACAACAGGGAATTAATCATGACATAATGTTACAGCAACTTGTGACCTTGTTGCTGTCTTGACCTTAAACTTTTGCTGAACATGCCCAGTTTAGATGAGACAGGGATTAAAATGGCTGATTACATGGGCCAGAATGCCCAGGTTGTCAAAAAATATTTACCTTCTCTTTGTGACATGTGTATCAATGAGCAAGGCAAGACTTTCAAACCTGTTTGGGATAAGGGCCCTGTTCCTTTCCCTCTTCCCCCCAGAAAAAAAGAAAAAAAAAAGATCAGACTTTATGGAAACTGGAGGAAATGAAGCCTTTACATGAGCTTAGCTAGACAAGGACAAGCTGACCCAGGTCTCAGAGAGTATGCAGGGCACTCAGTATTCTTCACAAAGGGTTTTGAGACAGAGACACTTTTCCTAACAGAGTGGGTGATAGGTGAAAAAAAGAGTGGGAGGGAAGGAGAAAAAGAAAATGCTTCTTGCATGTCCCCTCACCTCAACCCATTTAAAACCAAAATAAACATGGGGCTCAGAATAAATTCCAACCTGTGCTATTTTGGTGTGTTTGTCAAAGGCCCTTCCCCCCACAAAATATGTCTTGTATTTTTGTTTTCAACAGTTTATTGTTAAATTTTTTTTTTTTTTACTTGTTCAGCCCTCATCATGAAAATTTAAATAGAATCAAACATGGTGTGACTATTTTTTGCTGTTATATTTATGTTGGATCTGTAACATATCTTTAATTTATTGCCTTCTCACAAACATTGTTATTTATAATAACAGCAGGGTATCATACACAAAATCATCTGTAAAAATCAGTCTTTTTTTGATTTATGCATAAAATAAAAGTTAATGTTTAGTATGTCAATTCTTTATTTATAAATTAATAAAAATATGTCTGATGATTTTCCTTTATTGTTAAATTTTTCTGCCAATATGTTTTGGATCTGTAACATATCTTTAATTTATTGCCTTCTCACAAACATTGTTATATAATATCAAACAACATCTGTAAAATCAGTCTTATTTTTTTTTTGCAAAATAATAAAGAGGTCCACTATTTCATTGTTACTTCCGAAATCTTTTTTTTTTAAAAAGGGTCCACTTTTCATTGTTCCCTTGGGTGTCTCCTCTTCCCCTCCCTAGGAAGAGAGACCTTGGGAACAAAGTTGACCCTCTATATAATTCTCATCACTTGTCTACTTGACATGGTATTGGTATTATAAGGAGAAATTCTGTCTTGGTCACACATGGGAGTTTAAGGGTTAATAATCAAAATTATCCTTTAGGGAGGATGGTTCTGTTTAAAAAGCTTGTCTTTTCATGTTTACTTGATTCAGGCCTTAAATTTGTTTCTTGGCCAGTAGTATAATAGCCATGCCAAACTCAATAGCACTTCCCAGCGCACCAAGTGATGCCCAGCCATAATGTAACAACATAAAAGTTCCAATTCCAGGGGCTAATGTTCTCATGAGTGCTTCAGATGTTGCACAAAGTCCTAAGAGTAGCCCAGTGTCGTGTCTGCTGACAGCTTTGGTTGCCATGGAAGTTGTCATTGTTCGTGCTATGGAGAATCCTATTACCAAGATCACTTGTGAAACAATGTACGAAAATGTATGTGTGGCAAAATACTGCAATAAAAAGAGAGAAAGTATTGGTTTTTATTAGCTAACTGCACTTAGTAGAGTACAAATAACCAGAGGATTAAGTAAAAATATCATGTGGCATTGTATAGTTATCTGTACAGTTGGTTATTTTGTACTGTAAAAAAAACCTGTTAACCCTTTAACTCCCATGGGTGACCAAATCAGAATTTCTCCTTACAATATCAATACAATGTCAACCAGTTATGTGATGAAAATAAGAAAAAATGTCAATTTGGGGATAATTAGTTGATCCAATACTAAATTCTCTGAACTAACATAATAAGAATTGTATGGTTGACAGTAAGGAGAATTACAAATTTGATCTGGGAGTTAAAGGGTTAAACCAGTCAGCTGTGCATGCTATGCTTTTATATCTGCTTTGCTTCTCCCACCTTATGAGAAATGAACAAAAAAATTGGCAAAAAAAAAAAAAAAAAAATGGTTGGATAATAAGTAACTTATTATATGTTTTGGTGTGCAGTATCACTGAGTATTTCGACACGTTGTTTGTATTTTGACTCGCCCTATGGGCTCATCCAAAAAAAAGGCACAATTTGTAAAAATACTCAGCAATACTTGACCCATCAAAAAAAATTGTCTCATAAGATATATTTATTATATGGCAAGATAGTATCAAGGTGAATCCAAGCATTTTGATAGGATTCTACTCAATCAGAATTTTGCAATACAGACGGTTTCTATGGAAATGGTCATACGTTGTGTATTTTTGGTCACCAAAGTTGGCAAATTCAAAATAAACAAGTTTGATCTGAGTGCCACATAATTAACTTTTTACAAATCTTACTTGCCCAAGGTACACTTAGGAATATTGGCCCTGTGTCTTTTTTGTCATAGTACTGTGACTATCTCAGGCCAATATTCCCTAGTGTGGCCCTCACACTCTGTTAATAAAAAGTTAGTATTTTTACTAATTTTTATTTTACTTGTCTGTATTTTGACAGCTTTTATAGGCACAACTTAGTGATATGTTTTACCAGGTACTATCAAAATTCTCTGAAGTAACATATACTTGTCTAAACATTTATGTCATGGTAAAAAAAAACAATGATTAAAGGAATGTATATCTAAGGGAACCTACCATCAAAACAGAGGCACACCCAGAAATAAGAACAGCCAGAATTAGAAGGGAAAATTCACTAAACCTTTTTAAGAGCATACCAATTCCAAAACCTTGAACCATCTAAACCCAAATGAAAAAAAAAATTATAAACAATACATACAATTTTACAATGACTGAGATAATTAGCATCTATCTATGGTGGAGGGTTGGAAGAATCCCAATTTACAATCAGTTAAATAAGATTCAACTTGGATAATGGGAGTATATCCTCACAGGTGATCTACAGTGTTGGAAAAACAACAAAAAAAGCCTTTGAAAAAAAAATCTTCAAGACATTGAAAACAAAATTCAAACCCATTTACCTCAGTTAAATAGATACTATTTGGATGCCTCTGCTACAGTGTTCTAAAATAACCTCTGAAAAATCAACAAATTAACAAGACACATTTTAGAGGGTTTTTCTTTCCTGTGGGGGAATCTGATCTCAATCTGAGTATTATTGAAAATTCAGGATAATGGCAAAAAAATTTAAGATAATAAGAATCACATTGATGATGATGATGATGATGATGATGATGATGATGAAAATAGTAATAATGATAATGACGAAGATGATTTTGAGTTATTGGTAATACAATAAAATATTATTATTACAATATAATAATAATTATGATATTACATTAATTATTATTACATAATTATTAGTAATACAATACATACAGCAGAGGCTGCACCAATCCCAGCAAGAAACAGACCATTTTCCTTTGGTCCAATTTTGAAGTACTCCATGTTTATAACTGGACCTAAGGCCTGGATCAATATTGCTGGTGCTAAAGAAGCTGCTTGTGCCACCAACATGTACAACACTTGTGGTATACTTAACAAGTCATACGTTTTTGTAAGAATAGATTTGTCTTGGCTTTTGAGAATCTATGGAGGGGAATAAGAGGTTAAACATTGGACATGCATTGAATAAGTTTTCAGACAGTTAATAATGGTTCCATGAAGGCCTAGAAAGTATAATTAAATAATCCCTGTGACAAATCAAGGGGATTTTTCAACAATATTCACTGAGTATGAGGTGCAAAACAAGGCAGCTGTTTTGAAGTCGAGCATCCTTGCTATAATCACCTCATGCAAGGCAATTATGGTGAGATACAATGCCATCCTTGACCAATCAGAGTGCATGCATCTCTATAATAACTGCACCAATTATACTAAAACTTTGTAACCTCACTCACCTGCAGCATCTAGCTTGTTCAGTGACTTTGTGTGTTTGGGTAAAAACATCTGTATTGTTAAAACAGATACCAGTGATAATATTGAAGCTAAAAAAGCAGTTGTATTGTCACCAAACTTCTCTGTGACAAAGCCACCAATGAGTGGACCAGCCATGATTCCAAGAGAGAAAGCTAGACCAAGTTTACCCAAAGCAGCAGCTCTACCTGCAAAATCCAAATTTTCAGTCAGTTTTTAGCACACATTGCAGACCTATTTTTGAATTATTGAAAAGGAAAGTTAAACTGATTTAGGAATTATCACCTTGGAGGTAAATAAGGGATTAAATGAAAAAAAAATTTTAAATATTCTCAGTCACTACTTCACAGTTAAGGTTTTTTGAGGCCAGAGTCAAGAAAAATTATCACAAAATTTTTTTTACCTGCTTTATCTGATGTGTCAGTCATCACCATCTGTAGACCTGAAAGGTAGTTAGTATTGATCGAGGGATCAGTGAAGTAATTCCTGAGAGCAAAGAATAAAAAACATCATCCCCACATGCTCTACTACAAAGATAAAATTTTATAATCAGTGACAAACCCACCGGTAGATAGGAAGGATCATGAGGGGAGGTGTAAAGGTAGTATCCTTGTATAGAGTTGATTAGAGGTGAGTTGAAAAAATGTTTTGAACAACCCTGTGAGTTACCAGAATCTGTCTTTTTTTGGGGGTGTTAACAACTGAGTTGAAAACAAATTGGCCACCATAAAGGGTAAAAAAGCTGATGAAGGGCTCACGCTCGAAACATCAGCTTTTTTACCCTTTACGGTGGCCAATTTACGTTTTCAACTCAGCTGTTAACACAAAATTACCTGCTATACTCTCACCCACCGACACAGCACCACAGTTTCTTTAGAAACTTACCCCTTTATTTTTTTGGGGTGGTCTAGGTACATGTATTTTTACTCCTTAGATGTACAATTCTTAACACTCATTTTAAACATAAGTAATTCCGAAAGTGAAGTTCCCTCCACAGCATAATAACACTTAGTAATACATAATTTAGCTACATTTTAAGCTTTGAACAACCATAACTAGCATGGACCTACAGTTTGGCTAAGCTAATATAGGCAGGCTATGGATATGATTCTTGTCATTTTTTGCAGAAATTTTCCAAGTATAGTGGAAGGTCCCTAGTGGTTACTATGACAACTTTGACAGCTTTCTTTTTTAATAATCAGCTCCCAAAGAACAGTTCTTTTTTGGTGTTCAATCAAGATAATATCTTGTGTAGGCGCAAAAATTTGTGTTATTATTTTGTTGTTGTTGTTGTTGTTGTTGTTTCATAGTTTTGTGTTAGGTGTTTAGTTCCTTGTCTTCATTAGTGTCCTTTGTCAGTTATCAGTTTTATACTTGTTATATTTATTTGTATATTGTATATATTCTGTTCGCACATAATTTATTTGGTCAGTTGTCTAGTTTGCGGAACATATCAGAACATATCATGCTTTGGGTTTCATTTTTTCGTCCTTTGGTTTGATCACATTCATCTTGTAAGTGTCCTTATTCATTTTGCTTTGTCGTTTTCCAGTACTTTCACTCATACATTGTAAGTTATTTTATGCTATTTCGCGCGTTCAACAATGTGTCATGTCAAGTTTGTTAAATTTTCGATGAACAGAAGTTTGTTCTAGTAAAGTTTGAATACAAGTGATTAGTGTTTGCAGCTATATCTCGTACCTGATAAATTTGAGTATATTCTCTTTACCTTTTTGTCAGATAATGTGCAGATACTTTAGGGAGAAGTTACATGTTAATCATTTTTGGGAGTTAAAGGGTTAAGCCCATCTGAGCTGCTTTCTAAAGAAATATGAAAGTAAAAGTTAAGGAAAGAAAACTTCCTAACCCTGAAATGTGTGCATGAAACCCAATGGAATTTGGGACAAAAATAACATTGGTACTGAATTTGCCAGGCTTTGAATACCAAAGCCAATAACAGCTGCAGAAAAAGAGAGCATCAGAGCAGCACGGGAGCCAAACACATCACCAAACCTCCCATAAAGAGGTCCACCGCACAGAAGGACAAAGGAGAACAGTGTGTTCAGGTAACCCAGGGTAACTACATCTGCTCCAAGCCGTCTAGCCATGTACTAAAAAAATGAAAATGTTATTTGATAAGCACTGAAGGGATGTAGCTACAGCCTGGAAATATTAATTAACCTGAAAAATCTGGCTTTCACAGATGGTTGATTGTGTGCGGTAAAATGTAAAATGAAAGGGTTTATTATGCTGCCTAAAAGCCAAGTGCCTCAGAACAGCCACAACAAGAGTCTGATAAATTATGCTAAAAAATTTGAGCATTATGCTTCTGAATGTCACCCCTGAATACATTTGCTCCCAATGACTCTCAGAGGCCCTGCATCCTCCCCCTCATACCCTCCCCCCTCCCTCACACCCCCCCTCCCTCATACCTACAACTGCTAAGAGAAAAGGCTTCAGGACACAGCATTTACTGGATCAAATTCCTAAAGTGCCAGCATGAAAAGCTGGCTAACTGTTGACAGTACTTAGGCTTCAGAATTTATCTCTTGTTGAACTGTAACATAGAGGGAATTTTTAAAGAAGTTTCGTCATAAAGCCGGCATTATTTTCGATGCTTCAACTATGTCATTATGCCCAAAATTATGCCGGCGCAAGTTAACTAACCACAACCGATGAAGCGCGCGCGGTCGTTCTCTGGTTTTTGTAACACGAAGCATTTCTCTTCGCTTGATTGGGAAGAGGTGTAAAAGAGAATCGGCTTTCTCAGATGATCAAAGGTCCTAGCTAAAGTAACATTTGCAAACGTTCACACAGATACTTACCGGGAAAACAGATTTACCCATGAAAAAACATGACGAGAACAAGAACGAATTTACAAGTACGACTATCCTTACTAAACTGTTCTTCTCTAGCGTGTCCTCTTTATCTACAGTTGCAGCCGAATCATTGTCGCTCTCTTTGTGACCCATGGTGGTCGCAAAAATTAAGTGAGAACCGCCTAGACCCCTCAGCTACGCAAAGCACTAATTACGTAAGCTCCGTGACACGAATAAGGGTCACGCAATGCCCTATAATACTAAAATCTGGAGGAAATTGCGGGTAAAAAGCGGATGAAGCAATAGACGAGTCGAGAGGGATCAGGCGGATGTGTGGAATGAAGGACGTAGCAAGCATAGGGGGAAAGGGGCTGAGGGAGAAAAAAGAAAATTGTTTGAGACCCACAAACTTTACTGATGGTTAAAGATTTTTGACGCATGGCAGCTGTCGCGAAATCGCACTCACTGAACATACTTTCCACTCTTTACTCAGATGCTAGATTTTAAACATAAATTGATAAGTTTTTTTAGGGACTACCTGGTCCATTAGAAACAAATGACCGTCTCCCGCCTGTTTCAGTCGTTCACAGGCAGCCCAAGCTCATTACACGTTCGTTTCTTGTAATTGATCTTGGGCCAACTGCGAGTCTTTCAGTTCGTAAATGAAGCGCACAAAATTAATGAAGGATTGAGGTAGAATGAACTTATTTCAAGCACCGCCGACTAACTAAACGCCTAGAACTGGCAACCATTTCCCATAAGAACGAACTGCATGCACCTAAGTTACAAGGCTGACTTTCTACATTGTACCACTGGCACTGCAAACAGAGTACCTTCGCTCACAATAAAGGGCAAGACATTTTTTTAAGGGGATTTTGGCGGACCAATGGAAAATCTGCGAAATTTGAAACAATTTGACAACACGAAAAGATATGTTCCTTGGAGGACTTCAGTTAAAAATGAAACTTCTAGAGAACATGTCTTGCTAACAAACAAAATCAAATATAGGGAAACGAGACTAGATCAAAAAGACATTACAATCAAAATATATTTTCATGTTCTCCAAGAGAAAGTAAACTGGTTACCAACAAAATCAACCAAAACCTCACAGAGGAATCAATTCAAGGGAAATTTTCTGAATTCAAAGAAAAACATTCAAAGAGAACTACTTCAGAACATTTTATCCTCTCCAAAACTAGATTTTGATCACGTTTTATGGATATGGTTAACTAATTTATCCCTCTTTAAGCCAACTGTTTAAAAAAACAGAAGCATATGAAGTTACTTGCTTCTGTCTTAACTCATTTCAAACGTAAAACCAAAATCTAAAAAACCAAAAGTCTAAAGCAAATATTTCATAACTCTTGTTTCTGCTGTTCTTTTCTTTGTGAACTTTCTTTGTGTTCGGCTCCTTGATCATGTGGTTCTCCACTGTCCCCCACATAACTTGTGTCATCATCCTCGGATGGAGTCTCGTCCTGATCTCCTTTATGCCCAGTCTCCTGCTCGCTTGAATTCCCGTCATCCTCTTCGTCATAATACTCGGACTCGATCCCAAAAGTCAAATGGACCAGAGCATAATACGTATTCAAAAAGGTTTGGCGAAAGACGAAGAACTTGTCTAAAGTAAATAATCGAAAGTTTTCCAACACGGTTAAGTTTTTGAGAGCCATTTTCTTCTGCTGGGAAGGAGACGTTTCTGTCGGAGGAAAAAAAGGTGAAAAATCAACAAAAGAGAGGAGTGGTCCTGAGAGCTGAAAATCTTCCCAGCCTAGATAGCAACTTACCCGGATGTAGAATCCAGTTCCTTAAAGTCTCGTTGTTCCACTCGGTCGTGTTAGTGAATATGTACATCCAACACGAGGGCGTTTCAGACACCGTGTACACCACGTGTGTGTCATTGGACGGAATGGAGATTTCTCCGCCTACTTCCACTGTATGGTTTGTTTTGTTAAACTCCACCTTTACTTGACCTTAAAAGCAAGTGCAAATCGATTCAGTATCTGAACGTGTTGGGTTTGTGCGCCCGCATTTCTTTCAATGCCATGGTTGGGTGCACAAATGCAGAAGTCGAGCGTAAGGCATGCGCAAATGGATCAATTTGGCCGGCCGCTCGAAGATTTCCCGCTGAAGTTCTGATGAAATAAGACAGAGCCGCTATGACGCAAAAATTCGCGCACGTAAATTTACGAAACTGAACTGTCCATAGAAATGAGCGAACTGGCTGAAGCGCGGGAAAAACCTCAGTGGCCAACACGTGACTGGTTCTAGTTTACGTGTGATTGGTTGATAAGGTAGCGCCAGTTTCCTGGACTTATCGTGAGGTGGAAGGAGAGGTTACACAAAACAAATGCAAACCCGATTACTTTCAAGACGTTTTGAGAATTTACCGTGCAGCAGAGTCAAAGATGTGTTCAGCTCCTCGTCCACAAAATTCTCCAAAAGAAGGCCAGGAAAGTCTGCCACAAAGGTAATTTCACTGAAGTTAGACTTCTCCTTCAGCTCTTTCCTGATCTGAACCAACTTCTCCCGCCATGGAGATAGTTCAGTCAGCAGGGGCTGAATCCAGGGCGTCTGTTTAAACGGTGACCACGGTGCCGTGACCATGTCCACGTTTGGATCCACCATACGCTGTTGGAAGCGTCTGTTCATTGAGCGCCACACGTCCAGATAAATAGCAGGTTTGGTGATGTTCAGATCTTGGTGAGCCGTCAGTTTCTCAGTCATACATGTCATGTATTGTTTGATCATGTCTGGGTGTGAGTTCCAGCGTGACTGGCGCTGTTCCCTTAACCACGCCTACAAACAACAAAAAGTGATGACGATGACGTTAACGACCACGGTCACGGTCACCGTCACGATCACACCCACGGTCACGGTCACCCCAATTACGATCATTGTTTTTGTCACGATCATACTCATGATCACAATCACGATCACGATCACGATCACGATCACGATAACAATTACTATCATGATAATGAGCTTTCACTTTAGTTATCTGTTTTAAATGATCAAAATTATAATACGATTTGAAAACTGGGATTCTTACCGAGGGCCTTATATAGGTGACCTCTCCGGACGCCTGGTCCACTACTTTGACCCTGACGTGTTGAGTGCTCCAAGAATGCACCATCATGTCCCATGAATATCCATACAGTCCCTGGGTCCATGCATTGTAACCCTGACATCAAATGATGTGAAATAAAATAAGTAAGAGTTGGCACTTTTATAAAATGGCTCGCAAGGTCTCTAACAAATGACAATGAATATATGAAAATCATATATGTGGCCTGTGGATAAAGAAGTGAATAGGAAAGTGATCTTTGCAGTAATGAACACCACTTGCGCAGTAACAAGGCATCTTAGCTCAGTTGGTAGAGTACTGCATGAGTGCTTATTTTCACTTCTGCATAAGTAGTATTCAAGATTGCCTTCATATTCAATAATAATAATAATAATAATAATAATAATAATAATAATAATGATTATAAATGCTTTATTTAACCCTTTAACTCCCAAGATCTGATTGTTAATTCTCCCCTCTAGCTGCTAAACATTTCCTTGTAAATTAGTTATAAGAACTTGGTGCTAGAACAAGATAGCAGCTTCTACCTGATAAGTTTGAATATTCTCATTGCCTGTTTGCAGAATAATGTATGGATATTATAGGGAGAAGTTTCCTGTTAATCACTTCTGGGAGTTAAAGGGTTATACTGAAAAAACCAACCAGCTAATTCATCATAAACTGGTGATCAGTACATAAAAAATACTATTCAAGGTCTCTATCATTTGGGTCTTTAACTCCCAAGATCTACAAATGAATTCTCTATACCATCTCCATACATTGCATGTGATTCTAGTTCTGAGAATTTGAAGTCAAATCATGCAATATCTCCTTGCTGATGTTTTTCTTTCTTCTTGTTACCTTTTTACTTGAAATTGTATGGATATTGTAAGGAGAAATTGCTTGGTGATCACAACTGGGAGTGAAAGGGTTGAAAAGTCACATAACATACAACAATGCTGAATTGCGTATGTTCTCTTACCTTTGTAACAAAGTGTGAATATGGAAGAAAGAGCTGGACTCCAATATAAAAAAGAGCGATGAGCACAAACACCTTCTGTTTAAATGTTGCTGTTTTGCTTTTCTTTGAAGGCTTCTGTTCACTGCTTTGTTCTTTGCCGTTCACTGTACCTTTGACTGATTCCTGATACACACAATGTGCACTGACTTGAGGTTCTTCTTTTGAAGGTAAAATCATGTTCATGAAGGTGGGCATGCACGAAAAGAGCTTCTTGGGCCAGTCATAAGCACAAAACAAGAATAAAGTAGCCAACATGGTGTATGAAAACATACCAATGTGAAACATCTGAGAGTTCATTCCATGGAACATGGCTCCAAAGAAGATTCCAATGGGGCGTGTCTTGTCGAAAATTAGAAGAAAGCCTTCGAACAAGTCAAAGAACAGTCCTCCGAGATGGACAAGGTAAAGGTCAATAGCTTCATCATCAAGGAAAGAACGGAATGGATCAAACACCCATTGGCGTGAGAGACCTGTCATAGAATACCCAGTCATCCAATCCATGTCAATTTTCTTCAAACCAGCGTAAAAATACACCAGAAATACCTACCAAGCAGAAAGATATGTGTTTACTATCCTCAAATCTAATTTCACTTAGTCTAATTTATTTGACATTACTGATTAAGAAAACATAATTTTTGGTTATTGTTATAACCTTTAACTCTCTACACCCTAACATCAGTATGCATATTCTCAATACTGTTTTCCAAACATTTCCTAAGGTGCTGATGAGGAGAATTTGTTTATCAATCAAGAGAATATTTGTGATGCAGGGGTTATACTGTTGGGAAAAATAGGATGCTAGTCACTCTTAGCAATAATTATTAAAGGGTTGATAAAGTTTGTGAAGATTTAGGAGTGTGTTTCACTACAACTTTAACTCCCAAGATCTGATTGTTAATTCTCTCATCATGCTGCTACACATTTTCTTGTTAATTAGTAACATGAATTTAGTGCTAGATCGAGATAACAACTTTTACGTGATAAGTTTGAGTATTCTAATCACCTGTTTGCCAGATGGATATCAAATGTATGTTGTATAATGTATGGATATCAAAGGGAAAAGTTACAAGTTCATTATTTCTAGGGGTAAAAGGGTTAGTTTTTGGCTGAGCTTGTCAAAGTGAAGGACCTGGCTGAGATATCACAGCAATCTATCTGCTGTTCATACAAACCTTATTGCAGGGGGATTATCAAAAGGAGGCAGTGTCGTTGACAGTTATTTTTTCAGATGTGCCTCGCAAACCATATGAAGAAAACAGTGAGCTTTCACTTGAATATCCTAGTTTTGAGAGCTTCAATCTGCCATGTTTGTACCATTTATAATTGTAATTAAACTGAGTGGAGTGCAATTTGGGCTGAAATCATATGTGTGATTTCAAAATCGAGTGAGCACACAGTGCAAGTTCAATTTGAAATCAGAAGTATGATTTTAGACTAAAATTGAACGGTACAAGGTTCAACTACCAGTTTATTACATCCATTTTGAAATTGCCCAAGTACAGGACATGGTTGGTTCAAATATTTTATTGATGCAGTACTGAGCAAGTTTGAAATTAAATTCATCCATTTTTTAAGGGGAAAAAACAAGAGTTTTGGAAACAAAGGTTGCAAAATTTGCCACATGATGCTCTTTGTCTTTCATTTTCCTGCAATTACATTGGTTACTTTAAACAAGCCTTGAAATCTGATTGGTTGTTTTGTTTTCAGTGTAGCCTTCTCATTTGCTGGGAAAATGATGCGATTTAAAGCAAAAAATGGTGTGATTTGTGAATAAATCGCACCAATTAGACCCAATCAGATTACAGGGACCACCAGTGATTTCAAAATGGGTGTAATGAAACCTTTCAACTCCTATGTGTGACTAGCAGCTAATCTCTCCTTACATTATCATTGCTGAAGAAAACATTAAGGTCAACAGAATAAAGGAAATGATCACCTGCTAAAGGGGCTCTATCTCTGGTGTTAAATAAATTCTCTTTGCTAACACCTTAGGATATCTATAAAGAACAGTATGGAGAATATGCACACTCATCTGATGTTTAGCTGTTAAGGGTTTAGCTTGTAAATACCTTGGACTTGAACTATACATTGTATATGATAAGTATAGTTATAATCCTTAGAACATGGGCTATAAAAAAACTAATTTACCTGAAAACGCAGCAAAACATAGTTCCACTTTGGAACATGGGAATTCTTTATCGTGGGATTTAAAATCCCATCCACAGACCTGAAAAAAATGAAGTGATGAGTAACAGGAATGAAAATATTTTAAAAAAAATAACCATTTCATTTATCATTGAATGAAAAAAAAAAACCACCAAATCAGAATTCACCAGTGTATCTTATGTGTCAATCAATTCAAAGCTTCAACATTCCGCAGCAAAACTCTCCCTGATTTATCTCAAGTCTCCCTGCAGGTGGGCAGAGAAACTTGCATCTTGCTGTGCAAATAAAGAGGAAGCCTGCTCACAAACTTCCACATACTTCAATTTCCATGAGGCATGCTGACAGATGAAAAAATTGTTCATTTTAGCAAAACAGGATTGAAACTTACCAGTAACAGTTGGCATTGCTTAGCAGAAGCATCACTGAAAATAATCCATACAGATATGAATGGTTATTCCAACGCGACTTCTCTAGCAGGAATATATACCAGTAGGTTATCAAGAAGGACAAGCAGCTTAAACGAAACATAAATCCCAAGAAAATTCCACAAGCTCCAAGGAACATAATGAGGTAAACAACATGCATCCAGTCAACTGGTAGAGGTCTGATGAAGTTGAACAGAGGAAAGTGGCAGGTGTCTCCTCCAAAGTGTGCCTCAATGAATAACATGCTGCGCTCTTGAGGAATGTCAACCATCATGAGCAATCCTGGAGAACAAGATCTCATTAGTAATTCTCCTTACTGTCTGCCATACAATTCTCATAATATAAGTTCTGACAATTTAGTATTGGATCAACTAATAATCCCCTAATTGATATTTTTCTTTATTCTAATAACTTGTCTTCTTAATACTGTATTGATATTGTAGGGGAAATTCTATCTTGGTCACCTATGGGAGGTAATTTGAGCAAATATTAGGAATAGTGATAAGCATCTAATTTCTCCCAAAAGTGTCAACCCTTAATCAAACATTCAGGTCATGAGAATAAAAGAAATGATCACCGCCTAAAGGAGGACTTTTGATTGTTAAACAAATTCTCCTCATCAGTACTTAAGGAAATGTGTAAGAACAGTATGGAGAACAAGAAAACTGATGTTCGCATTTAAGGGTTAACTGGCTGAGAACCAGGTTATGTAAAATATTATTAGAATATAAAATACGATCAGTAAAAACTAAACATACCAAATGCAATTCTCAACACAGCAAGATTGGATGGATCAGCTGGTGACAGCATAAACATCAAGAACTTATTCCACAAGCTTGGTTTCTCCTGCACAGCTGAACGAGGATTCTTTTCTTCTGCTACTGCGACTACTTTACCCATCCTGAAAAACTATGATTTATTAAGATAAATTTATGTCTATTCACATTATTGTTTGAAACACATCAGCCTGGCTTTATTAAGATATCATTTATGCTGGAAGTTTGAAGAGCATGAAAGATGCTTTTTAGAAATTCTCCTTGCTGTCTGCCATACCCTATCCTATGATATTACTTTAGAGAATTTGGTATTGGATCATATCCTAATTAATCATTTACATAATCCTCATCACTTATCTACTTGATATTATATTGTTTTGATTGTAATGAGAAATTAAGTCCTGGTAACTCAAGGGTTCCCACGATTATTTGGACTTCTTCTCAACAACGTATGGAAGATGAGTATACAGCCTTCAAAATGTACTTTTTGGGTCACAATCAGTTATCACCTTTATTCACAATGGAAGACATCTACATCTGCAAGTTAAAATCATGTTTCTTTTCTTATCTTATCCTTTTTTCCCCTTAATTTAATTAAAACATTTCTCAGAAAAGAACTTTGACCACTGTGTTTTAAGTCTCCTCTCAAAACATAAAAAAACATTTGAAATCAAAATGCGCTTTAAATTAAATGAAAAAAAAAGAGTTTATCGACAATTAATTCAATATTCACGACATTAAATTGAGATTTTAAAAATTAATCGCGCTTGAATGAATTGCCTACTCGTATACGTTACAGCTTCATTAAAGAGTAATGCAAAAATTGGATCAAAAATATTACCTTTTGACTTTTGCGTATAGATTTCACACGCAAAAGTTACTGCTAACACAACGATCAGACGAACATTTTAGCCTCTTAAGTTTACAAATCGAAGAAGGTGCTTGGATCAGAAGACTTACATTCAAAATATTATTCGTGCGGCGTCAATTTTAGGGTTGATACTCAATCAACAACTCTGACGCGCTAAAAAATCAAAGATAATCGCTCAAAATAGTCTCAAATGACTTACCTTGTCCCAAGGTACCGTGCCGTAGGGATGTCTGATTCAAAGAAGCTCTATCTTTCAGCTAAATCAACTCTAATCCAATGAAAACAGCAGGGCTGTGACATTCAGCTGTCTATTTTTCTTTCATGAAACGCCCTTTTTATGATATTAAAACATCTGTCCAAGCATTATCAATAGTTTGCAAGGGCGCCATTTCCAACTTAAAAAAACTAGTTTCCAGTGTCTCTCGATCAGTGGATTAAAAGCTTAATTTTTCTTACAAAATTTTTAGCAAAATTCTTAACCCTAGTGCCTTACAAATATAGCAATAACTTTAATTAATTTATTTGCTTTCATTTACTCGGTTTCCCTTCCATTTTGAGGCAGAATTTATTCTGTTCAAGCCTTATTTTGTGAAGTATCTTTCATTTTAGCGTACACAACCCACCAACTTGTAGAAAAAAAAGAATATGGCGGCCGTGTCACAGTACTGGTCGAGGCACAAAAAAAACTCTCCCCACGCGTGGTTTAAAGGCTGTATATTCCAGCATATATGGCGAGAAAAACAACATAGCTTTGCTTTAGGTGAGTGTAACTAATTTTTTGCCTCTTTGAGTAGCTTTAGTGTATTGGGAAAATTTTCTCGCCATGAAATTGTTACATTGTATTCATTTGTGTTGTGCCACAAATCACACGTGGTTACCGTGAAATCTACAACGATGGAGGCTTTGATCAAGTGCATCGTTAGACAAAAAGAAAACATAATTAGTGAAGAAACGTCCCAAAGCTGAATGAGATTTGAAAACGGGATAGATTTTTTAAGAGAAATGCAAGATGATGTTTTATTGAATTGCGAATTATAGTTAATGTTGAGAAAGGTTCTTTCCCCATTGATTGAGGTTTCACGAGCCAAGTATGGTTTAAAATATGCTTCTTTGAGACAATGCGTTTTGTTGTAGTGCAATTTTATCCTTGGTTTTAATATTCTTCCCCTTAACTTTGGGAATGGTTTACGTAATATTTTAGTTTTGAAAGAAGGAAGGAATTAAACCAAATTGTAGATTACTTTCTCTAACATTCTTTTGTAATCAATGTTCGATAATCTGGAAACTTAAAATTTGTTTCCTGGACTAGGTCAAAATAGATCATATCGCCTGCAGCACATCACGTATCTCACAAGAATGCTGCTGGACTGTTTACTGAGCCATAGATTTGATGAAGCCCTGGAGTGTCTTGTTGGATTATGTGGATTTTGTAGAAGAATACCTGAACTGTTTTGGCGAGTGAGTTGCAACATATCCTATATATTAGTTTAACCCTTTAACTCCCATGAGTGACCAAGATAGAATTTCTCCTTACTATAACTATACAATATCATGCAGACAAGTGATGAGAATAAAGAAAAATATCAGTTATGGGATTGCTAATTGATCCAATACCAAATTCTCCAAACTAACATAATGAGAATTATTTGGCAGACAGTAAAGAGAATTACTAATGAGATCTAGGAAGTTACAGGGATAAGTCTGTATTCAAGCCAAGTGACCCATCTAGCGTGAGTTTATCCTGGTTTCAATAACTTGAAATGACTAGGAGAAGTAGGACACTCCCCTGGATGGGATGCCAGCCCATTGCAGGGTAACCTCCTCAGCATTTCATCAGGTGTCTATGACAGTTCACTAGTACCCATATATACACCTGGGTGGAGAGAGGCATGGGGAGAGTAAAGTGTCTTGTCCAAGAACACAACACAATGACCTAGCCATGTCTTGCAGCCAGACCTCTCTACTGGGATTCTTTGTCCACTGTGTCTCTTATATTGTTTGGGTAGTTTTCTAGAAGAAAAAAAATATACTTGGCCAATTTGGGTTAAAAAAATTGTTTGCTAGTTAGTGACCAGTTACCATTTCTTGGACCCAAGTCTCTTTGCTGTGGCATCCAGGCATCCATCATGTCTTTTACCATATGCTTTTGATGGTTTTGTTTTTCTCTCTAAAATATTGAATTGTGATTGGATCAGTGGGCAAAGTAAAAAATTGAAACACTGAAGGAGATTGTTTGTCTAAGTTGTAGGACTCTGTGTAATCTGTAACCTCAACCATTTGTCAAAATTTTCCTTACAATTTAGGGACCAGTTATAATCCAATAGGGCAAGGGGTAGTTTTTTATGTCTGTGAGGGGGAGGGCTTCATCAGTCCCTCCCTTCCCCCACTCACACACATAATGACTGGTCTCCAGTTAAATATAACAGCAGAAAACAAGAAACTTTGCTTGACACTATTTTATTCTCCATTTGTGCTGTCCTCTAAAAAGCTAGAATTAGCTATTGGAAAAACTTTTTAATAAAGGGGACAGTTTTTAAAGAAACTGTGGTGCTGCATTGGCAGGAGAGTATAACAGGGTAATTTTACATTAGTATTATCAACTGAGTTGATAACATAAATTGGCTACTGTTAAGAATTAAAAGGCTGATGTTTTGAACATTAGCAATTCTTCAGAGCACCGATGAAGGATTAATGCATGAAATATCAGCTTTTAAACTCTTTACAATGGCCGGTTTACATCATCAACTTAGCTGATAATACTAAACTACCCCACTTAGTTTTTTTTCTCTCAGTTTCATTTTGCAAGAGGGTAGATAAATAGTATTAGGCACTTAAAATGTTAAGGAGTTTTAAACAGGATTTTGTCTTTTTCCTAGCTTGTTCGCACAGTGAAATATATCTTGTGAATTTTTTTGTTTTCAGACGGGATCCGAAGTTCTGAAAAACCGTCCGGGAAGCCACATGCACATGATGCAATTCTTAAAAAACATGTTTGTAATTTGTGTGCCATTTAAAACCGAACTTCTGCTGGATCTTGCTATGTACTTGGTGAAACACAATAATGATATTACAGAAGCACAAGAACTTCTTACATCAAAACTTTCTCAAAAGCCATTCATGTCAAGCCCTGTTCTTCAAGCTTATGCTGGACTCTTTGCATATATTCAATGGAAGAAATGCAAACACAGTATTGACAATAGATATTTAGAAAACGATGATCACAGTGATATGGACTTAACAGGAGGTGACAATAGGACTTATGCTGATCTGAAACGTCAAATGGATTTTCATGGGAAGAAGGCTCTGGTTTTTTTCGTCGATTTAGTCGAACATTGTGGTGTGTGGGACATCTTTATTACAAGACAAGTAGAGATGTTAAAATATTATGACGTGGCTGATGAAGCAAAAAGTATCCTAGTGAAGTACAAGGAGAAAAATCCTGAAAACCCTAATTCACATCGGTAAGACATTGATAAAAATCTAACCCTTTAACTCCCAAGATCTGATTATTAATTCTCCACTCTAGCTGCTACCAATTTCCTTGTAAATTAAATAGGAGAATTTGGTGTTAGATCAAGATAATAACTTCTATCTGATAAGTCTGAGTATTCTCATTACCTGTTTGCTGGATGATGTATCTATGTGAAAGGGAGAAGTTACATGTTTATCATTTTTGGGAGTTATAGAGTTAAGTGAAACAAAACATTTTCTTGTTAATATTATAACTTTCTCCTTGATATTTTTCTGCTTGATGTGGCACTCCTAATATATTACATAAAATGGTTTTTCCTGATACATTGAAAGCTTTCAAATGATACCTGAATTTCCAGCCAAGGCAACATGACCATTTTTCCATCTTGGATAATTTTCTGTTGTAACTCTGGTGGGTGTGTGACTCTGACAATGATTTCCACTCAGTTTGTCAAAACGTAAGACACCATTACTTACAACAATCCTTTTCACCTTTACACTAAGCCCAGATAGTCAGGCCACAAAATCAAATGAGGCCTGTATCTGTTGATGATAGATATTTTGCAATAAATATGCATACTTTGTATTCTTCCTGGTGATTTTATAGAGATATCTATGTTTTTTTTAACTAATTTTTGTAGATATTTAGAACTGTAGATGATAAATGTTTTGTGATTGACATTAATACTCTTCACTCTTCTTTGGTTGAATCTTTAGCACAGAGGACCACTAGTTTATCATTTACACTGTCATGTGTTACCCTCTCCAATTTAAGTTGTTACTTACCTACTTACTTACCCAGAGGTAAGTAAGTAGAGTATTTGGATGTCTTATTGCATGAATCCATGTAGTAATAATTTTCAATGTTTTCACTTTTCATTTTTAATAGGTACTTATATTATTTTCTGAAAAATGAATGTGCCAGTAAGGAAGAACTGTGTGCAGTTCTTGAAGATTTGCTGAATGTTGATCCAACAAGTGAACTGAGCAAGGATTATATCAAGCTTGCTAAACACAAGAATGGTAAAAAATTTTAACACTTTACTCCCTAACATCAGAACGCATATTCTCCCTGCTGACATGGAGAATTTAGAGTTTCTTTGGTTGGTGATCATTTCCTTCATTCTCACAACCTTACTGTTTGATTCAGGGGTGATATTGTAAGGAGAAATTAGATGCTAGTCACTCTTGAAGGTTGAAGGGTTAATGTGTGTCCAGAAAAACAAAAAAATTAACATGGCCAAAACCAACAATTTTTTTACAGCGCAAGCTTCTTAACCCTGTGATCCCTAAGAGTGACCAACATCTACTTTCTCCTCACAATATCATGCCTGAATCACATATTAAGGACATGAGAATTAAGGAAATGATCACCAAGTAGAGAAGGTCTTGATTGCTAAACAAATTCTCCTTATCAGCATGTGAGGAAATGTTGAGAGAACCCTATGGAGAATATGGATGATGATCTCGGGGTTTAAACGATTAAAACGTTTCAGTCCAGGTTTGATTCTCTAACTGTTGTTAAATTTTGGATGATAAGCTCTCACTGTTGAGATTTCAAAGGGCCACTCATGTGATATTCTTTCCTTTGATTATACTGGTGCATTGTCAAACAACAGTTCATTTAAATTGTTTTTTTTGTGCTTTGTTTTTTTCCAGATCAGTCAAATGGACTCGTAGATATTTTAGGAGCGCTTTTTGTCAAGCTCGACCATGCAGCATGTCAATTTTGTGTCACAGCTTGGAAGAAACTTGCGGCTGCTCTCACTCAGTTCTGCGCAGCTCATGATACAAGGGAGTTGAAGATATTTTGGGACGAGCGAGCTGATTGGTGGCCACAGTTTCACTTCCGTCTCAGTCTCGTTCCTAACAAGGATCACGTGTCTGAACTGGAATGGAAACTGACTCGTCATAAGGCCGAGGCTGCCAGGTGGCTCCTTGGACAAGGTGCATGTTTTGTGTGTGCACATACAAGCGTTTTATTGTGCGTGTCATAATCACTCTTGTTTAGGATTTGGGGAAAATCTTACCAATAGAAAAACACTACAATCCCACAAACTCAACTACTTTATTAAACAACGAGTTATAATCTTGATAAAGAGCGACTCCTAAACGCAGTACAGTACTTATCGTTAAAAAACTTAATTAAGCCCACTACTGTCTATATCTTAGGTCACCACTGACCCAAAGTCACAGTTTCCTCCGACGTTTCTTGAAACTAGCAATCTTCCACTGTAGTTCTCTCTCACTGTATTGTTTTTTAAACAGTCAGTCACTCCCGATAACAATGACTACTACTACTAAATAATTGAGTCCTTGCATACATTCACAAAGTGTTCTGGAACATTCCAGAAGGCTACAAAAGAATTATTTTCGTTAATTATTCTTCTTCTTCTTCCCTTCTTCTTCTTCTTCTTCTTCTTCTTCTTCTTCTTCTTCTTCTTCTTCTTCTTCTTCTTCTTCTTCTTCTTCTTCTTCTTCTTCTTCTCCTTCTTCTTCTTCCCTTCTTCTTCTTCTTCTTTTACTTTTCCTTCCTCTTCCCTTTTTACCTCTGATAAAGATAGCTGTAAAGGGTCATGATCAATCGCTTTATTGAGCAGATCCATTTGAAACTCTTCAGATTGGAGTTTTTTGTGGAATGGAGCAAGATCGATGGCTTTCACTTCCCAAGTCTTTGTGGAATTACTTAAGATATAGTAGTCGACTTTTACCTTGTCTTCCCTCCTCAGGGTTGTTGTATAAGGAGGAACTTGGACAAGTTTATGTTCGAAAATATCGCAATTGAAGTCCACTCCGGCTATGACATAGCACTCGTTAGACTCGTGTAAACTTGCTATGATTTCGCAAACTTTAGTGGCTATATTTTCTCCATTGTGTCTGATGTTGTGGAAAGATACAAAAATTATCTCACGCTTTGTAGATATGTGTCGCAGGTGAACAACGCAAATACGATTCTTTATCGTCCGTCTTTCTGGCACTATTCCCTCTCTCAGAACTTTTGTTTCTTCTTCAGGGACCTTTTTCAGAACTGTATCTAGGTGCACAGGTGATGGGTCGACTTTCTCGAATGCGTTGTTTTTATAGATCACCCTTGTCTCTCTCTCGTCTTCAGCCTTCTCGTAGTTGTAATCTTTCTCAGGTATCCCAGTGTCTTTGAAGAAACTGTCGATGCTCTTTATGGTCTCTTGCAGTAGCATAACGTCCGGGTCGACGTCCCCAATCACACTCTTTAATATGCTTTTTCGGGCCTCTGCCATTCCTGCTGCGCTTGACCCGTTTATGTTCCAGCTGAGCACTTTTATAGTCGAACTCTTGTCTTTTTCGCCAGGAGTAAGTTGAATATTTCCAAAATCAGTAGCAAGTTGATCAAATTCGAAATTCTTCGCCATTCTGTTGTAGTGATTGAAGCCTGAAATATATAACCTTCAAAGATGAATTGTTTGGCGCAGCTCTTCTCAAATATGTCTGCCTGTATTTCGAAATACTACAGTCAAACCTCGATTAGCCGGACTCGTTGGAACTAGACGAACTTTCAGCGATTACGCTTCAGTCCTTCGCTGGTCACTAAGTTGTTAGCAAACTTTATGATCTTTCCTTGATCGTGAATAAACATACGTCATGTTGTGTAGCTTGTTTATCTTGCATACCACGCCGAACGAGCCAATAGGGCGTGAAATCTCACTTAGCAACAGAGCAACTCTAAGCCAATCAGACCTCATTCGAATGTTCTTAAACCTTCTCAGACTGTAGGGCGTATTTTTGCCAAAGCTAAGTCTGTCACGAAAGAACAACGAACCGACGCTATTTATTCCTTACAATGACTGTGATCACGAGTATACGGACAGATCAAGTGTCAGTTTGGTACGCGTTTGAAAGAGCAACAAAAAGCGGTCTTCTTTTCCAAAAAAGAAAATTCAGCTTTGTCAGAGCACACATGCCTAACCAACCTTACAATTGGTTGGGATAATTCTAAAATTATCACCACTAATTGACGTTACTACCAGCGCCTTTGTTTGGAAGCTTGGCATAACAACTCCAACCACGCTCCTTTAAATCGTGATGATGGCGGCTTACTTCTTGACGCCTATTTACACCTCGTTAGAAAAAAGTACAGCTAATTAGTGAGCGTATAAAAGGAACTCTTTTTGCAGCGTTTAGATCACCTCTTATGAAGGCACTAGACATGAGTGTGGAAACGTTGGGTCTATGATTGTAACTTCTCGGTTACATTTATTAAATCTTTAAACCTGTTTTGCACTTCGCCGACAGATGTTTTTTTTAATCAAGCATTTTTGTCTATTTAAGATAAAGCATTTTGTTTACCTGAGAGCCGATCCGCACCAGCAGACAAAATTGCAATTGTTCGTGACAAAATCCAAGAACAAATTTTGTCGTGACAATTTTTGTCTAGTCTGTTGCATCCGCATTGAAAAGGTTTAAGTCTTCAAATTGTGTCAACACTGTCAATATTATATTTCATTACAATTTATTCAATTCTGCTGCGCACCAAAACATTGACTTCGTCTGGCGGGATAATGGAGCGCGTTCAAATTTTGTTACTTGTTGCATTCCTCTTTCTTGTAAATATCGCTGAGATGGCGGATGAAATACTCCTTATGGTGTGCTTGTTATCGAGGCATCAATATCTTCGAAATCAAGTGGCCCTCTTAACGATTGAATACTGTAGAATACAGAGACACCGGGCACGTCGACACAACCCACACTTTTGGAAACTTCCAAGACCAAACCAGTCTTGGTTTGATCTTGATTACAATGACCGGAGGATTTCGGGGATTATTTCAGAAAGCAACTACGAATGAACCGATGTACCTTTGATATTCTGTTGAACGTCTTGCGGCCGGCCGTAACTCGTGAAAATACCCAGCGCATACCCACTAGCCTCCTGCCTTCTAAAACCATTTCCCGAAGCAACGAGAGATCCAGAGGAAACAGTTTTCAATAAAGCTTTGTCTGGTGCCAGGGTAGCAGCAGAGTGCACTTTTGGGATGTTAAAAAATCGCTAGCGTATACTGGGGAAACGGCTGGATTGTAAAATTTCATTTGCCAACAAAATCGCTGTTGCTTGTGCAGTTTTTCACAACTTTTGTATGCTGAATCAAGACGAATGGAATGATGATGAAAATGATGACCCTCGAGATCAAGGACCTGAAAGCAACAACGACGATATTATAAGGGATGGGGACGACGTTCGAAGTGTGTTAAGAGAGTACGTTGCAAATGCGTGACTGAACCACAACATTTAATTGATATTCTTCCTTTCCAATCACGCAAATATAATTTATGAATGCAGAAAATTCATGCACTATTACAATTTCAATGACCTATGTTGAAAAAAAAAAACAAATCGAGAATTAAGTTATGATTGCTTGCAATTGCTGTCGTGTCCTTAATTTTTTACTTTTACACTTTGACTTAATTGAATAATGATTGAAATTACTATAAATTGAATCAGAACATGTTATCCATGATCCGTCCTTCACTCGAAAATTATTTTAATAAATCAAGTCTGATCATTTGAAATGGAACTCAAATATGTTCCTACGATTGTAACAGATCAAAAAGACGAAACTGTTTCATAATATTATAAACTGAATCAAACCATCTTTTGTGAAAACAGGTTTTGCCTTCGCAAATAAACGGACGGACAAGGACAACTCTTAAAAACTCCTTCTGGGTAAGGCTTTCCTTGGGGGCACTCGCTGGCTGCGGGAAGGACCGGAATCTATTACGGCTGCTGACTGTCCTTGAGACAATGACTAACAACAACAGGGTTGGCTCCAACGTAGATTTATTCTGCAAGCTCTACTACAATTTTGACCAGCACGAACCTAGCCAGGGCTGGTTCGACCCCCCTCTCCTTTTCTCTCGTTTCGTCTCTCTCCTCTTCTTCTAAGCTTTACAAAACAGTCCTATTTAAGCCTAACGTACATGGATAAGGTAATGCCATGAATAATCTAAAGAATCATGTAATCTACTACACTATGGGCTGAGTAGGAATTTCGCCTTTTACAACATTAATTACTTTAAAAGAGCTCCGGTGGATAACAACTACGCAAAAGGACATGACAGGTGACTGTTACAGTTTAACACTAATAACAACTGTTTACGGGTGACTGAAGGAGAACTGGTAGCGTTTACGCTTTGCTGAACTAAGCTTTCTACGTTATAATAATATAATAAGGACTTTATTTATAGAGGGGGACACGTAACAGCTGAAAAGCTGACAAACCTGTGGCCCTCTAACTAGATTATACAGCATTACAAAATAATACTAATAAATAGATAAATATACAAATAATTACAAAATTCTATGATAGAAATAGCAGGATATATTAAAAATATTCAGAAAGATAAAATTAATTTATAAAAAATTAAAATTAGATAATGTGCTATTGCTTAATATTGTTTCAAAGTTGTCCAGGTTTCTATATGAGCTTATAAAATACTTTTTCACAGCTGTTTTGAATAGTTTTATACTAGGCTTATTTTTGATATTATGGGGAAGGCTGTTCCATAACTTAACTGCGTCAACACTGAATGCCTTGCCACCATCGTTATTTCTTAGGTATTTGGGACACACTAAATTTAAATTGCCATGTCTAGTAGACCTATTGTGTACAGAACTGTTCGTCTTGAGCAAGTCTCTGATGTAAATCGGAACATCGCCTTTAAGGCTCTTAAAAATCATTGTACACTTATTTAGTTTGATTTCATCAAAAAAGGCAACCAGCCTAGTTTACTAAAGTTTATAACACTTCTAGAATAAGAGTCAACTCCAAGAATTACTCAGGGCAGCCCTTTTCTGTAACCTTAGGAGACAGTGGAGTTCTTTAGCGTCGCAGATATTCCAAACCATGCTCCCATACATAAGGACGGGTTTAATCAAGGCGTTATAGTATAAGAGTCTTTCTTTTATTGGAAGGTACCTCTTTATCTTCTTCAATAAACCAATACGCTGAGAAAGCTTGGCCTTTAGACTAGAAATGTGGTCGCTAAATGTAAGATCTTGATCGAGTGTTACACCAAGCAATTTATAAGAAGTTACTTGTTCTATTTCGGCCCCATCAAGGGTTATTGACAGGTGATTGCCTTCCGCTAATGATGAATGTAGCCTCTTTCCGGTGATAAGTAATGCATTGGTTTTAACGGCGTTTAGGACCATCCCATTTTCGCTAGACCATTTACTTAATTTATCCATGTATACTTGAAGACGTCGTTCCAATTCCAAAGGTGCATTATCGATATTAGCGCTGGCTTTAAATGTGGTGTCATCCGCGTAAGCATGAATAGTTGAGTCCGATCCAACAGCTTCGGAAGATCATTGACGAAAATTAAAAACAGTAGAGGTCCTAATATGCTACCTTGAGGAACTCCATTGGTTAGCGTAAGTTGTGACGAAGTCGAGTTATTTACAGTAACACACTGTTTGCGATTGAGTAGATAGCTCTGCAATAGCTTTACAACATTATCTGGAAATCTATATGATCTTAACTTTATCAGGAGAATGTCATGATTGATCAAGTCGAATGCCTTGCTATAGTCCACAAAAACTAAGCCGCTGACGTTGTTCTTATCAAGGTCAAGAAGGACTTGGTCCAGAAGAAACAACAAAGCAGTATCCGTGGAGTGGTTTTACGGAACCCTGATTGGAAGCGGTATAAAAGTGAATTTTCTGTTAAGTAGGTGTTCACAGCATTGAAGATGTGTCTTTCAAAGACTTTAGAAAGAATAGGCAAAATGCTAATAGGACGATAGTTTTGAATATCTTGCTTGTTTCCTTGATTCTTGAAAAGAGGTTTAACCTTTGCTATTTTCCATTGTGAGGGAAATGTACAAGTTTCAATACAGTGATTTATAATTTTAGCTATGGAGCATGATATTTCAGGAGCTGCAATCCTTAGAACTCTGGCACCAAGCCCATCGATTCCCGTGGCTTTGTGTGTAGGTATACTTAGAAGATAATCGTTAACCTCACTAGGAGTTATTTGCGGAATAAGATTTTCAATTTGACTGTTAGATTTGTCTGGTGGACCAGGAAGAGCATCATAATGAAGTACAGGTGTCGACTTTATGAGACGTTTATATACATCAACGAAGAAGCGGTTAAAGCGTTCAGCGATTGAATGGTCATCCTTTATCAAGTTGTTGTTTTCGTCAGCAATAGGGACGGAGTCGTCGTTATTCTTTGTATCTTTAGATAGGTCTTTAATTAAAGACCAAAGTTTCTTTGGACATTTTTGATTTTTACTGAACTGAGTTTTAAAGTACTGTTCCTTCGCATTTCTTAGTTTCCTCGTCACTTTGTTTTTAACCAGTTTAAAAGCAGACCAATCTTGCTTATTTTGTGTTCTCCTGGCCCTCTTTAGAAGATTATCGCGTTTATTTATTTCGTTGTATAGATCATTAGTGAACCATCTTGGCTGATTGATTTTCTTCACACTCTTGGACTTTAAAGGTGCGTGATTATCAAGAATGTCATTAAAGATTTTGTACCAAGATTCAACAATGTCATCGGCATCTCGAAAAACAAAGGAGATATCCCAAGGGGCTTCTCTGAGGTCTCGCAGAAAGCACTCTTTGTTGATTTTGTCGATATTTCTGTATTTGATTTTGGAATGTTGTTTACGTTGTGCATCCATGGTTTTGTAGCACCTCAAGATGGTGACCGGAAGGTGATCGGAAAGTCCAGATTTACCTATGGATACTTCTCTAATTCTAGCAGGATGACTAGAATAAATATGGTCTAAGCACGCATCAGAGGCAGGTCTTGTTACCCCATTTACCATCTGCGTTAGTCCAAGACTGTTCAGTGCCTTTGCGAGACAATGTTTTGAATAACAGTTGAAATCAATATAATCCAAATTAAAGTCTCCCAGAATAATCAATTCATTGTTTTGGAGATGGGCATTTTCAATATTTTTACCCAAGCTCTCATTATAATCTTTGTTGGCTGAAGGTGGACGGTAAACACCAGATATCAAAATCGGTCTCTTTGATTTATGAGGACAAATTTGAAGCCAGAGAGAGTTCAAGATCATCCAGTTCCAAATCTCTTCGACGTAAAGCCATAACTTTCTCATTTACATACGCAAATATGCCGCCACCTTTCTTCCCGATTCGATCTTTTCTGTGTAATGTGTAGCCGGGTATCATGTAATAGCTGTCTGGAATTTTACTTGATCCGAACGTCTCAGTGAGAATTAAGACGTCGAGTTTAGCAGCACTGTTGTTGTTCGAGGTGAGCATTAGCGATAGTTCTTCCAATTTGGTGTCAGTCAGTCGTTGGATGTTCCAGTGGCAGACTGATAAACCTCTGAAGCCTGCAGGTGGTTGAAGATTATTAGGCCCTGGATTGACGGCAATATCGCCAGATAGAAGAATGCACAGACAAAATTGGCCAAGCTTGATGAACCGCAACAACGCGTGAAGCTTCAAATTCAATTCGCAAGGTGTGCATTTCGAAGGCTTTGACTTACAGTTGAACGTAGGTGGAGCAGATATTTCCTTCCCAATGAAGAGTGTAACTGTAGAGCGATCGAATTCAGGTGTAATTGAAGTAAATTGGCCAAGTAAAACGCTGAAAATAGTCAATAGAAGCACGACTGCAAAAATATGTCTGCACGCCATGACTAATTTATTCATCACTTGAATTTTATACATTTTAAGCGCTAGCATGAAAGAACTCGATAGCTAAAAATCCTATCGTTACACTTACTCGAAAATGATTTTAATAAAGTAAAAGCGATGAAATAAAAAAAAATCAAATACATATTTGCAACTATAGACTCTACAAACTGTAACAATATGAATCATCAGACTGAACAGTCCACTGATTAAAAGGGAAACTGCTAGGCATCTATTTTTTATCCTTTGTGGCTTCCAGAAGAGAGCCCATGAAAGATGCCATCATTTCTAATTGTTTGCCGTGGTTCTGCTGTTAAACCAGGTGTATCCTGAAGGCATAGAACTTGGTTTAAGGAAGAAGAAACTGCAAAATGTTACTACTCAAAATTCAGAGAAAAACAGCATAGACTATTTGATCTTCGGGAGCCAGGTCTCCTTATCAGTAGCAGTTATTTTTGGATAGGAGCAAGTCTAGGTGGTATTGGAAAATTTCACTGTTGTGACCCTTCAGTAGAAGGGATAAAATGTCCATTTAAAGGGAAGGACTTTGACCCTAAAATTGCTTTCCTGCTAACAACTGTTGGTAGGAAAAAAGATGAAAATGGGAATTTTTTTCTTGACAAAAATCATATACATTATTTCCAAGTTCAGACTGGCTTAGCAATTTCTGGTTCAAAAACTTGCGCTTTTGTTACCCGTACAAGTACAGGGATACTTATTGTGACAATTAATTTTAATGATAAGTTTCGGGAAACTGTTGCAACAACAGTTCACAAGTTTTACTGTCAGCAAATAGTTCCTTCTTTCCTAATGGAAGCCTTACCTAATGACAATTTTCACACAAGAAAGTTATCCCCGAGTCAAGAAGATCAACAAATTCAGCAAATAAAAGTTTTTGCTCCTACTGTGTGCTCCTTACTTAATGCTTCTTAGACATAAATTAGTTAAAGCAGCATAAACAAAAATTATTCTATCCAACATTGGTTTTAACAAAAGAGGACTAACTCTTGAAAGAATTCTAAATTACTTTAATTTCAAAATTTTTTCTTCAAGAGGAGTTCTTAATGATGCCACACGACTTGATCTTTCTTACTTTTGGGAGAGTACAATCTCAATTCCAACGTGAGGAAGAATATTTTGCTTTTCTGGGTACCTTCGATCGTTGTTACAACCCCACACTGCACAGTGATCGCCGCGAGGCATATTTCCGATATTTGTGTTAACGAGCTTAGAAATGAGCCCGAAGTAGCCTGCACATACTCATTTACAACAGAAAAAGCTGTTATTACAAGTTATCGCTGTTATTACAAGTTATCACTGATAGCACCACAGTTCTTGGAGAAGTGGCTAGTGCAGAAAAAGAAATGGCACAAAAAATGGCTGCCAAACCCAAAGTAAGTGGCTTAGAAAGGTTATCGGTTCCATCATGGGACGGATCCCGGAAAACTTACATCACTTGGAAAAAATAGTTCAACCATTGGATGAGCAAATACGATCAAGGCTAGGATGAAGTATTCCAACGCTTCCGTCGGGCATTGCCGAGAAGATCACTCAAGCTGTAAGGAATCAAGAACCACAGGACAGTGAGTTAGAATCGTCTTTATCTGACAGTGACGCAGGATTACCAAGAATAAGAAAAACAGTCAATAACTGGAGCAGCGTTTACCCCGGAAAAGGAAAAATAATGACGATAGGTCTTATAAACTCAAAAGAAGAGTCCTTTGTGGACAAATATTGCAAAAATGAATTCCCGGATCTGTTTTATGATTGTAAATTATTTTCAAGTTCTTATTCGAACAGTAAGACGTGAACTGTAAACAATTTGATGAACAATTTGGAAAACAATTTTTAATTGGTAAATAAACAGGATACCCGTATTTGATTAGGCTTTGTGTATGAAAAATTTAGAATTTTTCTTTTCCTTTCTTTCTTTTCCTTTTACAGATTTCTAAGACCGTTTCAATTTGTTCGCATATTTTTCGAGACAGCGGTTGTTTCCTATGTTTTTCAAAGATATTTTGCGTGGGAAATTGGCGTGCGGCAGGCTGGGAGTAATCCCTTCGCGCATGCCCGACGTTTGACCGCTGTCTTGAAGACATGCTAGAGTATTGAATACTATTAGGGTTTCACACCCCTGTTTTGCGAACGGCAAACATTAAAAAATTGAGCATAGGCTAGGTGCCATTTTGCGTTACTGTGGTTTGTAAAACATCACGTTTAAATTAACGACAAACCAAAATCATGAACCCTGTTTTTACAGTTTGAACATTGAGTTATCAGTATATCTTTTAAAAAATTTGCTGAAAACTGTCCCTATTGTAATTCTATTACAAAAAAAATAAAGGTTACCGATCCCATTGTTTGAGTCACTGGCACAAAGCTGATGTTAAGAGTAAATGCAATAAGAAAGATAGTAATTATTTTTCCTCGTTGCACATGAATTTCGTAATGGCCTTTCTCACTAAAGAGTCTCCGTGGCTCAGTGGCATCGGAGCGCGGAAGCTGTCTACTTTTCTTTCGCGAAACACCCCTTTTGTTTTGTAATGAAACATGTGTCCTGTCGTTAACAATAAGTTAAAAGGGCGCGCTATTTTCAACTTAAAAAAAAACTAGTTTCCAGTGTCTCTCGATCAGTAGATAAAGGCTTAATTTTTCTTGTGAAGTTTTAACAAAATTCTTAACCCTAGTACCTTACAAATATAGCAATAACTTTAATTTATTTATTTGCTTTCATTTACTCGGTTTCCCTCCCATTGTGAGGCAGAATTTACTCTGTTTTAGTCTTATTTTGTGAAGTATTTTTCATTTAAGCGTACACAACACACAAACTTGTAGAAAAAAAAAAGGAATATGGCGGCCGTGTCACAGTACTGGTCGAGACACAAGAAAAACTCTCCCCACGCGTGGTTTAAAGGCTGTATATTCCAGCATATATGGCGGGAAAGACAACATAGCTTTTCTTTAGGTGAGTGTAACTAATTTTTTGCCTCTTTGAGAAACATTAGTGTATTGGGAAAATTTACACGCCATGAAATTGTTGTTACGTTGTATTCATTTGTGTTGTGCAACATATCACACGTGGTTACAGTGGAAACAACAACGATGGAGGCTTTGATCAAGTGCTTTGTTAGACAGAAAGAAAACGCAATGAGTAGAGAAACGTCCAAAGTAGAATGAGATTGAGGTTTTTTACGAGTATGGTTTAAAGTGTCCTTCCTTGAAAAAATGTGTTCTGTTGTAGTTCAATTTTATCCTTGGCTTAAATATTGTTCCCCTTAACTTTGGGAATGTTTACCGTATTATTCTAGTTTTGAAAGATGGAAGGAATCAAACCAAATTGTACGTTCCTTTGTCTTGCATTTTTTCGTAATCAGTCTTTGATAATCTGGCAACTTAAAATTTGTTTCCTGGATTAGGTCAAAATAGATCATATCGCCTGCAGCACATCACGTATCTCACAAGAATACTGCTGGACTGTTTACTGAGCCATAGATTTGATGAAGCTCTGGAGTGTCTTGTTGGATTATGTGGATTTTGTAGAAGAATACCTGAACTGTTTTGGCGAGTGAGTTGCAACATATCATATATATTAGTTTAACTCTTTTAACTCCTGTGAGTGACCAAGACAGAATTTCTCCTTACTATATCTATACAATATCATGCAGACAAGTAATGAGAATAAAGAAAAATATCAATTATGGGATTACTAACTGATCCAATACCAAATTCTCCAAACTAACATAATGAGAATTATTTGGCAGACAGTAAAGAGAATTACTAATGAGATCTAGGGAGTTACAGGGATAAGTCTGTATTCAAGCCAAGTGACCCATATAGCTGGAGTTTATCCTGGTTTCAATGACTTGAAATGACTAGGAGAAGTAGGACACTCCCCTGGACGGGATGCCAGCCCATTACAGGGTAACCCCCCCAGCATTTCATCAGGTGTCTATGACAGTTCACTAGTACCCATATATACACCTGGGTGGAGAGAGGCATGGGGAGAGTAAAGTGTCTTGTCCAAGAACACAACACAATGACCTAGCCATGTCTTGCAGCTAGACTCTCTACAGGGATTCCAGTGCACTGACCATCAGGAGTCTTTGTCCACTGTGTCTCTCACATTTTTTAAGTAGTTTTCTGGAAAAAGAAAAAAAACTTGGCCAATTTGGGTGAAAAATTTGTTTTTCTAGTAAGTGACCAGTTACCATTTCTTGGACCCAGATCTCTTTGCTGTGGCATCCAGGCATCCATCATGTCTTTTACCATATGCTTTTGAAGGTTTTGTTTTTCTCTCTAAAATATTGAATTGTGATTGGATCAGTGGGCAAAGTAAAAAAATTGGAACACTGAAGGAGATTGTTTGTCTAAGTTGTAGGACTCTGTGTAATCTGTAACCTCAACGATTTATCAAAATTTTCCTTACAATTTAGGGACCAGTTATAATCCAATAGGGGAAGGGGTAGTTTTTTATGTCTGTGAGGCGGAGGGCTTCATCAGTCCCTCCCTTCCCCCACTCACACACATAATGACTGGTCTCCAGTTAAAGTAGAACAGCAGAAAACAAGAAACTTTGCTTGACACTATCTTATTCTCCATTTGTGCTGTCCTCTAAAAAGCCAGAATAAGCTATTGGAAAAACTTTTTAATAAAGGGGACAGTTTCTAAAGAAACTGTGGTGCTGCATTGGCAGGAGAGTATAACAGGATAATTTTACATTAGTATTATCAACTGAGTTGATAACATAAATTGGCTACTGTTAAGAATTAAAAGGCTGATGTTTTGAACATTAGCAATTCTTCAGAGCACCGATGAAGGATTAATGCATGAAATATCAGCTTTTAAACTCTTTACAATGGCCGGTTTACATCATCAACTTAGCTGATAATACTAAACTACCCCTGTTTTTTTTTTCTCTCAGTTTCATTTTGCAAGAGGGTAGATAAATAGTATTAGGCACTTAAAATGTTAAGGAGTTTTAAACAGGATTTTGTCTTTTTCCTAGCTTGTTCACACAGTGAAATATATCTTGTGAATTTTTTTGTTTTCAGACAGGATCCGAAGTTCTGAAAAACCGTCCCGGAAGCCACATGCACATGATGCAATTCTTAAAAAACATGTTTGTAATTTGTGTGCCATTTAAAACCGAACTTCTGCTGGATCTTGCTATGTACTTGGTGAAACACAATAATGATATTACAGAAGCACAAGAACTTCTTACATCAAAACTTTCTCAAAAGCCATTCATGTCAAGCCCTGTTCTTCAAGCTTATGCTGGACTCTTTGCATATATTCAATGGAAGAAATGCAAACACAAGATTGACAATAGATATTTAGAAAACGATGATCACAGTGATATGGACTTAACAGGAGGTGATAATAGGACTTATGCTGATCTGAAACGTCAAATGGATTTTCATGGGAAGAAGGCTCTGGTTTTTTTCGTCAATTTAGTCGAACATTGTGGTGTGTGGGACATCTTTATCACAAGACAAGTTGAGATGTTAAAATATTATGACATGGCTGATGAAGCAAAAAGTATCCTAGTGAAGTACAAGGAGAAAAATCCTGAAAACCCTAATTCACATCGGTAAGACATTGATAAAAATCTAACTCTTTAACTCCCAAGATCTGATTATTAATTCTCCACTCTAGCTGCTACCAATTTCCTTGTAAATTAAATAGGAGAATTTGGTGTTAGATCAAGATAATAACTTCTATCTGATAAGTTTGAGTATTCTCATAATCTGTTTGCTGGATGATGTATCTATGTGAAAGGGAGAAGTTACATGTTTATCATTTTTGGGAGTTATAGGGTTAAGTAAAACAAAACATTTTCTTGTTAATAATATAACTTTCTCCTTGATATTTTTCTGCTTGATGTGGCACTCCTAGAATTTAAAGGGTTTTTATGACACAAATGTTCCCTAATATACACATAAAATGTTTTTTTTCCTGATACATGGAAAGCTTTCAAATGGTAACCTGAACTTCCAGCCAAGACAACTTGGCTTTTCCATCTTGGATAATTTTCTGTGGTAACTCTGGTGTGTGACTCTGATGATGATTTCCATGCAGGTTGTCAAAATGTCAGACACCATTACTTACAACAATCCTTTTCATTATCACACTAAGCCCAGATAATCAGGCTACATGATCAAATGAGACCTGTATCTGTAGATGAGAGATGAGTCCTGTTTCTGTTGATAATAGATGTGTTGAAATTAACATTCATACTTTGTATTCTTCCTTGCAATTTTACAGAGTTATCTATGTGTTTTTGAACAAATTTTTGTATATATTTAGAACTGTAGATGATAAATGTTTTGTGATTGATATTAATACTCTTCACTCTTCTTTGTTATTTTACGATTACTTGGTTGAATCTTTAGCACAGAGGACCACTAGTTTATCATTTACACTGTCATGTGTTACCCTCTCCAATTTAAGTTGTTACTTACCTACTTACTTACCCAGAGGTAAGTAAGTAGAGTATTTGGATGTCTTATTGCATGAATCCATGTAGTAATAATTTTCAATGTTTTCACTTTTCATTTTTAATAGGTACTTATATTATTTTCTGAAAAATGAATGTGCCAGTAAGGAAGAACTATGTGCAGTTCTTGAAGATTTGCTGAATGTTGATCCAACAAGTGAATTGAGCAAGGATTATATCAAGCTTGCTAAACACAAGAATGGTAAAAAATCTTAACACTTTACTACCTAACATCAGAATGCATATTCTCCCTGCTGACATGGAGAATTTAGAGCTTCTTTGGTTGGTGATCATTTCCTTCATTCTCACAACTTTACTGTTTGATTCAGGGGTGATATTGTAAGGAGAAACTAGATGCTAGTCACTCTTGGGGGTTGAAGGGTCAATGTGTGTCCAGAAAAACAAAAAAATTAACATGGCCAAAACCAACAATTTTTTTACAGCACAAGCTTCTTAACCCTGTGATCCCTAAGAGTGACCAACATCTACTTTCTCCTCACAATATCATGCCTGAATCACATATTAAGGTCATGAGAATTAAGGAAATGATTGCCATGTAGAGAAGGTCTTGATTGCTAAACAAATTCTCCTTGTCAGCATCCAAGGAAATGTAGAGAGAAGAATATGGATGATGATGTCAGGGTTTAAACGATTAAAACGTTTCAGTCCAGGTTTGATTCTCTAACTGTCGTTAATTTTGGATGGTAGGCTCTCACTCTTGAGATTTCAAAGGGTTACTCATGTGATCTTCTTTCCTTTGATTATACTGATGCATTGTCAAACAACAGTTCATTTAAATTGTTTTTTTTTGTGCTTTGTTTTTTTCCAGATCAGTCAAATGGACTCGTAAATATTTTAGGAGCGCTTTTCGTAAAGCTCGACCATGCAGCATGTCAATTTTGTGTCACAGCCTGGAAGAAAATTGCGGCTGCTCTCACTCAGTTCTGCGCGGCTCATGACACGAGAGAATTGAAGATATTTTGGGACGAGAGAGCTGATTGGTGGCCACAATTTCACTTCCGTCTCAGTCTCGTTCCTAACAAGGATCACGTGTCTGAACTGGAATGGAAACTGACTCGTCATAAGGCCGAGGCTGCCAGGTGGCTCCTTGGACGAGGTACGTGTTTTGTGTGAGCACATACAAACATTTTATCCTGCGTTTTATAATCACTCTTGTTTAGAATTTGGAGAAAATCTTATCAACAGAAGAACACTACAATCCCACAAATTCAACTACTTTATTAAACAACGAGTAATAATTTTGATAAATAGCGACTCTTAAACGCAGTACAGTACTTATCGTTAATAAACTTAATTAAGCCCACTACAGTCTGTATCTTAAACAGTTGGTCACTCCCAGCAACAACAACTACTACTGCTACATAACTGAGTCCTTATATGTATTCACTAAGTGTTCTGGAACATTTCAGAAGCTTACAAATGAGCTATTTTAGTAATATTATGTAATAACTGCGTAACTCGATGAAATGTTCTAGAAAGTTCTATGGTACTTATGTTAGCATGACTAAGCAGTCTGGAGATTTCTAGAAGCTTATATTTACAACACCAATTACTCATAACAAAATGAAGCTATGAATCCTGGGGAGTAAGCTTTAACACTATAGCTAACAAGTTACCTATTACTTAAGAAGATATGGGATCTTGTGATGATTGAAAGTAGGCACCAATACAACACGCAATGAAGTTGTTACTGAAAATAATATCATTTTCATTGAGGTAACCTAAGTCTGCTTTTGAAGATGAAACAAGCCACAAGGCCCGTATTAGTAAGCAATAAATCATTAATGATGCAACCATGATCTTCTTTTTCTTCTTCTTTATTTTCTAATTCCTATTTTCCTCTTCATTCTTCTTCTTCATCATCTTCTTCTTCGTCTTCATCTTCTTCTTCGTCTTCTTCTTCGTCTTCTTCTTCTTCATCTTCTTCGTCATAATCTTCTTCTTCATCATCTTCCTCTTCTTCATCTTCTTCTTCTTCTTCATCTTTTTCTTCTTCGTCATAATCTTCTTCTTCATCATCTTCATCCTTTTTTTTCTTCTTCTTCTTCTTCTTCATCTGGGTCGACAGGTGATGGGTTGACTTTCTCAAATGCGCTGTTTTTAAAGATCACCCTCGTCTCTTTCTTGTCTTGAGCCTCCTCGTAGTTGTAATCTTTCTTAGGTATCCCGGCGTCTTTGAAGAATCCTTTGATGCTCCTTAGGGTCTCTTGCAGTAGCATAACGTCCGGTTTGATTCTGCTAATCACAGTCTCTAACATTTTTTTTCGGGCCTTTGCCTTGCCAGACACGTTTATGTTCCAGCTGAATACGGTTGGAGTCAAATACGCCGCCATTCTGTTGTAGTGATTGAAGCCTGAAATATAAAACCTTCAGTTTAGCGCAGCTCTTCTCAAATATGTCTGCCTGTATTTCGAAATACTACAGTCAAACCTCGATTATCCGGACTCGTTGGAGCAAGACGAACTTTCAGCGAATACGCTTCAGTCCTTCGCTGGTCACTAAGTTGTCAGCAAACTTTATGATCTTTTCCTTGATCGTGGATAAAAATACGTTTATCTTGCATACCACGCCGAATGAGCCAATAGAGCGTGAAATCTCACTTAGCAACAAAGCAACTCCAAGCCAATCAGACCTCATCCGAATGTTCTTGAACCTTTTCAGACTTGAAAATTTTAGCCAAACCTAAGGATCCTGTCAAGAAAGAACAACGAACCGACGCTATTTATTCTATTCCGTGCAATGACTGTGATCTCGAGCATATCGGACAGACCAAGCGTCAGTTTGGTACACGTTTGAAAGAGCATCAAAAAGCGGTCTTCTTTTGCAAAAAGGAAAATTCAGCTTTGTCGGAGTACACATGCCTAACCAACCATATATTTGGGTGGGATAATTCTAAAATTATCACCGCTAATCGACGTTACCACCAGCGCCTTTGTTTGGAAGCTTGGCATACCAACTCCGCCCACGCTCCTTTAATTCGTGATGATGGCGGCTTACTTCCTGACGCCTATTTACACTTCGTCAGAAAAAAGTGCAGCTAATCAGCGAACGTATAAAAGGACCTCTTGTTGCAGCGGTTAGATCACCCTTGATTAAGGCACAAGACAGGAGTGTCGAAACGTTAGGTCTATGATTGTAAATTCTCGGTTACATTCATTAAATCTTCAAACCAGAGTGGCATCAAACCATGTCTGATTGTCCACCTGGTTGCCATGTGAACTTGAATGTATTTTAGTTACAACGCGTGCGATAGCCTGCAGAGCAGGCGTAATTTTGGCGAGCGAGTGCTCAGTAATTTCATAACGAATATTATGGCCGCCATCTTTGATTTTAATGGCAGCTGAAGGCTGGGGAGAGAAATAAATTTGTACCAAGGGGGCGGTCGACGGTCAAAAATAGGGAGAGGGGTGGTGGTGGAGGAGTGAAGATTTCTCCCTTCCCCCGCCCCCTACCCTCACCGTCCATTCTTAACAAGGCCGGTCGGATAACCGATCGCTGGCTTGTAACGTTAGCTCGCCTAGTTCCAATTTTGTCATGAATATTTATTGGTCATAATCAAGATCCATTGCCATATTCTTTTTAAAACTACAGCGTTGAAAAGTGGACTAAGGGCGAATTTTTTCGCTTTCAAAAGTAAAAGCAACGCTCGCACGCGTAGCCCGCAAAGCAGGCGTCTTGAGAAAAAGTCCGAATCATCGAAGTCTGGATAATCGAGGTTCGATTGTATTGCTATCACAGACTGATACAAAACCATGGCGCAACCTCCGGTCAACTAAGCTATGGTAATTTTTTTTTACCATTTGGCATTCCTTCTCGTCTTAAAGTTACTTCACTCTTTGTACTCCCTTTTGGTAATGAGGCGCCTGCGAATGGGTTGATCAATTCTTTGCGTAGCCGCGTCGCATGTTTTAAATGAATAAGTACGGTAATCTTCCAGCTGTATCATAACAGCGTGGAGTGTCATATCCATCGTCGATATATTTTTAAAATCTTCCCGGTGACTGGGTCACATTTGATAAGTATTTCGAATGCGTCATACAATTTTGTAAATTTATGACCTTTGGTATAAAATATCTTAGCTCTTGGTAGTTTCCTAACAGCTAGTTGTAGTTTGATATGCCACAAAACCAGAGTAGCTGCTCTAACAGCGTTTTTAAGATACTTAGTATTTCACTAAGTAGCAGACTGTGCGCGGTCACCAGCTTGGTCGAGTTGGTTTATGACAAAGATTACTTCGTGAGTTGACTGGGTTGATGAACTTATTAACCGCGTGACCGGTTTTATGGGATGGTAGACAAAAGCCCATCACTCATTTGGCTTCCAAATTGCAGAGTTTTCTCAGCACTTTGCAGGGAAGCTTTTTCCTTTTTGTCGCCTAAAGGAAAACTTGAGTCGAGTTAGAAAGCAAGATGGTGATTTTTAATTGAACTTTGGACTTGAAACTCTTGCGCATATTTTTGATGTGATATATTTTCTTTGGTTCCAGGAAACCCTTTCACTCAAGCTGTGAGGAATCAAGAACCACAGGAAAGTGAATTAGAATCGTCTTCATCTCACAGAGACACAGGATCACCAAGAATAAGGAAAACAGTCGATAAAGAGCCGTGTTCACCCCGGAAAAGGAAAAACAATGACGATAGGTCCTATAAATCCAAAAGAAGAGTCCTTTGTGGACAAGTATTGGAAAAATGAATTCCCATATCTGTTTTATTACAGTTAATTGTTTTCAAGCTTTTATTCTAACGGTACGACGTGAACTGTAAACAATTTGTTAGACAATTTGTAATTGATAAGTAAACAGGATACCCATACTTGAATATGCTCTGTGTACGAAAAGTCTAGACTTTTCTTTACCCTACATTCGTTTCCTTTTACAAATTTCTATGAGCGTTTCACTTTTTTCGCATATTTAGCGAGACAGCCATTGTTTTTTACGTTTTCCTTAGATATTTTGCGCGGGAAATTGGCGTGCAGCCGGCTAGGAATGATGCCTTTGCGCATGCCCGACGCTTGACCGCTGTCTTGGAGACGTGTTAGTGTATCGGTACGTCGGCACTGAACTGTAGGGTTAAGCCCTACCTAAGAATACTGTAAGGATTTCACACCACTGTATGTTTTGCGAACGGCAAACAGTAAAAAATTGAGCATATGCTAGGTGCCATTTTACGTTGCTGTGGTTTGTAAAACACCACGTTTAAATAAACGACAAACCAAAATCATGAACCCTGTTTTTGCAGTTTGAACATTGAGTTATCAGTTTATCTTTTTAAAAATTTGCTAAAAACTGTCCCTATTGTAATTCTATAACAAAAAAATAAAGGTTACCAACCCATTGTTTGAGGAATAAAAAAGATGGTAATTTTTTTCCTCGTTGCATATGAACTTCGTAATGGCCATTCTCACGATAGAGTCTCCGTGGCTCAGTGGCATCGGAGCGCAGAATCCGAGAGTCTTAGATTCGATTCCTTGAAGGGGACTCAGAAGGTTTTCTTTGCCCCATGCTCATGAAAAGACACAAAAAGGGTTTTTTTCAAAATATTTGTCAGGTCTTGCTCAAACACGAAGGCACGGTATAAAAGGAGGCTTCCCTGGGAAGGTTATGATTCATTTGTTGATCAAACGTCGATGAGTGAACCCTATGGGGAATATGGATGATGATGTCAGGGTTTAAAAGGTTAAAACATTTCAGTCCAGTTTTGATTCTCTAATAGTTGTTAAATTTTGGATGGTAAGCTCTCACTCTTGAGATTTCAAAGGGCCACTTGTGTGATATTCTTTCCTTTGATTATACTGATGCATTGTCAAACAACAGTTCATTTGAATTGGTTTTTTTGTGCTCTGTTTCTTTTACAGATCAATCAAATGGACTCGTAGATATTTTAGGAGCGCTTTTTGTCAAGCTGGACCATGCAGCATGTCAATTTTGTGTCACAGCCTGGAGGAAACTTGCTGCTGCTCTTACCCAGTTCTGCGCGGCTCATGATACAAGGGAGTTAAAGATATTTTGGGACGAGCGAGCTGATTGGTGGCCACAATTTCACTTCCGTCTCAGTCTCGTCCCTAACAAGGATCACGTGTCTGAACTGGAATGGAAACTGACACGCTATAAGGCAGAGGCTGCCAGGTGGCTCCATGACAAGGTACGTGTTTTGTGTGTGCACATACAAGCGTTTCATTGTGCGTTTCATAATCACTCTTGTCTAGAATTTGGGGAAAATCTTACCGACAGAAAAACACTACAATCCTATAAACTAAACTACTTTATTAAACAACGGGTAATAATCTTGATAAAGAGCGACTCCCAAACGCAGTACGGTACGTATCGTTAATAAACTTAATTAAGCCCACCACAGTCTGTATCTTGAACAGTCGGTCAATCCCGACAACATCAATTACTACTGCTGCATAACTGAGTCCTTATATGTATTCACTAAGTGTTCTGGAACAGTCAGTCAATAGTAGTATTACGAAATAACTGCGTGACTCGATGAAATGTTCTAGAAAGTTCTATGGTACTTATGTTAGTATGAATAAGTAGTCTTGAGATTTCTAGAAGCTTATATTTACAACACTAATTACTCATAACAAAATGAAGCTATGAATCCTCGGTGGTAAGCTTTAACACTTTGGCTAACAAGTTACCTGTTACTTAAGATAATGTGGGATCTCGTGGAAATTGAAAATAGGCACCTATACAAAACACAATGAAATCGGTACTGAAAATATAATTTTCATGGAGGTAAAATTAGGCAGCTAATGAAGATGATACAGTCAACGAGGCCTTTATTTAAGCTATAAATCATTAATAAAGGATGCGCTCAAGGTTTTTATTTTCCTCTTCTTCTTCTTTATCTTCTTCTTCTTCTTCATCTTCTTCTTCTTCTTCTTCTTCTTCATCTTCTTCTTCTTCTTCTTCTTCTTCTTCTTCTTCTTCTTCTTCTTCTTCTTCTTCTTCTTCTTCTTCTTCTTCTTCTTCTTCTTCTTCTTCTTCTTCTTCTTCTTCTTCTTCTTCTTCTTCTTCTTCTTCTTCTTCTTCTTCTTCTTCTTCTTCTTCTTCTTCTTCTTCTTCTCCTTCTTCTTCTTCTTCTTCTTCTTCTTCTTCTTCATCTTCTTCTTCTTCTTCTTCATCTTCTTCTTCTTCTTCTTCTTCTTCTTCATCTTCTTCTTCTTCATCTTCTTCTTCTTCTTCTTCTTCTTCTTCTTCTTCTTCTTCATCTTCTTCTTCTTCTTCATCTTCTTCTTCTTCTTCTTCTTCTTCTTCTTCTTCTTCTTCTTCTTCTTCTTCTTCTTCTTCTTCTTCTTCTTCTTCTTCTTCTTCTTCTTCTTCTTCTTCTTCTTCTTTTCCGTTTACTTCTTCCTCTTTTCCTTCCTTTCCTTTTCCTTTTAACTTCTTTTCCTTTTCCTTCTTCGGTTTTTACTTCTGATAAAGAAAGCAGTAAAGGGTCATGATCAAGTGCTTTATTGAGCTGATCCCGCTTAAACCCTTCACTTTCGAGTGTTTTGTCCAATGAAGAAAGATCGAAAGCTTTCACCTTTTTCACTTTCCAATTCTCTGTGGACTTGCTTAAGATATAGAAGTCGGTTTTTTCTTTTTCCCTCCTCGAGGTTGTTGTATAACGAGGAACTTTGACAGATGTGCTGTAGAAACAATCGCAGTTGAAGTCCACTCCGGCTATGACAAAGCACTTGTTAGACTTGTGTAATCTTGCTATGATTTCGCAAACTTTAGTGGCTATATTTCCTCCATGGTTTCTGATGTTGCGGTAAGATACAAAAATTATCTCACGCTTTGTAGATATGTGTCGCAGGTGAACAACGCAAATACCATTCTTTATCATCTGTCTTTCTGGCACTTTTCCCCTTCTCAGAAATTTTGTTTCATCTTCAGGGACCATCTCTGCCAGAACTGTATTTAGGTTCACAGGTGATGGGTCGACTTTCTCGAATGCGTTGTTTTTATAGATCACCCTTTTCTCTGTCTTATCTTCAGCCTCCTCGTAGTTGTAATCTTTCTTAGGTATCCCGGCGTCTTCGAAGAATCCGTCGACGCTCTTTATGGTCTCTTGCAGTAGCATAACATCCGGGTTGATTCTGCTAATCGCACTCTTTAAAATGTTTTTTCGGACATCTGCCATTCCTGCTCGGCCTGACCCGTTTATGTTCCAGCTGAGCACTTTTATAATCGAACTCTTGTCTTTAACGCCACGAGCAAGTGGCATTCTGTTGCATTGATTGAAGCCTAATGCGATCACTGATACAAAACCAGGTCGCAACCTTCTGTCATCTAAGCTATGGTAATTTTTTCCCGTTTAGCTTCCTTCTTGTCTTAAATTTACATCACTCTTTGTTCTCCCTTTCGGTGATAAGGCGCGAATGGATTGGCTAGTTCTCTGCGTCGCCAGTTCACATGGTGTAAATGAATAAATAATCTACCAGTTGCATCATCAACAGCGTGGATTGCCATATCGATCGTTAATATATTTTTTAAAATCTTCCCGATGACTGGGTTACATTTGACATGCATTTCGTGTGCGTTGTACGATTTTGTGAATTTATGACCTCTGGTGTAAAATCTCCCAGCTCTTAGTAGTTTCCTAACAGCTAGTTGTAGTTTGATATGCCATAAAACTAGAGTAGCTCTTTTAGGAGGGTGGCATTGGGACCTATTAGAAACCGCAAAACCGTAGAAAAAATCATCCAAAACCGAAAAACCGGAAAAAATTCGATCAAAACCGAAAACCGTATGCAAAACTGTCTGAAACCGATACATTTTCAAATCCTAGTTAATAAAACCCTGATCGATCCGATACAGTGGTGACAAGTGAAGCATACAGAGTAAACTACACTAATTTCATTACAGGATTTATGAATGCTATGGACTTGGCATTCGTATCTTCTAGTATCTGCTTAAATTAACAGCTGCTCTCTCGAGGACCTTGAGCGTGGTCTCTGCGAACTCAGCAGCTGGTAATGGAGCCTAGTTAATTAAGGAAATTCGCACAAAAGTCCTCTATAGGATCGCAATTTTGCAGTCGCAAAAAGCTTTAGCTCTGGAAAGTTTCATCAAAAATCCCTAATCTAACATTTCCATTTGCGAACTAAGACCTGAAAGTTTGGAGATTCTATTGGAATATTGAATCATTCAGTCACGTGTGGCCTGTAACTTGGTCACCAACTTCAAGGTGGCGTTGATAAAGAAACTCTGGCAATGTTCTGTGCTTCGCCGTACCCTACGTGTAGCTGTACCATCCCCTCCCCCCCCCCACCTTGGGGGAGGGGGAGGGTACGGCTACACTTAAGCTACCTAAGGATCCCTGCGATATTTCAATTGGTTTGTCGCGCATTCCTCTCAATAAAATTGGCGTTTAGCGGCTATTCGAGATCAGTGGAGGTGCGTAATTGCCGCTCAGATCGAAGAGAAACCGGAACCCAAATAGGTCAAATAGGAAAGACCGAAAACCGCATCGGATATCAAATCCGAAAACCCGTTAGTATTTTTCACAGTGATCTTTATTAATTTTAGATGATAGCGCCATGACATAATTTTGCTTGATGAGAGTCGCGGTTTAGGTTGCATGTGTGTGTGGTTCGAACTAAAGAAAAATACAACAGAAACTAACATTAACATAACTAAAAATGAAGCGATTGCAGGGAAAAACTGAATACGAGAACTACACCAATGATACATACAAAAGATAAACAACGTAAATGAAAAAGAAATAAAGACTTACTTTGGTTTAGCTCCTAACGATAGCAAATAACTTGTAGCGATTGTCTAGCAGCGATGATTGTGTAATAATCATTAACTTACGAAAGACTTATTGATAAAAATGAACCGGAACAAAAACGATAATAAAGTGTGTATTAACTAAGCGTATCGAAACTAACAGAGCTTAGATACCTAATAGTGAGTAGCAGACCACATGTAGAAACTAGAATGGTTGGTGAACAAAAGCCCGTTTCTTATTTGACTTCCAAATTGCAGAGTTTTCTACTTTACAGGAAAGCTGTATTTCGTTTTCGTCGCCTAAGGGAAAACTTGATTCGAGTAAGAAAGCAAGATGGTAATTTGTTACTAGACTTTGGACTTGAGAGCTAGTCTGTTGAAACTCTTGTGGATATCTTTCTTTGATGTGATATTATTTCTTTGGTTTCAGGAAACCCTTTCACACAAGCCGTGAGGAATCAAGAACCACAGGACAGTGAATTAGAATCGCCTTCATCTCACAGTGACACAGGATTACCAAGAATAAGGAAAACAGTCAATAAAGAGCAGTGTTCACCCCGGAAAAGGAAAAATAATGACGATAGGTCCTATAAATCCAAAAGAATATTCCTTTGGGGACAATCATTGGAAAAATGAATTCCCGGATCCGTTTTATGATTATAAATTATTTTCAAGCTTTTAGGAAACTTTTCATTTACACGGCCGGACACTGTCCTCAAAGAACTCCTTATTTCTCTTTGAAATATATCAAATTTCCTTGAAAAATTTTCTACCTTTTTTAGAATCCTCAAGCGCTACTAGAAAGTGAACAAATTTGAACGTTGTCCGTTTCGCCAACTCTGCACACGCAGTACGAAGAGATCCAAGCGTGACACTAAGAAAATTTTTTCGAACTCTACCGGCACGGTCTTTGAATAACTTAACGTCTGGCAGTCAGATATTTTTTTCATATTTCTCTTTGAAAAATAATAATTTCTATTGGAAAATATTTTATTTTTATTTAGAATCCTCAAGCGCTTCTAGAAGGTGAAAAAATTAAAACGTTGTCCTTTTCGCCGACCCTGTTTCAGAGTACGTAGAGATCTAAGCGTGATACTTAAAACATTCTTCTGCGGATTCTACCGGACAAAATTCAAAGTACTGTAAGGAAACTATAAAACGACGAACGGCGAATGTATTTACCGTAAAACAATTGACTATTTGTCCAGGATGGCTCTTGAGAAAGACGATTTTAGAAGGTCTTCAGTAATCTGGGAGTTTCGTGTTACGGGAAATTGGGTTGCGGCGCGCGTTGCATTAAGGGTGAAAATGGGCCTTTCAGTAGTGATCATTAATCCGAAGATCGCTTTTATATTCATTTCTTTCTCTGCAGTTCACATATATAATTTTCATATATTTACAGCCACACGCAAAAACATCTTTTGTTATGATTCTAAGGGTGTTTGCAAGAGGGAGCATGAATGTCATGGTAACGCTGCAGTGATCTTTTCTTGAAGAGAAAAAGGGGTTTTTTTGCCACCATCTAGGAAATGTTTTACCATGTTCAACGAAATAGACAAACGCATGACATTATCGATTAAGTAATTATTTGATGTTCTGAAAAAGGAAATGAAACTACTAATTACGTTAGACCGGAAGTAGTTGATCACAACGTGGCGTCATTTATGAAACTCCACGTATTCGAATGTGCCACCACTGGCTTTGTGTGATTGCGGCTTCACAAATAGTTGCCGGCGTCAGTGACATGGCAAGTTTGACTCACTTAGTCCTCAATACACTTGTTTCGTCGGTGTCACCTGTCGAGGGAATCATAATTGTGATAGAAGATGTCCCTAGACTCTGAAGTTCGTAAGAGATCCGACATGATGGAAGAAACTGGCCCAGATCCAGATCCTGTTATAACATCGTCAGGAAGTACGATCAAAACCACAACCACGACTTGCAAGAACAATCGTAAATGGCTACTTTTGAACACACATTTGAACGCTGTTATTTATTCTTCCTGTTTCTGGGTTCAGATTGGAGTTTTACCGGTAAGTGAAAATATTTAAGACAATTTTATACACGAGTTTACGAAGAATCTTGTGTTCGGTTGATTTGTTTTCAAATTGCATCTTGAGGAAAAAAGTTTGTCACGAAACAGCAGGAATGGCGGAATTAGATCAAGTTTATTCAATTTAGTATGAATTCTTCCCTCTTTTCTTGGAAAGGCACGCTCTTTTATGTCTACAGAAAAATAAATTTTTCCTTGCGGTTACCGTGGAGCTTTCAGCTAAAAGCGGGAATTGAAAGTTTTTAAATAATCTGCTGACATTCGACAATGAAGATGGAGAGTCAACATTTGCACCCACGAGTTATCCCAAAATTAATTTAAACTGAAGCCAGTATGGTTTTCTAGGTGATTGCACCTGCTAATGAAAACTTGAACGTCAGATACACTATTCAGCAGAGATACCGACTTGTGACACTTGTCAAGTCAAGGGAAAGTAATGTTGAATTTTCCATTCTTTTCATCAAACCACGTTGTGAATTGTCCTTCTCAAGCCATACATAGTACTTGAAGATCATCTTGTCACATCGCTTGAAAAATTTGCCATCTTAAGGGGTCAGGCTTATTAATTCTTACTGAAGGGAGAGAGAGGGAGTTGGAAGATTTGGTTGCATCACAATGAAATTTACCTGATCCCCCTATAAGGCCCTATAGTATTTTGCTGACCCCCCCTTTATTGACAGTCAATTTTCTATAGTCTCCAATTTATACTCTGTTAGCAATGACTGATACCCCCCTCTGTTCCCTATGAAAAACATGTGATCCCCCTAAAATCCTCCCCCCCTCTGTGCATGGGATAAAAGATGACTAATCCCTAACTCTCTTTGTTCTGAAACAGTCATGTCAGTTTTTTTAGGAAAGGTTTGGTGACCTGTGTGAGACATGACAAGATTTGCTTTGAGAGTTGGTATGTCTGTGCAGCATGAATTTTTTTTTTTTTATTAATCCATGTGTATTTCACTTTTTCATTCTATTAGTATTTATCCAAGAAGCTTGGAGCTGACCCAGTAGTCTTTGGCTACCTTCAGACCACATTTGCTGTGGTGCAGTTGTGTGGTGGACCAATATTTGGAAGATTTGGAGATATTTTTGGAAGCAGAGCTGCCCTGGTTTTGTCTTTTATGGCAGCAGCCATGAGCTACACGATTCTTGGTTTGGCATCAACTGTAAGCATGCTGTTTCTGTCAAGACTCCCTTCCATTTTCATGCACGCAATGCAAGGTTAGTACAGCAGAGTTATCAGGTTGTTTATTATGGCATAGAGATTGGAGAAGTTTTCAATCCACTGTGCACAATTTTGTGACTATTATATTTGATGGGTTAAGTCTTTGATTCAGATATGGAGAATGTCTTCCTGTTTTCTTTACACTACTTTCTAGGTACTACATTTCTTATCCCTTTACAGCCTAACATCAGTATGCATATTCTCCATACTGTTCTCTATACATTCCCTAAGGTTCATACAGGGAGAATTTTTTAACAGTGAAGACCTTCTTTCGTCAGCGATGATTTTCTCCATTCTTATGACCTAAATGTTTCATTTGGGGGTGATATCTTAAGGAGAAATTAGTTACTAGTCACTCGTAGGGAAATGAATATTATACCTCTTGTTCTTAATGCCAAGAATTTTTTTTTTCAAAAATGTGTTGGCCAATAAGATTGAATTTTTATTTCTCAGGATCACAAATGGTTGTCACAGATATCTCAGAGAAGGAAGGTGAGTGAGGGAAATAAAAAGAACAAATAAAACTCTTTGCAAAGGATTTTCCTGGGATAATTTCCATCCTTTTGCTGAACAATGTCATGGTCCATAGTTTGGCTTTGCTGTAATTGGCTTGGGTTGTGGCCCAAGGTATCATCATTTTGCTAGTTTTTTGTATCCACTGAGGAGAATCTGGCTACCTATGTACCACACCAGACTAACACTGATGTTGATAACTGTAATATCATAGTGCCAGGGCTGGGGAAAATAAAGCATGGAGAAAGCAGGGGAGGAGGGTTTGGAAATTCCATGCTTCATATCATATCAATCTGGGCCCAGTTATTCAAAAAGTGGATACATGCTATCCAATGGATAAATGGCTATCCCACAGATCAGTGTTAACAAAATGTACTGCACTTTCCACTGGATAGAGATTTATCTAGTGGATAGCAATATCCGCCCTTCAAATAACTGGGGCCGACTGTGACTATGACTGTTTTTTGCAAAACATTTATTTATTTATTTATTTTTTTTTTTTTTTGGGGGTGGGGGTGAGGGTATTGGTGGTGGTGAGGAGGGGTAAGGAGAGAATAAAGATCAATATAAGTTTCTTTTTGAGATCTATTCCAAATTCTCAGAACTAACACCAGCATGATAATAATTGTTCAGCCAATCCTTTTTCTTTTTTTTTTTGTTTTTTTTGCAGGTCGTGCAGATGCACTTGGCAAACTGGGTGTGTCTTATGCCATCGGCATGGTGATAGGTCCTTTTGTTGGAGGTCTGATCACAAAGAAGTATGGAGAGCAGTCAGCGGCATTCTTTGCGGCAACATTTTCATTCATTAGCATAATTATCTCACTACTTTTCATCCCAAGAAATACGAAAGCATTATCACCACAGGAGAAATCTGCTGAAAAGCTTGAAGCAAGTGAGTCGATGAATTTGGTTCTTAGGCTTTCTTTAGGTTAAGGGTCGAGCCTAGCCAAGTGAGTTGTTTGATGATGTTCAGGTAGAGCAGTGGCCTTAATGTTTTTGACGCTGGACTCTGTTGAGAGGTCTGAGTTGCAGACCTTGCTGGGTCATTGTGTTATGTTTTTGGGTTAAAAACACTTCACTTTCACAGTTCCTCTCTCCACCTAGGAATATCAATGGGTGTGGCCAAATTGTTGGGGAAGCCTGATGAAATACAGGGGGGTAACTTTGGGTTGAACTAGCATCCCATCCAGGGGGGAGTAGCAATACTATGGAAACTGGAATAAGTTCTGCTTAGATGGGTCATTGGGCATGGTCTCCCTAGACTCCTAAGGCTGTGCTTATGCCATGAAATGTGCATATCAAATCCCCACATTGGCATGCTCTCCCCAGACTCTTAAGGCTGTGCTAACACCTCAAAATTTTTAAATCAAATCCCCACATTGCTTGTTCCTCTACTTCTTATAGCCATTGGCAAAAATTATAGCATATACAAAATAGTAGTAAAAAAAAATTGGATAGTTTAGTGCACTGGGCTCTGAGTTGGATGACCAGGTTCTAGTCCTGGCCGGGCAAACACGTGTGGAAAAAAAAAAATGTGAGAATCAAAATCTATATATTATTTATAGACCAGGATTCTGACACTAAGGTAGAATCAAAACTTCCTCCTATAAATGGGGCATATAAAATAGGTTTAAAAAGCTTTCTATTAACATCACTGCATAATTACTGTGCTTTCTTTCAGATAACAAGGAACAACCTGCAAGTGTTTTTAGCGTCAAGAAGATCCTAGAACTTTTGCATATACCAACTGTGTTATATTTAATTACCATCAAAATCATCACAGGAATCCCATTTGGAATTTTCCAGTCTATGTTCTCATTAGTGTCCATGGAATTTTTCAAGTTGGAGCCTCAGCAGAACGGCTTTGTCATGTCATATGTTGGGGTACTTTCAATAGTAAGTGATGAAAGATGTGCTCAACTCCTACGAGTGACCAAGACAGAATTTCTCCTTACAATATCAATACAATATCAAGTAGACAAGTGATGAGAATTCAAAATATTCCATTAGGAGATTGTTAGTTGATCCAATACCAAATTCTTAGAACGGACATCATAAGAATTGTTTGGCAGACAGTAAGGAGAATCACTGAATGAGATCTTGGGTATGAAAGGTTTAATTTTGAGCCATTTTCTTCAAACCATGCAATGAGAAAGTTTGGCAGGCCTTTGTGACTAAATTGCATGCAAGAGAAGATGCCCATGTATACTCATTAATTTCTCATTGTGGAAAACAAAGAGCCAATTTAAAGGTGTTTGCCTGTGCAAGCAAATGATTATGTCCAGGGGTTTGGAATGTTGTCTTCTGAGTGGAATGTAAAGGTCTTGCTTGAAGGATTGTGATTAAAACATGTTTGGTAAGAGCTGGGGTGAAATCCTTTTTCATTGAACTAAGGGCACCATCTTTTAATGCATATTACCCCAACATCAGTGTGCAGATTCTCCATACTGTTCTCTCTACATTTCCTAAGGTGCTGACAAGGAGAATTTTGTTGAACAATTGCGATCCTCTTTAGTTGGTGATCATTTTCTTCATTCTCATGACCTTAATGTTTGATTCAGGGGTGACATTGTAAGGAAAAATTCCATGCTAGACACTCTTGGAGGTTAAAGGTGTGAGATGAAGACAGATTAAGAGAGGGAATCTTCCATCTGAGAAAATTTAGGTTATGAAGTATGAAGGGCCTCCTTTGATTACGGTTCCCCTCAGTTAGTTGTCTTTTCCCAATGATGGTGAATAATGATGAATATTTCATGCGTCTTTTCTTACAGGTTGCTCAAGGACTTATTGTGGGTGTCTTGTCAAGAAGATTTAGTGAGCCTTTTCTATTGAGAGGAGCCATTTGTGTGATAGCATCAGCATATGGGCTTTTGGTTAGTTCCAACTGATTCATACATAAAAGGGTCTAACTTTACTTTGACCATTTCCAGTGTCTTCTAATGTTTTCTTTAACCTAACATTAAGAATTTGGTTCTACAATAGCGTGAAAATGTTTATTCAGTCACACAATTTATTGCTTTGGTGTTCTTGAAACTCTTTTTCATCATTTTCCATGACCCAAATGAATGCTTAGAAAAAAGGATAACTTCTTTCAATATGTTTGTTACATTCAAAACAGTCAGTTACCTTTGAGGAAAGGAATTTTGACACTAAGTGATAAAAATATTTTTTCAGCCTGAAACAAATTTTTGATCTGATTGAAGAGTAATATATTGGGTGTAGACTTTCTCCTGTTTAACTGAGTATTTTTGTTGCTATTGTTGCTATCATTATCTGTAATTGATAATGTTACATTTCATTACTGATGTAGTGGGGTTTTTTACAGACTAGCCTTAGAGTGGCTCACAAATTAATGCAAATTTTGATCATTTCTTATCCAATCATTTCCTTTTAGTACATGGTGACAGACATTTACCAGTTTTGCATTGTGATCATCCCAATGGTAGTTGGTGGGACGACACTGAATGTCATCACAACGTCAGCCATGACAAAAAGTGTGACAGTCACTAAAACAGGTGCTGTGTTAGGTCTCTCCATGGCAACCAACTCCCTTATACGAACTGTCTCCCCAACCATGGGAAGTATCATGTACAAGAACTATGGTTGGCCCTCAATTGGTCTCTTGGGACTTGTGGTGAATGCTGCAGTTGCCTTGTTTTTATTTTACCATGGAAAAGACTCATTTTAGTCACAAAGCTTTGGATACACTCAGTTGTTGGTAGACCTTGAGTTGAGGTATTTTCATGCATGCGAACATTTTTACTGCAACACTGATGTGTCGTATCATAATTTAACTCTTGAGTGTACAAGACAAAATCTGCCAGAGTTTTCTATGAAAATTGAAGATGTCAAAAAAGTTTTATGTGGTGAATTTAGATTAGACCATGATCATGACTTGTTTTGAAACCAGTTTCCTGTTTTCCTGTACTTGGTAGATGACCTTTATATTTTGCCCACCTTTAACCTACAATACGCAAATAACTCTTCACACTTATGTCTGTGGCTGCTAGAGTTTGAGGCATACATGCCTACATTTTAATGTGCTCCAGAGAGAATAAGATATTTACAAATTATTCCTCTTGTTCACATATAGTTTTATCAGTCAATAATTACTTCATTACTTACAAAATATATTAGCTATCACCAGTAGAACCTCAACATAGATTCCCTTATCATCCTTGTGCGGTATTCTACCAGCCACACTGGTTCAATATGGGATCTATATTATTCCTTTTTTTATTGACATCATGTGAACATTATTAAACTACATAAGGCTACATGAAATTTCATTGGCACCATAGGAACACTAACATTATTTTTCACTGTCACAGATGTTATGAATTGGTGAAACTCAGCAGTGCAGACAAAAATAGATTAACCATTGAAGAGGTTAAGTTCTTGTGTCTGGGCATCCCATTAAATTAATTTGATTTTCATTCATAGGGAATGACCATTTGAAAATAATTTTCAGAAATTTTCTGCAGACGAATACCAAATGAAATTGAATTAATTCTAAACATCCAAAAAAAAAAAGGGGGGTTGTGTCAGTTTAAGCTGTATATTAGTAGCAATACGTATCTGTTAAAATGTTTCCTATGATCAAGACTAAATTATTAAAAATAAGTTCCTAGTTGCTAAATGTTAAAATTCTACTTCTACTTTAAAAATGATTGAGTTGTAAAGTTCACCAGTTTGGTGTGTCCTTGTTGTTGTTGTTGTTGTTATTATTGATTTTAACCCCTTCTAGCTGTTATACCTTTCCTTGTAAATTAGTTATGAGAATTTGTTGTTAGATGAGGATAACAAATTCTACCTGATAAGTTTGAGAATTCTCATTACCTGTTTGCTGGATAATGTAAGGATATTATAGGGAGAAGTTTCATGTTAATCACTTCATGGAGTTAAAGGGTTGAACAGAACAATTCTGACCCAAACAGGACTAAAAGTATTGCTATCTTTGTGTAGTGGTCTCTTCAAGAATTCTTTTCATGCCTTCTAATGACCTTGTGTGACAGAAATGTTCTCTTCATGTCAAATATAAGGAGTATGATAGTTCATGCCATTATATTCTCAATGGTAATAACAAAAAAATAAGAAAAAAAACGATAAAAATACTTCTGCTTCCATTGCCTTCCCTCTAATGATGTGACAGATCAGTGTCAGTATCTGAGCAACTGCATACACCCACCCCTCCCTCAACCCAACAACAGTCAACTGATAACAACTAAGGGTTAATTTTGGGTTAGGAGAGGGGTAGGTGGGCAGTTGCTCAGATACTGATTACTGTTGTAATCACATCAATAGTATTTTCCATGATTGGTGAGTTTGTAACTGCAATCTTATTCAGAGGCACGTCCAGATACAGAATTGAATTTGGAATGTAGGAATTACCAAGAACTGAACGTTAGCTCTTGGCCTTCTTGGATGCTTTTTTCAGTTTCTTGTAGCACGAGTGACACACGCGGACAGGAGCATGGATCCCAAGACGGCTGATCTCTGACTCGTAGCTACTGCATCTGAAAAGCAAAGGCACAGGAAATATTCTTAAGAAGTAAACTAAGTAAATTCAATCGATGGAAGCAAACCAGTCGATAAAGATTAGCTTCTATTGTCTGTTAAAAAATAGTTTCCATGTTGCCACGTGTCTGTTTAGTAGAAACATCAGTGACACAATTGGCTGCGCCTCATGCAATTCTTTTTTTGTTCCTGCCACATCTCGATGTCATCTGTGATCTATTACTGAACAGACGCACGACAACATAGAATTTATTAGTTAACTGTTTTTTTTTTTATATCTCTCAGTTAAATTCAAAGTTTGTTGATATTGAAATCTTCCCCCCTATATTTGAACCAAGAGATGCGCCAATCCTTTAACTCCCAAGATCTGATAGTCAATTCTCCCCTACAGCTACTGAACAGTTCCTTTTAAATTAGTTTCAAGAATTTGGTGCTAGATCAAGACAACAACTTCCACTTGATATGTTTGAGTATTCTCATTACCTGTTTCTTGGATAATGTAGGGATATTGCAGGGAGAAGTTCGATTTTAATCACCTCTGGGAGTTAAAGGGTCAAATATCGTACTCACATTGTTTTTTCGGTCTGCGCAGTAAGTTAAGGAACCTCGTTAGTCAATAACTTACAGTACAGACCTCGAACTCAGCTAGTAAGAGGTATCTTGTAACCACATGCAAATCACAATTTCTCCCGACGAACACCACAAACGTCTTTAGCATTAGACAACTCTTGGGAAAGCCAAACCCCAAAGATTATGAATTACCTTGCACAGAAAACCTTCCCACAATCCCTGCAGTGATGGCGCCTCTCAATGAACTTGAATCTAATTCCACAACCTGCGCAAATGTCAGCAAATTCGTCCTTCACCCAATGGTCAGCCATACGACCTGCAGGAATACATAGAAGATATCAACGGATAGTCTATACTATAATAGTAATTCTAAAAATCCCATGGATCTTTGTGTGTAAGATACGTGATAATGTTATGTGTGTGTATTTATCACCATGATCGGTCCATACCTGCGGCGTCAGTCACAGACCAACTGTAGATCCGTCCGCGGAAATCTCCAACAAATAACTTGCGATGATCCCTGTAAAAAGTGGAAAACGATCGGTATTTAATTCAGAGAGAAGGGTGGCTGAATCCTTTACATGATCATTGACAACAACAAGAGCCGAAAAAATATCTGGCTGTGTTAAAAGATGTTTTAAAAATGCGTCAGTCGCTCCGTTCGTAGTCCGTCGGTTCGTTCGTTCGTTCATTCGTAGGTCGTTCGTTCGGTCGTTCTTTCGCTCGCTTGCTCGTTTCTTCGTTTGTTTATTAGATGGTCGGTACGTTTCTCCGCTTTTCCTTCGTTCGTTCGCTTGTTCGTTGTTCATTGTTGATCGTTCTTTATTCACCGTTCGTCGTTTATCGTTCGTCTTTTGCCGTTCGTTCATTCGTTCGTTCTTCGATCAATCGAAAAGTCAGACGTTCCTGTCTTCGTTCAGTCGGTCGATCGTTCGTTCGGCCGGATGTTCGGTCGGTCGTTCTCTCTGTCGATCGATTGGTCAGTTCACAGAAATCACAAAACTCACTTCGACACAAGTAAAGATGTAATGGCCGCTGGAGCTGAATTATCTTCTCTGGCAAACGCTGTGTGCATTGTCAGCTTATGTCTGAGCACCAGGCGTCTTCTCCACACTTTAAATGGTACGAAACAGAAAAAAAAAATCATTCAGCAATTTGTTTGAATCCGGGAGTAACAGCTGATTCTGTCGGGTGATCGTCATTACTTTTGTCAGCGAATGACATTTCGACAACCTGGATGCCGGGAGGTTATCAACAAAGTCAAGTATCAAAGGTTTAGTTGAGTTCGATGGAGCCGTCCGCTCCACTCGTGGGCTCGAAACGTCGGTCACATCAAAATATATTATTATAAAATACTCTCCAGCTTTTTAATACAGAAGCTAAAAATTGTTTCTAATATTCAAAGAAATGATAGAGAAATTTTTAGCTGAGTGTTGAAGTGGTTGCTTTGGTTTTGATTTTCTACGCTCTGTGATTGGCCCAGAAAACTAGCGCCACTTTTCTTAACCAATCAGATGCGAACCTAAATCTAATCTCAACTTGGTCGCCCGCGTTTTCCCGCGCTTAAAGCAGTTTGCGTTTTTCATTCTGAGCTCTCATTGGCTGCTTGTGATTTACCCTTGGTTCTGATTGGCTGATGTAGTTACTTTGGTTTTGGTTTTATGACCCTGAACCGGGATGCGCTCTATACATACCTGGTTTAGGCGAGTCTTTACTCTCGCAGTTTCTCTTATGGGTAATTATGACGTACTCCTCTTCTATACTTTCATCACGCAGGTTAGGTGTCATATGACGTCTCCTCTCCACTACTTCAGTCAACTCAACGTCCTCTGCTGCCGTAGGCTTCACGTGATCGCTGAGTTTTTCCTCCAAAGTCTCTTTTGCCAATTCAGGTCGAAGGTCTGCTTGTTCAGAGGTAACAACTGACTGGTTGGGCTGCGGGATCTGATCGGCCGACGCGTTTTCGCGCTTTAGAGAGGAGTCTAGATCCGAACACGATTCCGTTACTAATTCCTCAGTCCCAGTCTCCTGTGGTGCGTCCTCTGCATCTTTACCTTTTAGTTCCGAGTTCTTTGACGGAGTTTCGTCAGTTTTCGGAGATACTGATTTCATACTTCGGCGGGTTTTCGCCGCCTCGTCGTAGAATTCGATCCCCCACATCTGCAACGACAACACGAGTAAATATTTGAGCTAAAAAAAAAAATCTGTCTTTGAAAAAAAAGATGAACAGAAGGAAAAATAAAATTATGCTTACCCGTACGACACCGTCTATAGAGCCCGTGAGAATAACATTTTCTTCATCCCATTCAGAAAGCTGTAAAATAAACATAATATTAGAATGTCACATTTGAAAGGAAAAAACTGGATTGAGTCGCAGATGTCAGGTAGAAAAAGCGTGAAGTCAATTTAAAAATACCAGCTTAAGTTTGAAATTTCGTGATAAGTTCGCCGTAAAAGAGTCAGCTTGCATGCTTGTTAGTGACATGAAACGACAGTGAAATATCACATAGTTCATTTTTTTTTAATTCTCGTCACCCTTCCGCTTTAAAATGTATTGATAGAGTAAGGAGAAATTACTAAATGGTCACTCCTCACTCCAAGGAGTAAGTGGGTCATTAGGAGGTCGCCACTGCTCCTGAATAGTGGAGAAAAATCGAGTTGCGAGGCGCATGAGCAGAGCTTCGTCGTATCGAACCAGGGAAAGTTGTAGAGGTACAATTCTCAAGTCCCACAAATAACGTAGAGAAAAGAAAAATCAAACAGTTCGGGAGAGCTTATGAAAGAGTTGTTGCACGTTGTCTGACGCACCTCGGACATGGCACAGCATTGTATGTGGTTGGTGTTCTGTAATGAAGTGTTCTCTTTCACAATCAGCTGCCCGTTGACGGACCAAACGTAGAGATATGTTCCTGCGCAAGTCGCGATATCTCCCTGGAAGTAAAAAAGGAAAATAAAACAAAGGCTGTCAAATTGTAAGGTTGCTAAACGGAAGTTGCGTGACATGACACTTGTAACGCATTCACTGTTGGGTTAAAATTTAAATTGAAGACGCAATGAGCAGAAAAATAGGTTTTAGGAGAGAGTGTACTAAGTTTGTGACGTAGTGAATGTTGATGATGAGCAATAAAACAAGGATCTGACGATTGAGAGAAGAGTGTACCCTACAAGCTCGGTACATTGAATTTCAAATGTCGGGTTTTCTTTGCGCCGAATCTTATCTGAGCGACTACGCACCTACCCTTCCCTCAACCCAACAACAGTCAAGCATTCAGGTGAGCATTTTCTCAGATACAGAAATTGATCCAAATAACAGAGAGTTGTTTGCTTACCGTTAGATCATTGATAGCTATGGCAGTGATTGGTGCCATGTGTTGAGACAACTGTCGAACGTAGGTCAATTTGCTCAAGTCCCAAACAATACATGTCTGATCCTGCAAAGGAGTAAGTTAAAATCTCATGAAATAAATGATACTAAAATTTACCTCGCCCTTAACACGTGGCTTCGTATCTCAGTTGCTAGTATCTGAGAGGAACGCTTTAGAATTCCGTCGAAGCCTGAATTTTAAAGACTTTTCTACTGAAATGTCTTTAATAACTGCCTTATTGATAAATTGATAAGATCGTTCCTATAACTGTAGAGGATATAGATAAATCACTGTCGATGAACAAAACAAACTCGTTCCATAAGCCAAGTACACCAGGAGGGTTTAACAATTACACCTTGATTCATACGTTTCCTTGGGTGCTGACAAGGAGAATTTGTTTATCGATAAAGAGCTTCTTCAGTCGGTGATCATTTCTTTTATATCTTTAATCTGTAATTCAGGCGTGATATTGTAAGGAAAAATTAGATGCTAGACACTCTTTGGGGCAAGAGGTTAATACAAGGAAATCATTAGGTTTATTGCAGCAGGTTTTATGTAAATGCATTCGTTACTTGTACAAATACGAATCCCTTTCATTCCGGTGACCAGACCTTAGCAATCACGCAAACTCTTACCTCAGAACCGCTGATAATAAGATTGTAGGCTGTAGATACTGCTAGGCACGTGACAGACGCGTGGTGCCCGTATAACACCTGTCAATCAAAATTGTACAACCATTAGACTTAGTAACTTAAATAGCGTTTTGGGAACGACAATGAAAGCCACTCAAGGGTAGAGTGAGGAAGGGTGTGGCTAGAGGAGGTGCCCGGATGCAAGTGGGGGTTGAAGGGGAGGGGGGGTGGGTGGGGAGAAGGTACGTCAAGATTCTACTGAAACGCTGAAAAAGTGCTGTTCCTTTGAAAAATCGCCTCGGTGTGGAGAATATTTGACTCACTCACCTCGTGTAAAATAATCTGCGGTCTTCTCTCCCTTCCTTTCATCATGTCCCACACACAAACAAGCTGCATCATAACAACAGAGAAACTTGTAAGTTATTTACTAGATACGAAAAATTCAATGGAGGCAAGCACGTGAAATGAAATGTCGCATTAACAAGTCTCGAGATCAAGATCAATTAGCACAATTACAGTCAATATACTGAGTCCTTTATACAATTCACCATTTCGACCCCCTTCCTCTTTTCTATACCCTGAGCTAAAGCGTAGTTTCTGCGCGTCATGCAAACGACTTGACTTGTCATACTAACCGTGCTTGTTCCTCCAGTGATAAGAGTGTGGGAGTCTGGGCACGACGCGCAAAGAACTTGCCCTATGTGAAAGTTCTCGTAGACGGCTAAGACCTGGAAGAGATCATCGAAAAAAAAGATAAATGATTGATTAACATATCAACATATGAACGTAGTACAGATCGCCATTGTCTCAATAGATCAGTGAAGAAGGAGAGGGGGCACGGAGCGTCGGAGAACAAGATTTGAACTAACTGAGTATCAGAGCCGGAGGGGGAACTCCAACTTTTCTCAGTCCGACAATCAACACTTTATCGTAGACGTATTCATGAAAACTGAATACAAAAGTCTGTGAGCGAGTACGGTAATTACCCTCTCTGTTTCATAGAACCCAGTACGCATGCTCGAGTCACCAAACCCCAAGCGATGTAGCGGTTGTTATGAGGCGGGACCAGCACCTAAAAGAAAAGAGAACAAAAACATATGAGTAATTGTCTTGAATGGAATAAAAATAATCTTCACTTCCAAATTGCCACAATCTTTAAAAATTCTCTTTTCCTTACTTTGTTTTTCTCCACAGCCAGAAGCCCCCGGTTGTCAGTTTGAATCATCTGTCCCACAGGACCTTTCAGCTCTGACAGAAAAAAACAAAAATTTCCGGCAGTTTCCTGTGTTTGCTAACCTGGAATCGCTCACGACACCATTAAAGTTGCCAGTCCTAGTAATGCATGAAACGTGTGTTGTTTGGTCTTTAACATGGTGACTTACCTTTGACAGGCTGAGCTGAAGGCACTAAGTTGGGCAGATTGTGAAAAAACAGTCGATCGACATTGACCAACGCACCGGTCTGGGAGTCAGACTCCACGCTACGAAACACTCTCTTAGGGGGGTGGGGACGTTTGAAGAGCTGGGAAAATAACAATAAAAGATTAATTAATTTGATTAACAAACGAATGAATGAGTGACTGACTGACTGACTAACTGAATGAGTGAACGAGAGGACGAATGAACAAAACGACCAAAAATGCATTGTATTATTTATGCACTTAATTCAGGGTCTTACAGTAAGATTGCGGAGACCTTGTTACCAATGACCATAAGAAAGGGTTCTGGCAAAGTGTGAGAGGAACATGACAAAATTCTTGGTGGGGAGGGGGGGGGAGGAGGAGGGGTGTGGAACTTTTGAAGACTACCAAGCCATCCGACCCTTAAAATGACTTGATCAAGTAACGTTCCAGTTAACCAAGGACTTGATGATACACTAAATATTTCACCTGAAGAGGTCACAAATTTTTTACCTGTTTTGGAGTTTGTCCAAAGTTGTCGATCATACTAATGATTGATTTTCTCTTGATTGGATCATCAATGCGATGGAAATCTGAACGTAATTAAGGACAAAAAAGCGCATAAAACCAGTAAAAACGATTCAGACATCAATTTCATGATACACAAGAACACGTTAAGAGATTAAAACTTAAACGAAAGTGAAGTCAGTGTAAAGGATATCAACATTGCTCTCGTAATAATAGAAGTAGAACACATTGTTGGCTTCAACAGCGGCAGGACCCTGCTGTTTGTATCCAAAGATCAAATCAATCCACTCGTGGAGATGAGCACTGACGTAATCACACTCAAGAGCCTGGAAACGAAACACATAGCATGTGAGCCACGTTACATCTTCACAGCGGACAAACGCGTGCTAAATTCCCGCCAAAGTTTTTATAGTTGACGAACGCGTTTGCAACTCCCGCCAAAACCTGTAACAGCAACAAATGCGTGTTGAATTCCCGCCAAAAGTGCCACCACTGAGTAGCGCACGGAAAATTATTGTAAACACTAACAACATGGTCAGACATGTTAAATTCCCGCTGAAACTGTTATCACTGACAAACGCGCGTGAAACCTCCGCCACAACCTGCATCACCGTCAAACGCGTGTTGAATTCCCACCAAAACTAACACTGCAGAGTAGTGCTCTTAAAATTCTCCGTCAAACATAACACTACGGACAAACATGTGTTTAACTCCCGCCTAAACTGCCAACGCAGACAACAAAACCGAGAGCGTCCTGGCGTTTCATTTGGTCACCTAGGACAAGTTTACCACTTGATCATACCTTTCTATGAAGCCGGATAAATTCCCGCGGATCACCCTTAGCCCATGTTGGCAGACAAACATCACCTAGGACTTCGCCGTTTTGCTTGGTTCCCAGTTCGAACTTGTTGTGGTTTGTCAGGAATTCTGGGAGATAGAAGAACTCGGGAATCAGCTCCTTGACGTCCGCCATGTTGGTTTTCGCTGCGGAGATCCATGCGTCTCTGATCGAGTGAAACAAACGGTCAGGAAGGTCAAAATTTCCCTGGGAAGATGAAGAAAAATAAAGATTAGATATATTGAACAGAAAATAAAAGATCACCTAGTGATTTGAAACAGGTGAAAAAGAAACGGCTTTTGGTCGAGTGTCGCTCATTTCCTCGAGGTACTTTGGTTTAAACACTTTGAAAAAGCTAAGGAATTTGCTTAAGATCTGATTGGCCCACTGTGTTGTTTAAGATTCAAATGATTGGCTGTTGCTTTTGCAATGGTGCCGTGCTCACTCATAAAAAGAATCAACATAAATGTTTATAAAAATGTATTAAAAATACAAACCGCATGATTCATTATCCTACAAAGCTTATAAGGATGGCTGTTCTCACTGTCAAATTACAGGTATGGAAAAAAGGCAAGTAAAGACCATTACCTGAACTCTGAGAAAATGCTGTGTAAACGGCTCAAGTCTGATAAGGTAGGACGCCACTATCATAGTCGACGAGTAGTGTGTCCCATAATGATACGGCGGAATCTCACCTATAAAAACACAATCAGCAGGATTACTGCTGGTATGCTTGAAATGTGTTAAGGCAACATGGCTATATTCAACACTCAGGCTGTACGTCACAAGAAGCTATACGAGCTGGGAGGACTGACTATTGGTTGAAAGTAGTTTCCTGCGTATTCAGTCAGTTCATACCTTTTGGCGGATTAGGTGAGACTACAAATACGCCTTCGCTCGCGGTTATTTTTTATTGTGAGAAAATAGGACGTGTATTCTCAACTAACATCCAAACAGAAAAGTGGCCTTCACTACGTGCGTAAAACTGGAAACGAAGAGAGGGGAGATCTAATTTAAGATCTAATTTGAGCATGAGACTACATCTTTAGAATCTGGAGATAGTACTTCGCGAGTTTCCTCATTTGAATACTGGCATTGTAGGCTTAGGCAGAAAACAAGCCAAAATTGTTGCAAGATGTATTTACCCGTAGGATCTTCCCACTCTCTGTACTTCTTCTGGAACTGCATCAGTCTATCCTTAGACTGGGCTCCCATTGGCTTGGAGAAGACGCGGAAAGTCTTGGGGTTGTTAAGATCCAGCTCCTGTAGGAATACAGAATAAATAAAGAATTCCAATCTAAGTTTAGTGATCAGGCAAAAACAACATAGGGCAAAATACATACAACTGTAGAATTCACACTCAAGGATAGATCACACTGCTAGACATCTCTTAGGTTTCTTGGGACATAAGATATGTGTGTGGCGAGCGAGGAAACGCATTGGAAGAAATCTTGTGATGGGAAATTGCTGTTTATTTTTTTTCCAAATACCATTGCACAACAGGGAAACGTCTCTGGAAGGGGCTTCATGAACACAGAGGATAGCCAAATGGAACAAATTAAACCACGAAAGAAAACTTCGTGTGGTTATTTTTTAATCTATTTAGCGAATGAAATTTACCGATAAGCCTCGACTTGACCCAATTTTTTGACTCGCGTTCAAACATGGAAAGTGGAAATGTAGCTCCCAGTTCCTAACGCGTCCTTGTTTGACTGATGAAAAGGAGCAACAGCCTAAATTCAACACCAGATCCTTGCGGATATTCAAACTACAAAGTGTCTATCTTTACCTCTGAGTCGTAATCAGCAAGCACCCAAGGGAAGACGGGATATTGCATCAGATCATTATACGAGCGGCCGGCCAAGGTATTGAGGTGCATCAGGTACTGGAAGTTGGTTATTTCACCACGCTGATGACAAAGACATAAACAAGAACAATTTTTAATTGATAACAGAAATTTCTTCTTGGAGCTATTACAATTATCGAAGGGAGCTAAATGGCGCATAGTGCAAGACATAATGCCGCTTTCCGCTGAACAAAGTGACAGAAGGCATTGCTCTCCTCTTCCCTACGTGGGACGCTGGTTTATCACAAGTTACTCCCCACCCCTCACCCCCAGCATTTCGTCAGGTTTCCCTAGCAGTTCGCTGGTACAATTTTACGCTCCTGGGTGGGGAGAGAGAGGCAATAGGAGAATCTTAGCTTTGATCCAGATAAACAACACAATAACACGGCCGGGTCTCGAACTCAGACCTATCAACTAAGCGCGCTGACCATTGGACCACCACGCTCTTTCTACACCCTTTCCCTAACAGGCTAATTTACTTCCTAAAAATATTTTTTAAAACTAGGGGCAATAGTACAGCTCGTCGCATGACTCAGAAGTAATCAACGAAAAAAAAAAAATCACTCAACGCTTTTTTCGCGGTTACTCCTAAGTTGCACGATGGACTGGGCAGGGAAAGACTGCTGGCGCTTACCTCCCATCTCTGCGTGACGGACCTTTCACCCATTAATGTGTGAATGAGACCCAGCCTGTTGGAAAAGAGAAGTAAAACAAGGTCAACATGATTCCTATGTCAGTTTCTCTCTACTGTCCTTACTGGCACGCAAGTAACCAACTAAGGAGAGTTTCAAATTTGAACTCACCCAGCCTCTACATCTGTGTCTCTTTTCATACCCACAACCGACTCCTCGGCGTTCTCACGGAGAGTTGATGCTTTGGCCACGAGTCTGGATAAAAAATAATCAGTCAATCGGTCATGCAAGTCAAGCGCAAATGTCATACCCCAGAGAATAATGCGTGAAGTTGTCACGTACAAGCGTCACGCTAGAGTAGTGGAATTGAGCAAGAGTGTCACGCATTATGCGAGTAGAAATTGGCAGGGGTTTGTGGATAACAAGAACAAAATACCATTACTTACTTATCGTAAACTTTACTTCTCACAGGTTTGGGGAAAACAAGAAAGTGATTCCGTCCGTCACTGGAAAATACTTCCAGAGCTGTCTCCTGAAATGAAAAAAAAAATAATGAAAAGAAAATTCTTATTAATGTGCTTCATTAAACGAAAGGTATGGAAAACCAACGAAGTCTTCTAAGAATCTGAAGTTTCTTGTACCACATATTCGCTGCAAAACAAAGAAAACATACCTGGAAAAGATAGCGCCTTTTGTGGACCTCTCGGATGTCTCCATAAGCCCACTTGCTGCACCTACAAGGAGACACGACAACACAGTTCTTGTCTGGTTTGTAGATACTGGGGCAAGCAAGGAAACCACAATCGAAGGATGTGATTTCAAATACATATTAAATTAAGCTATCGTAGTCTATTAGAGAGGAAAAAAAGCAAGAATTTTTTTCAACTTACATTCGTTCTTTGGTGCTCGATCGATGCTTGTCATGAGAGGAGTTTGGAATGATGGGATCGTGTGTCCTAAAATAACGAGGGACGTGTTAGTGATTCTTACATAATGTTGTGGTTGAAAACGTCAATCTCATGGCGGTGCTGGTGGTTAGATTAACGTTGTTTTAGGACGACTTCATCAAAAGTTTAAATGAAGTTGGAAAGAACACACAAATCTCTTCCAAAATATATTCGTCACTCGTTCCCCTTCCGCGGCACCTAACTCAGAACAAGTTAATACCTCAAATCACATACTGGAAAGTTTTCTACGTAATCGGAGACTTAAAGCCTCTTTTTAGAACACTTTTAATACTTTTAAACGAGACTCTGAAGAGCATTCCTATCCCAGCTTTGAAACATTGCAAAATTTTTCTTTGATCGACACTCATAACCAGCCGGAAACCCAACGACTTGGAATAAAAAGGATATCAGAACACAGTGCGAGGTGACTCTTAGAACCATTTTACCGGCTTACCCTTGTGGTAGCGAGTCAATATCCTTGATCTCTTTAGTGGATAGTAACGTCACACCGTCTACTACATAGAAATGTTCTTTTCCAAATAGGAACAGTCCTTCTGCAGTGTCCATGCCCTGGATCGTAGCACATCGGAACATGGAGGTAATCTGACGCATTGAAAAAAAAAGATCCATTAAGTAATTGTAGCAAAAGCGAACTAAAATTCTGAATAGCTTGATGGTTGTTTAAAGAAATGACCACCACAAAAGTTGTCATGGATCTTTGGAAATGAGAGAAATTGCGATATAATTCCAGTTTCGTTCTGAAGCCAAGTCTTCAAAGGATTGACAAAGTTATCCACCTGGGCCCAGTTGTATAAGGCCGGATAACACTATCCAACGGATAAATCGCTATCCAGCAGATAAGTGATGGCAAAACGTATAGCGTTATCCACCAGATAGAGGTTTATCCAGTGGATAGCGTTATCCGATCTTCGAACAACCGGGACCTGGAAGAAACTTTTCGAAACAATAAAATTGTACTAACGTTCAGTACAAAAAAACAAAAAACAGAAAAACAGAAAAAAAACAAACAAACAAAAAACGGACCATGTCAGTATCTGGGGAAACTGCGCAACTACCCATCCCCTAACACAACATTATCCCAGACCTGTCATCAGTTAACTATTGTTGGGTTATGGGAGGAGTAGGTGCGCAGTGGTTCAGATCCTGACGTTGATCCAAAATACTATCACTATGTTGTACCGTTTCTCCGGCCTCAAGGAGTTTGACAATTGTTTGATTGTTGTCCACCTGTAAGAGAAACAAAGAAATTTATTAAGCATCTGCAAGCTAGAAATTTAAACTGACGATTTAGACCCTATTCATTTGGTCTTGAGTACCAGGGACAACTCTCCCCCTCGAGACAACTTTCCCTTTCGAGACAACTTTACGGAGCGTTATATGAAGTTACCAGTTGTGACAGCTGTCCCTCCACTAGTCTCTCCGCTGACCTAAAACACACGGGCTCCAAACACAGTTTCGGCCACCTCGTCTCGGGTAGGAGAGCCGAAGTGTTTACATGAAAAAAAGGTGTCCTACTTAACAGGGTTATCCTATCTACCGAGGCAAGACAACTTATTCTAACGAGCTGCATCGCCCCGTCCGCCCCCCCAAACCCCCTATCTCTCTCCCCAAGACGAGTTCGCCATTTCATGTAAACGGTTAGTTGAATTTTTTCAAAGAAATAAGTGAAAACTTAGCTCGGCCAGGGTTACTCGAGGGAGGTCTGGGGCTCGAACCGCAGGGGGCATGTTTTTCTGTACTAATGCTCTTTTTTTCCCACCTCGCTTCCTTCATTTTCTTCTGTGATGTGGCTCGGTTCTGACGAGATCGTCCGCAAAGTGGTGACCCTTTTCTCATCTCTTTCAGTAACTACTACACAAACAGGAGGAAAAAAAAATCACAACGAATCCATAGAGAATTTTCTCAGAATTGGACAAATCTTACACAACAGTGCAGTAAGTGATCGCAACCGCTGCTCACCTTGATGCTGTGTGAGGGCTTCAATTGGTCCCAGCCCTCTTATGACATGTCCTCTCAGCTTGTAATGGATCTTGCTGTCGCGACTTATGGGCGCTCGGTGTTTTAGAGACCTCTGAAGGGAAAAAATCAAAGAGACGTCCTATTTTGAATCTTGCAAATAGATCCTTCTCCGGCCACAGTTGAAAATAAAAACCTTTCAGTATAACACTTAAAAGGGAACTCATGGCAGCACCACAAAAATTCACCCATAGTTTTGCAATCAGACTAATAATGTGTTCCTTGAGGTGTAATCATAAATCTGACAACATTACTTATATTCGTAATGTATGAAAATATGCTTGAACGATTCACGACTGTCATTTCTCCAATAAAATGAGTTGCACTAAGTTGAAATTCTCAGAAAACACCATTTGGGCCACGTTAATTCTTGATTGTAACGTGAAAATTTTTTTCCCTATACCAGTTTTATAATAAAGCCAATCACTTTTGAGATGGTTGCACTGTAATTGTTTCAAATCGCACGAAGAATGCATTGGCAGTGCAAAAGAAAAAAATTGACTCATTTTTCAGAGCCACACTATGTTTGTCAGTGAAAATAATACAACAAATTATTCCTTTTACATTTACTAACCTCTCTGGCTTGCTTTGCCACCTTCTTGTCATATGGGTAATGCAGATAAAACTTGTCATTACGATGCATTTTCTTCCTCATTCGATGTGGTCCTGATAACACGTAACACAAAGAAACAATCAAAACAGAGACAGCGAAGGAAAACTGTAATATCCTCATAGCGCAATTTAGTTCGCCTGTGTTGGTGTTTCTTTATGTATTCGTGTAACTAGTTCTCATTTCATTTGTGCTCTCGCCAGAATTAAGAGCAAGCAATGAGCTCTTTCATCGGAAGGATGATGCTGATGTAATGTCTGTTAGTGACGTAAACGCTGTAGAGGTTAATTCCGGAATCCTGAGATTAGGAGCATCACTGAGATTGGATATGTGTGAACGCAAGAAGAGCGAACTTCACTTTAAGTCACAAATTTTTGGAGAACCATCTATGTCCAACATGAGGAATAATATTTCTCTATGTCTTGACAAGAGAAGTCGATATCTCGAATTTAACAAAAAATATTAATAGGACGCCATGTTTAAGTCTAACCAGCTCTACCGATAATTTACTGTAATCTCAACACATATCTGTTAAATAAAACCTGAATACCATGAGGAGAAATTATCTTATGAACACTGTTACCTTCCACCATGTCCAGCGCCCACTTGTCAAGCTGTGAACTGCTGGCCGGACCCCACAAGCCTCGCTCGCGTGTCAGGTCAGTTTCCATTAGGGCCCATTCCTCCGCCACTGATTTAGAAATCAGCTGATAATTCTGAAAGAAAAAGCACATTTGCAAATATAACGGAAGCAGGATGCAAGCTGGCCATCGTGCCAGTCTTCGCTCGACTAGGAACAGCTGCATAGAAGTCAAAACGTCAAGATCCTTCATTGATAGCTCGACTCTAAAATTGTTAGTGATTTAATCCTCTACACCCAAACATCATTATGCATATTCTCCATACTGTTCTCTATAAATTTCCTAAGGTGCTAAAAGGGAGAATGTGTTTAACAATTAAGAGGTTCTTTAGTTGAGGATCATTTCTGTTATTCTCATGACGTCAATGTGAGATTCAGGGGTAATTTTTTAGGGAGAAATTAGATGCTGGTCAGTATTAGGAGTGAAGGTGTTCAAATCGTGATAAATACGATGAATCTTACGAGCGTTTTGATTGGTTCCCACGTATGATCTATTGGGGACCAAATGCATAAATGACGTCACCATTAACAGTTATCGTCTTTTTAAATCACATTTCGCCGTAGTAACAACTCACAGAAGACGTCAGTATGTGGTAAAATCATCAGTAATTCACCCGGATGTGCCACCTTTTTGTTCTAACAACATTCTGACGCCATCTGTGATTGTTCACTGAACATCGAATCTATTTTTTAAACAGAAAACCTCTCTGTACCTGCAGGTGATTTTTGTGATGAAGTCTGACGAGATCTCGCACCACTTTTGTGTGCTTCATTCTCCACAGGTGTGATTCGCATAGTAAAGTTTTCGGATCTTTGTTCTCCTTCCTGGTTTTCTTCGTGCTGAGCATTCGAAGCGAGGGTCCGCTTCGTCCCTTAGCGTTCGGTTTCTTCAAAAAAGTGAAACAATAATGAATTAATCTTATCATGTTGGACAACTTGAACCCCTCGTTTAATATCCTCCACTCTCTCTCCTGAACAATTTCCCATCTCTTATCGCGGAGATTTTCTTCGTCCTTGTGCAACATTGAGTATTGAGAGAATATTCCATGTTCAACGTTATTATCGTATCTCTCAGTTATTACGTGCACTAAAATTAATCAATTTGGCGGGGCATATCTCACTGTACGGCCTGCTAATTTAAAAAGGTTTGCTTTGATTAAAATTTTCCTCCTCTATTTGAACCCAGAGTTGAAATAAGTATCTTACTAACCTCGTTTTCTTGGTCCGTACTGTTAGTTACAGAATCTCTTTTTTCCGCTCGGAGTTATGGCCTGCGCTCTTCGTGCTTGGGCCATAAATCTGAGTGGATAAAACTCAATCCATAACTTACAGTATGGACCTCGAACTCGGTCAATAAGATTCCTTTATCCCTCAGGATGTAGAGGAAGAACAAGAAGATGGCAAAAGGCAAGGATAATTTGTTTAACAATCAAGGGCTTCTTTCGTTGGTGATAATTTTCTCAATCTCTTGACCTTAGTGCGCGATGCAGGGGTGATATTGAAAGGAGAAATAAAAATCTTATCCAGCTTGACCGTACCGGTTGTCCTAAAGTCTCAGCTTTGAGTTTTTCTTCCTGCGAGATGTAAATCATCCACATTTTAAGAGCCTGTTCACCAATCAGCGGCCTGAAACAAAACAGAAAAAAAAGGTCTCATTTGGTTTGGTTAGCAGCGCCGCAAAGAGTTAATGATCAACCGAGAAAGAAAAACATCTTACCTAACAGATTTTAGATCCAGATTTAAGTTCGTTGTTCCTCCAATTGGCCTAAAGAGCGTAAGTATTAGAAATCAGACTGAAATAAACTGCGATAAAATACCATGATATCCACGCTAACCACAACAGTTTTTAGGATTGGGCCACGCGAAAGACTGATGTTCCGCGCAGAACTCCAGGTCGAGAGGTCTGGGTTCAAGACCTAACCGGGCCATTGCGCTGTGTTCTTTGGCAAGACACTTTACTCTCCCCATGCCTCTCTCCACCCAGGAGTATAAACTGATACCGGCGAACTCTCAGGGAAAGCTGACGAAATCCTAGGGAGTGGGGTTGACTAGCATCCCATCCAGGGTGGGGTGGGTGAGGGCTGCAGTACCTCTACGTCATTTCATGCAACGGACTCAACGATAAGCTCTGGCGTCTGTAAGATTCCAACTAACAACTCTCTGAGTGCTTTGACTACTCAAGGAAATAACAAATTGTAGATTACGGAAAACAAAGACGAAAAGCAGATTCATGAATCTTACATGTGTTCTACATAATAATCTCTGCTGCTACTGTAGGACTTGAAACTTGGCTTTGGGATTTCAACACTGAGAGCTGCTACCATAGCCTGAGAAAGAGAAAAAAGACAAAAGCGTCACACAGAAATTAAATCACCTGAAAATGACAGAAGTAACTGTCAAAAACTTTCATGGAAACAATCATTTCCTTAAAATACTCACCTCTCTTTTATTCTGAACAAATATGTCCCAGACCCTCTCGGCCGCAGCAGCAAGAAGCCTGGTACAGCTTGACTCTTCTTGTTCGGACACGTGATCTGCACCGACCACTTCGGTCATCTCTTCACCAACATCAAGGCTGCCGACTAAGGCTGCACATGAAAAGAGGAAAGGAAACCAAGATTAAAACTAGTTGTCCATCATAATAAACAAAAAGATACGAGAGTAATATTCCGTAGTTTCCATTTTAAAGGTCAAGCATATGTTTTTAGTGACTGGAAAAAAGATTTGTCCGAAATATGACCGCTGAGTTGCTTACCTTCCGACTTTTTTCCCAGGCTAGGACTGTTGTTCTCGCTCACTGCTAGAGATTTGTGCGTTCCCATGACAAGGAGCCAGTGGCACAGACCAGCAATAAAGTTCGGCTCGTTGTTGACAGATGCAAACACCAGCTTGTGGTTCGTAGTCAGGATATGGAGAAACTCCAGAAGACTGGTTTGGTCTGAAGAAATGACGAGATAACACAACACCGTTAACAACCCGAAACTCAAGGAACATTGCGTATGTCAAGTTTTTCACTGTACGATTGGACAGTGTAAAAACGGCAGGTTAACACGCACTCAAGCCTCAATTTCGTGCACTCAACCCAGGTTTCCTCGCTCACGTTCAAGCATGCAAAATGTGCGCCTTCAATACGCGCGCAATATTTCATGATAGTTGCTAACCCTTCCTCACCTGTGAGCCGAGCAAGCGGCCTGGAGAGCTGGTATAAGATAGTTCTGTTGAGAGAGTGGTACACACTATCCATCGATACTGACTGACCTGGAAAAAAAAAGAAAATAAAGAAACAGAAAAACAAAACTTGTCTCAGTTTGCCAGATCTATTTATGAATACAAATCACTGATGCTTCAGCTTAGTATCAAGTAGTTCAATGACATTTCATTAAATCTAAGACAGAAGCTTCTTCTATAGAAAAGCCTCGTTTAGATTTCTTTTCTGCCAGCTAAACAGACAACCCACATCTTGCGCCAATGCAAACAGGGACAGCTCTTTCAAAATGTACCCGCCTTGAAACGATTTCCTTCGCGTGGACGCGGGTAAACTACAAAATTATCACAGCTAAGATATTTCTATACGTAGGAAAGTTTGTCATGTCAGCAGACTGATATGGGTGGAACACGGCCTGTATAATCAAGGAGATGTATCATATATTCACGAGAAATATAATTGAAGTTCCCGTAATATGGTGTTACCTTTAACTGCTTCAATCATGCTGGTGATGAAGTTAAAAACCGTCTTGTACCCGTGAACGAAATTGCCTGAAAAATGAAAAAAGCATATTTCCTTATCTAAATTTTTGGAAAGTTGTATGATTCAGATTCAAATTCAAACGTTAACAAATAGTAACTTTGATGAAAAAAGATCCCTAGATCGACCACTCTGCTCCAGGAGATGGGAGATGGCGAGTGGATTATTTTTATTCCAGCGGAAGAGGGCGAAGAGATAAGTTTTTTCGCATTCCTCTTGAGAAACAATATTACACCTTTATCGACGGCTGTTTCCCCTGGGGTTTCGTATGCTAGAATTTTGCTTCTGTTTCCTTACCTGCTAGAAACTCAAGAAAACGAGTAAAAAAAAAAGCTGTCAAACTTACCAATCCAGAGCTTATCCACAACTTTGGAAGCAAAAAAGAAAGCATTTGCCACAATCTTGGCATGATTGCCACACCCTGCTGATGGGTTAGTGAGTAGATTTCCTCCAAGAAAATACTCAATCTGAACACAAAGGGCTTCTGTTTGGAATTCTGCTTGCTGTGGCTGGGAACACTTGACTGGATAACACTGTGATGTGCGTAATAAAAACATTAATATGCAGGTGATAAACATTACTATGATAATATATGATAAATTTTATCATAGATTATGCATGCTAAGCAAATACTGGTAATTTATGACATTACATGGAAAATGATAATGTATGACATTTTGAAATAAAGCATAAAACAACAAAATTCTTCGACACCTTATTATAATCTATGATAATTGATTCAAATGCATGATAATTGATGATTATGTATCATGAATTTAGGAAAAATTGTTTCACTTCGTGCTTTTCCCAATAGTTTCAAAGAGGTAAGATTTCTGCTTACCTCTAAGATGGTGTCAATGACACCCAGACTCTTAGCAGATGAGTTTAAAGTGAGGGAATCAGTCATAATCACCCTGAGGAACTCGAACACACATTTCCTCGCTAGGTGAGAGATCAGGAGGGTCTGGGACGAGAAGACAGGCTCAGTTTCTGCTCCAGGTTCCCCCTCATTCTCACTGTCTGATCCAAGCTGGATGAAAGAAACACAACAATTCCTAAGACTCAGAAACTATATCATAATCATGCTCCTTTCTTCCGTGCTAAAATTTTGTGTTATAGAGCAGTGATTAATTTACTTTCAAAAAAACCGAAACCAGTGTTATCACTGTGGCCAGTCATAAAGGAAATATTATCATTAGCCAATGTGTACTCACAGTAAAAATAGGCAAACTCCCAAAAGCGCGGGAAAACGTGGGTGACGCAGTATTCGTGTTATATTCTGATTGGTTGAGAGGATGGCGCGAGTTTTCTAGACCAATCACAGAGCGAGGAAAAACAAAAATAAAGCACTCCCAGATTACTTAAGTCCCTTAGTTGAAAATTGTTCTGACTGGACAATAATATGGCTGAATTATTTGAACGTTAATCAAATCAAAGGAGTAAAAATACGAATGAAACGATAAGTTTCCATTCCCATCTCGATACCTCTTGAAGTTTCAGCAAGTTTCTTCTCTTGGGAAACAAAACAGCGACAAGCTTCTCAAGGAATTCTGGTGAGGTACACACGGTAGCGAAGCTGGAGATGTTTCGGTACAAGAAACTTAGGAACTGTATCAGCGTCACTGGATATTCTCTGAGCCAGGAAATCTCCTCTGTATCTTGCCACGGCTGTGAATGGAAAACTTCATGTAGGTATTTGAAGGTTTAACCCCAATGAGAGTTCGCCTCCCATTAGTTCGCTAGCATCACCACGAGTTTGCTCCATCAAATCAAACAAGTTTGCCCTAAAAATTTTCAACTCGTTTCCTGACAACAGAATGTTCCTCTTCTGATGAAAGCATACTTCATTTCGATCAACACGCAATTTGACTGTGCTTAGTTGGGACACAACAAACGGAGTCAATCCTTGGGTCAGCGTTAGCTTAGAGTTAGGTTTAGGGGGCTTCAAGGTTCCCAATTAAGCTCACGCCTTTTTAGATAGGAATAAGGTCCCTTATTCCTATCTAAAAAGAAAAAAAAAACATCCTATTTGGTGGTGATACAAAACATCTAATGAACAGCTTTGCTCGAATGTTTTAAAACTTTTTACATTTCTTAGCCGCCCTCTGCAAAACAACAACGTGAAATCACCAATGACCCTGATGACATGTTATTTGAGTTCGTATTTGGAACTAAACGCTGTTTACATACGTTATGTTAAAGTTGAGGTATGGTGCCCTAAGGGGCGGTCAACATATCCAGCAATTTTCCATGTTCTAGTCAAAAATATAAATTACTTTTTCAAGCGACGTCTTCCGCGGTGTTGCCGTCCTGATCACTAGAGGGCGGCGCAAGATTTTAGAATCAATCGGAGCACGTGATATACTTCACCGTTTGCTTAAGATGGATAACGTTACTAAAGGATATGCTGTGCCGAACTTGCGATGCTTAAGTGAAAATCGGCGTTACAACACCTTTGAAGTTTCACTCACCTCGTTAACCATAATGTGCGCCATTGCCAGCAGCACATGCGCAGCTTCGGGGCAGTAGATGTTGTACGAACTAGGCTCCTGGGGACTGGGGGTGGGGAGTTTGACTCCTGAGTCTGACCTTGACCAGAACACAGAGTACAAACTGTCCCAGTCAAACTGCGCACCTGAATACACATCTGACAAAAAACAGTTCTTGAGTCAACTTCACACCCTAAAATCAGTAAACATATTCTCCCCACTGTTCTGTTTACATTCCCTACGTTATTGACAAGGAGAATTTGTTTCATGATCCAAAGCTTCTTCGGTTGGTGATCATTTCCTTTATTCTCGCGATCTTAACCCTTTACACCCTAACATCAGTATGCACATTCTCATACTGTTCTCTATACATTTCCTAAGGTGCTGACAAGGAGAATTTGTTTAACAATCAAGAGCTTCTTCAGTTGGTGATCATTTCCTCAATTCTTGTGACCTTAATGTTTAAATATGGGATGATATTGTAAGGAGAAATTAGATGCTAGTCACTCTTGGTAGTTGAAGGGTTAAAAGAGCAATCACCTGTGTTAGTTGTTGAGTTGTTTCCCTTCAAGTTGGCTAATTTACCAGCAGGACAGGACAGAATATAAAATCATTTAAGGAGAGCTATTTTCTAAAGAAACTGTGGTGCTACTTCGGTAGAGGTATTACAAGGTAGTGTGGTTATATCAACTGAGTTGATATTGTAAATTGTGCACCAAAAAGAGTTTCGCTCTGACGACGGGCTAACGTTCACAACATCAAATTTAGAAATTCTTCACAGTGGCCACTTTACATTATCAACTCAGACGATAAAACCAAATTCAAAATTATTTGTCTGTGTCTCCTTATTACTCACCAGACACAGGGTGCCCAAGCAGAAGAGCAATTACCAGGTGATAAATCTCAGGAATATCAATATGTTTCGGCAGAAGCTTTTCCAGCATTAAGAATCCTGGGATATTACACACCTCCCTGTTGATCTGATACTTTTGTCTGTTATCAGCCACAGAACCTACATTGAAACCTGCGAAAAAGAAACAACAAACAAACAAACAAACAAAAACAAATAAACAAACAAATAAACAAACAAATAAACTAAAAATTAGTGGAAAGTAAATTAGGGAAAAAAAGAAAGGCAAACCGTAATTGGTTTGATAAGTTTGGATGTCAGCAAACGGGAAGTGAAGCTGAAGGATAATAAATTTCACCAGCTGGTAATATCCAGCAGGGAGCTGTGACTCTTACAGGGGACTGCCAGTCAGTCAGGGTTAGACTTGGAAAATTTATCTTGGTAGCGCGCTGACAACTAGACCACCGTATCATTCACTTGCAAGACTCTAAGTGTTACTGCTCTCACAGAATAAATCAGCTCATACCTGCTACGACATAAGTTGTCTTGTTTAACATGATTTCAGTACCATCTAACCAGCTTCCACTACCCAGTCCCTCTCGGAACCTGTTGAGTGCTGGCACGCTGCTGAGCATGGTGACGAGTATGCGAGTGGCACGCACTACTGTGGTTTTATGAAGATGGGCTTGTATGAAGAGCAGGAGCCAATCAAATCCAAGAGTCTCCTGAACGGCGTCAGCGAAACTATAAAGCATACAATATATTAACAAAACACAAAATTCAACGATGAATAAGAGTTTGTTTAGGAGCGATTTGAGCCGACTTCTCAGGTTCGGTTTCCAAACGAGGAGTGTAGGCTCACTTCCCAAACAACGGCTGGTTTTGGGGCCTATATTCATACATCTTGACAAAATTGGCCGCTCATTTTTTTAGCAGGTAATTTAGTGTCAACAACTGAGTTGAAAACGTAAATTGACCACCGTAAAGAGTAAAAAAGCTGACGTTTCGAGCGTTAAAACGAAACGTCAGCTTTTTTACTCTTTACGGTGGTCAATTTACGTTTTCAACTCAGTTGTTGACACTAAATTACCTGCTATACTCTCCCACCGACGCAGCACCACAGTTTCTTTAGAGACTTACCTCCTTTATTCATCGCTCATTTTTTAGTTTAGTTTAGCAATCCGAGCAAGTCTCCTCCATCCTCGGCCATTCCTACTCCTTCGTATCACACTAATATCTTTTGGTCTCCTTCAAGTTAATTTACTAAATCGATATCACTTTAATCAAAAATTCAGAAGAAAAAAAAATGGCAATTTTCCTCGACTTACCTGTGATCCAGTTCACCTCCTTCAGCGTAGATCAAGCACAGAATCAGCTCAAGCATCACATTTCGTAAGCAGATGCGTCGCGGTGACAAAATCTCCTCTCCCTCCTCCCCTTCAGTAGTAGTAGCTTCAGACGATGAACCCAAATCCAGTTTCAATTCGTTTTCGTTCGAGGGATGCGCTGGTAAAGTAGAGACTAAGTATTGACCAAACCTGAAAATAAAGACAACAAAACTGAGCTGAATTCAAGTCTGGTCAAGCTCCACGCGACGAGAAAATCACAAAGTATTTCTTTTATTGATCAAGAAACCTATAAATGGATTACCGCAGTTTCCTGACATTATAAATAAACCAGTAAATTTAACGTTTTAAGCGGCGAAACCCTGCGGTCAAAACCCACGAAGGCTTAACCCTTTAGTTCCGATGAGTGACCAAGATAGAATTTCTCCTTACAATTTCAATATAACTTCACGCAGACAAGTGATGAGAATAAAGAAATATATCAATTAGAGGATTATCAGTTGATCTAGTACCAAATTCTCCAAACTTACATCATATGAATTGTAGAGCGGACAGTAAAGTGAATTATTAATGAGATCTTGGGAGTTCAAGGGTTAAGCTAGAACATAGGCATGCAACGCAGTATTTTTTTTAATGGTTAGGGTTAATAACTAACTAATTGGTGTTTGTGTATCTGTAAACGAAAAAGAGCAGTTACTTTCCAAAGATTCCTACGAAAATATCGTTCAATGGAGAGGAAGAAAAAAGAAACCCCTTTAAATTTATCTAAAATAAACTCAGACACAGGTATTTTGTGGTCTGCTGTCACTGGTGTCTAAATAACTGTGAGCAGAAATAAACTGCAATGGTGCCATACTTACCGTAGCCTCCTTCGCAGCTGTTGTTTGGTCTCGTCACGCAACGCTCTCTCTCTTGCTCTCTCCCTACTGCGTGACGGGACCAAACAATTGCTGCGGGAGAGGATACGCTAGTCTGCAGTTAGCTCCTCATTATCGGCATTTGGTCATGCGCGTTTCTTCGCCCGCACATTAGCCAGCGAGAGGTCTACCCTGGGTCTGGTACTGATAATTAGCGCCACATTCCTCGCAAACCTCTCCCCGACTTGTCTTGCAACGCATACTCAATCTCCGACCCCTCAGGGGTGGACTGAGATTTATCACGCGCCTTTAACCTTTAAATAGACACATGCTGCTGACTCTAATTCTAAATTTGGCTGCTTCACTTTACAAAGCAACAAAGCGTTCAAAGTGAAAGTCGTGGTAACTACGTTATTTAATTGTCAATGCGCTAATTTATGAATGTAACATCTCATCAATTTTCCAAGACATATTCCAACGCCTTTGTAATCAGAGCTGCTCTTACATTTACCATCACTACGTTGATTCATACACTGACGCATCATGAATTACCATAGAAGGACGTCATTCTGAATAAATACCCGTAAGTTATAAAACGTTTTTCATACTCTATGGAGAGAAAATCTCTTGTGCATGAAAATCGATACTTCTACTGTGATGAGTCAAATTCGTTTCATTTGTACCTATCCAACGTTTGGATATCAATCAAAACACCTGTGTAAATCTTATCCAATAGACACGCCTAATCTGTGCTAAAAAAACGTCTTGAGAAGTTCATACATGTCCAATACACCGAAACCGTTACGATTCGTCTACGGTCGTTGACGAATCGTCACACCGGATGTCGAATCATACGTTAACATACCGGAAGTCGAGAGGCGCGCACGTGAGCAATGAGTGAAAATGAGTGACATGGTACGAGAACATGACAACATGAACCTTCCACGTTCTCAAAGCGTGAAACGACCGGAAGTCTATCGTCTGAATATTATAAACTATACAGTGTAGCAAATGCTGACGATTCGACACGATTCGACAACATCTTCAACCCCCTATCGCAGACACTAGCGGAATATTTTCTAAGTCTCTTGCAAATTGAGTTCCGGTATGCGTTTCCGTGTCGTAAGAGATGGTTTCTCAGATCTCCGGTATCACAACACCACTTAGCCACGAATCTACTTCCGGTTTGACGATTCGCAGCGGTTTGGGTGTATTGGACAACCCTCCAAGAGCAGAGATTCTTTTTGTCATAAAAACTCCGTTTGGTCACGTCTAACGTTTTATGCCTTGGCCGTCCTAAGTAACTTAACGTTTTTCAGGGTCCGTGGTAATACAGAGTGTATACAAAAGGCACAATACTGCCACATCTCAGATTAATTTGTGATAGATGTTTATTTAAATTAATAAGCGATGGATTTTCAGGTTCCTAAACGGCCTTTTTACTATTTACCGAACGAACTTAATCTTTTCACCTGGTATTCGTTGTTCCCTCTCTGTTTTATACTTCTTTTTTTTTCACCTATCAAGTTTTCGCGTCTTTCTTACAATAACTATTCGCATTTATCTTTGCTTTGCAGAGAAAATCTTGTTTCATTTTCTTCCTTTGGTTTCATCAGTCATACGACTAGAATATCAAACAAGACAGGCTCCTTTTTTAAAAGGTGGGTAGTAAAAAAATAAATTTGGAAACAATTTTTTCCCGCTTTAAAAAACTGAAATGTTTTGAAAAAAATTCAATGGCACATGATATAAACCTCGAAATAATTTTAGATTGGCAACAATTTGTTGCTAAAAACTTGACTTAAGTTTATCATAGTCTGCGAAATAAAGTGATGAACTCAAGTTTAGGCCTATACCTTCCACGATCTTACTAAGTTTCCTTTCACAATGTTACAAATGTCGCTATAAATGTTTTGGAGAATGAAGTGTTGAGTCAATTTATCACTGTCCAGCGAGTAAGTTTTATTAATTCTCCAAAACTCTTGGCTGAATAATATATTGATACTGTACGTAAGAAACTTGTAAGAAGTTGGAGAGCGACGTAGTTCTGATTTTGGTTTTGTAAACAATATTTTATTTTACCGATTAAACTGTTATCTTTTCACACTAATTATTGTCATTTCTTCTCTTTTTTGTAGGGAAAGCATTATTTCAGTTTCTTACTCTCGGTTTCCTCGTCATACGATCAGAATACTAAACTCTCGGACCCCTCAGGGGTGGACTGAGGTTTACCACGAGCCTGTAACCTTTAAATAGACACACGCTGCTGACTCTAATTCTTAATTTGGCTGCTTCACTTGACAAAGCAACAAAGCGTTCAATGTTAGAGTCGTGGTAAGTACGATATTTACTTATTAATGCGCTGATTTGTTAAGTAATATATCAAACACGAGGAAGAGTGTTTCATCCGATATCCAAACACCGAGAAGTGGTTGAGAAAACGAGGCGCAGCCGAGTTTTTTTTAACCGACTTCAAGGTGTTTGGATATCGGATGAAACACCCTTTCGAATGTTTGATATAGCTTCTCAAACCATTAATAATTCTTGGAGAAAATCAAAGCAAAAGTTCACCAGATTTTATGATAATTAAGATCACATATCCAATCCTCCTTCACGGTTGTAATTTCCTTTGTTTTCTCAGCATGAATTATTAATGAGTTCGAGAATGTAATGTCTCATCAATTTTCCAACACATATTTCAACACCTTGGTATTCAGAGCTGCTCTTACATTGACTATTACTATATTCATTCATACACTGACGCATCATGAATTGCCACAGAAGGAGCTCGTTCTGAATAAATTTCCTGTATGCTACCAAATGCTTTTCATATCCAATAGAGAAAAAGTTTCTTGTGCATTAAAATCGGTACTTCTGCCATGTTAAGTCAAATTCGTTTCATTCATACCTATCGAACGTTTTGATAATAATCAAAGCACCTGTTTAAATCTAATCCTATAGACACACCTAATCTGTGCCCCAAAAACGTCTTGAGAAGTTTACAAATTTTAGATGTACACATCACGTTTTACGCGCAGGGTCTGTTGTGTTCGGTAAAACAATGTCCGGATTCAGAAAGACGGAAACCATTGTTGGTGTTCCCAATGTAAAAAATGGGTGAAATAGGGCTATTCGAAATTGAATTTTTTTTATAAAAAAATGTTCATCACATGAGCAGAGATTCTTTTTGTCCTAAAATCTCCGTTTGGTCACGTCTAACGTTTTATGCCTTGGCCGTCCTAAGTAGCTTAACGTTTTTCAGGGTCCGTGGTAATGCAGTGTATACAAAACGCACAGTAGTGCGACATCTCAAATTAATTTGAGATAGATGTTTATTTTAAATCGATTAGCGATGGATTTTCAGGATCCTAAACGGCCTTTTTACTATTTACCGATAGAACTTAATCTTTTCACCTGGTATCCGTTGTTCCCTCTCTGTTCTATAATTCTTTTTTTTTTTTTAACCTATCAAATTTTTGACGTCTTTCCTACAATAACTATTTGCATTTACCTTTGCTTTGCAGAGAAAATCTTATTTCATTTTCTTCCTTTGGTTTCATCAGTCATACGACTAGAATATTAAACAAGACAAGCTCCTTTTTTAGAAGGTTAGTGGTAACAAAATAGATTTAGAAACAATCTTTTCCCGCTTTACAAAACTGAAATGTTTGGGGAAAATAATTCAGTGGCACATGATTTAAATCTCGAGATAATCTTAGATCGGCAACGATTTGTTGCTAAAAACTTGACTTGAGTTTAAAGTCTGCGAAATAAAATGATGAACTCAACTTTAGGCCTATACCTTCCAAGATCATACTAAGTTTCCTTTCACAGTGTAACAAATGTCGCTACAAATGTTTGAGAGAATGAAGCGTTGCGTCAATTTAAAACTGCCCTGCTGATAAGTTTTATTGATTCTCCAAAACTGTTGGCTGAATAATATATTGATACTCTAAGGAAAAACATGTAAGAAGTTGGAGAGCGACGTAGTTCTGATTTTGGTTTTGTAAACAATATTTTGTTTTACCGATTAAACTGTTATTTTTTCACACTAGTTAATGCCATTTTTTCTCTTTTTTGCAGGGAAAGCATCATTTCAGTTTCTTACTCTCGGCTTCCTCATCATACGATCAGAATACCTAACAAAACACACTTCCTTGTTCACGGGTAAGTAGAAAAATAAAAAATAATAAATAGAATAGCTTACATCCTTTTCCTTTCCCCCCTTTTTTTTTTTTTTTGCCACCTTAAATCAGGCGCAGCAGAAATCAAATTCAAGAACAGCGAATTCTAACTTAAAAAAGAGAAAAAACGCTACAATGCTTTTTAATGCATCGTGTGGCGAAAAGGAGAGTCCTAGCGATACATCTCAGACCAAGAAATTATCAACTGAAGTTTTTAATCTCGTATCGGACTTTCACAGTGATTTTTTCAACCAATCAAACTAAGAACTTCGTTCTCACACGAGCTGCTTGCCCTTATTTTTGTTTCTTTCGCCTCTCGGTGTCATCATTCAAATCAGGACTCTGAACAACGCTTATTTGTTTATCACACGGTTGGCTACCGAAAAACTAAATTCAGATAATTATTCTTTTCACGCTTTAATATAAATGGCAAAGTATTTATGGTCTGCATAATCTTAACCCTTTAAATTTATGATCTTATCAACAATTCTTCCTTCTAGCTCCCTCACATTACGTTCTTCGTCAATATGGAGAATTTTTGGTGTTGTATAAGAAAACACTCTCAGCTAAGAATTTTCCTCGTCGCTTGTTCACAAAACAATATGTTGATATTGGAAAGAGATGCAACCTGTTCCTCACTTCGTAACTTCAACGTTTTAAAAAATCAGCCAAATCGCAATTTAAACCATGAAACTCTTGTTGAAGATATGCGAGCTCCAATATTTATTGAAATATCTTGTGGGCAAGCTTTAATTCAAGTTCCATCCTTCTTAGGTTCACAATGATTACTTTTAACCGATAACTTTCATATTCAATCTTACGTTCGCTCTTTGCATTCTTCTTTTCTGTACAGAGAAAATTTAAATCAATTCCTTGGCTTTGGTCTCCAAACTACCCAGGGATCTTTTCGTTTTTTCAAAGGTGAGCGGCTAATTATTTATTTCAGAAATTTTATGCGCTAAATTGTTTTGGATTGACACCTAGTAAGGATCGAAATAACAACCTACTATGATGAGTCTGTTTACACTCACTACTTGATTGCTGTAAGGTATTTTGATACTGTAAGGAGAAGCTAGATGGTCATCACTTCTGCGATGATGGAAAATATGAAGATCCCGTATGTTATTTGACGAATCTTATGCGCCACCGCGGAAACAATTTTCATTTATACTTTAAGTTTTTTCCCATTATTTTGAGGATTTCTTCTTCCCAACCGTGTGAGTAAAACTTTCTCACACTAGCTATTTGCATTTACGTTTGTTTGTCAGGTAAAGTCTCATTTCATTTCGTTACTCTTGTTTTCATTAGTCACACCGTCAGGATCTGAAAATAAGGCATGTTCATATGTTTCAAAGGTAAGCTGTTTGTTTTGTTGCGTTTTTTTCAATTTCTGCATTTTTATTACTTCCTTTGTTTCATTTTCCATTAATACAATTGACATTGTTATTTTACCAAACAAAACAATTGGAAAAGTCGGTGTATGAGTAACTAACTTAGCGCGAATGCAGTACAATGAAATGGAAAGTTTTATCTTCGTCTCAAACCCAAAGCGTTTTGATAACGAGTGCGCGGTTTAAAAGCTGGCTCGAATCTTTCCTTTGCCCAATTTTATACTGCATTAAAATTAAAATCTTTCCAGTTTTGAAAATAACTGTTGAGTGATTATTGACAACATTTATATGTTTTAGTTTCGTACACGTCAAATTAATAACAAAAATGAATTCCTCAAACTGACAAATCGGCTTTCTTTGTATGGGAGACAAGGTTAGAAATACCAACAAAGATATATTCATCTGGACACAGTTGGATGGTTTCATACTTTGTTTTAATTGTAGAATGCAATTTTTTTGCGTTGCACTTGTGTCCTTCAAATTTGTCCGCCACGCAACGAAGCAAAATCTACGTCGCGTTGATGGATATCTCCGGATCGATTTAAGATGTACTGATTTGCCTCGATTCTAAATCAAACAACAATGCAAAGGAGTGGTCCTGATCCTGTTTCACGAACGAATTCTAGAGAAATTCACGCGTTACGTATGCAAAAGGAAACTTCACCTCTCTCTCCCTGTGTAGAAAGTGCATGCGAAATGTTAAGGTTTTCACGCAATGAAAGAAAAAATTATAGGGTCACGTTTATTTCAGGAGGCAAGTCACGCCCCACATTGGCTCATAAATTCACGAATCACGCTCGCCTTTCTGTAAAATTCACGCGTCACATCATAATTCTGGTCTTGATCATACACGTTATCATTTTCTCGAATGTGATTGGTGCTGCATTGGCCACTTAAATTTTAATTAATCATTCTGTTGAGTGGTAATCGGACAGTTGACTGTAATCAGACAACTGTAATCGGACAGTTGAAGCGGCCAGTCATATTCAATCCTTTCAGCCAAATCCAACAATCACAGAATTGAACACAGTAACCATAGCAACAAACACTTATCCTAAAAAAAACTGGAAGTTGAGGAATTTTTCATTAGGACGTTGTCTTTACTGCAGATATTTATCCTAAATGTATTCGTTGTTTTCGGAAATTGAATTAAATGATTAATTTGTAACAGGACTTTGTGTCGTCAAATTCTGTCCGTAATCATACTCGTGTTGACAAATCAGACTCCTGCTTTGCGGTCGTCCGATTTTGTTGGTCACTCGTATGATTACAGACAGAATTGGACTCCACTCGGTCCTATTACCATTATTTTTCACATGTCACGTGTAAACCCTTCGGCATTCTCTTTTTGAAAGTCAATTTGACAGCTTTCGTATGATACTGCAATGGCTTACAGAAACATCTAAGTTAACTGAAAGATTTGCGTGACTTCAAGAGTTTTCAAAATTCATCACCAAAAAAATTCAAACAAGAAAATCTACTTCCTCCAAGTTGACCCTCCAAACTGCCATAAAAAATATCAACACGGGATAAATCCTTATAAAGTATGAGAAGAATGTTTATTCGAATCTGAAAATAATTTTCAGTTGGACGAAATATGGTGAAACAATGCAAAAAGGGAAACATCTTATCGCTTTTAATATTTCAGCTATTGAAGGTTGATATGTACTGTATTCACTAAAACATCTTAATTCTGAGCTGAAAATCTGATCCAGTAAAGTTTCCGACTTTAGCTACCCACTCCGCTGAAGCGAGTGACAGGGGCGTGCATGCGGGCGAAAAAGCGCAATCTTGTGCTCCACGATTATTCGAATCAATTTAACCCAGCTGATGTGATTGGCATTAGTTCCACACAGACGTTTGTGAAAAGGAGGAAAATGATGACTTCCCTAAAAACACCTTAAGTACACCACGATTTATCAGTTTTACTTTTTTGAACTGAGTTTCCTTTTTTGTTGATTCTTTCCTATGACAACAATCAGGAGAGAGCCGTTATGAATAACGCAGAAGAAATCCTAAAATCAATCCAGATAGGTTTAAATGTCGCCATATTTCTTCGCAACACTGATCGTGGCCTACGAGCGACTGATTTATTTAGTGAATGTGCGATTCTACTTCAAATCCTTGGAAATGTGTTTCATTCCCTTGGGGAATATCAGAAGGCTAAAGAATATCACGAGAAAGCACTTGTCATCGCGAAAGAAATTGGTGACAGAGATGGAGAAAGAACAGCATACGGGAACCTCGGATCTGTATATCATTCCCTTGGCGAACATCAGAAGGCTAAAGAATATTACGAGAAAGCACTTGCCATCGCGATAGAAATTGGCGACAGAAATAGAGAAGAAACAGTATACGGGAAACTCGGTAATGTGTTTCATTCCCTTGGCGAACATCAGAAGGCTAAAGAATATCACGAGAAAGCACTTGCCATCGCGATAGAAATTGGCGACAGAAAAAATGAAGGAAGAACATACGCTAACCTAGGAGCTGTGTTTCATTCCTTTGGCGAATATCAGAAGGCTAAAGAATATCACGAGAAAGCACTTGCCATCGCGATGGAAATTGGCGACAGAAATGTAGAAGGAACACTTAACATGAACCTCGGATGTGTGTTTCATTCCCTTGGCGAACATCAAAAGACTAAAGAATATTACGAGAAAGCACTTGCCATCGCGATAGAAATTGGCGACAGAAATGGAGAAGGAACAAGTAACAGGATACTCGGAAATGTGTGTTATTCCCTTGGCGAACATCAGAAGGCTAAAGAATATTACGAGAAAGCACTTGCCATCGCGATAGAAATTGGCGACAGAAAAGGAGAAGGATCAGTATACGGGAACCTCGGAAATTTGTTTTATTATCACGAGAAAGCACTTGCCATCGCGATTTTCAGAAAAGAAGAAGGAAGAATATCCCTCGGATCTGTGTTTTTGTTCCCTTGGCGAACATCAAAGGCTATAGAATGTTGCCGAAAGCACTTGCCATCGCGATAGAAATTGGCGACAGAAATGAAAAAAAGAGCCTCGGAGATGAACAATTTCAAAAGGCTAAAGAATATCACGAAAAGCCTCGGATAGAAATTGGCGACAGAAAAGAAGAAGGAAGAAGTAATGTGACCCTCGGATGTGTGTTTCATTCCCTTGGCGAATTTCAGAAGGCTAAAGAATATTACGAGAAAGCACTTGCCATCGCGATAGAAATTGGCGACAGAAATGGAGAAAGAACACATTACGAGAGCCTCGGAGATGTGTTTGTTTCTTTTGGCGAATTTCAAAAGGCTAAAGAATATCACGAGAAAGCACTTGCCATCGCGATAGAAATTGGCGACAGAAAAGAAGAAGGAAGAAGTAATGTGACCCTCGGATCTGTGTTTTGTTCCCTTGGCGAACATCAGAAGGCTATAGAATATTGCGAGAAAGCACTTGCCATCGCGATAGAAATTGGCGACAGAGAAGTTGAAGGAAGAAGTAATAGGTTCCTCGGACATGTGTTTCATTCCCTTGACGAACATCTGAAGGCTATAGAATATCACGAGAAAGCACTTGCCATCGCGATAGAAATTGGCGACAGAGAAGTTGAAGGAAGAAGTAATAGGTTCCTCGGACATGTGTTTCATTCCCTTGACGAACATCTGAAGGCTAAAGAATATCACGAGAAAGCACTTGCCATCGCGATAGAAATTGGCGACAGAGATGGAGAAGGAACAAGTAACGAGACCCTCGGATGTGTGTTTCATTCCCTTGGCGAACATCAGAAGGCTAAAGAATATCACGAGAAAGCACTTGCCATCAAGATAGAAATTGGCGACAGAGATGGAGAAGGAAGCAGTAACGAGAACCTCGGAACTGTGTTTCATTCCCTTGGCAAACATCAGAAGGCTAAAAAATATTTCGAGAAAGCACTTGCCATCGCGATAGAAATTGGCGACAGAAGTAGAGAACGAAAAGTATGCAGGGACCTCGGAATCGTGTTTAATTTCCTTGGCGAGTATCAGAAGGCTAAAGAATATCACGAGAAAGCACTTGCCATCGCGATAGAAATTGGCGACAGAAAAGAAGAAGGAAAAAGTAATGGGAATCTCGGAACTATGTACCATTCCTTTAGCGAACATCAGAAGGCGAAAGAATATTGCGAGAAAGCACTTGCCATCACGATAGAAATTGGCGACAGAAATGGAGAAGGAACAGTTTACGGGGACCTCGGATGTGTGTTTTATTCCCTTAGCGATTTTCAGAGGGCTAAAGAATATTACGAAAAAGCACTTGCCATCATGATAGAAATTGGCGACAGAAGAGGAGAAGGAAGGATATATGGGCACCTCGGAGATGTGTTTGATTCCTTTGGCGAAAATCAGAAGGCTAAAGAATATTTCGAGAAAGCACTTGCCATCGCGATAGAAATCAGCGACAGAAATGGAGAAGGTGCAGGACACTTTAGGCTTGGATATTTTAATCATGATACGCTTCGAAAAAAACGAGAAGCTGAAAAACATTTCAACAAAGCAGTCGGCATCAGTATAGCAGTCAGTGACAGAAATCTAGAAGCCAGGGCTACTGCAAATTTGGCATCTGTCTTTTTTTCTGTGAATGACCATCAGAAGGCAAAAGAACACTGCGAGAAGGCGCTTACCATCAGCAGAGAATGTGGTTGTAGAAGAGTCAAAGCAGAGATCTACCGAGGCGTTGGGGTAATATTCCTATTGCTTGGTGAATGTGACAAGGCAGAAAATTATTTAGAGAAAGCTCTCTCCATAAGCAGACAAATTGGAGACAAAATGTCTGAGTTTAACAGCCTTTGCTTTATTACAATGTTAAGGTTATCGCAGTCGGGGTATGTGGAGGCAGAGGAATATCTTTTCAAATGTATTGGAAAATACGAACAAATCAGAACTTTTCTGAAAGGGAACAGTGAATTCCAAATGTCTCTGTTAGAAGTACACGGTACTTTTCCCTACCGGTTACTCACTCGCTTGCTTTGCCGTACTGGAAAATTTCAAGATGCTCTCTATGCTGAAGAGCTAGGACGAGCAAGAGTCCTTGCAGAATTCATGGCAGAGAAGTACGCCGTGGAAAGTCACATCTCAGCTGATCCACAGTCATGGTCCGGAATTGAAAACATCGTGAAAAGAGAAAGTAACTGTGTTTCTTTGTACATTTCGTATGAAGAACGGAGAGTTCTTCTCTGGGTATTGAAAGAAAATGGAGAGCTATGCTTTCGAGAAACAGACGAAGTGGAAGTAGACACTCTTATTGATGAGAAAGTTTGCGATCTGGAAGGAATTTTCAAAAAGAGCGCCGCCGGCTTTGGCGTTTTACCCGCAGCAAACTGCGAGGATCGATCCTTGGATGACAACGTGAAGACATCTCTTCATGATGAGAGCCGAGAAAATTTGCGAGCTGACGAAACCAAAGATACCGAAAGAATTCATCATTTGTGCTACAAATGGATCATCGCTCCAGTGGCAGATTTACTTACAGAGCCCGAAATCATCATTGTGCCAGATCGTTTTTTGTACCGAGTCCCATTTGCTTTATTGCGTGATGAACCGGCCGGAAAGTACTTATCGGAGAAGTACAGAATACGCATTGTCCCTTCTCTGACGACTCTCCGGATCATACAAGAAAGTCCAGCGGACTACCACAGTCAAACAGATGCACTAGTTGTAGGTGATCCTACGGTCGGCGAAGTTTATTACAATGGACATCTCACTGACATTACACCATTGTTCTGTGCACGTAAGGAAGCAGAGATGGTTGGTGGACTGCTGGGCGTTCAGCCTTTGTTAGGAAGTCGCGCAACAAAGCAAGCGGTACTTCACGCAATAACTTCCGTGAGTCTGATACATCTTGCCGCACACGGAAATCCCAAAAGAGGGGAGATTGCCCTCTCTCCTCAACGTACTTCTAACATTACTCCACAAGAGGAAGACTACCTACTGACAATGCCCGAAATCCAAGGAGTGCAAGTGCGAGCTAAACTGGTAGTACTCAGCTGCTGTCACAGTGGGCGTGGCCTGGTTAAAAAGGAAGGAGTTATTGGAATCGCTCGGGCATTCTTAGCATCCGGTGCACGTTCAGTGTTGGTTGCATCGTGGGCTGTAGAAGACGAAGCAACGGAGAAGCTCATGAAACATTTCTACAAACACCTTGTTCGTGGAGAAAGTGCCAGTGAATCTCTTCACCAGGCCGTTCAATGGTTGAGAAACAATGGTTTCCCCAAACCTCGCCAATGGGCTCCGTTTGTTTTGATGGGGGATAACGTGACATTTGATTTTACGAAAAAAGGGTAAGTCTGATTATAATGAGCAATTTTCTAAGATAAACTGATTAGCACGCTTAACTTGTTCAGTTTACCAGCTTATGGTCTTTTGTTTTTCGTTTTTTTTTTTGCTTCCATTCATGACCGTTAAGAAAAAGAAGTTGATGTTATCTTTGACGAATCGCTCTCTAAAATTGGCCTTGAATTAGAGTTTCTTTTGTATGCAATACACTCAGAAGTAATTACTCAAGGTCAGTACGATGCTAAACGCTATGACGATGAAGGTGACTTGACAAGCTGAAAAAGTTAGCTTTATCTTTAATAAATCCAAAAAAAAAATAACAATAACTCGACAATCTTAAAGTCACTTTCGTATTAAGCATATGGTATGTTCGACAAGTTTGGATAATCATAACCAATGACATTGAAGAAGAAAGTAAATTCTTTTAATGGAAATCTGTTCCGTTTACTTTTAAGTTGAAATAGTGACAAATATATAATACTTTTTTAGGAAAGAAGAACTCGAGGAGGACAACAACGAGGCGGAGAAGAAACAGAGTGACTACTGATTCTACAAAAAGATTCTTCTTCATGTACATTATCTTTAAAAGAACACTGGTATTACTTTGCGAAGACATTTTAAATTTTCTTTTTAAGTAAAGTAGTAGATTTTACGTGCTTTTGTAAGCAGGGTTTAATCGAAAGCTAGCGACAGTGAAAACTGCAAATTCAGCCGTTTGAACTATTAAGTAGATCAATAGGGAACTACAATAAATTAGGAAGGGAAAATTGAACGCAGGGAATTTGCTTGATATTTTAAAATGTGACAATGTTGGAAAAGTTTCGTCAAAGCTAAAATTAATCCTTGATTTACATCACCATGATCTAGTTCTCAATTCTCCAGTAGCACGCAAACGTAATCGTCAAAGAGTGATAACATCTGTTCGCACGTGCAAGCGATGATAACATCACAAGTTAACGGAACAGGGAAAAAAAGTGCTCAAATACTAAAGAAACAATTAGATAGAAAAGAGAAGAAACAGTGTGGAGATTTTAACGTAAAAAAGACAGAAAAGAGAACAGTGGGCCGGAAATTACCGCAAAAACCAAACAGCGTAGGGAACAGCGCGCCACATGATAGTTTAACAGTTAAACGGAGAAGGGAACAAACAGTGTCTAATATCATGACTTAAAAGTATTATTAAGAAACAAAGATGAAAAGAGTAACGGTATGTAAATTGTTGTGGTAAAATTAGAAAAAACCGATTGAACGAGATACTAATGCAATAGTCAAATGGAATTGTTTGAACAGTTCGTGGGGTATTAAATTGACAATCAGCCAGTATTCAGAAGAAAAAAAAGAAAAAACGCTAGATTCTAGCGCAAGAAACAAATATAAACTAGAACAAACAGAGGTAGATAGTAACTTGGAAATCAAACAGAGAAGAAAACAAGCAATGTGTTTGATTCTATCGCAATATTCAAACAGAGAAGAGAATGCATAAGATATGAACAAAACAAACAAACAGAGGAAAGGAAAAAAAAGCAGTGCGCAAAATATTTACAACAAACAGAAGGAAAGAGAACAATGCACTGGACAAAAACGTCAGATTGGAAAGAAAAGGAGCATTTATTGCGCGAAACATTGAAGTAAAACTCCATCAGAACTGGGAAGTGAAGAAACAGTGCGCAAGATACTGATGTAACAAATATTAAAAACATAGGCATGCAAGAGGTAATTTTTTTGGTTGGGTGGGCTGAGGTGGGGCACTATGTAACTGATGTTTTTATTTTTTTAAACTGAAGAAAAAGAACTACGAAAATGCTTCTTTACCTTAAGAGAGCGAGAAAAAAACTTCCAATTTACCTAAAATAAACTAACTTACAGGTATTTTGTGGTCTATCGTATGTCTGCTGTCTAAATAATTGCAAGCAAAAATAAACTGCACTGGTGCTACATACCGTTGTCTCCTTCGCAGCCATTGTTTAGCCATGTCACGCAGTGCCCTCTCTCATTAAGGAGAAAGCGCATTTGCATGACGAGACCAAACAACAGTTTGAAAGGAGACTATGCTTGCTGTCAAAGTCCCCGTTACGGGAGGACTAAAGCTAGATTTCATTGAACAGTTTAAAATTTTTGAGAGGGAATTTTGCAGGTGCCCCTAACGGGTTTCAGTAAAAGCTTGATATTCTGCTCTTTTCGCTCATAGTCAACGTGTCAAACGGACGTGTCCCAGGAACTGTTTCAACGATCATCGTGACTACTTTAATCGTAGCTATACAAAAAGATGAAGTAAGTAAATTTTTAAACGCACTAGGAGGAGCTGCAATTGTTAGTGGATTGGATGACGGTTTAGACGTGCAGGCATCATATTTCCCAAGAAATTTCACATTTGATTGAAAATCCAAAACCACAAAACATAATATTTTGTCGCAAGACTGCCTCAGGTGGTCTAGGAAGGCGGAAGGACCTTTTGACAAGACGTTTTACAAGCGTTCTTTGCGCGACCCGACCCAAACCTCCGTCCTTTACGCGTTTCGACCCAAGCCTCTCTCGGGTTCTTTTCACTCGGTCGCTACTGTTGCACCGTTTATTATTTTGCTGAATGCTTGAAATAGGCGCAAGAGTTCTTTGATGTCACTTGTTAAGTAGTACAGAGAATATGTAGGATATGTAACTTATCTGCACACCACTACATGTCAAATGAGGACCAAACTATGGTGAGAAACTTACTACAGAATTCGCATAAGTTTCAATCCTAGACCCGGTTTAAGAAAACATTTAGTGATATTACACCACAGCGATGTTGGGTATAGCTGAACAAATTTCATACCTCAGCAAGTTCTTCTTGTCATTTGTGTTACTTAGTAGCACAGACAACACGCTAGCGATGGTGTGTGCTGTAGCATCTGTCACACTGTCATCCTGGAGCACAAACAACAGCTTGGGAACCAAACTGAGTCGCTGCATCAGCTCAGCATTCCTCACTGATTCACTGGTGATATAAGTGCATTCTATTATTGAAATTGCAACGAAGATACGGTGATCTGAAAGTTAGCCAGCTCGATTTCGAGTCGGGAGGTGCAGATTCGAACCCTATTCAGATCATGGTATTGTCTTCTTGAGCGTATCATTTTGAAAACCTCTCACAGAGCCGACACAGAGTCTGCTCATAAGGCAACCACTTGACTCGTAGATTCCTAGGAATGACCAGCATCTTATTTCTCCCTGCCCTATCAGCCCTCAATCACACATTAGGGTCACGAGAATAAAAGAAATGATAACTTACTAAAGAAGCTCTTGATCATTACACAAATTCTCCTTGTCGGCAACTTGGATTTGGATGAATTTTGATGTTTGGATGAAATTAGTTAATGGATAGAATAACCTTAAAATCACTTCAGTGCATCAAGTGCAGTCCAACACGCCCCATAAAGAGACTTTCATTCCTTTGATAAAATAGTTGTAATAAATTATTAACAAACGTTTAAGGCAGAAAACGAAGAACTGTTTACCTTCCTGGGCCCAGGAGTTCCAGAAAATGTGAAAACAAGGACCGCTGTAGGTCTGTAGGCGCCTCACGCCACACCTGTGTTAAGTTCAAAAAGTCACGCAGTCAGTAAATCAGGATTAATGTCAGTATCTGAGCAACTACGCGCCTACCCCTACCCCTACCCCTCCCCAAAAACATTAACCCTTGATTGTTATCAGTCAGTCAACTCTCGTTGGGTTGGGGAGGGGTAGGTGTGTAGTTGCTCAGATACTGACATTGATCTGTACCTCACAACTCCACAAGGGAAAACAGCAACACTAACACGAGGCGAATTCATCTGGCCTCAGGTCAATAGTAGAAGATCAATTTGATTCTCGCGAGACAGGATGCACAACATAGAGCTCTTCTTTACTTCTTTCCTAGTGAAGTATCAACCCTTTCACCCCTAAGTGACTAACATCTAATTTCTCCTTACAGTATCAGCCCTGAATCGCGCATTAAGGTCGTGAGAATAAAGGAAATGATCACCAACTAAAGAAGCTCTTGATTGTTTAACAAATTCTCCTTGTCAGCACCTTAGGAAATGTATAGAGAACAGTATGGAGAATATGCATACTGATGTTGGGGTGCAAAGGCTTAATTGTCTTCCATAGAGCAAGTAAAGTTATCCATAGGATCATCACTTAAAAACCCTTTCTATTCACTCTTATTGATATTTTAGGTTATGGTTTATCATCACAGTATATTTTGTATTTTCCTTCCTGTTGCTAGTTTTAGAATTTTGAAGTTTCCTTCATTTTAATTCATTATCCATCTTGTCGGAAACAGCTAAAATATTTTACAAAGTTCCTTTCAAACTTTTTATCGGCATGACTATTCAACATCGGGACAAACTGCGACAGGTCTTAGTAGCAGATCGGTTTGTGCGCATTGCTTCTACAACAAGCTGCGATTCTTTTGTTGTAGCTATAATGCGCGCTAAAACTCTTTTGAATTCGTGCCACCTGTTTTGAAGGTTTTTAATTAGCCGCCAATTGAGAAATGGAACTAAGACGAGAAATTAAGACAGCATTGACAAAGATTTACAACCTTCATACTGCAAACTGTGTCTCGACCTTAAGTATGTCCACAAATGGGTACCACTCTGTTGCAATATGCCATATCTTTTGTTTATTACCTCTAAATCACAGAGCAAATCTTTGAAAGCCACTCGGTTGGGGATGACAGATGATTCCCTGTCACTGTCTACTGTGCCAACCAAGGCAAATGTTAAATGAAGAATATGAGTATTTAACAAATGTTTCTTTCTCCGGAGTAGCAACGCCAGGATCTGTAAAGAGATTTGAAAGCAATTTACCTCTTGCTTAAATCAAGTATAGAAGAATCCTTGAGTTCTAATTGAAAAGAAGCAAGAGGACTCAAAAGGAAATTGACTCGGAGGCCCTCTTGTACTGAAGAAATGCTTCAAAAATTGATCCAGGGTATTTTTGAAAACAAAGACTCAGCAACTTTCAACTGAGTGTGAAAGTAAACCCTCGCGACTGAGCTGCTTTTACGTAAGGTCTTCTAACGACTGAGGAAAACGCGTGCCACCTTCTTAACCAATCAAATACAAGCACTACAACCAATCACGACTAAGGCATTCGCGTTTTCCCGCGCTTCAGGCGTTTGCGTGAGTTCTGAGTTCTCATTGGATCCTGTGACTACACGTGACTAGCTCTCTTTTGATTGGTCATTGTGATTATTTTGGTCGGGTTTTGCGACAATCAATCTACATGCACTCCAGTACTTTCAAGAAATTTTCTTTTCCCTTGCGTAAGAGCATGCTGTAGTCATTTTAGGACAAGAGCATACAACTTTTCAAAGCTAGATTTTCACAAATAGCTTATCTTCTTTGCAAACCGTACCTGGTAACCTCTGGTTCTTTCCATGTCTATTCTCGCCGATGGATTACTTCTCAAAACACAACTAAGAGCCTTAACAGACGCATATAGCCCTTCAACATTGGTTGCCATAGCTACCAAACCCAGCAGAGCAGATACACCACCAATGCATTCTATCAACTTGGAGACTGGGTCTGGACAGAACGTTCGCACACCGGAGCAACCAATGATCACTGCACCAATGGTCCGCGCAGAACCCTGGAGATGGGCAGCGGTGTTGTGTATCAGTCGTACTGGTGTGGTGTTATCATGGGTCGAGAGTCCAAGCTGAGAGAAATGAAACACCATCAAAAGGGAGTTTTACTTCTAAATTTCATTTACAAAAACAAGTTTGAGCTTGTCCATTTAAGAGTGATACAAAGAGTGGTACTTTGTCCCACCCGGCCAACCGACTTAAAATATAAAATAAAATACAATGGCAAGACTTTAAGGGGCAGAACAAAACCAAGCAGGGTAGAGAGGGGATAACGCATTTAATCCAAGTTTTAATGCATAAATTAATTGTCTAAAGGAAATAATCATCAACTAAAGAGGCTCTTGATTATTAAACAAATTCTCCTTGTCAGAGCCTTACAGAATGTATGGAGAACAGTATGGAAAATGTGTATTCTAATGATAGGGTATAGGGTCAGGAAGACCTTACCTCTCTCGCTACAGCCTTAGTATCGCTCCTTCTGTAATGCTTCCTGATCTTCGCCAATGTGAGAACTGATTTTGCGTGCGCATGGATACCAAACATGACTTTGTCTTCACTAACAAGTGGTTCAACACCTTCAGCACCATACTGAGGATTAAAGAAAAACAACTTCAATTGATTTGGTTAACTTTGTTTAAGGGCTTATAACACACTCCTATCATTCCTCATGGTCAAAAGTAACTCATTTCATTGATACACTAACCACCGTGAGTTGACCTTCGGGACACGGAGCCTGGAAACTACCGACATAGTTCGGCCCCAGTCTATACATCTCCTCAGCGGTTGCACCAGAAAGAGGCTCTTCTATGAGGTGGGTAGGGCCCAGTCTCCACAACAATCGGGAACATCTGCGGTAGCCTGGGTTGGGTGGGGTACCAAAATAGGCAGAAATGTAAGGAGCCACACTGACTACTGTGCCATCTGGACTGGCTGCGGCTGCCTGGACGTACTTTAACTAAAATAAGAATATTTCAAAACAATAGTTTAAATTTGTGCCATTTCTTAGGTTCAGCGAGGGCTTTATATCTCATCCAATTGGTCTTTTCATCAAAAACTTCAAACAAAGAAGTGAAAACTTTCTCAACAGTGTGGAATAAAGAACACAATTTTGAGAAGTTCAAGAGAATTCATTTCGCGGTAATATTCTCTACGACTGAGATGTCGATATTCATGCGTATTTTTATAAGTAGCGACACACTATTTCGCCGCTTCGAGCTTTTTAATCAAGAAATAGCAAATTGCAACAGAATTTCTCCTTATTAAAATTTCTCACATTATAAAGACATTTTCAATTGAGTTTCGAAAGTAATCTCAGATAAAATCGGTTTATCTTTCCTTTTCTCTAGCATTGATTCAAAAAAACTCGCGTTACTCTTTAGATCAATCAGATGCAAAACTATTACCAATCGCGACTTGGTCGCCCGCGTTCAGTTTTCCCGCGCTCTAGGCGGTTTCCTTGTTTTGACTTTAAGTTCTCATTGGCTCTTCGGGGTATTTTCCCGTCTTCTGATTGGCCGTTATGATTGTATTTTGGTTTTGGTCGCAAGATACCCAATCGGAAAGTGCTCTACAGTAAAATACTGCACTTACGCGACACGTGCTAACATGCTTCCCATCTACAAACAGAGCACACGTGCTGTTCCTTATCAGGGCTTTGTTTAACACAACCATCACGTGGTGCCAGCGGCCTTCCTCTAACAGCTGATCGCTTAGGAACCTGGCCTCTGTGCGTTCACGTTCACGATGAGCCTGCATTACTGCTGACTCGGTACCTTCTGCACAACCACCCTCATCCGTACAAACCTGTCAAGAAGTGAACAAGTCTATTGGGATCGAATTGTTAAGGAGAAACAGTTTTGTTCATAGAGGTCAGAAACACCGAGGGAACAGATAGTGGTTACTACTTTCTTAGCGAAGGGGACGTCTTAGATAATGCCTGTCACAAAGGAAAACACCAGGAGTGATAAATATCTACCTATTCCCAACAGTATCACCCTGAATAAAACATTAAGGTCATGAGATTAAAGGAAATGATCGCAAACTCAAGAAGAAGCTCTTGATTGTTAGACAAATTCTCCTTGGAAGCACCTTAGGGAATGTATAGAGAACAGTATGGAGAATCTGCACACTGATTTTTGGATGTAAAGGGTTTAACCAAATCAACTAAACTTACCACTAGCATTCTGTCTTTAGCCGAGATGCTGATGCTCAAGCAGGGAACGTTTGGGATTTTTTCGCTTCCACCACGAAACTGCCGCATGATTGTCAACAGCCTGACTGGATGCTGGTCTTCTGTGGTGTCACTGTACTGATCAATACACACCCATGATACAAATGTCAATCCTGCCTGGGGGGGGAACACTCTCTCCCCCACCCCTACCCCTGGGACACTGCTCACGACTGCGGAAGGGGCCATCACAGAGCTTACAGTTGCTAGACCTGCTAAGGAATAATATATATGTCACATGTCGAACAATGACAAACGCGGTGTCGTAACAGTTAGCGCGCTGGACCGCGGGGCGTAAGGCCTGGGTTCAAGACCTGGCCGGGTCCTTGTGTTATGTTTTGGGCAAACAAACACACTCTCCCCATGCCTCTCTCCACCCAGGAGTATGGAGGGGTATTGGCGCACTAACAGGGTAGCTCGAACAAATGCTAAGGGTTGGAGGGGGGGTAACCGGGGATGGACCAGCATATCCCATCCAGGGGGGAGGGGAGAGTAGCAATACATCCAGTCGCTTATGTTACAGAAACCATGATGGTTGGGACACTCAAAGGTGGCAATGTCTGTCCTTTAAATCTTGACAACTGTGTTTTGTTCTAGGCCAAAGGAATTTATTCTCCCGACCCAGTAAAACCAGAAGCAGCTCACCTGTGTAGACTTGCGGCGCAATGGCCGGCAAGAACAGACAACCAAACCCATCCACACTCATGTCAAACTCCACAAAAGATGGGCAATCTGTGGCACCATGCGCACGTGCATCTCGTGGGGTTGTCATGGAAACTACACACTTGACACGAGTGAGTGACACAGCACCCCCACCCTGGGTTCCACAAGATACTTCGTCATCATCATCCTTCTCAATATCTTCAACATCATCAGCTTCATCATTCAAAGCATTTGTTGGCTGATTTAACCCATCGCTTTCAATCTCCGAATGCTCTGGGAGATATTCTTCCATGTGTGAAAGTCTGCCTCTTAAGTCATCAAAACTAACTTCAGCTGCTTTAGGTGGGGTGTCTGTGGCACTATCAGCTGTGTCTGTGCTTTGCATTTTCTCGTCTTCAATGTCAGACACCTCTTCGATATTAGTCTCAGAATTTTTTCCTTCAGGTGATTGCTCTGCTGAGCTCTCGCTAACAGTTTCCTTCGTCTCCCCTTTCAAATCTAAAATGACCATATCCTCTCCTTGATCAATGGATGAAACTTCCTGCGCAGTGTTACCAATCGTGTCAATATCTACTCCGTCAACCTCCGCTGTTGGTATGTCTGTGGGCTGATCGTTGGTTTCCATAGTAACACGATACTGCTGGCCATAGGGAAGGCTCGTATCTAGATCGAGAGAATTTTCAAAAGAGCGTCGCGCAGAATTTCCTTTAGATCTTCTTGGTGGAGGTTGTGGCGGGGTATCTTCACTCTCTGATTTATCATCGACATCATCATTGTCCTCGTCAGTGCAAGGAGGGTTAGGTGAAATGTTCGATTTATGAACTATCAGATACTCGTCCTCGTCAGAATTTGATTCCACATCAGACACTGATTCTGAGCTTGGTTGTATCATACTCAGCATCACATCTCTGAACGTCAGAGTATTTGAGTGTGAATCTGCATCAGAATGTCTCCTACTAACAATGTCGGAAACCTTTCTAGGAGTTCCTTCAGAGACTTTTCTCAAAGACTCGTTTAAATCTTGGCTTTCTCCTGTTTTGTCTTCAGGAATTTCTTCAAGGACAGTTTCGTCATTTCCTTCTTTAGAATCACTTGGTGCCTCCAGAGATTGACAATAAAGAGGGGAACCCAGTCTGAGAAAATCCCTACAATAAACAAAATATCGTAATATGCTAAACTCCGGAAATAGCTCTCTGATAGAAATGCCATTCGGGCATATGGCAATGAATGAACTTTATTTCACCCCAGAGTAAGAGTGGGGTGGGGTGGGGTGGGGGGGGGCAGTAAGGATAGAGAGCAGACTTTACCTCTTTATTATCTAGAACCAGAGGTGTATCCAGAAAATTTTGAGGAGGGGGGGTCCAAAATCTGATTAAGTAAACACCTATCTTTATTTCAACACTACAGCCTAACTAAGCTGAGAAATATTTCTTTCTGAGGAAACTTTTGATAATTCAAGTTGAGTAGTAATAAGCGATCCTTTTGTTGAAAAAATTTTGGTTCCATACAATTAGTAAAAATACACTAAGGTTTATGGAGGGGGGGGGTTGGGTCTGGATCCCAGCCCCTCCCCCTGGATTCATCTTTAATGGAAAAAAAATTTAGTTTCAGACAAGTAGCAAAAATACGCTAAAACGGGAGGGAGGGGGGTGGGTGGCTCTTGACTCCTACAACCTTTTCCTGGATTCACCCCTGAGAACAACGCTTTGTTTAAACCTACCTCAACACTGTAGGTGTCAAGGACTGGGAGGCCAGTCTCTCAAACATTCTTTGTAACGGTGCATGTAATGGATGTTCTTCTGTGACCAAAGCAGCCTCACATCTGTCAAGGATCTGCTGCGGCAGCCCTGCTTCACACATGACTTGCAGGTTGTGCTCACACTTCAAAAGATTCTGCAGATGACAAATCCAGTACAACTGTAGCTCTAAGCATTCCTGCAAAACAAAACCAAAAGGTGTTCTCCTCATTCTTTGACCCATGTACAAAATTCCTTCAGTTGATCCGTTCAGGTAAGAGTGGTCTTGAATAGCAGTGCTCCAAGTTGGAATCATTTTTGTCACCATGGCAAGTAGAAAAAAAATTGTACATAGAATAAGAGAGATGGTGAGTTTTGAGCACGGTAAAGAAATAGAGAAAGATGTTTTTCATCCTTTCACGAGCGTGGGACAAAGAAAAAACTCTGAGTTCCCATGAGGAATCGAACCTCAGACCTTCAGATTCTGCACTCTGATGCTCTACCACTGAGCCACAGACTCTACAGTATGCAGAACATATGTTATATGAATTTGTCTCACACTCATGACAAGAGGAAAAACATTTGTAGATCAAATTGTAAACTGATGTTGCCAGTTAAGAAGGAGGCAATAACATTATCATTATTTAATTACTATGATCTTAAGCTAAAGAAATTTGTGTAAAATATTTTTAGTGCTCTGTTGATGCATTTTTCTGCTTTGTTGTCTGATGTCTGTGAGTTCAATCTTGAGGTGTTGCACTAGCTTTAAAAAGCCATTGATGGCAATTTTAAAATGAAAATTACAAAAATTGCTACTTTTGTAAGGCAATTGACAGTGAAAGTCCACGAGGTTTTGAAAATCTAGGCTTAGTTCATCCACAGAGTCAACCCTTACCTCTGATGTAGCAGTGCCATTCATTTTGGAAACAGCTGGAAGAAGATCAACAGCCGCTGTTACTGCACCACCATGATAAATATATGGAACACCAATACCATTTCTCCCTGTTTGTGTTCTGGATGAGTCCACTGGTAAGATCCCACCACTCTTTAAACCAAATGAATCTGTAGCCATGTCAAAAAGGTTCTTGAACATCTCATTGGCTGCATACAGCACCGAAACTGGATCAAGATCCAAAGGGTCTTCAAAAACTAATGTCATTGATGATCGGACTGAGTCCGCACTTGCTCGTGGGGTCAGCGGTAGGTGTTGGAGTGATTGCGAAAATCGTCTCTCACAAAGTGTCCATTTCTTTTGTTCTTCACCCACACAATAAGGTGGAACATCAACGATGTCCATTGAAAAGCAACCCAGTAAGCGTATTGTGTCTGAAAGCCCTCGGAATCGGATCTTTACAAGTGAAAAACAACAAAATCAAATATCTAACCAACAACCTCTCCTTTTCCTGGAAATAGGCTCATATATTTGTTTCCAAATAAAAACTAATCACCGAGAAGGGAAAAGTTTCCTGATAATCTACAAGCGAAATGATGCATTTTGTGTCATTCGTTCCTTCAAATACATTTCACAGCCAGCACAACAAAACATTTAAAAATAGCTTACCATCACAAACAGACCAGACTTTTCAGAGCAACTTAAACCCTTTATCTCCCATGAGTGACCAAGACAGAATTTCTCCTTACAATATTAATACAATATCAAGGAGACAAGTAATGAGAATAAAGAAAAATATCAGTTAGGAGATTATAAGTTGATCCAATACCAAATTCTCCAAACTGACATCACAAGAACTGTATAGCAGACAGTAAGGAGAATTACTAGTGAGATCTTGGGAGTTAAAGGGTTAAAAACAAGCATTTTTGTTTCTTGTTCTGTCACAGCAGCAAAATGTTCTCCTAACTGGAATCAGCTATATGTTTAATGGATTATAATTAAGGATAGTCCATCCATTCTTAAAGTGATGATCAGTATCATTAGATGCATTGAAAAAATTAGGAAATTTTACCTCATCCATGAAGTTCTTGTTGGCAGGATCATCTTGAATGGCAGCTGTCAAAACATGGAACACCGTTCGCAAGAGAACAAGAATCTGTTCCCGGTTAACTATGAGAATACATAGTAATCAACATCATGAATACAGAAGTTTTCTATTGAGTGTAAAAAACTGATATCTAATATGAGCAACCAATCAGAAAGGGATTTACATTATCATTAGCCAATGAGAACTCAAAGTGAAAACAAGCAAACTACTTGACACACATGAAAACATGGGTGATAAAGTCAGAATTGTTTTCGGTTTTGCATCTGATTGGTTGAGGGGATAGTGTGAGTTTTCTAGATCAATCACCAAGTAAAGTTAAGAAACATCAAAGCAATCCTGAATTACTTCAACATTCAATCAAAGACAAGTACATTAAAACAAAAAACTGCTACAGGTTATGTCAAGTACCATCAGTCCATGCAGGATTTACAGGGTCAGCCAGGCTTCCTTCCATGTTTATCAAGACAGACATGACGTACACAAATCCTCCAACTTCACGAAACACAGCTCTTGTTCTGGGATCAAGGTCAAACACTTTAAGCAGTGCATCTAACACATCAGTTTTAAGCTTCACCTCAGACAGCTGAGTTGAGTGCATCAAGCCAAGGAGAGTACCTAAGAGAAAAAAAAATTATGTCAGTAAAGATTCCAAAGTTATTATTTTTTATGTTCTTAACAATCACAGCACTTCCTTTTTCAAACAAATTACACAAAGGACATTGGGAAATGTGAGGACTCTCTTCTACCTCTGGAGAGAATCTCCATTCCCCTAGGAAGAATCCCTCTCACCTCTTCTCTAACAAGAACCTCCCCTACCCCCTGAGAAGAATCTCTCCCCATTGGAAAGAATCTCTCCCACCTCTCCCCTAGCCAGAATCTCTCCTCATCTCCTGAGAAGAATCTCTCCCCATCTCCTGAGAAGAAATCTCCCCACTCCTGGAAAGAATCTCCCCCTATCCCCTAGGAAGAATCTCTCCCACCTTCCACCTGGCAAGAATCTCCCCTACCCCCTGAGAAGAATCTCTCCTCACACATTTCAAAATGCTCCACTGCTCATGTACTTAAATAATGGCCATGATTAAAAGACTGAATTCTCCTCACCAAGATCATCATTTCCACCACTTAAAATCAACTCTCTGATAATCTTCAAAGACTCTGTCCTTGAGCTTGAGTATGGCACAATGTTGTGGACACAGCGAGCCCCTCCACATTCCCTGAACATTGTGGCATTTTTGGGGTTATTTTCCAAGAGTAGTCTTAGGCATCCCATCAACAGGAATGGAAAATCAGGGACATTTTCAGAATCATCATAACCATTCACATCCAGTTGGCTGATTGCTGTCTTGACTGTTTCTGGTTGAGAACAAAATGAACTCTTTCACATGATTCTTCCCCAAATTATGACAAATCTCCGCCCTTGTAATTACTAATTTTCTAATTCTTAATGAAAGAAATTCCATTTGACCTGCAGATTCCAGGTGGAAATCTTATTAAGATCTTGTATGATCTAACAAGATTCTTAATTAAGAGTCCTAATAAGAATCTTGGTCAGAAACTTTCAAGAATCTCAGTAAGATTTTAACCCTTTAACTCTTATGAGTGACCAAGACAGAATTTCTCCTTACAATATCAATAAAATATCCAGCAGACAAGTGCTGAGAATAAAGAAAAATATTAATTAGGGGATTGCCAGTATTAGTTGATCCAATACCAAATTCTCCAAACTAACATAACAAGAACTATATTAAAGTTCACACGGCAACCAGGTGGACAATCAGACATAGTTTGATGCTACACTGGTTTGTAGATTTAATGAATGTAACCGAAGAAGTTACGATTCATAGACCCAATGTTTCGACACTCCTGTCTAGTGCCTTCATCAGGGGTGATCTAAACGCTGCAACAAGAGGTCCTTTTATATGATCACTAATTAGCGGCCTTTTTTCTGACGAGGTGTAAATAGGCGTCAGGAAGCAGACCGCCATTGTCACGATTTAACGATAACAAGAACTGTATGGCAGACAGTAAGGAGAATTACTAATGAGATCTTGGGAGTAGGAGGGTTAGTAAGATTTTCACCTGAGATGAAAATAATGCAAAGAAATAATCCTTGTAGGTGAGCTGCAATTAAACCCTTTACACCCTAACATCAGTATGTATATTCTCCTCACTGTCCTCTGTATATTTCTTAATGTGCTAAAAAGGAGAATTTGTTTCACAATCAAGAGCTTCTCTAGTTGGTGATCATTTCCTTTATTCTCCTGACCTTAACCTGTGATTTTGGGAAGATATTGTAATGTGAAGTTAGATGCAAGCAATTGCAGAAAACAAGCCTAAAAAAAAAATCATGCTTTGACAGAATTCAATTGTATGCCTCCCAGACACTAGTTGGGCCCTGCTATCGACTGAGTGAGAAAGCCACATTTGGGGGCAGGGCGCTTTTTAGAGGGGATTTTTATGGGCATAAAAAAAAGTCATCTTGGTCAACTTCTGTAGCTCCCTCTGCGTGCCTGCATTTTGACATCAACATCTGGGAAATATGACATGTGCTTTGTCGAAAAAGGACTGATCGCAGTGTTTGTACTGGCATATTTTGCCGACCAAAATTGTTGAATTATGGTCTCTCTAAACTTGAAACAGTCAGAAACCTGTCTTATTGCCTAACTGAATGTTTACTCGGCTTGATCACTAGAATATTTGTGGATTTTCATAGGAATACCTGTAAATAAATGGTTGAGTTTTCGCTTTCCAGCCTTACGCTTATGTAGTTCTGCAAATTGCATAATAACTTCCAACAATCATATTTAAATTATCCTTACCGTCATATTTTTCCTTCAACCCATCAGCATATTGCTTAAGACAGTTTGTCAAAACTTCTAAAACTCCTACATCCCTGAACACATCTTTATACTTGGGATCAAAGCTCAAAATGCGAATAAGAAAACAAAGAGCAACTTGATGACAGCCAGAGACCCTATCAGAAAAAAAAAATTTCAAGGAAATAATTTGTTGTAAATAAAATACTTCTTTCTTTCCTCTTTTTCTTCCACAATGAAATTCAGACAAAACTGAACTCAGGTGATGTCATAAACAGAGATTGTTCAAGTACAGTTGAAGCAAGAGAAATAGGTTATCTTCACATTTTTTTTAAAGAAAATGTTATCTTACTTCTTGTTCTTGTAAAGAATGCTAACGGAGATCAGCTCCGGGCATGGTACCCAGTTGAGATTACAAATCACCAATTCCAGTAATTGAAAAATTCTTTCCTGTACTTCAATGTCCTTCTCTGGAGCTTTTTCAACAAATAAGGACAATGTATGCTGTGGTTCCAGAATGAAAAAGTTTGCGTTGTCTGAGCGATAGATGTTCTTGATGCAATCCAGGATATTTAGACAGAGGAGCTTGTCTGTTGTCTGTAAAAGAGCAAGATCTAATAAGCCTCATTCATTACATGGTGGAATGTTATCAACAAAAGGATTGCTCAATGCTAGTTTGAAACTGCATACTGAAATCTAAATCTTTACCTTAAGGAACACGGTTTGCAGAACTTGAAAAGCCTCAATGTTTCTAACGCTACTGCCTGGTAATAAAATTTACAATCATAAGTTAAAATATTTCACTCTATGTATAAACTATGGTATTTTATAAGGATCTCAAGCCCTGAGAAAAAGCAGTAACAGATACAAAAGAATTGAAATTACACAACATACATAAATATGGAATAATAATAATAATAAAACTTTATTTAAACACAGCAAATATTTAAAGGTAATGTTAAATATAACATAAATAATATTAATAAATGATAATATTAATAAATTTATCTAAAAATATAAAATATATACCTATTAAATAATAAAGCAATATATATCTCAGATATTGCTAAACAGTGACTCCAAATCCAAAAATTACCCACAAAAACCAGTTAATTGAAATTGATATGATAGAACAACTGCCCAACAGTGTCTGATGGTTAACCCTTTAACTCCCATGAGTGACCAAAACAGAATTTCTCCTTACGATATCAATACAATATCAACCAGATAAGTGATGAGAATAAAGAAATACAGACTGTAGGCATGGAGTTGAACTTGAGACACCCAAGAACAAATCCAGAGAGTAACAGAGTTAAAATATTTAACCGTGGACCACCAGATCACAAGCCCAGCCCTCTGACCACTCTGCCACACTGCCTTCTTAACTTTGATCATGACTATACAGAGGACTACAATTACCTCCACCAATTGGTTTCGGAATTTCAAATTCAGGATCCTGGAATGGGGTACCAATACTGACAAGAGGTCCCAATGTGACATGACCAATCATGACTAGCGATGACACAAGAAGAACAACATTCCTACAGGCTTCACGAGCTTCATTCTCTGTCATCTCTCCTAGCATTAAAAGCAGTTCTGACAGGAAAAGGTAGCCATGACAACTTCGAAAATCAGCCAATAAATAATGAGAAATTGCTGATGAGTCTTTGAGACAACAAACCAGTGTTACAATCATTTCTACCAACTCCAAAGGATTCACTTCTTGGATTTTCCGCATGTTCATCAGACATTGTTTAAAGCATGACTTGCCTAAAAAAAAAAAGGACAAATGTTTACATAACTTCCTTTGACACAAATTTAACCATTAAACTCCTTTGAGCAATCAAAATAGAAATTCTTGCAACAGTTACAAAATCAATGCAATATCAAGCAGACAAGCAATGAAAATAGATAAAAATACCAGTTAGGAAATTTCAGTTGATCCAATATCAAATTCTCAGAAGTAACATCATAAGGATTATATAGCAGACAGTAAGGAGAATTGCTTAATGAGATCTTGGAGTGAGAGAATTATTTCAATCCACAACATTTATTCCTACTATATGCTTCATTTTTGCATGAAAATGATAAATTCCTATGCTCCTTAAAAGAAAAAAAAAATTAAAAATTTTTTTAAAGATTTTATTATCTTAATTTATACATGGATAATCTCATGTTATCAATGACAAAATTCTTTCTTCTCAAAAACAAAGCTATGTTTCCCATTTTAAGGGGGTGCATGCATTTGTTTTGTTCATTTAGTTAAAATTTGCATTTCCTCATTCAAGGATTATTTTATGTAAAATCATCTTATGTTTTCAAAATCTCAAGAGGGTGTCTGAATGGGAGACATATTTAAAATAATTTCTGAAAATAACATTCACTGATAAGGAAGTTTTTTTGATGATAAAGAAAAACATCAGAGATGAAATACTAAGGGTATTTTCTTTAACAGTTTTTCTTAAAGGAAAAAGTGATGCCACATTTTCACACTTTTTTTGTACCATCCCATTAGATATTAATTAGAAATTAATTTATTTCTGACTGTTTTGATCAGCATTTATTTGTTTATATTTTACTGAAATGACTCTGGTGAAACTTCTTGTACAAACACTCATTTTATATATAGTTTATGTAAACTGATACATCAAAAAATTTCCTCTTCTAATTTGGTCTCTTTCGTGGAAACAACAGCTTAAACAAAATGAAAGAGGATGAGAAAAATATATTCAAATCAGATTGAAAGATTGTAACTTTCTGAGATCAAATCTTCAAATCTAAAAATTCAATAACTACATGTACAGCTAACCAAACGCTCTTGACTCGAAACCGACATGGCCACAAAAACAGGTTTAATTATTTAAGAGAAAAAACATTTTGATCGTCGTCAAAACAAGTTAGAAATTGAAAGAAGTAATAAAAGAAGCTTCTAAAGAAAACAATACACCTATTAACGACTGGCACGATTTCAAAATTATCTGCTAATCGATGTCTGCAATTGGTTTACTTACTGTGAATATAATGCACTACGTCTCGGTCCAAACCATGGCGAGTTAAACTCATCAGAATCTCAGACACACAGCTTCGCCACTGTGCATTATGTTTTGGGATCGGGCACGATATTGCAGTAAAGAGCAACGCCAGATCGTCTGTGTGAACAAGTTCCCTGGAAGTCGCGTGATAATTGCATAATTTTACCAGCACTTGAGTGTACAACTTTTGAATTGTTATAGCATCATCTTCCATATCTTCACTACTCTTGTCACTAGTTTGTTCTATTGGGGGTAAATCGTAGAATAAGTAAAGACATTTGACCATGTTTGAAGGCAAACTCGCGGCCACCATGCATTCCACTACTGGGGTATCTGCCGAAGCAAGAATATTCAGCGTGTTCAACAGAGTCCATCCAGATACAGTATCCTCCGCAGAATCACGCATAAGAAATTCAATGATCATTCTACTAGCTGTTTCTTTTTTTTGATTCGCTGCTCTTCGTCGAATTTCGTTCACCATAAGCCGAGAGACGTGCGCGGCGAATTGACAAACATCTCCAAATTTCTCTGTTATACAACTGGGTTTAGCGTGGCCGAACACTTTGCAAAACAAAGGCAGCATCATATACAGCTTAGACTCTTGTTCAGGAACAGTTAGTGGCACAGGTGAATGAAGGAATTCCATGAACAGCTTTCGTAAATGTCGCAACGATAAAGCTTCATCTTCGCTCGATTGATGAATGTTCGGAACCGGTCGCCCGGATTTACCAACAAGCTTTCGAACAAATTGCATTTTTGCGATCCTTTTGGAACTAGAGCTAACACTTCAAGGTTTCTCTAGTGTTAAGGGACCCATGGTTATAAGAACTAAGCGCAAATCAAGGCCATCAGCCGAGATTTTTCATAGAAACCTCACGAGTTTGTATAACTGTCCATTTTCCAAAACTTCCCTATGTTCATAATTTCATGGGGATGCCCGCTGACTGGACCGCTGGCTGTGAACTACCTTACGACTTTTTGTGCACTGTTATACAACATAACCAAGCTCAAAATAATTGATTTTTCGGAGCAATATTGTTATGAGTGCTGATAACAAGATGCTTTCGCCTCACCGATTACTCATAGTCGGTGCAGGGCTAACAGGGTCAGTAACAGCTTCCTTGCTGCGCAGAAAGTTTCCAAAGGATGCGTTGAATATCACTTTCTGGGAGAAATCTCGCGGAGCAGGGGGGAGAATGAATACCAACAGAAGCGCAAGTGATTCACGCTGTACGGTGGATCTTGGAGCACAATATGTAACAGCGACACCGGATTATTACAGATCTCACGAGAGGTACACTGACTTTCACATCCTCTTAGGCTGAGTAAATAGTATGTCTAGCGGCAGTTAGTTCGAATGGAAGGCTGTTGCATAACCACACCAGGAAATGAATCCTTTACATCTGAGCATCGATTAGTGCGCTAATATTCTCCATACTGTTCTCGGTACATTTCTTAAGGTGCTGACAAGGAGAATTTGTTTAACAATCGAGAGCTTCTTTAGATGGTGATCATTTCCTTTATTCTCATGACCTTAATGTTAGATTCAGGGCTGATATTGTAGGGAGAAATTAGATGCTAATCAACCTTAGGGTCCGTTGGGTTAAAATAGGTACCCATTGGAATAGAATAGCCTGGATCCATATTCCCTTGTATATGAACACCCTTCTTTGAACTTGCTGAGTGGTGAAATACTAATAAAGAGTATTTATAGCTTTTCAAGAGCTAATGTAGTCCACTGCCATATTTGCCGTGCAATCCTTATTTGCTGCAGGGTAGGTTGAATCAGTAATACCAAGTATGGCACGGGGTTTAATAGAAACCAGTTACAGATAGTCTACTGCTGCTGAGAAAACCTCTTACCATTGTCTGATCAGCTTTCAAGCAGGCTCTCTAGTCTGAGTTTTGCCTTCCAGTCCCTTTTCCAGGCATAGCGACATTCTACACTATCAATGGTAGCATAAGGAGAAAGTTACTGAAACCCTTAAATGGTACCCCCAACTAAAGTGTACCACATCTCTGAATAATTCTTCAAAATGGTGTTTTCTAATCCACCAGACAATTTACCATCCTGACCCCACCCTTAACAAATTTTCAGCATGGCAGTGACAAATCCAACTTCCATTTGCCATTTTGGATCCTGATACTCCCCTAAAAAATTTCATGAGAATTGGTTTACAACACCCTTGAGCATTTTGGACTGATGGTTTTTCTTACGGTATTTCTTAAGCAGACTGGACTTTTCCCTACCCAACCACCTCCCCCCTCCCCCCTAGCCCTGATAGGTGATCCTCATTTTTGGCTATGGAGAAAGTTGTATTAAGAACAGTTCTCATAGGAGGAAATTTTATGGAAGTCTGTTTATCTTTAACTTCCTTTTATATTTGACTCAGAATCTCAGCAGGAGATTTTCCAATACAAAGTGGCTTCAATAATCCCAGGGACTGGGAGGTTAACTTTCCCTTTTCTCTTCGATATCCCAGGGAAATGATCCTTTAGTGCACTGTGTGAGTTTTTTGTCATTGTTCAAGTCTTGGATGCATTATAGTTACTGTGCCAACTGAATAACTGTATTGCATGAAATAGTTCTCTTTAAACACATTTTCTACACATTTTGAACAAACAGGCAGCTCGTGATACCACCTTAGCAGTATGTGCAAGAATTTAATTACTCATGGGAGTCATCAAAATTTTGGTGGACAAATGTAGAAAATTTGTCAAAAGCTTTGTCAAGTGATCAGTTTTGAAAATAAAACTTTTTTGCTCCAGTTTCTATCAGGAACTGATATCAGCAAAAGTATTGGTGCCATTTAATGGATTTATAGAAGGAGAAAACAAAAAGGAAGGAATGAAAAACTTTACAGCACCGTCAGGGATGAATTCCATAGTCAAACATTTTCTGAATTCTTCGGGTAAGTGTGTAGGCGCAAGAATTTGTATTATCATTTTTTGTTAGTGTTGGTGTTTCATAGTTTCGTGTTAGGTGTTTATTTTCTCGTCTTCATTAGTGTCCTTTGTCAGTTACCAGTTTTGTACTTGTTATATTTATTTGCATATCGTATATATATTGGTTGCACGTAATTTATTTGGTTAGTTGTCTAGTTTGCGAAAATTATCGTTACATATCTAGCTCTGGGTTTCATGTTTTCGTCTTTGGTTTGGTCACATTCGTCTTGTAAGTATCCTTGTTTATTTCGCTTTGTCGTTTTCCAGTACTTTCACTCATACGATGTAAGTTATTTTATGCTCATTCGCGTGTTTGTAATTTTGTCATTTTCAGTTACCGTATTCAACAATGTGTCAAGTTTGTTCTAGTAAAGTTTGAAATACGAGTGATTAGCGTTTGCGGCTATAAAGTGCAAATATTATTTGAATTCAGCACAAGGGAGGGACTGTTACTTTTTAAAAGTGGAGGAGTCTGATTTATTGCATCAGTACTTCATGGCTCAATTTTGTTGCCCAAATTTGTGCATCTTTTGCTAGTTTGCCTAAGGCTTTTATTTTCCTTGGGTATTCTTTAAGCATATTTCTCTGTCTCTGTATGGACCTCACCCAATTTCCAGCTGTGATGGAGGCCTTCTGTCCTGTTGAACTCAAAACAGGCTGAAAATCAAGCCTGCCCCTCCCCTTGTAGTGAAAATCAGAATCAGCCTCACAACTTAAGTTGTTCAACAAACTCTCCTGAGATACTCTGTAAACACTTGAGAGTGTTTAACCCTTTACACCTTAACATCAACATTCATATTCTCCTTTCTGTTCTCTATACATTTCCTAAGGTGCTGATAAGGAGAATTTGTCTAACAATCAATTTTCTTTCGTTGGTGATCATTTCCTTTATTCTCATGACATTAATGTGTGATTCAGTGGTGATATTGTAAGGAGAAATTAGATGCAAGTCAATCTTAGGGGTTAAAAGGTTAAAGCAGATTAAGAATATTATGAAGTCAACTGTCATGGAAAAAGTTGTAGGTAAATTCTTACCTTTCAACCTAGTCCAGCATATTTTGACAAATTTGCAACCAATACTGAAACACACTTAACCCTTTAACTGCTAGATGTGATTAAAATGTAACCTCTCCCCATAATCTCCTTACATTATCAAGCAGACAGGTAGTGAGAATACTCAAACTTATCAGGTAGAAGTTTTTATCTTGATTTAACACCAAATTCTCGTAAATAATTTCCAAGGAGATGTCCATCAGCTAGAGAGGAGAAGTAACAATAAGATCTTGGAAGTTAAAGGGTTAATGTTTATTTTTCTACACTATTTCAGAATCCAGCGTTTTCTATGAAACTCATTGCACTGCAATAAACAGATTTGAAAACCCAGAAAACATCAGTCAAAGCGCAAAACTCTGGCTAGTGACCGACTTCAAGGACAACACAAGTGAATTCGATTCCGTTATTGTAACGATTCCTACACCACAACTTTTAAATCTGAAAGGTTCCATTCAAGATTTCCTCGAGAGCCAACGCTCACTCCTGGAAGCCGTACAGTATTCTTCGCGGTATGCCGTAGCCATGTATTTTGAACAAGGAGTCAAAATTGACGTGCCGTGGTGTTCCAAGTATGTAACAGGCAGTCCGTGTGTACGGTTTTTATCCGTAGACTCGAGGAAAAGATTTGGGAAAGGTAAATGAGTTTAAACCTTAAAAAAGGTCTTGAACGATGTAATTTTTGAGAAGCCACGCTCATTACTTGAAGATGTCAAGTTTTAAAGTTTTCCAAAATTTTCTTGTCGGGCTGACCTTACTCAGTCAATAAGTGTTGTACAGAATATTTTTTTTCTTTTGGCTGGTAGCACGTGAGTCCGTACGGCTTTTTACGGCCCCGCCTACGCTATCATATACGGCCCTTGTTAGATCTTTGATAAAGTGCGCGCGGGGCTGGATGCGTCATGACGATGAAAGCCATTGGTGTACACCGAACTACAAAAATTACCAACATTGTAATCTCTCTTTCAGATCCCGAAGACATAGGCCCATCTCTCCTTGCACACACAAGCGTGCCATTTGGAATAGAACATTTAGAGATGGACATGAACGATGTTAAAGAGATTATCATATCACACGTGAAACAAATACTTCCCGACCTTCCAGAACCCGTGAACAGTCGCTGTTTAAGATGGCGGTATTCTCAAGTGTCACGCGGTGTTGATGGTTCTCCAGGATGCATTGCGTTGTGTAACTCTCCGCTGCTGGTTGCTTGCGGTGATGCGTTCTCTCACTCGAATTTCGATGGTTGTATAGACTCAGCTATGTCTGTAGTAGACACATTTTGCAAAATAACATCCGTTAGCAACCTGTAGGTTTTTGCAAGGTGGTGGATAGGTCATGCTGTGCGCGTAGCGTGACAGAATTTTCGTCAAATAGTCACGTAACGTTCCTTTCTCCTGTGGACATAAGCGTAACCTGAGAAGTCAATGACGATTTCGAGCTGGTGCAAAGGATATGGGCTATTTTTTATTACAGAATATGAAGTCACTGTTAGATAAGCAGATTGACTTAATCCTGGCGTTTAAATCTAAGAGGGCCACGACTGTTGTAAGACAGCCATTTATACATTAAAGGAGTTGGAGGACTGATTGGTTCCCAGTCTTCTTTATTTCGCCGTCCGCACGGTAGCGAAAAGTGTTATGGGTAAGGTCGGTTTTTCTCTCTCTCCTTCGTATCAACCCTTTCTTTTCAATCTCTTGAACTGACGTGCCGTGTGCTACAAAAGGCAACTGGGACGAGTCCGGATGCGAAAGCGCAAAGTGTTTTGGGTAATGTTGTATACGGGAACGAGTCAGGATATAGATTTGTTCTGCTTTTTATAAGGTGTGACTATAAAAACTAAACACTGAACAAATTAAAGATGTTGGCGCATCTTTGTTGGGCTGCAATGAATACTGAATGACAATATATTTTCTAAAATCAGACTTTTATTTCCTAAAAGTGATGCAGAGTTATTGTTGTTAAAATTGATCGCATGCAGTGACTTGCAGCAATACTTTTCATTATTAAAGATCCACTGTACTGTAAACAATATAGCAGGTTGAAATCAGACCGCATCGAAATTAACCCTACACACACTGACATCAGTATGCAAGTTCTCTATACTGTTCTCTACACATTTAGTTGGCACGAGAATTGTTTAACAATCAAGAGCTTCCTGAGAGAGCGATCATTTCCTTTATTATCATGACCCTAATGTCTGAATCAAGGGTGATAATGTTTAAAGAAATTAGCTGCTTATTAATCTTAGTGGTTACAGGATTAAATGAGATTTAGATGCTGAGTTCTACATTATTTCCTTTCCAATTCTAAATATTGCAGAGTAAGGGGTTAGTTTGAGTCGTCTAAAAAAGAACTTTCCTCAGCAAGGACTCAAACACTGGAAAATTCTTTTTCACAACTCACTAATTACTTGCATCATGTAATTCTTTATGGCTTTCCCCTGTAATTCTACTCCATAACTCTGACATGAAAACAACGTCACAAAAGATCTTGTTCCTAGGCCTTTGCTCACCATTGGAAGACAAAGTTTTGGGGAAAGAGTGTGTGCATTGGTCAGCCTAACTATCTAAAGCAAGTAACAGGGGTCGCTATTTTGGAAACTTTGCAATATCTACACTAAGGAAAGAAGTACAGATGAGAGAAAATAATTTTAAAAAATCAAGCTCCTCTCCATTTCCTGGTCAATCGAAAGTTGATAAAAAGGCTTGGATCAATGTCAGTATCTAAGCGACTGCATACCTACCCCTCCCGGTATCAGTTGACTTTTGTTGGTTTAGGGGAGGGGTAGGTGCGTAGTCACTCGGATACCGTCATTAACCCTTTAACATCTAATTCTCCTTAATGTCAACCAAACAATTCCTATAATGTTAGTTCAGAGAATTTAGTATTGGATCAACCAATTATCCCCAAATTTATATTTTTCTTTATTCTCATCACTTGTCTGGTTGATATTGTATTGATATTGTAAGGAGAAATTCTGTCTTGGTCACTCATGGGAATTAAAAGGGTTAATTCTAAAGTGTTATAAAAAAAAACCATTGTTTTTCTTATCATACCTAATTGATAATAATACCTAAATACAAATTCCTTCTGTGTATCTAAGAAGTGTGATTAAAATAGCCTCATTTTCTATGGAATTAAGAGCAACAAAATAAAAAAAAAACAGGACTTGAGTGTCGCAAACGTGCAACGTCTGACAAACTCATGTTGCGATACTTTTGGAGGTAGTTACACTTCTTGTTAATTTGGTGATAAAAGCTCTGTACAAAAGTTGTCAAATGTGGGATAGAAAACAGTTCTCATGACAAAAACGGAACTAGAAGATAAACCCATCTTGTAGCAACTTATTCTCAAAATATATATAAAATCCATATAAACTTCAAAGTACCATGATCAATAAAAGTGTCATCTTTTCAGCTCGGACGGATAGCTATAGGGCGTTGTATAGCATGGGCGTGGTCTTGATAAACAGCTCTGCCATAGCTCCCATTAGAGAGGGTAGGGCATCACTGTTTCGACGCTGATCTTATCCCTCTAAAAACAAAACGAATAGCTTTATTTGTTTAATGCCAGGGTCGTCACCCCCAGAGGAAGGAGAGCGATTATTTAACGAAAATAAAAGGTTGAAAAAAAAATATTCAAATGAGATTAGAGGGCGACAAGACGCGCTGTGGGAAAACCGTAACCAGTAGATAACGCCTTAAAAATGTAGCCCGTGTAAACATGAACCAGAGGAAAGAGCACGTAAACGATTCAACATTGTAAACGGCGAAAAAAGAGAAACCACTAAAAGGAAACACTAATAAGAATAGGAAATTACGAGTCAACGGGCGCGAAACACATGACAACGAGAACGGTGACAAAGAATGGTAAAGGTGACAAGATTGCGTGACAAATTGAGTTGCCATCTTGGATGCTAATCCGGTCATGTAACTGGCTCGTGCCTAATTTGCAAAGGAAATCCTAATCTCTGGTTGGCTGCGCCCGATAGATCAACCGTGTACCACTAAAATGGCCGTCGCCTGGAAGTTTAAACACAGGCAATGGTGACCGAAGCACATGAAAAATGTGAGGAAATGTAGCTACCAGAATTTTCCGAAAGTTCCATCAAACATTAGCATAACTCACCACTAATGGACTTTCTCAACGTAGTTGCCAGGAAAGGTTCCAAATGAATGCGTCCTTGAAGATGTGCCTACAAACCATCCGTCATCGCACTTTTCCAGAACGACTACTTCGTCACCTTCTTCAAGTCGAAGCTCGTCTTCGTTTATGGGTTCGTAATTGTACAAAGCACGATACCTGAAAAACAGTGAAACAGAGTAAACCGCAATAATTATCTTGGAACGCGCTCTTTCAATCACTTCACCAGCTTCAGGGCGCTGTATTACAACATACATGTGTCGAAGTCTGACCTATAGGCAGTAACAGCGGCGGTATTACCATACCTCTCTCCTTGCTCGTGTCCTATTGTGATTGGCTCATCAATTATTGCATGCGCGACCACACCACCAGAACTAAAACGAGGCTCCGCTGGCTCCTCGATGTACTTTACTAGCGTGTGTTTGGGAGGAGAAGCCTGGTTTGGATACATAGCCCCCGAGGAACTGGAACCAAATAAAAAAGAAACCTCAACATGGTATTCTCCGTCACCATAAATAAGTCATGAATTGGAAGATTTCCGACCCTTACCTTCTGGACTGCTGCTGTCTGTGATCATAACTAGGTTCTGGTCTTCCAAAATCCGGTTCCTAACATTTAAAAACAACTTACTGGTGACAAACTTCCTCAGAAATCGCGTCCTCACGGACGTAAAAATTCTCACAACTAAAATTCATAGACAGCTATTGAAACCAGCAAGGAGAATTTACAAGTCGACATGAAAAAAATTTTACTACCTGCTCCACACGGACTGACTGAACTGGTTGCACTTGTTCTTGACGAATGACTGCAGGAAAATGAAAGAAAGCAGTCGTGAATACCACAAACAAAACGTCCGGTCTGTCATGATTAAAAGATTAACTGCCAGCTCATTTTAATGATAAACAATCCCAAACGATCTTTAGGGTTGTCTTAAATTTTGACTAACTTTCCAAACACAAATACTGAAGTACGCAACGACAGCTTTACCGATCAGAGCGGACGTGATGCTTTTTCAACCAAACAGGTTTAAATAGAGCGCATGTCCATTGAGTGTCGTAAAATACAAACCAAAAAAATCTGAACCACCAATCACAATAAAGAAACACCAGAGTAGTTTTAAATTTGATTGGTTGATAAAGTGGCGTGATTTTTTTTGACCAATCATAGAACGAAGAAAAGCAAAACCAAAGCAGTTCCCGATTAAATTCAACAGCCAACTGACTGTTGCTCCAAAAACCAATTGTATGTGGCTTGACGAATTTTGGTAAGTGCTTCCCTCACGACGTTATTCATTGCTGTATCCGATTTCCACCAAACACCTTGCAGCCGTATTTTATTCAAACGAAAATGTATAGTAACCTGTCCCAACTTCTTAAAACAAAAAAATTTGACATAGTGAGCTGCCTCTTCAAGAACAAACATACCTTTAACTTCCGGTTCGCTAAAAACGTCTAAGTAACTTGATGGTACTATGCCTTTTCTATCACCAATTCTTCCTTCGTACCAGTTGGCGTCTACTTTCCTCACTAAAGCTATGACATCTCCCTGGAAGACAACATATTGTCTAGTCAGTCCACTTAGACCAAATGCGGAAAAGAAATAAAATGATAAAACTCGTTTCGATTGATAAAAAATCGTTTCGATTGATTGCGGTCAAAAAAGAGCCAATGAGAACTCACGGTTAAAACAAGCAAACTCCACAAAACGCGGGAAAATGTGAGTGACCAAGACGCGGTTGGTTTTTTGAATCTCATTGGTTAAGGGGTGGCGTGATTTTATTAGCCAATCAGGAACCGAAGTAAAGCAAAACCGAAGTAATTCCGGATTTCCCTTAGACACTCGTTTGGAAATTACTTGACTGGGAAGAAAAAATTTAATATAAAGAAATTTAATTCAATACCTTACTACAAGGAAGTTCTCTCATACTCTCTGCTTTAAAGGTGTACCTCAGCCGACCCTCCCCTTCTACAGTCACAGACTGCGTCACTTGCTGACTAGGCGGCCGCGGTTGAGCCTGGGTCTGCGGTTGAGCGTGAGTTGGAGGCTGATGCTGTTGCGGCTGCGCGCGTTGTTGTACAACTTGGACGCGCGGAATTTGCTTCTGAGGGACTGGGACTGGTTGTGGTTCGGGTTCTGGTTGTGGTTCGTCTTCTTCCTCTTCGACGGGTCTGATCTAAAATCAAAAAGCAAAAAACTGCCTAACTCTCCGAAGCGACATTCATACCGAGAAAACATGATCAATCATTCAGTAAGATCACGAGAATAAGGGTACCGAAGGAAATGTATAACAGTCTCGACTCGAGTGCGTCAAGGTAACAAAAACACCTTTGAAACGTGTTTTAGCTTTGGCGAGAAAGAGACAAAAGTTATCTACCTCCACATAATTTTGAGGGAAGATTCCCCGCCTGCCATTTAATTCTCCGTCAATCCAGTTCTTGTCCACTTGTCTGCGCACGTTGATTATGTCACCTTTTCTAAACGAAAGTTCCCTAATAGATAAAAAAAAAAAAAACAATTAAAACTTTCAGGGTCTCCATAAATGCACATTACTGAAAAAGCCACGGAATAAGACACATAACTTTTTTTTCAAAAACGAGAACCGTCACTATGTCTCCTACAAGAGTGCATAAAACTTTAATGCGTTAAGGACTAAATGTGTGGGGAGGGGTTCGAAGATTTTTTTTGGGGGGGAGGGGGTGGGGGTCACATGGTTTACAGGCAATAAATCATAACCTGTCTCCTTCAATTTTCACGTGGACTTACTTATCAGTTTGCCCCTGGAAGCTGTACAGAGCCCTCGCCAAGAACTGAGGTTTACTTGCTGCCCTCCTGGCAGCCTCCTCCTCCTCTTTTCGCTTCCTCGCCACCTCTGCCTCGTACTCTCTTCTCAGCCGTTCTTCTTCTTCCTTCCTTCTAAACCTTTCCTCCTCTTCCTGTCTCCGTCTGAATTCTTCCTCTTCTCTTCGCCTCCGTTCCTCTTCCTCCCTCCTCCTGCGCGCTGCATCTTCCTCTCTTCTTCTAAAGACTTCTTCGTCGGAAGGAGGCTGCTGCCTGACTTGTAGCTCTTCCGATGCAGTTCTTGACGGAACCTGGGCAAAACCACCACAAATAGGAATCATTATGATAAAAGCTGGCTCCCAAAGTGACCAAGATTAAAAGTTGAACTCTTTAGAGTGACTAGCATCCATCTACTCCTTTCAGTATTAACCCTAAATCAAACTTACATTTTAATCAGAGGTGATGAGAGTAAAGAAACTGATCGCAAATCTAAGAAGCTCTTAATGCTCGACTTTTCCTCCTTGTCAGTACCATGGGAAATGCATAAAGAACAGTTTGGAGAATATGCAACCTGATGTTAAGGTATTACGAGAATCCTGTATTGTTATTGGGAACCCAAGCGTAACTGATCTGGAGTTCAATCCTTTAACTTCCATGAGTGACCAAAACAGACCTTCTCCGTACAATATCATTACATTATCAAGCAGAAAAGTAACGAGAATAAGGCAAACTAGCTATCAGGGATTAGTTAACCCAATGACAGATTCTCCAAACTAACATCATAAGAATTTTGTGGCAACCGGGAAGAGACCTTGAGAGTAAAAGTAAAACTTGAGAATATCTGGTTTTATAATCCATTAAATATTTTTGCTCACGCTTGACCGCGAAAATAAAACTGTAAAACAGTCTTCCATTGAAAAGCTCAAACACTAGCCTGCAAACGGGAGGAGCGTGAAAAAAATCCTGCGTGACTCAAACTTCGTGCCCACCTCGCGCTTACGTTCGCCTGAAAACAAAACAAATCAAGTTACCGTTCTTCCCCGGAAGCGGCTCTCATACAGGCTGGACGCGCTGGGAGGTTGGTTCTTTTCTTCCATTTGAACGGTCACAGACGCTGGAGATCTCCGCTGATCAAGGTAACTTGTACGAGGAGAGGACGAGATATTCACTGAGGCGGGCGCCGCAGGCACAGGGTCTTGGAATCTTCTTTCTTCCCCGACACTCGCTGTCACCACAATGAGAGAAAACAATAATAATTTCGCATTAATTATACACCACGCACGTTAGAGTAGTATACGAGGACAGTTAGGTACACAGCCAATCAGTGAAGGGTATTGTGTACCACGTGACGCGAATGAACCAAGCATATGGTTGGGTAGGCATTAAGATCACGCCTAAGCGTTACGCAGTCACGCGCAAAGGATCATACTGTCATATGGATGCCAATCCGGCCATATGATTGGCTCATTCGTACCACCTGGTGCAAAATACTCTTCCCTGATTGGCTGTGCGCCATACTGGTCCCGTAAACTATTTACTAAGGAAGTGTTTGCCAGAGATTTTTAAGAGCCAACCACAAAATGGCAGTTTTAAGCGGTAGACCTTTGTCAAAGCGAAGCATCAGCGTTAAAAACTTTGCACGGTGGCCAATTTTCGTCATCAACTCGATTAATAACCAGCAACTTGTCTTGGTTGAAATGTGACAGGCGTACTGCAAAAGTTAAAAGTGTCTAGAGGAGACAGAAAGATGAACAGAGGATACTAACCATATGACGGCCTCTTTTGAACAATGTAAGACTCCGGTTCTTCAATCGTTTGAACTGGAACTTCGACTCCCTTCTGCATGTCTTTGTACCACGCCGGCACATGACCAGTACTTGGTCGAGAAGATCTTCGTTCTCCACCCGGCTGCCACGAAGCCCTCCTGTCAATGTCATTACTGGACCACGCTGGTTCAGGTTGTGATGAAACACTGCTGGTGTAACTATTTCTGACTGGTTCTTCGTGTACGTAATCTGATTTTCTGAGAAAAACATCATTGTCTCTATGATCCGGAGACGGAGATGCACTCCTGGGTGGAGTCGAGGAACCAGAGCCACCTTCGTGTTCCCTGACAGTTCCCTTGGCAACGTCACTTGCGAGTAGACCAGATAAATTTGAAGAAGCTGGTTTAGGAGAGATGAAGATTTTAACATAAACTTACGAACAACAGTTTTTTATCCTATGGATATCGTGCAAAAGCGCTATTGATGAAGACCTGCTCTCAGACTAGAAATTAGTGAATGGAATCCCCGTATGTATTGTGCTGCAAAATTTGGTTTTAAATTCTTACTGAGAAGACAACACTTACTTCCTGCACTTGAATGCATTTCCTTGAACATTTCCTTGTACCACTTTCCACCCCTTGTGATTGACTATGAAACAAAACAGATGATAAACCAATAATATATCAAAACCAATTAGTTGCCGTCGCCAAAACAATAATCGGAGGCAACTGCGAGGGAAGTGTGGAGAGATCGCGAAAAGTGAGTCACGTGCGAGAAGAAGGACGCGAGAAACACGCACGTCTCGCGCACTTTCCTCGCACAAGCCTCGCATTCGCCTTCGCTCGCCTGAAAAAAAAACGCAAAATAAACGAAGCCCATTAAACAAGGTTGTGGGGTGCAGCTCGTCACAGCACTTGCGGTATGTTCCCTCCTCAGTGGAGCATCAACTGTTCCCGATGAGCTTCATCAGTGATCAAAGCAAACGTTTCTGGAGACTTACTGGTCGATGCGGTCCTGGCGGGGGGTTACCCGTCTCTGACTGTGTGTGTTCTTCACTGTATTTTCTGGGGGGCTTCATACGGGTTGGTGGTGCTACCTTGATTGGTTTCGGGTCTCTTGAGGCTGGAATACAAAGTACATGTTCAAGCAAAACTTATATGAGCAACTTTTAAGGCCTTAAAGATAATTGCATAAATCCACAAATACACCAGCGACAGTACACTGGACAAATTTCCCGCGCGAGGCGGGCCACGCGAGTTTCGCACTCCTCCCTCATGCGCGTCCTAGCCCTCGCACGTGTCGCTCCGCTCGCTCGAAAAATGTCAAAAAAATTATGCTCTTTCTTCAGGTCAGTATTTACCTTCCACAGCTGCGTGTTCCTTTTGTTTTTTAAACTGCTGCATGGCAGGTCTTGTCATTGAGGGAGCTGAATCAGAACTACTTGCATCGCCATTAGCCATCATAAACTCGTCCTCTGAGCCAATAGACCCTGATGTTAATCTAAAATGGAGGAAGCAAAATCAAAACCATGAGAGGGACTGGCCCGTGAAGCTGATGGTTTTGGATCTATGTCTGTATCAGAGCAACTGCGTACCTACCCCTCCCTTAACCCAACATTAACCCTGACTTGTTATCAGTTGACTGCCGTTGGGTTAGGGGAAGAGTAGGCGTACAGTTGTTCAGCTGCTGACACTAATCCAGGGTGTTTTCCCGTGCTGGATAAAAATAATGAAGGCGACAGAGATGTAAGAAAGATGAAGATTTGCCAGACAAAATCCACACAACAAACCAGGCAATGCAAGTTAACTAGAGACCATGTGAGACAAAATAAGTGGTTAACATGTTATCTACGACACTTATGGGACACCGTGAGCTGTCTGCATGTGCTCTCAAAAATGAATTGCATCGGACTGCGAAAGGTATTTGAGGCACTTAAAAAAGCACTTCCTGAGTTAATGTGACTGATGGTTAATCAAGAATTAGTTCTAATTAATTCATTTTTTAATTTTTCCATGAACTCATTTCGGTAGCTTAATAAGTTTGAATTTAAACTACAGTTACTTTTACGCGGAAGATATGCTCCTAGTTTTTCAAAGTTCCCTTTTTACATTTTATATTACCACAATATTTTAATCAGATTGATTTACACCAGAAAAAATTTTTGTTACTGACAGTACTAAACATTGATAAAGAAGATTCTGCCCAATTCAGTGGATTTTGAAAATTTATTGTCATTTATCAGAAGTGTTATAATGATTTTACATATATTTTTAAATTCATATTGGCTCATGACATGAAGGCTAATCTGGAGAAATGGTTTAAAATTGCAGCAAAACATTTACCAGTAGTTCTAAGAACAACCTGTAACTACAAAAAGGCCAGTTTGCCTTAAACAAAAGAAGCCCTCTTCTACAAATTACAGTAAAATGATTTTAAGACAAGGCAAGTTGTTTACGTATATATTCTGTGAGGTTGTTTGTTTACTTGATTTTATACCATAGTACTATACTAGAGCAATTTTTTAAATTGAGTGTCAGAATTAATCTAGAATTTGCTTTGGTTTTACTTTACTTTGCTTGGTGATAGAAAACTCGTTCCATCCACTCAACCAATCAGATACAAAATAATCATAGCTTTGCTGTTATCATTTTCCCACCCTTAAAGCAGTTTGCTTGTTTTCACTTTGAGTCCTCATTGGCTAGTGTTGATGTTGATCTATCTTCTGTTGGTCACTGCATTACCTCTGATTTTTGTTTTCTGACACTCAGTTGAAAACTGCTCTAAAACTACTTTCACAGAGAAATTTATGATTCTGTCTATATTTTAAATGATCTTCATACAATCCACATCTATTAATAAGACAAACTATTTCTTGTTTTAATGAAAAAAGTATGAAGGATTTTGAGTGCAAAATTGAGTTATGTAAGTTTGAAATGCATGCATAAGTTAGGGTGCAAAAAGAGAAATTTTCGTTAGATACTAACTGTTGATTAGTTCCAGCTCTGTCATCATATCTATGAAATCGTAGACAAGAAGAGGCAAATATGAAGAAAAGATTTAATCAGTAAATACTGCAGAGGATTCCCTTAAATGCTAAAGAGAAATTTTAATTTTTTTAATGCAAATCAGATCTAAAATGGAAGAGTAACATTAATTATTTTTCTTTTTATAATAGACACCATATTTTGAAGCTGATGATGATGATAATGATAACAATGACCACAATGATGATGTTGCAAAAGCTATACATAAATATAATTAACCCTTTAACTCCCATAAGTGACCAAGACTGAATTTCTCCTTACAATATCAATACAATATCAACCAGATAAGTGATGAGAATAGAGAAAAATATCAACTTGGGGATAATTAGTTGATCCAATACTAAATTCTCTGAACAATATATGAATTGTATGGTTGACAGTAAGGAGAATTACAAATTTGATCTGGGAGTTAGACAAATAGATTCCATGCTGCTGTATGTCTGTTCACTAATAGATCTCAGATGAGGTCAAAATGTGGTAAGAACAAAAAAGTGGCTGCCATGAAGAGTAGCCATGTAAGTGTGTGATTAACATTTTTATCACATTTTGACACCTTGTGTGACCTATTTCTATTCTTACCCAGCATAGCATGGAATTTATTTAATTTGTATGATAAAAAAGCAAAATGTTTATTATGGCGATATCATCTAAGCATCTGTCAAAATTGTTTAAACAATGTGTTATGTACATATATATAATGGAAGGTTAATTTTGGACCACAAGGAGAGGATATACTTCAAACTTTGTGTCAAAGAAGAATAAAAATTGGTCATGAAGTTAATCCTCTGTACATAATCCAACTGACTTGAAATGAGAAAAACAAACTTATTAGTAAGATGGTGTTATTTTTGACATACAACAAGATTCTATCAGCTCACTTGTGACAAATGTATTATAGTTGTTGAGGGAAGTTACACAATGTTAACAGAAGGACTTCAAAAGATTCAATAAATTTTTTTTTTATCCTAGGATAACAATTTACAACAAATACTTGCCTTCTTCCCCCTCGACCAATAGGGCGTGGTTTATCAGTGAATCCACGAGAGTCTACTGGTGCTCTCATCTGGGCACTGGGTTCTGCCAAAAAGAAGAAAGAGGAAAGTGAAATTAGGAAAAATAAAACGTCAGGGCTTGAGTGCAGACTTTACCTTCATCTGTGACAGGAAATTGGCTTTCTTAACCATTAAACTCCCAAGATCTGAATGGTAATTCTCCCCTCTAGCTGCAACACATTTCCTTGTAAATTAGTTATGAGAATTTGGTGTTGGATCAAGATAACTTCTACCTGATAACTTTGAATATTCTCATTAGCTGTTTGCTGGATAATATAAGGATATTATGGGGAGAAGTTTCATGTTGATCACTTCTGGGAGATAAAGGGTTAAGGACATGGCTCTTGGCTGCCATAAATCTCACAAGAGAGGGGTGTATAAACAAACTACAACCATGTATTCAGACAACTAGTTAGCGCACTGTGAAAACACTGTACCTGAGGATGTTGAGGAGCTGGATGCAGATCGTATTCCCTCCATACCATGAACTAACTTAATTTGCTCCGGAGGTCTCACCACTTCTGATATAATGTTAGGATTCCATTCATTTGCATTGGATGAATCATCTGCAGTAGAAACCAAGAAAAGCTAAAATTATGTGCACACTAAAGATCAAGATGAAAATTTCTACCTGATACATTTGTGTATTCTCATTACCTGTTTGCTGGATAGTGGTTGGATATTGTAGGGAGAAGATACATGTGAATCAGCTGTGGGAGTTACAGGGTTAACAGGTTGAAACATGACCTTATTGTGAGTCCAACCAAAACTTTTGCATTCTTGATGTAACCACATCTAACACTTGGCTGATGCAAACCTTCCACTCGTTAAAGCTTTCAACCATTTCCATCAAAGCATATTTTGCAATCTATAACTATCAGCTGACATGAATTTTTTTTTATGTTCCCCTTTACAAAGATAGCTAGTGCCAATCTACTTTGTGATGATTTTTTTTTATAAACAAACCTTTGTATGAAGAAAATGCATTTTCATTATTATTTTCTTCAACATTTCGCCATCTCTGAAAGTCTAAATCCTTTTTATCCCCTCCTCGTGGCATTGTTGCATAAGATAACACTTCATTTGAAGACGATGGCTTGAAGTTTGCTTTGATAGTGTGAGCTGTTCGGCCAGTTTCCATGTCATCTTTAGATTTTGATGAAGATGATGAGAAGAAACTGTTGTTTGTTGCAGTAGAGTCTGGAGATGGCATAGGTCTTCTAAAAAATAGAAAAAAAGTAAGAAAAAAACATTTATCAAATGGATTGAGTAAATTATCTGCAATAAAGAGAAATCGAGATGATGCAGTCTGACTCACAAGTATCTATGGTGTTCTTACAAGAGTAAGAGGGTCTTAAAACATAGACACACCACTGATTAGCCAATGAGAAATGGTTTCATTTTACAGTTTTAAAAAAAAATTCAATTTTCAGATTTTTCATTGATATGTTTTCCTCCAAATACTAAACCAAGATCAAACTGCATCCAACACAATATGCAGTCATCAAATTTGCAAGACGCTGAGCTTTAAAACAAAACTATCCTTGCCTACATCTTTCAAATACATTATACTTGAGATTTTAAACTAAGAAAACAAATTTTTTGGATCATCTTGCAATTACCAGAGAGTAATTTTAGTCTGAAAATGTACCACCTGAACTTCCAGAGGTGCAGGTATCTAACACACAGCCTCTTCTCACAATTTCAATTCACAACCAAGTTAACCCAGAAAGAAGAGCAAACAAAGGTATTGACCACAGGGTGCAAAAATGATAACACAAAAAATATTTTAATGAAACCTAATTAATCGATTTTAATTAGAAATTATTGTCTTACTGTGAAATGAAATCTTATTACTGACACAAGATAAAAAAAAACTGTGTAAATAACACTCACTCTTCATTTAAAATCTAACCTAAATAACTTTGTGTAAGGTTTGTATTATCTAAATTTTGTTTAAGAATCAGTGGCCTGTGAAAATGATAATAAAAGAAAGAGATATGCTAACCTATAAATTGCCACCCAGGTAGAAGACAATGAAAGCAGTTTGAATCAGGAAGTGGTGTTCTTCTACTCACATGAGTGACTGGAGGAGTGTATTGAATGAAAACAGAGCTAAACAAAAACGCTTTTGAAAGTGCACAGGGTGATACACAGAGCAAATAAAACGAGTTGTTTTATTTTACCTCAGCTTCACTGAAAATTGCAAACTAAAGTTGATGCAAATTCAAAGCCTACACAAATTGGAACAAATAACCACTGATGAAGTCTGGAAGCAGAATTTTTGGGTATAAAACTCTAATATAGCAACTTCCTAGTGATACTGAACATTTTCAAACAAAGCAAAATCTGTAGCCACTAGCGAATCTAAAGGCCACCTACCAAGCCACCAAAAGAGCCACTACATCTCTACATGAAAATTTAAATTCTCATAACTGTCTTCTATAAATTGCTTATAATTTAACTCTGAGAATTTCAAGTTAAATTGAAAAATATACCTTAGCTGATAGTTTTCTCATTTTCTCATTACTCTCCTGCTTTAATCCTTTAACTCCCAAGATCTCATTAATAATTCTCCTTACCATCTCCTATACAGTTCTTGTGATGTTAGTTTGGAGGATTTAGTATTGGATCATCTTATAATCCCCTAACTGATATTTTTCTTTATTCTCATCTCTTGTCTGCTTGATATTGTTTTGATATTGTAAGGAGAAATTCTTTCTTGGTCACTTATGGGAGTTAAGGGTTAAAATGTCGATAAGGTATTCCTCTTTAGCACTCAATACCAGAATAACAACCAAACAATTTTTTGTGTTTTGTTTTTTTTCTGTTATATTTTGTTCTTCTTATCCAAATGAGTTTTCAGCCTTATGAAGTCTTCTCAATAACCAAACATAAAGAATAACTCCGTCAGTTATTATTGAGCTGATTTCTTTTCAACCCAGAGGCAATTGCTCACTAAGAGCAATAGAAAAGAAGTAAAAGAAACCCTAGTCAATGGCATCCTGGTATCAATAATAAGAGGCTTCTCAAATCCAATGTGCACTTGCAAAGTAAAGTTAAATATTCTCCAAGTAATATGTCCAATTTTCAGAATATATATTGCACCATAAGGCTTCCTTCAAAAGTTGATTCAAAATGGGAGAATATTTTGCTGCCATTACAGAAAAAAGGGCAGAATTGTTTGTTCATTATAATATCACTCTAAAAAAGAGTCAGTTTTTAACAGCTATTTATAGTTCCCCACACATTGCAAAAAATATCTCACAGCATGATAAAAAAAGCCTCCAATTTGCTTGAAAATATTTTCTTGGACATCATCTGTTCCTTGAAGCTCAAAGGTTTCCCCTTGTCTGGCTTTAAAAACCCTGTTCCCTTCTTGGAACAGAAAATGTCACTGGTAAAACACCCAAAGGCATGCACATTTCCTAACTATCTGGAGACTACTGTTTACTATTTTTGCAAAATCATGCTAAATATCCTTTGATGATAAATTCAGGAGATATTCTAAATTCTCTACAGGATTGGGCTGGATATTTCACTTTTAATTGACACATTGATTATAAAAACACCCTCAAACATTCATATCATAAACAGTTATTAAGAAAGAAAACGGATGTAATTAGGTTAAATTGATAACAGTAACTGATAAAAAAAGAAAATGATACTTGTTTGTTTCATTTCTCAGTACATTTACAAGCCTACTTTTATGTTCCAAAGTAATCTTTAAAGAGCCATGCTTGATTTCAATCTGTAAGCCTCCCACTTTTTCCACATTTGTAACAGAAAAATTCCAAAAGCTGATCATTTCAGGCAATATAACAAAACATGTGTTTTTAACATCAAATACAAGAAATTCACATTGAAAATATGAACACACGCAGATAACCAAAGTGTCAAGCTTCAAACAATTTTCAAATTATGACAAACCTGCTCCCTACTGTGCACAGAGGCCTTGTATTTGGTGCAGTGACATACATGAACATTCATGTAAAAAGCACAAAGTACAAGTTTATTACAGACTTTTTTAAAAAAGTAAGTCTGCTTACTGCTTAAAAAATTCACTATACCATTGTGATAACTTTTATGAGAGCAACATTGCCTAAAACCAAATCTGATCACTAAATATGTATTTCAATAAATTTTGAGGCATCTTGATTAAATTATGTTGTTTGCACCAATATTTTGAGCTAATGAGACTTTATACCTAAAAAAAATTTATAGTACAGCTCTTGGGTTACAAAGATGTTCAGTGTTCACTGTCTGACAAGCCACAAAGTTGTGAATCCATATGAATGAAATATGAAATTCCCAAACATGAAATTTGAAAATTATATCATGTGAACCTCATATATCTTAAACAATCTGATAACCAGATTTTAACTGTAATGGATCACATGTACAATTTGTCTAGATTAAAGATCAGTCTAAAAATAATTTGCTAGTTAGGTGATCACAACAAATGGTAAAGGTTGTACAAATAGAAATTTTCTTAGTGAACAATAACAATGTCGTTGGGAGGCAATGAATGTATTCTGATGAAGATTAAATATATTATGCAAATTTCACATTTTGTAAACAATATCCTTGAATGGAAAAACAAATGAAAGATTGACTCTAAATGCATAATTCTTGTACAAGATAACTTGAAAATGTAAAGTATTGATGAAAAACGGAAAGCTTTCTAGTAAACAGACCTCAAAAAGCATAAAGAAAAGACAAAATTTAGGAATAAAGGTGAAACATTTTATGTAAATTAGCTATAGAAGGTAAAGTTAATTTCCAATGCACACTTCAAGTATAAATGATTACACACTGAAATCTATCTTGCAAAACAACTCTTTCGAATGGGAGTCAATCTAGAGTTTTATCCAACATGGGTGAGCAAGCAGTGTTTTAAAGACACAAACATACAGCTGAACTGCCATGTTTTAAACAAAAACACAGGAAATGGATGTTCATTTGTATGCTGTGAACCTAAAATATTCCAAAATGTAGTTTATTATTGGCAAACATTCTCTCTATTAAGAGCCATCCACATGTACCTGTATATCATAAAATCTTAAGGATGAATAAAAAACAATGTAATAACTAAATTTTACTGGAGGCACGTAGTGTATCATGACAGTTATTTCATCCTTCATGAAAACACAATTCACTGTTACCTGCTAAAACTGAATGATGCTCTTGTCACAACTCTTGTTTCACTAGCCATGATGTATCTGAAATTATTCACTCTGGCTGTTTGATTTAAACAGCGAAAAGACAGAGAAAACAGGCAGATAGCTGGATTCTATATTTACTCCTTATCCACCCCTACTTGTAATGTAATAACTTTGTTTCTCGAATAACATACAAAAACAACACATGCCATATAAGGAAAACCCTCATCAGCAATCAATTAGGCATCAATTTCACAGAGACTTGCAAAAGGTCAAATATTCTGCTCTTAACAAGCAAAAATTAATTTCCATGACCTACAGTTGAGAGATTGGTTTCAACACCAGGAAAAAAGGAAGGTTAAAAAAATAAAAATGTATTCTAGCAGATGTAAATGATAAAACATAAAATATATATCAAATTAAAACAGTAGATTACAGACGAGAGACAGAAGGTTGTCAAAATCTGTTTAACTTATCCCAGAATCATTCGATCCAATATAAAAATTATATCAGAAACAACTTTAATGTGCCTCCAGATCATCTCTTTTTAAATGCAGACACAATTTAACACCATCTGTTTAAAAATTTATTATGTAATCTCACTTTTGAGTCAAAAATATACTTGTCTAGCAATTGCCAGAGTGCTTTCAGCTTACCAAAAAAAAAAAACAATGACCAATAATAATCATCTCCAAATGGTTTTTTAAGATCATTAAAATTTTCAAATATCTTCAGCTACTTTCTTCAAGACTCTAGATTACACAAAATATTGCTTCATTTGTAAGAGAAGATATAAGTTATCCTAGGAAGAAAGGCAGAGATCCCCTAATAAATTATTTGTAATCTCTTCAAATGATAAGAAAAGTAAGAAAACACAATATTATTTTAACATAAATCAGCCATATATCATTCACACATCTTCACTTTGAATTGAAAATAAGGCTTACAATTAAAAAAGGATTAAACTTAGATGCTTCATAACGCATACAATCATACATTTTTTACCATATGATAAATAAAACCTTAGTAAAATCCTTCCTTTTGAACTCATGTAAATTTTTGAAAAAACAAATTATGTAAATTAAATTTCATTTTGATTTTTGAGTCGCTAAAATATATAGCTTACCCATTTGATTTCAAAAATATGAGTTTTAAAACCAATTTCCTCCAACCAAGCAATATTAATTGAGCAATAATTTTTATCTTGCTAATGATCAAAATGGAAACAAAGGGAAAAATTAACTGAAAATTTTTGTCTGTATTCAAAAACCAAAAATACATTTGAAAAAGAAAATATCACATGGAAAGAGAAGACTGAATAAATAAAACCTCTACTGTATCTTTTTCTCTTGCAAAAGAAGAATTTTTGTTTTCTTTGACCCTAAAAACCCTAAAAGCACCTTACATATAATTTCTCTTTACAGTATCACCTCTGAATAACACATCAAGGTCATGAGAACCAACTACAGAAGCTTGTGATTGTTAAACAAATTCTCCTTGTCTGCACTATAGGAAATGTTTTGAGAACAGTGTGGAGAATCTGCATGCTGATGTTATGAAATGTGTTATTGAATTAGAGGAACTTTGGAAAAATTCAAACCATGACAAATCTATTCATCTTCCATGTTTCAACTGATAAATTTACACAAATAAGAAAAAATAAATTTTAATCACAAAAATAGTCAGGGTGCAACATGTAGTTCTGCATCATAACTTACCTACAAAGGATCATTTTCAACATAGATCCAGTCTTTTTAATACTATTCAGAGCATCACTGTGTGTCCACTCTTCACAGTTTGCATTATTGATAGAGCGCACTAATAATCCCTCCACAATTCCAGCTGTGTCAGCTTTACTGTTTGGTGTCACCTGTAAATGGATTAACACATATCATTTCTAACACATATCTTCTCTGTGTCTGAGATCTGATTTTAATTCTCGCCTCCAGTTTCTATACATTTCCTTGTGATTTGATGATGAGAATTGGATAGCATATCAAATAAAAAACCCTTGTCTGATATGCTTGTCTATTCTCACCAGCTAAATGCAGGAAATTGAATAAAAGTTAAGAAGATAATTTAAATATTCATCACTTTTGAGATTGAAAAGAAATCCTAAAATCTTAAAAAGGCATTCATAAAATAAACTTGAATTTCCATAACTTGATATCTAAATAAAATTCTGTATAGTTCAATCTGAAGGAAAATTTACCTTAAGGTACAACAGCTGACGAGCAGTAAAAAACTAAAGCATTTTAAATAATCTTCTCATAAATATTAAAATACTCTTAAAACATGTCTACAGTTGTAACTTGATATCTAAATAAAATTCAATGCGGTTCCATCTGTGAGAAAAGAAACTTTAATATGCAACTGCTGATGAGCAATAAAAGGCTGAATCTTTTATTTTGCTTATTAATTTCTTCTAAATATTTCAACATTCTTGAAGCATAAGTCTGCTGCCGCATGCAACTTCCAAATAGTGGGAAAAAAGGAAAAAAATTAATTTCGGATTTGATTAACTAAGTGAATTTTTTTCTCTGAGCAATAGATGAATTTTAATTAGTGAACTGGGTAATCGATGTTTGAAATGAAATCCATCACATACAAATTTATCAACAAATATATTTGGGAACCAAATCATAGCTTAAGTGTAAACATATCTTGAATGATTGAGGCCGGATAAGCTGTCTCGGATTTTATATTATGTGTGGGATGATCCCGTTTGCCACAATAATAAAACATGCCACAACAAAGTTATTCATCGGTCCAAGAAAACACTAAGATTTGCGCGGGCACTACCTTGCGAATAAAATTGTCATAAACTTTTCCAATAAGACTGCCGTTGACGGATGCCCCTTTGAGCATGCCATAATTTAATTACCTTAGTATTACTAAATTATCTGCAACAAAATGGAGTTCTAGTGTTAAACTTCCAATCAAAGTTGTCGCTCCACCATCAAACCGCAGATTAAACTGTGTTGATAGTAGATTACTGCCTGAGGCATCATTTCAGATGCGTTTCGAAATCGTTGGAAACCGGGCTGTTTATTGTATATTGTTCCTCCCATAAAAATTAATCTAAGTCTTTCTAGCAAAAAGCTTATTGAAATTCCTATGCGTAACATGAAATGTGCTTTTGAAACAAACTCTGTTCCACGCGCAACAATTCGAGTGAAGCATAATTCGATTTGTTCTTTGCGGCAAGAGCTTAAAATAGAATTCTCGTTTAAAACAACATTTAAAAAATACTACGATAATTTACGGCGTTCAGATTGTTGTATACTACAGAGAAAAATTTCTTGAATAAATAATAGAACTTGATATTACCAAGATTATTGATCACCGACGCAAAACCCACGCAAACCATAACGCTATTCATGAAACCAGCACGAAATCAACAAATAAAAAAAATTATTAATTCCACAAGGAATAATTCAAATCAATTTATAAAAACCATAGATTTTGAAAGGTATACGTTGCTTGTTTGGTTGTAACACTTCTCTCATCACCAGAAGACGATGACATATCTGTGCAGTTATGCACCAAATGTAATTACGCTGAAAACGTTTCAAGTCCTTTAAAATGTAGCGGTCAAACGCGAATCAGATAAAACCGAATTGCTGCTCTAAGCAACGGCAATTGAGACTACTAAACTTGAGGAGAAGAAGTATACAAAGCGCTTTTATCCAGAATATATGATTACAGTGTTGATAAAATTTCAGCGAAGGCTGTGATCATATCTGTCAAATCCCAGTCAAGGTGTATCGAATATCTCTTACAACTTTGAAATTTGCGAATTACCAAACATAGCTAGCGCGCTGTTTTCGAGATTCTTATGAATAACTACGCAAAGGTCTTTAATTCTGGAGATGTAGTTGAACGATTTATCTGGCATTTCAAAGAAAATATTGCGCCACGAATAAGTAGCCAACCTGAGTAAATACGTCTAGTTTATGTCTCAACTCCGATATAAACGGACGCAGTTTTGTGTTAAACCACTTGAGGTTGCAGCCAAACTCACTTAAATGCCCGTTTAATTAAAATGACATGCAAAACTTGCAGGCATTTTATAACAACTAACCTTTGCAATTCTTAAAGGTGCTCGAAATTCCTTGCCTCCTTGCAATCGAAAACCCCAAGGAGCTCCGCCGCTCAGCACAACTTCGTAAACTTCAGAGGACGCCATTATCAAGCGAATAGCAACAACGATTACCCATGAATCCCTCCGCCTATACCAGCTTGACTAGTGAAGGTCAGAAGACCCTTACCATATATGGAAAGTTCGCGCTTGTTCTCAAGTCCACTTAATGATAGTTTCCAGAAAACTTGTGTTAAAAAGTTCCCCAATTTGATTACCTAGTGTGATAAGACCAAGGAACATTGATAACTCATTTATCATAGACTCATTTATAAAACTGTAAGTCCAATATTGCTCTAACACATCTGATTTACGCAATCGCGCCCTAACCCATTCAATTGCATGGTGCACATTACGTAAACCAGAAACCCATAAATATATATATTGAAGCTGTCTTAGCTGTCTTGAAAAAGGCCACCAATGATCGATGGGACAAATATAGTCTTAAATCGGGTAAATTACATCCCGGAAAAAATGAGATTTGATGTGATGAAAAATATCCCCAAAATTATTTAAGTCTTCTTAAATTTGCAACACACGTGTCAAAGTTGTCAATACCTTTTGGAAATTTTTTTCTTAAATCCTCTTAAATGAATCAGAGATAAAGTAGGTTGTTGAGACGAGATTTGCGTATACTACACTTGTCATATGCTACGCAAAATATTAAGCTCCACAATGAAGATAAATTGACATTCCTACAGAAACTGGTTTATTACGCTTGAGTACCTATGACCGAATTTTAGAAGTTTTCTTTCATCGCGAGATTTCTCTCTCAGATGATGATAACCCGCATCAAAACCATGCAACTGGGAAATATAAAAAGGCTGGAAGGATTACATGCCCGAAACACAATACTAAAATAACTTAAAGCCGATTTAAACACAATTTTGTTTTATCTTTTTAACCCTGGAAATCTTAAAACTTGATGTGAGAAGTCTTTGACAGAAGGTAAATAGGAAATGCGCAAAACTGAATTTAAAGAAAACTGTAAGAAGAAACCGCTCTACGTTTTTTTTTTTTTTTTTTTTTTTTTTTTTTTTTTATCATTTCTGACTATTTACTTCAGTATTTTTTTCTGCGCGAGAAAAGAGATAAACTGGTCGCGTGATGAGCCGCTTGTCTCGCGTGAGGGCCTCGTGCTCCCTGGTCCTCTCTTCGCGTGTGAGTTAATGCGTGCGAGACAATGAACGAAAAGAGCATTGCTGCTTTTTAGAATTAGCCCATATGAGAAACGATTCTCCACACTCGTGTGCATTGATTTTATTTTTTAACCTAATCGAAGGTGAACAAGAGTAAACTGCTCTATTTTGTGTAGTTTAAAATTAAGGGATTGAAAGTGCGAATGCACAAGATGAACTAGCCTACGAGAAACACAGCGGTCAAAAGTAAGGCATGCGCAAGAGGACCAATTTCAGCTGTCCGCGCTTCAATTTCCCACCCAAAATTCCAACTGAGAATTTAAGAAACAATTGTTCTCACAGAGTAATCAAAGAAAATTGAAATGTGTAACAGAAAAGAAATATGCCAAATGAAATAAAAGTTGCGAAGAGAAAAACTCCAGACTTTTCGAACACAAAAACTTTTCCGAGTACGGGTATCCTGTTCATTTACCAGTCTCTAATATGCTTTAGTAAAGACGGTAGACGTTTATGAACCACAATGACTTCTGGCTTGTGTGGTTATTAAAAGCACGTTACTTAGACACTACAACGTTGGCACATGCGCAGACGTTTGACCGCTGTGTCCTCTTAGCTCTTATTCATGCCAGCTACGCTGCTCATAGGGCTGTTCTTCAGAGAGCTTGCTCGCAGGCTTAAGATGTACCCAAAATGTTAACCCAGTCACTTTGCTACAAGTTACAGTAAGATTTATTTCAATCTATCTTAAATTAGTGGCTGAGTACTCTCTACCCCGTCGTACAAATAAACAATTAAAATTACTTTTGCAAAAATACGAATAATTTTCAACTGACCATGAAAATAATTATTATTGATTATCTCAGCAAAGAATTAGTTTCAATCTATTTTGACACAATTCAAAACGCAAGGCATTTAGCTCAACAAAAGCCAAACCTGCGTGACGAACTCTCGAAAAGGCGGGCACGCGTATTTCGCAACGGCTCCCCCGCGCGAGGAGCCACACCCATATGAACAGAAGATATAATTACCACAACCTTATCAAACGAGGGCCTCGCTTCTTGAAAGACTCAATAACTTGACGGGTCCGAAAAGCTGATTAATTCGTTAAATATCGATGAATTAATAGTCTTGAAATTCAAACAGCCATAAGAAATGTCTAGATACTAAACAGAATGACGTGATTTTCGAGTTAAGACTTGCACTTCTTTTCCTTCACATTTTAAATCAAGAAGATGGCTTCAGGCTCGTTAAGTTACTGAAACTTTCAAGTAAGGGATACCGACCCTGTCGCTGCGCTCAAATGAAGAGTTACGCCCCAACATCTGAACGCCTGTTACGCAGGCCAATAAACACTCGAGATAAAACGTTACTTAAAATTGAACCTAAAACATGTGTGCTTCATTCTAGTTTCTTGACAACGGCCCTTTCTTTGAGATACGCTTGGTAATAAAAATTAGAAAACAGCCATATCATGGTCAGCTCATAGGCAATTCCGTACCAGCACCAGCCGTGTTGTAGATATCCCACGATCATGTGACACAGTCCAATCATGAACTGAATCAGTTGAAGTTGGGTCAGGTTCTTCTTCCAAGCGGGCCTTTGACCAGGATTGAGTGCAGATTGGCCGTAGTAGAAATACAGAAACACGTGAATGATGGCGTTCAATCCCAATGGTACAGAGATGGCCGGCCAATTGCCGTTAATGGAAGCGTATTCACTCAGCATCAAAATGGAAGAGTGGTGGTAAATCTAAGAGGAAATAAATTCAAAAAGATTATTTTTCACTTTACTACGTTCGAAAACCAAGCATCCGCTAACGAAAGGCTTCTATTTGCCCAATTCAATCATAAAAAAATACAATGAAAGATATTTACTTATCGAATTATTATTTTTTCCTCCTAAGTCAAAAAAAAGGTGGTTCCTGTATATGCTGTAGCTGACCATTGCCTCCTTCTAGGCACCCGCCCTTCCCTCCACCATGCCCCCGCCAATTTCAGCCTGCAGTTGTCTCTGAGGGGGGGCGCAGAAGCAGATGGGAAGACAGGAAAAGATGCCATCCTCCCGTCGTTCCCTTGGTAACTTTCAGTCATCACCCGTCCCCATTTCTCACGCTTTCAAAGACCGATTTAGAAGAGGAAAGAAAACGAGTCAGCCCCAGACCTCTGTAATACCGATCCACCTCACCGGTCTGTCGATCTCGCGTTGGGCAGTAAGGAGCTCGTGGGCGCGTGATGTAATAAGCCCACCATGTTCTACTAGATTCACATTTTCAATGGTCTTTGAAACTTTTCCTAGAATCGTGTCATTTGCAGTCAAGAATTTACCGTTTCAGGTTACTTACATGAAGTAAAGAAACTTGACGCAGCCTGTGTCTAAGAATCATGAAGACTGTGTCCATGAGCTCGATGTACTTGGTCATGTAGTATACCCAAAAAGCGTGCTTTACGAGGGAATCTTCCTCACATGAAAACAAAGAACGTGGCCAATTCCTTGCCAGGGCTGCAAGGATGATGACGACTGAATAAAGGCTGAATATACTACATGCAAAATTGTAAACCACCAGAACCTGGGAGATTAAGAAAGAGAAGATAAAACATAGCGATATAGCGTTTTTCACATCAATCTTGATCTTAGAAATGTCACACTACGTGCTGTTTATATGCTCCTTGGTACATCTCCGTCACAAATAAACTCGACTAGCCTACCTCTCCCTTGCTAGTGAGGTCTCTCTCCAGGCCTACGCCTCATATATATTCATCTAAAATATGGCAAATGCGGGCTGATGTGGATCCACTAAAGGAATCTGTTAACATTATCCATACCTTACGGAGACCAAAAGGGCGAACATATCGAGTCCAAAGCGGCGAGAAAGCCACAAAAGACAGGTATGCAATAACCACGGGTAGAGACTTCAGTTTCACAACACCGTTTAAGAAGTAAAGCGCGAATTCTGTAACAAACAAAAATACACATCGTTAATGTAAACAGACGAGTATAGCTTTCTTTACCTAGAGTCCTTGATCCTGTAAATAATAAAAAAGTAAAGCGACTGATCTGGCTCGCTAAATATATCTTATAAGACGTTTTAGCGTGTGGTTTTTGCTTGGTACTTTTGCGTGCTGTGCCGTATGTTGACAAGCTTTTAGGTGAGTCAAAATACAAAAGAAAAGAGTATAAATACTCAGCGATACCACACACCAAAACGTCTAAAAAGTTATTAATTATCCAACTGCTCTATTTTATGCGCATTTCCTATAAAGCGGGAGAGGCGAAGTGGCTAGAGAAGCGTAACGCGCAACCAATCGGTAAAACAGTTTTTTTTTTTTTACAGTACAATGTAACCAACTTTCCAACATCGCAGTATATCTATTTGTAATTTGTTTGCGTTTCTAAGGCGAACGGAGGCAAGCTTGTATCTATCCACTAAATTCGTTTCGTTTAAGGTCCACATCACACGTTTAAGGACTTCCTTTGCGCGCCGTAATTTGTTCCACCATTGTAAATGCCAAAATGCCTGCATCCGTGTGACAAACCGCTGCACAAAAATAGTGCGTGCGCATAACAAGTTCAAGCTACTTGTGTTTGCGCAAAATACATTCAGAAACTACTATCAGACTTCAAATGAAAAAAAAAAAGGGGGGGGGTTGTATGGTGGCCGAGAGATGCCACTCAAAATTTTACAAAATTTTTACTGCCCGCACAGTATCATGGTAGTGGCAGCCCTCGGCCACAGCGATATTCACTTTGACATTTGTTTTGATTTGATGTTCCATTTATTTTTTATTTCGCCGTGAACTGTCCTAGGATATCAGTTGAATTTTGAAATGATTTTTACTTTGATATTGCAATTACTTAGGCTTTCAAATTGGATTGCTACTTCATTTTACTTTCAATCGTTCTTTTTCCTTTGTTTTGCAGTCACGTTCCATTTTACTTCCAGTTTTGATTTATTTTTCTTTTATTTTTCATTAAATCTTTGAAAAATTGTAAAATTTTGAGAGGCAGCGCTCGGCCACCATAGGGGTGTCAGAGTATTACAAAATCATTTCAACTGAGTTGACGTTGTAAAATCTTTACGGTGACAAATTTGCATCACTAACTTACTCAGTTGGAATTATCGAAGAATAGCTAGGCCCCCTGATAAGCGCTGCAGGACGCGTGTTCCTCCACACGCGGGAAGATTCGAGACGAGGCGCGGAAAGGTTTGCTGGAGGTCTGACACTAATAGGAAGGCCCTCACTTGACCCTTTGTATACGATCACGCCGGCTTGCGTTGCTTAATGTTAAGATCTCAATTTTTTTTCTCTGCTGACCGAGAAACGCACGTGTTGGAAAAGGTTATTATAAGGGCCTACTCGCCGGCTACCCTCCATTTATTTATCTATCAATTTACCGTTGACCATTTACCCATTTAAGCCAACAATAAATTTTAATTCCGACATTCAATCAGTTCCTTGACCTCTCGGAGGTGACCGATACTCGGCCCCTTCCCACCCCACCCCTCGCAAACTTCGTCGCCATATTTATTTCCATCGGTCAAGCGGAGTCCTCAGCCGTTAGGCTGGTTACTGCGACACGCAATCGCACATCTTGTTCAAAGAAACAGTACACTTGGGAAATTAATCACATTCTGTGTTGCGTATCAGCACTTTCTGGATTAATTTTGCAGATATTCTCCGAACCGGCTGTTGTGAGCATCTAATTCAAATGATCGTAAACAATAAAACAAAACGAAACGAACGTTAACACAATTTCCTTCATGTAAACACAACCCGGACATACCATTAATTATAAGTCATAAAAAACTAAAATTCAATGAAATTCAGTCGCTTTTCTGAGGAACTTCGACGAGTCCAAAGACCAATTTTAGGTCAACCATATCACTCATAATTGCCGGAAAACCTCACATGGAGGAACCCGTGCAACAACTACTTCACTTGCAGTCTGATATAATATTTTGGGGCAAAGACGGTACAAAATATTAAGTAAACGTTACCTGCTAATGTCATACCCATGGTCCGAACCTATCCCGTGCTAAAACAGCTGATAGGTACAGCAGGAAAGATCGAAGAGATTCCCACTGAATGAGGTGATCTGAAATGGGTGGTATGATCCACAGCCCGTGACTAAGGTGAAAATGCAAATTTTTGACCTAAATCTTCAATCCAGTTGCCCCCTGGGTACAGCGGGAGAGAATGACCTGATTTGCATATGATCAACTCTGAGCGCGTGAATCAAAGATTACGAAATATTGTATTTGAGGATAAAATTCGAAGCCATCGTGTTCTCTGATGTTGAGCTGATGTCTCTACTGTTTCCTTCACTCCACTTTTCGTCTAAAGTTCCTTCGGCTGTAGCTAACAATTATTATTCTCAGAGAATGTAAACACACGCTTCGCTTCCTTAAAAAGCTTTATTGTATTACACTTGTAAACTATTAGACAAAACGAACGACTAGAGGCGTTCATTGGGAGAACTGTACGTGAGCAAATCTTTCAACATTCTTCGTAGCCGCGCGGGTACGCTGGAAAATTTTGGTAACCAAATAAAATATAATGCTCTGTTGCTAGATAAAGGAAAGTCTCGATAAATATAAAAAAAATTTTGAAATTTTGAAGATCGCATAATTTATTTGAGACGTTCTTATCTTTGTTGTAATCTCTAAGTTGTTTTTTGGGAATTTTTCCCGAGTGTGAGCTTTGAGTCTCATCAGTGTTTTTACCCGAAGACAAAGAAAAAAAATACCTTCTGCAAATGCAACAAAACAATCCAAAGTCCAGTTGAAACCACATCCTCTCTCATTGCTAAGGGCACTAATTCAGGTATCGAAAAAAAAAAGAAAAGAAAAAAAAAAAGAAAGAAGAAAGACTTATGTTGTCCCACTATACCCCTCCAGAAAACGCTACTCATGCGATGTTGCGTGACGCTAGGCGTGACGGTCTGTCAGGCCTTGTCTCCAACGGACAACCGGTAAATGTAACACACTATTTTTACCGCTAGAGGCGAAGAAGGTCGAAGTTCCACAGTTTGAGATGGAGTCACGGGCTGGTAGGTAACTGTTGTATTCAGCCCCTTCCATTCGAAAATACAAAATAAGCCGAGATGTATGTGTCTAGCCGCTTTTTTTTCTTCTACATCGAAAGATCTAAATAAAAAATTAGATTTACATATAGGATTTGCACATTTCGTAAGGTCGAAGGTCTATGTTCGGTCATGTAATTTAGTAACTGGCTGTGTCAGATTAAAGATTTCCAAAGCTAAACGAGAAGATCAGACAGTGTTTCTATAGGATCAATATAAAATTGATTCTTCTCTCTCTTTATGAGATCAGTTAGTTGTCCATTTAAAAGCCTTACAATGCCCTACTCAATGTGAAATTACTTAACCCTCTATGATCTGATTGTTAATTCTCCTCTCTGGCTGCTACACAATTACTTGTAAGATAGTTACAAGAATTTGGTGTTAGATCAAGTTAAAAACTTCTACTTGATAAGTTTGAGTATTCTTATTTCCTGTTTGCTGGGTAATGTATTGATATTTTGGGGAGAAGTTGCATGTTAATCACTTATGGAAGTTTTAAGGGTTAATTAGTTACCAAATGATGATAAACCCTTTGAAATGAGTGACCAAGACTGACTTTATCCTCACAAAATCAGGCAGAAAGTGATTAGAATAAAGAAAAATATCAATGAGGGGATCAGTAGTTGTTCCAAAGACAAGTTCGGAGTACAGACATCCTAAGAATTGTATGTGCTGTGCTCATAAAGAATTCAACCATTATTTTCTTGCTTTGCAGAGAAGTATCTAAATTTCTTCAAGGCTGTTGTGGGATTGCGGTCATTTCCTGTGGCTATTATTTACCTGATACTTATACCATCATCTTTATTATGGAAGAAGTACACCTCCCCTTTAGGACTACATAAGGTAGAACTATTTATGAAATGAACAAATGCCTTCTGTAAGATATCATATGTAAGACCAAAGTTGTGTGCAAGATTTGGTACTTAATGTACCATTTTTAGTCCTCTCTTCAGTTTTGGCTGATTCATTTGTCAAATCAAGATGTGGCTTTTAGAAAAGAATATCAATTGATTTAATAATGGTAACTGTAATGCGTGGAGTGCAGTTTGGTCTGAACTCATATAAGTGATTTCAAAATTGAACAAGTGCACAACTCAAGTTGGATTTGAAATCGAAAATATGATTTCTAACCAAATTTGCACAACGTAAAGTTCAATCACCACTTTATTACATCTGTTTCGAAATCCCAAAATTCAGTTGCTCAGAGTTAGTGTCTACAAACAGTTCACTGATTCAAGGCTGAGCTGGTTTGTAAAAAGTTGCAAAAGTTGTCTTTGTCAGACTGATATTATTGGATTCTTTAAACAAGCCTTGAAATCTGCTTGGTTGTCATGTTATAATAAAGGTTTCTCATTGGCTGGGAAAAGATGTCACTAAGAGCTAAGAATTGATGCAATTTGTGAATAAATTGCACCAAAGAGAACTAATCAGACTCATAGGATAACCAGTGATTTCAATATGTATATAATAATTAAAAGAAATTTATACAACTCCTTGAAATCAATTGAAAACTTAGGGTCCATTCATATTACGCTTCATTTCAATGCAGTCTGATTAGTTCTCCCTCCCTCCCCCCCCCATATTGTAATTTATGTGAGAGTTGTATTGGGAAGTAGTGACTGACGATTTGGTAACCTCAGTGGTCATCATCATCCAGGTCAAGTGAAGAGTTTTTTGTTAGTCAACTACTCTAAGTCTTACCTGTGAACTGATCAGTCTTTGAATTGAAAACTGGTCAGTCAATGTAAGCTTACCAATCAGGTTACATGAACCAGAATAACAACACTTGACCAAAAAACAATTCTTTACTTGACTCTGACAATGACTTCCACTGAGGTTTTCAAATGATCAGTCACAACCATAGACAACAATCTTTCCTAGGACTTCTCCCACAATGCATTTGATTCACCTCTCTTATGATACATTTGATCATGTATTCTTGCAAAGTACATGATCAAATGTTACTCCTGTGTTCAAACCCTTTACTGTATCTTCTAATAAATTATGACGTTTTCTTGTTAGGTTTTAGTGGCATACAACTTCTTGTGCAGTGCTCTCAGCCTGTATTCTTTCGCTGTTATAGTCAAGGCATACTATCAGGGTGGTTTGTTATATGTTTTTGCTATGGAGCATGATGCAGATGTCAAACATGCCTTTACCATTTACTTATTCACCAAACACTTGGAGCTGTTGGACACAGTGTTCATGATTCTTAGGCATCGCCAAAGACAAATCACCTTTTTACATGTAAGTCTGTTTAATTAAGTCCTTTAAGGATTGGAAATTTGTAGAGAACAGTACAAATAATATGCTTACTGACGTTAGGGTGATAGGCAGATTTATGAAGAGGGTTGGGGCATCCAACCCCCTTCCCATCAGACATGGGTGTGTCCTCTAAATCAAAGATTAGACCTCACCCCTCCTAATTAAAATTTTGTGGTACCAGCTCTGTATAGGTTTACATGTGCCTGGTGTAATCTAATCTTTTTTTTTTTACTTAAGATATAGTATTTAATACACAGGTTCAACAGTATGGAAGGGCGAGGAGACCTCCAAGAAACCACCAGGTTTATAGGGGATGTGGATATGTGGCTTGGCCAATTGGGACTCATTTCATTGAAAAATAAATCATCTTTCTTTTAAAAGTGAAAAAACTAGTCAAACCAGTCATTGATATTGGGAGAGAATTCCAAATTTTAGGACCTTGATATAGTACTGTAAATTGTTTAAGATTAGTACGACAGTTATGGTGTTGATAGCAATTGGTTATTCTTGTATCATAACTGTGTACTTGTCTATCTCCATGGAACAAGCTGAGAAACATCAGTGGCAATGGTTGATTATGATAATAAAACATAAATTTAGCTATTTGCAATGCGTTGACTCGGAAAATATCTAAGTTGCCCAATTTACCAAATATTACATCTGCATACTTTTTATTTCCTTCATGTTAGGTGTACCATCATGCATCAATCTTACTCCTGAGTGACTATGCCTGCCATGTCACCCCCTGGCCAGCAATTGGGGTCATGTTAGGGATGAACTCCTTTGTGCATGTATTTCTTTATCTTTACTATGGCCAAGCGGCACTGAACCCCACCCAGAGGCCGCAGTGGAAGAAGACAATGACACAACTTCAAATGGTTCAATTTGTCGTTGGTATTGTGCACTCTTCTTTTGGCTATGCTCAACATGGTTTCTGTGTTTATAGTATTTTCTATGGCCTCAGCATGCTGGGTTTGTTTGGTAATTTTTATTATCAAGCTTTTATACGAGTCAGACGTGAGAAAAAATCTGAATGATTTAATTTACAGCCCTGACTTTCAGTTCTCGTGAGTGATTAAGATAGAATTTCTCCTAATAATATCACTAGAATATCAAGCCAACAAGTCATGAGAATAAAGAAAAATATCAATTCAATATCAAATCAATTAGGGAATTATTACTTGATCCAATACCAAATTCTCCAAACTTACATTATAACAATTATATAACAAACTGTAAGGATAATTATTGATGAAATCTTGGGAGTGAAAGGGTTAACTGTTGAACCCAACCAATCACTTCTATAAAATAACCCTAAAATAAACACAGTATGTTTTAATTTTTTATGGGTTTACCAGTGCAATAAGTGGTACGCTGTTGATTAACAGGGTGTTCATAATATGTCAGTTATTTTCTAATGTATAACAGTTGAGAAACAGTCTCTTGTATTTTTTAAGTTTACTTCTATCTAAAAAGTTTTCCTTTTAATAAAGGTCATTTTACATATTACACACATGCCACCATAAATAACTGAGCCATGGTATACTCAATAAATATATCTTATTGTGTTCTATGTCTTGAAGATCACTTCTTAAGCTTTTTTTTTTTTTTTTTAAGGGAAGACTGATTGAAATAATCCAAACTATGGCAAGCAAGCAAAACAAAATTCTTAGGAGGATGAACACTCTGAATTTTTATAATCCAATTCCACTTTACTGGCCAGGTTGGCATTATTGAACTATGTTTGCATAGCAAGCATGGCATGTTGCTTTGCAACATGCCATTCAAAGGGGTCTGGATGCATACACCCCAGAAAAATTTAAAATTTCGAAACTCTCTGAGATGCAATTTCCAGCATTCTGGGACATATTTGAGTAACCTAATTTTAGCCAGACATCAGTGTTAGTATCAGTTCAAAAATACTTCTTTTCTGTCTTTGATCACAACTCTAAAAGGAGCCAGTGTAAAATGGTCTGACAGCTGGGTATTTCTGCCGCCAACCAGCTTCTAATTACAACGCTGACTCAAGATTGTCAGAGGCAGGTCATGTTTGCATTCCAGAATTACTCAATGACTGTTCCAGAGCAGCAACAGTTGCCTCTCTGCCCAGCTTTTGTCTCCAAAGAATTAAAACCTGATAAATCTGTTCTCTTGAACGATGTGGATTTTGTCTTTTCACTTCTCGTATTTCCTGCTTGGTGAAACCAAGTTCACGAGCCAGTGGAGTCCAGTCTTTTTCACCAATTTTACCTGCAATGTCTATCAATAGTTCATCCGAGATGGCTGACACATGCTCTGTCTCAGGCCTATAAAATTGTTCCAATTGGCACCAATTTATTATTAAAATATGTCAGGCCACTAATTATATACCCCTCCTTCCAATCCTCCTAATACATAATTTATATAAAAAAAACACACATTTAACAAAAAAAGAAGCCCCCTTTTTGAAGTACAAAGCAAGTTCATTATTACCGGTATGTGAAAATATTAAGTGTTCAAGAGTCTATGCTAACCTACTGTGTGGTGCCGCTGTATCTAATTCCTCAGGAATGATGGAGAATTTTGTGAGTTTAGTCACCTCATCTTCTGGGAATTGTAAAATCCAGTTTACCCACTGATCAGCATCAATATATCCTAAACAAAGCAGGTCAATAATAAATTCACATTAAATAATCACGATCAAAATTAAAAATACTAGATGGTCCATTAAGCCTTTAACCCCTAAGAGTGACCAGCATCTAATTTCTCCTTACAATATCACCCCTGAATCACACATTAAGGTCATGAGAATAAAGAAAGTGATCACCAACTAAAGAGGCTCTTGATTATTAACCAAATTCTCCTTGTCAGCAACGTAGGAAATGTATAGAGAACAGTATGGAGAATATGCATGATGTTAGAGTAAAAAAGGTTAGGTCTACATCTTTCTCCCCATAAATTAACATCACAGGCATCTTACCCTGATCTTTGTCATCTAGTGTCTTAACAAGAAGCTCTGCTCTTGACTTGGCAGTTTCCTGAACAAACAACATATTTAAATTTACTTTGATATACGAGATACTTTATGCACAGACTTCGACCCCCTCATAAATAAAGTAAAATTTTTATTTATTGTTGGCTGATTCGCAAGCAGGTAAGACATGACAAATTCTGTGTTCTATCAGGCAAGCTCTGGAGTGCTTTCTTTGATCTCATAGATAACAATTGTTTCGCTCTTAGAGGTGAGTACCTGTCTTGTCTTACACACAGATTATAAAAACATGCCACTCTATCAGCTTGGGGGGGTTATCATGATGGAACACTCAATTCTCTTGTCTAATTTGAAAGGGAATTTATGGCAGTCAGTTAGGAGAATTACTGTTTGGATCTTGGGAGTGAAGAAGTTATTGAATAACTGCTAGCCTCTGCCTCTTTCTTTTCAAATAATATATTAATTAATTTGATTCTGTTTTCTTTCCATATCCTTAGATCTTACCTTTATCTTGACCCATGAAAAACGCAAAAATAACTTGATCTAGCCTGTAGTGCAGGTATCTCATTAGGGCCAGTAATGTACAAAAATCGTATTCATTTATTCCACTGATCATGTTTGATTTATAGTTAGAGTGGAAGGTGAGGGGAGGGAGTGGAGGAAGACAAAAAGACCCCACCCTTTCCCCTCCCATTTTTGACTGTCACTCACCCCCTTAGTTCCAATTCTTTTCTCTTCCCAGCTGTAATTTTCACTAAGATTATACTGAGCACTCGTCTGCCAAAATTACACCTGCACTACCGGTTTAATTTTATTATTAACATTCATGAATTGTAAACATATTTGCACTTACTTCATCAATGCTGCTATCAAGTGACATCAAGATCTGTTGTAACACAGGGACATCCAAAGGTTGTGATTTGTTCAGCAATTTAAAAATCCCTAAACCAGTGATACAGAAACAAGTGAATTCTTAGTTTCAGCATTCATAAGGATTAAATAGTAAATACAAAGGATGCTAGAATACAGGAAATGTTGAGGGCCAAATTCACTATTAATTTTCCTTAAAATTATCCAAAAATATGTTGTATAATATTCAACTTTTTCTTCTTACTTCTTAATGTCACAACAATAAAATTTAAAACGTCTCTCTCTGAATATTTATTGAAATACAGCCTGTCTTAAGCTTCACCCAACCCCTAAGGCAAGACATTTTTATTTCAGGATACACTAAGACAAAAACTACCAAAGATAACTTGTTGTTGATCCTTTAACTCTCAGAATTGATTAAAATGTAACTTCTCCCTTTGATATCAATACATAATGCATCAAACAGGTAATGAGAATCCTCAAAGTTATCAGTTTAAGTTGTTATCCAGATCTTACAACAAATTCTTGTAACTAATTTACAAGAATATGTGCAGCAGCTGGAGGAGAGAATTAACAATCAGGATTAATGCCTGTTTTTGCTAACATTCTTCAATTATAACTTGTCCAGTCTTATAAATACCTGCTAGTTTCTTGTCCAATGGAGCAGTTTTCCACCACTTGAACACACCAACAAATACATGGAAGTTCACACTTCCATTCTCATCTCTTGGAAAAGTTCTCAAAATCTATGATGCAAATTGTCAAGAAAATATCTCAGAATTTTCTACCACCTAATAGCTTCAAAAAGCAACCCTTCAATAAACCCTTTAACTCCCAAGATCTCATTATTAATTCTCCCCTCTAGCTGCTACACATTGCCTTGTAAATTAATTACGAGAATTTGAAGTTAGATCAGGATAAAAATCTCTACCTGATATGTTTGAGTACTCTCTATACCTGTTTGCTGGTGAATGTATAAATATTATAGGGAGAAGTTTCATGCTGATCACTTTGTCTAACTTATTTGTTTATCTCTATTGTTCCATTTAGTTCAGAGATGCTACAGTTTTCAACAGTTAAATGTAGCTATCAGTCATAATCAAACAATCATAAAGTATGTTATGAAAATTGTCACCTGTCTTGCAAATGGATCTGATGTAAAAAGATGCTGTTGAAATGCCTCATTTGGTAAAGTTTGTTCATCATTGGGTCCAAGCTGCTGAAATCTGGCCCAAAGTCGCTCAGCTTCTGCCACAAGCACTTTGAAATTTAAGAAAGTTGGTAAACTTAGTGATATTAAATGATTCCTTTTCTAGTTTCAAGTTCAGTTTTTAGGTAATGAGACATGTGCAGGAGCTAGAAGGGAGAATTAATAATCAGATCTTGAGACCAGTTGATCACCGCTGAAAGATACATAACAGCTACATATTAAGAATCCTGACAATATAGCGAAGTGTTGCAGTGATCTACCTGTCCCGATCTCACTTCCAAAGCAAGAAGTCATTCGTGGCACAGCGTCATTAGAGCTTTCTTCATCATCTAATCTCGCTGTATATATAGAATCCTCTTCATTTGATCCGATATCACGCTTTTCTTCTTCAATCGGACTTGTAGTTTTCGGTGGAGGCGTAGAATTAATTGTTTTGAAGTTTGATCTAGAATCTCTCTTTGATAGATTTGACAGTCGTCGGAAAAAGCTCATTTTAGGAGCTGGTAAATGAAATTAAATAAGAATGTCTCTCCGCGCAATTTTTAGCGCCCGCAAAAAAGCAAAAGAATCAGTTCAACTATATTGCACTTACTTGCAAACTCCTCTGGGGATATCGGCTCTTCGCGTAGAAATAAAGGTTTTAACACCTCCTCAAGACCAGACTCTGCGTTCTCATAATTTATCGTGTCTGGCGCGGGTGGATCAGGGATGCCTGCATTCTCAGTGTTTTGTTGCTTTTTCTGCCCCCGCAGAAACTTGAACATTTGAAGAAGGTATTTTTGAAAGCTGTTGAAAATTATTTCTGGTATTGTTTCACAAAAGGTGGCGTTCCATTACACATCATTCCCAGCTGATTTGAGTTTCATGCAAATTTTATTGAAGTCCAGTCGCCATGTTTGTTTTGAAATTTCTTACAATGCACTGTGGGAATGTGCTCACATTGGAGGCCGAGAGCGGAAGTTGCGACCGCGGTCTGAGCGATCAATGATTTGTTTTCAGGGAAGATTTCTAAGCTATTAGGCTGAAATTTGATGAATTAGCTTACAGGAAACTCAGTTTATCTATTTATACATCATTCATGTCGTCTTCTCCACTAAACCAACTGCAGAAACCTGCCATTTTGCTTGGCGGTGCGATCGTAGCATTTGTATTGTTCGTAACTCGTCAACCAGTGGAATTTGAGATTAACACCATCTGGGTCACTTTGGTTTTAATTTTGGTCTTTTCATCTGTGGTCGCCATCATTAAGTCACTGACCTTTGTTCTTTGTACACATGTTCTTTTTATTGATATGCCTGACCCTGATAACTATGCAGCGGCTTTGCTGAGAAGCCATCAATCTAAAATAAACGATAATTTCCTTGCAAGAGTGGGAAGAAAGGTATTGAAGAGTCTTGGACTTTCCTTGTGTCCATTGTATATCGTTTGTGCTGGGCGTCGTGTTAACCTCGGGTTAGCGCACAAGAACGCGCATGGAAGATTCTTTGATGAGTCTGCAAAATGCTGGTTGAATTGGGATCCTAATGAGCACATTGGGCAACTTGCAGCAGATAAAGATATAACGTGTGACTCAAAGACAATTGAAGATTCTTTCTTGGTTCTTAAGAAGGATATGTTTGACTTGGACTGCATCCTACACTCTGCGGGATTTGCAGATTACATCCTAGTCAGAGGACATATCGCCAAGGAGATTCCATTGTCGTACTCGCATCATGCGGATGAATGGCGTTTTTACAACAATGTAAAAAAAAGCTGGGTTTCATTAGCTGAGTATGACCAGTTATCTGACAGACGCTGTGATGAGTCCGACGATTCTCAGGATTTCGAACAAAGGAGGAAACTAGCACATCAAATCATAAACAAACTTACAGGTGCCTCAGATTTTGCATCAAGCTGCTTTGGTTCGCACTGGTTGAGTTTGGACCAGTTTCACACTCTGCTGTCTAAATATTCAAAGATTGGTTTGACTGTGGCTGGTCCAGCAACAGATATGGCGTACTTGGTTAAAAAGGTATCCAGTTGGACAGGTAATGTGAGAGAAATAAGAGCAATGTGGGCAGTTTGTGAACTTGGTTTTAACACAGGCAAGATGAATGTATGTGGAATGAATTTTAATGAAGCCGCAGATCTGGAAAGTGCAGAGTGTTTGTCACCCAAATACTTTTCAAATGCAACTTTTTCTTTCCTACCCACTGAAACATGCAAGTTGACACCACAATTCAAAGTGATGCAGGAGATAGCAGAGGAAATGAGAGTGCTGCAATGCATCAAGGATAAGATAGCACTGTGGACTCATGTTAAAGGTGGAAAAACAGAACCTTTGTTTGATTATTTCATCTGCGAGTCCCCAGATATGATTGAAACATTGCTTAAAATGGGCCTCATAAGAGTGTTTGTGATCCCAAAAATGCACGAAGGATACATGATATTGTCACCAAGTGAATGTGAAACCAAATTTACTGCCTGGGTGAATCCAAGTGAAATGTTCAGAGTTTTTATACAGGGAAAAAGCAAACTTTATTTTGATGGCAATCACTGGTCCTCTGCCAAGGTCGTTGCATGACTCTTTTATGTTGACTTGAGACTTCGTGTCACTGACTATTTCAAGAAATACAATAAATTGTTTGAGGTAAAAGGTTAAGTCTCTACTTGAGGCAAGTGGCCAATTCAGCTGGCAGGTTTCTATGACGTGAAACCACCAGTAGTATTTGTACTTCCCTCTCCCCTTCCTGGATGGGATGCCAGTCCATCCCGAGGTTTTCCCCAAACATTTCTTTATTTCTTCCCTGGCAATTTGCCAACACCCATTTATACTCCCTGATGTAGAGAGGCACTATGAGAATAAAGTGTTTTGCCCAAGAACACAACACAATGACACAACCAGGACTCAAACCCAGACCTCTTAACCTAGCATCCAGCTCACTAGACACTAGGCCAGTGTGTCTCCCATAAAATGTTTGAAGCTGGGAGCCTGGGAGTAAAATCTGATTGTGTGGTCTCATCCAGGTGAGAGTAATCCTAAGAGGGACCGTTGTTAGTGGTGACTAGTGTTTCAACAACCACTCAACTTGACAATGACTTCTGTCAAGGTTGAGTAAATGTCAGTCACTACTTGCAAAGAAAGGCCTTCTCAGGACAGCACACACCAGGAAGATCTGACCACATAGTGAAATTTTTGAAGAAATGTCAGTATTGCAGGAGAGTGACCCAGAATAATTGATCCCTTCTATCTGAACTCCTACAATTCACTTGGGTCATGGATTGCGGCCTAACAGATTGTTCCAAGAGCTGATGAAAGCCCCTGTAACAGACTTTGTCTTGTTTCAAAGAGTTTTCTTGTCTTTCACTGCCTCTTTGCTTCTCGAATCATTATCACGAAGCTGTTTTGGCAATATTCCTTGCTTCAATCTTCACCAACTGATACAGGTGCGCAACTTTTCCCTTAGATCCTGGGCTGCCTGTGCAGTTTTGGCGGCTCATTTGTAATATTAACGTTGTGTAAACATCCTCTTGGCGTCCAGCTATGATCTTGGGTTTGGTAGAATTCCAAGATGGCGTCGCCTTTCGAAGGTGACGGCGTACGGGTCTTGTTGACTTGTTCATGTTCTGCCTTATCTCCGGCGGCTCGTTTGTACTTCTGCCGACACTGTATTAAGCTGAGATGTCCTCTATGTGTCTCTCATGAGGTAGCTTCCAACGAAAACCCAATCTTGGATTATATATTAGAACTCACGTAAAAAAAACAGCTGAATAGTAAACGTGGCTGATCCTCTTCATTTTTTAGGTGGATTCGTATTATTGTCCGAACTGTCTGGAAAATATGCCTTCAGCAGAAGCGAAAGTTAAGAAGAACAGGTAAATTGTACGGTAATTAAAGGGGGAAGCGTCTTTTAATTGTGAAAAGTTCGTTCTGTTGATGTATACGTAGCTGTTGATAGAACTTATGGTAAAATACGATATTCTTGAAGGGATGTCGCAAATTTTGTGATCATCATGGAATATTGGACCAAGTGTTTTATCACGATGTGCTTTTAGATTAGTGATCAGAAGCAAGTATTTCAAGTAACGAATGGAATGATAACTCAACCAAATCAGATCACCTTGAAGTCGAGATGAAGAACTTTGAAACCAGTGTAGTGGCCAACTTTCCCACACCGAATAATCTAACAGTTTAAAGCTAAGATTTCCGCACAGCCCCATGCTTCATCATGCATGCAGTTCATGTACAAAGAAAACAATAGATTGCCTTTGGGATAGTACGATACGATAGTATGACGTTGTGCCGAAATCTTGGTATGTCCAGAAATGCACGCAGTAACGAAAATGGCGAAAATTCATCAAAATTTTTAGATCTGCCGAGCTCATTTGGCTTTGACAAATTTGACTAAAATTCGCCAAAATCATCAAATCCATGAACATTCACTTGGTTTTAAAAAATTTGTCAAATCTGCCATTTCATTGCTGCGTGCATTTTTGGACATAAGTGGAAATCTTACCACTTTGATTATTATTTCCTTCTGTAAATTACAGATGTGCCAATTGTTTTGACTGCCCAAGCTGTGGTAACACACTTTCAACACGAGCAACAGCAGTGGCCATACAGGCTGAGAAGGGAGGTGATGATGCCAAAGCCATGCAAGCCAAGAAGGTGTATTACTTAGCCTGTGGCTTCTGTCGCTGGTCATCCAGAGATGTCGGCATTGAAGATAAAAGTGTTGGTGAGTTTAAGTTACCATCAGTTGAACAGATCATGGCGTCATGCATGTATAGCAACCATTTTTTTTTTTTGGGGGGGGGAGGAGGGAGGGGTTATTTGTAGTCTGTTTCAAACTCATTTCAGTCAAAGCCCTCTTAACACTTTGAACCCTAAGAGTGACTAGCATCTAATTTCTCCCTACAATATCACCCATGAATCACACATTTAGGTCCAAGGAATAAGAGAAATGATCACCAGCAAAAAAAGCTCTTGATTTTCCAACAAATTCTCCTTACTAGCACCTTAGGAAATATATGGTGAGCTGTATGGAGAATATACATAGTGATGTCAAGTTTATTAACTGAAATTCTAACCATTGAAAGTTAAGCTCTATAATATTCCCTGGGGCAGTAAATCTGCATTGTTCACTGAGCACTGAGGATTAAATAAATTTTTTCACTTATCTGTTGCTACAGCATTACAGTTTCTGTTGAATAATTTGCTAAGTTCTTTCTTCTGACGCCAAATTTACTTTCCCTTTTTCATTTTCCAGCAAGTGGTGCATGGCAAGAACAGGAGAGTCCTGCTACTAAAAGGGTACTAATTCAAATTACTAATTCAAATAAATATTGGTTGACTTTGACTGTTATTAATCATGATGTAGTAAGCGACACCTCTCGCTAATGGCTATAGTTTGCAAGGTGAAGTGGTTTTAATCAGATTTTAGTAGTAACCAGTCACTAGTCTTGGACAAAACAGAAGCTCTGTTTGTACCCTTATAATTCTATCCTAACCCTCTCACTCTTAATATCGCATTAGTAATTCTCTTCACTGTCTGCCATATAATTCTCATGTTGCTGGTCTTGAGAATTTGCTATTGGATCAACAAAAAATCCCTTAATTGATATTTATTTTTATTCTTACCACTTGCCTCCCTGATATTGTATTCTTGATGGTAAAACGAAGAGAATTGTGTGACAGACAGTAAGGAGGATTACTAACGATATCTTGGAAGTGTAAGAGTGTTGTTCACTTAACAGGGTAGCATGTTGTTCTGTTTTCATTTTTCTCTCTCATATTTTTTTGGCTGACTTTCAGGTTAATGTCCTTGTGGAATATTATAGACAACTTGCGCAGAAAGAAAAAGTGGAACGGGAAAAAAAGAAATTGACCAAACGACGTAATTTCATGCATTTATCAGTGAGTAACCAGCTTGTACATGAACAGATAGATTTATTTTGCTGAAGACAAGTAGCAGCAGTAATTTTGTGGGATTTTGCATTGTATGATTGCAATCAAGATTAACCTGATATAATTATATTTTCCAACGTAAAATTTGATCATAAAGAAAAACTCAATAGTCTAGGGAGTCGATATATTTTGTATTCAGCTAAATTCAAGTATATTTATAAACTGTAAAGTCCTTTAAAAAAGTTAAAGTGTAATAATACATTTACATTTAGGGGTTACTTTTTAAGAGTATAAATTTATTGCAATAACTTTGTCTTGAATTTAATCAACATAATGTTATTGATTATCATTTTTGTACAATCATCTAATCCTGCATGGCAAAAATTAACTACACTGGACACAGTTTACTCCACGAAAGGTGAGGTTCTGTGACATTTGAGTTTTTACCAAATAACAAGTATGAAATAGTGATAAAAACTAATACTAAATCTTTTGGGGGGTAAAAAGTTATAGATCTTAGTTTATAATTGAAATGTTCAACATTGTAATTCTAAAACCAAAAATCAGGGGACTTGTGTAAATAAATTCCGAAGACAAGATTATTATAATAGGCATAATTTTAACTAGTCGTTTCTCAAAGTGTATACTCTATTTAAACCTGCAAAATATAACTGCCTATTTTTCCTGTTTATTGTTCAGTAATAAAGTGCTCCCTATACTTCTATTTGTGATTTAAATTTTCATGATCTTCGGCAATTTAGTTTAGCATAACATTGCTAAGAGACCAGACTATCCCCACCCAAGGGCTTTAGACAATGAACATTTGGTTTGGTTTTTTTTTTTGGTAGTATCACTGTTATTTTTCCAAGACATTACTAATTAAAGAGCACTTATCAGCCATTACAACACCAACCTTGGTTTTTAATTTAGAGGTAAGTCATTTGATCCAAGATGCAATGTTCTTTTAATCTTTTTTTCAAGGATAAGTTTGGCTTGTCATCACTAACAAGACGCAAAAGCAGCCTTTCCTATCTTACTGCTAGTTTCAGTCCAAAAGGGTAAGTTTTCTGTCTATTCTTGAGTGAATATTTTGCTATCCTGGAGGGTAACTCCAGTCAATTGTTGGAGTTTATGGACTGGGATCAGTCTTTGGGGTCACCCTCCAGGATAACAAAATATTTACTATCTTGGAGGGTGACCCAGAAGACTGATCCCCAGTCCATAGACTCCAACAATTGACAAGAGTTGTAGGACACCCCACAGATAGCTCCTTGAGCTAATGCAACCCTCTCTTCCCCCTCTGATAAATTGGTCCATGGGCAAATATGACCCCTCTCCCCTTTGGATAGATTGCTCTATGAGTCAATGCAACCCCTCTCCTCCCCCTCAAAACAATTGATCCATTAACTAATGCAACCCTCTCCTCCACTCAGATACATTGGTTCATGAGCTAAAGCAACCCCTCACCCCTCCTTAGAAAGATTGGCCCATGAGCTAATGCAACCCCTGTCCTCGCCACCTTGGATAGATGACCCATGAAATCATGCAACCCCTCCCTACCCCCCCCCCCTTGGATAGACTGGTCCATGTGCTGATGCAAACCCCCTCCCTTCCCTTCTTATGGATATTTTGTACAGCCCTTAGGCCTTTTCCTTGCAATCAAAACAATAGCATAGTAAAGTGACTGCACACCATTTTGCTTATAGGAAAGATATCATGGATGAAGAAGTTAATTTAAAAAATCCAAGTGAAGCTGTAGAAGAAGTGGAAACATTACCAGAGGAATTTTACAACAAGCCCTTGATCCTTGAAAAAGGTAGCTGGAAATACATTTTCACATCACAGTTTAAATTGCAAATGTTAATTTAGATCTGGGTTGAACGAAATTAGCCACTGTTTCAAAAGTCTGAGGAACTGGCCCTTTGTCACAATAGAAAGGCTACCCAGCTTTTTTTACCCTTTACAGTGGCTAATTTAGCCCAACAAAATTAGTCACCTGATAACACCACAGTTTCTTTAGGGTTAATAGATCAGTTTCAGGGTCTGAGAAACTGCACACCTATCCCTCCCCTGGCCCAACAACAACCACCTGATAACAAGTTAGGGTTAATGTTAGGGGGGAGGGGTAAGTACACAGTTTCTTGGTTACTGACATTGATCTGCCAAAGTTTAGTTCCATATTCTTCTCTATGTCAGGGAGGTCTCCTTATTAGAAAGCTCACAGTATTTTGTTGAACAATATATTTTCTAGTTCCAAATCTGTCACAAAGACTTTGTCAGCCTGATTTCCAGCCAGGAGCCATTGGGTGAGATTAGAATGTTTCTTCACAACTTGTTACAAACTGCAGAGAGCTTTTACGCTTGCTGCATTGTTCCATTTTCATTATTTATAACGTTATTGTCATTTCTGTTTATATTATAGTGATCTTCACCCTAGACACAAACACCTCCTGGCAAAGAGATCGCAACGCTGCAGGGTGAGGAAAAGAAACCTGTTAAAGAATTGAGATGTTTTGACTCTTGGCTGAGACAGCTCTGTTTATTTTTTCATTGCACAGGAATGTGAACATAACCTCAGCAAACCAGAATTCAACCCATCATCAATAAAGTTCAAGATCCAGTTAGGAGCAGTGTAAGTATATGGCTCTGTTCTGTGTCCGGGGTGTCTTTTTGGGAGAGTCCAAGTGCCACAGGTTACCAACTTTGACGTTTTATCTTTGGGAGACATTTATAACTCTGCTTTTAGTTCATGAAAGATTTTACCCCTGTAGACCCTAACATCAGCATGTATATTCTCCTTTTTGTTCCCTACACATTTCCTATGACACTGACAAGGAGAACTATGCTAAAAAATCAAAAGCTTTTCAAGTTTGCAATCATTTCTATAATTCTCATGAGCCTGATGTTTGATTCAGTAGTGACATCTTGGTGAGAAATCGATGCTAAGTGCCCCCAAGGGGTTAAAGTGTTGGGGGTTGAGGTCTGCGATTTCTGAGTCAATTTTCCGCGGACATGAATTGATTCTTCTAGTAGCAAATCTTCTGTGCCCCTTGTCACTTGTATTTGAAACAATCATCTTAGTTATGAGTACTGATACAGTACTAAAACTGACTTTGTTCTCTTGCAATTGTTCTGACATTTTGTTAGTGCACTTGACTCCGAATCGGATGGTTCGGGTTCGAGCCCTGGCCAGGATCATTGTGTTGTGTTTTTAGGCAAGACACTTTACTCTCACAGTGCTTCTCTTCACCCAGGTGTACAAATGGGTACCAACAAATATGCTGGGGGTAACCCTGCGATGGACTAGCATCCCATCCAGGGGGGAGTAGCAATACTCCTAGCCGCTTCATGCTAAGAAAATCGGAGTTAAGCACTGGCCCCATGGCCACTTGGGCCTGTATAAAGGCTTACTACTAAGTCTGCTGTTAGAAGTTTTTCTTGTAATGTACAAAACAACTTTCAGCTTGGACTATTTTTGTTAAACAGTTTCTTTGTTTATCTTGCTCAGGCATTATGTACCCTTGTTGAAAATTTCAAATGTCCCAGTTCTGAAGTTTGGCAAGGTGAGTGTCAATTGTGAGCTCAAATTCCTCACTTGCTTCCCAGCAGAATTTTTTTTACCAATCTGGAAACTTGACAGGCAGAGACAGGGTATCAAATTCTCAAAGCATAGGTACGGAATACTTATAATTGAGAAGAACCACAGTACCATTGAGAGTGTGCCATAATGTAAAGCACAGGAGAACCAATGAGATTGCACCAAAATGCATCATTAGCAGCTGGCCATAATGTAACAGAAAAAGGAACTCATAACGATCAAACCCTATTACTTGCCAAATTCTAGAAGAAAAGCATTCAAAACATCACAATCCTTGATTGATAGGATGAGTCTAACATCGATAGTAACTCTGTGTGTCATTTATCATTGTCAATCATGGGAGACATGGTAGCCAATGGTTAGTTTGTTAGACTGCAAATCGAGAGGTCTGGGTTCAAGACCTGGCCAGGTCATTGTGTTAAGGTCTTTGGCAAAACACTTAACATTCACTGTGCCTTTTCCACCAAAGAGTATAAATGGGTTGCAGTGAATTGTCAGGAAGCCCTCAGAAGTCCCCCGCCCTCCAGAGGGGAGTGGTAATACTCCTAGTCCATTGAGGCTATGCAATAAGCTCCAGTAGGATGGGCCTCTTGACTCAATAAAAAGCTATACCTTATCATTTTTGATACAATGAACAAACACTGTGTTTTCCTTGTGATTGCAGGAGTCTCAAGTGACCCTCTCACTGACAAATCCAGTGGAAAATTTATTAAAAGTCACCCTGTTACAATTTGAGGAAGAGGCAAAAGACACAGCCAAAGAAAATGACACACAGGACCAAGGGGTTAATTCAGATCAGAATGCTGACAAGAAAGAAGACAAGAATGAAAATGAAGAGAAGAAAGAAGATGAAAAGAAAGACGTGGGTGAAGCTCAAGACAAGACTGATGTAGAGAAAGATACAGAGAAAGAGAAGAAGAAGGATGGCTCGCTTGGAGTGACAGCTGTCATTCACAAGCCAGACCGCAACATGAATAACAGTTGTGAAAGTAGATGTTTTGTATCCACTGCTGAGGTAAATCTAAATATTTCTCTACCCTTTGAGAAAGAGTGATTAGCATCTAATTTCTCCTCAAAATGTCACCACTGAATCAAACATTAAGGTAATGAGAATAAAGGAAATGATCACCAACTAAAGAAGTTCTTGATCGTTAAACAAATTCTCCTAATCAGCTTCTTAGGAAATGTATAGAGAACAGTATGGAGAATATGCATACTGATCTTAGGGTGTAAAGAGTTATAATGTATTGTAAGGAGAAATTCTGTCTTGGTCACTCATGGAGATTAAAGGGTTTAGGGTCCACGGTCCCTCAGAGAAGGTAACACACGTATAGCAATCGATATTTTTAATCGCTGTTGTTCGTTGTTTGTTTGGGTTTTTGTTTGTTTTCCTAGGTTGTCTTGCCAACGTTCCCGCTGATGTTAGGAGCACGTGACGAGGCTGCTGAGTTTGATGAAATAGACTCTGGTACTTCAGCAGAGATGTTTAATGATGATCCAAGGTTAGTTGTCAAATGTTTAATGATGATCCAAGGTTAGTTGTGAAATGTTTAATGATGATCCAAGGTTAGTTGTGAAATGTTTAATGATGGTCCAAGGTTAGTTGTGAAATGTTTAATGATGATCCAAGGTTAGTTGTGAAATGTTTAATGATGATCCAAGGTTAGTTGTGAAATGTTTAATGATGATCCAAGGTTAGTTGTGAAATGTTTAATGATGATCCAAGGTTAGTTGTGAAATGTTTAATGATGGTATCCAAGGTTAGTTGTGAAATGTTTAAGGATGATCCAAGGTTAGTTGTGAAATGTTTAATGATGATCCAAGGTTAGTTGTGAAATATTTAATGATGGTCCAAGGTTAGTTGTGAAATGAAATAATTTAATACACATATATACGAAACATCGGATAGCGTCGAAGGAGCGCTCTGATTGGCTACTCAAATTCCAATTATCCTTCGCTGTTCACCTCCGTCCGATAAAAATTGTAATTGTTGCAGGGATCTGTTAAGCGTATACTGACACAACTATTGATCTCTGTTTCGGTGGCTAGTGGTGACTATTCGTTGAGCCGCAAAGCGGTTCAGTAAATATCCCCCAAATATTAGGTGAATCTTTGTGAAATATTATATAGTTCTCATTGGCCGCTGAGATTATTCAGCTGAAATCAGTTTTAGTACTTAGGTTACACGCTGTCTCAATTGACACATTCAAATACTTCAGATAAAGTACTTCTTTCCTACTACTAAAAAAATTGTTTGAAGGATTAAAAGATTTATTACAACCTCAATGTTTTTAATTGCCATAGTGTATCAACTGTAGGTTGTAACGTTATAGCTGCTTTTGTTGTCTTATCAGAGTTGTCGTCAACCGACAAGCCAACAAGTTATGGTTTCTTGTAAAAGTTTTGCCACAAAAGCCAGTTGGGGATGTCAAGGTGTGTAGGAGTTCTTGTCTTATTCAAAGCAGCGTTTTTCTATTTCAGTTAAGTGTTGAAAATAATCCGGAGTTGTCCTAGCTTTGCTTTACCGCTTCCTGTTACTCAAGGTCGCGAACTTTACCACGGGCGAAGAAACACTCGTGCCGAACCTCTCTCTGTTAAAAGAACTGTGGTATGCATGAGGTCTTCTTTAAAAAAAAGACGATAATTGGTCATTTACTGTCATTATTTTTCAGTTTTCCATGATCATGCAGTATGAATACAAACACATAACAACAGCCCTGGTGCGAGGCGGTCAGGAGTCGGAAGAACAAGTGGTTACATTGAAACACAAGCTACATATCAACCTCGGCCCAGTTCTGACCGAGTCATAAACTTAATATTATTGATATTTATAGAACGGTAGAGAGGGAAATATGAAAGTTGTGGTCCAGGATAGGGATAAACTATTGTGCATTTTCATATGTTCTGTGGGGTATGTTGGTGCGTCGTCTTTGTTATCGTGGTTGTTGGCTTCGTCGTCGCTTCCTGTAAACTTTTTTTTCGTAACTGTTGACTTCGCCGTAATTTTGAAACATCGTCATCGCTAGCTTTTATTTTCGTCTCCGTGACTGTTAATGCGCCAATCGATTCAAAGCTTCAACATCCTTTCCCCCGGGAAACCCACGACCATCTTCCTTGCTCGGGTGGTGGGGAATTTTAGCCTGGTCTTGCTGGGGTTGGGAATTTGAACCGGAAGTGTCAAGTCTTTTCAGTGGAAAGTGGGGGTGGTAATTTGAACAAACCAAACTTCAAAAGTTCAAATGCCGGGGGGCGGGGGAATGGTGAAGTTTTCGAATCTCGTAGTTCTTCCAGAATCTAACGCAGGACTTCGACGTCTTCTGTAGCATGATACTAATGAATTTCAAAACTTGTATTTTTTCTATTTTTACGCACATCTTTCGTTGAAAAGAGCGAGACAAGGCAGATTAGAAAAAAAACATTAACGCAATATAAAAGGAGAGGGATCAATGCTAGTATCTGGGTAATTGCGCACCTACTCCTCCCCTAACGCATCAATAACCCTAGCTTGTCATCAGTTGCCTGTGCTTGGGTTAGGGGAGGGGTAGGTGCGAAGTTGCTCAGATCCAAGGAGAGTCTTAAGATTGTCAACGAAGGAAATAAGATAAGCCAATGCCTCAGGGAAGGAGATGAATAAATAAATGACAGGTTTGCAATGAAGGAAGGCCCGATTTAAATTAACCCTTTACACTCTAACATCGGTATACAAATTCTCCATACTGTTCTCTATACGTTTCCTAAGGTGCTGACAAGGAGAATTTGTCTAACAATCACGAGCTTGTAATCATTTCCGTCATTCTCGTGACCTTCATGTTTGATTTAGGGGCGATATTGTAAGGAGAAATTAGATGCTGGTCACTGGTCACTGGTTATTGGTTACATCTTGATGATGAGGGGATCCAATTAGCAGCCCGCAATACAGTGGAACCTGTATTAAGAGCCGCCGTATTTAGCGGTCACCCTTTATTAACCAGTCGCTTGTCAAAGTCCCAAATTTTTTCGCCTTACTGTAATTTTCACTTCTATTAAGCGGCCGTGGTCAATCTTTACTGATACCTCCACCTGTGCCACTAAAGCGGAAGCACTTAAAACTAAGAAAAATCCTTCAAGTAAATCAATCCATTTTTCTCTCCCGAAATCAATGTATTTGGTACTTTGAATGGAGTTTTTGTGCATTGAGAGGTCAATTGTGGGTTTAAGAGATACCTTCTCTATAACACCACTATTCTGTGGAACCTATTTTGATCGGTCAACCCGCCTTTCTCCGTGAGCGATCGCTTTAATACAAGTTCGAATGTATGTATGAGAGAAAACTGGACGCTAGTTGTAGAGAGATGCGCAAAAGGGTGGCCGGGAAGGGTGGGTGTTTTGCGTTGCGCGTTCTCGAGCTTTGAAGTGAAGAGCAACATGGATAACTCAGAGGTACTACATTTGAATTTAGTGCTGGATCTGGTATCCTTTTTCAATATTTTCAGAGGAGACATGGAGAGAATCATCGATGAACATGCCCAAAACTTGGCACAAGCTTGTCGCGATTATCCCGATGTAGAGGTTATTCATTCCGGAAGCGGATTCGAAGGGCTTTCTCTTCCTCAACTGGTTCACGGTCAAACATGGAATACTGATGCCGACCACATGATCATCAAAACCAGCCCTAAATTACAAGAAGGTGTGAAGCGAAAGGAGACCGAAGGAGAGAAAAGCATTGAAGAAGACGAACACGTTGCGCATGAGAAAGGGTCTCTTACTGACAAGGAACCAAATATCGCGGAAAATGACCTGTTCATTTATGACGCTTCGCATGCAGGATATTTACACTTGTCGAATAAGAGGCTCATTTTTCCAACTGATTCAGATTCTGTTCGGGAGCACTACCTTCAGAATTCGAAATTCATCGAGAGTAGTCGGGAGCTCATTCCGTTGAATCTTCCATGGCTGACATCGAAGGAAGGCTCCATTGTAGGTCCTTCGTATTCCTTGCAGTATGCCACTGGCTCATATAACGTCGATCATGACTTTGTATATGGGCTGAAATGTGAAAAGTGGCCATTGCAAGCGACGGAGTGGATTCTTAGGGACAGGCCGCAATCTTGGCCAAGTTTCGAGCAGGTTTCCGCGATATCATCTCAGGGTTGTCATGTCGTTCCGGTTGGTTCCCACATGAGCCACCTCAAGGAGTTCGAGTGGCGATTTTCTTTCTCTGTTGCTGAGCTGATGCTTGCTCGTTCCCTGACAGACGAACAAAAGTTAGCATACTCCGTGCTTAAGGTACTGATCAAAAGTGAGATGAAATTGCGTGACGCAGATGCTTTCGCCTCGTATTATCTCAAAACGTGTTTATTTTGGTTGCTTGAGAAGAAGGGAGTCAAGGTTTGGAATGAACAGAGCTTGGCCACAAATGTTCTTGAACTGCTCGATTTCCTTATTGCATTCTATGCCAAAGGCTCGGTGCCAAATTATTTTATTGCTAAGAACAACATGGTGGATCACCGCTCTCCTGAAGACATTTTGAAAACGTGTCACGCTCTGAGGGAAATCCGCGACTCTGTAACGCAATCTTTTTGTCATTACGTACAAAGCAATCAAGTATTGCCGGTTTTGTTTGATACATCGCTCACTCAGCTGCTCAAAGAAAACCCTACAAAGTTTCTCCAGAGTTGTAAATACAATTTTCTAGTAATGGCTTTGGCTTATATTCTAAGACCCGTGAAGAAAGTTCAAATTAACATTTCGAGTCGGTGTCTCGAATCTGCTGCTTGTCTGGTGAAGAAGGCCGAAATTCTACACAGAGCTACTCGCGAAGCTGGGTCTCAAGGGTACACAAGGTTGCTTTCAGCTCTTTCTGACACTTTCACACCCGTTGAAAATCCAACAACAAACATGGTGCTTTCAATGCTCGAGGAATACTTAGCCACAGATGAGATGAAAGTAACGGAAGCGAGTGCTGTAGCCTTGGCGGTGTTTAACGTTTTTTTAGCTCTTCATCCATCGTCTCTCCACAAGGAAAGTTGGGACAATTCTTTAGAGTTTCATGAGTACCTGGTAAACCCCATCTTCAAAGATTGCCTCTTCTGGGCAGCTCAAGTTCACGAAAGATATTGCGACGCCATCTATAACTTTGTCGTAAAGAAATGGGTTGGTGGACCCAACTTTTTTACAACGGATCACGAAGCCACCAAGTTTATGAAGCTTCTGATGGTAATTCTTGGAAAACCTACCAAGCAGGCAAGCGCTGTGACTGGATCTTTGTTTCGGTCAAGCAATGAAGGACAAATGTTTTTCCTGACTCGTCTCCTCGCAGATTATTTGATGCACGTTCATTTGGAGTGCGCCTACGTCACATTTCAAGCAAGCGCGTTCCTCATGAACAAGAGCGTCCTATCCGAAATTTACTTGAGTATTAACTGGGGAACCTACAAGCCAAGCCAACTGCTCGCTATTGAACTAGTCTTGTCTAAACAAGAATTACAAGCTGAACTGTCCGAGGAAGACTTTACCAAGCTGATTGAAAAGCAACACGAGTTGAAAACAGAACTTAGCATTGGATAGGGCGCAAACGGCGGGAAGAGGCGTGTAGAGCTGGGGCTCGCGCTTTCAGCGCTTCACGCCTTGCTAGTAGTGACTGAGAGGAATAATAAAGAAATGCTGGAAGACTTACAGGTCTCAAGGAGATCTTGTTTGTGTGCAGAGAGCTTGTTCTTGACATGCTCAATTTTGTTTACCGTTTTTTATCACTTTCCAACGCCTGTAAATTACGTAAATCTGATCAAAAATAAAACTTGCTTACCATCAGTCTCAATCATAGCTGCGAGAATAAAAAAAGACAATTTTCTCTCCCTTCCATAAAAAAAACCAATGTCAGGGCTTCTGCAAATAAAGATCCTTTATCAGTAAGTTAAAAAAGGGTCAGTTGCGAGATCTAACAAAATTAGTTTTGACTGAAGTGATTCTTCGTACACTCTAGCTGACTACTTCAAAATGCGCTACTTTTTTTGAGTTCCCAGTCCTCAGACCAAAGTGCAAAATAGTGTTAAAATTATTTCCGTTTCTTCTGATTCTGAAACACTTTGAAGAGCTCAACTCGAAAACGCCGCGACTTACATGAGATCATCGCACTTAACCACCCAATTATCACCTCGAAATTAAACCTCGAGTGTTATGAAATGATCTTTCCTCAAACTTCTGAGATACTTTCAACAGAACAAGACTCTTCCCTCTGTGAGTCAGAGCGCGCCACGTAATTTGTTCCCAATCTCTCTCGGTCACTTGTCACACAACACCTAATAAAGAAAATATGGCGCTAGTAACGAGGTTATTTTCAGTGAAATTGTTATACCTTTTAATCATTTCACTCTTGCCTGGTATAAATTTAGCAGACTTAGAAGGTCTGAATGAATATTCTCTCGCAAATATCACCGCAGCAGTGAAGAGCGGTTGCGTTTTGGCGGCATTGAAGCCGGCGTTGAAGGATACTACTCTTCATTCAATTTTTCAAAAACTTTCTATGGCTTTTAAAAATGAAAGCCGAGTTAATGTGGGAGTTTTAAGTCTTGGTGATGCGAGCAAGATCTCGTGGGAACGTAGTACAAGTCGAGATTTGGCTGATTATAGCGATCTGGCGTTCTTTCCAAGAAAAAAGTCGGACAGGGCATGCCTTATACGACCAGCTTGGGAACATTTACCTAAAGCCCAGATATTTCGGGGCTCCAGAACAGTTCAAGAATTACTTGCATTTCTCAATGAAAACTGTGAGACTTTCAGGCAACAGGATGGTAATTTATCTCCTGCTGGTCTATTAAGGAGGAGAATTTTAAAAAATTTGTACCGGGTTCCAAAACGTGAGGACCTTAGACATGATCATAATTCAGGCCCTGTCAACATTGGTGGGACATGTGAACGGATTCCTCTTCCTTCCAAAGAGAAGTTTTTTAATGAATACTTTTTTCGATCAAAGCCGGTTGTCATCACAGGTGAGAAAAATTGTACAAACATGGTAATATGTTTAGAGTCATTTCCAATAACCTTTGTGAACAGCAGCTAGATTATTTTTCCCCACAAACCCCTCCCTAAAGATCTTCAGACTGGACAATTTTATTGGAAGTAATTAAAAATTAAATTTAACTTATCTTCTTTCTTAAGCTTAGTGGCCTATCTGACCTAAGCTTACCTCAGCCTCCACGGCATGAATCTAATAGCCTTTTTCTAGCTCTATCAGTCTTGCCAATCTTCCTAAAGGGGGGATGTCAGTCTATAACAAGGGGTTACTCACCACCCCCCAGGTTTCTCTAGTAACCTAGACACTTCACTGTAGCCTAAGGCACCAACCAACTGTAGGTCATTCAATTTTCCACATCATGTAACAGTTTTTTGTAAATTACCCTTGTTTTGACTTTTCATAGATGCTGTAAAAAACTGGCCTGCGATAAAAAAATGGACAAGTGATTTCCTCACAAAAAAGTTTGGACACAAGATGGTGCGGATTGCATTTGCACCTTCTGGAGAATATGAAGGTTGTGAGAAAGCCAACAATTTTGAGGATTTCAAACATTTCAATTTTCCAGATGTGGTGAAATCTCAGCTTCCTTTTCCAGACTTGGTGGTTGTTCGTCCTGCATTTTTAGAAATGAAATTCTCATCTTTCATGGAAGTACTTCAGTCATCAAATAATAGTGATATTACAGCTTATTTAGAGTACTCTTCGATACCAAGTTTACTTCCAGAGCTCGAACAAGACATCAGAGAAATGCCTTTTGTTGCTGGAGAATTAAAGAGAAGACATTTGAATATTTGGCTAAGTAATGGTAATACGTTAGGCAAGCTGCATTTTGACCCATTCGATAACTTTCTGTGTCAGGTAAGTTGATCTTGTTCAAGTGGAGTATATTTTGAATTAGTTTTGTAAATTGAAACAAAAAAATCACAATGGCATGAAAAAAAAAGTGGGAGATGCACTGTCCTTATGGTCAATGTGGTGGACTTTGGGTTGAAAGGGGCAGTTCAAGACATAGCTGGGTGATCATGTTGGGTGTTAGACACTTTACTCGCACAATGCATCTCTTCATCCTTGAGTATAAATGGGTACTACAAACTGGATTAAGATTTTGCTGAACACTTTAACTCCCATGAGTGACCAAGACAGAATTTCTCCTTACAATATCAATACAAAATCAAGAAGTCAAGTGATGAGAACTTAGAAGAGTATCGATTAGGGGATCATTAGTTGATCCAATACCAAATTCTCAGAAGTAACATTAGAAGAATTGTATATTGGACAGTAAGGAGAATTACTAATGAGATCTTGGGAATTAAAGGGTTAACCATTTACACCCTAACATCAGTTTACAAGTTCTCCCTACTAAACTCTATACATTTCCTAAAGTGCTTAAAGGAGAATTTGCTAAATAATCAAGAGCTCCTTGAACTCGCAATCATTTCCTTTATTCTCATAACCTAAATGTTTGATTCAGGATTAATAGTGTTGGGAGAAATTAGATGTTTATCACTCCTAATGGTTTAAGGATTAACTATTTATTTATACATCTCTATAAAAGTGTACAGCTTTATAACTGCAGTCAAACCAAGTGAATATCATTATCAATATCTCTTTTCCCTTTCAGATCAGTGGGACAAAACAATTGTTCTTATATGAACCACATGATAACACAAAACTGTATGAAGCTCATATTCAAGAGGCTACACTCAGCTACAATCCCACAAACAAGAAGTTCCGTCGTAAAAAACTTCTAGAAAGTACCTCAATGGTGATGTCTCCAGTTGATATCCTTAAACCAGATTATCAAAGATTTCCAAAATTTAAGGGGGCACAGGCTTTGAATTGTACTATAAATGAAGGTGATGTTCTATTTATGCCGTCATTTTGGTGGCATGAGGTCCAGTCATCTCCAAGTAAGGAAGAGCAAAGAAATGTAGCAGTGAATTTTTGGTAGGTCTCTTAACCCTTAACACCCTCATGTCAGTACATGCAAAATCTTTATACAGTTCTCTGTACATTTCCTAAGGTGCTGATGAGGAGAATTTGGTAAACAATCGAGAGCTTCTTTAGTTGGTGATCATTTCCTTATTCTCATGACCGTGATGTTTGATTCAGGGCTGATGTTGTAGGGAGAAATGAGATGCTAGTCGCTCAAACAAACTTAAGATATGTATAGAACCTTAAGACATGTATAGAACCTTAAGACATGTATAGAACCTTAAGATATGTATAGAACCTTAAGATATGTATGGAACCTTAAGATGTGTATAGAACCTCAAGATGTGTATAGAACCTTAAGATGTGTATAGAAAACAGTATGGAAATTATGCTTACTGATGTTAGAGTTTGGATTACAATTGAGGAGGTTCTTGCTTATCAGGGCTACATAGATCTGCAGGGCACAAAATGGTTTAATATTTTAGGCAGAGAAAATATTTTATTTTGTTTTCAATTTAATTTACTAGTTTTTATTTTCCTTTTCTTATAGGTATGAGCCTTTTTTAACCAAAGAGTTTCCTTGTTCCACATGCAAAATGGACATTAATTCCTTTTATCGTCACATGCTGTACTCGTAATATTTACAGTTTACAAAAACATTGTACATGTCGTGAAGATTATCTTACATCGGTTCAATTCTATTAAAAAGATTATTTACAAACTTCATGCGTTAAACAATGACCACTATCGACACAATTCAAATCGAGTCTGAAATTATTAGTTTGAAAAAACTTCGTTATTTTCCGTCACTGTAACTAAGACAACAGTGTTTGATTTTAAGTCCTTGGGTATTAAATTATACGCTTCAGCAATTAGGACAGAGACTGCCACAGAGGTTGCCCAGACGTGCAAAATCTGTTTGCTCCATTTCTCCATGGTGTTTTTAGTGGACCTTAGGACTCCACTAAGCTTTTTGTTGAGCAGTCTCTGAGCATCTTCTACCGTGAAATCTCCTTGATATTTCATGGCCCTTGTCACAGAAACACCTACTTTAGTGCTAAACATCATACACGTATAATCGGTTATGGAGCCACCTTCGGGAAAATACTGCACTTCCATTTCGGTTTTCTGCAGATCGGCTCCAAAACAGCGCCGAAGGAGCTCAAAACTTAGAATTTCACTCTTTTCTGAGCTACCCCCGGCGTTGGGACATGTTGACATTCGTTTAGCTCCTTTTGACAAGGACATTTGCGAAACCGGTTTCAGTTGTCTGAGTTCGGTAAATACCACACCAGAGTGTGTTTCCGTGCAAACTTTACGGCGAAGATTAAAAAGATTTCCATGTTTGACGGTGAAGTTTTCTCCAATATACATTTGTGCATCTTCAAGGAGAGGATCTTCGATCGTGCTGTAACTCTCCTGTCGAAAAACATGGCTTTGACTACGAGTTCGCGGTTTCAGTACAATTTGGCCGTTCCATCCCGCTATGCCCATGCCGAGAACAATTTCGTTTCTTTTGTCGATGGAAAAGTGATTTTATGATGGTCATGTTTTTCTGGCTTAGTGTAGTTAAAAAGAATGATGAAAATTGTAACACGGGTTGTTAAGTATTCTTCCAATGTCTAATTTTGGTATGTTTACATGACTTTCATCATCCTTGCATCATGTTTTAACTGAGCTATAAATAGATGTGTTATGACATGACGTCATACTTGAACGTACCTTACAGGATTATAAATTTGCAACGGAAAAAACTGCTAAGAAATAATTTTTTCTTCAATAAGAAGAAATAGGGAAAGTCAGTTTTGAAACCACAAGCTGTAAGTATTTTATTTTTGTTTTTAAATCACCCGCTTGGAGATTTAGCCAGTCCATACGGGTTGTGCTTCGATTTTCAATACAGTTTGTTAGGAACCTTTAGCGACGTAGAAATTCATTATGCCATTGCGTTTCTTTGAAGTCATGAGATGATTTAAGATATAAAACAGTTCAGAAGCTCCATGACCTGCATATTTTTGTACTGATGACCGGAAGTCTGAAAAAACTTGAAAGTGCCGTAGACGGTAGTGGGGAATTTTAGTAAAGAATAGGGGAATCGATGGGAAGTGTAACTGCCATCGGAGGTCTCGTCCCAAGTTCCCTAGGGGTATCTCAAAAGCCATTCGATCGGACTTTTCAGGAAAAGAACTATGGGGCAAATTTTCGAATTTGAAAACCTTGTGAACGAAACGAAAAAAAATTATTTTCAAGTTTTTCATGATTCATTAAGCACCACACTGTTTAAAGCAAAATTGCACTTTATTTTATCATCTAAGTCGTCAATCTTTGCTGGATTAACATTAAATTTCAACTTGTCCATAGTAGGCGGACATCGCATGCACGGGCATTTGACCGTTATCCGTGCCTCAGGGATAGTGAGCTTCAACCTTGCCTGGCTGGGGTGGGAAATTTAAACCGGAAGTGTCTAATATTTCCAGCGGAATACAAGAGTTGTATGTAATTATGGAGGTATTTAAAGGTAAATAGTTTACTTTCGCGAGCGAATGGCTCAGAAGAAAAGGTCTAGGTTTCTACGCGCTCTAGGTTTTAAAGTTTGGTCAATGTGTGGAAAGTCACGGGCGTTGATTTGCCTTTTACCAAAAGATTGTGTGGGGCCGGCGGCGGGGGGAAGTGGAAGCTTTGGATTCATCGACGCATTACCAGGGGCAAGCTTCGTGGATTACCACGTGATGTCTCGAGATAATCATTCCGTGCTTAAAGAAGACCACTGCCAAGAAACTCCGTAGACTTTTACATCTATTTTTATAATTTTTAACGTTTGATAAAATTCGGCTTCGGAGCTTCTCAGCGGTTAAAAAAAGACACTTCAGTGCAGCTCTTTCGTAGGAGAGTCATCCCACTGATCGCAATAAAATGTTCTATACCCAAAATAATTCTTTAACCATGGTCTCAGCGAAAGACTAATTGATTGCAAAAGTCGTTTTTGTTTTCTTGCCATTTGATCGTTTATTTCAGACAAGCCTTGAAATTTGATTGGTTACTGTGTTTTTGTTTTAGCCTCCTTATGGGCTGGGAAAAAGATGCGATCAAGAGCTAAAAATGGTGTGATTTGTGAGTAAATCGCACAGATGAGAGCCAATCAGATCGTAAAGATCACCACTAATTTCAAAGTAGAAACATAAGTAACCAACAAGTGAACCACATTCATATCAATCTACGCCATACTATGTTTTTTTAGCTTAATTCAAGATGGCAGCGGAGAACGTTTTCCTCTGATTTCCTGCACCACCATCTTTAAACAACCGGGAATAAGAGAGAAATTGCTGATAAATTGCAAATTATGCGGCAAACATTTAAATTAAAAAACCTAGTGGATGAAAGGGGAACCTGGTTAAAAATAAATAAACAAATAAATAAATAACAAGTCAAAATCGTTTTTATTTTATCTTGTCAAACTGTCAAAAACACATTCCTGTTCCCATTCTTTCATATTACAGATTTAGTTTCAAATTTTTTATGATTCATAAAAGGTCTTGTTAATTTTTTGAAGAGCTGCACTTTATTGTTTCCTAGGAAAGTCTCCATTTTCAGCTATAAACTAAGGAAGAACATAATCATTCAATTGACTTTGTACGTAAAAATTTAAATTGATCATATTGCAATCATGTTACAATTTTTTTAACAGCTTTGGTTATCCCATCAGGCGTATGGCCTGGGCTATTCCTTCCCCAGATCCCAGGTAGCTCGCTCCATAGAAACATCCCAAAGAGAGCTTGGCCCGGCTCACGTCCAATTCCACGCATGCACCTGTGTGACCGGGTTTCAGCGAAACTTGTGTAATTTTAAGGCACGCCTTCACTGAAAAGGTGAATAAGCGGAAAGTGTGGCAAATTTCTGGTGGGTCTCGAACTGAAAAAAAAAATCAAAACCGATTAAATATCAAATCACACTGCTGAGAAGGAATCAGATTGTTGTACTGTTCCATTACGATTGGCTGAAAGATAAATGTAATTTAGAGTATTAAGTGGTACGATTTGTGATGAAATACAATGCCAAGAACCAATGAGATCGCAAGGACTAACAGCAATAAAAGATGAAACAAAGGTTACTTTCCTTGTTGGAAAATACAGGGAGAAGTCAGCTTTTAAAGTAACAGAAGTTTTCATGACAGAAATTAGTTAATTGGGAATTTTAAAGTTCCCTGTAAGGTAAAAATTGTCATCAACAGCGGAACCGCTAATATCAAAGCTTGGGAACCGATGTATTTTCACAGTCGTTCGCTTTCAGTCTTTGTATTGAAATGTGAAAAAAATCTCAGTATGTATGAAATGAGAAACATCATACCATATGGAAAGCGTTTGAACGATTGTTATTTACTGGTTGTTCGTTTTTTTTGACGCATCGCAACTCGTGAATTAAAATACGTTTGTGTGCACTTTCCGTGGAATAATCTCCATTTAAGGCATGAACCATGCAGGAGAAGAAACTTATTTTTGAGATCTTTCTATTAGCTTTTACTCACTCGATATATGCTTCTTGAAAATGGTGTGACCGTTGATAATCAACGCCAAATCAAATCCCTGGCAGATGAAAAAAAAAGAAAGAAAAGGCATTGACAATTTTAAGTATGAGAAAACAAGGGGACCTTCAATTTCCACTTGGTCTGAGTTATTAATTGCAACAAAACCTCTCTTTTGAGGGACATCTCACGGTCAGAGAACACTTTTATTCAGGAGACAAAAACTTTGGTCCTGTTTGACAAAGGAAGAAAAAGACCTTAGCCGTCATTAAAGGGACACTTTTCTTACTTCCAGGGGAGTACCCAGAATGGAGGTTCCAATGTATAACCTTTGCATCTAGTACGTTAGTTGAAGGGATACCTCCAGTCAGGATACACTTTTATAGTCATTAGGGCATTCCCTGAATGGAAGTTCCACACCAAAGAGACGAGATTCCACGAGAAGAGATGGAAATGAATAAGAATGAAAAGGTTGTGAAGGAAGGAATGGAAAGAAATGTGATTGAGGATAAAGAAAATAAATGAATAGAAGGAAATTAGGCGTAAAATGGATGGAAAGAAGAAAAAGGATAATGTAAACAGAGCAAGTAAATTTTTTAAGAAAGAAGTTAAGGAAAAGAAGGAGGAAATGTAAGGAAAAATAGCTGACAGAAAAAGATGGAGCGGACGTGAATAAAATTTCTGTGTGCCTCACCTGTCCTGTTGAATCGATGTCTGCATGAGCACAGGCTGAAAAAAAAAAAAAAAAAAAAAGAAAAACGATGGTAACATATTTTCAGAGCAAAGACCTGAAGACACAGTTTTTTGGGATTGGTAATTATTTGGACTTTAAAGAAACGGGCCTCGGTATCAGGAAGAGGTGGACCGTGGATGCCTTATGTTTCATATAGGTGTAAAGGAATTATACACTGAGTTCATTCAACGCATACTTTCCAATTGAGCAGCGGTAATCTGACCAGCAACACACCTTCTCAGTAACCATACATTTCATTGTAAACTATTAAAAAAAATTTGGTGTTGTAATGACAAACTTCGAACTTTCTCCAAAACAACCAATGCCGTTCGGCTCAAAGCTTAACTAGTTTCTAGTTTAATCCAGCCTGATCTTCAGGACGAAGGAAAAACTTTCGTAACAAGGTTGCGATATGTCTCCTCTCCCTCCCTTCCCCCCTTCTCGTCAATCACTTTCTTTCCCCCCACCCACTTAGTTTCCTGTGCGAGTGTAACCGTTACATAAGCCAAGATCAAACAATATTACCTTTCACAGAGTGACCAAATATTTTAAACTCTGCACAGCAGTCACATTGGGCTGGAGCCTTTGAACACTGGCAGCTGGCCTTGTCAACCGCCATCACTTCTGTGACGTCACCATCTAGTGTCTCCCTAGGTGGATTTGCCAGCAAACTAATGCTATCGATCTGGTTTTCCTGAAAAAAAAAAGTGAAATAAAAAATTGAAACATGATTGAAAAAAGAAAAATAGAAACTCATAGAAATCCATTTGGTTTAAAATTTGGAACATTGGAGTCAAGCCGACTGAAATTAATTCTATTACTTGCCAGCTTTAAGATCTATATACCCCCCCCACAAACATCGTAACGTGCTAATCAAAACTTGAGACGCCTCGCATCCAACCTTGTTCCCAGGCTCTATCTCTTTTGCATAGGAAAAGGAGAAGAGAGATAAAGGGGAGAGAAGCTGGGTACCAGTTGCCCAAAACTCTTCGAGAGAAGTTGTGGTATGAGATTCATAGACCAGGAAGTGGTGTGCTAATTAAGAGCTACACGGTAAGTCAAATGAATCAAAGATGAAGTAATACTAACCTTTGACGCTTGAAAGACATTTTTCAGTAAGGACATGAACGACGCAGGATCTAGAAAGGTCTCCACGTCCACTCCATGCCCGTCCCTATCGTGGAAGAAGAAGCAGCCGAGAGGAATGTCTCTTCCGCTGTGCCTCGATTTTAATTCCAGAGCTGCACATCCTCCAGTGTGATCTCTCTTGATCGTAATCTTGGTGAATTTCACGCAGGCCTTTCCATAATTCAGACGAGGAATGTCAAAACATGCAGGCCGTGGACGGGAATCTGTCGTTAGGAAAAAAGAAAATTTGTGCGGTCAATAACAGAAGCGCAGTCTACGCTGGCGATATCTGATCTGCGTTACCTCTGTTGTCGCGTAATGTATCCTCCAGTGGAGAGCTAGTGGCGTGACGGTAGCGTGACGGCAAAAATAAACTGTTTAAGGCATGGACCATCGGAGAAGTTATGGTGGATGGGTGTAAATGGAATAATTTTCCTTGTAAATTGTCAAGAAAAAAAAAAAAACATGCCTACGAAATTACGCAAGAAAAGCTGCCTTAGGACTAAAACAAAATTCCCAGACAGGGTACCATCCCTCAAACATTCCTGCCTTTAATCACTTTTCTGAGGCTGCGTTCCGTTTGTGGTGCAATGCTTTTCTCAGAATGAGGTGACGACATCGTTACAGCTCAAAGAAGAAGAAGATGAAGGAACGCAATGAAAATGAAAAAGTTAAATTTGCCGAAGGAAAAGTCATGAAAATCAATTGGATAACACTGATATTCTTAATCCATTTGCAAACGAAGGAAACTGTTCGTACCTGATACAGTGCGGTTGAAAACTTTACGTTTGTTCCACATCATGAAAAAGTCCACCGCCTGTAACGGAATGCAATGTTTTAAGGTTAGACTGCTACATGCATCAAATGCTAAATTTTCCCTTTCAGCTAATTCATAACGCATTGTTAAGTTGCAATTTTCCGAAAAAAAAAGGTAAGTGTCTAGTTAATTTTTCTTGTTAAAAATCATCAAAATTAGCAATAAAAGAAGTAAAAGAAGTGAAGCTCACCAATGGCGACCGGACGAAAGACGAGTTCATACACACTGTAAAAAGTCAAATAAATAATCATTTTGATTGGTTCTTACCTATGATCTATTGGAGGACAGACGCGTAAATGACGTCATAACAGACGTCACCGTATGGCGTCACCACTTAAACGCATGACGTCACCAAATACGCATAAATGGCGTCACCGCTGGCACCGTCACTTGATGTTTTTCATCATAAAAACAAATAGATTCCATGTCCCCATTGGTCCGTTCAGTAAAAGATCACAAAAATGTCAAAATGCGGTAGGAACATCAGTAATACTCGGCTGCGCTTAGTATGCCACTTTTTTCGTTCTTACCACATTTATGATCTAGTACTAAACAGAAGCACAGCAACATGGCATCTATGTGTTGAATATATACAAACATCACTCGTTTCGTCAGAAAGTTCATCATTGTGGCAATTATAGCCACATTCGTTGAAGAGAAAATGAAAATGTCAGTTGCTTTTTCATGATCTCTTCTACGAATATACGGGACCTACACCCAATCTTTGGTAACTAGATTTAAACACCAAACTACGTGTGCTATTTGCAAAATCGTTCAACTCTTAAAAAACGAGTTCTTTATGTTGATACCACGTTACGCCTGTCACTAGTTTCCAGGTTTTTCCGAGCTAAGAATTTCTAAAGAGTCTTTAGCATCTGAAATAATTATTTTAAAATTTATACTTACCATCCGCTTCGTCATAATTTTGGAATGCAGGTGCCCTGACTTGAAGGCAGCAGCCGCATTTGTGATGATCATCAGAGCAGCTACAGCGACGGCGAGTAATCTCTAGGGAAGAACTGAAATCCGCTTCGTCTTCTGTAATAAAAATTTCAGTGTCGGATTAAACGGCTCAGAATCTGTAGGGCGTGTTCTTCAGGCGGAGAAAAACTTTATCACGAACTTGGAGCTAGGTGTATGTTAAGGCGCCTGTTTTGATTAATTAGGGGCAAGATTAATGTGTCGTAACAACCATCCATGGTTCAAAGAAGATATCGGTTAAGAAATAGAGAAAGATGTTTTCGTCTTAGCACGAGCGTGGGTCAAGGAAAAAATTCTGAGTCCCCATTGCTGATCCTAACACGTATACAGGACGCGTGTCATATGAACTTCGTAAGTGGTTCAGTGGCTCAGTGGTAGAGTATCGGCATCATTATTATATATATACCGTGGGATGTATTTCGAAACCTTGGAGTCAAAATACTCGAAAATGAAATATTAGTGGAATGAAAAATCCATTTTTCGATGGTTTTAAATATGTTTGGAGCGGACATAATGCTCATTGCTTCGTCCTACGGGGCTCGAAAACGCAAGATATTTGCACTGTCTTTTTGTTAAACCACATCGAACGGGGTGTATAGGCGAGGCGTTCTACAGACTGCCAGGATCAGTAATGTTGATCGAAAGTATCCGATGTCGAGAAAGAGCAAAAAAAGAGGTAACATTTGACACGTATTACGAGCAAGCAACACGATTTAACATGATAATTGTTACATACCATTCTCCCATGTCGGCAGTGCGTAGACGATGTTGCAGAAAGCCAAGAATGCGATGACCACTATAAAGCGAGCCATTGTGTTGTGAAGTATACGGACGAGCTGACTGAATGAATAAAACCATTTGAAGGGACGTGTTTTAAATCGTGAAAACCGAGAGGAATTGGTGATGACGATTCCGATCTTTTCAACCAATCAGGAAATATCACGACCAAATATGACAACAAGAAAACGAAATACCTCTTAAGTGTTTGGCTATATTTATCAAATTATTGCTGTAACGCATCTGTACCATCAAATGTTTTTATATGCAATTTCCAATTTTCCAAGTACTAATAAATTCGGTTCAAGTGCCGTCACAGAATGAAGAACAAAACGCAATAGGCTGCTAAATCTCCTACTAAAAAGACAAGAGCAGTTTAGATATTTTTGTACGGCGATTAGTTGGGTGAAATTGGTTGCAAACCTCATGGAAAAAAATCCACTTGAAGCAACAAGACTATTTCATTTTCGCGTCATTTTAATCCGTCATTGTAATAGATCTTACAAGAATTAAAATCTACGGGAGATCAAAACTTCCTGACTTATAAAACTGAAAGTTTGGTTATGTCCCAAGTTGCTAGATGAGTTGTTGAACCAAAACAGAAGATCACGGAAACAGTCATCATGTGATTGAAATGTGATCGTTTCTCCACTTGTGGATAGAAACAAACACTTAAAGTTTTTGTCAAAACAAAATACACGTGGGCTATAGAGTTTTTGTTAACACACTGAGGAGTCCTCCTAATTGCCATTAATTATTTTTTACTTTGTGACTGATAACTTGGTTTTTTTATTTAAATTTTTCATTATGGTGAGTGTTCAAGCAAAACGAGATCTTGCACTTTCGTCGAGTATCATTAATAATTTTCCGCGACGTCAGCAATCGTTTTTCAGTAATGAATTCATGTCAGTTTTGCCCAATTTATAATTTCTAAATGCTGCAATGTCTAAGCTTGTTTCTAAATTATTTTCATAACACCCTGAGGAAAGACGATTCCTTTGAAATACGTAATTTATTTGAATTACCCAGAACAAAGGAGATTTGTTGGTCAGAAATTGTTTATAGACTGAGATATCTACCCAATTAAAGACAGGATTTCTTGGAAAACGAACGCAGTTCCATTTGTTACCGGTAGTGGCTGTCTACTGAAATTAATCACGATACTCACATCCTTGGTAAATAAAAAAATTAAGTTGGCCCTCTTACTACTTGAACTAACCTTTGACTCTCCATGTTTATCAGAAATTATAAATCCACTATAAGGCCGATTTATCATACAAGGGCAACAGAACGGGCAAAGTACGTGACGGTATCACATTTTATATTCAGAACAGGGAAAAAAATACGGACGGAAAGCGGAGTAACAAAATAGCCGTTCTGAACGATCTCAACTTTCATTTTTCCCCATTTTAAGCTTAACTTTCAAAACAATGTATAATACTAGTTAAGGGCATTACATATGTTTGTTTTTGGTCATGAGCGAACACTGATGGTTTCCTTTTGTGTTACTTTCGTCTTTCGCGCACGCCTGGTGCGATCGGTATGATGCTCAATAAGGCTGTGGGATGTTTTTCGAAAACTAAATGCCAAAATACTAGAAAATGAAATAATTGTGGAAAAATAAATCTCTTATTTGATGACTTAGCATATCATACGGGGGAACATTTAGCGCATTTCTCTTATTTCCCTCCCCATTACGGCACCCGGAAAAATTCAACAGAACTCGGAAAATATTCGCGCGAGTTGAAATATCGAAGAAAGTATAAATTCTTAATTCACAGTTTTAGAACCGATAGAAGTTCAAAAATGTTTCAGGTCTGTCCACTATTTTTTCAATTAGTACACGACGTGAATTTGCAGCGCGAAAAGTATTCATGTTTGGGAACAGCTGTTTTTTTTTCTTTAACACAATGGAGGTATCACTATAAAATGTGCTTAAAACTTGAAATCTGCTCAACCGTTTTCATTACCGAGTTCTTGTCAGACATCATGGCAGCTGTTCCTTAAAGACTGCGGTGCGATTTCAATGGAATACATTCGTAAATTATGACTAGAAATGAAGCCAATGAGCACACCTCTTGTTAAGATAATCTGTCAAAGTAATACGCACTCGTTGGGTCTAATTTATTTCAGCGGAGTTTAAATTTTTCTGATACAACCTTTCTCGCCATAGAAACGGCTTTCACATGAATTGAATGCGTAAAACGCTTTCAGGCATAGATCCGAAATTGTACAGATGGTTTCCTGAAATCAATAACTTCCGAATTTTCTTTTCATCAGTTTTATCTGATACAGAATTTCACACGACCACAGGCCAACCCAGCGATCCACAATTGGTTAGGATTTGCATAAATATTAAAAAAAGTCGAATCCACATTGTTTTGTTTCACGGTGTGACGTCGCTGTTTTACACATCTTACAACACATCGATCAAGAAATTTCTCAGACAGATTCACTTCTTTGGTAATATTCCACAAAGATTAATTGCCAAAGTATTCGGAGTACGTTTGTTAATGAACGCTAAAAATGTTACTTTCCGATGGTTCCCAATTGCGGACATGACTATCTTTGTTCAATATCAAACAGATTACATCTATCGTGAAAATCATTCTGAACTGAACAATTCTTTGGGTCCAGTATTTTCAGTGTTACTTTCATGAGTTTCCAATATTGCAGTTTTTTCTTCATCAGTGCCTCCTTCTTTTTTCTCGCCGTTTTCGGGACCAATCTTCTCGTAAAGCAGTGGACGACCAGCATCGGGTGACTCGCGGCTACAGCAGTAATTCCCCATCGCATTCAACACACAGTTCCCAAAACGTAAATATCAGATGAAGTGTCCTTCGCTATCTTTCAGAGCTCTTGAGCATCAATGATTCAGAATACCAGTTTCCTCAGAAACTTAATCCATGATATGTATTTCCACGTTTTATCTGGCGGACAACAAAACATATAAATTGGCTCTTCTGCCACGTATCCTGTGACCTCTTTAGACTCCGATGGCGATATCTCGTCAGATTTGTTTCCAGTCTATCCTCCTCAAGAGGACTCCAATCGAGTCTGGTCTTGTTACTCTGTATTAGTGAAATTGAACTGACGAACGCGAGAACGAGGCTCTCCTAGTGCCCAGGGTCAATAAAGAGAATTAAATGTTTGAGATTGATACGAGAGATTAACAGATAGGAAAGCAGAAATTACACCCTACAAGAATGCTTCGCATGAAATTTTGCAAGAGTCAGATTCTACTTTGCCAAAGGTATAGAGGAAATTTAAATGTAAATCCACTGAAAAAAGTAATTTTCAGTTAATAACTCTGTTTTGACGTGAAGTTGTAATTTCTGAATCTGCGTTCGTCATCAAAAAGTTTTAGTGGGAATTGACGACCTATGATGCTGCAAGCGTCTCCACTTGACTTCCATTGCATCGAGGACTCTACACGAAAGTGGGTTTTCAAATCGAACCACGGGTTGTAGTGTTTTCAGTGCGCCTCCTATTGGAGGTATTAGGTAGAACTCATTACCACTTCCAAGCTTAACAACAGCAGTAATAACAGTTTATATAAGAAATAACAGTTTATATCCTTTTAATTCTTTCCCTTCACGGATCTTTCGCTCTTTTTGTAACATATGACACTAAAGTGGAATATTTCCACACAAACTTCGTTCTCATACTGAGTTTATAACCTTTCCGTAAGTATAACTACTAAAAATATTTAAATTCACTTCTTTCAAGGTCGGTCAAAGTATCTTTTAACAATAACATATTGTATTTTAAATAGCTTCCTTAATAATTAGAAGCAATAAATATTTCTATAACTTGTTTGTGAACCACGATCTCTTTGTTGATTCCTCCTTCAAAAATGTGTGCAGTTTCTCACCCTCGTCGAAGCTGCGTTTTTATCCCTGCGTTCGGTTTTGGATTAGTCACAACTTGCATGAAAGGCGGGGCAGTTGTAAAGGATGACTGTTCCTCTCTCATGACAAGAGGGAACAGAGGGATGCTTTAAGTAATTTAACGATCTTGAAAGCATCAAAAGTTTTATCAATTTGACCTCGCACGCAGTATGTGAATCGTAAGGTCAACACACCTGGTGACCATCTCTGCTGGCGTCACATTAGCGAGCAAAATATTCGACACGAAGGTGATGAATGGATTATATAGGGAGTTTTAGGATGAGAGTTGTTTTTAACCTAAACGTTTCTTTTTTCCCATAACAGCGCAAAGATATTTTTAAGAGGAACACCTTTCAACTACAATCCTAGGGTTCTAATGTGCACATTTTTCACAGCGGGAATACTCCCGTGTTGAATTAACAATGTCAGCTACCTAAAAAACACGAAAGGAAGTAACAAAACGCAAGAAGAACGTAAATCTTTCTCCTTTCCCCTCAGAAATTAAAAAAGCCTAAAGCGGTAGCACGGGGGGAAAGGGATTTCATCTCTGCGGGGGTCGGGGAGGTCTCTTGAGGTTGGAGGATGTCTTAGATTGTACAACAGGTTTACTGGTATTCCAACAAGATTTCTGGATCGCGAAGCCGTCTACAGAAATTGATAAAGTCTTGGACGGGATCTTCGTAAATTCTTTGCCTCCACTGTTATACCTTAGATAAAAACAAAAAACAAAATGATTAAGCTACGTTTTTGTGGTAAAATGATAAAATAAGGTTTGCTTTAGAAATTGACTCGTAGTGCTGCCTTAGCCGACTCGGTTTCAGTAGCGTGAACGAATAGGAGAACTACAACCCCTCTACACCATCCAAGGCAACACCAGAGCATTTTGTCAGGTTTAACTGACAATTTTTCAGTAGCTTTTCATACAACTCAGTGAGAAAGGCACCGCGAGAAGGCGTCTTACCCAGAGGCAAAATACAATAATTCGGCCTGGTTTCGAACCCGGATCTCTCGCGTCCAAGTCCAGCACGCTACCCATTAGGCCACCAGTACAAAGAAACACAAACATATGTCTTACTTACTTGTAAAGACTTTCAATCATTTTGTTTGTGATAACACGAGGTCCTATTCCAAAGATTTTGAACAGCTGTGAACAGAACGTCATTAAGGTAAGATTTCACCTCGAAACTACAACAATCTCCGAAAAATTAGTTCTTTACTTAGAGCGCTTTTACCTGCATTATGTATTCAGGAAGTTCCTTCTACTTTAAGATGCTTGTTACTCAAGAAAACAAAAAAACTGTCTTCTCCAAAGGCTTTAAAAGGATCAAACAAAGAACTAAGAGGACAAGACGTTACTCCGTTCTACACAACTTTCCCCCCTCCGGAAATCAAAAAGCCTTTAGTAATACAAAAGGGGGGATATTTTATCTTTGCAAGAGTCGGGGAGATCTGTTGAGGCTCGAGAACATCTTACAATGAAGCACAGGATAACTAGGATCAACAAAGGAACAAGTATTAACCTGATCGTTTTCAAGGTTGTGCACATACATCCCTCGGAACTTCAGACCGTCTTTGAATAAAATCATGAAGTGATGGCCATCAGATTCTGAGATAGCCTGAAAAAAAAAAAAAAAAAGACGCAAAAGGTATTAATTACTCCATCCATTACAAGGACCACAGATCCTGGCAGTTTATCTGTCTGTTTGAAAGAGTATTGAACTCGTAAAGAGAATTCAGCTTCTGAATATTTCTGAAGGTGAAAGGTATAATCCTTTGACATGTTAAAGTGACTAGCGTCTTATTCTTCTTACAATATCACCACTGAATCATACATTAAGGTCATGAGAATTAAGGATATGATCACCAAGTAAAGAAGCGCTTGATTGTTAAACAAATTCTCCTTGTCAGCACCTTAGAAAATGTATGAAGAAAAGTGTGGAGAATATACATACTGATGTTAGGATGTAAAGGGTTTAACAACCCCACGGAAAAGGATAACATCTCTACAAACCTGTAGACATTTTTCCTTCTGATCTTGGTTCACTGTGCCTGACAAACACACGTGGGAGATGGCATTAACGATTATTTTTCTGTTAGACTTGCCGCTCGGTTTTACATAACACTGTGGACCTGACAAAAGACAAATTAACAGCTATGTTCAGTCTGTATTCTCAAACAACTCCCAACACAATCAACAAGTTTAAAACGTACCACTAAATTCCGCAAAACCAGAAAGTTGCGACGGAGCTGGCGCTAAGTAAGTGGAGGTGTCATCATTGACATCATATACATGTTGGGGGCCTGCACGACGAAAAGTGGCGTACGAGTCTGGGATTCGAGCGGGCTGAGCCTGGGCCTCTCTAAGTCTCAGTTCCTGCTCGGCTTTTCGTCGTTCTGTTTCCTCTTGACGTAACCTCTCCTCTTCCATTCTCTGAAGCATTTCTTTCTCACGTTGTTTCTCTTCTCTCCTTTAAAATGGAAAAAAAGTATTTAGGCAATACCATCAGCCAATCAGATCAGAGTAAAATATCAGAATAGACAACGAAGACTCGACAGCCTAAAGCGCGGGAAAACGGGGGCGACCAAGTGACGGTTAATTTCAGCTTGGCATCTGATTGGTTCAGTTAAACCAGAGCAATCCCGGAATCCTTTTGGCACACAGTTGAATTTTGCTCCATTTGCTATTTGCTATTTGCCCTATTTTTTGAGTCATACTTGTTTGAAAGCCAAATAGACTAAGAGAGAGGTTGACATTTAAAATTCAGCGTGGAAATTATAAAAACTGAGTTAAAGGTCATTTCTGATTATATTCTTGGTCTTTAAAAATTATGTAACTCCATTTACCGCCTCTTTTTCTCTAATTCTGCCTCCTTTCGTGATTTCTCCTCTGCTTGCTTCTTTTGCCGAGCCTTCATGAACCTCTCTCGCTTCCGTTGTTGTTCTGGAGTCAATCCCTGTATTGATGAAGAAAACAAAGACATAAGGATTGAAAAGGTCAAGTTTTCATGAGAGGATTGGTTCTTCTGCAATTTCCCGCCTAAGCTAACCTTCCTGTCCCAAATACTTTACCTGAGGCGCAAGATTGTCGTCATCGCTGATAAACATCGCCATTCCTTTCTTCTGCGGGGTGTGAATCTCAACCTCAATCTCTCCTGTACCTCCAAAGTTGTTCGATTCTTCTTTAGCGTCATTACTCTCGGATTCTGCGTCAGGATGGACCAATGGCGGCGGTGTAAGTACTGGCCCAACATTCACATCCCAGCACTTTCGCGTAGGACTGGGGCGGGAAGCCGCTGGTTCGTGTGAAGCTGGACGTGTTGGTCCCGGCGTGGGCCTGGAACCGACTTCAACCGCTGGCTGTGATGACGGGCGCACTGTTCCCTGATTATCAACTGGTGGATAATCAGACAGACGAAATTCACGAGTCTCAAGCCCTGCATTGTTTGGAGGACTGGACTCCAGTGCAGTAGCAGGCAACGGAGAGTTTGCTGGGGACGACCAAGCGACGGGAGGCGAGGGTTGATTGGGAAACTCGGGCACAGGCTTTCTCGGTGTTTCGTGGGAATGAGGCGTCGTGACCGGAACCATCTCCGAACGCTTTACCTAGGAGTTTAAAAAGTATTTACGATGAAGAGAATTCTCCTGATCTAGGAATCTCAAGGAGCGTAAGCTCGGTTTGTGCGCTTGTATTCTTCATTACTATTCAAACAATCAAATCTAACCAAATTAACGGTTGTAAAACTTTACCAAATGTCGGCTACGCAGAACACGATGATTTCCAAATTACTCACTCACCTCAGTCCCTTCTCCGACGCCCGGACCTCCTTGTGCCTTTCCAATAACATACCAAAAGGCAGTCTGTCCCAGTTTCCGTCGCTGATCTTCCCACTCGGCCTGGGCTCGATGTTTCTCTGCCTCGATGTGACGCCGTTTTTCCTCCAATTGCATGCGCAGATAGGCGATCTGTGATGTAACAGCTTGTTCATTTTCGGCTTCGTCCTGTTCCGGCTCTTCAATCTCACCTAAGAGCAAAACATTGATTAAAATCATCTTTGAGTGCTTAGCACTCCTTCAAGAGGTGATGAGGGGAGACAATCACCCATTGCAGGAAACCCCCATCCCCACCACCAGGATTTCATTAAATTTCTACCGGAGGGGGGGGGGGAAGAGAAGATTTACTATAACAGTAAAGCATCTTGCCCAAGAACACTACACAATGACCTAGCCATGTATTGAACCCAGATCTCTTCGTCTGGAGTTCAGCACGCTAGACATCAGGCCAGCGCCTCCCGTGACGAAGAGTGACCCTGGTGAATGTTCCAAGGAGCGCCACACGGCTGAGAGACTTCTTCATGTAATTCGAGCATCATTTTCACGCCAAAAAGTCAAAACGTTATATTAAACTGTTAAGTTACGCGACTCTTACTGGCTGGTTCTGAACAGAAAACAAGAAGAAAATAACATGACTTTTTACCATTACATTTGCAAACAGCCCTGAGTCTGCAAAATCATGACTACAAGAGACTCCTTTCGCTAACAACAATTTGCTGTAGTCATTAAAAAACAAAGCCTTTGGTTTAACCTTTAATGAGTTATCAAAGGTTTGAACCTGATCACTAATGGAACTATCAGGTTCTACTTTCCATTTCAAACAAACCTTGAAAATCATCAGGTAAGTCAGTTACTTGATCAAGAACATCCGCAGGTGACATCCCACAATCCCCTTCAGCATCCATTAGACTCTCAATCTTGTCCAGAACGCTTCCACTTGCGCGCCAAGTGGCACGTTCTCGTGAGGGTGTGCTTGTAGATACAGGTTTAAGCCCCTTTGCAGGAACCTTATCTGACGACGACGAAGTATCGTTAGATTTATCTTCAATCACTTGCGCTTTCCCGTCAGAGTTTTTCACGTTAGATTCATCATTACTGACATTCACTTCTTCAACTTCATTGTCCACAATCTGAAATTTGGACGTATTTTGACCCTGCTGACCGCTTGAGGAGTAAAACTCAACCACAAACGCGTCAGAATTAGTTCGCAGTGACGCAGTTTTCTTTGATATTTGTCGTTTAGGCTTCGGAGGCGACTTCTTTTTCACAGAGTTGTTAATCACGGTTTCTTCTGAAATTTCTCTCGATTTATTCTCAGTGTTATCTATACTTTCGATCTTTTCACTTATTTGCATTTTCATCTCACAGTTGTTTGAGACTTTTTTCAAAGCCTCGATTATAGGTACACCCCGTGAAACTTCTTGTTCTACCGAGCCGCTCACGTGATCAAGTGTGAACGTTCGACGGTTTTCGTTGATCGTCGTGTCTTCGGTGAGAACAATTTTGTCGCTTGGTGCAGGACCCACGAGTTTTGCCAAATCTAGTTCTTCGTTCGAGCTATCAAGAATGAGCGTGTTACTTCGGTTGCGCGGCGAATCCACACTTTGTGACGAAATATCGTAGTCGGAAAGTGACGAGATAAATCCGGAATCGACCGATCGCGGTCGGACGTCACGCGAAGATGAAAGCTGTTCGACAGGTTTTTCGGATGCAATACTGTCTAAAAGGTCCGCTAAAGAAGTACCAGTTTGAAATGCTAGTTGCACAGCAGAAGCTATATCATTTAACGAATGAGCTTTTCGCATGGGTGAGGAGTTAGGTGGTCCTTGAGTGGAAGGGTGTGGTGACTGCTGACCAGCTGTTTTATTACTGCGAACAATAACTTCCGAATGGCGTTTTCTCTTTCGGTGTTCTTTCCCAAGAGAGAAAACCTTCACATCCTCGCCCAGCGCAGTTCTTGAAAATTCCACCAAATCCTTGGCAAGTTGATCCAGGGCTTGTATGACAGGAATCCCAGCTTTCGTCTTGTCTGAAAGCGTCTTTGACACGTCCCCAAGGGAATGAGTGTTCCTCTCCGACGACTTTTTCTCGGTCTCATCGTGAATGAGTTCCGAGTCGGATTTGGAATTCAGTCGCATTAGATTAGTTCTGTAAGTTGTATTTGCTTTGGCCACAGGTGTCACACTTTTTAGAGCTTCTACAACTGGGATCCCTGCCGCTGTGGCGTCGTCAACAGTCCGCGAGACGATGTCTAACGAATACGTACGGCGATCAGATTCTTTACTTTCATTAGGAGTCTTCGGCAAGGTTCGAGAGGATTCGTCAATAGTTGGGGTTTCCCGAGAACTCTCCGAACTTGTTTGCCCACGATCTCGAGCCATTTCTTTGGCATTCGCCTCCAACAAAAGCTCGCAAGCTGAAGTCAAGAAATCTAACTTCTGCACAACACCTAAGCCCTTTGCTTTACTGTCGCTGCTGTTTACTTTCTCAGGGGTAGCTTCATTTGTTTTCATATGTAAAGTCAGTGGCGATAACATCTGCCGCTGGCTGCCATCATACAAGCGTAACTTAGTTCCTTCACCAATTGTCTCAAGCGGACTGGCCAGCGCGTAGGTTTTTCTGTTAACTAGTTTTTCTTGCCTTCGATGGACGGCATCAGGCGTTCCTCGGAGAGAGACGCCATCTTTAGCATGTGTAAACTGCCCTAAAGCGTCCACAACAGGGAGACCTCTCTGTTTTGCCTTCTCCAGTGAATGACTCACTTCATCCAAAGTGTAAGTCCCTCTGTTTTCACCGCCTCTCTCTGGGATCTTAAGTCTTAGTGGACTCGATGACTTTTCTTTTGACAAAGACTCTAGCGCCTCAATAACAGGCATCCCGGTGCTCTTAGCGCGCTCCAGCGACTTCGATACATCATCAAGGGTGTATGTGCCTCGCTTCTGAGCCCTATCCCCAGTCTCTTGAACTAGCTTGGCACTTTTAGTTATGTTTTGGAGAGCTTCAACCACAGGGATACCATTCTCAGAGGCATTCTGAAGTGAAAAGGAAACTTCATCCAGCGTATAAGTTCTTCTGTTTTGCTCAAACTGGCGAGTCTCTTGAAAAGATTGCCCTTGACGGCTCTTTGTTTTTGACAAGTGTTCCAGCGTTTCAACAACAGGGATCCCCACTTTGGTACCAACTTCGACAGAATTGGATACATCGTCGAGATCGTACGTGCCACGCTTTCCAGGTGTCTCGGAAGAACGTTCTTGATCAGATGACAACTGTCCCCCATCATTAGACGATTCATTCCGGTCAGTAAACGATCGCCTCCTGTCAGAATACGATCTTCTACGATCAGAAGCCGATGGGAAGGTCACAAAAGTCAAGCAATCCTCCAGTTGTTCCAGAGCATCCTCGAAACAGGCTTCGATCTCGTCCCGATCGTCATGTGGCTGTGCTTCCACATCGGGGTGTGCACTGAGACGGCAAAAATTGTCGCCAGCAGAAGCGTCACCATGAGCACGCGCAGGGGTCTTCCCCTCCTGGGCTAAGTTATTCAACGTGACGGAAACTGGAATTCCTTTCTCTACGGCCTCCTCGATCGCGTGAGATACTGAGTCTAATGAGTAAGTGCCTCGGTTTTGGGGTGGTTCAGTTTTCACTTTGTCTTCACGTGAAGCATCAAGGATCAGATGAGTCTCCTGATCAGAAGCAAGACGATCTAACGCCTCAACTGCCGGTAGACCATTACGCTCGGCATCTTCTAGAGTCTGCGACACGCTGTCCAAGGTGAAGGTGCCACGATTTTGGTGAGTCACAGTATTGAGGTTTTCTTCCGAGTTTGCCTCAGTCGATGAAGTGGACTCGTGTTTAGACGCAAGCTGATCTAACACTTTCACTGTAGACACGCCCCTCTTCTCCTCGTCGTCTATGGTCTGTGACACAGTGTCAAGAGTGAACGTACCACGTTTTTGAACGGAATCGGCCAAAGCTGGTGAACTGTCAGCATCACTCCCGACAGGCGATTGCAATTCTTCGCGTTTAGCGAGCTGATTTAAAACTTCAATGACAGGTACACCTTGGTTAGTTCCCCTTTGTAACGACGATGAAACTGTGTCTAAACTGTATGTTGAACGTTTCTCGGAGGTCACAAGTTCCTCTTCTGACGTCAAAGTCTGCTTGGCGAGCGTATCGGTAGTAATGGGGCCTGGATGGTGTTCTTCATATTGGGTTACTCGTCTCTCTTCTTGTTCTGTCGCACACTCTAATTCGTTCGCTACAGTTTCAAGAGTAAAAGTGCTTCTTTTTTGAGAAATTTCGTTTGACAAAGATGTCGTAGCAATGTTTAATTCCACTTGACTTAGTTCAGATTCCTTCTTAATCAAAGAGTCGTTGAGTACATTGACCACAGGCAGCCCACTCTCAGTGACATTAGCTTTAGATAAGGATACAGACTCTAGAGTGAAGGTACTGCGTTTTGTGCCACGCTCGCCTGACTCCACATTTCCTTTTTGTCTCGCTTCTTCCTTACTAGCAAGTTCGTCTAAAACCTTAACGATCGGTGTTCCCTGATCTGAGACAGAATCTAAAGTGAATGTGTTTCGTTTAAGCAGCTTCGGTAATTCAGAGCTATTGTTATCTTCCGAATCCTCTAGCGCCCTAATTGGCTGGCACGGCTTCGAGTTCTGTTGACGTCTGAGGTTAGAACGCGTTCTCAGGGCCTTGAATGGTGATTGCATCAGAAAAGGTTCATCCTTAGCGCGTTTTGAACGCAGTTCATCGTCAAAGCTGACTTCAAAGGCTAAAGCTTTGTCCGTAACGGCCCCAATTTCTTTATTACCCGCAACCGGTGATTCTAAAACAATTTCCTCGTTTTTCGATTCGAAATTATCAGTTTTAAATCTCGACAACACACGAGGGGGCGGCGGGCGACTTTTTGTCGCATTTTGGAATCCCACATCGAACGCGATGCTATTTTTTGGAGAGATCTGGGACATCTCAGATTCACGTTCTGTCTTCGACGATTCTTCGTTCGATTTTGGAGATTCACCTCCTAGGTCTGTTTTCACTTTTTCATTTTCTTCGTCTTCGCGCGCTCTAACGGCAGGTTTGGTAAAAGGCTTCTTCACCTGCTCTTTGCCTGGAGTAACACCCAGTGTTTTCATTCCCGAGGCAGCTTTAAGCGCCGCTATTCTGTCACGAATACTCCCACCTGTCCGAGTGTCTGGCTCGAGACTAGACTCGCTGTGTAACATATTTCTTTCTTTTTCAAATATCTCAGTAGAAGAACTACATTCACCATCTAAACTAGTCGTTGTACCAGTATTCCTTAATAACGATCCTGATTCAACTACCGGTGTGTCATCTTCGGGACCAAAACGAGCACTTGCTCTCAGCCTCAAACCCGCGGGCTCCTCTTTGGTTCCATTTTCTTGCAAATCCCATGGAGCTCCCTCAGTATTGCGCATGTGTTTAGGGCGGATAACCACTGTTGCTACGAAACACGATCGCCCATGAGATATTTCGCCAGCAGCAAGTTCTGTTGAAGCTTCTTTCTGCATGCAATCTGAAGAGACGACGAAAATTAAAAAAACTTTATCATTCGAAAATAAATAAGAAAAAATATATATATATATTTTGGAAGGACAAATTTCGACATAGATTGTTTGAAGCATTAGGGTCGGCCTTTGCATGTAAGAACTGATGTACATAACGCTATACTGGAAAAGAGATTTTCAAGTTCTTAGCCGCTAGGCATAAAGGTAGACTAAAAATTTCAATATTATCATGATTTTGCTGCCCATTTTAGCGTTCGATACAAATAAAACTCTAATAATTTATTTTTCTTTTGTAAATTAATGTAACTTGCGGGAAACTACGGTGAAAATAACTTGGGTTGCTATTTGTAATCAATGGAAAAAGAAAACATTATGTGTATCATCTAGTAAATATTTGCAGAAACGTTTTTTCGTTTTCACCTAAAGAACCGAAGTGAAGAGGTTATTTCGAAAAATTCTGCTCGAGAAATTCAGTTCATTTTCCGAAAAAAACAAAAAAAAGTTGATAAATGAAACAAACTTTCAGCGTTTTCCCTTAATTAGGTAAACATGTTAGTAATTATCTTCAAAATAATCATTTCACAACGCTTTTGGACCGCAAATAGTTCTTCTCTTTCTCACAAAACGGGTTAATTTTAAGCCAAAAATATCCATCATGAGGACAAGATACAAAATCTATTCTAAACGAAATCGATAAATTGGAAAGCAATATAAAAGTGAGCATCTAACTCCAATATACATGCATGGTACTTATTACTTTCATATTTACAAAAGGGCGCCGAATAACCCTTGACGAGCGAAAAATGTACAAAATGTAAACTAGATGAAGATAATTTTGCCTCTCATAATACATTCATCAAACTTGGCTCAGCAAATAGAGGATAAAAGGCAGAATTAAACAAAAACAAACATCTCTCTCCCTTAGAAATAGAGTATGGGCGAATATAACTCTATAACAGAAATATTATAAATATTGCATGAGTGCTTTCAATGAATTGATGATATTTTGTCAAGCACGGTTGAGTTCGATTTCACCAAAAAAATTACGTGACATTTCGGATATAAAACAATTAGAAACAATTAATAAAGTCAGAAAAAGCTTTCTAAAAACTAAGAGCCTCGTTACGATAAAAGTACACATCTCGATTCTGTGCTGACAAAGAATGTCGATGCAATGAAGAAAAAAATACAAAACACCGCAGCTAAAAAGTTCCGTATTGAATCCAGTTTAATATTAACTGCTAACCTGCTACAGCATGTATTTAACCCGAGATTGAAAGACGAAACGTTTTAGCGAATGTGAAGGTTAAAAGCCGGGATACAAAAAAACACAAGGCTCCAGTACAAAGATATCAATAAACAAGAAATCTACCTTGAATACTTCTTCACCGAGCATTAGAACCGCTCAGTGTGGTACACTCAAAGGAACAAACAGCACCAGATTATAAACACGTTGGTTTCCGGTGGTATTCGACAGGTCCTGTGAAATAACTTCTTCGATCTTCCCCGCTTGCTCGCTTATTAATACGTGAACTTCTCGGTGGTGTTCCCTCTAAAGTTAGATCACAGAGATTGACGAGATAACGCAAATCAAACGCGGTCAGAGCCTCGCCAAGAAGTACTCTAGGAAGAAAAAACTGCGCGTGTCTGTCTGATGAACGAGTGATGTTCACAACACAACAGCCGTGTTAAATGACGAACTCACTATAAACGACTGGAAACTATTTCTGAAAGATGACGATCGAATCACAAGCTAATTTCTCCCTTTCTGGCAGATGACATCACCGCCGTTGAATTTATGAGCGACATTTCCTACACAACATCCAACAGTATGGGCGAAGCAACATTACAGCGCTTATGTAAAAAAACAAAACCACGATCCGTAAGTCTGTTTACAATTTCCCGATTTCTGTGTTTCCTTCGGTTCAGTCGTCACACTCCAGGCGAACCTTGGCAAATTTGAGAGATTACTCAGTCACGGACGGTGAAAAACAACACAAGATCCGATTAAAACACTCAGAAATAAATACACCATGCCACGACTTACAAGTTAATATATTCAGTTCTTACATGCAAATTACAGCACTAAGGGCGAGAATCGCAAGTATCAACAATTTTATTACCTTGCATGTATTATTCATCAGTATGGTTAAAAGACTGTCGGAACACTCACCTTAAATTCACAGCGGCAGGAGAAATTTCTTCAAATCCAAAAGAGTCGGCTTCAGAGCGTCTTTGTCATACAGATGAAAAAGCCAGTGTAATGCTTTTAGCATTACTCAGGCGTGTCTGATCGATGTCGTAAACTTCGCGCGTAAACACAGTCACACACGAGCACGAAAGGACAGTAACGCGCGGAAAAAAAATCACTGTTCGCCAACAAAATACTGGCGGTAAACTGAGAAAGATACCACTAACATCCAAAAAAGATCAGTAGATCACAGAAGAACGGTCGAGTTAGCAGAAAATGCCACAACCGGGTATATAAAGCGATCGGTGGGTTCGAGTTGATTACGTCCAGGATTTCTTGCCAAGGAAAATTAATTTGTCTGCCACACCTCGATGGATCTCAACACCGGCGGAAAAGGGTCAAAACTGCACAAAATCCCAGCCGGATTGCCGTATTTTACCTGACCTTGATTTTGCAGTCATTTCCTAGCGGCCCGAGCCAAACATCCGTTTCTCGACGCAAAATGTTTGCCGCAAAACAGAATTCATAAACATCTTTTCTGCCTGCTATTACCCTAAAGATCTGTCAATGCTAATAAGGGTTTAATTGCATGGTGTCTAAAAATTCCCCAAATGCCTTTTTAAAACTTCTAATCAAACTAAATATAGAAAAAAAAATCACCGGATGTGAAAGCAAGGCATTTTCCTCCACAGGCTAAATTAGGTTTCAGGTGTGGGCGAGCAAAGGTCAAAACCACAGCGAAAAATCTGCTTACTAAAGGGCATCATATTTCTATCGCCTGTGAGTTTGTAATTGTTATAAAAGTTGTCAGTTTATTGTCAGCGAGAACTTGTCGTCACTTCCTTTACAAGAGCTCGCGGAAGGGAGGAGGGAGATGGGGGGGGGTGGTTCTTTCTATCCCCTTTCTCCCCACCCCCGCCCAGTGCGACTTACAATGCAACGTCCAGAACCAGCCAGGAGAAGGAAAAATAGATGACAATTCCCTGTACCATCCCCTCCCTTACCTTTGTCATTCAACATGACCTGCCCTCCTACACCACTCCGGGCGGCAGTCAGCCAACTGATTCTCGCTCCCGGGCTTCCACGGCCTGTATGTCTGGGGCTGCCACGCCTTCTGGGACTATCACTGTCATGACTTTTCGGGGTGGCCTGTGGAAAAAAAGACAAATATTTACTTATTTGGAATCACCTGTGCTGTTTACGCAGTTTCTGTCTTTCTAAATTTTTCTTCAAATTACTTTTTCCTTACCGACATTTCTTTACTGGCATTCAACTGTTTGATCAGCCTCGCCCCAGCTTCCTGATCATCCGTCCAACTGATCCGGTGTGGATTATAACTTCCGGTTCCCTCTGGGCTATCCTGGATGTGTTTATTTACAGTGTGCTGTCCAGTGTCTTTGCGGTCGCTGTTTGTTGAAGAACGTAGTTCGTTATGCACTGGAGAATTCCTGGTACCAATACTAAAATCCTCAACGATTTGACCGGTGGGCGTTTTCCTGAAGGTCCGAGACCGCAAAATGTTTGACGCACCAGGTGAGCGAACCGGCTCCTCTTCTCCCCCTCTGGGGTTGGCGTCAGTCTCACTCTCTCCTCCCCTGCTCGGAACGGATCCTCTAACGACAGCTGTCGTTGATTCTTGTTCAGGAGAGTGGTGTAATTCGACTTGATCACGACCCTGGTTACTTTCCTGTCTCTTGGTAGATTTGGCGAATGTTGAAAATGGATCAATTCCGATTCCTCTCTGACCTTGAAAAGAGGCCATATTATTCTGCGCCAACGTACTATCTGCTGAAGCAGCCATAGGTTCCTTTCTGAAAGTTGAAAACCCGTCTGACCGCCGCACATCCCAGCTCTCTATACCTGTTCCAGAGACTCCATTTTCATCATTTGCTTTCTTTTCTGGCGAATAATTTTTCCTATACGTTGAAAATCCGTCAGACGTTCGAAGATCTTTCATATCAACACTTGTCCTTTCTTTGAAAACTTGGCCGCCATTTGTTTCACGACTAGAGGCTAATTCCTGTTCCTGAGGCCTGTGTAATTGTGCACCTCTAGGAGAGTTTCTACTGAATGTTGCAAAACGGTCTTCTTGTGATCTTTTAAGAACCTGGTTACCCTGCATTGAATTGCTGCCATCACCAAGACTTCCACGTTTGCCATTGTTATAAGTTCTATAGTCTTGCGTAGCAGGATTAATTTCATAACTTTGCACAACACCTTGGTCAAAATCAAACACAAACGCTTCCGCTTTCTTTGATTGGTTGACAGATGCAGAATGTGTTTGCGCACATTCGTTTTGGTTACCTTGTTCTTTGGGTTTTTCAGTTGGAACGTTTTCTTGAGTCCCGTGCGAGCTCGACAAAGAACGTTCGTAAATTACCACATCTCCTGGGCTGTCCAGTGCATGTAGATCACGAGATCGGAGAACAGCCTCTTGTCGAGTGTCATCCCGTTTCCCGCGAGTTAAAGCGGGTACAGGTGAATGCACGGGCGAAGTCTCGAGTGAGTCCCGCCTCCCGTCTACGCCTTCGGGTGCGAATATCTCTCCCACTTCATCTTCACGCGCGGACAACACGTACGGTCGAAATGCAGACAAATTCTGGCTCGCATTAGTACCTGTCTGGTTGAGTTTTCTACTTGGTAAAACGCCGTATAGTTCTGAATTTGAATTCGCCCTGGGACGAGTTTCCTCAATGCTTGCGTTAATCACAGGGATACCAGCTGCTTTGGCCGTTTCCACAGGAATGTGACCAACTGTGTAGCTACCACGCGCGAGCTGTTCGAAGGACTTACTCCTAGATGAAAATTCCCGGCTTTTGTTTGCCGGCATTTCGTTAAACCTGGGCGTAGCACTAGGTTCAGGATTACCAGAAAAGTCATCGTCTTCATCGTCATCTGCGACTAAAGTGTTGTCTCTGTCTTTAAGACTGAATCGTTGCATCTTCCTGTCCAATGTGTTCGCAGGGGAAGTTGTAAAAAACGCTGGCATGAACGGCGCAACGTCTAAAGGTGAGCACGGGCTGCTTGGGGCGGTGGAATTCGACGCCGAGTTTGGATTTGACGCGATAGACGGACACGGCTCCGTCGTCTCCGTTATCGGAGACAGCTGATCCGTTGGAACTTCCGTGGGTTCGTCAGGAACATCAAGGCGCGTGCGCTCCGTTGGATTCCTAGGACTGCTGGCCGCATTATTGCGGGCGAGAATTATAGGATCGTCATCGTCTTCCATCTCTATTACAGGTTCATCCGGGATCTCTCGTAACTTATCCTGTGTGAGCCGCTGCATTACTTCCAGTCTAAACTTATTCATGTCCTCGCTACTGACACTCGTGTTAAGTTCGTCGTCGTCGTCTTGAGATTCGGACGCATTCGGAAGTTTGCTCGGTTTTCCGAACCTGCGAGGAGTCTCAACACTTCTTCCCGCCAGAATCATGGCCTCGATCTCCTCAAACTGTTTCAGTTCTTTAGTTGAGATGTCGCTCATGCAGCTGTCACGCACACTTGTGTGACTAACACCTGAGGACCAAGAAGACAATTTTCTGTTTTGGCTTTTTTCGCGGAATTTTAAGGTTTCTAAGATTATCGAAACTGTGTTTTAAATTTTTAACATTTAGCAGTCATATGATAAATTGTTTATTGACTCAGTGGGAGGACCGGGAGGGAAATATTTGGCTCTCGGTCACGATATATTTCACGTGCAGCCCTCCCATATAGTCAACAAGGACATAGCCATATCGGGGAGTTTAAGAATTTATTCGTCTGACTCCTTCTACCTGAAGGCAAATAATTCTGTCTTTCTGTCGGCTGGTCTCCAAATGGTTTCATATTCAGACTGTCGGTTGACTTGGGATTGGACAACAGGCTGTCTTGTGATGTGTGTTCTTCACGGGTAGCTTTTGAGGACATCATTGGTACATGGGTCTCACGGGTATCCCTCTGGAGGGCACCACCTTCTGTACTCCTCTGAGGAACACTGGTTGTTAGGTTTGGTCTGATAAAAGAAAATTGGATTTGAGATACATGTTAGTTGGGTGAAATAAGAGAATTGGAGCTATAAAAAGCAATAAATTGTGTTCTCGGCGATCAATCGCACAAATTCAAACCAGTGCATTTGTTTGAATGATTGCAGTGACAAAACTTTTCCTGAAAATTTCCCATGTCACAGGAGGTGGGCTTTACGGCAATTTGTCATGTGATGTGTAAAAGTGATTTGTCACTTTGTGTGTCCTGGCCTAAACTAAGAGCTACAGACCAGCTCCCTGTCCTCAAGGGCAGAGTAGCAATGCATTTGGGAAATGCTTGAAAATGTTCCCCAATCTCTTTGCTTTAGTAAATATAGGTACTTCACCCATTACACCCTGACATCAATATGCATATTCTCCATACTGTTAACTATACATGTGTGATAAGGAGAATTTGATTGGCAATCAAGTACTTCTTTAGTTGGTGATCATATCCTTTATTCTCATGACCTAGATGTGTGATTCAGGGGTGATATTGTAAGGAGAAATAAGATGCTAATCACCCTCAGGGGTTCAAGGGTTAGCCCCTGAGAGACACTGCACTGCTGTAGCCTGTTGGCATAAAACCCTAACAATTTAACAGCACACTGTCACCACTCCAGTGTGGGAGCTCAACACAGTGACCCCAATGCATGGTCAAATCCAGACACAGCACAGTCAACCCATTTACTCCCAGATCCAGAGACATTACAGTGACAACAGTCAATGCTAGAATTCAGATGAAGCAGAGTCACCCCAACCAATGCTCAAATCCAGCTTTGTACCCCAAGTTCAACAAACTCACATGATTATGTTTCTTGTGATTTGTAAAATGCACTTGGACACTAAAACTTACCTGAAGTCAAGTGATATTCTCTCACTTCTGCTTGAGGCCAGATTGGTGTCTGACAAACTTGCCCCAGTATCCTCCCTCCAGGCATGGAATGACTGCCTGGGTCCTACCTTTGCTTTATCAAGACCAGTCAGTGACTGAGAACGCTGTAAGTCGTTGAGATGCAGTTCTGTGACACAAATCAAAACATTATAAAATGCATTATCATGAGTAGATTTTTAAATTAGCATTCCTCACTGATCTTGGCCCTTTCGCTCTAGGAAATAATCAGAAAACAGTGGGAGGGAATTCAGAAAATTTTCTACTCAAGGATGTAAAATCAATCCAACACCATATTCTCTGCACAGCAGGCATATGGCACTCATGAAAGAGAATTACTTCTAAGAGCTTGGAAATGAACAGATAATAGGAGCTACATCACAGTTTGTGGACCTTGAAAATATTTATTCCATTTTAAATATTTTGACTTTACTCACAAGTTAGTTAGGAGAATTCACTGTTACCTAAAGAAGTGACATACCTTGTAAGTATCTTTGAAGTATACTTTTATCTGCAAAGTTAGATTAAATTTAAAATGGTTTACATCAGCTTTTAAAATCATTGTTTCCAGCTGTTAGGTCAGTGAGCAATGCTATCACTTGAAAAAAAATATTTTAAGGTTGTAAGTCTCTGTGCTTTTCACAAAACCAGAGAGATGTTGAATCCAAGGAATTTAGAAAAAAATATTCAGATGACCAAAATAAACCACATTTCCATATTTAACTATCATGAAAATACAACATATGGTTTTGTTGAAAGCAAGCTCACAACATTGATTATTGACAGTACTGTACAATTTCTGCTTTTATATATACATCCAGTGTTGTTTGTCATTTTCACAATATTACTTGCCATAAAAAAATACAATAATGCCGATCAAAATCCTAGAATATTACCAGGTTTTCGAATAAAAAAAATATTCTAGCAATGTTTTGAGACATGAACAAAAATTAGTGAATTATTGTACCTTTGTCACAATTGTCTATGGCAAAAATATTGAAGAAATAATATTTATAATCTCTGTAAAAATATATTCAGTTATCTGGCCGCACAAACCATGATAGTTTTGATTTTATGCGGCTTATACCTTCCAGAAAAAAGTGTCAACACAGCAACCAACTGAATCGTACAAAATTGCACAATTGTGCATTCATGAATATTTTGTTCGCCTAGTTTCATTAATTTTTAATGTCAAAAAGCACAAGATATGTCCTTGAGGCAAATCATTTCCTTTACTTCCACTTCAAAAATAATTCAATTTGGCAAAAAGGAAATGAATTTCCCAAGCCCTTGGCAAATTGGAATTTTTTTGGTTTTCCTCAACTTGGAAACTGGATAACAATCTATGAATTTATACAATTTAAAAGCTAAATGCAGATAGTACAGACAGAAGATAAATTCTAATAAAAAAAAAACCAAAACAAAAACAAACAAAAGCTATGGAAATGAGCTTAAGAAGCACTGAGTCCAAAAAAAGCTAAAATCTGTTAAATAAGCACTTTATCATAACATGTATTGTGACTCGCCAAGATGGAAAGGATGAAAAAAAGACATTAAGTAGAAATATATGCAGGTGGCTGGAAATTATCGATGTCGTAAATCAAATTGCAATAGAAAAAATGTAAATTTTATGTCATTTTGTTCTTAGGTTTTAAAATTTTTAGCGCGAGTTCAATTTAAATTGCTTGTTTAATGATATAAATGCCTTTTAAGGGATTTTAAGGATGAACAATTATGATAAGCCTTGACTGATACTTTTTCTGTCAATTGTCTATTTGACTGATAGTAACCCTATTTTGCTCAACTTTTAATTCTCTTAAGTTCATTCTAAAATAACATTAAAAAATGAAACACAATGGTTAGCACTGACTGATAAAATAAAGCCACAATTCACTTTTTGATTTTTGATATAGGAATTCATACCAGCTTTTTTTAAAAAAATAAATTTACTTCAGTCAAAATGAATTTAATTGATCAAACAATTATCTAATATCATTTACTCATCTGGAATTGAATCATTAAGGTTTATTTAAACAATTTCGTCAAATTGACCAAAGCAAGAAATAACAAAAATGTCACAGTTTTAAATATAAGATTTATCACTGATATTACCTCTGACTACTTCCGTTTCTTCTTCTTGTTGCATGTCCCAGTCTTCCAGGTCAAGAGTTCTTTGCTTCTGTTTATTGCGTCGCAGCAGGAGTTGTACCTCTTGCCTGGGAGTGGTTCGGGGGCTACCATGCCCTACAGTCATATTTGCAGGTAAGCTGTGTTTCCTGGTCTCACCTGCAAGAACAGGCCTCTGAAGTATTCCAGTGAATGGATTTTCTTTTTCATTGAACTTTTCATTGTCTTTCTCAACACCCTGAGTTGGCAATGACCCATTTAAAGGGGGCTGCTGGCTGTCATAATCATCAGTAAAATCCAGATGAAATGGTGACTTAAATGACAGTCGACTGTTTGAATTCACTTGACCATCACTTTGCGATTTCCACACAACACTGGTCTCCTGCTTAACAGCATCCAATGCAGAGCCAGTTAACTTGCCAGACAATGAGGATGATCTCTCACTTTTACTTTTCAAAGATTCTCTTGGGCTCCCATGTGTGTATTTATTTTCATCAGAATTCAAGACTGGTGCACTGGAACATTTATTATCAATCATATTTTCTTTGTTAGCGGTAATGTGCTGCAAGTCAGCATCTGACTTAGAGGTCTGTTTTGAGACAACACAGTTTTCAGACCCTGATTCCACTTCGCATTTCTGGAATATCTCAGCCAGAAGTGCAATAACGTTGGGTTTCATTGCTTGTGATCCATAAAGAAAATCTTCAACTTTAAGAGCAAGGACTGAGGTGCATATAAATTGACTGCAAAGAGAGCGGAATAAGTCTAGATTGTGGACACAATCTTCGGTTGCAAGATTTTTCCCCAGACACACATCTGAAAATTGAGAAGAGAGATAAAGTCACTGCTATGATTTAATCCACAAACCATACCAACTCCCCCAATTAAATTAGCATAAATTGCTATAAACTAAACCAAACAAAATAAGCTTTTGACCATACAGCTATGATAATGACTTCCACTGAGGTTGTCTAAATATCAGTAACCATACACTACAGACAACATTCCTTCTCAGGACTAGCCTCACCCAGATTAACCACGTCTCTGGTTCTGTGAAAAGTACAGCGACTCACAACCCTTAAGTATTTTTTTTATCATCTTAACTCAGAATTTTATTTACACAGCTAACACAGTGGCAGGTTGAAAATTGATGATGTCTTATATCTAACTGCAATAGCGAATAACTTTTAAGTTGAAGACTTGACTCCCAGACAGAGAAATGTGCCAAGAACAACTTTAGGGAAAACTGACTTTAAATAGTGATTATGCCCACAAGAAACTGGCCTTTACCCTTTAACTCTCAGATCAAATTTGTAATTCTCCTTACTGTCAACCATACAATTCTTATAATGTTAGTTCAGAGAATTTTATATTGGATCAACTAATTATCACCAAATTGATATTTTTCTCTATTCTCATCACTAATCTAGTTGATATTGTATTGATATTGTAAGGAGAAATTCAGTCTTGGTCACTCATGGGAGATAAAGGGTTAAATACAAGAGGGCAGCAAAATTATGAGCATTATATGGGTATCAACAGAAAACACACTTTGAGTCAATGTCAAAAAATACAACTGATAAAAAAAAAGAAAACCAAATACAACAAACTTATAAAAACACACTAAATAAATATAAATAAATACAAAATTATACTAAAAGTAATCTTACATTGATGATCAGACGCACACAATCAAACAAACATGTTTGGGGTTTACATTATTATACATCACAAAGTACCTTCAATGTTAATCACTGTTGGATGATAAAACATTAAAATCCCAAGCAAACTTTTTCCATCACTGACATCTTTCAAAAGTTCTTCCATCAAAGGAAATACTGTCTGCACTTTTGGCTGCAGTTGATCACGGCGAAACCTGAATCGTTTGGCTTTGTCTTGGTTCTGTAGAAGTTGTTCTGCATGTTGCTTCTGCTTCTTCAGCTGATTTTCATTCAACACTGCTGAGATTTTGTTGATCCACAGAAGGAGTGCATCCTCCAGATCAAATGGTAGCTCTTTAGAAGCATTGAATGATGAAAATTTACTGTGGGTATCAACAGAAAACACACTTTGAGTCAAACATTAAGGTCCTGTTGTATGGGGTGGGGAGAAACTCACACTGGTTATAATAGCGGAGCTTGCAGAGCATAGCCCCATAATTATACAAAATAGTAGTAACCCATCAAGCCAAAAAAATTTGGATGTACGACCGTACAAGGTGCTACTTTTAACATGCATGGTCAACTGTACCGTGGGAACGCCAACACCACGGCTTTGTTCAGTAGTCCAGTGGTCAGTGCACTAGGCTCAGAGTCGGACAACCCAGGTTCTAGTCCTGGCCAGGGCAAGGCATTGAGACGTGCGGGAAAAAAAATGTGAGCTCCGCTTTTAGGCTTGGCTAAATCTATATATTATGGGTATTAGAAAAATGGAAGGAAAACAGGATGAAACACTGGGAATGGAAAACTGCCATCGACTGGCATCCCAACCAGGGAAGGATACAATGATACTCCTCATTGCTTCATCCTAAGAAAACTGGGATAAGGTTCCACAAATGACTCACTTGGCTTGATCGCTGACTTTACTATTTTTACCTAAATTTTCATGTCAATGACTTTTAGTAAGGGTAACCCTTAGAACCACAACTGTCAATATGGTTGTAATATTTTAATTCTCGATTCTCATTTCCATCTCCTGCATTTTAAACTGTTTACTGATAAATCAAAGAAAAGTGAACAGCGTAAATGATAAACAAAAAATTAAAAAAATACAGTACTTGATAAACTTCCTCTTTTGCACATGGCAACTAACAAACAATAGAAAACTTCCAAGGGGAATCTCACGTAACAACTGCATTTAAAGGAACCCCCCTTTTTTTTTTTTTTTTTTTAATTGAAACTCTCAAGAGAAGTCTGGAGTGAAGTCAGGAGTAATACATTGAGGAGAACTTAGACACAAGTCACTGTAAACTCTTTCACTCCCACGAGTGACCAAAACCGAATTTTTTCCTTACAATATCAAGCAGACAAGTGATAAGAATAAAGAGAAATATCAATTAGTGGATTATTAGTTGATCCAATAACAAATTCTCAGAACTAAAATCAAAAGAATTGTATAGCAGTCAGTAAGGAGAATTACTTACGAGATCTTAGGAGTGAAAGGGTTAAAAGTTGGAGCATTGAAACACTCTCCCATTTGAGACCTGTGTAAATTACCTGACACACTGCACAACTTGTGGAACACTAACAGCCTGTGTAGAGAAGGCACTCATGAGGCAGTCCATCAAAGCAAGATGAGTTGACTAAAAACATGTTGGAGAAATAAAACTGTGCGATTAACAGAATACATACAGCATCCCTTGTTGCTAGTTAGGTAAATCATTCCAAACATCAGGTCCCTATGACAAGATAATTTGGTTTAATCAGCTGAAGTGATAATCTAACTTGGCCACCGTAAAGAGTTTCTATGCTGACATTTCAAGCTTTCGCCCTTCGTCATTCCATTCACTCTCAACTCAATTGCTAAAACAAAATTATCTTTGTTATCCTCTCCCACTGACACAGCACCACAGTTTCCTAAGAAACTTACCCCCTTTATCAGGTCCATATGATTGACATTGGTTAAGGTTGTGATGTCCAGAAATGCGTGCAGTAACAAAAATGGCAAAAATTCATCTAATTATCAAATGGGCTGAGCTGATTTCACTTCAATCAATTTGACTAAAATTTGTCAATTTCCCCAAGCTGATTTCATTTTGACAAATTTGACTAAAATTGGCCAAAATTGTCAAATCTATTAACATTCACTCAGTTTGACAAAAATTTGGTCAAATCTGCCATTTTTTTCCTGTGTGAATTTCTGGACATAAGTGAAGGTTGATGAAATGTTAGTTGTTCACCACTGACAACTAAAAATAATCCTTCACTGAGCTACTCTCGACTGGACTGGATTTATTATCATTTTTTTTTTGATCTTGGTAAAGAAATAGAGAAAGATAATTTTTTTCATCTTGTAACAGCGGTGAGACAAAAAGAGTACAGTAGAGTCTCTGTAGCTCAGTGGTAGAGCATCGCACCATGGAATCTGAAGGTCTAAGATTCAATTCTTCTTGGGGATTCAAGGTTTATCTTTTTCCCCAGCTTGTATTGAGAATGAGCTTTACAAAGTTTTTTTAATATCTTGAAATACAATAAAGGAAATAAATAACATTTTCACCTGCACATAATATTTAAGTAAATGATCCTTGTGGCTAGGCCGCCATTTCTGTAATTCTTTTGATTGCAACTAACCTGTATTGATTACTTCCTTAGTTAAATTTTTTAATCTTACAAAAGGTACCTTTCTAAATGGTTTCTTCTGCTGCAAAGCAGAATCGGTGACAGCGATGTCACCTTCCTCCACCACGTAAAATCCATGGCGTGACAGGGTCTGGAGAACAGCCCACTGACCTACCACAGGAGCTTTTCCATGAAAGATACTATTGCAGACCTGGCAATAGATCTCACCTTTGGTGAGGAATTCTATTACCTCTGGACGAACAGTTATACGCTTCTATTGAGATAAAACATAAGGCATAATGAGGCTGGTGAAAAGATGAAGTCCTAAGCATAACATCAGTATGCATATTCTCTGTACTGTTCTCTAAATATTTAATATAGTGCTGACAGGGAGAATTGTTTTAACAATCAAGAGCTTCTTTAGTTTATCATTTTCTTGACTTTGTTTTTAACTCCCATTTTTCTCCCAACAACATCCATTTCTTCAGACCTTGATGATATTCAAACTTATCAGGTGAAGCTTCTCAGGGATGATCTTGGGAGTTAAAAGGTTAATGATTGACTTAGGGATGATATGGTAAGAAAGTATTGATAACTTTGTCATATAGTCATGTGCCTTGTAAAAATGAAAAAAATGAAAATGTGACAGCTTACTAAATGTACTTGACCACCACAAACTAGTACTTTCACTTAAAATTAAGTTGCAAAATTTTTTTTTCTATATGCCACAGCAACCAAAATGGTCATGACTTAGATCAATGAAAATTAGAAGCTAGGGCATTATAATTTAGAAGATCAGCCCTTTATGTGACTGGCATTGAAACCTTTGTAAATTTTAATAATTTGTGTATTTAAGGATAAATAATATTGCCTTATCTGACTGACTGCATAATAATTATTTACCTCCGAATCCCTCTGAATAGGACTGGTAACTTGAGAGGGGATATTTTCAAACTCTCCATCCTCAGTGGCACGAAACACCAACCAGTAAAGGGATGCTGCAAACTTTGCCTGTAAACAAATGACTAAGTAAGTAAATTACTAACTTAAAGTTAAATTTTATTTCTTAAAAATAAAAAAACAAGATCGTGAAAGAATAGATTCATATAATTAAAGAATTGACTTGCTACAAGTTTTTTAATCTAAGGTCTGGAAAGTCAAGTCATTTTCTTTTTTTCATATTAGTGATATTAAGTGTTCAGGATTTGAAAAAAACTTGTGAATTGTAAGTTGTTTGGGAAACCAGACAACTATTGCTTATAGAGGTATTCCTAACAATATTTTGGTAATATTGTGTCATCATAGATAAATTATATGCCCCCTTCTAACTTTTGTACTGTGAGTTGGAGCCAAAACATTGTTGACAATTTGATTCACTCATGTACTAACATCAGTGTATAATAATGTGAGGTATTTCCTTTCAAAATTAATTATCTGTCCTCACAGATACTTAGACTGAAGTTTCTTTTGAGTGCTAAAAAAAAAGTTTCAATAATTTCACCGTAAATTTCACGTATGTATTCCAGATATTGTAAGCGTATCACTTCTTAAAAGCTTTCACACAGCAAGAACACTTCGTATAGAACAACTTAACAAGTTTTAAAGAACTTGATTAGAGAATAACAGGTGAACACGCGTACGTCGTATCGTGAGACTTTCAAGAGTATTTGAATAACCGCTTCTGATCGGCGATTTTTATCGAAAAGTAAAACCAAAATGCAAATTGGTCGACGTACATTTGTCACACACAATAATCCAATCATGTTGACTCGATTACGCTCCTTAGATGAAACGATCCTTCACCCAAGAAACCTTGAATTTCTTCACTCAAGGATAAAAAAAAACGATATACAATTTTGCGCTTGAAACTGTTCATCAAACCTTCGCTTTGCTTGCCAGGAATTTGTACGGTAGCTTTCGCGTGAAGTTCTTCATCAATAATATATAATTTGCCAAAAGCTAAGGAATCTGTACCTCAAGGATTTGACATGATTTTCTTAACAATATTCTACAAACCTCAAATGGATCGTAGTCGGTCACAGGAATCACATTATAACGGGAATTTTCCACTTTTGCGTCTTCCATGGATAATTCTCTCTCTTGTGCAAGCCTCAAATATCCATTACGTCCAATACAAGCTCAATTTTGATTCGTAAAACACCATATTGAACTCTGACTTGTAAAAACGTGCGCTGAACATACAAAGTGTCAAAACCATAGCAAGAAGCCACTTAGATTTAGATGGTACTTCCAGCTTTCTAAAGGAAAAGAAGAATTCGAGCTGGCCATTTTCCTTTAAAATATTCTGTTCCTTTGACTCAGCATCAAAGCGAACTAAAGGAACAAAATACTCTTTCGGAGTAGATTTGTTTTTGTCGAGTTTTCTTTCACATTTCGAACCATTCAAATTAGCCTCCACGCCTGCGCAGGTCGTCATGAATATTTTCGTGACCAGTCTCATACCGAGTAGTCCCTTTAGAGGGTTCACCTCCAAGCTCTTCCCAAATTAGGAAAAAGCCCATTATTTAATTATATCCTTCAGTGCTTATTCATTCTGCGCCTAGGTCTGCTTCGTCATCATCATGTGACAGTCATGAGTGCGCCCCGCTTCACCCACTTCCCGCCAAGAACGTCACATGTTGCGTAACAAGCTGATTTCTAACTTTTCATTGGTTCTTGCACTGAATATTTCTCCGGCAGTTGCCCAGATACTGAAATTTTGTCCAATCACACGAGGATCAATAGTTTATTTCACCTGTCAATCACTAGCCATAACATTACATCACTTTGTTTTGATCAGTGCTTAGCGAAGTTTTCCACGTACACAAAAGCGCCCTCTTCCCGCGAAAGAAATTTTGTTTTTCTAAGAATTCCTGATTGTTGATAAGCCGTGCATGGCTGTCGTCTCGTCCTGTCATAGCAAAAGCAATACATACGAAGAGACCACAGCCGCAGAAATCGACGGATCGACCGTACAGGAGGGAATGAAGTATTCGTGGTCTGCTACTCGTCGGACCAAACACGATAGTATCTCTTCGGTTGATAGCAATTCTTCTTCTGATTCACCCTTCTTAGACTCCCTAAACGAGAAATCTTCAAAGATGAACTCAACTAAAAAGCCATGTGGTAAAAAGAGAGGCAGAAGACCCTCTAAAATCGACTTGGAAGCAAAACTGGAGCGAAGTAGGCAATCTGCCCGAGAGTGTCGCGCTCGAAAGAAGCTGCGATACAAGAGCTTAGAAGATATGATCGCTGACAAAGAAACTTATGTGTATAAACTTCGAGAAGAGCTCGAAATGGTAAGGCATTGTACAACCGAGTGAATAGAGCACTGTTTGCCTTAATCTCATTTGTGAAGATGGTTAAAGTTGTAACCTAATAGTTTTTGTGATCGTTCGAGAAAATTTTTTCTTGAGAAAAACAAAACGCTCCTCGTCCTCGCTTTTTCTCTGGCATAGCTGATGATACAAAATGTTATTTCTAGATCAAACGATGGAATAGTTGTCATCAACACAAAAGAATCATAAATATTGCTCATTTGTCAAACACATCAACCATAAGCAAGTTATACCACTTCTGAACTCTTTCATAAACGAAGATGCGAGAGCTTTCGATATTTGACATGAATCTGACCGTGGCTTCTTCCAAAATTATTTATTTTTGTGATACTGTTTTAATTTTCAGTACCGAAGATGGTGCAAAGCTGTCGATAAGGGAGCATATCCTACCGAACTACTGGAATTCTTAAAAGACAACGCCGAGGGCAGCAATTGAAGTTGGCAGACCGTGATGGGATCCTAGTCTGACCGCTAATTCAACGGATCCAGGCCAACACTAAACGAAATTCCTCAACTCCATGGAATTTCAACGGATGTGGTCACAATTCTCTGCCATTAGATGCTTTTGATCCTTTAGGCTGCCTTCGTGAACTCAGGAATTGTAATCTTAATTTCAAGGCTTTATACGATCATTCAAGACCAACTTACAATTAGTCCATGTAAAGAGCCCTGACGTGATGTTTAGCGGGCGCTGTCAATAAGCTTAAGATTGGCATAAATATTTGAACTCTTTCTTAGAGTAATTATTGTACGTGTCCAGATTAATATCCCCACACACCCACTAAAAGATCAAAAATTTTAAAAGGTAGAGAAAGGGGTCCCCAGGTAGGGGGTCATACCTCTTTATTAGGTTAATTATGATGTACACATCTAGATAGACACCCTTGCTCACCCACTGAAAGATTGAAAATTTTAGAGGTGGAGAGAAGGGTCCCTAGGTAGGAAGTCAAAAGACTGCTGTAATTTCTGGGGAGAGGAGATTGCTGAAGAATTCAATACCTTATCTGGCAGGGTAATGCATAATTCCTGGGAAAATACACAAAAAATTACATTTAGTGTGGCCACTACAGCTGTTATTGCTTGATCTTTTTGGGCCTTGAGTTTAAATTTCTTTTCCACTAAATATGCTTGATTCCAACCAAACATTTTAAAGAATAGGAGACAAAAAAAACTGGTTGTCTCTTAGGAGGTTTTGATGAATTTTCAACTGATATCAGAGCAGTGAAGGTAAATGTTTCAGTAGTACTAAAATACATGGTGTTCACAGATAATAAATTAATACAAAAGAGATCTAAGACACCACAAGTTTCAGTAGAATGACTAGTTTTGATGGGACTGATAATGTAGAATGGGTTTCCCAATTCCTTTTGCTAAGATGCGTGGCTTTTTTCCCCTCATAGTTAGCCTGAATTGAATCCAAAGGAACTCTTTCCAAAATCAGAAGTTCTAAATTACATGTTAACATTTTGTAAGCAGTGACACTATCAAACACTGTCAAGTTGCCCTTTTTTTTCAAATGATATTTAGGCAAAGAATGTGTAAGAAGTGTTTATTGATTTATTCCATGTTTATGGTAGCACAATTTGTCTACAAATTTCATTAAAGCAGTGTAACTATTCTAAAGTTTTTGAGATAATTTTAAGCTGTCTGAAATTGATTCTTATTTCAAGTTTTCGAAAAAAACTCAGGAAATTACAAGTGCATAATATTTGTGGCTGGGAACATCAGTTGTTGTTTTTTTCTCTATAGCCATTCGAAATAATAATTTAATGTATAAATTTGTAATTCTTTTGATTTCCATTTTTGTTTCAATAAATTGCAATATTTACAAACATATCAACATGTAAGTATCATACATTCTAACCCTGTTGACCCCAGGCAAACTTGACTTACCCCTTCCCCCTCCCCCCTCCCCCTACCCTTTTCAAAATGTCTTAGTATAGGTGGGAGACAAGGTAGGGAAGGGGTGGGAGGCTGTTGAAACCACATTGTAAATTTGGTTAACCATTTAACTCCCAGATCAAATTTGTTTTTCTCCTTACTGTCAACCATACAATTCTTATAATGTTACATCAGAGAATTTAGTATTGGATCAACTAATTATCCCCAAATTGGTATTTTCTTTACTCTCATCACTCATTTAGCTGATATTGTATTGATATTGTAAGGAGAAATTCTGTATTGGTCAATCATGGGAGTTAAAGGTTATATTCAAGAACTAGAGGTTTCAAAAATTGTTGTTTTTAAGAAAGTTCCACCTTAGTACCACTCTCTTGACATCAGTGATATATCTCTTCATTCCAGTTCTGAGGTGAAAATTCCATCTCTCATTATAATTTTCGATGAAATAAATTTCATTTTAATTCCTTTTCAAACTGAATTAACTTTTCTTTGATGAGCCTTTGTGATGTTCAAAATTCAAATAATTTTGCACAAGTCTGTAACTTTAGATTTTTCCTGTACCTTCGTGTGACAATGGTTACAACAAGGAGAAAAAATGGAAACAGACTCAAGGTTGAACATTTTCATGTAGCTACGCCAAAACATCATCAGTTTTGCCTCTTAAAAATAAATGCGCCTTGTAAAGCTGTTATTTTCCAGAGCCAACTTACCATTGTTTACATGACATGTCACATCTTGTAAATCTTTTTTCTTGCCATTTGCTAAAGTATGTTTCTAATCTTAAAAAAACCTAAGTAAATGGCTGCTGGAAAGATGGACCAACAGGAAATTGTGTAGTGTTTATTGTTGACTGTACAGAGTGGAAGAAATGGTTGCCATGGTTACTCATCATAGTATCAGCCTTGACAAAACTTGCTGCAAGTGGAGGAAGCTTGGCTGTTGCCCTTCCCCTATGGCTGTATCCCCCTCTGAATGCTAGAAAAATCATTTATTAATTGAATAATAATAATAATAATAATAATAATAATGATCTCACACCACCTCCTTATAAGTAATCTGGTGCAAAACGGCAGGTAATTTAGTGTTAACAACTGAGTTGAAAATGTAAATTAGCCACCGTAAAGGGTAAAAAAGCTGACGTTTCAAGTGTTAGCCCTTCGTCAGAGTGATAGATTGCCTGCTATACTCTCCCACCGACGCAGCACCACAGTTTCTTTAGAAACTTACCCCTTCATTCATAATATCAACTGCAACTTTGTCACTTATTATCCCTTTTCCCCCTAACATCAGTATGCAGATTCTCCACACTATTCTCAATACATTTCCAAAGAGGCTGACAAGGAGAATTTGTGTAACAATCAAGAGCTGCTATAGTTGGTGATCATCTCCTCCATTCTCATGACTTTCATGTTTGATTCAGGGGTGATATAGTGAGGAGAAATTAGATGCTAATCACTCTTTGGGGATAAAGAGTTATAGTTTCCCGTACTTTAGGCAGCTTAGATGTTTTAATTTGCATTCTCATTGATCCTGTGATATTTCTCCTTGTTCTGATGGACAACTGCATTATTTCAGGCTGGCGGAAAACTTGTCAGATGTCAGACCATTTTGTACTCAGCTATTTTGTGAATTGTGATCAAAGACAGAATTAAGTATTTTTGAAGTGATTCCAAGATCAATGTCTAGCAAATGGAAACTGACTCAAATATGTCCCCCAGAAGCTGTAAATCATCTTTCAGAGATTTTAAAATAACAAATTTTTTGTGGGGAAGCAGGACCCCAGATTGACCCCATATCTCCCCTCACACACAGTTTGGAGAAATAAATTATTGATGTCACATACCTTCTCCTCTCCCTCTTCCAAACCCCCAACCTCGTCCTCTACCTCTTGTTGAAGCAGTGAACTGTCCATTTGTTTGTTTCCTTTTTGCCTTGTTCATATGCTTTGGACTTGTCATGTGTTGGATCATCTGTGTTTGTGAATTAAAAGTTGTAGTACAATCCATACAGCGCAACTCAATTTGAGGATGGTTTTTGGGTTGCTTGTCTGAAATTTTAAATGCAAGGTAACAATGAACAGAACTGACTGAACAGTTAATTACTCAAAGACCCTCTCTGCTATGAATTGACCTTCTGAAGGATCTTTGCCTATTCTCTCTTTGATCTACAGTAAATCAATCTTTAGAGATCATCAAAAGAACATACTTTTACTGCACAAGTAGAGACATAACAACAATGTCAATGTTTCATCGCTCTTTAACCCTTTAACTCCCAAGATCTCATTAGTAATTCTCCTTACTGTCTACAATACAGTTCTTGTGATGTTAGTTTTGAGAATTTGGTATTCGATCAAGTTATAATTCCCTAATTGATATTTTTCTTTATTCTCATCACTTGTCTACCTGATATTGTATTGCTGTTGAAAGGAGAAATTATGTATTGGTCACTCATGGGAGTTAGAGGGTTAACTTTCTAACACAATGAAACCGCATATCAAGTTATAGAATAAACAAACTTGCTGAGCACCACAAATAACAAGGGCTAAACTTACTTGACAACCATATCAAGGAAGACTTTAGCAAAAATAATTGAGATAAGTCTTCATTACAAATAGTGCAGATAATAAAAAAACAAAATAGAATTCATATAAAAGGCATAATTGAAAGTATTTTGCGCATTTGATCATAGCGGAGCTTGCAGAGTGTGGCTAAATCTATATATTACAAAATAGTAGTAACCCATCTAGCCAAAAAAATCTGGATGTACGACTGTACAACTGTACAACTGTATGACTGTACGACCATACAACCGTAGGACCATACAACTGTACGACCGTACAATCATACGACCATACAACCATACGACCATACGACCATACGACCATACGACCATACGACCATACAAGGTGCTACTTTTAGCACGTGCAGCCAACTGTACCACGGGCACTACCTTATAATCAGTCCTCTACATGGACATGGAGAAGTTGCAAATGAAAATCCATTAATATTACCACACACTTTATCCATAGTAGGGGCTTTAGTTTGTTGAAGAGACATGCAGGAAAAAAAAAAATTCGAGCTCCACTTTTAGGCTTGCCTAAATCTATATATTATGCACATGTAAATGTGCGTTACAAATAATAAATATGAGAACTTGGTGCTAGATCAGGATAGCAGCTTCTACCTGATAAGTTTGAATATTCTCATTACCTGTTTGCTGAAGAATGTATGGGTATTGTAGGGAGAAGTTTTATGTTAATCACTTCTGAGAGTTAAAGGGTTAACAGGGAAACCTTTCAGCAGGCTCAGTGACAGAAAAGCCATTAAATTTTGGCTTAGTAATAACAGTTACTGTTTCACTACCAATATCTAAGCAGACATTCTCCTTAATGAGCATCATATATTTGCTTGTACTTTGGCGGTAAGATTTTGGCATTGGATCGATTAAACATCCTCCAATTTTTAATTTTTTTAAATTCTCATATTGTTCTGACTTGATGAGTCGTAAGGAGAAATTGCACAATGATCATCTGAAAATGAGTAAAGGGTTAATCATTGTTTAACCCTTTAACTCCCAGAAGTGATTCACATGTAACTTCTCCAAACAATATCCACCCACTATCAAGCAAACAGGTAATGAGAGTTGCCACATATATCAGGTAAAAGTTATTATCCTGATCAAACAAAATTCTTGCAATCAATTTACAAGGAAATGTGTAGCAGCTAGAGGTGAGAATTAACAATCAGATCCTGGGAGTTAAAGGATTAAGAGAGAAAACAGGAAGAAATTCTGATACATACTTGCAACATTATTCTTGTGCTTTGATCCTTGAAGATGAGTTTTCATTTGCATTATGGAGTTCATCATTAAACCACAAATCTCACAGTATAATTCCATAGCTTTAGTTTTTGCCGGTGACAGAGGAAAAGTTCTATCTACATTTCCAGGAACATCATAGGAATGACTTGTTCCATCTGTATTAAGTTCTTGTTGTGTAAGCAATCCATTTGCTCCTGGTGCAGAACTTATCTCCTCTCTACTATCTTCTACACTATTCAGTTTCTGTCTGTGTTTTGGGCTTTGAAAATGCTGTGTTGCTTGTGATTCTGAGTTGAATGATTTTTGACAGATTGCACACTGTAGATTTCCATTTCCAACTTGTTTGACTGGAGGAAGATTGTGATTTACTTGAAGGTGAAGTGAAACACTGTTGGTAGAGTTGTGTTCCGTGGAATTCTGCCAAACCTAAAATAAACAGATTTATACTTTGCACTCTCCCATTCTGCTTAAAAATGCATTCATAAAATGAACTTTCCAGTTGGTCTGTCAGTAGAGTGATAAGGTTAGGGTGTTAAAAATTCATTTGCAGTTAAGATTTGGCATCAAATTCTTTGTTTTAAATATTTAAATGTAGCTCTACGCAATTAAATGACTGTAAATTTTTTATCAGCTAATAACGAAAAACCTTGGCCTTCAAAATTTTTAATCATGTCATCTCTGAAAGATATACCCAGTAATAATTGCTTGTTAACAGAAAACATAGGAAGGAATTAATGATTTTACCACTAAAGATATATGAATGAAATTATTGAAAGAAAATCATGATTCCTGTCAGTCATGCCATGAAAATTAAAGATGTTTTTTGTTTGTTGTGGAAATCAATTGAAAAGGTTAATAGACAATAACATTAGAGCCACTCAAATATTTCAATCTCACAGGAAGTTGTTGGGACAAAAATATCAGACATACAGACTTGTACCTCGTCTGCTAATTATGACCCATTGAGAGGTGTTTATAAAACTAACTAAACATTTTTTTATGAAATATTCATGAGGAAGAACAGCTTGAAAAACAGCTGATCCTTGTAATCTAGTTGTGAAATCTCCACAGGATTTGATGATCTTGCAAAGAAGTGGGAGTTATGATTGCATTTGGCTACTTTTTAGCTACCTGTAATGTAAATCGTGCTGGAAGAAAAAACAAAAAAAAACCAATATTTTCGAGAATAAAAATAGTTGAATCACGATCGAAGGGCACCTTACTTATTTTTATTTCCTTGTTTAGGTGCATGTAAATAATAGGCTTGAAGAAGCTGCGCCAGACCGCAAATTAGCCCAAAGACCTGCTGGCAGTTAAATTAAAAACGGGAAACCCTAGCAACAGCAATTGACAATTGTAAGATATAAATGACGAAAACAGCACGTAGTTTGATTTAAACTTGATTTGAAAATGATTTCACTCATCTAAAAACTTTGTCAGCCCCTAAAATACTGGAACACACGACCAATCTGTCAATCAAAACTTATGTTAAAAAAAAAAACCTATTTAAAGAATAAATGAACCACACTTATCTACAACTACTGTTAAATTAAGATATTTCACAAATAAATTCTCTGACCGAGCATACCGTTTTAAATTCCTCAACCTTCTTGAGTTTGTTCAAATGAGCTTTCCCCTCTCTGTGCTGTAAAGTTTGAGTGATCGAATTAAGCTGTACGTTGCAGATTTCGCAAAATAGTTCTCGTTGGGGATGCTGTTCAACAGTTTCAAGACGCGCTGTTTGCTTGTGGGGTACAGGGTTTGTGTTTTGATCCTCATTCGCCTTCCGTTTACTTCCTGCATGAGGGCTGTTAAGCTGCTGAGATAAAGAGTTCAGAGGAGATGCGAAAGACGCACTGATCATTCGATTAGAATTATAACTCTCAAAAGTGTTGCATTGCGGCATTTCAGTGTTCGCCATATTGACATTTGAAGTTCAGCTGAGTACAGCGGGCGCGTGCGGCTGTCATTTTCTCTATTTTGGAGGTCGTGTACTAGTCACCAAACAGATAAGCCGCAGCTGCTCGTTACCTCATTCGTCAGTTAAAATTTTGTTGTGATCAGTGCGTTTTGATGCAACCCTTTTCTCTCGGCGGTCACAGATCCAGAGCATTGAGAAATAGGTGTCCAAAGTATTGCTGTGGTGAGGGTGTAATCTTAGTATAGTCCCAAGAAAAGTTTGGGAGGCGAAGGAGGGGGGGGGGGGGGCATGCATACCCTCGTTCTACCTAAATTCGCTCAAGTTCAGGGAAGGAGGAAGGGAGTTAATTTGACTTTATCACCTTTAACCCTTTGATCCCTTGGCATATCATACAACAGTGTGCTCTCCTCTTTTTGATGACGACCCGAAATTGAAGCCCGCGACAAAGACCGTGACTCGTCACCTTGACCAGTTTTCGGAGAACATAGGGTAATATGCGGACCCATCCCATTCTCCCCTGAAGTAATGATGGTTGGACGGTTAATGCACTGAATTGTGAGTCGAGAGGTCTGGGTTCGAAACCTGTCCGGATCGCTGTGTTGAGTTCTTAGGTAAGACACTGTACTTTCAGTGTGCCTCTCCATAACCAGGAGTATAAATAGGTACCGGCGAAATGTCAAACAAACTTGAAGTCATGCTTGCCATGGACGGACACCCCATTTAGGTGGGGAGTAGTAACACTCGTTATCACACCTTGAACTCGGGCTGGATGGGCCTTCAACTCGTTTCCAGACCTTTTCTGAGCTCTCCTTCCTTTGCCTATTAATGTCAATCAAGTAATCGTGAAAAACGTGAAATTCTGGCGTATTTTTATTTCCCAAAACTTTACATCGAATCTTATCACTCCATGACACCCATAGAGGCCAATATAAAGATTCATTTACCCTTGCTCTTGAAAGCTTTATCATGCAATACAACTCTTGAAGTTTACCTTAAAAAAATACTTGGTATTTACTTTATCGCGCTTAGTTAGGGTATTAAAAGAAAGAATCTGCGCGAGATGAATCCCATTGAACAAAATTGTTACGAGGTGCTCCAAGTGCTTTTGAACTAGAGGCTTGGGTCTAGTCGTTGTGCTTCAAGTCATTTCCTAACAAAGTAGCCTCAATTTCTTGCAACACCAAGTTACGTTAAGCGTTTTCAGAATTGAAATTGACGATTACGGGCTAACACTTTTGCGAATTGTATCAAAACGAAAAAAAAACCTCTCTTATTGTGACAAATCTAAGAGGGAAGAGAGATTAAGCTGAGACTGAATCTATCACCAGAAGACAAGTGATTTATGGAGTTTTCATTGGATTTCCGAAAACACGGATTTCTTTAGCAATAAGCTTATGTGCACGTGTCTAAATAGCCGGTCTTTTTGGCTTGATTCTCTCTCACTGAAAATCAAATAGCCTATTAACGTGTTCTTCAAAAGGGTGTTTGCACCGAATCCTGGATCAAGTGCTAAGCTTGCTTCCTCTGTTAAAAAAATTGTATTAGTGAACGCTTTTTTAGTTATTTTTTCCTAAGATAAGACAAAACATACGGAAAAAGAACATAGACAGTAAATCTAACTTAAGTGCTTGGAAACTAAATCATAACATCTACACCAACACTAAGTTGGTTTTATCGTATTTGGAACAACGCGAACCTCTTTCAGAGAAAGACTGGTTGCGAACAAGCTGTAAGAAGGCATCATGGGAACTGGAACGGGTTCAAACCAGCATGGTATGAATCTGCACTTCCACCTGGAGAGCTAAGATTTGGTGAGCTTAGATACTCTGGCGAACTTGCTTCACTCATCATTTGATGTACCAACTGTAGAATTCAGAAAAAAGTTGATTAACAACTGCATGTCAATAAGAAATCCGGAATTACTTTAGTTTTGCCTCTAACCGCTTTGTGATTGGTCAAAAAACTCACACCACCTTTTCAACCAATCAGGCACAATGCTTTAAGTGGGCGGATTTGTGCGCACCTTACAGTGAAGCCGTTAGAGGCTTGGGGCGGAAAGCTTCGCGAGTCGTTTTTGCAGCTGCTGCATTTGTTTTCGTCGAATGCCAAAAACCGCGCGTTACTTTTGCTAAGTTCAGGTTTAGGATTAAGCGTACTTCAAATGAGTGTTGTTGAACCAAAAATCTAGAAATCAAACTATAACGACAATCATCTGGAAAAAGTGACCTGTAACAAGTAGCCAAGGGGAACAAAAAAAAACAAAAGCAAGACAACAGCCTTAAGCGCGGGAAAGCGCGGGCGACCAAGTCACGTGGGGCTTCAGTTTCGCATCTGATTGGTTGAGACGTCAGCGCAGGTTTACTCAGGTCACCTCTGTTTGGCCATTATGATAAGCGTTATAAAAAAAAGGCAAGACTGTGATAGTTCCTAAACAAACAAAACAGAACGAAGCCTTTCTTACGTTAACAATTTCTTCGTCACTCAATCCAGTACTTTCCCTTCTGTCTACGATAAAGACGTTAAAAAAATAGAAATGAAAGTTTTAGTGCTCTCATTTATACTCACCCCTGGAACCTACGTAAAACTCACTTATTTTAATCCATAACATTAACATTGCTCAGCAGGCGCAAGTCAAACTCCCACGATCTAAGGAGAGGGAGAATCCTGGGAACGAGGTTTTCAATGCGCGTGCGCCATTAAATTTGAAACACGCGATGAACACGCGAGGAAAAAAAGGAGCCTTTGGTCGTTTATCCCCGCGCGTGCCCACGTATACGCTCGTGGCAACTCGCGTTTTGAAATTATGCTCAGACTGCCACCCAATGCAACAACCGTCATCGGGTTTAGTTTTTCACTCTTGTAACCGAGCTTGAAGTTAAACTCAGCAGGATGACTCAAGTGGAAACAGTTTCGCTTGGTTGCCAAAGGGAAAAAAACCACGACCTTTCGGGTTCTAAGCCAGTTTCAAAACCGAAGTGTTTAAAAGGGAATTTCCCAATCTAGTTAACATTCATATCAACCTTTCTCTCAAATAAACAGATCAAATTGTTCAAAGTTACTTAGGCAGGTGTCTTCACACGAACCCAGTCAAACAGGTTTGCTTGGTTGCTTAGATCTCGCCCCAGCTGTAGAACTACAATGAAAATCTCATTGTTTCCACATAAGGAGGCGGGCTGGCCTAGATATTGGTGACCCAGACATTTCGACCTCTCAGCCCAATCGAGGGACGGTCATGTCTTATTCATCTCAGTAACTGAGCTGAAATTTCTCGAAATTTAAGCTCGGTAACCAATAGGACCATCAGACAAACTGTCCGTCTTTCATGATGCCGGGCCAGCCAGTTTGTAGGGCTCTAACGGAAAAGTCCGAAGGGAAGGATGCAAAAACATTGACTGCGTTTATAGAAAGAGCCCCAAATAATTCCATTTACAAGTAAGCTTACCTCGACACGGCCATCTGTCATAAGCTTCCGGCTCTGCCGGGTAGGAAGAGGGCTGAAAATAAAAGTTAAACTTGCGCAATCAATTGTGTTTATAGGAGGCGAAATTTATAGGGGTACTATTGTTTATTTTTGACACCCCATAGAGTACAGAGTTTTTTGGAAAAACCTCAGAAATTTTTAAAGATCTCTCATAACAAAACGTTTTTTTTTTCCAAGACGATCTTGAGAAATTGATTCTGTCATACGGATGATTTAGTCTTAAAAATAACCCCTCAGATATCGCGGGAAGTTGTTTTTATAATCTTATCACCTTGGCTGTCAATTAACAACTGCTTTCCGGGAAACTCGATATTATCAAAGGAGATTAAAAATCGTTTAGTCGTGCTAACACCACCGAATGAGGGACGTCCGTATATCCGTAATCAACCCTTGTGATTCAAGAGATTCCAAAGGAACTGAAAACCGTTTTCTCGAAGGTTTCAACATCCAAATGTAGTTTGCAAAGCAACTTCCGGTTCCGCTTTTCATCCGTATAGCAGCTGTGGTCACGCAACTATTTCAAATACAAACAATCTTTTGTTCGCTTTGTTTCAATTTCGTAACTCTATATTCCCAAAATGATAAGGCGTAATATTTCAACTGATTTCCAAGAAACGTCACCAAGCGTCATTTTGACATGACACGTTTGTGAAAAGCATTCTTTGAGTTGATGCAAATTTGGATAAATTGGAGGATTTTTTTATGACATAAGGATTGTATCCGGAGAAAGCTGTGAGGTGAGTCATTATGTAAACGCAGAAGCTTTGAGGAGCGGCGGAGTAGTCATGCGTAATTACGCAGCGTGTAAGGTTTTGTCGGTTGTTTGTGTTACCTTAGCTAATGATGTGAATTTTAGAAACCACATTGCTCTTTTGTAGTGAAATGTCGTCTCTGAATCGATGAAAGTGAAAGTAATTTTATTATGATTTAAGCAGTCGTAGAATATCGAATTCTTATTAATTCAAAGTAGTCGGCGAGTGGAGTTCGTAAAAAAATCAATTCTGCCTACTAATTAGGACGCTCAAGCGAGATCATTACTTATAAAATTGAGAGGGTAGCTATGAGATTAAAGGTTGACTTCAAGCTATAATTCGCAGATCTAGCAATTTTTTTCCTGTAAATCTCTTGAGGGGTGGAAAACTTTCCTTTCCTAAATCGCTCTCTCTTATGTAACTCGTGAACCTAGAATTCCGAGAAATTGACTGGTGGGAACAATATTTGTTTCGCGTTGCGAAAGCGATATCACTTGAAATCGCCGATTGAAATATCTCTTCGAAATTTCTGTAAAACGTCAGTGGATTTGAGATAAATTTCTTCAATATCTTCAAACCCCATCTAAAAACCAAACTTGTCATTTAAATTCAGTGTTGATTATCTCTTTAGCTTTTTTCAAATACAGGGAATTCCCAGAAATTCGATCAGAATCCTCAAAAAATCAGTTGAAGTAAGCAGACTTCGCCAGTCTGGATAGAACCGATGAAACCGACGAGATATCGTGCGTGTAGAGCCGGACATGACCGCGTGTACTCCGCGCGCATCGAATCCAGAAGTCGCGGGTGCAATTCTCAAATTTGGCAATGAGGGCTTCAGAAATAAAGATTATTGCTAGGACTACCTGACGAAAGGTAACTAAAGGAAATTAAGCCGTTTATTTTAGATTTTTTTACATATATTTGGAGGAGATAGAGAAGGGTTTAGAACCACCGGAAAGAAAAATCTGTTTTAAGCGGCGCACGAATTACGAGGTAAACCGGAAGCAAAAAAGTCAAATGTAGGATGATTTTTTTATGAGTTTTACATGTTTTCCACAAGAAAAATGCTTCTCACTCCAGCTGTTGCAGGAATTACTAAATTTGTATATGAGATGAGAAAACATGGAAACTTGCTTACCTGGTAACACACGCCCAAAGTCGGAAAACTGGTCTCTCTAAAAGATAGTCTTGAAGGCTGAAATACGGCTTCGCTCCTTCTTATTTCTGTTGTCTGACTGGTGGACAACAAAGGCGGATTCTCTGTCAAAAGAACAGGGAAAATCTTTTATCTCTACGTGATCATGATACAATTTTGAAATCATTCATGACAAGTTTCTTCGAGACGACAAAGGGGTTTTGTTTCAATATTTTATACAATTTGTTGTTTACTTTTTTAATCAAGAGCCTTGAAATTCATTTCAAGAAAGTGATTGAGTCGATTCAATGATGAGAGCTTAGTACAGCGTGCTAATTAACTTTTTGATTCATTGAAAGTTCATTCAAACTTTATCTTTCCATCATCGTGGTTTCAGTTCTCTAGTGCTCTATTTAGTTCCTAAAACTCATTGTCTTAACCGTGCTGAAATTGCCGAAGGGCTACATCTTTTCAATCAATCCTGTCTCGTCTGAAGATCAAAAATTAAATCATATCTCTAAAGCGTCAGCGCGCTTCAAAAATTATTCTTTCACGCAAAAATCTGGGCAATCACGTACCGAAAGCCCAGACAGTGGAAGAAAACCACAATTATTATTATTAAATTATTATTAATTAAAGCTTTCCAACTTTTTACTGAACAAGTCTTTACATAATAGAAATTCGGTTGAAACGCGAAATACTGATTATTTCCTGGTTTTCACTCATGCTCTTGGTATCGCTAATTTTCTTCAAGTCACATCGGTAAAACTTTTGTCCCAGTGAAGAAATGGATGGTAAATAAAATTCAGTTTGCTATTCACTTAAGTGACGATGCAACATTAAATTACAATTGCTGAAGCTTAAGTTGACAAACACGTGTTTAAAGATGAAGAAAAGGCCCATTTTGAAGAGTACCTGTCGGTCTACCTGTCGCAAAATTCGCAAGTCACCGTTTGTGCATTTCGCCGCTGTCAACTTCCCGAAATAGCACTAATCTTGGCCATGTGCGTCAACTTGCTGCGAAACTGGTTTTTCCAACTTTTTGTTCACATTCACAAGTACATGTTCAAGTGTATGCAATTATTAAAACAAAAAGATTACATGATCGTATGCTGGCCGAACCACTAATTTCCAAGTCTTTTGAGGACGAACTGTGAAACAATTTGTAAAGAAAGTCTGCAATATAAATGCAACACACTCAGTTGGGAAAATCCGATTACTTTCTTTACAAACAACGGAAAAGCTGTTTATAGAAATGATTCCTTCGCGATGATTCTTCGACGAAAGTGAAAGTAACCATGCAAGGAGGCCTGATCCGATCTCTCCCAACATAGATTACCTTTTTGTTTCCTTCATAGTTTATATTGTTTTGCAGCGCTATTAGATTCTAGTTCACTAATGCTCGTGTTCTTTAAATAAACAAACCTCACCGAATTAGTTGAATTGTTGATGTACCACACCGTTGCATCAGATAAAGATAAAAAAAAAATCTGCTTACGTCCGAAAGTCTATCTTAAATTTCATTACTCAGTTACTTCGTGTTACAGCACAGAAGAAAGACAAAAGAAATCCCACACTCAGCAACCTGTGAAAGGAGGAAGGACATTTGGTAGATATTTGCCACGATATTTGCAAGTTCCGCACTTGCTATAGATGTTTTTGTCGTTGATGAAGGCGTTTTTAGCTCAAGCGCAAAGCTTTGAGCTGTGGGAAAGCCTAGTTTGATGTAGACGTTAATTACGGGTGGTTGTGTAATGGAGTCTATTCTACCAAATTCTGAATGAATACCTACCTTTTTGTTGGGGAAAAATGGCCTAGAATACACTGACGAGTACAAATGTTTTTGGAAAGCCATCGAAATTAAAGTAACCGATACTACATGTTGTTGGCTCAACTGAATACAACAATTGGTTTTATTTAGCAAACCAAACTACAGCTAGCAAAAACGTGATCATTATGAAAGAATTTCTTTAATTGACGGCAAGTTGACTCGATAATAGTTTATAAAAAAAACATTGCTTAGGATTGACAATGTTTGAGGTCAAATAAGTCTGGATGTTCCATTCCCGGCACGGTTTCCTTTTTCTAGGATGAAGGAAATTGCCAATATCAGGTGCTCAGTCGTTGGTAAGTCAGTAAAGTTGTGTTCTCATTTCGTGCGCAAGCAAAACAAACTTTTCTGATTTTTAAGAGGAATCGCGAATGATCGCTGACACTCTGAATGGAAGAGAAGTTTTCACTGATGCTTTTTTTTTTTTTTTAAGGTTTCTACTTCAATTTTAGTTAGTTGCAACATTGTACTTGTGATTGCACTGCGGTTGTTTGCTAGACTTGCGGTATCACAAAATATTGCCCAATTCTGTTCCTTTTTCCTGCCACCTGAGGACTCGTTGTCTCAGTATTCATTACAGTGAACTCAGAGCTTTCTCTATATATATCACAAAAATTCCTGGAGTCAATGTTAGCCTGAATATAAGCTAAGCTTACCTCTGCCTCTAAGCGGCCTCATTCGGTAGATTTTGAATGCATCCCTTCCACGCGGACAACTTTTGGTGCGAATTTCTTTGATATCAGGCAGAGCGTTTAGGGCGCACCTGAAATTCGTCTTCCACTTTCGAGGATCAGCTTTATCCCTGCCTTCTTTATACTTTCCTGTGTATGTAGCCCAAGCTTGGAACAGAGCAGCATCTTCCACGCTCCATCCATGCCGACTGCCGTGCTTCCACGGTACTCTAAACATTCTGTCCTTTGGGTCTCCTTCCCATCTCAAACCAAATCGGCCTTCATTGATATTCATCACAAGCCAGTCGCGGAGGCGAAGCTTCTTTCGATGATGCATTGTAGTCTAATTGAAGCAAATTACGGAATCTCTGAAAGCACGAAAAGTCAGATAAAGAATAACTCGCATCAGTTTACCTCTATGAGTCAAACACTTCGCGCTCCGCAAACTTTCATGGAGTCACTTCGCTCCATGTTAAACTTCTTCATGGAAAGATCGTTAGCAGCACGGCAAGCGCTGACATCACACTGTTACATTTGCAAACCACATCACGGTATTTTACAATTTGATAATGAAATTCTGTGTGGGCGATTCAGTTTCAAAGGTGTGGCCCCAAACACGCAAACTTCTGGGAAAGGAAATCGTTTGCAGGAATAAAGTGATCAAACAAAAAAACTACCCTAAATTTACTTACCCTTCTACCTGAGTTGCGCGTGCCGAGCGTTACAACGCTTGTAATGAAGCTTGATTCGGTGCAACCGAGGAAAATTACTGTGAGGCTTTTAAAACTTTCACTGACCAATCAGGTCGAGGCTTGCTGGCACAGAGCCCTCATGATATTATCCCAGACAGCTGTCGTTATTCTTTTCATATCAAAAGTGTTATTTAACGGTCATGATGCTACTCAATAAATATAGTTTCGATCCTACGCGATGAAAAACCTTCCAACTTTTGGTCAATGTTTACAAGAACGATTTAATTGCGCTGCACGAGTTAGCAAACAACGCCTATACGCATTTCAAACGCTGCGCGGTTGTTAACATTCCTATCCAAGGTTTTTTTGTTCGAGTTTAATGGTTAACTATTAAAAATTTCTTCCCACTATGGGAAGGTACGCAAATAAACATTTAAAAGGAACAGTAGAGATGTGCCGTTTTGCAATTCCAAAGAAAGAATTAGCTTCTTGACTGTACTGAATAATCTTGCTTTTATATAACTCGTGTAGCACAAATTACCGACAACTTTATTTTTCCTAAGGGAGACAGCGAGGGAATTTACCATGTACAGTCATTCATTCAAGAATCTATTTTCAACTTCTGCTAGCCGTCATTTAAATATCACATGTTCATAAACAGGAAATGCCCAATTACTGTCTTGTGTGGTTTCGTATGAGTTACGATGATGCTCTTTAAACCGGTCACAGTACAAAAATAGTTATAACGTACATCCAGCCGTCAAGTAGAGTTAAGCTTTCGATACGCCATGGGAAGGGTTTTAGTGCTTTATCGGAAAGACACCTCATATAATTAACTTGGTATGTTCCCCCGTGGAAAAATTTGCATCTTTACGAAATACGCGCTGAATGGTCCATATGTATGCAGTTTTTCAGTTTCATCAAGAGTTTCAGTAATTACACGTGTTTTCGCGGCTAGGTCTTTAAAAACTAAAACAATTTCATGATTTTTCAGTTTCTCTATGAAACGTTTTCCGGTCTAAAATTTAGGCTTTCTCAAAGCACATTTAGTGAAGCTTCATCGGTGGCACCAGCTATCAGCTACGGCTTTTGTTAAATTTTTTGGGACCAAAAAGAGAGATCAACAATAGGCTTTTAAAACAAAGAATTAATTTACGACAAGGTTTAGGAAAAATTTTTTGTTTCAACGTAGACTTCCTCTAGATACAATTGTAAGATCTGAGATTTGTTAAACACGCGGCTAGGAGTGACTAAGCATGATTAAAAAGTTATCGCAGTTCATTACTAAGTTTGTTAGATAAACTCACACTAAACCGCAACATACATTAGCAATAAACCTGATACAATAGCTTTTTGCTGATACTTATTTTGATGAATGGGATGAAAAAGGAAGGTTACTTTTTCAACGTGTTTGAAATTTAGATAAAAACATGCGCAAAGTATTAATTATACCTTCTCTACTCATTGCGGTATGCTGGATCACGGTATATTATTAGAAAAAACACGCGCCTCTTGTTTTTCCGGAATTTTATTACTCAGGAAGTTCAACGTGCATTATCTTATCAGAGTAATATTTATAAACCAGTTTAATGGATCATCCAAATAAACAATACAATGTTACGCGCGATTAATATCGGCGACGTGTTCTATTCAAAACAAAGGGGCTTCCTTTATTGTGTTGAAACAAACACGCGCAGATAAATAAAACACATAGGTTATATCTGTGTATTCGAAAGGTCTCCACGAGTGAGTTATTCGATACTTTTTAAACGTGTAATGTAGACCAAACATCTTGATAGATAAACACGTTTTGAGATGAAATTGATCCTGACCCATTACAGAAAAAAGTAAGTTTGTTTAAATCCCCCCTGGAGTTTCTCAGAACTTGATTAAGATTGAAGACAAAGATTGCAGGTCTTCTTGTCTTCTCCTAGGAAACAGACTGAAGGCGCTGCAGTCTTTCTTGTCAAGTTACTAATCGCATATCTTAATTGTTCTTTAAGACAATAGTGGATATTGATTCAATTAAACTGAATGAAAAAAATCTGCAAATCAAATTCTTCGCCAAACCTCTTCAAAGTTCGCTAAAAAAAAAGAGGTGAGTAAGAAGTAATAAAAATTTTAGATGAAATTTTTCAGCAGCGATTGCTCGTTGAAAGCTGAAATCGTCGGTTTGTTTTGGCATAGTTTCAGCGAAGTCTTTTTGCCACGTTTACCCATTTCCGATGTAACATTTTGTTCAACATCAATCGGAAACACGTCGCAGACATTAGATATAAGTGATGCCATTATGACCTGATGATTTCAAAATAAATATTGGCTTAAAAATTGTGCCAAAGAATGACAGATCGACCACGTTCACAACAAACCTAAGCGCTTGATTTTTCCCTTTTTTAAAATTCTCAAATAGCTCTTGATGGCCAATAGGCAAATTTCATCTGTTCTCAATACAGCAAAAAGTTTCATGTTGTATTTCACAGACGGCTTAAATCGAAAAGAAAAAAAATCGATTCATATTGCCGTTCGGGTTACTGTTATCGTGATTCAAATTATAAAGTTCCCTAGGGAGTACACGCCTTTCGCCTCGAGTGGTTTCTCATGATCCCTTCAAAATAAATTCTTCCAATGCAACAATTATGTCTCTGTAGAACGTGATTTTGATTTGAATTACCCCAAAAAGGGAAAAATAAAGAGAGAGAGGAAAACGAGGCGAAAAACCATATTTAGTGTTGTAAAATAATTCAAATAGTACGCGCGCTCTGATTGGCCCTAAAACCATTTTACATGAGCGTATGCAAACACGGTTTTCGTTCCTCTTTCATTAGTTATTTTATAAAAGAAATGTAAAATGGTTTCCGTGTTTACATAGCCTGATGTAAACACTTGGGAGGTTGGGAGAACACTCGATAAGCTGGAAACCACTCCGCTTCGCGTCGTGGTTTCCTACGCTTATCTCGTGTTCTCCCAACCTCCCGCGTGTTTACATCAGGCTATGTAAACACGGAAACCATTTTACATTTCTTCATTAACAACTGAGTTGAAAACGTAAATTGGCCACCGTAAAAGAGTTTTAAGGCTGTCGTTTCGAGAGGAAACCCTTCGTCAGAGCGATTGGAGGAATTGTGGGTTGTGTGTGGGTTTATATGCAGAAAATGGAGTTATCTTTTCTGCATTTCTCCTAAATTTAGCTCTAAGAATGAGGTACTAGAGCAAACAATTTCCCAATGGGTTAGGTAAGTTTGCTGTTTTGATTTCTTGTGTCACTCTACTCCTCTAAAGTGTTTTTATCGTGTTCAGTTTTTATCTTTGGTCACTCCTGGGAGTGGTAGAATTAATGGAATACTTTAGAGATACGAGTGATATCATTTTACAAGGGCGTGACTTAATGATATCGGAGAAGTCCCTAAACTCATTCAACATTCAAATATCTTCCAAGGTTTTGGTACCTCCATTATCAAATTCCGTTTCAGAAATTGGTTAAAAGTTGATCAGTATTTGACAAAATGTAGCTTTAAGTCTAGATAATGAATAGAACTATGTGCATTGAACAAAGGAGATAAGTCTCTAAAGAAACTGTGGTACTACCTCGGTGGGGCGTATAAGATCATTTGGCCTTACTAAATGAGGTGATGATATAAACCGGCCGACGTAAAGAGTTTCGAAAGCTGACGTTTCGAGTTTTAGAGAGGAGGGAACTTCTATACCTCTAATTAAAGACGCGTGAGATTGCTGCAGGACAATTTCTTCATATTGCAGCTGTCAGTGTAAGATATAATCGACGAATGAACATCATGAGGGGAAATTGAGCGAGAGAACTTAATTACTGTCGGTAGAGGGGTAGCGCACGATCCTCAACCCTGTCCAGATACCCCCGAGTGAAGTTCTCTTGCCTTGATACAGAAAAGATAAAGAATAATCCGAGCGAGTTGGTGGCTTGACTATCAAACCTTATGGAATAATGATCCAAGTGCAAGAAGGGCGAGGAACAGCTCGCACCTTACGAAAGTTGAATTGTGTTACTTTAGCCATTCTTCACGACTCGCCGAGGTAGAGGTGAACAGTCCTTTAAGCGTCTTGTTTACTACACGAGTGCCAAGTTGTAACACGATTGCAAATTACGAGCGCTGTCAAAATCTCGGGTTGTGTCCTCGTGTACCGGTACACAAAGGAAGGAAACATTAACGAACTGCGTCATAACTCCATGTATGGTTATGAAAACAAAAGGAATTCCCTCGTGTACCGGTACACCAGGACAGCCCCAAATCTCGTCTGTCTTGACTGTCTGCAAGAGATTCTAAACTTGCCTTCTCTTGCTTTCTGTGATGTTTTTTTCAAACAAATAATAAGCATATGATTTCTCATGGAATTTGATGTAACTATACACATACATTTTTTAAGACTACAAATTACACTCGCCCCACGTCAAACAAATTTGTTTTCTTTGAAAAATGTGTTCATTTACATCAAATCATGTTATTACCTCTACATAATTTATTTCATGGTCAGAAATTGAACTTTTGACCCACGATTTGTCTCCTGGGCTGCTCGAAGGTGATCAATACTTGCTAATCACTTTCGAACCATGATTAAAAGGGGCTAACTTCCTACAGAAACTGCGGTAGAGGATATTTAAACTGAGTTGCTAATATAAATTATAAAATAATTCAAATAGTACGCGCGCTCTGATTGGCCATAAAACCATTTTACATGAGCGTATGTAAACACGGTTTTCGTTCCTCTTTCATTAGTTATTTTATAAAAGAAATGTAAAATGGTTTCCGTGTTTACATAGCCTGATGTAAACACGAGATAAGCGTAGGAAACCACGACGCGAAGCGGAGTGGTTTCCAGCTTATCGAGTGTTCTCCCAACCTCCCAAGTGTTTACATCAGGCTATGTAAACACGGAAACCATTTTACATTTCTTCATTGGCAACCGTAAAAAGTTTCTTAATTACTCGGCTTCGCAGAATGCCCGAGTTATTAATTGGGCTTTCTTTTTAGTGTTGTCGTTCAGTCACAAATCGCCGTCTCGCTACAGTGCACGCGTGAAGGTACGTGCTAAGACGCATGCATAGTCAGCATAGAATGCGCACATGGTTGAGCAATGGCGTATTTATCGAAGGTGTTGTTGCTGAACCAAGAAAGAGTGAACAGTATGGAGTCTAAGACGCTAAAAACACGCACGAAGGTAAACACAGTTCGGGGTAGACCCGCGGTCCGCGAACTTTATGAGAGATCAATTTACGAGCGAACTCATGATTATGAGTGAACGTTCTCACTATCGAGGGTTATGCAATATCAAATCAGCTATTTACTGTTAAGCTACGTAGACTTTATCGTGTATTTAGACGTGATCGAGAACCCAGTAGAATACCAGTGCGAACCCTGAAATGTCTGAGGAACAAGAGCAGAAAACTTATGGAATTTGTTTACAAGCGTATTCTTCCAAGTATACCAAAGTCTTCCAAGCTGCAATGTTACACTCATGTGAAGGTCAGAAAATTTTCAAAAATTGAAAAACATAAATGTAAGCGTAGTACAAAGATAATAAACTTAAATAAAATCACACAGCATGAAACGGTTTTGCTGAATTGTTCCAGGAGGGTTTATCAAAGGATAATTAAGTGGAAATACAAAGCTAGAGAGTATTTGTTATTGTTTCCTTGTAGGAGAGTTATGTGTCTTTATAAGACCGAGACCAACATATCTAATTATTGTAAGATTAAGTTGACGACAGATATGGAAAAGAATCCTGGTCCAATTTCGTTGTACATTGACACAAAATATTTTACCGAGTGCGTATTATAGTTCGAGACCCCGTAAGAAGCCAGAGTTCACGCAGTTATGCGTCTTGTTATGCTGACGTTTCGGGCATTAGTTTTTCTTCCAAGCGATACGTCAGCTTTTGAAACTCTTCACGGTGGCCATTACTTTTTCGAACCAACCAATCAGTGCGCACGAAAAGCACCAGTCACCTGTGTAGTATAAACGAGTTGCGCACGTCAAAATAAGCCAGTTTCCGTCATTTCGCTTTCATATGTGTTTACCCTCTACAGAGTTTCTAATTGTGTCTGTACGTACCCACTGTCAATGCCAATTTATTAATATTTTTTCGCTTTCTTTGCCCCGGTGTTTCATTTTCTGTTAATCAAGTTCTTGCAGATGTGTAAACACGGATTATAAGACAGTTTCGTTCCTGCTAAATTTGTCTCTGTAGGATTTGTGCAATTTTAGAACCCCTGGTAAAATACGAGATACAAGCTGACGCTCTTCGGATCGACCCAAATATTAGTGACCAACACTTAAGGGAAGGGAAGCCTCTTTTCTAGTAACAACCCAGGCTCATTTCGTTCCGACACTGCTTAGAAATCCGCTAATGGTTAGACATTCTAGTCTTAAAACCTCTTTCGTCCAGTCAAAGTCCCCCGCCTAGTGATATGTAAATGAAACATTAAGCAATTAGCGGACGAGATTGAGCATGTAAGTAAGTGAACACCCTCTGGAATTGAAGAAAGTGGCCTACGAGAAATTTAACTCATAAGCGGACACCAAGGCAAAATGGAGCGTATCTCCAATTATGTGGGAGCGTTATGTCGGACTCTGGTTAATGTAAAAAAAACAGAAAAAAACAGACAACTTGCTTCCCGTAAACAACTGGAGATTTGACGAAAAACCGATCACTTCTCTTATGTTGCTCTGTCAAAGCAACGCAACCAAGCCGTTTTTTTTTTTTTTTTGCAAGGCCAAGACAAATCTCATCACCAAGAGTCAATTATTATCCGCGTGGTGTCCGCTTACGAGAAAGCGTAAACAAAACATTCAATTATCAACTTCAAAAATGTCCGTGTTCGTCTACGAATGTCCACAAAAAGGGGAATTGAAAAGTGTGCATAAGTAGAACTGTCCACTTACGAGAGTGTCTGTTAGCGGAGAGTTGACTGCAGTGAACTCAACAAGAGAAAACAGCAAAATTAACATGAAAGAGGATCTTTCCACGAAGCGAAAGTTCCGCGGAGACCTCTCAACAATGATAAGTGTACTATAATTTGTGAAATCAAATAAACATCGCTTTGAAGTATCTCTTTATTCACATATTTGACATCGTATTTTTACAAGAGACCCGTGTCCATTTGTTCCTATTCATTTGTGAAGCTTAGGTCATCTCAAAATTTTCTGTACACCACAATCATTACCTTGTATTTGATTTTCACATATTTCTAAACCCACAGGGGAAAAAAAATACCGAACAGGAAGGAGAGTTAATCATATTACGCATGAATGAAAGAGGAAGTATTTCTAAGACAGGAAACTAGTAATCAATTTACAAGCCACAATAACAAGCTTACATACAGTCTATTTAAGTCGTTTAACTATTTAAAGACTCAAATTAAGATCAAACAAGACGACGTGTGTCTAAACGACTGCCAATAGATTTGAAGAGACACGCGTTGTTCTCAAAAAATCTCCGAACAATTTCCGATTCTAAGTATATCATATAACCAATGCTTTCAATAAAACTCTGTAGAAGAGAATCATACCATAGAGCGAGTATTGCGTATTTGCCGTACAAAAATAGCCTATTTAGCAACATGGCTACCCTACAGATCACACGGGTCGTACACTTTTACCGAAAGGAAGCTTTATCGAGGACGGCGCCCAGCGCAGAACAGAAATGATTCCTACCGTGCGTCAGCGGCATTTGCCGGGTACGAATAGCCCGGATGTTATAAGTCAGATACTATCGCTGTGAGGTTACTAGCTGACTTGTTGTAAAAGGCACCTGACGCGATTGAGGTTCCTGACAAGGTTTCTGAAGTCTGTTTTTCTACCAGGCTGGGCAGGTGTACCATAAGCCTCTTCAAGAACTACAAGTGACAAGGAGAGAAACACGTTACTGAGATACAAATGCATCGAAGCCATTCCTTACGATGTATTACGCTTCCGTTTTCAAACTAGGTTACATGTTAAGCCCTTGATATGAAAAAAATTATTTAGCTCTCGCACGAATAAAAACTCATTTTGAAAAGAAAAGTTTTGCAGCAGCACACTGGTCAAACGTCGGGCATGCGCAAGGGGGACAATTTTGGCTGCCGCGCCAATTTCCAGAAAATAATTTTCAAGGAAAACATAACAACCGCTATCACGCGAAATATGCGAGAGACATTGATATTTTCATAACAAATAGTAAAGGAAAGAAAAGCAAGGAAAATTCAACTCCAGAATTTTCGAACTCATAGAATATTTGATTACGTGTATCCTTTTGATTTACTGTTTTACTATGAGTTTAGTCTAAATAGTTGTACGGTTGTTTTCGTGAGGCATTATGCTATGTGCTTGTGATGACTCTCGAAAGACAACCTGATTTCTGAAGCCTGAAAACACGCAACCAAGCCGTATAAACGTTTGGCTGCTATGTTCATTGCACCAGTCCTCATCTTGAAAGCAACAGAGTATTAAAAACTTGGATTTCGCACAAACATGGCCCGAGTGTAAAATTGAGGGCAGCTTTAACCCAGGATGTAAAAAAAAAAAAACTTGTCTAGTGGGTTTGGAGACACACAATGTGCTTGAACCGAAATAAAATAATTTAAAAGCCTCACGCAGTCCTGCACCTCTCAGTTACAAGTTTTCTCGCCCCGTCGTTAGCGAGTGGGCACGCGATTGTTGTGCACGCGTTATCCCGCGAGATCGCACATGCGTGGTCACGCGCAATTTGGTATCTGAAAGCTTTTGGAAAAGATTCGAGAGCGTTCAATCAGAGATAAGTCTCACGGCTCACCTGCTAACTGTTGTTCAATCTGATCCATACGTCCTTCCAAATCATCCTGTATCTGCGTGATATCATCCAGCAGATTGTTGATAGCTCCCACGCTCTCATCATCTGACAAACTCTGCCCAGATTCCTGATTTTCTGTCTTGATCTCACTCTCTCGAGCCCCCGCTGCACTGGCTGAATTTCTTGACTCGTTCTCCTGTTTAACCTGTGATTCGGATCCTACCTTGGGGTTGCTCTCACCGGGGGATGTCTTTACCTCAGCCTGATCAACCCTAGATGACCCCCCATGGGGCTTCAGTTCTGCTGATTTCCCAGTCCCTTCCGTGTCATTTTCGGGCTTTACCGCAAGTTGCACATTTTCTGATTTACTGACAGATTCCTCTTCAGATTTCCCCTGCTCAGGTAATGACGCACTTTTCATAAACACTGTCTGTCCACCGGCAGGAACTAAAGCCGGGATAGGAGACTGCGGATCTTCCTCCTTCTTTATCACACCTAATTGTCCTTCGCTTCCATCGGTGCGCGATTCAGTACTTCCACTCACATCACTTGCCCCTGTTCCTGACGAGCTGGAAAGTGATGACATTAAAACTGACCCTGTGCTCAACAAGGGCACGCTTTTATCTTGTATATTGTTATTGGTGTCACCAGGGCCCTCCTCAGGACGGGATGGGGTGGAGGAACGTTCTTCTTTCACTTTCGGCAGCCCGTTCTGAGAATGATCCTCATGCTCTACGTGACCATTTACCACAAGAATGCTTTTATTTTCAGTGCAAACCGTTTTTTCTCCTTGCTCGTTCACGTTTGTTACGCAACAATCCTCAACAGTTTTTTCTTTATATTCCGTTTCGTCCACGTTTGTTGTTAAACTACTCCCTCGCGGTTGTCGCCAGCATTTCAAATCAGGATGAGACGGTTTCCTAGAATCAAAAATGAAAATAAGTACAAAGTTGACGAAATCTTTAAAAACCCTTTGCAAAAATTTATCAGGATTGTATATAATCGAAAAAGTCACGAAGAGTGCAATAAATCAAAACCATTGCAGGCCTGCAGTACTTTGGAAACCTAACTGAAAATTGCTCTAGATCATTTACGACTTCTCCGGAGATTTACTGAGGCTGTTAGTACTTACCCGAGGAGTTCGAATTTCAGCTTCAAACTGCGTAGGGAGCGGTTCACATCATGTATGTCACTCATCACGCCGTGAGTGGCGAGGTTGAACTCTGCTGAGTATTCAGGCTCTGAGACTGATGAAAAAGGCATGCATGCCAAGGTACCTCGTCTGAACCAATCAAAATCGTTCTGCAAGAGAAGTGACAGAAAGGATTACTGACGTGAAGGTAGCATCAGTCAATCGAAGACGCGGTGGGTCTGGGTTCGAGCCCTGACCGGGTAAAGAGACTTTACCACTCTCCCCATGCCTCTCTTCACCCAGGAGAAAAGAATGGTTACTGGCGAACCTTAATAAAATTCCGCGAGAAGAAAGGGGTAGGGGGTAGGGGGTAGGGGGCTTCTTGCAATAGGCTTGTTGTGGGACAAAGAAACTGGAGAAAAGCTCCGGCAGCGTGTGTAAAATTTGTTCACAATATCAGAGGTTGTTGCTATTAACAACACTAGTCGTAGGAGAAACAAGCACTCTAGAGAAATGATGACAGTGGTACCTTGTATTTTGCGCTTTTCCTTAACCCTGAAAGAAAGCCATGAGAAAGAAAATAAATAAATAACAATTGTATTTCACTCAGCATTTGTTTGAAGTCCACGAGTACTCCCTTTTTCTTACAACGAATTTGAACAAACAACTCTTACCTGTTGGTTTGGTGCACACATAGCAGACGTAATTTGGCGGAACAGTTTGTTCACTGAGACCCACACACTCACTGTGCTGCCATGTTAGACACTGCTCACACTACAGTACCAACGACAAAAGATAGACAAATTAAAACAAAAGAAAACGGTCTAAATCAGGGGAAAGGAAGCCTGTTCCTCCTATGAGTAAAGGGAATAGAAACGTTGTCTGGATGTTTAAAGGAGAGGAGAGGAAAAGTGGCCAATAGAGATTTGGAAAGAAGAGAGAACTTAACTCGATGGGCTTTAAAGGCCTATCCCCCTTCCCTCCCTCTCTTCACAATGGAAGTGTAAGGGGAAAAACTGCTCAGCCATTTGGCTGTTAATGGGGGGAGGGGTGGGAGAGGAGAGATGCCTTAAATGCCTCCCCAGAACCCTCCCCACCCCTGAGAGCTTCCTTCACAAAATACACCAGGGTGAGATTTGACAAAAAGATCACCTGTATCATGAAGCCGCCTTCCTCGGACTCATTACACACACATCTTATCACATCTCCATTGATGTCTTCCTCCTCTTCCACCTCCATGCATTCCATTGTCCCTGGGTCAATATTCTCCGTATCTACTCCACCCCCCTCAATCTCCAGGTCTAGTTCCTGACTGACAGAAGGTTCAGAGTCCATAGCAGTGGACATCACCACATTCGATAACTCCTGCTCCAGTGGTTCAGGTTTTATAGTCGGCGCTGGGACCACACTACTTGGACTGGTTATCTGAGAGCTGCCAGATGAAAGTGTGGCTGGGGCTGAAGACCTGTGAATGCGACGCTTGTGCGGGCGATGCTGGCTGACAAACTCAGGGGAAGTATCAGAGGCGGAGTCCGACCTGACGGAGACTAACCAATAAGAAAAAAAAAGCAATAAAATTGGTCATCATGATGCGCTTAAAAAGCATTTTAATTCTTAAAAAAAAAAAAAAGAGACTTGGATTCGAGATCTAGCCAGGTCATTGTGGTGTGTTCTTGGACAAGACACTTTACTCTCCTCATGCCTCTCTTTACCCAGGAGTATAAATGGGTACCTTGCTAATTCTCAGAGGGACTAGACAAGACATCATGGGGGAGGGGGGGGCTGCGATGGCTAGCAAACCCCCCAGGAGGGGAGTGAAAATACTTATCGTCCATTTATGCTATAGAAACTGAGATAATCTTCGCCTGAATGAGCCACTTGGCTCTGGTGCAGACATAAACTGTTTTAATGCCTCTTTTCTTCCATTTTTTAAATTAAATTATTAAAATAGATGTGGACTTAGTAATCGCTACCTGACTTTTTCCTCTTAATTCCAGTTTTGTCCTTTTGATTATGGTAGTATTTAATGTGATATTCCAAGCCACTTTCTTTACGGAATGACTTATCACACCCAGATATTTGGCATTTGTATTTATTATGGTCCATTTCAATTATCAGTTCCTTGGGTGCTGAAATCAAAGGCAAGATTTTAATAAAACAAAACCACCCAAAAAAAAAGAAAAAAAAAAGAAAAAAAAAATGTGACGTGCAAAATTTGATGTAAAACTTCAGACTACTCATACCCAGATCTTTAGACTTGCGCATCTGAAATAAATAGAATTTTTTCCATTAGTTTCTTCACCTACATCATCTACATTTAAGCAGAAAAACAAATACACTCAAAAGAAAGACTTTTCTTCCTGTTGTTGTGCATCCACTGGCAGATTTCCTTAAAATTATGTTTCTTTACTTTGATTATCACAATCATCAATACTTTAGAGAAAATGTTTTGTTTACTATCAGGGCGTGAAATTAATTTTTTTTTCTGATAGTCACTTGGCTCCTAGATTCTTCAAAGTGGTAGCCAATTAAAAAAAAAGTTGGTCACCATTTTCGAAGACAAACAAGACCTTTTTTTACGCTGTCATCGTTCTAGAAATTAAGTAAGGGAAAAGATCTTTAACGTGCTACAAAGTGGACACTGGGATGGATGATATGCAACGTTCATGCTCACCTAAATCCACGATGGCGTCTACGTATCGATCGAGACGCATGTGCTGCGTTTTGGAAACAAACTTCACAAGGAAGTTTGCTGAGGAATTATCTTAGCAAATCTTTTTAATTCACTATATCGCTAGGTGAGGTTATGATGAAACATTCTAGTCGCCAATTGGCGAATAATTTTCAGGATTTGGTCGCCAAAGTGAAAAATTTAGTCGTAATGGCGCCTGTATTAGGCGTAATTTCACGCCCTGACGATCCCTGCATAACTGTAAACTTCATGCTCCAATCATCAGTAGTAGTTTTAAACTTAAATTGCATATCTTTTCTTTAAAAAGAATCTCCTAAATTTTGGAACTACATGTATTTTTATCATGTTTGACAAAATGTTATCCTTTGGATAACATCAGTGTTGTTCTTTGACCAAAAGGCATCTGTGAGGACATTGATAGTGACTTTCATTAAGAAGATTGCTACAGGGTATGAATATCTTACCCTGCCAGGAAGTAGAGCTTGTAAACCATCTGGGCTCAGATCATGAGGCACCCCTGATATTCCAGTTGTCTGTACTACAGACATAGCAGTGGCACTTGTTGGTGTTGCTGTGGTTGATGCTTTCAGATTTGACATAGACGTCAACTGACTTGCTGGTGCAAAAGGTTTTTCACTGTTCTCTGTTCCATCTTTAGACCCCCCGTTGGAATTAGTTTCTGAAATGGTAGATTTTGGAGCAGTACTTTCCCCACCCTCTCCACTCCTTTGGACAGTGCTCTGTTCTGCACTGGAAGCATTTTCTACTTCTGATTTGGCTGCTGATGGCGCCTCCACACTTGATGCAGGCAACGATTTGGTTGGAAGGGGCCTTTCACTTTTGCGGGAGCGTCTGTTTTGGTGCTTTGAGTTTTCTGGAGTAGGACTGACGCTGGCTGGAACAGTAGGAACTTGGGGACTTTGAGGAACCTGAAGACTACGATCTAAGATTTCCAAAAAATAAAATTCTTGGTAATTATTATATAATAAGCTCAGCTATGCACGCATTCTGATTGGTTCTCACTTATGATCTATTGGAGGACAGACGTATAGATGAAGTCATCATCAAAACCTTTTTTAATTCTTTATTATATAAAACAATTATATTCCAAGTTGCCGTGCGCCTGTTCAGTAATACATCACAGAGGACGTCAAAATGTGGTAAGAACATCAGTGACACACTCGGCTGCGCCTCGTGTGCCACTTTTTTGTTCTTACCACATTTTGACGTCATCTGTGATGTATTACTGAACAGGCGCACAGCAACTTGGCATCTATTTGTTAATTTGATACATGAGAAGCAGGGGAGACAAAACTGGTTATTTTAGTATTCTGTAAGCTCTTTTAGTGTGCGATGAGCTGAGAGGCTTCCCTTGCATTATCAATCAGCAAAATCCTTTGTCATCCCTGAATGACAGTGGTTGTGTCTATCTTCAGTGCTCTTAGCTGCTGCTCACAAACAAAAGCACAACAAGTACTTACCATCATGTGCATGCCAATGGTCCTCATGGTGATGGCTCACTGGTAAGAAGCTCTGTGATGTTGGGGGCCCATGTCTAAGACCTACCCATGCTCCAGGAGGGGCTTGTTCTCTAAAATGAGGCATTCCTGGTCCACCACGAAGAATCCTCTGCTCACATTGCATCAGCTGTGCTAGTGCACTCTCATGGCTAGGAGGAGGGGGAGGAGGAGGTGCCCCATGGGGGAGTGGAGGGTACACAGGTTGTCGCACCCCAGCAGAACAAGAACCTGTGCAACGAAAACAAATAGCTGTCATTTAAGTCTCACTACAATGAAAAAATTCCTTCTTGTTCTCTATTGCTTCTGGTGTTAATTCTGGCCAAAATGCCTCAACCAAAGTATTAGAGCTAACAGATAGTGTTTCAGTCGAGTTAGAAGAGCTGGATCAAGAAAGGAAGAGGTGTCATTTATAAACCATTTCAAATTTTCAACGTATGAACAGTTGATTTAATATGCAGAATGGTAACTCTTAAAAGCACTAAAGTCTGCACATAAAACGAGCTGAGGTCACACATTCTACTGTTAAACTAACAGCTAACTGATGTCATTTTCCCTCTAAATCCAGCCTTCCCAGTTTAACTTGACTTAAATTAAACATGATCTGGTAACATTTTAAAAGAGAAATCTCATTTGAAAAATCAGACATGTTTTATTTTAACTTTAGGCGTAATGCTTGACAGAGTGCTTTTTTGGCTTAAAGTCGAAATGAGATCGAGAAAGAGTGAAAAGTTCTGTTCATTTTTGCAGATCTTTATCAAGTGGAGGTAATCAAATGACTACTTACACTGACCGATGCAAGGTCCATGTGGAGGATAGTGCATCCCATGAGCATACAGCATGTACCCTGATGACGGAGGAGGATACTCCGGGTGAGGATGCATGTGACCAGGAGGGAGATGCATCCCATGACCTGGGTGTGGTCCATACAGATGCTGATGGTGAGGAGGGGGACAACATGACCCTGGCATGGGTGAGTAAATAAGGGGAGGGGGTCCTGGAGGAGGTGGATATGACTCTCTGGGGTAGGGTGGTGGATTAGCAGGAGGTGACGGGCTCAGTGCAGAGGGGGGTGGAGGTGAAGAGTGATGTTTCGCGAGTTGAAAGGCAGATGGTGAATGAGCTGCAGCTTGGGCTTCGCTCTGCCGTTGTGCTGACAGCTTTCCAGTGATCTGGTCCAACCGAAACTTCTTAGCCTGATATGTCTGTTTCTTGGGAGCAACTTGGTTTTCATTTGCTGCAGTTGATGCTGTTGGGCTCGTTGGAGTGGTTGGAGTAGAAGTTAGACTTTCTGTAGGAATTGTCACGATAGTTAATTCATTTTCTGTCGTAGGAATCTCTGTCTTCTCCTCTGGTTTTGCATCAGGTAGTAAAGGCTTCTCAATGTCCATAAATGCCATGGAGTATCCGTATCCTCTAGGACTTATTGAAGATGATCTACTCCCCTTAAAACTCCTCCTCCGTTGTACAGTTTTCTCACTCTTAGCGCTAGTTTTGGTGCCAGTTTTGGGGGGAGCCACCTTAGGGGGCAAATTAACCTCCTGGGCATCTAACTTGGGGGGTGAGGCAGCCCTCGGGGTAAATTGTTGTTTGGTTGAAGGACTAACTTTTAAAGATAAACTTGTTTTAAATGACATGCCACTTTTGGCTTTGCGTGTTCTTGACAGACGTTCAGCTCGTGAAAGTGTTCTTTTAATTTTGGGACCTTTTGAAGTTTTTAGTTTAGAAGTTGAATTGCCTGGTTTAGAAGTCACTATTGAAGTACTTGTCTCTGTTCTCAAAGAAGTTTCAAATGTAGTTGAAGAATCATTTTTCTCTGGAGATGTCTCCGTGTTGGGGTCTTGGATATTTCTACCATAACTATTTTCATTTTCTTCTTGTGGAGGGAGATTACTTTGTTGCTCAAATTCAACACCCTCATCGCTGATATTTGAAGAGTTTTCTGTAGCAGTTTTGTCCTTATTTTCTGACACATAGTCCACCTGTTGTTGTTCTATACTTTCATCTTTAAAACTCAAACTGTCTCTATCATTGCTGCAACTACTCTCTTGCTTTTTTCTGTGTTCATGATAATCTTGAGGATCATTCTCCAAAGTCTCATGTGCACTTGAATAGTGTAATGATGCTGATGATATTGTGGAATGTTCCTTTGCATCAAAGAAAACCTTCCTGTCATCATTTTCAGTTTCATTAGTGGACTGATGTTTATCTTCCCGATTCTTTTTCAGTTCATCATTTGTTTTGAGCGCATTCTTTTTATCCATGAATCTTCTCTGCTTCCTTATACCCACTGTGGATGTTTTTTGATGTGGTATTTTCTCCACAGGCGTTTTATGCTTCACCAATTGAGTAAAATTACCCTCCAGTAAATCCTCTTTTTCTGTCAATTGATGCATATCAACATGTCTTTCTTTTCTATCTGAAGGCTCTTCATTTTTGATGAATGAATCCACATCAGCTTCAATCTCTTTACTTTTCTTGTCCCTCAAATAATTGAAGAAAAAAAAACTGATGAATATTTAGCAGTAGGATGCCACAATTAATGATGTAAGAAGCTTCTAACTAAAAACCCTTGACAGTTCTTTAGGTAAAGTGATATAAGAGGACCACTTCAACCCTTAACACCCTTGTATCAGTATGCATATTCTCCATACTGTTCTCTATACATTTTCTAAGGTGCTGACAAGGAGAATTTGTTTAAAAATCAAGAGCTTCCTTGGGGGTGATGATTTCTCATATTTCTCATAATTTAATGTTTGAGTCAGGGTTGATATTGTAAGAAGAAATTGGATACCAGTCACTCTTAGAACTTTAAGGGTTAAAAGTTTTGTTTTAATCTTTTAATTACAATGTTTTCTTGAATGGTGGTGAATCAAAAAGACAACTGAAAGTAGGTGTAATTTGGGAGTACATGTAAGTGTTCCTGATCAATTCACAACACTGTCCCCTTGCCTAGTGTCAGTAAGCTCATACTGTCTTTACTCCACACGAAGCAAACCTTCACAGACCCAAAACTCCAGCCTCATTAGCAAACACATTTTAATGCCAAGAAATGCTATAACTTTTTGCTTCAATCTTAGCATATGAGGCTTTTAATCCAACCTAAACAAATTACTATGATCAGTGTACCTACAACATAGAGTCTGTAATGAACTTGACACTTACTGTTTTTGAGAATCCACTGTTTGCTCATCAACTTCAGGCATTTCAGCTGGACTTGATACACTGGATTCACTTGCTGTGCCAAAGTCATCCTTCCTGCAAATACGAATGTTCCACAGAAGAGAATTAAAGGTTGTAGCACAGAGTGCTTTAAAGAACAAAGAAAGTTAGCTTCCCAAACAGCCAATAATCCCTTACTCATGCATTTTCCCCTTTCTTCCTCTGTAATCTTTTCTCTTCACTGGAATAACTGTTGTGGGACTGGTCTCTGAACTCCTCTTACGAGCTCGTTCAGCTCTAGCAGATGCCATCAGCTGCCGCCTTTCTCTCCTTTCTTGAATTTCCTTTTCATGCTCCTGCTTGTCATTGGAACTCATGTTGATCTTCTGCAAAGGGAGGGGAAAAATCACTAGTTTATTACAAAGTATTTAGAAAAAAAAAAGAAAAGTCATGCTGTCAATACTTCAACCAAGACCCAAGCAAATTGCTGGCAAAAATATTTTTTTGCGATAAAATCACTGTTCAGTACAAAATAATCAACATAGACACATGCATTCATCATAACATTGGTGTATTCTTAAATTGTTAGGGCACAAGGTAAGACAAATTATACTCTGAAGCATTGTGTTCCACACAATGCATACTTATCCCTGTTTCCCAAACATGAAGCAACTCGGAGCATTGCTACACCCCCTGGATAAAATGATTGCATATAAGCCCTTCATACACCACCCCACACAACATCACACCACAGCTCCCCCCACCCAACTTTTTTTGATGCTTCCCTGCCAATTTGCTGTCACATAAGTGTAGTCCTAAGTGGAAAGAGACTCTATTGGAGTTAAGTGTCTGGCCCAAGAACACAACACAGCTACCCCTTCCCCCCTCCCCCTGGGCTTGAACTTAGAGCTCTTCATAACAAACACAGGAGTACAAACTACTTGGCCATTATCTCTCCAAAACTTTTAGAAACAAAACAAACTTGGTAACTGGTTATAAATGATCTTCAAAAGCACTCACCCTATTATCTGGTTTGATATTTACTCTGTGGACCACCTTCTTGAATCCATCATAAAAATGAACTTCATATGAACCTAAAGTGCAAGGAGCTCAATTAATTTCATTCATGCATACAGCTTGCTAAATTGATTATCTGCCTTCAGTACAGACTGACATCATTGATACATCATGGACAATTGTGTTACATTCTTTTGCTCAAAGATTATGCGGTAGAGCAGTAAAAATCAAACAAAATTGCTGCTACAGCTGTTTGGTTTTGAAAACATTTTTCCAACAAGTTTAAAGCTTCACAAATTTAACAAAGAAGGGAATCCCCTCAACTGAATTAATAGCAATGTAAAGTGGAACACACATGTTTACATGTCAATTCATCACTCTGAAACACAAGCTTGATTACCAGTTTGGAAACTAAAGCAAAAATATGTAGAGTGCATTGTTTGATTTTTACTGTGTTTGTTAGAGATAACTGGTAATACTGGTTAAATTCACAGGTGATACCTGTTGAACTTTCACGAAGGCAGACACTCACTGTCTCAACTTATAACACTTATTTAAAACAAGCAGCAAATGTAGTCCTTACTACCAATATCTGTGAACAAATTCTCTTAATTTCTATGAATTTCTTTGTGCAAGAGTGTATTTTAATTACTGCTAGGAATTTGAAATTACGTCAAGACAACATCCTCTTGGTACTAGTTATTTTTTTCTTCACTACCTGCCTAGTTGACATTGTATAAATATCAAAAGTTAAAATTGGTTCGGATTTCTCATTCTCTACTTTGATTTCAAATGATTGTCCTTGATAAAAAATAATCATTTAGTGAATTTTCACATGCCCACTCTAATCCCAAGAGGATATCATCCCTAACAATAATATTATGGATGGTTAAGAATATATGAAGTCATATAAATAATATTATGGGTTTGTAACTGCTATACAAAATTACATAAACTATCATGTTTTGATTTTTTTCTCTCTTTTTGTTAAACATAGATTAAAGCCCAAGATGGATGAGTGCATGAAGCATCATGTTCGCCATCTAACTCCTACATGTAGGAGTGACCAAGACAGAATCTCTCCTTACGATATGAATACAACATCAAACAGACAAGTAACGAGAATATAGAAAATATCAATCAATGAAATAATTCCTTGATCCAATACCAAATTCTCCCAACTAACATCATAAGAATTCTATGGCAGACAGTAAGGAGAATTACTTATGAAATCTTGGGAGCAAAAGGGTTCTACTGGTCAGAAGGATTCATTGGACTCATGTACCTCCCTACTTACAGCTAATGATTCACACAAATCAAGTAAGTTTTCCAGACCTGGTATTCACTTGGAACATTATTACTAATTTACAGATGTTTTACCTTCACTAAGGCACTTGGCGATTTTTGCCGGGTAGAATTTACAATCCTGCCACTTTGCTAATACTCGATCACCAGTTTTCCAATCCTGCACACACAAAGAAACCACAAATTATTCATCATTAATGATTTTCCTACCCCATATCAGCACAAAAGAGAGGGTGGTTAGCTTACTAAGGGTGTGAATGCAGGAAATTCCATCCAGACAATACCAGCCAAAAGGATTGCAGCATACACACCTCTTACTAATTGAGTTCAAGGTCTGTGCTGTAAGTTACAGACCAAGTTTGTTTCTGCTTGGATTTTGCACTACAGCCATAATCCAAGCTGAAAAAACCAGGTTCTGTAACTTAAAGTACAGGCCAAGAAAACGAGGTTAGTGAGATAATTATTTGAAATCTATTTCCTCAATAGGTTCTAATACAGGGGGAAGATTTCAATCCAAACAAACTTTTAAGTTTAGGAGGCTGCACAGTGAAATAGAGCCCTATCTGTATCAGCCCTTCAGTACTATCTGAGATAACTTGCCTGCAGAGCAAAGGTTGCATAGATTATAGTGTACACTCACTCTACATGCAGTGTCTACACACTCTGGGCAAAGAATATCTACATGGGATTTGTAGCTAATATTTTTAGGCTGCTTCTGTATTCATGTTGTGTGACAGACCAGACAAGGGTGAATCTAAAAAGCACTGAAGCTGAGGAATCCTGCCTTTCATCCTTACCCAAAAACTGCTTATTTAACCCTTTACACCCTAACATCAGTATGCATATTCTCCATACTGTTCTCTATACATTTACTAAGAAGCTGATTAGGAGAATTTGTTTAATGATCAAGAACTTCTTTAGTTGGTGATCATTTTCTTTATTCTTGTGAACTTCATGTGTGATTCAGGGGTGATATTGTAAGGAGAAATTAGATGCTTATCACTCTTGGGGTGTAAACAGTTAAATCATGAAACTCAACTTTAGTCCATGCTGTATAATGTACAAAATGATTTCAACACAGTGTAAAAGAAATAATAAAAATTTAAGTTTTTTTTTTTCCACTGAGAATTTCAAAAGACTGTTGAATTCTAGGTCATCGAAAAAAAAAAACAAACAAAGGGATAGCACAGCAAAGATAAGAAAAGTATTATAGAAAAGACAAACAACAGCAAGATCAGCTTTGTCATGATTGTAGAAGGAAAGAGCTCTGTATTAAAGTGATTACAAATATCCTGTGGAGTATTATAAAATGAATTGAAAACCAGAGAATATATGCATACATGAGTTCTGCTTCAAAGTAGTGAGGCAAAGTTGAAGAAAGGAGTGAAATTTTTGTTCTTTAACAGGTCATGAAACCAGATGAAAAATGATTGAAATTAGATTTTGGATTATTAACACCCACTAAAGGAAGTGTTTATGTTTCACATCCACATTGCACATATCTTGTTGGATAATGTTTCCTAGCTATGTTTGCTCATCAATAAATCATTCTTGATCCTAAATATTGATTCCAAAGTTTGAAAATTATGAATGGAATACAGGGAAAGAGTTTACAATGGAGTATAAAACACGACTCGTCAAAAGGTACGTCATTCTAACTTTGCCAAAGAAATTTAGAGGAAAGCCATGAAAAAAAAAACAATTTCAGTTTTTCCAATTTTAAATCATACTTATGCCTTCTGCATGCAATTGAAAATAATTTGACTTCAATATAACCACAGTGATGTGGAGCTGTGTTTCACAAACAGATGCAAAAACATTCAGTGCAGAGATGCAGAGATGGTTAAAGAAATCTAAAATCAGATATGAAAGTGGTTAGTGCTGTACCACTAACTGAACAAGGTATTGTGGGAAGAGGAATACAAATTTGAAAATTATACAAATTCTGCTGTCAAAATGAAAAGCTGTTGAAGTTTGGATTAGCATCAAATGAAGCTACACCTTCATCATGTGATATGTACACTGTATGAAGTAAAGGGAGTGAAGACTGACACTATGTTTGGTTTTTGGTTTAAACAACTGAAAAACTGAAGTTAAATGGTGAACATTAGGACATATTTTGCAAACACTGCTGCTGGAGGAATTTTATCAGTTTCAAAGCGATTTCAGACAATCTCATTGCAACATCAGCTTGCTGTTAAAAGCTCACAGAAAAATTAGATCTTGATTTACATACATGAACAACACAGTTTAATTAAAAAAATTATTATCTTACTTCACAACATAAGGTGGTATTTTTACAAGATAAAAATAGCAAAATAGACTCATCTGGTTGACCTGATAGTCGCAAACTTCCTGTTCATCGCAAGGTACGAGGGAAGAGGGCCATAGCACAAAGAAAGCAAGAGAAATATAGTTTAGATTTAACCAAGTGTGTACATAAACTTGCACACAACACACAATCTATTAATAATGGAACAGGGAATATCACCCAAAAACATCTGCATAATGAATGAATGAAAGGGATTTAAGCAACAGAATTAAAAAAGGGTTATGTAAAGAAGGAATTAATATTGAATATTAGGAATTGTCAAGGCAGAAAGTAAAGACCACCAAATGGTGGGTAAACATCATTTTAATGAAGGAACAAACCCTAAAAAAGTGCACATATGAAGTTTGATATCCAACTTCAAGCAGCACAATCCCATTTTAGTAATAATACATTGGAAATGGAAGACTCTGTATTGGATGCTAAATGTAATGTCTTGTGACATCTGTTTGACTAATGATGCTATCAAATTAATTTGCAGTCAGAGCACCATCCAATGAGGCAACTGAATTCAATGACTCTGGCCCTTTTTTTAAGAGCACTAGGGAAAAGAGAGTTTTACTTTTTATTTAGATTAATTTCACTGAGACAACCCTTTGAGGAAGATGCAATTAGCACAAGTTAAGCACAGGTGAAAGACAGAAACAGCTGCAATATTTAATCAATATGGATGAAGCATAAACACAACTTTGCTGTTGTTCAGTTGAACTTAGCTTAAAATAAATTCCAGAAAGAAAAGATCACAAATTTTTGAGACTTAAACATTTTGAAAATAGGAAAGAAGACCAAGGAGTATTACTAAGAACAAACAAAAATAAGTAGCACAACCAGAACAAAGTTCAGCACCTGTTCTTCCATCTTAGCTCTATGAACAGTAGATGTGTATTCAATACAAACAAAATATTGAAGAGCATAGCCCCAAAAAGGAAAATTACATGTACAGTGAGAAGCCGAAGATCATGGTGATTCACTTAGAAGATAATTCAGTGAGCAAATCTTTGAGAGTTATTTTTTTTCTCTTCATAGGTGGAATGTGGAATTGAGGATAGAAATCAGGAGCATTGATAGGAAATTAAAGCATAATGTTAGTCAAAAAAGAAATTTTTAGGCAAGATTGGCATGTATGCTCACACAGTTGCATTTTAATTCATGCATCAACAATGACATGATAAAGGCAAGGTACCTGCCAAAATCCATTGTTCTGACACATTTTAATACCACAATTTTCTGCCTATCATTATTCTGTGCATTTATCTATTTCATGCCTCTGGAAAAATCAGCAAAATTTAAGTGAAACCCACTCTAAAGATTTCAAATAGGCTATTGTAACAGAATTATACAACAAAGAGAACAGATTTAAAGTTATTCTGTGTTACTGTTGCTTGAGCATTAACCAAAAATAGTCAATAATCTACTGCACTAGTACAATGTAGTCCCTTTTTAAGCTTAGTTGACCAAAATAAGTTGGGCTTGTCAAACCTTTTCTTCTTTAGAGTCCTGAAAAAGGTGTTGCCGTCCGTGTGGCCTCAAACGTTCACTGTCAAATGCAATCCATTCATCATAACGATGATTCCAGCCCTCAAAATGAATCAGTACCTTCTTATCTTTTTCATCAACACGGCATATTTTAGCAGAATACCTAAAAGATATTGACAAATGTAAAATATAATAAACTTTAAAGGAAAAAAACTCTGTAATCAATTTTTTGCTTTGAAAACAGAACTAAAGGGTATGGTTGCCCAAGGCCAGCCAAATAACTGAGTAAGGTCTGATACAAAATTCCTGAAATGAAAATGATCCTTGAATAATGTAGTAATCTCTATATACATGGTAGCTACCTTTGCATTTAACCATTTCATTTATATATCCCACCAATGACAATCGCGTTTGGAGTATTTTCTTTCCAAAGAAAAAATATCGGTTCTTTCTCCCATGAATAACGATTATTTTCAGTTAAAATACATTTCATACCAAAGTGGCAAACAATTTTTTATCAGTTTATAGCATAGCATAATAACAGTTCACTAAAACAGAGGCAGTTCTGTGTATAAAAATTTAATATTGCATCAGCTACTTCGACAAAGTGTTAATCCCAAGGCTTACACTCCACAGGTCTAGTATTTCTCTGCATAAATAATGTGTATCAAGTTGGACTTCCTAGCCAGCTTTGGATGAGTTTTACAAAACATTCATCCTTTACATACAATATTAAATAATAAGCTGAATTATACAAGCATTTAGATCAGTTGTTACCTATGATCTGTTGGAGAACGGATGCAAAGATGACATCACCATCAACAAAATTTAACTTTTTTATCATAAAAGATGAAAAGAATCCATGTTACCATGTGTTTGTATAGTAATAAATCACTGAAGTTATCAAAATGTTGTAAGAACATCAGTGACAAACTCTGCCACACTTTGAGTGCCATGTTTTTGTTCTTACCACATTTGACCTCATCAGTGATCTATTACTGAATTGATGCAAGTTAACATGGAATCTTTTAATTACCTAACATGAAATACAAGTGCAAACAGTTGAATCCCAGTAACTCAAATTGTCAAGAGAAATTGAAATTACTTTGAGTTATTGGGGTTTTGAACAAAAATACCAGAAACACCTAATCAATTCCAGACTATGAGCAGTTATTTCTCTTTGCTGGGGAGAACTGTCATAACTATTTGTTTATGGACATGCAAACATGCGATATTGACAAAGGTTAGTTTGTCATAATATATAACTGAGATTAAATGTAATCCACTGTGCAAAATTTTCTGGCTCATTAGTCTTCAAAAGTGAAAATCAACTTCAAGTTATCAAGGGTTAAATTGCAAAGAAAGGTACCCGAAGAGCAGTAAAAATGACTTAAAGTTAGAGTGCTTTTGAGTTGGCGGGATTTCTAGCTATCAGGGTTTTGAGTTAAAGGGGTTAAAATTATAGTAAATATATGAGGCAAATCCAAGGAAAATCAGTTTTGCCTCAAGTTAGCGCGAATTTGAATTACCAATGGTTTAAGTTATTGGAGTTCAACTGTAAGTGCATATTTTTGCTCTTGCTAACAGCTTGAGAGATTTAAGAAGTTGTCAGAAAACTGTGATGTACATCAAATGCATGCAGGGATTTCTCAAATTTGAATGATTGTGATTGAGACATTTTGGCTAGCAAAACAAAGAGGTAAATGTTTCAAAGGGACATTTGGAGATTAAATGCTACTTGAAGAAGGCTTTCAAGCACTTGCAAAAGCTCTTAGCTTGTGCTACTGAGAATATCATCAAGCATTGATAATTTATCACAATGAGAGAGTTGCCAGCCTAAGGCAGATCCCTTTCAGCCTCTTCATGTATTACAATATTAACACAGATGCTCAATGTGTTTGCATTGATCACATGTTGTAATCTACTCCATGAAAATACAGAAACTAATTATTACAATTTATAGCTAATGAAAATACTGCACTTGTTCATCTGTGCTAAGGTTTTATTTAAAATCCACCCAGGTTTACCATTTTTGCTCGACTTTAACCTCTTGTTGTATATATTTCCTGGTGTAAGAAGTAACAATATTGAAGAATACCTCATAAATATAACGAACTATACCAAAAGTATTGTTTTGTACCAGAAGTAAATATTTCTTTACGTACGTAGGTAAGTATATTTGTAATTGAAAAGCTTTAAGTAACAGACGTTCAAGATTATAGTTTCTTTCGATTTCTACAAAAGTACAAAGGAAAATGCGAGTAAAATATCAATTTTTATCTCGTAAAAAAATTGAACCAAAAGAGGAAAAAATTCGCTATAATTTCAACTTGATGTGGTGACATCATTATCGGCACTAAAATTAAAGCAAACTTCGAAACGACACTTTTTCAATCTTTCCCCGAAAAGCACTTCGTCAAACTGAATACGTACCGTGGCAGAGATAAGAGGAGGAAAACCACGGAGTATTCCGGCCAAGTTTTGAAATGTCACCGCCAGAAATCGATTTATCACGAAAATTTTTAAGAACAGGCTGAAATCAGCCAAGCATGCAAACAAACAAAATTTGAGTTACGCGCGCAGTTTTTAGGAACATTCCTACCAAAAACACGAGTCAGAAGCAAGTAAATCTCTCCGTGCATGAAAGTAATACTACTCACCAACTTAACGTGTAATCCATTGCTTCGAGCCGGGCTCCGACTTGAAAATTAATTTTATATTTCGTTGAAGTGGGAGAGGTTTTCGTCGACATTTTGACCTTCACTGTTGACGATTCGTATAAATGCTAACCATTTGCACTACCACACCAAGTGAATCATTGCTCGAACGCCACGCACACAATAAGGAATGCAACCCGTAACCCAGAAACTCAAAAGACTTTTCTCTCCACGGACAACACCACAGGTCAACGTAACAAGAAACGCTTTCTTTCTTGGATCAATAGGAAACAACATGACTCAAATATCCACGAGGATTATAATTCCAACCACAATACCTTGCGAGCAGGAGGTTCATTTACTCAAGGTACTAGTACAAGACAACACATATTGCTCCTATCATTTCGCGGCCATTTTGGAACAAAATTAATAACTGTGATTTCCAAGATAACGATTCCTTACTAATACCAATTTTCGCCTTATTTTGTGGTATTTAGATAGAAATGTGTTTGGTTGACCTAATGATGAATAAAATACAAGACTCCAACGCCCCATAAATTGTACAAATTTTCATTAACATACTCCATACTTTTGTTATGAAAATGACAAAGTGCAGCAAACTATACGTAAATTAAAAATATTACGAAAAAATAAATTAAACAAATGTATTACTCTTTACAATAAGTGTGTATGTGGCCAAGAGAGGCTAGAAAATTGTATGCAACAACTACATTTTGGATTATATGGTTTAGCCTAGCTAGTAAGCTAATTGTTTATAAATAATTTTTAGTCGGAAATAAGATGTAAAGACATTGTTGGCAGTATCATAATTCCTTGTTATAGATATTGCTTGTAAGCAACTCTCTGAAAAAGATGCATTTAATGCTTTTTCAAAGTTTGTCTCTTTTGTGTTGAAAATCCTGTGAAAGGACCACACCCATTATCTGAATACTATGCAAGAATGCACGATTCTCCTCATTTGGAAATTGAAAAACATTTCACTCTAAGCTTTGCTTTGCAGAAGCAGTTGAATGCTGGTAAATGACATAGATCAAGGGTATAAACGATGTTTCCTACTGTGAATAAAATTTGACCCTCTTGTTATAAATATTAATAGTAGGTATATAAATAGTCATCAATAATCTGAGAATAGCCATTCTGAGGATCTATCTGTTTGAACATAAGTTGAAAATTGCTTTAAAATGATTGAATCAAGTTGCAAATTTTATATTCACATTTGGTCTCACGAGTAGAATGAAGAAAGTGCCTTTGATTTTGAACAGCAGCATAAAGAAGGAAGTATGCCACAAACTACTGCAACCTTTTCAAACTACAAGAAATATATTACTTTTAAGTTATTGTGTTTCATAATCCTCAGCTTCATTAAAATCTCAATAAGATACAAAATTCACAAATGCATCATGCCAGGTACAAGAGAAAGGTTTCTCCTGATATGTTTTCCACAGATTCGGTTTGCAAAAGCTGTGTTATGTCTTAACATTCATCCTCTTCTTAAATCAAAAGGAGGGCTTATTTTCATGTTAAATCTGAATTGTTAACCTCTCTAACCATAGACACCTTCAACATTAGGTTTTAGGAATTTTATACCTTATTATTGATATCAAATTCCTTTTTTTTAACACTCTTCATTGCATGACTGAACACAGTGTATAACAGTTAAATAATTATTTAGTCAATCATAAATATCATATCATTAACATGCATACGTTCATACCTGATTGCTAGTGATGAAAAAGAATTCAACAAACAAAAATTAACTAAGGAAATAACTTATTTTGCTTTCAAAAAGACAATTTTCATGATAATAACATAAAAAAATTATCCTCATCTCCATATTTTCCCACAAAATTTTTTAATAAAGAATCATGCCTCTTACCTTGATGTGCACTTTCTTTGAGAACACTAAACAAGACCTGCTTTTGTTTATACAACGAAAAATTTCAAGCCAAAAGTTCCCCAATGACAAAGGAAATAAGATTCTTTTTTATTTATGAGCCCAAGGTGATAAGGTACTCAGCGGTGATTCGCATGAATTTATAACCATAACCAACCAATCAGAGCAAGACACGAGAGACCGGCCCCTTTGAAGGTCAGGAAGCGTTTTACACATTTCCCACGTCAGCCAAAAACTCTGTTGTGGCTATAAGCCTGAGCGATTCTTTCGCTAAATTCTGCAATTCTCCAAACATGGGGCTTCTATACTGTAAGTATAGGTCTCAAAATCTACGTACATATGGTCTTCTTTGGTTTACTGACAATATTTTGTATCATTTTGCAGGTGTATTTTTATCATGTTTCGTTTCGCTTGCAAGAGGTCTTTATGGTCCGCAAACTGATGTGGTTCAACTGACAGCAAATAATTTTAGATCGATGGTTATGGACAGTGATAGTGTATGGCTTGTAGAATTCTTTGCTCCTTGGTACGTATGAAATATTTATTTTCAACGCTTCAGCTAAAATTAAAATCCAGTAAGGTACACTTGTACGTAACTGAGTGGAGATTTTCATAATTCAATAAATCTGTGATTTTGTATACCTTAAAGAGCGTAAATGCTTTCCGAGCATAGCATTTTAAAATAGGAAAATCTAAGGCTAGCTGTGATGGTATTTATTTGAACATCCTGGGACAGAGAAACGTGATTTTTTTAAATCTTTGCTTTAATTGTTTAAATTTAAGTGATAATGTGAGAACTTAATTATGTAGTGTAGATTAAGTTGATTTTTGTTTTCCATTCTGTGTGCCGGAAATAAGCAAATCCTCCAGTTCGAAATTTTAAATGTATTACATCTTATGACAAACAGAACAAATTGTTTGAAAGTATGACAACCAATCATTCTATCATGAAGTGTCCACATTGCCCCTTTTCTGTGTTTAGTTGTGTGACAAATCGACTGGAGATTTCTCTTTTTTATCTTATCTCCCCCTTAGTATGAAAGACCAAACTCTGATCCCCCCCCCCACTTTTTGTTTTCAGTAACTTCAAAAACTTTCAGCTGATGAATCTAAAATTTGATGGTTATTTTGATAAATCTTTCTTACAGACCTTGTCCCTACAGTTACCTCCTAGTGGGGGTGGTGGGGAGTTCTTCCAAGGGGGGGGGAAGGTGGGGAGTTTGATAAAAATGGGATGCCACAGTTCTGCAAAAATTCCAAAGAGGGGAGAAGAATACCAAAGTCAGGGGTCTAACAATAGGGATTGAGCTGTTCACTTGGTAACTGAATTATGCTGTCCTTATTTAGGTGTGGCCATTGTAAAGCATTAGCTCCAGAATGGATTAAAGCGGCATCAGCACTGAAGGTATGTGCAAGCTGTCTAGCTGAAGTCTGAGAGTTTTTTTGGAATACTTGGAGGTCAAGGAGGGTCCTGATATCAACTAAATTACAGGATTTATGTCCTTGAAAACTCCATAATAACCTCCCAAGGTTCCTGATTTTGTTGAAATGTTCCAGGCCCAGTTGTTCAAAGGCTGATTAGCGCCAGCCCAAGGTAAAATTTTAATCTGGGTCTCTTTAATCAAAAGCCTTTTGGGGGTAATTTTCTGCTCTCTTTTTAGAGCTTCCAGTGATCATATTCTGGACAGAAAAAATCCGACTGAATTTTCTTTCAAAGCTTTCTGATCTGAAACCAGATTTCACACTAATCCTGGGTTATCTTAATTTGAATGACCCGGCTCTACATTTTACTCCATGCAGTTGTTGGCCATGCAGCTTTTGGTCTTAGTCATATTTCCAAATGGTTGTCTTGGCATCTCAGATTTTATCATGCCCTACCCTTTCTCAAAATAGTATATACAACACTTCAAGCAGCCAGAGACAAAACTGTCCATCAAGTGTTTAATTTCTAACCATGTTTTAATATAACAAGAGCAATAAATTAATTTTTTGGTATCTGTGTGGTATATACTAAAACAGATATTCACCTCACTGTTAGTGGAAGTGGTAGATATTTACCTTGCTGCTTTGTGTCTCAGCAAATATATACCACTTTTCACCTCCACTTTGGTGATAGATTGTTAATTATTCTGTTGTTAGGGTGCGGTTAAAGTTGGAGCTGTAGATATGGATGATCAACAAAATCAACAAATTGGAGGACAATATGGTATCCGGGGATTTCCAACAATAAAGGTTTGTAACTTAAAGCCACAACATGATGGTGATAGCAAGGAGGATGTGCCAAAACAAAAGATCTAATGGGTAGAACAATAGCGCAGCATGTGTTTTTTAAAATTTTGCACAATTCTTTGCCGTCCTCTGCAAATCAATATTGTGAAATCACTCAAATTGATGCAGTCTGAGAACGGAAAGCCAGACAGCAATTTACTGAAATTTCCAGCCATTTGCAAAATTCTAACTTAAGATTCTCATTTTAAATTGACATCTTCCAAGGTGTTGCCATCCTGACTGCTCCAGGTTCCAAATGCTACTAGTCACACACTTGTATGGTTGCAGTAAAATCAACTTACAACTTTGAGGCTCATCCTACCTGAGCAATCATTTGAGTTGGTGGATTTTTAAATTTTGTTTTGAAAACCTTGTCACGTTAGGCCAGATCTTTGAGTTGATTGAGTGTTGTTGTGTTTACTTTGAAATTAAAGTATTCTTTTTCTGTTGTTCTTTATCTTTTCAGGTGTTTGGTGCTAACAAGAACTCTCCAACTGATTATAATGGTTTGTTCAAAATTATGATCATTTGATAATTCTTGTTTTCTTGTGATTTGAAGATTGGCTGTTTGTGACTAGAACTCATTTACTTTTCTTTGAAGGTGCCAGAACAGCTCAGAGTATCATTGATTCTGGTCTCAGTGCTGTTAAATCCATGGTGAATCAGCGACTTTCTGGAGGAGGGAGATCTGGTTCTGGTAGAGGAGGAGGAGGAGGTGGAGGTGGAGGAAAACAGGTATTTTATTAACCCTTACATCCTATTATCAGTATGCAATTTCTCCACACTATTCTCAATACAGTTCTTAAGGTGTGGACAAGTAGAATTTGTATAATGGTCAGGAGCTTCTTAATTGTTGATCATTTGTTGTGACCTTATTATGTAATTCAAAGTTGATATTCACTCTTATGGGTCAAACAGTCATGATCATGAGAATAAAGGAATTGATCACCAACCTAAGAAACTTTGATTGGTAAGTATCTTCTCCTTGTCAGTACCAAAGGAAATGTGTAGAGGACAGTATGGAGAATATGGATTCTGATCTATGGGTGTAAAGGTTTAAAGAAGTCTCTCTTGCAGAGAGTCTGCTTAATATACTATCTGTCAGTAACTTGATAGAAGTAAATCTCTATGAAATTATTCTGCAGGGTAGCAAGGAGGATGTAGTTGAACTAACTGATGCCAACTTCGAGAGAGAAGTTCTCAACAGCAAAGACCTTGTTTTGGTTGAGTTCTTTGCACCTTGGTAAGTAATCACAGAGGATACTTTCTTGATGTAATTTGGAATTCTTCTCAACAAATAAATTCTAGAAGCTTGAAGGCAGAATTAGTGATCTGATCTTGGTTTTACTTCAGGTGTGGTCACTGTCAAAGGCTTGCTCCTGAATGGGCAAAGGCAGCATCAGAGCTGAAAGGCAAAGTGAAAGTATGTGCTCTTGATGCTACAGTTCATACTGCCACTGCTGGGAGGTACCAAATTCAAGGTTACCCAAGTATCAAGGTCTTTGCAGCAGGTGTCAAAGATTCCAACAGTGTGGAAAACTATGAAGGAGGAAGAACAGCTTCAGACATTGTACAGTTTGCACTGGATAGGCTTGCTGAATCCATTGAGCCACCTGAGGTGCTTGAGATTGTCAACAGCGAGGTTCTGAAAACTAACTGTGAGGAGAAGCCTATCTGTGTTATTTCTGTTCTGCCACACATTTTGGATTCTGGAGCCTCTGGAAGGAACAAGTATCTGGACATATTAAAGTCGATGGGTGAGAAGTACAAGAAGAAGCTGTGGGGTTGGATCTGGACGGAGGCTGGGGCACAGGCAAAGCTTGAGGATGCTGTTGGCTTGGGTGGCTTCGGGTACCCAGCAATGGTAGCAGTTAATGCTCGCAAAATGAAATATGCTGTACTGAAAGGTCCTTTTGATAACACAGGTATTGATGAGTTTCTTAGGGCTGTTTCAGTTGGTCGTGGTGCAACAGCAACCATCAAGAGTGCAGGGCTTCCTACTGCAGAGGAAATACAACCTTGGGATGGCAAAGATGGAGAACTACCAATAGAAGAAGACATTGATTTATCTGATGTAGATCTTGATGAGGAAGAAGGAGTGAAAAAGGACGAGCTGTAAATGTGTGGATGCGTAATACAGAACTGATATTTGTTGGAAATCTCTGTGTAGTGCAGTTTCGGCATCAGTTGTAACATGCACAACTTGAGTCCAAGAAGAGAGCCTAGATTTCCTAACAGTACAAAAGTTATCCTGTAGCTTTTTATCCCAAGTGGTTTTTCACATCAATATTAGGAAGTTGTTCACTAATAAATTAATGTTTGGTCAGCTTTGCATAATGCTTTTTGTTTGATGTTGTTACAGTAATCTTGTCCTGTCATCAGTCAGACCCATTTGTATTCCAGAGTTCTAGGGCTAGTTTTTCAGGGCTGGATTGTTGGAAACCTGATGATCACGACTCGAAGATGAACCAAATCCTGTTCACCCTTTAACTCCTAAGATCTGATTGCTAATTCTCCCTTCTTGCTGCTACACATTTCCTTCAAAATTAGTTACAAGAATTTGGTGTTAAATTAAGATAGCAACTTTTATGATAAGTTTGAGTATTCTTAATACCTGTTTGCTAAATGATGTATGGATATAATAGGGAGAAGTTACATGTTAATCACTTCTGGGAGTTAAAGGGTTTAAGCCTGAAATTTTTAAGGCTTCTTTTTCTGCAATATTTTCAAGGACAGTCCACCTGCACAGATTTTTTTTGTTACCAGTGCTTGAATGACATGAACTTGTGGAGTTAAGAGCCAAACTTTCAGTGTTGTTCAAGCTGCCATCAATCATCCTGATAATTACCCTCTGAAGGCAGCAATGATTAAAAGAGAACAAAATCCTAAAATAACACATCAGGAACGTACGCTTAGCACCCTTTGAATCAGGAAGTATTATAGCTAAGAGGTCTGCAATTTGAATAACAGCTTGAAGCAGTTGGCAATGAAACATCCACAACTTGATATTTTAGGTTAATTGAAAGTCCACACCCACTTAAAGCAGCCCAGGCATGAAGTGATCGGCAATATTTCTTCTCCTGCGCGGATGATGCCATCCATGGGGCAGTAGTAATACTGCCAGTCCATCGCAAGGTTACATGCCAGTATTTCATCTGGCTTCCCTGACAACTAAGCAGTACTGTATGTAAATATATACCCCAGGGTGGAGAGAGACACTAATAATGAAGGGTTTTTTGCAAGAACATAACACTTAATGAGCCAGCCAGGTCTCTTTTACCTGGGATTTAAAGCACTGACCATTAGGCCACTGCATTTCCCACAGGTCATTGAAAGGGACAGCAACTTGGATCAGCTTTGTACTAGAATAACTTCCTTTCATATTACCGGTAACTTTGACCATGGCATCAAACATTTTAAGCCTTTAACTCTCAAGTGACCAAGAGAGAATTTCTCCTTACACTATCAATACAATATCAACCAGATAAGTGATGAAATAAAGAAAATATCAATTTGGGGATAATTAGTTGATCCAATATTAAATTCTCTGAACTAACATAAGAATTGTGTTATTGACAGTAAGGAGAATTACAGATTTGATCTGGGATTTAAGGGGTTAACAGTTGCACTCGGCTTCCCAACATGTAAAAATGTTTTCTACTTTTCTTCCATGTTCAAATTTATTAATTTGGTGACTCTTCAAAGCTTCCCTTAGCTTAGAGGACACAAGGAAGTTCCCAGTCATTTTGCAATGAGATAATAATTAATCTTGTCTAACACAATACAAAAAAAAAAGTCTCAGAGTGGCGAACTTTTAGTCCACTTCCAGCCATCTTTCTTTGGAGAAAGGAGACAGGAACATGTTTGAGCCTTTTTCTGCCCAGGGGAAGTGGAGAAGTAGAGATACTTACGATTGGTGTTATAACAGCGCGTAAATTTGTTTAAACAAATTCAATTGCGTGAGCGTGCCTCATATTCCTTTTGTGCACGCTCATGACATCCGCAAACAAATCCCTCGAGAAAAAAAATTTCTCCGCGATTTTTTACTTTGGGATTTTACTACCAAAAACTGGTTAAGACTTCGGTGGCAATTTAAGTTAAACACGGAAAGTTGTGAGCCAGCTAATGAGGAAGAAATGTTTTCCTTAAACAAAATTATTAACGCGCTGAGGCGTAGCAGAGGGAATATTAACCGTTTTACAACATTCAAACCATCGGGTTGAAAATGTTATAAAACAATTGGTTCATTCGTCAGCTGTGCGTTCATCGAGATATAAAGCACTTGGGAAGTTTGGAGAGCACTCAAGAAGCTAGAGTTGCTTTAAGCTACGCTTCAAGCAACTCTTGCGCATCTTTCGGGCTCCTCAAACTTCCCGCGTGCTTCATAGCTCGATGAACGCACGCTGACGTATGAACCAATTGTTAATTTCCAGTCACTCTGGGTGAATGAAACAAACTTATCATGATCACATTTGATATTCACGCATTATCAACTAATATATGCAGTCAAGAAGTGCTTACAACAACAAAAAATCAGGTTAATTTTTTTAATTTTCTCCTTCCCTTGAGAAGGTTACAACTAATTATAGAAAACATTAAGAATTATCATATACAAAAATAGACAATTAAATGTCTTAAACTTTAATATAAACTCCTTAAAATTGCTTTTCAAGTTAACTGTTTCATAATTAATATTCTTGATCAACACTCCACTCTTTCCAGTCAAGAGATCAGGGAGCCCAAGAAACCACAGTCACACCCAATGAAAAAAAAAGGTAGTTGATTATTGTTAAAGGAACTAAATTGTGCCTGATTTATAATTGATTTTCAAGCAACATAATCTATGAAGATTGTTGCATCTGTCAAACTTTTCAGCATTAAGTTTCTGAACCAGAATTTGAGTGATAACTGGATAGCAAAGTAAATGATTACAGATTCTGGAACTCACACTGAATCTGCGAAAAACCTCTAAATTCTAAATAAATGAGAAATTTGCATAGAAGTTTGGTAAAATATTTTCTTGTATTCCTACAGTCATGGTTTGTTCTGACTCCCTTAACTGCCCATAAGACTGCTAATGAGTTCCCTTGAAGATAATAATTGTTTTCTAATTTTCAAAGACAAGATATAATATTAAAAACTGTCTTAAACTTCACCAATTAATGTAATTTCACATAATTTTAGAACATCAATACTGTTCTGACAACAACACACAAAGTTCTTCTGCATGAAAACAGTTTTTAAACCTTTTAACTCCCAAGATCTGATTGTTAATTCTCCCTTCCAGCTTCTAAACATTTCCTTGTAAATTAGTTATGAGATTTTAGTGTTAGCTCAAGATAACAACTTCTACCTGATTTGTTTGAATATTCTCATTACCATTTTGTTGGATAATGTATGGGAATTATAGGGAGAAGTTACATGTTAATCACCTCTAAGAGTTAAAGGGTTTTAAACTTCTACGATTAAGTACTGAGAGAAAAAACAAACAACCCTCCTTAAGGTATAGAGCAAGTTTCTGTTGACTGTGGATAACAATCTTGCAGTGTCATATCTTTAAGTGAGCATTTATCATGGGAATAGATCAGCATGACTGTATACTAGCAAAACTAGAAACACAAGTGATTTAAGTCACTCATGCTTATTGCTGATGCAAAACCCACAATTTTTAAAGGTCCCATTCACCCATTAAAGATTGCCATGTTACGCTGTTGTTAGATTCTTGAATCCTGTAATACAAGTTACCAGAACAAGTTGTGCAAGTAGCTGACTGGTCCAGCCAGTCATAAATGAGAATTGCATCACTCTCTTCAACTGCTAACTTGTTATACAGGTTGAATGTTTATACTTGCTCGGGACAAGTATAAATTTGTGTTGTGCAAAATCTTTTTAATCAGTACATTACCTGAAATCACCACACTCCAATATCACAATTACTTAATTAATGCTGGCCACATATTTTCAATCTTCTCTTATAAAATTTGTCCAACATCTAAAATTCAGACTCTTGAATTAACCTATTCCACTGTTTTTTTGGATCAAACCAATGTTTCAGTTGTAATCTCTCACATACTACAATAATTAGTATTTACAGTAGTACCAACTAAATAAAAATGTGCTTCTCTGAGTTAAAAGATAAATGTTGGAAACAAAATCTAAAGCACTCATTGCTATTATTATCACTATGTTGGGTATTGTGGCAAATTTTGCAGGCTAGAATTGGGAATTTGGAGGGCTAAAATGTATTTTAGCATGCTCCGATGCTTGTGTGATTGTTCAGACTGTTTTGTGGTAATTTTTTTCAATTTTATTTCTAAGTGCCCCCAAATTGATGATGACAATGGTAAAACAGTTTATTTTGCTGTGCATAAATATGTTTTGGACCCTTCTAAGATTGAATCATTTTCACCTGACCTGCTAAAATGGCCTTGCATTAGGCCCAAAACATATTTATACTGGCAAAAATATAAACTCTGGTGTTTCATCATTAAAATACTTACATATGCAAAATCATCGTAAGTTTTTCTCTTTTTAAATCAAATCTTCATATTTCTGTCCATTAAAATGTAACAAGTCCAATGACAAGTGATAATTAAGTTATTCAACAATTAAAACCAATAGCTGAATGGTCTAGATGCAAGCAATAACATTAACCTTTACGGCATTATTGTCTTATTTAACACCTTTCAGTTTCTAATCTAAGCAATATTTTCATTCATCCTTTAATTTTTGTGCAGCATTAGTGCAGAATAAATTAAAGGAGTTTTTGCCTTTTCTCCCATGAGCATGCTCACTGACTTTCCTCACACCAAATTTTAGCACCCTTAGTTGCAGCTACATATTGCATGACGAAGAGCCACATTCTAAATTTTGCAATCAATATGTTTTAACTTGCAACTGCCAAAATTGAATTTTTAAACAACAAATAAAACCATTTACCAAAATCATTTACCACTGCTGTTTAAATACAAAAGCCCAGGTTTCTTTGACTATGATGCAAGTGATGACTGGAGCCATGTGACCTTCAAACCAAATCAGAGTTCAGAGGTCATCATCTCCAATTCCCTCAAAAACTTTGTTTGTTGTCATGGCTGCATTATTTGGTGGAAGAGTTGCTGGTTTTAGTGATAGACCTTTGTTCTGTGGACAAACAACAGGAATTTGTCATTTGATACAATAAATGAAAGATTTAATAGGTCCAATGTTAATCTTTTTACACAAAAGAGTTCACTATAATCACATGAGCAATTCATTACAGAATAAGCATCTCAATAGTGCTTTGCTACAACAATAGAGAGTCAGTTGAAAATGAAAGTGAGACAGTCAAAAAATTTAGGCTATTCAATTATTTTTTTTAATTCAAAAGTGCATGAATTTTTTGCTTGAGGTCTTCAACTGAACAGAAAAAGACTGCCCTGTAGTTCTTTTTGGCTGGTTTGCCCTCCATTTTTGAGAAAAAAATGTACATAAAAAACAGGTTTTTAGTTTGATTTTTTCATTGGTCTATGAGACATACTGTTTTTGGACCAATACTCTGGTACTTGTTTCTGCACCACTCTGTTTAGCAACATCCCTATCATGGAGGGAAGTCCAAGCGAAGGCCACCGCAGCCTTTTGTTCAGTTTACTCTGAGCCAGCTTTTTAAACTTAACAACTTTTCTTTGTTAATAGGTTTCATTACAACAGCTACACAGTTTCTGATTGTAATACACAAATTATTGTTTTCTACCAAATTAATCAACAGTTTGGGGTGCAGCCTACACACTGGTTCTACAGTTAAATATAGTATGTGCCAGAATGAAATCTTCAAGTTGACTGTAATCTTTAACCTCAAGACTTACCGATGACTGTTTTGATGTTTTCTTCCCTGGTGTACTTTGTTTCTGGGGAGTTTTTGGACTTGGCAACGGAGGTGAAGAGTTGTCCACAGCTTTATTTTCTTGTTCACCATCACCCTGATGCAGAATTAACGATACAAGGTCAACCATTTTTGGCATTCCAGCATTTCTGGATTTCAGTACCACCAGTCTGTGGGGTTGAGGTTAGGGACCTTGGGGCACCAGGGGTGGGGGGAAAGGGGGGAAGGGGTGAGGGAGGAGGGAGGAGGGAGGAGGGAGGGGGGCAGGGGTAACATGGAGCTTTTATGCGAGGGAACTCATAGTTTTTCTACTGGCTGCAAAATTTTTTACACCCAACCCTCCTTAACACTTTCAAAACAAAATTTCTCCCTAGCTGAAACATGAACCCAAAGAAGTCCCAGAGATGCAGAGCTTCTGATTTTTCACTGACCAATAATAAAGGAAGAATTTTCTTTACCTCTATAGATGCATCTGATGTCACAGAATTTTGTCGCTCAAAATTGGGGGAAGCTTCCTGTTTGAGTTTAGCGCGATCTTTTGGCTGAAATTAAAGTAAATATAATAGATAACTATAGGTTTAGATTACAATTATTTGATCAAAGGTCAATCATCACAAAACAAAGGTTATAGGTCTAAGGACTTAGGTCATGAAATTTTAAGGCATTCTGGGTAATGGACAAAAACAATACCTCAGTTTATCATAAAAATACAAAATATTTTTTAAAGAAGAAAATTGAATTAGGTGATAGTTAAAAAGGCACCACTTACAGATCACAACACACGAATCACCAAAAAGGTAACCTAGGAGGTCATAGGTCATAGAGGTCATATTCAGGGTTTCATTTAAAGCAGGTCACCAAAGTCTTCCACTGTCTATAAAACCTCTTATGGCCATACAACTTAATAAGGAAAAAGTTATTGAAACCTCAGCTTATTATCAGTTAAAGGTCATGTACCTTTTTCACAGGTCTTCCTTGCTTCATTCGGAGTATCTCATCCACAATACTCTGAAGACAGAGGCTCATAAGAATTGCCTAAATTTAAAAAAACATGTGACAAATTCAGTGAGAGTATAGTTCATCCTTCTTTTCATCACATAAAAAGAAACACTTCTCTTTTCCTACCCTGCCACATTCCTGTGTATCTTTTATCAACCCATACACCTCTAAGAGTGATAAGCATCAAATTTCTCCCAACAGTTCAACACCTGAATCCAACATCAAGGTCCTGAGAATATAGGAAATGATCACAAACTCAAGAAGCTCTTTTGATTCTTTACCTCACTGCTGTAAATTGTGATCCACTCCATTTCATCTTTTTTGACGAGGTATTCAAATGCAAGTTCCAGATGTTCTTTTTTATCTCCATTTTCATTCTTTTCACTCTAGCATAGAGAAAATACAACTTTAACTTCCATGACTGACCAAGAGAGAATTTCTCCTTACAATATCAACACAATATTAACCAGATAAGTGATGAGAATAAAGAAAAATATTAATTTGGGGATAATTAATTGATCCAATACTAAATTCTTACCCTGATCGAACACCAAATTCTCATATTAACCAATTTACAAGGAAATGTGTAGCAGATAGAGGGGAGAATTAACAATCAGATCTTGGGAGTTAAAGTGTTAAATATAATTATTACATGGCAATTCCTAAAATTTTGGAACATCTATAAAAAATTTAAATTATTTAATAATTCACTTACCGTTGATGTTATTCTCCAGCATCGTATTCTAGTCACCTTAAAGCTCCCTTCTTGGATTTTATGCTACAAAAAAAGACATTTGCCTGAGTAACTGAGGCCTTAAGTTACTTTACAAGCATTAGAAATGATAAAATAGGTTTTCTTCAAGCCAAAAGAGATTGTGAAACCTTCCTGAGATGTTCCTAGTTCAGCTGATGAGCAGACTTAGCACATTATATTTCCAAATGAACCTCTTGAGCAAATCAGTGACTCTATTTAGATATACACTTACACCAGGTGTTTGAAGTCTAAAGTTCAGTTCTCTGTTTCCAACACTGATAATAACTCTTGTGTCTTCTTCAGGGTAGTTTGTGGTACAGGGTTTAAACTGCACATAGCCATAGAATCTTAGTGACCTGGCAAGTTGCAAATACTGCAAAAACAGATAACAACATTATTTTCCCAATGTCAGAAGATAAGTTATTTTGTTTAATTTATAATGAAAAAGCACTTTTCTGATGCTCACAAAACTGCAGACTGTCATTGCAAGATGCACAGCATTGTGTCCTCACAGTGCATGAAAAGGAAAGAATTTCTTCGTGCAACTGAATAACCTGAAAGTCATAAATGTGACTTAGGTTTCATGTTTTAACCCTTTACATCCTAACATCAGTATGCATATTCTCCATACTGTTCCCTATACATTTCCTAAGGTGCTGACAAGGAGAATTAGCTTAACGATCAAGAGCTTTAGTCTGTAGTTGTTGATCATTTCCATTATTCTCATGACCTTAGTGTGTGATTCAGGGGTGATATGGTGAGGAGAAATTAGATATTAGTCACTCTTGGGGGCTAAAGGTTAAGCATCAATATAAAAATTGTCTTACCTCTTGCTTGGCACCTTTCTGTTTGAGATCTGCAAGTTTTGAGTGTGCTTCCTTTGGGCCAACTGTCCAACCTCTGTCCAGATCACTGACGGCCTGAGGAGAATTACACAACATCACCATAGTTGGAAAAACAGATCAGCTTCTGAATACCTCTGATTTACTAATCACTCTATAATTAGTCAATTCAGCAAGCTGTACTTTACTGTAAAAGCTGTATCATCAGTTTATGTTCTAGCATTTACTGCACATTGGGTACCAGTTTGTCTTGGAACAGGAGACACATGTCACTAGTGAGTTGTGTGTTTTAATTACTGCTGCAAACAAGGTGGAGCCTTGCTATGTAGAAGCTAATTTGCCTCTGTGTTTTGAGACTTTGCATAGGTTTTCTTGGTCATATCACACTATTGTAGCAGGTCCCAAGGTTACAGAAAATTCAGCAGAGAACATTGTGATCCTGAGTTGTCATGAAATTAAAGTTACATGTACAACAGTTCAGTTTAGCCAGGTGACATCTTCTAATGGAACAGTTTTTTGCTCAGGGTTACATTGAATGTACAGCTATCTTCATCTATCTTTTTGGCACACACAAGCAAAAACAACTTTGTCCTTAACTTTCAACAGAAACCTGGAAGTTTACACCAGGAAGAAGTACAATAACATGAATACACACTTCAAGCTGGAACTTACCTGAACATACAATAAGTTCATTCCTATCCTGTCTTTGACAATCTTTTCCTCTATTTTTGGATCCCACAACCTTTGTGAAACAAATCAATTTATTTAAAAATATATATATTTTTTTGTAATGCTTTTCTCCGTGAAATACCTCACTTTAATTAATCATATTGTTTAATATTCCATGAAGTAAGATTGCTTGTAAAACCCCAATACAGTGGCAATTGCAGTATTTTGTTTAGACTTAACTCTTTTACACCCTAATATCAGTATGCATATTCTCCATACTGTTCTCTATATATTTCCTAATGTGCTGACTAGGAGAAGTTGTACAACAATCAATAGCTTCTTTGGGTAGTGATCATGTTCTTCATTCTCATGACCGTCATATGTGATTCAGGGGAGATAGGTAAGGAGAAGTTAGATGCTAGTCACTCTTAGGGGGTCCTGGGGTTACCCAGTAACATTGATCTAAAAATACAGGAACTTTTTACATTTTGAAGATTATAGGACCAGAGAAACTTATCTGCCTCTGTAAACCCTAAAAATGACATTTAACCCTTTAACTCCCTGAAGTGATTAAAATGAAACTTCTCCCTACAATATCCATACATAATTCAGCAAACAGACTATGAGAATATTCAAACTTATCAGGTAGAAGCTGCTATCTTGATCTAGCACTAAGTTCTCATTACTAATTTACCGGGAAATGTGTAGCAGCTAGAAGGTAGAATTAACAATCAGATCTTGGGAGTTTAAGGGTTACCGGCAAAAGGAGACTTGTTTTAACCTCAAGTTCCATAGAAATCTCACAGGAATGACCATTATGACTTACGTTTTTCTGACAGCCACTCTGCAAGTTCCAGTTTCTGACTTCATGGTCAGAAAGGGTGCCTCAAAATCCTGAAATCTCCTAACAACTGTGGGAAAAAAATGACTTCGTTTACAATTCAAATGACATGTTTCCTTTAAGATCTATTCCATTCCTTCTAAGGATCCCAAGATCTCTTATTGTCTGTCATACAATTCTCATGTTGTTAATAGCCCAATAGTCCTATAATTGAAATTTTTCGTTATCCTCATCACTTGTCTGTTTTATAATATATTCTTGATATTGCATTGACGTTGTGAGGATGAATTTTGTCGTGGTCACTCATAGTTACAAATTAATCTACTTACTTGTTGCTTCTCCATCATCAGCTCTTTTAATCAGAAAAAGCCCAAAGTAGTACACTAAGTCTTCATTGAGATTAATCTCTGCCATCAATGCCTGAAAAGATTTCACATAGTTATCATGCATCATAAAAAAAACTGGGCAGAGAATCGTTAGGTATTGTTTCACAAGACAGATTAACTCAATGACTAGCTTCCTGTCTAACAGTCTGATTGACAAACAGAACACATGATCAACAGCCTGAACAACTGTCTGCTAGGCTGACTGACTGACTGGTTGTCTGGCTGACTGACAAACTGCCTGATTGACTGACTGACTGACTGGCTGGCTAACTGTCTGACCGACTGACTAACTGGCTGTCTGACTCGCTGGCTGTCTGACTCACTGGCTGTCTAGCTGACAGACTGTCTGATTGACTGACTAACAGAATGACAGACTGACTGCCTAACTGGCTGTCTGACTGACAGACTGGTTGACTGGCTGACTGACTAATTGGCTGTCTGGCTGAAAGACTGGTAGACTGGCTGACTGACAGACTAAATGAATCACTATCTAACAAAAGTAATTTGGTATTATCAACTAAGTTGATCATATAAATTGACCACTCAGAGCTCTGATGAAGGAGTAATGCTTGAATTGCCAGCTTTGAAACAATTCATTGTGGCCAATTTATGGTACTCATAAATCCAAGCACAAAATCTAGTAGCAACAACCATTTCTGAATGACACACTTAAATCAATGTGAAGTTGTAATGTCAACTCAGTCAATAATACAAAATTACCTGGTCATACTCTCCCACTGTAACAGCACCAATGTTTCTTTAGAAACTTAGCCCCTTTATTATCTGACAGTAGACTGTCTGACAAGAGTGAATAAAGGGGGCAAGTTTCTGAAGAAACTGTGGTGTTGCGTTGGTGGGAGAGTAAAGGTTAATTTAGTGCTATCAACTGAGTCAACTTGGTAACATAAATCAGCCACCATAAAGAGTTTAAGCCCTTCGTCAGATTGTTAGCCCTTCACTCTGACAAAGGGCTAACACCCAAAGCATCAGCCTTTAAACTCTTTATGGTAGCCAATTTACATTATGAACTCAGTTGATAACACCAAATTACCCTGATGACTGAGTGACTGACTTCCTAGTGGACTGAAGAATTCAGTCGAACTGACTAAGAAACAACGAGTGATTGACATGACTAACTGACCCTGTCCACTAATCCACTACACGAAGTATAAAAAATTACACGAAAAAATACACCTGTTTAAAACACCCACTGGTGAATAAGAAAAATAACAGTCATAGTCTTTATCAACTGAAGTTAATTAAAACTGCAAGCAAAAAGCACTACCGTATTTACCCGTGTATAATGTGCACTTTTTTTCCATAAAAACAAGCATCAAAATCGCGGTGCGTATTATACACGGATTCTATTGTTTGTCAAGCACGTCCTAATTTGCATACGTTAAAAACGCAACAAAGAAAGTAAAAGTGCACGGATTGGTGGCCTGGGGAGGAGAAAGAGCTTGCTTATTTACGACTCATTTGAGGCTCACGTGACAGATACCGTGAACACTTCCTTCAAACGCGAACTTCCCTTCTCCAGCCGCTCTATGTATCTTTGAACAAACCATTTAGAGATGGAGTCCGAAAGGAGTGGATGGCTGATGGAATTCACAAACTTACTGGACGACAAAAAAAGGCTTTGGAGGAACTGATCTGTTCGTATATTTCACAAGTGTGGGAAGGCATTCCATCAGAAATGATCGCTGCCTCTCTCTGAAGTGTGGGTGCACAAACAATTCGAATGGATCACAAGATGAATTGGTTTACAATTCAACTGAGATCACTGATGAACTTGAGGATTCAGTCATCGAAACCTATTCGAATCGGACTGTGAGTCGGAATTTGAAGGTTTCGTTGTTTAAAGACACTGAACATTTTACTTAAATCACGCAATTGCAATGCAGTAATTATATTCAAGCTACCAGCAGTACTGTGAGTAGAAATAATGTTTATGAACGGCTGTTATGATAATAATTCAAGTTGTGAATTTAGGTATATTAATAAGGACTTCAAGTTACAACATTTATAAAACGTTTGACTGTTACTGAATAAAAAAGCTTGTAAATAGGTGCTCGGTGCGTGCGATATTTGTAGTAGCAACTAGTTAGAAATTGTTGTAAACATATTATTGATGAATTCCCAGCTCTTGTTAATTAAGTGAAAAAATGGAAGTTTTAATTCTTGGTATTTGTCATGAAATCTTTTTTTTCGGAAAAAAGAGGTCAAAAATTAGGGTGCGTATTATACACGGGCGCGCATTATACACGGGTAAATACGGTAACCACTATTTCAAAACTCACCTCTAGTATATCATCTGTTCTGTCAGTGGATTGTATCATTAGGGAAACTTTTTGTCCATTCATGAAGTAAACATCAAGTTGAACATTCTCCGGTGAAGCAGATAAAGATTCCTAAGGGAGAACATAACATTCACTATCTGTAAACTATCAATGACTTTAGATTGATATCACGATTATGCCCATTTACAAACATTTCAAAAATACATTGTGTCTATTCAGTAATAGATCACAGAAGACATCACATGTCCCAAGAGGCCCAGCTGTGTATGTCACTGATGTTCTCATCACATGTTTACCCTTTAACTCCCATGAGTGACCAAGACAGAATTTCTCCTTACAATATCAATACAATATCAAGCAGACAAGTGATGAGAATAAAGAAAAATATCAATTAGGAGATTATAAGTTGATCCAATCCCAAATTCTTTAAACTAACATCACAAGAACTGTATGACAGACAGTAAGGAGAATTACTGATGAAATCTTGGGTGTTAAAGCATTAACATCTGTGATCTATTAGTAAACGAACTCACAGCAACAAAGAATCTATTTGTCTTGCATGATAAAAACCAAACAAACAAGCAAACATGATGCTGTTAATGATGATATCATCTACAAAATGTATGCCTCAGTCCTCTGACAGATCTTAAGCAAGAAGTAATTCAAATGCTTTATCTAACCTGTCACAAAATGTCAACACTTTACACCCTAACATCAGTATGCATATTCTCCTTACTGTCCTCTATATATTTCTTAATGTACTGAAAGGAGAATTTGTTTCACAATCAAGAGCCTCTCTAGTTGGTGATAATTTCCTATACTTTCACATTAACCTGTGATTTTGGGCAGATATTGTAAGGAGAAATTAGATATTTGTCACTCTTAGCAGTCAAAGAGTTCATTACCTGATGATTTTAGATATATGAAATTCATATATTTGCACTGCAGTGAAGAAATGAAATTATGAGATCCTCGCAGCTAAGAACACTACTGAAACAAGCAGTTGAAAATAGGACCTGAAAAAAATTCAGGCCTGTACAGGATTTGAACCGATGACCTCTGCAATACTGGTGCAGTACTCTACCAACTGAGTTATCAAGCCAACTGAGAGCTGGTCAATGTGTTGGGTCCAAATAAACCATCCAAGTGATGAATGATGATTTTAGATATATGAAATTCATATACCAGTATTTGCACTGCGGTGAAGTTATGAAGTCCTTACCTTTTGGGCATTTAGGAAAAAACTGATGAACAGAGAGCTAGTAGCAACCCCAGGATCTTGACAGACTGACTGTAAATATCTCTCCAGGTGAACTCGTCTTTCTTCTACTTGTGCTAGTGTCAAAGACAGAAGCTTTCTTGGAGGGAACTTTGCTACAATTCTTGGCCCAAACTCTTTGCGTAACTGAAAAAAAAAACAACATGAAAACACAGTCTTAGACACAGAAGTCTTGTGAACTTGATGTAAATGTATATCAAACAGCTAATGTTGGACACCAACATATCAGATATTCTTTCTAATAAAGAGAGGAATCGTCAATAAATTAGGATGTACTAAAACTTTGTGATAGTATTGGGAGTGAAGTGAAACATTGAGCCACTGTCTAAAACAAAAGGCTGGTTTTAAACAAAAAATCTTAGATGGTTGAAGATTTTACTGTTTCCTGACCATCCCAAAGTTTTCTGACTGATGAAAACTCAAGATTGAAGACATTACCTACTGTCTGAAATGGTCTGCAACAAAATCCTGAATATTGGGGCAGATCCCAAGCACAATCTTTGAAAATAATGAACACTTCTATTTCTACTATCAAGTATGTTCTGTGACGGTTTTAGATTTCTACCAATCCTCTAAATGCTTGGCCCCAGTAACCCCCAGTCACAAATAAAATGGCACCTGTAATCCACCAAGACAAACATCCAATGATCTCCAGATTTATTAGCAAAATCTGGGACAGATTGCAAATCATCTTGGATTTTTTCAACATATGAAAACCAGACTTAAACGTTAAAACCCTACGTTTTCATCAATCAACAGCATCCACTGATGACTGGTGAGAGCTTCAAATTTTATATTTTTTCTTTCACATACATGTAAGGTTACAAAATATTTCTGTAAGACAAACAGCTACTGAAAGATAAAATGCTAAAAGCTCTAAAAACTTACTTGTTCATTGAATTGGTAAAGATCTGAAAATCTAATACCACAGTGAAATGAGCCATTGATGTGTACATTGTAAGCCTGCAATTGGAGTGTTAGCATGAGTCAATTATTTCATAGCATTCAATTAGTTAGTTGTTAACTCTTGTGGATACAGTAAATTATGGTTAATATATCTTAACATTGTAAGGGTGATCAGTGAGTGAATTCTCCCCAAAGCTTTAATACACTATTTACACATATAGGAGAGAAATGAGAAAATTATCAAAGAGTCCTGAACACCCTAACATCAGTATGCTTATTCTCCTTACTGTTCTCTATATGTCTCCTGTGGTACTGACAAGGAGAATTTACTCAAAAATCAAGAGCCTCTTCAGTCAGGGATCATTCCCTTAATTCTCATCATCTTAACCCTTTACAGCCTAACACAGGGCGTGAAATTGCACCTAATACAGGCCCCAATGCGCCTAAATTTTTCACTTTGGCAACCAAATTCCTGAAAGTTAGTCACCAAATTGGCGACTACAACGTTTCATCATAACCTTACCAAGAGATATAGTGAATTATAAAGATTTGCAAAGATAAATCCACGGCAAACTTCCTCGTTAAGTTTGTTTCCAAAACGTAGCACATGCATCTCGATTGATAACTAGATGCTATCTTGGATTTAGATGAGCCTAAATGTTGTATATCATCCATCCTAGTGTCCACTTTGTAGCACGTTAAAGATCTTTTCCCTAACTTAATTTTGGAGGGTCTATCTAGAATGCTGACAGCGTAAAGAAAGATTTTTTTTGTCTTTGAAAATGGCAACCAACTTTTTTTGAATTGGCTACCACTTTGAAGAATTTAGGAGCCAAGTGGCTATTAGAAAAAAAAGTTAATTTCACGCTCTGTAACATCAGTATGCATATTCTCCATACTGTTCTTTAAACATTTCCTGAGGTGCTTGCAAGGAAAACTTGTCTAACAATCAAGAGCTGTTTGAGTTTCCGATCCCTTATTCTCATGAACTTAATGTTTGATTTAGGGGTGATTCTTTCAGGAGAAATTAGATGCTTATCACTCTTAGGAGTTAAAAGGTTAAAGTTTGATTCAGGGGTGATACTGTTGGGAGTATAACATGCTTGTCACTCCAAGGGAATAAAAGGAATGGGGATACCTAAAAAGATCAAAAAAAAAATAAAGAAAGAAAAAAAGGAAACTTTTGTGGAATATCCCAAAAAGAATATCAGTGTGAAAGCTGACTTCAAGATTCTGGAAGTGATAGGATCATTGTCTCAATTCTGTTTTTTTTTCAATGTTGATGTTGTATAATAACAAGTTTACAACAAAGAGTCCGAAAGGGAATCATGAAACTATGGCCCATTTCTCGAAAGACCCTGTAACTTTTAGGGGCTGAAAAGGTGATTTTAGTTTTCTGTGTTTCATTCAAAATTGAGATATTGACAGTTTTAAAATTCAACCAACTGGTTCTTGTACTAACATCTACTAGATATTTATTTAGAATTAGATATTTCAGGTCTCTAAAGTTACTGGGACATTTCAGATCCTTGCTGCAACACATTACTGCATTTACAAAATGAAAGCTTCGAGAAAATTAATTTGTAACAAAAGATTATGAGCTTGACCAAAATTAACCTGTAATTGCATAGTTTAGTATGCATCTCATTATGCACGTCTGAACTCATTCACGATTATAGCTCATGTGTAAAAAATACTCCACTAACAAATTACATGCACACTGAATTATCACATTACTGAATATCGCTGGATCTAGATATGGGGGCAAGCATCAACCATAATTTCAGGAAATTGTTCACGTGGTGAAGAATTTACGAGAGCTACTGCATGCTGAGATAAAAGTTTGATAGCAGGCTTCAATGAAACCAAAACCAGAAAGGAAAAACTACAATTTAAAATACGATATACCGGTATTCTAAATATACGTTACAATATAAAAGAAGACAAATAAATATTATTGTGGAATATAACATAATTCAAAGTGCAAAGATAAAATATCTCCGTTTCTGACATCTACAAATACAAACTTAACGCAGTTGAATTAAATCCAGCCGGTGCTTATTCGAGCGTGTTGATAAACAACGGTACCGTTTGGGGATCAACACCAGCTCTGACAAGCTGTCACCTTTCGAAAGAGACATTTGTCTTTCCATCAAAACCCAAAATTATTATGAGATCGTTTTCATCCCAGTTGCGCAAACCTTTGGACAGAAAGTACAATCTTCTGAACCAACATCATTTGAGATTCCAAGCGAGCTAATTTAAAACTCAGCTGGTTTTCAACTCTACAAAGTAAAGTTTAGAAGATCGATAAAGTATGGCGAATTATAGGAGGTTAATACTCGCCAAATAATTGGATCCATTCTTGTCCTTACGCTCGATCGTATCAGGAACGGAAAAATGCATTCTGTCGTGTAGTGCGGTCCAAGAGTCAAGCTAAAACAATCTGTGCTTAATTCACAGACACCTTCATCATGTGTACTCCATCAGAGTTACATCCTGTGTTTGCAAGTTGTGATCACGTGTTCTTCGGGTGCCTGGTACCGAACGAGCGGGACGAAAATTTACCCTTCCCTCCCCCGTCTCCCCAAGAGTTTCATTATAGGAACCCGAAGTCCTAGCCACTAATTCGGCAAGGATCGCTTCAACTTCTTAACAACCTGGCCAATTTCTTTAGCCTCGCGACATAAACCGAGACAAGCAGAAGTCAATGAGGGGAGCTGCTGTGCCCAAAAATGTTTTGATTTTCGATCTGTGAGTTCCTTGATCTTCTTTAGAGACGCGGGTTTTTACTCGAGGTGGATGTCTCACTTTAAGTGTCAGGGTCCAAGGTACCAATGCATTCGTAAAGCGGATCTTCTTCTCGCGATGCACAAGAATGGAGCCCCATACCCAGGGAAAACATGTCATATGATAGCTGATTATTATTATCTCGGCCGTGAAACTGTATTTTGCATTTGTTGAAAATACTCAAAAAACAGGATAAGTTGACGAAAAGCTTCTTCCAGGCTCTCGATTAGTAAGGAAAGCTCGTTCCCTTTTTTCACTCAGTTTCCCACAAGGTAAACTGATGCCTGGAGCAGGGAACGTCGACCCGAAATCCGTTCTTAGGGCCTTTCCGCACAAGTGGACAAAACTAGAACCCCAACAAAATCAAAGGACAAATTTTGTCATGAAAAATATTTGTTTCGTCTATTGCATCCGCACTAAAAATTTAAAAGCCGTAAAATTCCATCAGCGACTGATCTGTTCATAACACTGACCCGCATAGTTTGCCAAAGGATTCCACCTCCAGTTTCCAGGATTTATCCTTAGTCGTTTCAAAATTTTAGAATCTCCGAGTTTTGCAACAGACAATTTTTGCCTATCTGGCAAACTGATTTCAGTTCAATTGCACTCTTGTCGTAGCTTTTACGACAAACGATTGACAAGTTTATCACAGCTTTGTATATCTAGTCAATTTTGTCCTGAGTTTTTACCCGGGACAAATTTTGTCGGCGATGCGATTGAAGATTTGTCCGCTTCGGCCAAAATTTGTCAAGTAGCGACAAACCATCCGTACTTGTAAAATGTTGGTAACGACAGAAAATTTGTCTAAATAAACAAAATTTTGGCTAGTGCGGAAAGGCCAAAGACAACCTTGAAATAATCATTGAAATAATCCCCATGCTTAACAAAACCTAGGACAAACCTTCTACAAATTTCCTTTCTTCGATCGCGAACTCCATTCTTAAGAAAAAACTCCGATCGCGATCCATTCTAAGAAAATCCTAGCAACTAAAAAACAAATCACTATCGTTTACTTGTTACACCTGATAATTTTATTGAAAGTTATATGTCATCTACACTAATTACACTTGGAGTGAAGAACCTCTATTGATTTATACCGCTCAGGGTAGGCCCTTCAGTTGCAAAAAGCTGTCTGTTATCAATGGGAGCCCTGACAAATTGATATGCGGTGTCTAAATTATTTTTACCTTTACGTATCACAAGAATAGCAATTTAATTTTAATTCCTCAACTCATTTTCATTTCGAACCTGAGCAAATTCTGAATTTACATTTGATAAATTAACTGACCCCTAGTTGTATTACAAAAACTTAAATGCCTAAAACGCCTTACATACCTATCTCCCCCTATGCTTTTTGTAATTATATAACGTACCTGTCATTTGGATTACCTTAGAACCTTACAGAGGTCCTACTTTAAAATATAAAAATCGATCTTTTGTTTGACAGGTTTTTTTTGGAAAACGTCAAAATCAGCCAAGAATGGATCAGTTCAAAAGTTTTGAATCATTTGGAGTATGTCAGTCCTGGAGTGTCAAGGTTTAGTCAACATAATGCTAGCTTCGACAGCAGAAATAATTCCCTTATAATATAAATAACCAGGGACATTATATTTATGAAAAAAGGAGGTAAGTTTCTAAAGACACTGTGGTGCTGCGTCGGTGGGGGATTATAACAGGGAAATTTAGTATTATCAACCGAGTTTATAACGTAAATTGGCCACTGTAAAGAGTTTCAAAGCTGACATTTCAAGCGTTAGCCCTTTCTAAGAGCGAAGGATAGGAAAGGACTTTACTCTGACGAAGGGTTAACGAAACTCTTTACGGTGGCCAATTTACGTTAACCCATTATATTTAGTACAACTTAATGGAATCCTTGAGATTGTTTGGTAAGATAGAAAAACACAGTAAAAACAAAGAATAGACCCTGGTGAGGAAACAAGGATGCCCTAAGATGAAGAAAATTAAAGCATATAAGTCAAAAAAGACTTGGAAGATTGATGTAGATTTTTCTCGGTGAAAAAATGTTTCTTTGTTTCTTCAAGTCTTTGAATCATCCTCGATCCCAGACTCTCTCTTCTTTGCACCTCTAAGGGAAGATTGAGGAGGAGAGACGGGTCTGGGAACTAGCCGGTCGTAGTCGGAATACATTTAAAACGTCATATGTAGTCTATAATCTTTTGTCTTTAAAACCTATAAAATTTTCCGCGAATCCTTGCTTGATATTCAAGGCGCATCATGGAAAAATGTCTTATCCACAACTAGACCATTGATCATTCCTTTCTTGACTTTTCTCTCCAGTTTCGCGGCGTCACCGAGAAGTTTGAAAGAGACCATTACCTTGGAGAATCTAGGTGAGTTTGATATCGGCTCACGAACCTCTCTGTTGAGGAGAAAAAAAATAGTGTTTGTTGTGGTCTAGAAGCCTCGACCCTACGTAGAGGTTAAGATTATCGAAGACGAGGCCGTCTCCAGTTGTGTAATCGTGATTTATTTTAATAAAATTTCAAGGTGAAAAAGGAATGTGTATACACCGCTGCCATATGACACCACTCCCCTAAAAATATTCCCAGCATGCCCGATTAGCACTGGTAACGTAACACGTGACAGAACAGTAATGGGAAAAACTTCATTGCCATAGCCTCAAGCATAAAAGTGCTTCACGAATAGTTGTCCTAAAAAACCAAACGTCAAGGAATTGGGAGGGGGGGGGCTGCCGAATTAAAAGAAAACGTCACAAGGAGCTAACAAGAACTTAAAGTCAAAATAAGCAAACTGTGCCTGAAGCGCGGAAAAGCGCGAGCGACCGAGTGGGGATTGGTTCGAGTTTGCATCTGATTGGTTACGATAGATACCAATTATGGAGCATGATATATCAGATATACCATATATATCATAATTGACCATAAGAAATTGAGAACGTTTTTTAATATAACCCTATGACAAAATGAAAAAAATATCTATGATTATTTTAAATTTCTCCTTTCATAGAAAAAAAGACACTTACGAGAAGGCGATTTCGGAGACCACTGCGTTACTACCTAAAGCGTTTTCAACCTGTATGTGAAAAATGTAAATATCAAAGTTTATGATCCATCAAATAATTTTTTGCTCGCGCGCGATTGGTCTAAACGCAGCACGTGACTGAATGTCCCCCGGCTAAAACTGCAGGATATCTGAGATTATCACCCGAGCGATATTCCTCGATATGTAAACTTAACGTCCACTAAGATAATTCTTCGTACGTATTTTTACTCCAAAAAAGGCCATTGTGATACAAAAGAAGAAAAGGTGAAAAAGGTAGAAAGGCAAGGGTGAAGCCTGTCATACGAAAATGAGTTTTATTCTCAAGCAGACAGAATTCGTTTGCACATGAATTGTTTAGTGCCTGTCTTCATATCGAATTTGGGGGTTTTTGAAACTCGGAACTCGGCCTATTGTGACAACTTCGACCCAGGAGCGGTAGGCTGCGTCCCCATTTTGAACACCTGCAGACTTATGTGAACGAGGTTTTGAAATCAGGATGTCCTTATTAGCTTGATTCTTCTCTAATTATTAGCATCAAAACAAATTATTTCTCACCTCTTGTTTCACGTTGTTTGCAAGAATGTTGTAAGCCGCTGAATTCTCATTTGCATAACCACTATGGAAATCTTGATTCAAAACAAACGACACTTTCCTCCCTTGTCCTGCAAAGACAAATGATTGACGAAATCAAAGCGTTACGACATAAAGAAAACTTCTAACGAGTAAGCGTTGAAAAAATGCTATGACTGGAAAAAAAAAGTATGAGAGATTGTCAAATTCTTGTGAAAACTTACTTCGTGACTGGTATGACGCGGCGTTTCGTGTCGGCCAAAAGACTCCTCAGATCCTTTGCGGAATTAATAATGTATCTAAACGATATTTTGGCCCAAACGAAATATCGCGTCATATCGGACACGAAGTATTTTATGACAAGTATTCGATAATCCGTCTTTGTATGAATTGTAACTCGTGAACATGCGGTTGAGAGTTCTTCTGTAACAGAGGGCCAAACTGCCTACATCTTGAATTCGCGAACGAGACTTTGAGCACGATGCTCAACGAGTTTGCTTATGGATTCCAAAAAATATCTAGAGAGTCTTTTACTGAGACGTAATATAGATATAAAAGTATTGATCAAACTTAATATTAGGGACCAATAATTCTGCACGTGCGATTAAATTGTCTCTACATTTCCTTGTTATCCACTTTAAAACAACTCCTTGCGATCATCAAATTTTGTACAGTCTCATGACGAAGTGGTAGATGGCTATGTTATATCGTTGTGACTATTATAGGTCTCCACTAAAACTTCTAATCTCTTTTAAGAGTAACTAGGTAAAGGTTTTACCTAAATCCGATAGCATTTGTGAATTGTCGTCTGCAGCTTTCACACGTGGTACTTCATTCCGACTGGACGCTCCTACGGTGTGATGAGTTATTTTGATGGCCTGGAGTTTCCCAAGTTTCATCATCTTCTCCATGAGACTGATTCTCTGGTGGTGTTGAGGCGCTACAAACAGCTGCATACCTTCCACCTTTTCAGCTGCACCAGATCCCGAAGAGGAAGCCTCACTGTCATGGAAACTTTTAATTTCAGGAGGACTGGGCATTAAGGAACCGGACCCGGACCCGGACCCAGAACCGGAACTGGTGTCACTTGTGACCACCAGAGGTATACCACTATCAAAAATGGCGTCCTCGATCTCGTGTAAATCTGTCTCTGGCTGTGCGTCTTCCTTGCCAAACCCCGAAGCATTTTCAGGGAAGGCGATCTTAAGACGGGCAATGCCTTCGGAATCGGAACCTTTGGAACCGGAACCTTTGGAACCGGAACCATCGGAACCGGAACCATCGGAACCAGACCCAGATGCCTCGTCATCGTAAGGACCGGCAGTCACATCAAAATGAGGCTGCACCCAAGCCTTCTCGTTAGGCGCAAAATCACCGGAGGCGCTGCCAGAAGCGCCAGCTCTTTCTTCCGCTCGAGAGATCACTGAACGCGAATTGATTCCCCCACCATCTCCTCCCTGCTCACCTTCAGACTCGTAACACCCATAACCGGAAGAGCAACCGGAATCGGATTCTGAATCAGTAGAGGAAGTATCAAAGGGCGCATCATCTTCTCCGGAAGTGAGATCCTCACCGGATCCACTAGCAGTGGGAGCGTCACTTCTTTGAGCCAACTGCTCCCCAGACGTTGGCTCGCTAATCGTGACGCTGCTGCCATCATCAGGAGCTCTTTTAGACAAGTCAGGGATAGATGTTTCAGATCTCCGGATCAAATGGAGCTCTCTGTCGCTTCCTCTGTCGTTTGCGCCAGGTTCAATTCTAACAACAGGCCAAAAATTAGCACCAGCAGAATCAATACCGGAACCGGAAATAGACTTCTCCTGATCATCTGGCTCGTCTTGCTGTGCGGTTTCTCCAGAAGATTGATTATCTGTTTCTTTGTTGTTTGATTCTCGAAAACGAGGCTCTCTGTAACTCTCTCCAGACCCTGACAGGCTTTGAGAGGAAGAGCTATCATCAATGTCCTCTGATTTTTTACCAGATTTTGCTACCCTGCTACCAAATCCCTCAAAGTCTGCAACAACTTCCGGTATCGCTTTTTGCCCACCACTACCGGAAGCGCTCATTCCTGATGCACCCAAATCAGCTAGAATATCTAAAAAACGAAAAACAGCACCTAAGAAAAAAATGAGGCTGTTGATTGCTCTATTGTTTTCTAGCAAATCTTCTTTTTGTTGTCCTATGTCATCAACCTAAAAAATTATTAGTTAGTGTAGATGTAAACTGCTGACTTCCGAGGGCATTTGTAATTATGAATTTAGACAGATGTAAGGCAAAGATTGAATTTGGGGTGTTTCCTGTTTGCCAGTCCTGGAGGGACTGGGACCGTGAAGCCCCCTTTGGAGCAGTTTTGAGAACAGTAAGTTAACTAAAATGTGCATGTTGCACCTGCTTCGGGAATTAAACACAGGTCCTAGCAGTGGATGGGGTGAGCTCCTTCTATAGCTCCATCTTGTTCAGGGCGGGAAAGACGAGGGAAAAGCTGTGAGGAATTTTCAATTCAGCCAGTGGAAAGTAATCTAGGATTTCAGTGGTTTTGTTCGTCTAGACATTTCGCACTAAACCTCGTGACCAAATCGTTCTTGATATTACTTCTGATTGGTGCATGAGCTTAAGCGAGTTTTCTTGACCAATCAGAGAGCAGAGTGAAGCTAAACCAAAGCAATCCTGTATTTCTTTTGAAACTCAAATGAAAATAGCTCTAAAAAAAAAAAACATGTTTGCTTTTTCAGTTGCTATAATTAGTCACTAAAATAGATTAAAGCAGTTACCGTCACATCGACCGCAAGAGTACGGACACACTAGAGTCATGTAATCCTTGTAGTCTGTCATTTCACAATATTGATGTTTCGCCCATTTTCCACAAAGCTCATAATGATCGCGGCAGTCTAGTTAGAATTAATGTTGGAACAGCATTAGAACAGTGTTGGACCAGCGTTAGAGCAATGTTGGGACAGCATTACAGCTTGAAGTTAGATAAATATGATATCAAAGGTCAGATGTTACGTACTCGTAGCTAGCAGGGGTGGTGCATGACTAGGAGAAATTCGAACTTAGGTCTCCTCCACTTACCGTTAAAAGGCATCGCATCGATGAAATAAAAACTCGCCACAACTGCACATACAACGAGGACCCTCATGCTCTACAAGATAAAAAATCTATGAAGTTTTCTGGGCAACAATAGTACTTCTTTACCCTTTATTTAGAAACGGGAAAGACAAAAGCTTTTGGTCTTATAATATCGCACCTTAATACACATATCAGATTGGGTTTCGATCAACAAATTGATATAACAGATCCAAATACCATTATTATTTGTGTGAAAGCGGTGAAAACAAATTAGTTTGGTCGATAATTGGTTGTTAACTTCTCCATTGTCAACTGGAGAGTAAGTCATGTGCAGGTTATTTATTGTATTCCATGTTATAGTTATGCCTTTAAAAAGAAAATCAACTCGGAGATCATAAAGTCATACGAATTTCTACTTCCAATTATCTGGGTACCCCTCAGCGCGGGCGTCAAGGTTTGCAAAAAAACGCCATATCGTCTTAAAAATGTTTTTTAAAGACACGTTTTTGCGTTATAAACCTTAACGTGAAAACATGATGTAAGTTTACTCAGAGCCACACCAGAAACTAATAAATAAAGTAGTTGCTTTGAGCGCGAATCGAATAATTATATTCCTAGAGGAAAATCGAACTGCAAATGGCGGGGATCATTTTCAAGACTTGAACAAAAAATCAATTTTCGTGAGATATCCAGCTAAAACATTCAATAAACGGGATTGAGTTTAGAATGCCGCTTATTCAAAGTTGCGTACTAACGTTCCGTTACTGACATCATTTAGAATGTCATGATAGAATTCGGATTACTCCAAACTAAAAACCATGAGAAATAGCTCAGAAACTTAGCTCCTAAACCTACCTTCTCTTTGAGTATGTAGTAGCTTGATCCTTAGGGAAATGAAAGATGTTCTTTTGAATGTCGCACCGGACTTCGGTGGTCTTATTTCGACAAAGACAAGAACCTGCTCTACCAGTCAGAGTCCTTTTGTCTTTGTTGGTTTATTTTCGTCAATAGCGCCTTGAAATGATGAAAGATTAATGTCCCCTGAGCAGGGACCAAAAAATCACCTCAGGAAGAAATGATAAGAGTTACTCGAAAGCTTAATGCTGTCAGCAAAAAGGCAAATTCAGTGAATGGCTATAGAGAAGAGCCACGTAGTGTAGCTAACATTTAACTTTTTCCTTATCCCAAACCATTTAAGCTCATATGAGAGACTTCTGTTTCTAGATCATTCACCCTCTCGTTGCTGAGTCGGTCGTAGGAGTGAAGAGAAATGAGTGTAAAAGTTAGTGCCGCCGCGTGAAATTTTAGTTCCCAGTTCTCGCACGGCCCTGACTAAATTTTTCTGATGTCCCTTTGTTTTATTTTTCCTTGACTTGTGCGGTGCACTTAGCGAAAAAAAAAAAAGAGGGTTGCTGTTCGTATTCTATAATTTCGTGTAAACGAACGCTTATATACGCAGAACACAGATACCACCCAACTGCTTGCTTTGTAGTCATTGTGTACTCATAAATGAACAAGATTTCGCAAGACGGGACACACTACTTTTTGACTGATGGCATAACATACTTTCAAAGAAAATTCTTTAACTTTTACGCAGGCTGCGGATTATTTGATCCATAGAACTGCAGGACTTCAGGTGTTTGCGCAAGCGACAGGAGCAGAAAAGACTCAGAAAGCTCTTTGACAACAAATTAAAAGTCTCTTTCTATCCCCGCAATGCATCCTGGTTGAGCGTGGTCCTTCAAAAGCCACTTTATTGTCAAAACTCAAACAGTCATGAATAATTAATGAACCTTTTGTATTTCATCAGGTATGACTTTAAGTCTTAATGGACTCGATGGGTCATTCACCACCACATCATTTTAAATTCAGCTGGAAATACAATAAGTTTACCTGGCAACGTACAGTGTGCGTTGCCAGGCATGAGGCAGCAAACCATTTTGGAACCTCTTGGACGTTCTCCCTTCAACGTTCTCTCCATTGGCTAAAACAATATCTTTGCGTCCTTTTAAAGCAAACCTTCAGAGAGAAATATTCCGATCTGCGTGAGAAGCGTTTTTTTTTCTTCTTTTTTTACAGGAGGAGCTTACGCCGAGAATTTTGTGGGTCTGAAAGAACTATGATGACCGAGAAATTTGCGAATTACTGAAAATTAAAGTCAAGGCGTTGTGAGGGGTGTTGGAAGATTCCTAGATTCCAGGCTTCCAAAGCAGCTCACGGTCATGAGAAGATACTGACTCACGCACAGGAGTGTTAGGTTGGGAGCAGAAAGTTGGTTCTCTTAATTGAACTTCCGGGAAGTTGAACTTCTGGGCTGTTGAACTTCCGGGCAGTTGAATTGAAAAAATCAACAAAGTCTTCTCTAGTAATTTGACTCATTTTATTCAACTCTTTTTCTTTTACGAATTTTCAACCAATTTCCAACGAATCGAAGTTACCCTTTTCAAAAAAGACCTTCTACACAAGACCTTTTACATCTTATATTAAGGACTCGTGATTTCTATCGCGTGATAGTTGATGAGCTGGCCTGAGTCAGCTATCACGCGATAGAAATCTAAAGTGCATAATCTAATTTTAGAATAAATCTAGCCAACCAAATCTTATTAAGAAGACAGGTATATTTATCAAATCCTATTTTGTTTACAACCACATCCTCCTAGCCAATACACTTTACTTACTATATATCACGAAATCACGGATAGCGAGTCGCTGAGCCAATCAGGTGCAGCCGACCTGTGATAGAATTTTACTAAATTTTAACAATTTTTGCTAGTCCACCTAACAGGCGCCATTCTTTCTCTTTTTTTTTCTTTTACCGTTTTTTTGTTTTTGCTAAGGAAATGTAACTGCGAAGACTGCTCTAAATTTATCGTAGATCATCGTCTGAGAGCGCAAGCGAAACAACTAAGGGGAGTAGGGTTAGAGCAGTTGTTACACACTCGCTTCTTCAGAAAAGTAAAGCGGCTAATTTAAAGTCTTATGTCAAATCAAACTTTGATTGGATTACCAAACCAATCTTTATAAACTATTTCAAAAGAGCTTAGCTTCTGTTTCTTTATCTGTTTAGCATATTCCGGAGTGAATACCAAACCTTCCGCGCATCTTTCCCATCTAAGAAAGGCTTAATTATGTATCAGCAGCCAAATATTAACAGCTAATGAAGGCGATAAAGATACGGACTTGATATCATTGACGCCAGTGAAGTGGTATATCTCGGAAGTCCTTCACTTTGTCCGCGCAACCAACGACTAAACGCTTGCCTTTGTTAAATTAAATAAAGCGCAAATTGGCAATATCCGGAGAGGTATTATTTCAATAATTCTGTACTGCAAAGTAATAGACATGTGTTGAAAAATTAGAAATATTTTGGATTCTTTACACTTGTCCTCTTTGACCCTGATATTGTCATGATGACATAGCTTAGTCATTAGAGGAAAAAGAATGTCGCATCCGATATTGCCCCTTACAAACGTCGGAGCAATAACTTTGGGTTTCGTTCTTGCATCTACAACCTCTGTGACATTGAATTAACATTTGGCAAACTTTCTAAACTTCGAACCACTCGAAAACCAAATACTGATGGTTTTTGCTCTTAAACGTTGGTTAAATTCGAGTACAAACAATGCCGAAAGTTCTCCTTTCGAAAACTTCTCACAGAAACACAAATGCCTTTCAAGTTCCGGCGCTGTCTGAAAATGAGAACAAAATTATAAAAGAAGGCAGTTTTTTTGTGACAGGCTGTCATCTGAATGGTACACACAGCGACAGCGATGTACTGAATGCAAACATTTAGTGACTCCTTCGAAAGATTGCCTCGTTTACTGTAGAGACCATAATTTCAAGGCGGGGGGGGGGTACTTCCTCAGGAAACTCATGCAGATTCAGCCTTGTTCGCCTGGATTTTACAGGATCCTACGAAGGAGTACCTTTGTCCTCAGAAGGGTCATTTATTATTAGTGGATTCTTCCCTAAACGCCTCACACAGAGTCAGTGTTGTTTCAAGTAACTATTAACAGCATTCATTTTGCGACACATCGGGCTAGTGGCTGTATTCCCCTCTCCCCCCCCCCGCCGTCCTCAATTATCTGTTAAGTGAAGGAATGTTGACCTTGCACCGTAACAATCGTGTTATCGTCTAGTGGATCACAATTTCAAACTATTTTCGTGAAGGCATTCACCTTGTCGCGAAGTAGCTTACATCGTGATAACCCATTTATAGATTCAGCGTTATCAGGGCATAAGCTCTTCGCGGTCATGCGAAATGTGAGCTATTTATAAAATCTTAAGTAACTCGCATGCCGTATCATACCAAACGTCCAAAGAAAAATTGCTAAAATTCGGAGAATTTCATTCCCATTTTTCTGTTTAGCTTCAACTTTTTATTGTTTATTCAAGACATTTAAGGTTAAGTCGGATCAGATGCAGACATCATGGTGCCCAGAGGACCATCCATTTATCACAATTTACACAAAGCTTAAAAGATCGTCAAAACACTCTTCAAAAATCCATGTTTGACCCGAATTTTGCGTAAAAAACTAGATCGGAGAGGGTGGAGTGGGGCGGGCTGGGGTGGAGTCTTATTATCCGCCCTAGACCTCCCGCCGCGTGCCAATTTGTAATGTAAGTTACTAAAGCGAAGCTCATCATCCGTAATGTTTTTATTTAGCGATGCAAATATATATGCGAATTGCTCATAGCTGTGAACCCCTGATAATTTGCCAGCATCTGCTAATAGGTCTGTGACCGCGGGTTATCTGTGTTTATCATAACTAATGAACTATACCGGGCTAGCCGGCTTCAGCCGCCGGCTCCAACCAGCAACACAATGTTTTCATTAGCTTTCATTTCACTCTTCATATAACACTGATGCAATGCTATCAAAACACAACAATACCTGTGTGAAAACAACTGTTTTTCAATCGCTTGTTATCTAAGCTTCTCACATTAGTATGGTCTGTTTTCTTTCCATTTAAAATTATCTGAACTCTACGCCTGTTTCTCTAACGGAATCACTATAATGCCACCCACAGCAAAAACTTTTCCGTTTCTGTAACTTGCAACCGTAAAATTATCTTTGTCTACTTCCAGAAGCGCCTGACATGCTACTTCCATCCCAAAGTCTCTTACCGCGCCAACATAAACGACTGACACGATTTTGCAGCGTGTTTTAGTAGCCTCTTTCATGGCTTCGACGCGCCGTTTCACTAGCTGACAGACGTTCTTTCCCAAGCGATCACATTCATCCCGGTTATACTCTGTAACACAGTCAAACTGTAATTTAAGTGTTTCTTGAATTATGTCCTGTATTGCAATATTTTCTTTCTCCACGGGTCCGAGAACTGCTGAGTCTTTTCGCGAAGAACATGGCGAACTATCCAAGCTATTCTGCGATCCAGGGCGACTGTTAGTGAGAGAAGTCAACCACACATCACTTGGATCTGGTGGGAGAGTTTGAGGTGAAGTTTGGTTGAACACCGGTTGAGACGAACGCCTTAGCCTTCCCTTTTCTTCCGAATTAGATTTGGAGTTGAAATGAAACGAGAATAAAGACAGTTTTCTTGCTCTTTTGCCTGGCTTGGGTGAGAATCTCGGTTCTTTCTCTGGAAAAGGCGAAGCGTTGTAAATATTTGTAGCATTGTTCGTACGCTGCGTAGCTTCGTGACCGGAGGTGAAATGAAACGGGTTTGAATGCTGCCTCTCTCTTGGAAACCAAGATCCGTTTGCTTCCTCCATGCTTCAGCTTTCTCCTCTGAGATGCTCTATGAAAATTTCCACTGAACGTATCCTTAGACAGCTCTAGGGTCTCTCAACAGACCACGGGCAAATCACGAGAAAAACGCGAGGCGTTAATGTCAATAATGAAGGGAAGGAGTACGTGATCTTAAGTGAAAGACACGCTCTTAATTGTCAAATTTATCGCGGTTTAAATCGTCTCAACTCGCTTCCGGCAGTTAAGTGCTGGTTAACTGATATCTGCCAATCCTTTAATCCTTCAACACAGCCACATTGTTTTGCAAAAAGTAAACAAAATGTTGCAAATTGGAGAAAGAAAGAACAGTTAATTTTAGTTGATGACAAAATATGCTTTCATAGCCGGGCGCTTATCACAGGGGGCCGTGAAAAGGCTTATTTGCACGCTCAATCAGGCTTTTTCCAGCTGTGAATTCTCTCGCATTCACGTAATCGGTGATACTGTTATTACAGTCATTTTTCTAAGGAAGGTTTTTTTTCCCATGTAAACGACGCACAAAATTTATGTGGTAAATCAGACAGAATGCAAACAATTATCAGCTCAAATCTTGGTACGATTACTAAGAACTTTTGTTCCACAAATCGCTTGTCATTTAGAGCTATTTACATATGAAGTGAATTGAGCAAACAAATGGTTAATAGCCTCGAGAAATATGTAATCCACGTGAAAGATGAAAATGAAATAAGTTGTTAGATACCACAAGGGTAGAGTAATCCTCCATTTAGAAACCTCCTGTTAGTTTGTAATTGATTTAATTGTCTCCCAGCCGAACCTGGGCGTGGGAATATGGGAACTGTTTTCACAGCATGGAATATCAAGGACATTATAGGTTTTTTTGAGTATTTGATAGCACAGCGTGTTGTTCTTAAAGGCGCGGAAGTATTTAACAATATTGAGTCATTATTTAGCTCAGTATAATGCAAATTTTACCGCCCTCTTTAATCAATGCACAGTCTAGCGTTCACGCCTGAGAGCAGACTTTGTTTTTGCGTTTTATTAATAAACATTACTTGGCCATTAACACCAACGCACAGTTGCGTGTTATTATGCCGGTCAGCTTGGGTGTAGAGACTATGAAAACCGCAAGGTCGTTTAGATGGTTGCGGTCTCTATAATCCAGATTATCGAATGCACAAACGTTCTCTGTTTTACCTTTAGAGTAACTAGCATACTCATCAAAATAACAAGTCTCGATAAAGAGCCGCTGTTTGGGAAACGAGCCAACGGTTCTCGAACATGGGGAACTCGAAATCTGAAAAAAAAAAAACCGATCGATACACTCTCTGACCCACGAATCAATTCGATTCATTTGATTAAGACTGTTGCCAACATAATTAACTTAATTGAAACCAAACTATTCCGGAAATATTGTATTACCAAGAAAAACTTTGCGATCTGCACCAGTAAAACCAAACACACAAAGTCATTTATACCGTGTAAGAATATAGCACACAGGTAAAGAGCGCTTTTCGTGCGCGCTGATTGGCTAGACAAAGTTGCGCGTAAAGAGTTTGATATAGCCGACTAATTTTTCAGCATACAGACAGAAATAAACTAATGTATTGGTTTCTGTGTGGTGTATACCATTACACCACTAGTTCTTCATCTCTACTTTGATGAATAATTGTTTATCATTCATGATATTATTTCTCACGGAATGTCGCTGAAAATGATATACAGATGTTTGCGGTGTGTTTTGGCAAAATTCTAACTTCGTACTGAAAAATAACTGAATCGGAGATAATTTCAGTCTAATTGGTTTAGCTATGATCCTCTGTGGCTATAGGTTTACAGCGCGAAAAACCGATTCAAGTTTTTCTGTGTCTAATTGAGAGATTTTGTGTCTGTTTCCTTTTTTTTTTTTCTAATCAGACCGGAAGGTACAACTTCTATATATGACCTTTAATGTGGATAATGTGGATAAAATGCGTACTGGAAAGTCTCGAGAATTGTTTCGCGCTCTTTACGTGCAAATCCGACAAACGAAAAGAAATATACCACGCGGGTAGCCGAGTTTTTATAGTGTTTCATGCACAGTCTTCACGGGTTGTCTTGTTGGAAACATTTTAGGACAATTTGTGTACGTTTACTTGAAAACAAGTGTAGATGATTCCTCCATAGACAAGAAATATGCGTACGCTCACTTGACAACAAGTGTAGATGATTCTTCCATAGACAAGAAATATGCTTCAGAAACCATGTTATTTTCATTTTCATCTCTGTCGTTTAGAATTATACTTTAAACTTTGAGACTTCCCGCTGTTGGAAGTAGCCTAACGATTTCAAAATTGTCCGCTTCAAATGTATGTGCATGAAATAAAACTCGGGACGCCGCCATTTTTGTTAACAAAATGACCGTACACGCAAATCACAACGCGCGGAGAAAAAACACCGGCGTTCTGGTTAAATAAAGAAGGTTTTTCTTAGAATACCTTTTTTTTAGCCCCCCCAGTTCTTCATAAAAATCTACGAGAGATGGAAAGAAGAGGTTTTAGACGCAGGTAATTGATTGGCCGAAGAGATAAGCAAGATTCAAAATGGCGGCGCTTGTTGAAAAATCTTTTAAAAATTTGAAGACGTTTTTCGCAAAGTCAGGTTACCTTTTAGAATATCAAAATGGGGCAGATATTTTTATTAAGGAGATAAAAACTATAATTTCCTTCCCCTAACCTAGAGATCATTTAATCTCTTTCATTAACTGTTTTGCACCCTAACATCAGTACGCATATTCTCCATACTGATCTCTATAATTTCCCATGGTGCATGCAAGGAGAAATTGATGATCATTTCCTTTATTCTCATGACCCTAGTATTTGATTCAGGGGAGACACTGCAAGGAGAAATTAGATGTCAATCACTCTTAGGATTCAAAAGATTGAGAAAAGCTACTCTCTGACTACTTTAGAATAACATCGACACCCTATGCGTGAGCTACACGTTAAAATCGTGAGGTCCTATGTGTGCAGAGAACACGTCTATCTCCACAGAAAAAAACGCTTATCGATGGAAAGACATTTTTGATCTAATTGACGCTAAATTCTCAGACATAGACAAGGGTTTATAAGAAGTGGGTGGTATACTGCACAGAGAGATAACCGCTTAAGATTCCGGGAATGAAAAGGGACGCGTCGTGCCAGCCTGTTACGCAAAGTCGTTTCGTCATTAAAAATTTGCTTGTTCTGTATGTCCTCTTTTTCAAATTTTCGGTTCCAGAAAGCTAACGGAGCTTCTATTGCCCTCTTTACTATCTCAGATATTAGCGAGAAAATTTAAAAAATGTCCCAGCATGCTGTGAGGCTACGGAGGATCTTTTGAAATGAAAACCGTCTGGTCAGAGTGATAAACCACTCCTGGCGAAATTAAGTCTGTGATATTATTATTACAAGAAGGCTAAAATTATTAAGGAAAAGCGAAAGAATCAGTTATAACACGTCAATATTTTTAATCCAATTTCAGCCAGACTGATATCTAAAACTAAACAAATAAACATGACACGCCATGGCGGGAAACCGTAGCTCCTACATTTCCGTAGCCGAAGAATCTGACATGCAAGTTATTTCATCATCGTATGAATATATTAGTGTGGTGATTAACATTTATATGATATATCAGTATAAAGAGTTTGTTATAACAGACGCAAATCCAAACAAAGAATCACTCCTGAAACTCGCTGCAGCGAAGTTATCTCGATCAGTCTCCCATAAGGCCTGGACAGAGGCGAACATTCCCTCGTCTCTCACGGATCCAATGTACGCTTGGCATACAACCTTGCACTGAACATTTTCCGTCTCCTTCATGGACTCTACAAGCGTTTTTAAAATCCTACAGATGCTTTTACAAACTCGATCACAAGTCTCTCGCTTGTATTCTTTCATTGATAAAAGATGCGCGCGCAGCACATGCCTAATGAGGTCGTGGATTTTGACATCTTCCTCTTTGAAGAAGGCTTGTTCAGGGACAGGCTTGGTTTGTGACTCTTTACGCTCTAAATTCGCTGCCTCTTCTACTCTTCTCTTCTCTTCGTTTTCAATGGTAGTTGCCACTTGTTGATTTGGTGGAAGTTGTGGGTCAGTGTTTCGTCTCTTTCGTTCTTTCTCACTCGTTGGTTTATGAAATATCGTCAAAGATAATTTGCGAGTCCTCTTTGTTTCTTTCTCGTTAGTAACATCTTGTTTATTCGAACCAGTAGATTGATTCCCAGCGAAAATTCCATGCAAAGATAGCGGAGAAATTCTTCTAGTGATGCTGAGCTTTCTTCTTCTCTCAGAGGGCGCAGGGGGTCGAATCTCATCATTCTCATCAGCGACCCCATTTCCGCCAAGACTTGCAGCGTTAAACGGAAACAAGTCAGATATTTTCTTAGACTTTTTCATTGCTGTTTTTCGACCATCTTCCTCTTCGGCTTCGCTTAATGAATGATAACTGGTTCCTTCGTTAGTCTTCGACGTCGATCCGGCATTAAACGAAGACGCCCTCGAGGTCGTTCGGCTACCTGTCGGCGCTGAAGTGGTGTTTGCTGAATCACTCTCATCAACAGTCTCTAGAGCGACTACCGAGCTGCACGTTGAAATTTCAGAAATAGTGTCATCGTTATCGTCGGTAAAAACGTTGCCAGATTTCATTTTTTCCATCAATAAATCTCGTAAAGAGCTGTCTAGTTCGGTTGAGTCTACATTTGGTAGATTCCGAAGGTCGGGCTCAAGAAGCGGTCTTGACTCAAATCCTGGGCCAGAATCAAAAGCTAACACCGGAGACACTTGAACGTTGTTATTAGAAGCTTGGAAAGGATTCGTTTCTTTGCTGTGATACGAAGTAATTTTCATCAGTGGTATTTTAACTGTAATTTGGCGATTCATGTTGGTATTCCGCGCTGTAGTTTATCAATGAACAACAGTTTTCAATTAGTGTACTTCTCTTGTATATGTATCAAGTTGCTCCACTGCCAGGACGTGGTTATGTGTGTCCGTGTTTGTCAGCAGCACATGAATCTTGTGGAAGGTTAATGAACTGAATAAAATGTAAGCTTATTTATTACGTGCCATCCACGCACCTGGGATCACAGTGTGATATCAAAATAATATTCTGCAATTCATTTGTTGCGCAAAGCCGGAGGAAGAGAACTCTTGAGGTTCAAACCTCAAATCCCACTTCTTGCGGAAGTTAGATCACTTTTCAAAACGGCCCGCCTAACAAGATATCTCAATAACCATGTCCTTAAAGTGTTATCCATCCATGTTGATCTATTTAGTTGTACTAATACTCTTTCACACTGTTTTAGCAATTACCTCGAGGCAGTAAAAGCCATGAATACCAACTAGCGTACGGAGGAAGAATGAACATATATTGTGTATCAATGATGGTTTTATTATCTTATCTACCCAAGCTAATACCTGTTATCACATCTTACTTCTCAGATGCTCCAGTCTGTGTTTTATATCTGATCCTCGATGGTCAATTTGAGCGCTTGTACTTCATTGGCAAAAATCCGAAATCAGAGCGCAAATCAAATAACGTGTACAATTTTAGACAAACATTATTTGTTTACAAAACGCCTGGAGCGAATTCAGGAGATGTTTTTCGGTAAAAGAGCGACAGGGGTTGGCGGCATTTTTAACTAGTCTCGACCATCTGGCCCCATATATGGATCTGTCATTGGATCAGGTATTTCGTGACGGTCACATTCTCAAACAGCTATGTTCAATCAGTTTAGACTAACTGCTAAAATGGTGCCGAAAGATCTAGAGATTCTTTCTAGAAGCCCACTCAACCCTTAATTTTCAGTAACGAAGCACCTCGCAACACATGGAGATTTTTTTTTTTGTACAAACAAAACATTTGTAATGCTTCTAATTTTTTCAAAGATTGCTTGAAAAGATAAATAAACAGTTAGGTGATCGATTGCCCGTTACCCGAAGTATCCGGCCGAGACAACTGTTTTCAGTAATCAAGTTTATGTATTATTTAATCTTCTTTTGTTTCAAAATAGAAAGAGTGTTGAATTAAGCAAGTTGCTTAATGACCTCGGACATCTTTGCCTCGGAGCAAGCAGGAAAAAGTAGTCAAATTTGGAAATGTCAGAGTTGTTTTCAAAACGGCCGAGCACGTTGTCAATATAGAGTCGTTCTCTCGACAAGCTAATTAGCTAAATACTTAAAACATATGTGAAGATATATTTTTTACTCATTATGGTCTTGCAGAACAAATTAACAGATAAAAGGATAAGTGGTAGACGAAAGGCCGCGAGCTACTGAAATGGCTGAGGGTGCGAGATTAATTGTGATCGCGACAAATAGTCTGCGCCCTTGAAAATTGAGTGCGTCATATTAAGTTTTGAGAGCAGGAAAATTGAATGTCGCTGTAAAGCTGTTGATCTACGCACCTCCTGGGCCAACGTCTGTAGTTATCAGTGTAGCGCTAAAAGCTCCTGTAGCGTGAGAGAAAGAGAAACAATTTTTTTCTTCATATCTCTTCTGTCATTGGGAATAAAAAGTACAACAGTGAACTACAATATTTTAAGTCAATCAGTACTTGTGGTACATAATAATATTTGAAAGCTCTTTTTAAATGACATTTTTTTTGAGAGATCAGGCACAGAGGGGAGGGAGGGGTTCACAGGTGGGAGGAGTGACAGGCTGACTTTGACATTCTTGTGGTGGGGAGGCAGGGTAGTTGTGTGGCAACAACTCAGACATGAGGGTATTATCATGCTAAAAAGCTCCCAAGATCAAAATATCAACTCTCTACAATATCTCCTTAGTACAATTTTTAGCTCTGAGAATTTGGTGCATTAAGTCAAACAATTTCACTCTTTTTATTTCACCCACTTCAACATTGTAGCAAGAAATTCCCTTAAAGTCACCCCTAGGATTGGAAGCATGGTGTGTCAGAGGTGCCCTGGTTGAGATATTAAATCAGCTACAAACAACTTGTACTGTAAACTTGTTGTGGTAATTCAGGGTATTTGATCTATCTAGTTCTCATTCATGAGCCTTTGAGGCAGCTCTCAGCTACAACAGACTGGTAAAGGTAAGGCAGGTAAAGTCTGTACTCAAGCTTAACCCCTTAACTCCCAGAAGTGATTAACACGAAACTTCTCCCGATAATATCCATACATTTGTCAGCAAATGGGTAATGAGAATATTCAAACTTATCAGGTAGAAGCTGCTATCTTGATCTAGCACCATGTTCTCATAACTAATTTACAAGGAAATGTGTGGCAGCTACAGGAGAGAATTAACAAATAAGATCTTGGAAGTTAAAGGGTTAAGGTCCATGCAGTTGGAGCTTATCTCAGTTTGAATGTTTACCCCCTAGCATTTCATCAGGCTTCCCTGATAGTTCATCAGCACCCAGTTATACTCCTGGTTGGAGAGAGGCACTGAGAGTAAAGTGTTTAGTCCAAGAACACAACACAATGAACTGGCCAGGTCTTGGACCCAGACCTCTCAACCCAGGGTCCAGTGCACCAACTAAATTAGGCCACAATGTTCCACAATGAACAACAGTAGAATCATTAAAATATGAAAAAGTTAGTAGAGAAGGAAAGAAAACTGAAATCCAAAGGAGAGAGTCCTGTTGATGAAATCCTAGTCTGGTGCATACTCACCTTCAAAACAAACACAAATAGAAGAATTCTGTTCAGCCTTTATTTGCAATTTAAACATTTCCATCTCAACATTTTATTGAATGTCACCATTTTACTAACTCAGTTTCTGGTCTCTTTAGCCAAACATCGTTACAGTTGCCGCATAACGCAAGAAGGAAGTGTTGCGTGACGATTCAGCCGTGAGTTGCACGACAGCGTGGTTTCTACTCAGTATCCGGAGGACAGTTCGCAAGCTCAGCTTCATTCACATCATAATCTTTCATCGCTCTTTCCAGAAAGAACCAATGTCCTAGAATTCCAACGTCGATCACACGTTCAGGGAATGTCTTCCATCTTGGCTGTACATATTCACAATGTTTTTCGTACAAATCACAGCCAGGTCCAAACTCAGTCACATACACGAGAGACAAAAATCCAAAAGTCTGTATTTGCAACCTTTCCTGATTGCGATATTTCAGAATATTTTGCACGTAACTGTCCGAATTTGGATTCCTTATCAAATGGCTGATCTGCAACAGTTCATTGGAGCATTCTAGCACAGCATCTTCATAAGAATTCACATCTGGGTTCTGTTCGTAAATGTAGTAAAGTCCTCCAAGCGATGCTAAGGTGCAAGCTGAACGGAAGGGTTTTGCCTTCATATTCTGGTACAGTTCTTTAAATACCAGCTTGTAATCTGTGAAGACATTGTAAGCTGACCTGCCGAGTTTTCTTTGCTTTAAATTTTCAAACTGCGGTAAAAACATGTTGTTTATACGGTTTACGTTTCGAAACGCACTCCTCAATCGGGCCGCCATCTTGTTTACCCCGCGCCGAAGACGCATGATTCTTCGAACACAACAGCTGACCTGTTATAGACTCACACAATTTTCACGTGGTTTTAACTGCATACGGACCACAACAAGTTGAATCAAGAAACTTTCCTCCTTCAGAAATTAGACATGGTGCGTATTTACATTTTTTTCCCTGCTTAGAACTTTATGCTACAATTCACAACTCTCGCTATTCACTACGATCGAGTTAATACTCCGATTTTGCTGAGTTCTGCTGTAGGTTTGCAAACGTGTCACTATGTTTTATTTTAACCAATAGCCAAAGGAAGGAAAAGCCAAGTTGCATTGCAAGAAAGTTGTACATCCAAACTCTAGAAAAGCTACAAAGTTGGCGAGGCAAGCACACAGAGATGAGAAACTTCAAAGGTGCGATGAATATTTAAGTTTCTGTTGTCGTTTCAAGTTCCCAATCCAGTTTGAATTTAATTTTTGGAAAGATTTCCTTGTAACTCCATATATACTATTCTGGGATAAAATCTTAATCTCGTAGGTAATCCATTTTTCGCCATTATTTGCCTTTATCAAAGAAATGATTCACTTTGTATCGCAGTCATCTCATATACAAAACTGAAACAGAGAAAAACATTGCTAAAACTGGATTGAAAATATTGTGTAAACCTGAGTATAAATGCAAACTAACCGCATTCAGCATTTTTGAGAAAAGTCGACGGAAAAAAAAAAAGGAACAAGTGCACTTGACAGTCTCAAAAGGTAATCTGGATATCTGATAATCGATGAATTTGAATAAGTCCAAAAAATAGGCAAATCCATCAAACCTGCTATGCCTCGTTCTTACCTTGACATTTTCATAGATTACCCTGAAATCCAGAGGTTTAGGAACTGTAACCTGAAAGCTACGCACAATACCTTTCGGGGTTGTTATGAGCACTTTTATACTTTTTTTTTTCCAACAACCTTTTTCAAAATAGCTGTATAGTGTCCAAAAGTTGTTTCCAAACATCTGCAGCCGATTTTCAGAAGTCCTTTCCACCAATCACTTTTCTTGTTGCCATTTGATTGTATTTAGGAAGAAGACTGAGAGGAACTATCATCTTCAAATAAAAGGTACAGTTCTGAGATGCTAAACTGAAAATTCTACACTGCTTTTATCTGATTATAGACTAAAATCCAACACCAGGCATTTTATTGTACCAGTTCCCAGTAAGGTTATCATCATGAGAGTGGTAACCTTATTCAACCATTGACTTCTGTAAGCATGCTGGCCATGCCAATTCACCTAATCAATTTTGTTGGTTGGCTTTGTAAAAAGATGTGTAACATCCAGATTAATGAATTTTGTAGAGAACTAAGGCAATGGGTGCACTTGGCGAATGCTTACTTATTCAACCACTGATATATTCAACATGTCAGATATGAGTGGTTTCATATGAAGATTGTGATCATTGGCAGAAATTTCCCACTGGGGGGACACAAAGATGATTTTTATCATTCCAGCAGTAAGAGTGAAAATGGAGTAGTGTATTGTCTGCTTCAGATCTATGGCAGAGCAGTCTGGAAACTTTGTCAAAGTCCCCATTCTCCAGTTTTGCCTTTTTAAAGCTTATCCTTTATTTTTTTTCAGTTGGAGAAAAGTTCAGATGGTTTTTCGAGAACATAAATCATGATAAAACAGAGTATTCGAGTTCTGAAGTGTGTGAACTCATTGAGAGGTGGGTTACTGTCTTACAAGTGCATTACTTTATTCATACCTGATTCGTGATTTTGGCAAGACAGTATTTTACAGGGTTTTATTCTTTGTAATTTCATTACTTAGAAAATGTGAAAAAAGGGCTGTGAATTTTGCAATTCAAACATTTGTAACTTTACCTTATTTTTCAAAATGTGTAAGCTTTTGATGCCTGCACAAAATTTGTACAAATCTAAAGATTAAAATAAAGATGATAGCTAGATTCTCTACTATGTAACTATGTGAAATGTTTTCAGATGAATGTCATTTCACAACAGAAGATACAAAATCGAACTTATCAGTAGACAGATTAATAATTTTTTGATACATGTACTGTATATTTTGTCGATATTATATACTGAATTTTCTACAGGGAATTAAATTTTGCAGGTCTTCAATTTTGCTTAGATGAGCACCTGCTATCTGCTGGCCAGACTTGCTGAAATGTTTATTTTAAGAATGAAAATAATGAAGATTATTTTTGTTGTTTAGCATGCACAATCAAGATAAAAATATGTTTTAAAGAACTGTAAAACTCTGAATTTTCTTGAATGCTCCACCATTCACAAATCTCACACATCCAACCCAATGACCTGACTTATAGCAATGAAACATTCTCATAAATATTTTCTAGGTATTTACATCGCTTTGACGAAGAGCTTCAACAAATCAATGAACAGAACAGTATAAAAGGTAGACAAGGCCGAGCTCATGCATCAAGAGAGGACACACTGAGAAATGTTATTGAATGGGAAAGGGAGCTGTACAACACTTGTGGAATTGGTAGGTTAATAGTTTTGGACACTATTTTTGGGCATTCTGGACAATTGATTTATCACATGCCATATTTATTTGGCTATAGGCTGAGCAATTATTTTTACACAAATTAACGCTAATATTTGGTAAAATCTGAGCTATAGAAGGGGTTCGGATTATTGCCGAGATTTTTCCTTAAAACAAAACTTTTTCAACTTACCAGCAATTAATTATCGGTTAACGCTTTGCAATTGCGTGTGTTTCCAGAGAAGTCAATCTTGCTTTCTTATACTTTTCAATCCTTCTAAATATTCATGACAATCAGTGTGTTTCTTTGGTGAAGTCTCTGTCTTTCATGAACATTGTGTTCTAAGGTAGGTCTTGGCTTATAGCTGAATATTTTGGCTAAGTTTTTTGTGATGATGCTGCTGAGTTTACAAATTGGAAGTTTGGGGTCTTGGCTTATAGCCAGGTAAATACGGTATTACCTAATTTGCTCTCCTGCACCCCACCTGCAATGATCTTAGAAGGCAAATGTGGATCAAAAACTCACAGAATCATTGCACAGATATGATTTATTGATTGATACTTTAAGCCTTGTGTTTAAAACTGAGGGACTCAATTACTGCTCTGTCTCAACATTCTGAAGGGATAATTTTTGAAAACAGTTTCAACAAAATGTACAAAGAATTACTTGTCTCAGACTTTTTTCTTCTCCTTTATGTTTTCCAATTCCAAGCAACACAATTTATTTCCTTGTCTCAGTCTTAATTGTGTACAATTTATGTCATCCTATTTCTAACGATGAAATTTCCGTTCTTTTTCTTCTGCACCCAGAGCTTCCAGACCTAACATCTGCAAAAGTGTTGGCACAATTTGGGTGAGTAAAATGTCTTGATTTGCTTTCTTTAACCCTTTCACTCCCAAGATCTAATTAGTAATTCTCCTTACTATCTGCCACACAATTCTTATGATGTTAGTTCAGAGAATTTGGTATTGGATCAACTAATCATCCCATGGTTGACATTCTTCTCTATTCTCATCACCTGCCTGCTTGATATTGTATTGATATTGTAAGGAGAAATTCTGTCTTGGTCACTTGTGGTAGTGAAAGGGTTAAGCAAGAAAATACATCTAAGTTACTGTAAGTATGTCTCAGACCAGGATCAAATGTAGTTCACATGTGCAGCAGGGTGTTGTGGACATTATGGCAAATTACAGGGGATTGTGAGCTGATTGGGAACAGACAGAAAGAGACAAAAAAAATATTTGAAGAATTAGGCTTGGGAAATTCTGCAATAACAATAATAACTGTAACTTACATTCACCTTTTAAAGCCTAAGAGTGACCAGCATCCAAATTCTCCTGGCAGCAATACAGCTGAATCATTCATTAAGATCATGAGATTGCTAACCTAAGATGTTTTGATTGTAATACAAATTCTCCTTGTCCAGACCAAAGTAAACATATAGAAAAGATTGTGGAGAATATGGGTACTGATCGATGTTAGAGTGTATAGGGTTAACTTAATTTGAGCAACAATATCAAGTTCTTCCTTAGTTCACTGTAAATACACAGACACATGGAGTAACTAGGAAAAAAATTGGTTAACCCTTTGACTCCCAAAAGTGATTAACATGCAACTTCTCCTAATAATATCCAGTGTTCTCCAGAGGTGCTGGCAACTGGCTTTTTCGCCGGCTACTCATGTCTCAAGCACCGGCTACTTTTGTCAAACAAAATCACAGAAAATTATTCTCTTTTTTTTTCTAAGCTAATTTTGAGTGTGGCTTGAATTTGTGCTCTATTTGGAAGTGCTGGCTGCTTTATAATTTTAGCTGACTACTTCAAAATCTGTGGAGAACACTGAATATCCATACTTTATACAGCAAACAGGTAATGAAAATACTCAGACTTATCATGTCAAACTTGTCATTTGATCTAACACAGAATTCTTGTCACTAATTTACTAGGAAAAGTTTAACAGCTATAGAGGAGAATTAACAATCAGATCTTGGGAGTTAAAGGGTTAATATTTACATCAATAGGAGGAAACACAGTTGGCTATTTACAAAGCATAGTTGCAAATTGAACTCAAAACTTCTTCAGAGTGAAGATTTTTAACTTGGTACCTCCAGATTTCAAATCCTGCACCTTTCCACCATTGCATTTCTTCTAAAAAGGGTTTTTTCACTCTTTGCAAAGTAAATGGTTAACTGGTCTAGGCTAAATCGGCTATTTTTTCATTTTGTGCAAAAATGTATCAAAAATGATGATTTTTTGCTGTGTTTGGCTGGAATATGAGTATTTTAATCTTACGTTTTCTCTTAGAAACTTTGATTTATTTTTGTTTTTTAGAGAATGGAACTGCGATGTGGCCAGCCTCAAGCTTATCAGGATGCGAAAATTCAAATCTTCAGCTCTTGAGAAGAAACAGGAGAGAAACGACAATGAAACAGATGAAAACCTTAAAGAAGGAAACATTAAAACTTAAAATGAAATGTAGGGTATTGGTATTCTGAGGTTGATCATTTGCAAAACGGGTTTGACCTTAAAAAAAGCCTCGAGTTGTTGTGTGGCGTAATGGTGGCCCAACTTCTGCGAAGTCTCAGGTCAGGAAATGAGCTTTTTGTGGGTCTCTGTGAGCGGAGGATGGTTGAGCGTCAAAAGCAAGAGGCTGGGCAAGAGTTTGATATAATCTTAACAATGACATTATTACTCAAAGGTTACATGGTACTCTGGATAACATTGAGAATCATGAAAAACTACAAATATGCTGGGATTCTTAGTCTGATCCACGACAGAATCGTAAAGCACTTCTGGCCTCGAAGGGTCTATCGGTGGAGGCACCTTAATGTCTTGTTTCCCTGCACAGTACTTTCCTACCAGGACTCGGGCAAGATACATGTGGCGGCCAGCATCACCTTTCCCAGTGTAATGAACAGAGTAACTGGCGTCCCTGGCAAAGTATACACCCTGTCCGTATTTTGTTCCTGGAAAAAAAATAGAAGATTATAAAGCAAATCGTATAGAAATCGTTGGCGGGTGTATTTGCAATAATTCTTATCCGGAGTGTAATGACCTCTGGGGGCAGTGTGACCGAGTAGTCAGGGCGCTGGGGCTTGTAATCTGGTGGTCTCAGGTTCAAGCCCTCCACCCTGTTACACACTGGATTTGTTTTCATTTGCCCCGATTCAATTCCTTTGCTGCGCTTTGTATAGAGCCAACTGGTCTGCCTCATGTCAGTTGGGATTCTTAAACACTTTGTTTACAATGTCTGTTCAAATTTGCTTGTATTTTCAATTTGTTTGTATTAACCCTGAAAAGTACCGTTGCGGAGTGGTCAATTAAGTGTACATTACATTACTACCTATGCAACTTTGAACGACTTTTTTTTCCGTTTTTTTTTTTCTCACTAAAGGCGACATTTATAGGCCTTTTCGTAAGATTGTTACCGCGTTTGCACGAGTGAAAATTCTTTTTAATTAATTAGCGCATGTTAACTCAAGGGTACGTCCTCACCGTAGGCTTTCAAATTGGAATACTTACCGTGGACTCCACAGAAGCTTCGGTTAAATCCCTGTGCGTTTATATGGCTGACGTTTATAGCATTCGTCCCATGAAACAGTTGTCGTTCGCTATTTCCTCCACAGTCCGGCTCAATTTTCTGTTTCCTCGCCATGTAAGCTTGCCACAGATGAGGATTTTGCACTCGTTCAATCTTCTGAATACTCAATCCTTTAGCGGTCGCATCAATCATGTGCTTGACATTTTTGTATTCAGAAGAGTCTGGTAACAGCACCTCTGTGTGCACAATCATATCAGGTCGGGACATTGGTGTCCAGTGCGTTGGTAGGGGAAATCCTAGGGAACAAGAAGGCCTGACTTAGAGGTGCATGAAAGGTTAAAGTGAGCAAGAATGTTTCCTTTATTTGTACCTCGGCGACATTGACGAGAGTTTGGTCTCCTTTTAAAGACTTGATTACTATTTCTTTTGGTACCGTAAAATTATTTGTCTTTTTGTCACACAGAGAAGGGTAATAGTGGTTGGTTTCGTCACTTCAACGAAAGGAATCATCTTAGCAGCTAACTGTTACTGCACGATTACTCGTAAGAAAACAGTGAGTAGCTAACCTTTTATCTTTCTCGTCAGAGTTATCTGATCTCCTGACTGTTGTCCGCGTCCAATATTTTTCTTCAAATCTATCAGGAATTGCTCTCCTGACAGAGATATCTTTATTTCTGACTTGCCTTTATTATGCGCCGTTTCAATCATGGCGTTCGATCTCTGATTGAAAACCATTTTAATGCCTTTTATTTCGTAGCCCCATTCCACACTTTTTGATATCAGATGCGCTTGCTCTTGGTCCTGTTTTTTCTTTTTAATCTTTTCCAACTCTTTCATGATCTCCACGACCATCTTGTTCACTTCTGTAGATTCACCCTGAACTAAGATACGAGTAGCGGTATCTTCGACTTTAAGTTTCAAGTCACGGGCATCGGCTTTTCTTCTCAGAGTCTCAATCTTCTCATGGGAGAGTTGACTAACCACGTCGCTTTCCACCTTTTCTGTTGTCAAAGCCCTGGAGAAACTTTTCTTCAGGAATTCAATAGCATCTGTGACGTTTGGCTCTTTGCCCGCGACACAAATATCTACACAGTTAAGCACGTTGACTTTAAAGCGACCATCTAATGCGATGTACTGGGTTATGACTTTCTTTGAATTATGCTGAAATTGCTGAAATGCCTGCATCATTTGGACTTGAAAGATAATAATCCTTACTGTGTGGACAGAGTTAAAACTACCGCAGAAGTTGTTAAGAGCTCGGTATATCACGTTAGCGGATTCTGTAGCAGACATTTGGAATCCACCAGTCCCAACTGCGGGGATGGAAACGGAGCCAAGACCATGTGTTTCTGCAAGTCGAAAACAACTTTCCAGGCACTGCTGGAGGTGGCTTTCATTTGCTGAGTCGGATATAAGGTGTATAATGTGACGTGATGGTAGCTTTCCACCAGCGGTCATCACCGCTGACCCACACGGTTGCTGTCGGAACTTATTCAACTCATCCTGTATCCGCTGACCGCCCAGCATCTTCATCGTTTTGCTTACCATTCCTCTATCCATATCCAAGTCTTTGCTGACAATATTTACAATGGCGTCTGTTTTCTCCTGGAAAAGGTCACCATGAGCCACTTCAATAAGCACGGGAGTCTTTTTTAACTTCTTGTGTACGTTTTGCTCGACTCTTAATTTGTCCATCTCTTGTTTGAAAGCGGCAGTTAATGCTCGATCTTGCTGGTAAACAATAAATCGAATATCCTGCGTAGAGGATGCGGAATGAGCTTTGCAGAAGGTGATTACTTCTTCCAACATAAGTCTGGAGGCTACATCACGAGGGAAGTTTAGTTTCCCGGTACCTATTACAGGAAATGCAATGGAAGTCGCTCGTAGCTCTACACTTTTCTGCAGACACTTTCGAACAAGGCCCTGTAGAGTCTATATGGAAATAAAACACGTTGATTTGAAAGCTGCATGCATCCTTTTACGCATACGAACTGCAACTCATCTAGTAACGTGTCTACTCCAACAAATTAAATACCTACCTCTTTGCCCTGGCCACCATTCCAACTGCAACACCGGATGTGGATCACATGCCTGACGAAGGCAAAACCACCAGATAACGTGATGTCTCCAATCTTTGGAGATGCTACTTTTGGACCACCAGCCTTAATGATTGCTTGAGTGCATGCCCCCTGGGAGCAGACCAATAGATCAGCCTGCAATTCAAGTGAATGTTACTATACGTTCTTAAAGGACGTTATGGCTTTCCGGATGGCCAAAAATATATATATGGGGTGTTTCGCAACAGTAATATCGTCATTTTGAAACAGAGCTTGCGACATGAACATCCGTAACTGAGGAAATAGTGGCCTATGCTATTTAGCTGATATTTTATCAACATTCAAAGTACGTATTCAAATATGAAAAAAATAGTTTAAACAACTGTCACCTTTTCTGCCTCAATGTTCCCCATTTTCCATGATATTTTGTGTCCATATTTTGTTAGCAGAGGAGAATCGTCAGCTATAGAAGAGCCTGCTTCACCTTCATTTACATTATAATCACCATTGGAATCGTCGTTGTCTTCGTCCTCAGCGCCTTTGCAGTCATCTTCATCGTCTTCATGGTTGGTATTGGCTGCTGATGAGTCATAATCTACAGTTTTTAATTCATTTTCGTCTGTTTGCATAAAACTTTTCTGGATGCTAATGGTGCAAGCTTGTTTCCTTTTCACAGACCTCACTAAGTAGTTTTCTTTCCCGCCTTCAAAATATCTACAGAGGCCTGGCTGTTCCACTTTCCAAGTCTTCCAAACGATATTCTTTTGAAGATCATCAATTTTCTCTCTTGCTATTTTTAAGCCTGTTTCTCTTCCGGAAATTTCAAGGAAATTGTCGGTATTTCCTGTTTTAATTTTCACCTGAAATTCTTTCAGGTGAACCTCAATGCAGCGTAAATCTTCATGACAAATGTCGACGAGATACTTTTTAATAATTTTCGCACGACACTGAAACTGATCTTTTATGATGATGCGGTTTTTTTCCAAGAAGGTCTGTAACTTTTTCATCCCGTAAGAAACGTTTTCTCGGAACCCAACTAAGTATACATCATTCCAGGAGTTTCCGTGAACGTGGACAGTGGACTGGGTGTTAATCTCCTGACACAGTAGATGCCAGGTATGGGATTGTAGCAAAATTTGACTTTCTTCCTCCACGTGCACTTTTTCTTCCAGCATCAACCTATTAACAACCTCCAAAGCGTTATCGACATGCGCAGTTGATGTTCCTACCACCCTGGCCCCTTTATTAATGTAGATCACAGCCTGCACGTTGTGTTTTTCTAATTCACCATTCACCGTCTGAAGCCCAACTTTTGAGCCCAAAATCTCTTTTAACTTTACGGATAATTTCAGTGATTTTTCAACCATGTCATTCATATGATCCCGAAACTCCACGATTGCCTCGTTCAGTTGTTGCTGAGGACCTTTGAAACGTAGTTCTTCGTTTTCAACATCCAAGCTGATTTCTATTTTTCGGTTTTTCTCCTTAAGGTTCTCCACAAACTTCAGTTTTTTCAGCAAAATTAGGCGTTCTTTAGGAACATTTCGTATTTTGATTTTTGTTTTGGTTTTCAGGATCTCATTGAGGTATATCTCTTCCAATTTAGCTTTCACTTTTTCCTGGTTACTTTTTACATCTGTTTTCAAGCAAACAATCCTCAAAGAATGAGTATTACCGCTGATTTTTATCAGGGAAGGGTCAAATCCCAAGGACCCTTGAGCCACCACGGCTTCCCAAAAATCCTTGTTTACCGGGACATCACACTTCGCAAACTTGTCGACGAAATTTTGTACTTCTTCAAAGCAGTCAGACTTCCACGAATCGCCTCCACTCTCTCCGTGATACTCTATTGCAGCTGTTTTTTGGTTGGGTTTCCAGGTGATAACTCCTTTCTTTTTAGCCAAGGAGCTATTAAGTTGATCCTGAAATGCCGTTTTGGTGATGTATTCCATCACATCAGGATCTACAGCCATGAGCATCGAGTTTGATTTAGTCCTTCTTGCAATATCCACAGTCTCTTTCAATTCGCCTTCATTTTCGGGTCTATCACCTTCTTTGATGTCTTGCAACTCGTAGCAAATTTCAAGTGACAACGTTTTCCCATTTGAGATTAGTGGTCTCTCTGTGTGTAAGGCCAAGACTCTTTGTATATCTGTCAGGATGAAGAGGAGTGGTACGAAGTAAGCCTTTTTTGCTTTAAATAATTCTTCATAAAACTTGAATTAGGAAGGTACCGCATGAGAGAATTCATGTAGCAGACAGTAAATGAATGAATCAATTAGTCAGTCAATCGGTCAATCAGTCATTCAATCAATCACGTCCTCTATATATCTATCAATCAATCAACCAATCATTCAATCAATCCATCCAATTCGCTCTCTTCATTAAAGTCATGTCAACCATCAGTTCATTTTGGTTATTATTCATTATTAGAAATTAAACTATACCCAAATTACTGACTGATATACGTCATTAAGTAACAAACCTGTTACTTCTTGAAACACGACGATAGCTTGATGACGCTCGGGTACATAGGTAACCTTCTCCACAGGACCTCCGTTGTTCCTACGGCTCTCAAAAAACAGTTCAATTTCTTCATAGGTAGTGTCATCTGAAAAACCGGTAACAAGAATGCTTTTGCAAACAGGAACTTGCTCGATGGACACCAAACCTTTAGTTTCAACTTCAACTTCCTTCTTGATATAACTGTAATCTGAATGAAATAAAAAAGTCATGGTACCTCGTGCAATAACCATCAGGTCTCCTTAATATCACTTCAGATAATGTGAGAGTTATACCAATGTTGGTGCTGTGGTATGGGTCGGTGAGCAACTATTAAGTCTTGTTTCGTGTTAGCTTATTAGTTGCAAATGAATTGACGTGACTTTGACTTCGCCTACCTTTTACATCTTTGGTCATCGTGATTAGAGCTCTGCCGTTCATCAACATTTGTACCTCCTCCACCTCGGCACCGCTCACGACCTCAATTAAGGTTTTCAGCCTGCGTTCATTCATCAAGCTATCGAACCCACTAACCAGCAATTTCTTGGTCTCAAAGAAAGCTTGATCTTCAAGTTTCCCGTTTTCATTTTCTTTCTGTGACAGTTTCTGTTGATGTTGTTGCTGTTGATGTGGTGGTTTTTGCTGTTGCTGCTGCTGTTGTTTTGGTTGTTGCCGTCCTTCTTCTTCCTCTTTTTCATTCCCTGTAAGTTAAATGCAACAAACATTCACAACATTTTTAATTTTTCTTATTACATTAAAGAAGTTTCAGAAGGTTATTCTCGTTAATTTGTATTTAGCCTTTTTATTTCCAACCTCTACTCCTATTGCATGCTAATTATGCTAATTATGCATGCTTTTTTTGAATGAGAATCCCATCGTGACCCTTCCGTAACTATCAATATTTTATTCTCTAAGCCATTCCAAGCAGGAAAAACATTTTATTTTGATCTCGCTGCTGACATACTCTTAATTCTACACAGTTTATTTCTTGTGACTTTAGATTTATTTGAGGCTGAGTTAGAACTTGAACTATGAGTGGTCAAATATCAATTCAATTAGGGAATCACTACCTCAAACATAGAGCTCTCAGTCAACCGTCAATAAAATATTAATGAAAAGAGTGGTATGAGGGCCAACAAATGCAATTCCGTCGAAAGAGACAAAGTTCGAAATGGATTGTAAACTACAATTCCGCCCTCCGTTCAGCTCATTATTTCATCAAATTGGGGATATTTCCATCCGTAATCCCTACCTCTTAAAAATTAAACGAGAACATTTTTACACCAAGCGCAATTCCTTGTTCAAGCACCTTACCGTTTTTAATCCTACAAAGGTCATTCTCAGAGGCACTTAGTCTGCTTGCTTCATCGCCATTGTCCGTTGCTGGCCATTGTAAGGTTTCCCATCTGTCTAATAAAGCTGACTTATCTTTGCGTGACAATGATGGGGAGAACTGCTCTAATGTCGATCGTCTTGTGGGCAGCGACGGTTGGGATTGTATTGATGTTGATAATGATTCTCCTCTGGGTAGTTGTGGGAATTTTATTGATGATGACTGTCCCGTGGATGTTAGTGATGTGGACTGTGTCGATGCCGACTCTCCCATGGGTGGTGATAGAGATGGGCTTGATGTTGATTTATCTTTGTGCAGTAGTAATGGTGGGGTCAGTGTCGTTGATTGCTCCGTGGGTAATAGTGGTAAAGATTTTTTCAGCATTGATGTCGACTTTCCTTTAGGTGGTAAGGGCGGTGGAATTTCTGTTAATGTTGATTGTCCCGTGAGAAGTGATGATGATACTTCTTTAAGTGTTGTTATCGACTTTCCTTCTTGTGGTACTGGGTTCTGTGTTAATGTCGACTTTTTTTTAGGCGGAAGAGGTGGTGGGGTTCCTGTTAATGTTGATTGTCCTGTAGAAAGTGTTGACGATGGTTCTGTTAGTGTTGGTGTCGACTTTCCTTCTTGTGGTAGTGGGTATTGGGTTGAGGTCGACTTTCTTTTAGGTGGTAGGGGTGGGGGCAGTTGTGTTAGTGTTGACTGTCCCGTGAGAATTGGCGGTGATGGTTCTGTAAGTGTTGGTGTCGACTTTCCTCTTAATAGTAGTGGGTGTCGTGTTGGTGTCGATTTTCGTGTGGGTGGTGGCATTGCAGATTGTGTTGATGATGAGAATGATTCTCCCCAGGGTGGTGGTGTTGGTGTAGATCCTGTTGATGTTGATAATGATGTTTCTTTGGGTGGTGATGGAGGTTCACTGTTTTTTGATGCTACCGTCCCCATTGGTGGTGGTGAAGTTTGGGTTGATGTTAATTTTCCTTTGGGTGGTGGTGTCGGGGATCGTGTTGATGTATATTTCCCTTTGAGTAGTAGAAGTGGTGGGGCTTTTGTTGCTTTTTATTGTTTCGTGGGTAGTCGTGGTGGGGCTTATGTTGGTGTTGATTGTCCCGTGGGTCGTGGTGGCGGGGATTTTTAGGGCTGACGTCCACTTTCCCTCGTGTAGCAATCAATTTAAGAGAGTCTTATTTCCTGACGACTCGAACGAACTTTTCTATATAAACGTCATTGCCAGGGGTTTCTAAGTAAAGTGTTATGAACATAATACATTAAGAACGGAACAACTAATTACAAGATTGGAAATAACACAGGAAATACAAATAACAAGAAATATGTATAACATAGGCGATACTAATAACATGGGAAACAAGGGACACTCGACGAAAGGGCAATTTATCAGACGATTTTGGAATACGGCAGGCATAAGAACGTTCTCGTGATTACATTTAAACTCGAGCTCACACCTTTTAAACTTATACGGATAGCCGCACAGACTGGAGCTAAGAGGGGGATTGATTTCTACAGTAGAGTTTATGGTGAGATATAAACTTGAACTTAAAAGAAAATCATGTGAAGCAATTTTTGAGTTAAAAAAAAAACCCTATGTTAGCATATGGAATCGTATGTTGGTATGTTGCTCGCCCCAATCAGATCGCCGCATTAGGGTATGTATCTCGCTTCAATCAGATCGTGGTATTAGGGTACGTATCTCGCACCAATCAGATTGGAAGTGTGTTATATTTATTTAGAATCCTCAAGTGATTCTAGAAAGTGAAAAAATTCGAACGTTTTCCTTTTCGCCGACCCTGTTCACAGAGTATTATTCTACCAGAAAAATTCAAAATACTGTGAGGAAACTGTAAAATGACGAACGGCGAATGTATTTACTGTAAAACAGTTGAACATATGTCCCGGATGGCTCTTGAGAAGGACGATTTTAGAAGTTTTTCAGTAATCTGGGAATTTCGTGTTACAGGAAATTGGGTCAAGGCGCGCGTTGCAATAAGGGTGAAAATGGGCCTTCAAGTAAACTGGCCTCAAGCTAGGGCATGGTTACTTCGTTCCTCTCTTTCGATTGTTAGGAACCAATCTAAAAGTACAAGTTTAAACTAACTAGGGTATACATGAGGATGTTTTTGCTTGATGAATAATGAAAAAGTAACTGATACTGTCGTTTTTTGAGTGTGGCTTTTGCATTGGGAGATAGGAATTATTTCCCTTTCAATTTCCAAATCCAGCATCCATGCATCCTATCTCGAGCTCAGGGTCATTTTGGCTTTTTGTCAACGGTATGGTTACCAGATAACATTATTTTGCGACTATACCGCTGGTGAAATCTGATTTTCACACATTAATCTTTTCGTAATCACCAAACAGATGAGAGATAAAACCACCAGAAAGTAAGCAAATGGCCAGTCACTAAAACAATGCTTCGCTTTCCCAATAAAAATTCCAGGTCCTTCATGTAAGCTTATAACAATATAAGGCACATGAGTGAAAATCAGTGTGTGTACACCCCTGAACGTTGAATATATATATATATATATATATATATATATATTATGAGAGGGAAAAAGGGACGCAACTACATTTCCCGACAAGCCTGTTTCGTGAATCGCTTCACTCTTCAGGGGTTTAGTAAACACAATGCGAAAGCCACACTCAAAAAACGACAGTATCAGTTACTTTTTCATTATTCATCAAGCAAAAACATCCTCATGTATATCCTAGTTAGTTTAAACTTGTACTTTACTTTACTTTAGTAAAGTTTTACTAAACCCCTGAAGAGTGAAGCGATTCACGAAACAGGCTTGTCGGGAAATGTAGTTGCGTCCCTTTTTCCCTCTCATAATATTTATTCTGCTCTGCTTCAACGTATTGAGCACTGTTCCACGCGAAAATCGACTTGCAGACTTCCTATATATATATATATATATCAAGTGGATAGAACAGTTTTGGTCTCGGTCAGCATCTTTGTCAACAAATTGAACACATAACGGCTACGAAGATGATAATACGGACGACGTGCAAAGCTCTCAGTTGTTTCTCGAATATTGCGCGTGTTAATTATTCCATACTGTCATCTCGTGCGCGAAGTGAGAATGACCTTATGAAGGCTTGAAATTCTATCAGGAACGATTGTGGCCGCTTTGTTGGAAACCAAAATGCAATGGTCGCTTTGTTGAAGACAAATAATATTAAGAACGAGCAAGGAATATTCCACTATAGTACAAATGATCGTGAAAGATGACCGCGGAAAAGCAATGCGTAACACTCGGTAAGTTGTAAAATGACATGTTACCACATATCAGACGAAAAAACAGTTTAAAATCTCAGTCTGCATTTTGTACCTAGTCTACATTTTGTACTGACCGGTATCCAAGGCACCAATACAGTTTATTTTTGGTTACAATTATTCGCATAACACACACAATCGATCAATCAGTATTTTTGTTCTTTTCCGGGTTGATTCTCCTTCGTTTTGTGAAAATGTACACATCAGTTGCAATGTTTCAATTAATTAATCCACCCACCAAAAAGAATAACTCTTACATGCATAGCATGCCTATGTTTTGTCTTGTCGAGTTGGCAGGTGACAACTCACGCGCTCAAGTTAAAGAAGGAATGTCACATTGTGTTTACCTTTCGCTTTTGCACTTGGATCATAGTCTAATTGTGTGTCTGGCACAAGAAAACTACAAACTGCCATTATCACTGCTTACTGCATGTTTGAAGTTAAACTTTAATCGCTGAAACTCGAAGCTATAACGCTTTCTTGGCTAATCGACTCGACTTGAATTGACAAGGAGCCCAACTCTAACTCATGTTACAAAACAGAACTGCGTTAACACATATCGTGTTACTCCTGAAGTGAGGCGGTTTTGACAATAACTAATTTATGCACACAAATAACGTATCTAAACGACGATTTATCATTTGTGAAAACGAACTGAAATATTTACCTTCTTATCCTGAACTGCAAAACGCTTCAAAAATTTCGAAAGAAAAGAACAGCAACCTCACTGAGTTGCAGTTTTCACGGAAGTTTAGCCTTTGGTTTCTCGCAACGACAGTCGGGAAGGATCGAAACTGTTTGCAATTGTTTTGTTTTTATAAATCAGCTGATTGACATTTGATGTTAGCCTTGATTGACATTCGATGGCGCAATCGTTTTAGTAAGTTTACTTTAAGATCAAATGACACGTTTTTCAGTTTTGAAAGAAAAAGTGGCTCTTACTTGGTGTAGAAGACACAGTATACGCCATAATAGAATTTCATTACAACTGTCCCTCGCTAGCTAACCTGTAGTTTTCCTGATGACCCGTTTCTTTCCCTTTTCGCTGCCCTGTTCTGCAGCAGTTTCTGGCTGGATAACGCCACAGAGGAAAGTAATTTGTTTTGAAGCCAGTTTGATTTTCAGGTTTATGATTTCGAATTTTTCGCATGTAATTTCATGGATCGCTCGCTGTTAGATTTCTTAAGAATTATGTATTGTCTCTTACAGATCGAATAAACTTAGAGAAAGAAATGTACGATTCGTATCCAGTCAATTACTCGATAGCCACTTAACGAGGGTCCCCAATAGGTTTTTCGCGATCCAGAATTGGGCTTATTTGAAATTAAGAAGGGAGCGAGATGCGGGATTATTACTTTGAACTGGACACGGGAATCGGCAATTTTGAGTGGCGGGATTCGGGAAACAAATGTGGAGATGGTCCGTCAAAGAAGACGTTTAAAAGCTCCATATTTCAAAAGGCATTCGATCTGACCTTTAAGGACAAAAATTACGGTACAAGCGTTCACATTTGAAAACCTTGTGAACGGAACATAAAAAAACAAAACAAAACAAAACAAAAAGCAGGTGGAATGGATACCAACTGAACGTAGCTTTTATTGTCTTTCTACGTCCACAGTAACCTACACTGTCAAGAATACATTCTCGATGCCAAACTTTTATCTTACAGATCAAATTTCAAGTTTTTCATAATTTATCAGGCCCTGCATTGACTTAAACCAAAATTGCATTTTATTTTCATTGTTTAAGTCGTCACTCTTAGCTGGAATAACATTAATACTCAACTTGTTCACATTATCTAAGAGAATATAGTGGCTAAGTGCTTCCAGCAACTGCCTTATCTATACCGTCAGGCGTATGGCGCACAATAATTCTATTCTACCAGAATGATTCTCAGATCTCTGTAGGTCGCCATGTAAAAACATCCCAGGTGAAAGGTATACGAGTCTACGTCCACGTCCAAGCATGCGCCCATGTGATCGGGTTTCAGCGAGACATCAGTGAGCTTAATGCACGCATTCAATGTAACATCGAAAACAGTTACGTCGTGGCAAATTGGTGGTGGGTTTTTAACTAAAAATAAAATGTCAAAACCAATTACAATGATAATTGAACTGAGCGGAGTACAATTTGGTTTAAAATCATTTGTGTGATTTCAAAATTGGAACGAGCTCGATTTGAAATCACAAAAATTATTTCAGACTAAACTTGCACGACACGGAGTCTATTTGCTACTCTATTATATCTGTTCTAGGATCTTATCATTTGATCACCTATCAAGTATAGAATTTTTGTCTTATCGTTTCACTGGCTAGTTTGCTGTAAAAGTGGAATGAAAAGAGCCGTTATATAGAGCAAAAAAAAGTGCGATTTGATTCAAAATCGGACTGCTGAAATCAATCGGATTGTTGTTTTTTTGTTGTTGTAGTTGTTGTTTCAGTGTTCCATCATAACTCAGAGCACAAAATGATGTGATTCTCTAATAAATTACAATTCCAAGAGCCAATCAGAACGCAAGGACTATCAGTGATAAATACAGCAACAAAAGTTAGTAACACGTTCCTTGTTGGGAAACATCGGAAGACGTCAGTTTTTAAAGTTTTCATGCCTGACCTAGTTTCATTGAGAATTTGAAGTTCTGAAAGTGATAGAAACGGTCTAAAACAAGCCAAGAAACACTGATGTTTTGCCGCATCACAAATTCGAAAATAAAAGGGCTGATCACCAAACTTCTGTTTTCGATTTCCTGGCTGGGGCGAACTTGAAAGAGGCGAACTTACTATGGGGCGACATGTCCGTTACCAGAAAGCAAGAAACAGATCCAGATAAGTTGACTGAGTTAGAGCGAATTTTCACAGCAGAGTAACTCGCTGATCATCGCAAGACCACTGTTTTTAAATCAAAGTCATTCAGGTCTACCAATAACTAAACATTTCTCGGAATGAAATTTTTAAGGGTCTTTCAAGGCATAAGCCAAGCAGTAATACAAACGTATTTTCGAGATATTTTGCTAACTTTTACTCACCAGATATCTTTTTCTCGAAAATAATATTACCATTGACAACCATTTTAAGATCAAATCCCTGACAGATGACAAAAAAAGTATTGAAAACCTGAGTTATTAACTGCAGTGGAATCTGTTCTTTCAGGAAGAATCTACATAGGGGACACTTCTAGTTTGGGGAATAAAACCATGGTCTGATGGACACGTAAGAAAAAAAAAAGGAATTCAAAAAAGACTATGACTTTTATTCAAGAGACACTTGTATTCAAGGGACACTTTTCGTAGTCATACGGGTGTTCCCGGAAAGGAGGTTCCACCGTATAACCTTGTTATCCGGTACGTTGTCGAAAAGGACACCTCTGGCCAGGGGAGAACTTTCTTAGTCCCGAAGGGGGCTCCTTGAACGGAGGTCTCTCGTTAAATGGTCGAATTTCGATAAAGAGAGATAACAGTGGAAAAGAATGGAAGGAATGAGGAAAGAAGTTGAAGAAAAAGAGGAAAAGTAGAGGAGAAAACAAGGCGCATAGAAATACAGAGTAGACTTAAATTTAATCACTGATTGTCTCACCCCTCCGTCTGGATCCATGCGCGCACTAACAGAGGCTGAAAGAAAATAAAGCAAAATAAAGAGATGTAGCTACGGCGTGTGCGCACTTCATAATTTGAGTATACTTTAAAATAATCAGCGGCAATCAGATGAAAAACTCTCCATATTTTTCTCTCAAACTGGTGCAGTTCAGCTCAGGTATTAACTGACCTTTATCTCTGTATAAACTAGTTCCCTGGACGAAAGGAAAAACTCCTTAGAGTAAGGATGTTATATATGGCTCCTCTATCACGCTACCCGTCCAACCCACCCTCGTTGTTCATTTTCTCTCTTCTCCCACTCCCTTAGTTTCCTTGTTGGTGTTACTGGGTTCCGTGAGCTCAAACGACATTACCTTCCAATTTTATTCCAAATATTTGGATTCTGAGGGAGCATTCACATTCAGGCGGAAACTTTGAGCACTGACATCCGTTTTTGTCGCCATTCCATGTTTCCAATGCTGGATCAGTCAGCGAACTGGTGCTATCGATCTGGTTTTTCTGATAGTTTGCAAAAGAATTGAAAATATTGTTTAAGATGAGAAACTGAAGTGGAACATCACAAAAAATCTTTTGGTATCGATTTCCCTAAAGCTCATTAGAATTAAGCTACAAATATCCCCCACATATTGACGTTTTGGAAAAAATTAAGTCACTTCTCACCCATCCTCCTTCCCAGTCTCTTTCCTCTTTGCCTCCTTTGTCGTTGAAGGTAAAGAAGAGGGAGCCGGGGCTCGAGTTTACTCACCAAAACTTTTCAAAAGAAGGTACAGTGAAAGAATGATTGACCAGAAAGTAGTCACGAGGTGAGTTACTAAGAAGCTTAATGGTAAGTCAAACGAATCACATGTGAGGTAATAACAACCTTTGATGCTTGAAAGACATCTTCCAGTAGGGAAATAAACGACACAGGATCCAGAAAGGTTCCCATTTCCACTCCGTGCCCTTCCCCACCCCTGAAGAAGAAACAGCCAAGAGGAATGTCTCTTCCGTTGTGCTTCGATTCAAATTCCAGAGCCGCACACCATCTAATGTGATCTTTCTCGATTGTATTCTTGGTAAATTTAACGCAGGCCTTTCCATAATTCGGAAGAGGGATGTCAAAACATACAGGCTGTGGACGGGAATCTGTTGTTGAAAAAATTAAACCAAGATGTTTTGCGATCAAAAACAGAAGCAAACTAAAAAAAAAACCTGCTTACGGATCGCCTCACGAAATGCTGCCTGAGGACTCAAAACAAAGTCACCAGGAAACCAAGGTAAATGTTCCTACCTGATATAGTGCGGTTTAAAACCTCACGTTTGTTCCACGTCATGAGAAAGTCCACCGCCTGTAACGCAATGCATTGTGGTAAGTTTGAAATCCTTCATCATCAAATGCTTAGTTCTTTCTTTTAGCTTTGAACTTAGAATCATCCAAAAAAATTTGACAAAAATCACGTCATCAGAAAATCATCAAAATTAGGAAAAAACTGAAGCGAAGCTCACCAATGGCGACGTGGTAAAAGACGAGTTCATACACACTGTAAAAAGTCAAATAAATAATCATACGATAAGTTGAATTATTCAAGAAATTTGATTGGTTCTTACTTATGATCTATCAGAGGAAAGACGCATAAATGACCTCACCATTAACAACATTTTGTTTTTGATCATAAAACAAATTGATTCTTAGATGCTGTGAGTCTGTTCAATAAGAGATCACAGATGACATAAAAATGGGGTAAGAATAACAGTAACACACTTGGCTGCACCTCATGCGCCAATTTTTTATGCTTACCATATTCCAACGTCATCTGTGATCTACAACTGAACAGACGCGCGTCAACATGGAATCTATATCTCACTTTGAATACCAAAGAAAGCTCAACATGTGGTAATAGCCAGAGAAAATGAAATAGTCATTTGCTTTACCATTTTCTCTTCCTCGAATATTCGAGACTGACACCTACTCTTTGGTAATTAGATTTACACATGATACGTGCGGTATTTGATAGAATATTTCAATTCTAAATGCGTCAGCCCTCCCCTCCCCTGAAAGGTACGACCATTGTGATCTGGCTCCTTGCTTGACGTCACCTTACGCCTATCGTTAGTTTCCAGGTTCGTCCGAGCTTAGAGTTCTTAAGGAGTCCGTGGTATACGAAATAATCATTTTTCTGATACTTACCATCTGCTTCTTCATAATTTTGGAATGCAGGTGCCCTGATTTGAAGGCAGCAGCCACACTTTTGATGATGATCAGAACAGCTGCAGCGGCGGTGGATAATCTCAACTGAAGACGGACTGAAATCCGCTTCCTCTTCTGCGAAAAGATTCTCCATGTTAGATTAAAGGGCTTCGAATCTGTTACGCACTCTCTATGAGGGGAAATCGTTACCAAGAACTTATATGAAGATATCTGGGTGCCTTTTATTGAGAAGAGGCTGACCTGAGTATCAGGCCTTCCAATAGAAGGGGGAGTGGTGAAATGATTCCGAAACCATTTCCCTAGCGAAGGACTAATTAAGGTTAAAAATTCCAGTTCTCCTTGAGGATCCAGGCTAAACCATAAATTAGGTTTTATTATCCCATTACTAAGCCATTTTACTATGTGGGGGCAGCAACACCCAAAATATGCAACGGTAGTACACCGTAGATCAGGGCAAAAATACCGACGAAAAGCGGAACAACAGAATGGCCACGCTGAACGATCCAAACATTGATTTGTCCAAGTTCTGTAGAATGATCTTCGTAAGGGACGAATTTTTAAATGAAAAATATTTTCGGCAGAAAGGACTATTGAACTCGATATGCGATCGTCACAAAGTTTATATTATTTCGTAGGATGTATTTCGAAAAATTGAAGCCAAAGAATCAGAAAAAGAAACTAAATTACAAGGCTTATAAAATAAAAAAATTCTACATTCGATTATTTAGCATACAATACGAGATGCTTGTTGTTCGTATTTTTCTTCATCCTACGGAGCGCGAGAGAATACGACTCAACCCGGAAGATATCTCGACGTCTTATAAATTAAAACAATGACTACACTCTACACATTAAGCATCGTGCATATCACTATGATTTGAAATGTTGCAAGTGTCCGATGTTGAGAAAGAATAAAAAATATGGTAACATTTGAGACGTATTACGAGCAAGCGATTCGATTTATCAAATGAAAATAGTGTCATACCGTTGTCCCATACAGGCATTGTGTAGACCAGGTTGCAAAACACCAAGAATGCGATAACCTCCAGTAAGCGACCCATTGTGTTGTGATTTCTTGTTGTGACGAACTGACTGAATGAAAAAAAGAATCATGGAACGTTATTTAAATCTGAACAATTATCATGTGACTGAACTATGGTTGCCCCAAGTTGGTAAATGAAATAATTGACCCAAAACAAAAAATTACGGTAATAATGATCATGTGCCTAGAATGTGATGGTTTCTACCCCCCTAAAACTTAGCCATGTTCCAAGTTGGTAAATGAAATAATTGACCCAAAACAGAAGATCACGGGAACAATTATCATGTGCTTGAAAGTTTTTCAAATATTTTTTAAATAGCTTTGTTGAAGTTTCAGAATTACATCTCTGGAGCTAAGTAAAATAATATTTTTTAAGTATTCAAAATATTACCCAATAAAATTAACAAACAAAATCGTCTATATGCAATTGCAGTAAAAAAAACTGTTCTTAAGTCTGTTCTTTTTTTAAATAGGGACGTGATATCTGATTGGAACGTGAAATGTGATTCCCTCTTCTCTGAGGTATGTCCCAAACAGAAGAAAACAAAAATAATTATCATGTTCTTGAAAGGTGATTGTTTCATCCGTTAAATTTGGCCATGTTCTAAGTTCCTAGAATAACTGACCCAAAACGGAAGAACGGGAACAATTATCATGTGCTAGAAATGTTATTGTTCCTTGTGACGTCACCTTGGAAGGTCTCAACACAGGTTAATTAGAGGCATGCATTATGAATTGTCTTGTGATGTCTCGTGACAATCATTCCCTTCTTAAGGAGGATATCACCACCGAAATACCCTATAATCTTTTGCATTTATTTTTACCATTTTGTGGCGTTTGATAAAATTCAGCTTCGGAGCTTCTCAGCGGTTAAAAAAGAACCATCCAGCCCCCTGACTACGATAAAATGTTCTATTCCAAAATTATTCCTAAACCGTTGTTCAAGAGAGAGAATAACCCTAACCCTGAGGGAAAAATTCTCCTCCAGGCTCCAATCACAGACTCTCTGATTTCTCTGTCGAATGCTGCACCAAACGAACTACAGATAACTTGCTCGTAAGCCAAGCCATAAATTAAGTTTTATTATTCCATCATTACGTCATTTTTCTATGTAAGGGCAACACGTCACGCAAAATATTCCACGGTATTATATGCAATCACATTTCAAGCGCAGGATTATTGTTTCCGTGATCATCTGATTTGGGTAAATTATTCATCAATTTGAAGGTACAATTAATCAAGCAGATAAAAGTTTTAACATTTTCCAGTTGTAATATCTAGTCATGACTTTTCCTGATTAATTGAAAGGATAGAAATTTTCATAAATTCCTTTGAGCTACAAAGCTCCGAAGATTAATTTTATAGTTAAAAGAGACATGCAAAAGACTACAAAGTTTTACGGCCGTGCTATTCAGATATTTTCTTTGAGATTAAGGTTGTCACGAAACATCACAAGGTAATCCCTCATGCTTGGCCTTAATTGGCCTGGTTACCAAAGAGCAATCACATTTGAAGCACGGGATGAAGTAATTGACCCAGAGCAGAATATATCGGATATATTCTGCTCTGGGTCAGTTACTTCATCTCGCGACTTGGAACAGAACCGGGACTGAACTGAACTTTAGGCGACGGTCAAATGTTCGTGGGTTGCCCGAGGGATGTTAAAATGAAAAAGTTCAATCTTAACGTTTTTTTAGCCAAGATTGACGACTTAAATAAAAATAGTTAAGTGCCATTTTACGTGATGAATCATGAAAAAATTAAATCTGTAATATGCTCGAGAATGTATTTTTGTTAGTTTCAATGAGCCAAGAATGATAATGAAAACGATGTTTACTTTTTAAGGTCTATTCCACTCACCTGGTTTTTTTTTTCTTTTTTTTTTTTTTCATTTTTCACGTATCATTCACATGGTTTTCAAATTCGGATGTTTACCACATAGTTTTCAAGAAATCACGACACCAACTTCGGACGAATTTTTGCTCATTTCGCGTTTGTGTCGAAAACGTGAAAAAGCTGTACCACGCTTCCCTATAAACTCACGATTTATTCGCTTGATTCAACAATTTTGCTACTACACTTCGGTTGACTCCCACTCACAACTCTCGGCTTATTAGCTGAAGGAAACACACTCAACGTTCCGTTGTAAGCACGTGGAACAGCGCCATATGTGGGACGATAAAACACGTGCTGCATACAGGTTGCTTAGTTATGTATAAATAAACGAAATCCCTTATAAATGTCAATCAAATTGAGAATAATCAGCGTATCGTGCAGTTTCCAACATGTGAAATAAAACTATAATACAGTCCTATTTCTTCTAATTGAAGACAAAACCATTTCTTTGGCGGGTTTTTTTCTCTTTTGAATGTAAAATCCTGTGAGGTACTTTTCAAGTATGACGTCATGTCATAGCTGATCTATTCATAGCCTAGTTAACACATGATGCTCTCCATTTTGTTGAAAGGTTTGTAAACCATTCGGCTGCGCCTCGTGGCGTGATACTTTAGAAACTCTCTTAATGACTGTAAGACAAATACTAACATCGTGCAGTGATTTCCATTCTGGCCAGTGTTCTTACACCTTTTTAAATTCAACTTTGTACTTTGTATAAATCAGAACAGAAGAAGATGACAGAAGAACTGTTGAAACATGTTTTTAAAAAACAGACAGTCAAAGACTTCTTGTGGCTACTAGTATAGCAAAATTTTAGTGTCACGATAAGAACTGAAAAGAATATATCTTCAGATCTGCGTAATTTGCTGATTTAAACGATAAAATACTCCCTCTTCAAAACTTTTCCTTTAAGTTTCATGATGCGCCGATCACATATATTAAGACCTTTCTGCGAGGAAAAATTTTGTTTCAAATCGCGCGCAATCCTGAAATGGTTGTGAGACGTTATCATCTTCTGCTGTCTTCCATAGTGTCACGGTAAGACCTGAAAACATGATATGCCGCCGGAATAACGAAAGGAGAGAACTCAACTGTGTGCCGAGTGCGACTGTCGAATTACCAAGATACTCTGGAAAAAACAATAAGTAGTACCGGGAAACATCGGGTCAAATTTGGGTCAAAATCGGAATTCTATTGTTACACTCACTCATCCTACAGGAGGTAGTAGCCGCAAAAGATAATAATCTTGAAAAGGGCTTATTAAAGCAGGTTTTCACTTCATGGCTATCATGGAAACATAATATAATAAACTGACCTTAATTAGCAAATATATCGCCTATAAAACTTGTCCACAAGCAAATATCTGTGAGCAAACTCGTGAATTGACAGATGACTTACATGATTTTTTGGATTATGTTTAATGTTATCTGGTTTAAGAATTTTTTGGCTGATTGTCATATTTAGAGTACGAGCAGTAGTTCAGTGTTCGCTAATGTAGCAAAGAAACAAAGTAACGTTGGGATAAGAAGGCATTACAATTGAAATGATCATGCTATTACATTTGACAAGGGTGAATGATGTCATGGGTTTTAAACATATATCGTTTTTGTTTCTGGTTCAAAAGAAAAGGTTAGAAGTAGAAAACATTAAACAGAAACATTAATGACTCCCTCTTTATCAAATGAGACAAAAGGGAACGAGTTTTGAGTGATATAACTAGGCCCAGACTGCCACCGTCATTTTGGATTTCCACCTGGGCAGATTTTGGTCACGTGCTAGGCAACGTACACTCAAGAACAAGATAGAAATTCATTTCAGGCCTATTCATCAATTTTGTGATGTATAACTTTCGCATTTTAATACGTAATATTTATCTTGAATCTTCAAATCGTCTTGAAACTTAAAAGAAAATTGTTCTTTAGAAATTCACTGAAAATCGGTAGCCAAAATTATTTGTTTAGGTGTTATTTGATTCTTGTGTTAACCTATAATTTCGTCGTCGGCCCCTTTTGTTGCTTCACACAGAAAAACACACGATATGAAATGAAATGATCGATTTTGTCTCCGAGCGCTTCGGAGTAAGTGAAATTTTTTAATGAATTTTCGGATTGTTTTCAAGTTCAAGGATTGTAAATCGCAATTTTATGAAAAACGAAGGTTGTTCTATTATTTCAGTGTGAATCCTCGCACGCCTGCCAGTCGCTGACGCCGCTTGTTGAAACTAAAACGAAAAAAATACTCTTTCAAGATTATCATTGGCTTCTTTTTCACCCCACCACTATTCTTACCAACAAAGGTCGCCATTTCGTTTGTTAATTAATCGCCAAAAACTATCAAATGCACTCAAAAGCCTAAAATCGAAAAAAAGTTTACAGGAATCGACCAATCGAGCGAGCGAGCGAGTGCCATTCTCCACATCATATCTACAACTCGCTCTTGCGCATGCGCGCAATTCAGGAGTTAAAAACGAGGGTAATTGTGTTTGACAAGTTTGACACCAATCATACCGCGATTACTTCTATAAACATACTATTTTAGAAAGATTGCGTGATTACGCAGGAATCCCAGTTAGAAAACAACAATAATCTCACGAACTTGAAGTAAGTATTCGCCTGGGCTCCCTACCGAAAAGTTAACTTGCGCACGCATTTACAGAGCGATAACATAATGTTATAATTTCGCATTTCCCAGAATGCAGTAACCTCAAAAAGTGTCGTTTATTGTCTTCAATTTGTTACATATCTACTGCTATCCAGACCCTTTGGTAATAAATTAACTCAATTCAGCCAGTTCGCGGTTTATAAATTGATATAAATGTGAAACTCAGTTAAACTTTGTCAAGTTTATCATTTTAAATACCAATTTTAAATGACAAATCTTTTCCGTTCCTTATCCTAATCTATTCTTGATCTCATTTATATAGAAACTTGCTTATCACTTTAGATTTGAAGTTTGCCGTCAAGAAATAAAACATTCCGGTATCTTGTATTCCAACCTCCTGGTTGCTTATGAAAAGTCGCCAAGATTGTCTGCAATATAGATATCAGGGAACGTGGCAGCAATACACAATGGTAATAGGACTGTATAGAGTCCAATTTAGTCTGTAATCATACAAAATCGGACGACCGCGAAGTGGGAATCTGATTTGTTAATCACAAGTATGACAAAAGACCTTATCACACACGGGGCAAAATGGATGCTGATTGGCTGAGACAGAGGGCATTTTTTTTCTCAATCACGTTGGCAATCAAGAGGGTATGATGACGTGATGCTGATTGAGCCTTTTTGCTGTCTGCGGCAACGATTTATTGATTGCAATTTAACTGAATGACAGTAGGGAGAATTACCAATGAGTTCTTGGGCGTTAAAGGGTTAAGGATTAAATTTTACTTATATTTTCGAAATGTTCCCAAAATTTCCCTCGTCGCCTCGTGACGAGGTTTTATGTAGAAAGAGGCTTAAAGGAGCTATTTAACTGAACGAGTATTCATTTGTCACTTTTGGGTCGACATAGTGAATGTAAAGCCAAAAAAAGAGCTCAAATCTTTAGAGTGTTTCGCCCCGGCTGGGTAGTTGAATAAAAACTTCGAGTGGAAAATGGTCTGAAGAGAAGCACAACACGTGCTGGAGAAAGTTCTACATCAAAAAAAGAAGAGAAAATTAGCAAAAGATGACATTGCAAGAATTGGAGAGGTTGGGGAAGGTGAAAGAACTTGAGTACTTTTGTTTTCTGAAGTTTCGTCAGAGAATGGACCAGTAAGGGTTTTTGGCTACGATAAAAAAGATTCATTTTCCTTTATTTTATATTATCAAACAAAAAAAGCAGCCAGTTTCTTACAATTCGGCGCTGATAAAGTATAACATCAACTTTGCCCTCACACTGATAATCACTTCCTTACTTTTTCCCCTTACATTAATTTATATTATCACTCTATGGGATAAACAATCTACGGAGACACTTGGTCTCGTTAAAAAACGTAATGTCGATTATTTTGTCTTAAAAGAAAAGCGGGTTTTCTATTTAATCTAAGTCTTTTTGCCGTATATTATTTTAGTGCTCGTCAATTGGTTTTAAGAAATAGGTTATCAGCAGGAGAATATCAACTGATATTCTCTTGGTTATCAGTCAACCCTCAAAAAAAGCATAATTTTTTGTCAGGTTTATCCTTACGATTTTTCATTGACTTCTTCATAAAATAACACGAGGAGTCTCCCTGATATCAACATTTTATATCACAGCAAAAGCCGAGGTAATTTGATACGTGATCTATTCCATTACACTGATACCTTCCTTGACTGGAGGGTACGCATTCAACTACGTAAAAAGAACAGTGTGTCTGGAATTTGCACTCCAGTTTATAATTGGCATGTCCGTATATATTCCAACGCCTGCTTAAACATCTTTCGAACTCTATTAGACTGTCTGGACTACAAGCGGCAAATGTGTCAATTTGTATACTCCTTTTGCCACGGCCATGACCTAAAAGAAAAGGAACATATATTTCTTGCCAAAAGTAGCACTTCTATGGTCGCTTACCGAGGGTGCTTATCGAAAAGGGTACTTTTTAAGAAAATACTTACCTGTATTGATTCTGCTGTGGTTGAATGTTAAAAAAGTTATAATCGAGTGTCAATAGAAGCAGGTTTTCTTTGAATCCCTACTATTTAGAAAGTGAGCTGAGGGAGGCGGGTCCGTGGGCGAGGGCGCTTATTTGAGAGGGGCGCTTGCCTGATATTATGGCCTGTGGGGTGAGCGCTTATTCGGCTAAGGGCGCTTATTACACCAAGAGAGTATAAACTGTTTATATTCTTTTGGGGTACACGTGATGTCTCACCATCTCTCTCTTCGACACCAGTTGCACTATGTTCATCAAGTTTTCTCACTTCTTTTTGTAATTTTTTCTTCAAAGGTTTTCTTTTACAGTGTTAACATCAAAATTGTCAACAGAAAGAAATAAAAAGAGAAAATTAAAATAAAAATTTTGAAAAAGGGAACGTGATATTTCAAGTAAGACCATGACATCACGCTTATTATGCATCATCAAGAGATTATATAATCTCTTGGCATCAAATTTAACGAGTCTAAGGACACGTCAGATTAAAACCCCTGTATATGACGTATATGCCTTCAAATACGGGCGGATGAGTTATCGATTTCGTCGATAGCAAATTGACAAATCTACATTAACAATTTAACCCACCTCTCCTAAATGAGCTCACACTAAAATTCATCGACGTTTGTTCAATGGTATAGATTGGAAAACTGCCACAGAAATCCAGAAACTTCTGAGGCAAAGCTGATCGCTGCGCAAAACCCTCCACTCTCCAAGCCCTTTTCTTGGTTGTCACATGACGGGATAAACGGGGCTGCATCGAGGCCTGTACATGAGCAATGAGAAACATGGAACCGATACAATAATGGGCCGACAATTTTAAAAATGCTCCGAATTGTATTTATTACTTAGACACACGTTAGCTCATGTATCATGTGGGGCACACGTCGGTTAAAATCTAGTTATCATGCATGCCCAGGCCAGCGTTTCATTGACAGCACACAAAGAAGTTTGCATATTAATCAAATTTATTATGATTTCGGTAGCCGAAGAAACATGTGTCGCAGTGTTAAGGATTTGAAGTGAACAGGCAGTAGGGCGAACTTACAACGGGACGGAACCTCAATAACCCATAACTGAGGCTGCCTGAATACGGTACTTTCAGTAGCCTAAGTATATAGTTGTCAGAGATAAATAAATGTTGGAGTCTTGCATCAAAATCGTTTGTTTTGTATAACTTTCATAGCTTCGGTTATTGGACCCTAACTGGAGCTGTCATAACTATTATTTCCGACTTTTTGAAATGATTGATAACGTGGTCGTTGACTGAGGTAACTTAATGGTTTTAAGAATTAACTGTTATATACGTGGACTGTGGATCTGTCACGAAAGGTAAAGAAATAAAGTTCAAAATGAAAAGGAAAATCCTCTCCAACAAATAAAAAGTTCAAAATGCCACAGAAATGAAATCTCCACTATGTCGTGACCGGAAGCGAGTTGTGTTACCTTTTTATGTTACGTGCATGAACTGATTGCGAAACGCGTGATTGTAACAATAGGCTATTCATCTTGAGGAAAAAATATAGAATTACAGACACATGAGATCGTTTTTGGAGAGAGAATACCACGACGTGTACCCACAAAGTGAGAGCTGTGAATCGTGAGAAATATTAAATCTGGTGAAAATATTCATACGTGAGAGTTTCCTTTGTCGGCGAGCACCATTTCCCGACAACTAAGAGATTCTATTCTATGATTTATAATCTCTTTGACTCTACCTGTTCCATGTTGACCCTCATCTTCCCTGGCTCTGGAAGAGATGAATCCAGCTTAGATACATAGCAGGCACGTGCTGATGGTACTCGGTAAACAGACAAACCCTGAGGAAATATTTATTTACATCTTCTTTAGTTTCTTCGTTCTAACATCGGTGCAAATGCTGAACCGCGTACACAGTTTGATATTGTTTACATAAACTCGACCCTCCATCGCAGTCGTGCTTGCATGTCACGCGCGCCGTCTTCTTTTGCGAAGGAGACTAGGTTAACTTTCAGGTGAAATTGTTTTGCTTGTTTGGCTTTTAGTACTAATTTGTGTGCTGCAGTAAATCTAATTCCCTAAAAGGCGAGTAGAATTAGGCTTGTATGTAATTATCCGGATATGCTGGAAGATCTCACGTAAGTCTCTGTGCATAACTATCAACAAATTGCTAACATTTGACGACAATGAGTTTCTACATTTTGGGGGAGTCCAATTTTGCTAGTATTTGTTAGAAGTAACCGGATTTAACTGATGTTGTCCGTTTAAATAATTAAGGGATGTATCCAAAGGGCAGAGCGTTTGAAAAATATCACAGTTCTTATTCAGCCGCATTTTATCAATTTTTAAAAAGTACAACCGATTACGAAAAAATTGTAAAAATACGGAAATTGACTTAATGAAGCACATTTTCTTCTTGAAATTTACTAACTCTACCTCTCGAAAGTCATTCATCATTTCCATTGCGTCCACATCGTTGTGCTGAGGAACACGGAACACTTCGGTTTGATTGTCGACATCCACTTCTACATCTTCGGTAAACGTCGCTCCATTTTCGGAAACACGGTAGGAATAGCTCTCAGTCTGTCACGTTGAAATATCAAATGATAATAACAATGGTAAGTTACCTTCATAAATTCAGTGAACACGATCGGTTGAAATAACTCAGATATGTATGCTGGTCAAGAGAATAGTAAAATAATTAATCAAAACTCACGATGCAGTTTACTTGCACTCCATTCAAGGTGATCAAAAGAATGCTGATCAGAAAGACAATCTGGAAGTTAAACACAACTTTATTGGTTAGGAACAGAAAGGCGCTATTAAGCAAGTTTCCCTGTAGAAGATGCCATGATTTAGGACTACTAGTCATTTCGTTGCTTGTAAAGTTTTTACAAATGAGGTGCTTGTGGCACGTAGCAGAAACTATTTGTTATTTTTTAAACAGAGAAACAAGCTTGACTGATTGTATCAATAAACAGCCTAATGTAAGACATATTTCAACTATGGGATTACAAAAAGACAGCAAAAGCACATACCATTTTTGTCAGCAGATATACTGTGTTGATTTGAACCTTTGTAGATGATGAGGTGAAAATCTTTGCAGAACTAAGCGAGATGGAGGCTAGAGCCGGTTATATGCTGAGCGTTTTAGCTGTGCCGACACGGCGAAGATGATCTGGCGGCAATGTGATTGTTTGGTTACTATTGCTAATGAAAGCTGAAACGGATGTAAACACAATACAATACAATACAAAGACTTTATTTAAACACGATAATTGTTAAAGCGACTACACAGGTAATACAAAGCGTGGTTCGGTTCAATTATTAGTCCTACCTTTTAGCTTAAGGAAACTAATCATTCTGGAAAATAATCCGGTTGAAATGTTCAGCATTCAAATTCATTCAGATTTGACGAAAGAACGGCTGCCCTTTTGTTCGAAATCTGTTTTCATTTCCCCCAGCTTGACGAAGTTATACTGCATTGCTCTTTGTTTATGTGAGTGTTTCCTCGAATTGATTAGAACCTCTTTACCAATTGTCCGTTGGTAAAATCCGTCGAGTTGTGTTACCACCCTTTAGGAAGCCGAAATGTCACGAAGATTTAAGTCACGATTTCAGACATACAGCTGAAGTACAAGCTTGACAAGTTGAGGTTTTTAGCGTAAAGATTCGGGTGACAAAGTTAACCATCGTACTCATTACCAAGAAATAGCTTTGGTTCCGGAGACCTGAGGGCTGTTGCACATTGGTGTTTTTCAGACGTTCAGAGACGCTGTCATAGCGGTAAAATAAATGTCACCAGAAGCTCTGACTCTTTTGAAGGAGGATACCGTTAGCAATTCACAATACATGTCCAAACTGATCACGAAAGCTTAGTGCAGACAAAGTAGTTACGTAAATGTGACAAAAACGAGTTTTCCTTGCTGCAAACCGCGATTCAATTCCAGAGCAAATCAGTTTGTTTTCAGAGAAAAAAATTATTTTAGTTTCAATCATGTATAAATCTCAGCCCGTGAGGCTTCGTCACGCACTCGTCATTGCTGCCCCTCGCAAAAGGAAGTTTCATTAAGCTACCGTTGCAACTGGCTTCCTGGATTTGATGGTGTTTTTTATTTCATTTTAAGATTATTTTCTTTTACATGAACGTGTGTAATAAACCTAGGACGACAAAAAATACAATTGAAAAGAATCGCAGAAGTTGAAAATGATAACTTTTCGTCCACAGTCACGTTCCTGTGGGGTGCCACCTTTAACCTCAATAAAAGCAGATAATGAAAGAAACAGCAAATGACACTGTGAAGCTTATACGCAAGATTTTTGTGTACATCTGATACACGTTATAGTTGGTTTTAACTGGAGCACGTAATGAACACAGACTCCATGTCAGTTGAACAGGAAATCGCCACTGCAATAGATGTAACGTCGTGATAAACTGTGTAGATGCAGAGGAAAGAGAAGAAGTAAGCGACCCAGGAACAAAGTAGCAAACATGACTTACTACAGACGTGACCAAGATATTAAGGAACACGTTTCCTTTAACATTTCCCTTTCTCTGAGACGATATCAATTTACGATATCGTTTAAATCAACAATAGGAAATTTTGGAATCAAAAAATAAATCTCACCTTTTAAGGTGATATCTGCATTCGGCTTCCTTAAATGTGATATGAATATGTCTAGAAGCTATTGAAGCGTTTACTCGAGCTTGCTTCGGGATTTGTTGTTTCACATATAGACTAATTTATATGCGTGGTCGTAACTGGAGTGCGTACCTGGCAGGGTCGCCACTGTGTCGAATGCTTCCTTATTAACTCACGATTTATTCACTTAATTTAACGATTTTACTACAACGCTTCAGTTAACTCCCACTCACAACTCTCGGCTTATTCGAAGGAAAACTTTCTCAACGTCCCGTTGAAAGCACGTGGAACAATGCCGTATATGGGACGATAAAACACGTACGGCATACATGCTTGTTTGGTTATGAATAAATAAACGAAATCACTTTAAAAAGGAAATCAAATTAAGAATAATTAACGTATCTTACAGTTTCCAACACTCCTCCACAAAAATCCCTCGGAAACTTACCCCCCTCCCTTGTGATAAAATTGACCAGACCCTTCGATTACCCCTAAACATAGAATCTTGATATTATCACTCGCGTGGTTAAGTACACATCCTTTGCAAAAGCAATAGCAAAGCGTGACTTTAATGTCTACAGCTCAAGGAATTACAATAAAAGTAAGTTGGGCGAAAAAATTAATGTAAATATCAGAGAAAGGTCGTGTTAAGGGGGGATTCTACCTAAAAAAAGTGCATTTTTTCAAATAATTGTAGGAATTTAAGTTTTGGTCACAACTATCTAAAACTATATATCACTGGAAAGCTTATGAACTATATTTTTCAAAAAAAGGTGTTATGTCACACCTGCAGCAAATGTAACCTGACACCGGTCATTTCAATTAACAACTTGTAGTGTCTCACCTATATGTACTTGAGTAAAGATTGTTAGAAACTGTTTCAATGAAATACCAATATTTTGCTGTTATTCTAAAGAATATTGAATACTTGTTGGGATGAGTGAAGGATTTCAAGAATTTTTTAAATTTGACATCACAGCACTGGTGTCAAGTTACACATCTAACACATGATCACTATTTGTTTAATCATTTCTTTAGAAAGACCTCTATGGCATTTTCCTTCACTCATCCCAAATAACTCAATTAGATCAGCAATCCCTAAAAATTTCAGGTCCATAGCTCTCATACTTCTTGAGTAATCTTTTCTCAAGTATTAAAAAATACGTTTTGAGAAAAAAAGGCCTAAAGTTACAAGATTTTAAAATTAAACACCTCCTGTATTCAAATTATGAAGTCAATGAGTAGCCATAAGTTCAAATATAATTAGGATAGGCAAGAGCAAGAGTTAGAATGCCCCAGCTTCATATGAAACATCTTCTTTTTCACGAAGAGCCGCTTCTCTTTGAGTACGGATAAGCTGCAATCCCTGCCGGCGCTTCTTCTCCTTGGCCGTTGCCTGCTTATCAGCTTTCCGAAGCCTTGAATTATCTCTTAGTCGAAATGCATCCTCAGTAAATGCACCTCCAGGAATTGAAAGCCTTTCCATCAATCTTTCTCTGCTTTCTGCACCTCTGTGGAAGTGGCAGACTGCAGACGCAGCAGCACACCGACAACTTTCACTCCATGGTGTTTATGTTTGGGACACCGGACCCAAACCATTGCGTTGATGCTTTCATTTGGGTTCTGGGTTTTCCTCGTACACATCTTTCTAAAAGTTTACTGTCACTTAATGACACAAATGTGGGTTTTAGAGTCTCCACGAAGACTTCGGGCAAACAGTCATCTCCTTTGTAGGTACTGGTTCCTGTTGCCTGGTCCTGTTGCCATTTGCACCATGATGAATCACCTGGTGGACAGAAGCGGTGTTGTTTAGCATTGTCAGTTGAATTTACACAGTGATGGAGAATGGCAATAATATTTTTTTCATAGCATAAACTGCAATGTCAACCTCCCGTTCAGAGGGATTTGCCTTGGTCAAGGTGTTTTGCCGGATTGCTAGGCCATAGTACCTTTGAAGCTGCTTGATCTTTCCTTCTGTAAGCCGGCCACGCCCTCCTATAGGTTTTCCATCAGCAAGTTTACCCTTACTGCATGCCTTCAAATTCATTAAATGTTTGCCCATCCTTTTCTGCACATGGCCTACACAATCCAGTTTAATAACTTCACAGTCATCATAGGCATGTTGAACAGTGTTAAAGGCCTTACTGTCCCCGTCTGACACCATCCATTTGTACCTCATGTTATGAAGTTCGATGGATCTATTCCAAAGAACAGAAGCTCCTTCTGCTTCCATAGCAGGTGAACTTCCTTCGAAGTTGATGTCACAATCTCCAGATGCAACATGCTCCCTCCTCCATTCTTCAAACTCTTCCACATTCCCTTCACATTGTGAGTTCTTTAGGGAGCACTTACGGCAAGATTTAGACATCACGTGATAGTCTAAAACTTCTCCTGTGTCAATTGAGATGACGAAAACAACACCTGTTAGTGATGTGAAACCTCTTTTTGGCCCAAGTGCCATCAAAGCTAACAGCAGCATCAATTATTGTGGTGCTGTCTGAGATGCCATTTTCCTCCATGATTAGCTTTGAGCCTTTGGCCTGCACCTTTTAGTTCTTCTTTTGCTTCACTTTCCAGTGCTTCCAAAATTACATCAACTTGCTTGTAGTAAGCAGCTCTTGACAAACAAGGCATGTTCATTATCGCACAGAAAGAAGAGAGTCCGTCGTAGCCACTTCCAGTTTCTATTGAGTGGTAGACAGCTCTCCGGTTGACATCAAATGATTTGCCTTTCTTGGCAAGGTTGGGTGATGTCTGCCAAGGAGTACTTTCATCACAAGAATTGCAGTGAATGGAGAGATCTGACATCAGTCCATAACGGCTAGCGGTATTTTCTTCAATAGTAAGGTCTCCTATATTAAAAACATGACGGAAAAGGATGCTATTAGCTATAGTTACTGAACCAAACAGAACCACAATGTTGGAGCATTAGTTCACACCTCCATAAATGTGTACAAGTGTTGCAGTGAAGAAAGATCAGAAAAAATGATTAAACAATAATAAAACTCCTTTTCTGCAAATAATTCTAACTATCGTTTTTCTTTAGGTTCAAGGGGCTGAAAAGCATATTTATGATGTGTGATATTTTTCTCACCTTCTTCGCATTTGTGTAAAGTTGAGAGCACAGAAGAGAAGCTCTTTAGATCAACGAGCCTGTATCCTTTTTCTACCTCAGCTACCTCGAAAACTTTTTTTTGTTTTCATCAGAACTTGAAGAAGACTCATCTTCTGAGCTCTGGAATCTCATCTTCTTCCTTGAAGAACTAGGAAGCTGATCGCTTTCTTCGCCAAAATCTGACAGATCAGACTGATCGTGCGAAGTTCCTGGGGTCGGTTCGTTTGGTTCACTCTTCCTGTTGCAACCGCTTTTCTTCAGTAATTGCGCTTTTTACGATCTCCTCCATGCCCCTTTCTTTTCCTAGTTTTCCTGTAAACGGTTCTTTTCTTCTTTCCAGTCATTCCAGCACAAAAGAGACAAAAGGAGTTCAATATTTCGCAATACACTGTGACAACTTTCACACAAAAATCTCTCACTCGTCTCCAGTGTTACTCTTTCAATTTCTTATTTTCCCTTCATGTAAGACAGCACAAAAGGATTCTAAGGGGCGTTTCGGGCTTGTTTGACATATTTTGAGCTCCAAACAGGCTGGTAAACAAGTAAGAAACAAAAATGCTGTTTTGGTTGCCATGGAAACGAGATTTCTATTTAGATACCTCTTCTTTTCTAACGTAATTTCTCATTTATATTTTAAAATTTTTCGGTAAAAACGATCGTCAGTGTAAAGTCGAATAGTTGAACCTCGCATTTCTGAAGAAAACAAAAAAACAATATTTTGAGCTAATTTCAGGTAGAATCCCCCCTTAAGAACTTTTCAAATAGTTCGTAAAAGAATAATGTGCACTAAAAAAAAAATTAATGACGAAATAAAGCAAGAAGAAAATTATGTGCCATTATTTTCTCTGAGGTCAGGTCAAGATCGCGGTGTTTATCGTCTGAGTGATAAATACTCGAATCGGAAGTTTACAGAATTACCAGCTTCTTTCAGCCATAGGGTTGGTAAATTTGTTAACATGGCCACGATCAGTGTTTCATGTCACTAGTGTTAAAAACCGTTTCAGTTTCTTTTAGCGTTGATGTAACACGTAATAATCTCAACTTCTTCCATTTTCGTGTCGGAAGAGCTGAAACGTTGAGCATGTAACTAATGAAGGAAAGGCAGCGGAGAGCAAAACGGAGGCCCAGGCTACCATTTCGAATAACACGGTTTACACTGGCAGATCTTCACTTGATCAAATCAAGCTTTAAATCGCGACAGAAAACATACCTCTCGAGAAAATGGTAAGTTCGGTAGCTTTCTTTGTGAAATCTTACATTTGAGATGTTTGTCACATCAGACAATTTAATTTATCAGTGATCAGTCAATCAGGATTATTTCTCTCTTTGAGATACTCTACAAATATATAATATGATTTAATTCTTCGTTTCTACAAACTCTTCAAACAAAGAGCATCAAAGAAGAGATTTCAAATCAGCACTTTGTCGTCTTTGTCTTTCAGATTGTCTTTTTGGTCAGCATTCTTCTATTCACCTTCAGTGGAGTTCAAGTTGATTGCAATGTAAGTTATGATTAATGATTTCATCAATTCTCTCGACCAGTTTTGTTATGACGTGTTTTGCATTTATTTACTTCCCGAATGGGAAAAACTGTTAGATACTCTAACTCGACAATAGAGTATATCCTAAGTTATAAGTCAACTAAAATTCAATATAATTATTTTCATCAGCATAACCATTGTTATTATCATAAACAAGGGATTATATTCTTTTGTCATAAATGTTTTCATTTATATTGTTATCAATAGTATCATTTTTTTCATTTCAACGTGACAGACTGAGAGCTATTACCGAACATGTAGAAGTGGATGTCGACAATCAAACTGAAGTGTTCCGTGTTCCTCAGCACAACGATGTGGACGCAATGGAAGTGGTGAATGACTTTCGAGAGGTGCGGTATCAATAAACACGAGTAAATCTGAGCTTTTAGTTCGAAAAATTTAATAAGTGCTTATGTATGCTAAATTACGCGGAAAATTATAGGATTACTTAAAACACATAAAAAAGGAACATGAAAAATTTTGACTGCACTCGTATTTTAAATTAAGTTTTTCCAACCAACTAGTTGCAACAGATTACAACGTTTGTCAATTTCAAAATTTTACGAAACCAGTATGTTAGAAAAATTACATCTGTGATCTTGGAAACGTTTGAAGATTGAATTTTTAAAAGCTATAAATATAAATAGAATAACAGAGATGGTAAGTTTTTGAGCTCGGTAAAGAAATAGCGAAAGATGTTTTTCGTCACGTCACGAGCATAGAACAAAGAAAGACATCTTTCGACATTCAAAATATGTTGTTTTGTAATTTGCACCGTGATACATGAGAACTTCACTCTTTCGTAGCTAATCAGTACGGACTAATTTTTTTAAATAAGTGTTGAAAAACTCGTTAAACAATGTAGGGGGAGGGTAAGGAGTAGACCCCCCCACCTCACCTTCCCCCTGTCCGTTTGCTTACGCTAATGGTGAAGATTAAAAATATAAATATATCTTTCCTCAGGATTTGTCTGTTTACCGGTTACCATCAGCACGAGCCTGCTATGTATCTAAGCTGGATTGATCGTTTCCTGTGCCAGAGAAGATGAAAGTCAACATGGAACAGGTGAAGTGAGGAGCTCATCATGATGCTGATCGTGAAGCTTATCGTGATGGTTATGAACTAAAAGTTATCTCCAGTTGTCATATTTATTAAAGTTAAAAAATGGTGAGAGGGAACAGGGTAGTGGATTAGACCGATGAGGGCTTAATCTGCCACGCGAAGATGATTCTTCAAAACAGATATTTAGGCTGCTAGAGACTTGAACATCTATGCATTAATTCTTAAATGTCTTAAATCAAATACATTAAGGTGTATATTGTCATCCTTAGACCATTTTTTATCAACTCATGCATAGATGACAATCTCGAACAGAGATTTTAAACGTTCCTCATGTGTACAACAACGCAGTAGTTCGGAGTCACCGGGGTCAAAATCGTTCAGATATACTTCATTCTCAGGTAAAAAATTAGGGGAACCACTTTCCAGAGAGTTAATTCGCAATAGAAATTTTTTTATAATTGAGTTCGTCGCTCTTAATACCACACTCGTTCTACGTTGCAGACTTCGATGCAGCCCAGGTTACCCAGCCGGGTGACAACAAAAGAAAGAGCTTGGATAGTGGTCAGTTTCGCGCAACGATCAGCTTTGCCTCAAAAGTTTCTGGATTTCTGTGGCAGCTTTTCAATCTATACCATTGAACAAACGTCGATTGATTCGGCAATGAGGCCTTTAAGGAGAGGTAAGATAAGTTTTATGAAAACAATAAAAAGCAACTACCGCTTTTGCAATAGGCTGATAGCCAAATAAATCGAAAAAATTCTTTTCAATCGTCCCTTTTGGATGATATGTATGGAAGTGTACATGAATTATTTATCTCAAAGGACGCAATTCAATGGTGAAATCATATCTGAACCCGCGTGAGATTTCAAATAATAATATATCCTGTGTCATTTTGTTATCGAACGAAACTTTGCGCTTTAAGCGATCGTCTGTCACTTAATCTAATGCCAATTTACTAAGAAAAAAAAAGAAGACACCAGAATATGAACACGATTCAGGTACAAACAATTTCTAAGGACAAGACAAATATATGTTAGGAGACTTTTATTGTTATTTGAGGTAATGATTATGTTTTTATTTCCTTTAAGGTTTTGGCTGTCAAAAGCGGAGTCATACTATTAGGGACTTTTCCTTATGTAGTCTTGATGATGCGAAAACAATGATGCGTTGTTTGCAGAAGGAAATCGATCGACGACGGACACACGCATCTAAGCACATTCAATATAGTATAAGATGCAAATATGCTACACATTGTGGTACTTACGTTGTAGACTGTAAGCCCACAGGTATGGGTGGTTATACGTGTGAGAAGTTTCTTCATTTTGCGGACTTCATTGGTTTTTGCTGTTCTTTTGTATGTTAATGTTAAGATGATTTATCTGAATGGGCCAATTTAAGATTGTAGAAACAAATTATACAAAGATTCTTTAATTCACTGGCAGGCTGCATCGATAACCCCTCTAGCAGAAAATATTAGGTATCACTAAAATGTGTAAGCTGTAAGCTACTTTAAGGTATTTCTAGTGATATTTTCGAAATAGTATAAGAAATGTGTACCACTCTTTTTTACCAAATAAAACATTGAAAAGGGTTTTTTTACTACATCATTGTAGGAAAAGGAAAGATAGGACATGCTTGAACTTATACTGGAGTAGACAAAAATACTAAAAACTAAATAGAATTAGCCACTATTGTCAAGGATTGATTACGTTTACTTGGAAGTTGAATCAATCGGTGGCTGAGGAATTTTTTTACTTGTCAAAGCATTCTGGACCGGCTTTTTTTTTCAAGAAATGCTTATGGCGGGTACGTCTAGAAATATTCGCTGTGCTCCTCCTTAAACAGTTTTTTAAAGGTTTTGGTTTTGTTTCTTTTGCATATTGCCAAACAGGTGTGTTCGGCAAAGTCGAGATAATATTCAGCAGGATCTTGAAAGTCACTCAGGCCTTGAGCCAACTCTACAATACAGATTCAGTATTTAGCCCCCGGATTTATGGCTGATTGGGCAGTTTCACTGATAGCTTGATGATCATAAACTGCATGTAGAATGATGATTGTGATATGAATAGCTTCCAAACTAAACTAGTTGGATGACCACCCTTCACTAAATGAAAATATACACCTCGGTCAGATGACGCCGGTTTCGTAGAGACCGATCGTTATTTATCGCCTCATGCGGGAAGGAGTCAGGGGAGTTTTGCTGTGTCACAATAAATTTTACCTGACCCCCTTTGGGCTCTGTGCTCATTGGCGTGTTCCCCCCTCATGGCAGTCAATATTTCATTGTTCCCCTTTTAAACTCCGTAGGCAATGATTGATCCCCCTCTGTTCCCCCTAAAAACCCAACTGATCCCCCCCAAAAATCCTCCCGTCACCTTCCCCCCCCCCCATCCCTTTCGATAAAAAATGACTGGTCTTTTATTGCTATCAGTGTTTCCGAGTATTTTTATTCCTTGTTTTCAATCACAACGATGTTACGTTACAAAAATGACAAAGTTATTATATTTTATTCAACTTCTGATTTATCTCACAGCACTAGAGGAGACTAGCCATTTGAAATTCAAGACAATTCAGTATTACTTAGAATTTATAAATATTTGAAAAAAGATGATGGCGGTGCTTCAAAAACCATTATTTAATGTAGCATTATCAGCTTAGCATTCCAAGACAATTAATCCCTATTGGCGTTACAGCTTTTCTTACAAAAGTTTTCAAACTGTTTATTGTTTGAGCAAAGGGATCGGGACACGCTCTCGTCGCAGAAATCATCTGGTCCCTCGTTCTTGCAAACTGAAAGAAGATTTCAATGAACGTTAGGATGTGCACTATTTGTACATTTGTTTCAAAGGCTCATGTGAACAATTGTTTATTCTGATTTCATCCGGGCTTAAATTGATGCCTGATCGGTGGATAGAGCGTGGAAGCTTGACGAGAAACTAGTTTTCTTTGTCGGAATTTGTCAGAGACCTCTGCACGACTTGAATAAGGTTGCAGTCACAATCTTATTTTTAAAGTGTTACGTAATCAATTATTCAATCCAAAGTAAATGTCGCAAAGTTTGAAGTCGAAAACTGTTTTTTATTTAGGGATCAAATACGCAAATACCTGGTGGAGAGCTCTGCATCACGCTACATTTTTGGCTCTGGGTCTCTTCATTAATTCCTTTGCAAGATGTTCCTCCACTTTCTCGTGGTGTGTTGGTGCGAAAACGTTTGCGAAATTGAGTTCCTTCACCACACGTAGCTTTACACTTTGACCAGGGGGACCATGGAGTGTATCCTTTATTCTCTAAAAAAAGGAAAACAGTTTCTTTCTAACAATTGATTATCTGTCGTACGTGACGTTTGGTCACCAAAGAATCAACATTGCAAGTTTCATTGCAAGTTGGGTCTAAATAAACCATCCAAGTGATGAATAATGAATGTAGATATATGAAAATCGTATATATGCACTGCGGTGAAGAAACGAATGTAAGAGATCCTCACAGCTAAGAACACTACTGAGCTTGTAGTGATCAGCTTCCAGTTGGCTCCATTTCGTAGATGACGCAAGTCTTTCCTTCCCTGAGTTAGCGATGGTATACATACCGATCTAATGTTTTCAATCTGTTTGATTCTTAAGACTGAACGCAAAACACTTAGGGCCGCTTATTTACGCGAGGTCTAACCCAAAACACGGTTTCACACAATCAGTGGGCCTCAGGCTTTCTCTGTAAGAGCATTAATTTGTATAAATAAATGTCCTTCCCCTGTTTGTTTTCAGCCCCCTTGACACTGTGGCACATACTGCAGCGTGCGTTTTTGCGAACATTTTATAATAACATGATAAAAAGTACTTGAAGGGTATTTTATTGTAGTACATTTAGTAAATGCAAAAATTTCCCTGCAAAAATGCAAATTGCGCATCGGGCCACCTCAGATGAAGGTTAGACAAATTTTTCTCTATCTCTAATATTTGTTAAATGTACTTGGAATTACTTTGCCAGTATTGCGAAAGCTTTGATAGGATAAAGTTTTCAAATTGTGACAGCAAACAGAAAAATTGTGAAGTCACAAATGCGTTTCTATACTCTCATCTAAACTGGCCAGTTGACCATTGAGAGCGCGTACTATGTCAATTATTTTATAAATCATCATGGTGTTTGGACCTAAGTAGGACTGGATTGCATTCTATAGAAAGGTGCACGTTGAACAACAAGAATATAGATTGGAAATTAAAAACGTTTCCTTTCTCCGTCGTAAGCGCAAATATATTTCTAGGGCCATTAACAAACATAAACTTCTAGAAAAACAGAATAGGAAATATCGAAAAGACTAGCAAAGTTACATCTACATCTCGTTTCAAATTCAATTAACATACAAGTCAGGTTTCATTTTGGTTTTATAGAGTTCATGGATAACATCAGACAGAAGTTACCAACTTGTTAGCCCTAGCATCCAAATGTGAACAATCCAACTTTTTGAGATAAATGATTTAAACCCGCATCGTACTAACTAGTTTTTACTCCTTGTCGTAGATGTTTTCTCCTGGTTTGACCCCTCCTTTTAATGACGTTTTTAAATGAAGATCTTCCCCACTTCTACCAGTACCGTATACTTTTTTTTGTTACGAGTGTTATGTAGATATTTCTCTCACGCAGGCTTCGTTTTGATATTGCATGAAATATTTACCTGGGCAATGACGTGTGTTACATCGCTGTGAATCTCTCTCAGTTCCGTCACAACCTCTCCCACCATTTGCCGGTGAGGGATTGCTGCACGTCCGAGATCGCGTCTGCTCCCCTCCCCCACAACGTTTGTCACAGGAGGACCAGGAATTCCACTGTTGCCAGCCCCCGTGAACTGGAATATCTGAAATTAGAATTTATGAACACAAAGCTATCAGTGGCAGAAAGTACAGGCTGAGAAGACCAGGTTGGAACTGATTTTATTAATGAATTATGGAGTCACCAAACGTTGAGGGAAAACTTGCGTCGCATTTGTGGGCGCGAGCGCTAATGATAGGGAACCTTTTTCGTACTGATGAAGACAACAAAGTTTTGTGACGGCTTTTCCCTTACAGGAATGAATAGCCTCAGATAGCAAACTGTGTACGAATATGCATCTGAAAAGGTATGAAACGAGGCTATCGTAAGATGGGCCTACAGCTCACCCGAATATACTAATGCTCATAAAATAGATAATACCAACAATTTTCGTTTGCTGATTGACGGCGGTTGTGTTAAATACACCCAAATACAATGAAAAAAAGTTACGTAAGTGCAAGAAAGTATTAAGGTTGACAGCAACTTGTCAAAATGCACCGAAATACAAAAAATTTACTCCCAATTTCTACAGGTTTGAAACTTAAAAACGAAGGATTCTTCAAGCAAAAATGCTGGAAGGTATAAGTCTCAGGCGGTAAGAAAGAGAGCTTGCGATTATATTGATATCACTTCAGTTCGAGATTATCATGAAACTATGTTCGTCATTCCTAAAGAAGATCTTACTCTAATAGCATTTATCAAGGGATTATAAACTCTTATTTTTCTATATTTACCCATTCCTATGAAACAGGAAATGGTACAAAAAAAATATTGATCAATTGCAACGGAAAGTGGCTTGTTAAAAGAAAATTTGAATTGGCTATGAGCCACTAAACTCGGACAGGCGCGTAGTTAGCTTTTGGTCTTGTTGTAGGCCTGTACCTGTGAAAGTTCAGCTTTTGTTTCAAAATTTACAAGAGTCATATTGTAAAAGTCGAGCATGCGGTGAAATAATTGCAGGCCCGGAACAAAGGTATGTGAGGGAATATGATTATTTTTCAAAGTTTGCCAGCCTGACTACTTAATTCAGTTGTATCTTCTTCTCCCACATTTCACTAGAAATCACGTGTAGTCCATTCAAATGGTGTTTTAGACCAAGACAGGACCTCGTGCTCTCTCGTTTAATCCTAGGGCGGCTCAAATGACTCTAAAATAGGAGGTACGTATCTGATCAGATGCAAAGGACATTTAATGACGATACGTACCTCTTCTTCGTTCTTCGATATCAACTGTTTTAACTCTCTTTATATTTCTATCAACATGACCGTTATCTGCGAGAGGGTCGTCTTTGGTTCCAAACAGGAATAACGTCAACGAAAACATGCGTCCTGTTGATTAATTAACACCAGTAAACATTTATTGCCTGGCGGGGAGGGGGGGGGAGGATTTTGGCTGTGTGGCGATAAATTCACCTGATTCCCCCATAAGACTATGTAATATTCATAGATTCATGTGAGCCCCGCTTCCCATTAGCAGTTAATTGACTCTCCCCTCTTTAAGGCCACAAATAACAATAACTGTTTCCTGAAAGAATGTATAAATAAATAAACAACTAAGCAAGTAGTTAAATGAAGAAGGGTGGGGTGGGGGTGGAATTCTGCTCCTTATGTAAAAGGTTCAGTGCAAGAGGGGAACAAGAACTCAGATTTGAATAAACCAAGGACAATATTAAGCCAGGAAGGAAAAACTGTGTCTCGTTCCATCAAGGTGCGGTGGCTCAAGTCAGTTAATGTGTAGTTTATGAGTTTGTTTGTTTTTCCTAAGATCTTATCCCGCGACCTGATGATACATCCTGATTATTTCAAAGTGCATCTTTCTCACTCGGTATCAAGGAGCTGCACTGAAAGGTAAAAACATACTTTTTGGCGGCTCTTACCACTGTAGTAAGTGTGAAACTGATCAACAGAAGACAACGCCATTGCATAATTTGTTTTCTAAGTCTCGCATTGAATAATACAAAACAGAAACTGCAAACCTTAACCATTACTTTTGAGCGCTCACCACCCAGGGGAACAATGAATGATAGGTCCGTAATGAGAGCTCAGAAATAATGGCCAAGGTTAGAGGCAGACGACAAAACTGGGAAACAAATGCTTGCAAAGTCATTGTGGTGAGTAAACTCCAAAGCATTTACACGTTAATCAGGGAGAAATATCATGAATTTCTCTCAGATTGAAAAACGTGTTATCCTCGCTTTGCTTGTACCAACAACCTTTCCTTCGCACCCCTGCTTTCCATTTACATTCTTAATGAAAAATCAATCTTGTATTACCTTTTCTTCCAGTCTTACGTTGTTGTGTACTTCGTATCGTTATATTCCAGTCTCCAGCAGGATTCTCTCCCCAGTAGTGTAAACTAGTGACATTCCAGTTTGTCAAGTTGTTTTCATTGCTAAAAGTATCAAAAAGTCGTGAATAAAGGAGTTGGGAGTTTGTTCCACTCGGTGATTTTGAAGTCATCTCCAAGTGACCTCGACCAGGAAAAATGAGATCCATTTTTACTTGAACGTGCTCCAGGAATCGGATGCCACAATTGTGTTTGTTTGCGGTGAAGGTTAGGTTTAAATCTCCAGTTGAAGGAATCAAAGTTGGTGCAGACCTTAAAAAGGTTTGAGCACGAAAATTAGTGTACAAAGATTCCCTTCAATCATTAGAGATTAATGGCACAACTCTTTGTTAGGTCCTCTGTGTTGATTTAACAAAACAGGATGGAATCTGTATGGTTTCCCTTTATAAAGTTCCAAACACCAACAGGCAGAGGATCGATACATGTGGATCATTCACCCAACTCTAACTTCAACTAATAAACTACCTGACTCTTTCTCATCAATTGACTTGCGTGCAGTATCAAGTAATATAATTTAACATCAAAAATAACGTTCAAACGATGGGACACAGCTACCTACTCATTGATTGTGTGTTTAATTTCACAAGACAGTTGCTCCGGAACAGAAACCCAATACTCTGCATATGTAGTCATCAATCTGGCATTCATCAGTCCAAACCCATAATATTTGCTGACTAAAATGAAAAAGAAAATTCTTCGTGGTTTCAAAAAATCCAAGGAAAGAGTAAGAACAGTTTACTGTGGCAATGTTATGCGAAAACCGAGTCCAAAGGACTTGAACAGACTTGCCTATATAAACAAGCCCACTTGCACGAGTGCAAAACTCCTTCATCGCCACTTAGGTTGCCCAAAAGTTACCTGTAGAATCATTTGGGCTCGACGCAACATGAAAATTTTGCGGGTTTTCATTGTCATGGATTATCTTTCATTCTGGTCGCGGGAAGGGTAATCCCGCGAAATCAATTCCTCAAAAAAGGGGAGCAACAATGCACTACTTTCACACAAACAAAGACTCTTTACCTGCGAACCAGGTGGCAATAGTCCTCTTTACCTTATACGTTCATTGTTTACCCATTTAAGGTCATGAGAGAGAACTGTTTCTTTCAAATTTTCTCTTATATTTTCGGGCTTTCTACAAGTTTGTCATGTACGAATCAAATTCGTTCCCCAAAGATATGAAAAATGTCCAATCCACAAAATAAAACTCAAGCTACGTGCATTATATATTGATGATGCTGGGCGTAAAAAGTAGTTTCAACTGACATATACCTGAGACATTGGCCCTGTTGATTCGCCAGGTAGGTCTGGGACGCCAGCGTAATGCATAGCGACCCACTAGGGGTGGATCTAGAGGCTGTGAACTTCTGACTATCAAATGCTGAACATCCCGCCACGTGAGACGTGGACTAAACGAGGAAGGGAAGTGTATTAGAGTCATTCAGTTTTGCAAAAGTAATAATTTATTATTTGGTTAGTTGGCACTGTTTTGTCACAATTTCCCCTAGAGGCAAGCCAATTTAATAAAACGGTACTTTACAAGTGAATAAATTGGGCAAGTTTCTGAAGAAAATGTGGTGTTGCGTCGGTTGAGGAGTATAACAGGGTGGTTTGGTATATAATCAACGTAGTTGACGACGAAAATTGGCCACCGTGTGAAGAAGAGTTTCAAAGCTAACGTTTGTAGCGTTAGCCCTTCGTCAGAGCGAATGGAGGAATTGTGGGTGGTGTGTATCAATCCACAGATTTCAGAACAGCGGACCATGCCAAGCCTAAAGAAAGCTACCGAGGTGCTACGCCAGGAAAAAACACGACTCTGACAAATCAGAGGCAACGTGCTAGTTTTTCGATAAACGTGGCTATCTAGTTTCTGTTTTTCAAGTGGGCCACCACTGCGCCCAACAAGTTGATCGACAGTCAGCACTACAAACGACTGAGAAGAAAAATATTGATCACACTCCGTTCACTCTCACATTTCACCCTCACAACTACGAAGTGAAAGCTGTCATTCTTGATTTAGAGGCTAGCGCTATGTTTTTGCTACTAATTTCATTCAGACGCGACAAAAACAGAGACAACTTTTTAGTCAGAAGTTGATAACAACCTAATGACCAACCTGGAACTATCAAATGCTCTCGCGCACGATGTAAAACCTGTCCTCTCATTCATAACGTTGAGAAAATGTCGCCGGGGACCCAAGAGATCCATTAAGATTACTTAATACATCGCACTTCTGCCAATGTCATCTATTGCATGAAACAGGAAGACGACCAGGTGACCCGAAAACACCTTCGCGACGTAGAAAGAAATAACAAGGACACATTCAAACCAGTCGCTAAACACTATAGTCTCCCTCGCCATTTTAAGAAGCATATGGTAGTTTTCGGCCTTTCCCCTCAGCTGGGCAGTCAGGAAAGCCGAAAAACTCTAGAACAAAAATTTATCTTTTAAATAGGCACTCTAAATCCCCACGGTATCAACGAGCGCTTTTCATTCAACGAATATATTCTTGTTTTTTCTCGTTACCATGTTCCCACCAATAGCATAGTTCCATTTTTTGCATACGAACACACACACAACTCTCCAAAGGGCTAACGCTCGAAACGTCAGTTTTGAAACTCTTAACGGTGGCCAATTTATTTTAATTAACTAAGTTCATAATAACAAATTACCTTGGTAGTTTACAAGGGTGGGTTTTCACAGCACATTAGAGTGTTTATTAAACAATCGATTAATCCTAGCAATTAAAAAATAAATGAACAAAAGGAAAATATGATAACAATATAATTTTGAGTTAGAAAAAGGCTTGTTGGTAGAGAGTAGGAAGGTATATTTCTTACTTTGCTTCTAGAGCCAAAGCAATGATCCCAGAAGCAATCGCGGCGGTGCCGGAAGTGCCTGTAAAGCTCTCCGTGCAACCTCTCGCTCCCTTGGTTGTAATCTGTGAATTAAATCATGCAACCAGAGAATTATCTCTCTGAAGCATTAAAAATGACAAAGAGAAGATTTTGAACGACTGTGAATATGTAGAAGTTTCATATAATTAAACTACAGACTAATATAAGAAGATGAGAATGATCTTTTCAGGAATGAACACGCAGTGAAAATAAGATCAGCATAATTCAGCTCATCAGGTTTTCAAGAACTCGAAACCTCTGTGATAACTCACCAATGGAGGTTTGACTCCTTTATCTGTTCTGTAAGAATACGTGTCCTTTCCATAAGTGACGGCCATGATGGCTGCGCACTTCTCAGTGTAACCTGGTACCGCTCCGTCCCAGTTCACCCCAGAGATGGCGATTGTGTGAATGTTGTTTACGTAACCGTTGAAAGCACAGCTGTCACCTGAACTGCCTCCATTTCCTGCCGCGAAGACAAATATGGACCCTTTGCCACTGCGACCCTAAATTTTAACAAAGTATAACACTGAACAGTCTGTAATTTTAAAAGAATTTTTTTGGCATCATGGAATTTACAACTAAGTTTAGACAGGTGAATTGTAAAGAAAATGTCTGAGACATTTACCATTCTGTGCGTGTTAAGAAAAAGACAGTGGTGGCTGCTTTGGGTACTTGTGACTGAAGAATTTACCCTATTTTCTCCAAGTTCACTCCTAGGGATAATCACCTTTTCGGAATGTTAATTAGGTTTTGCAAAGTTGCGAAATATACTTTTGAGGAGCTGAACAGTCACCTAAAAGTATATAAGCTCCCCACACCCGCGCTCCCCTCAATGAGCTATTTTAAACTTTGTAACTTTTGTCTCTATAATTATATAATTATGCATTTTCAGAAAATAAGAAATAAAAAAGGGAATTTTTATATAGGTAACTTACCTTTTTGGTTCCATCCTCTAAAACATTTGTTAGGTGAGGTCCAGGACCCTCTACTTCCCAACCAATGTTCCCAGGCCCCCAGCTGTTGGAGTATATGTCAACCGATTGACTCTTGTGGCTCAAGGCCCTCGCCTTTAATAAATCCGTTGATTTTGTGAGGGCATTAAAAATTCGAAGACCTATGAAAACAAAATGTCTAATCAGTCAACACAAGTGTTGTCTACATTTCGCGTGTGTATGATTGGATGGCGAAATACATCCTTCACTGCAGCATACAAGAACTGGTTTGAAATATGTTTATCAGTTGACGGATTTTTTTCTGTTTGTGTTGTTCATTTTTATTCCTGTTTAAAATTTTTGGTTGAGGCTTAATTGGGAAGAACGTTCCTAATTTGGTTTGGGAGAGGAAATTTGAAATTACTTTTCCTAGCTTGTTAATTGACTGACTAAGCATCTGATGTGTTTCTATTCTCGTTCGTATCAAGAAAAGCGGATCAGCTGAAAGTTGAGCAGGCTTTGTTTAACGATTAACAATGACCGTATATGGCAGCTTTAAAATACACGCGGGATTTTTCAAAATTTCCGATTATCATACGAGCGGCAGATTTAAACCATAGGCAAAACTGATGATACGACAAATCCTCCTCGTGGAGGTGATTCTGGTAGATTTTTTAGGATGCAAATAGTCAAGAAGGGGTGGATGGTGGGGCGACTGTAGCTTTCGTATCTGAAGTAAAGAAATGTCACCGTTTTTTCCTTTACATTGCTTAAAACTGGCGAAAGATATATTCAATTAGAGGCTCACTGTGCGATACAAAGGTGATGAGAGCATGTGTAACCTGGCATTAACGTCCGAAGCTTACCACGCCGTTGAATCATGTAGAAGACTGTCTTCATTTGCTCGATTGTTTAATGTACGGATATTTAAATTTCGCGCTGCGTGAATGAGATTTTGTTCCTGATGTGCACAAAAAGGTTCATATTCTCCTTCCTCTAGCGTGTGATTTAAACCTGGTGATAACGTCCGAAGCCTCGCGCGTCGTTAATTCATGTAGTTTTACGGGTATCTTTCTCTTTCCGTATTTCAATTCAAAGAAAGGAGTTAAAAAAAAACAATGAGCGAGTGGAAATAGTCGCACATGCTCGTCAATTTCTCCCATTCGACTCGACTGTTCAATCCGAGTACAGTATATTTAAATTTCGCGCTTCGTAAGCAAGAAAAACTGAATAATCTCCTCCCACAATTTTTTTTGTGTTTACACAAACCGACATCTAATTGATACCTATTCATCCTTTTGAGTGATAGCAGGAGGTGAGATTTCATGTTCTGCTAGTTTCTTCCTTTTTTTTTTGCTCAACAGGTTACGTGTATTCAATCACATCACTGACGTTGTCAGATTCATCTACCAAATTTTAGGGCAATCGAATTTCGCGCTACGAAAGTTATCCTATTTTCGTAGTTTGCATAAAGTGCTGCGCAATCGCCTCCCATAATTTGCTTACCGTAGCGTAAATGCATAAGCCCAGCAAAAACTTCAACGCGAAAAAAATTATACCCCTTGATTCGTTAAGCTGTTTGCCATAGATGAATTGTTATTACGAGGAGTAAAGGTATTTTAAAATCTCTTCCGGGAGTTAATTTACGGTTTTGATTCCAAACATAATACTAAGTAACCGTTTAAGATAACGTCAAAATTTTGTTCTTACTTGCAATTCCTACATTATAGGCAATTCCCACTCCACAATTTGAATTGTTTTCACCAGCAATAATTCCAGCACAGTTTGTTCCATGACTTTGTTGACAAAAAGGAAAATTATCATATCATAACTATACCCATGTGATAATAGAACGAAAGAAGAAAAGTTTAAATGTTTAAAACTGCACTCGACAAATAAAACGTAACAATTAATTAATTATAATTCTCTGAATCATCTTTCAACGTTGACCCAAAAAATTCTCAATGATTTTGATTGAGCAGATTTTTCGCTGTCAAGGTCTTAATTCAGACACACTGTCTCTACTACCATAACTGTTATTTCGAAAATATCGAAACAGGCTGCATCAATACAAGATAGTAGAAGGTATAAACTGTTGTAGTTTCACAATTTATGTGTTTGACACTGTTTTGAGAGAACGTCTTAACTCAAAGGTAACCACTAGCGATATTTAATCAATAAGGTGTTTCTGAGATTAGAAAAGACAGGATTAAGGGGACATACCTGCCGGGACTGTGATATTCGTCTATAGTGAGGTTCTTCGTGAAGTCATAACTTACATCTTTTTTCTGTTTGAATAAAAATTTGAAAGGAGTTGTTTCGATTGACGATTGAACAATTATCTTAACATAGTCACCTTCGAAGTTTGTTGTGTTGAAAGTCCTACGTAGTCGAAATATGTGGTTGTTAAGGTGATTCCTCAGGGTTATCGAATAATTTTTAAACCTTCCTTAAATGTTGCCTACCAATGTCTGTTTCAAAAAATACAATAAAAACGACAAGTCACCGTGCTTCTTCAAGAGATATGATGAACCAAACTTACCCCATTTTTTAGCTTCAAGGTACATTTTGCGGTAGCTGGAAGTAAGGGTTTTTTCATAACAACAATTCAAAAAGAATTGATAGGTAGATCAGAAAATCTCAAGAGCGGAAGACCATGGTACCTATTTACTTGGTACATTTATTAAAGAACAATTCCGTTTTCTCGGAGTGCGCGCGCGAACATACGCCCAATAACGTGACTTTTATGTGCAGTACAGGATGCGCATTGCAAAACTGAGGAGCCACAAATACGTTCCCCTCACTGAAAAATTGAATTACAACATATGAAGAAAATATACCCTCTCTAGCAAGCGAATTTAGTTTTGTTTTTGATGATAAAGGGTGAAAGGTATAAGGTAAGGTTACTAGTAACCTCAGTCTTGTCTATTTTATGAGGAAAAATAAGTGCACGCCATTTCTAAAATATCCTCGCTCCTCGCTAGGATGCTGGATATTGACCGTAGTTCCCTAACTATGCGGTAAGCAAGTAAGCATTGACTCAGCACCGTTTGGCCACAATAGGTAAAAAAATAAGTACTTACAAAGTTAGATCTTAGGTCGGGATGATTCATGTTAACTCCGTCGTCCACAACAGCCACAAGGACTCCTTTGCCTGTATACCCAGCATCCCAAGCGGACTCGACATCCATTGAAACTCTAGTGTCTTTCTATAAAGAAATTGCGCTGTATAAGCATCGCATATTATTCTTCAATTCAGTGGCAACTCCAATTGAGGTCCATAACAACTAGAAATAGACAGTAAATATTGCGAGTTTTCTCCAGTCCCTAGCTTCTGGGCCTGTGCCGATTCTGCGCGGCGACTCTTGAGCAACTTTTGCGGTTCTAGCAACCTCGATCAATTTGTGCCTTTTAGAGCAACTTTTGAGCGAAATATACGTTCAGAACACATATTAAGCGCAAAAAGGCAACCATTTCATAAAAAACCTGAATGTATGCGAATTTCATGAATGTTAATCAACCTTTTGAACACACTACCGGTCACTTGACAAAGTTTGAAGGCCAATGTCAGCTATTATTGCGAAGAACGACAGATAAATCTTTTAAATAATGTATATGTAAAAATATGAAGATTTTGGATTTTTGTCAGTTCTTTTTCTTGGAAGGTTTATTGAAATGATAACAAAATCGTGTTGTGTTGGCGACCGCAACCTTGGGAAAGGACTGGATCAAATTTTGTTTTAGGTCTAAAATTGATGTTGCTTAAAAAATTTTAAATCATGAAAATTAGGAACTCTTTTTGGTTAGAATCCTCATAAGTGAACTTACCAAATACCATTGCCAGTCTCGCATGTCCTCTGAAAATTGAATGTTTCTTTTGACCTGGTTTTATTCAAGAGAACAATATCATGATCACAACCAAAATTAACAATGATAATAAACTGAATGGAGTGCAGTTTGGCCTAACATCATACGAGTGATTAATTTTAAATCACAAGTATGATTTCAAACCAAAATTGCATGACACGAATTTTAATCTGGACTTTATTATATCCATTTTGAAATCATAAAATTCAGTTACTCAAACAGAGGATTTTTTTGGTCTGTACAAATATATTCTTATTTTTGCTTTCCGAGAGGTCCGCGTAAACTGGGTTAACATTTGTCTGATTTTTGCAAGAAACGACCATTCTTTGATTGCTTTGCGTGACTCAAAGTTCTTCACAGAAAACAAACATGTCACGCTTTTTGTATATATGCGAAAAGAACCGTGGAACGCAAAGCTAAACGTTACACGTGTAACCATTATATAACAGCCTCAAATACTGGACTTCTATCATAAACGAGTTTTGTGTTACGACGGGTTTTTTCCCCCTATAGTACTTTCTCTCATAACGACGGCTAATCAGCGTTATTCACGAATACATCGGAAACATTCACTGAATTACCTCGCTCATAATTTTTCGTCGTTCTCAGGAGTATTTTCACTTTCAAGTCTTAAATGATGCGATTTTACTGTCGGAATTCAAAAGGAGCATCAAGTATTTAAAGGAACGCTGCGATTGATGGCCAGCAGCCGAGCATTTTAGTATGCTCTCTTAGTGTGCTCAAGCTCGGAGATATGATTTCTCTACTAAATCGAAGGGCTCTTGGAGCCAGCTCATTCGTGTTATGGCTTAAGTTTGCATTGATTTCTTGGACTTGCTAAATTTAGGTACAATTGAATTCGGTTTATGTGAACTTTCAAGACTTTTGGAATAAATTTTCTTTGGGCAGTTGTATGATGGGAAAACTTGTGCATTCGTCGTTATGGGAATTGGTAAAAAGGTTGTGTTGGTTGGAGGTGGGATGGGCAGAGGTCATTAGGCAGACAGCATCCTTTTTGTTGGTGTTTTTGTGGTTGTGGGGCGGAGGGTGGGCTGGGTGGACATAGTCAGGCATCAAATGTTGCTCTGGCAGCAAAATATTAGTAACCCTCATCTTTCACGATCGTTTGCACCATTGTGAAATATTCCTTGCCCGTTTCTTGATATCTTTTGTTTCAAACAAAGCGGCCATTGCATTTGATTTTTAACAAAGCGGCCACAATCGTTCTTGATAGAATTTCAAGCCTTCATATAATCTGATTTTCACATATTAATATTTGCGTAGTCACCAATTGCAAACCGATGGGAGATAAAACCACCACAAAAGTAAACAAATGGCCAGTCACGAAAGCAACGCTTCGCTTTTCTCCATTAAAATTCGCCAGTTCCTCATGTAAGCAAATAACTGTATGGGGCACATGTGAAAATCAGTGTGTATACACCCCTGAACGTTGAAAATATATCAAGTCAAAGGAACAGTTTTCGTCTCGCTTCGCATTTTTGTCAACAAAATGAACACATATCGGTTAAAAAGATCAAACATGTGGACCACGTGCAAAGCGGTCAATTGTTTCTCAAATATCGCGCGTGTATTCGATAGTGGCATCTCATTTACATCTACATCTACATCTACATCTACATCTACTTTTATCAAGTTGGTAAATTCTGTACCGACATCACACCAACCAACTCGCACGCAAAGTGAGAATACTATATGAAGACTTGAAATTATATTAAGAACGATTGTGATCAAGAAACGGGCAAGGAATATTCCACAATAGTGCAAAGAATCATTAAAGATGATCGCGGAAAAGCAATTGCGTGACGCTCGGTAAGTTATAAGATGACATGACATCACGTATCAGACGAAAAAAAAAATGCAAATTCTCAGTCTGCATTTTGTACTTAGTCGGCATTTTGTACCCGGTCTGCAGTCTGCATTTTGTACTGACCGGTATTGGTATTGCTGTTTTTGTTCGAGCGAGTCTAAAGTCCGGACCGAAATATTGGGGCTCGAAAAAAAATCTTAGTGGGACTATCTTGGCCGCTATGATTGATGTGTGGACTGTATGTTGAAGAGCTCCCGAGGACAAGCACAATGATAGAGCAATGATTACTTTATACCAACTGCAGACGAACGCAAATGCGCGGCTTAACAATATGGCTACCTCTGATACCCTTCTGCGTGGTCACAGTGTGTGTTGAAATGAACCCGCTACCTGTCCCCTAGGTGTGAACATTTCGGCTTCTCGATGCAAGTTGCATTTTTAGAAGTTCGGAAATGTGATTTGTGGTTATTATTTTTATTAAACCATAAAAACATTTTATTTCTTTCCACGTGAGTTTCTGAGCTTCATCGAAATTAATTTTGACTCTTACTAAATGGGGAGGGGTAGCATGCGAGACTACTTCCGCTCACGGTCCACAATGCAACTTCCGTCCACGGAATACAACATCCGTCCACGGAATAAAACTTCCGTCCACGGTCGACAACTTCCGTCAACATCTGCTTCACTACGATACCGCATTCATTGCTTTCAGCATGAATGAACTAAAAACCAAATTAATTTTTGGAATCGCTTGACATTTCCTAACAAAATTCGAACACTCTTCAGGAGTTTGAGGGAACCTTTCGATGGAAAATCTGTTAAAATTTCTGACTGGCGGACATTTAGTCTACTTGAGACCATGCTTGCTTACCGTGCATTTAGTCACAGCGTTAAAGAAAAGAATAAATCCAGAGGCGGACGGAAATTGGACAAATTATCAAAGCGAAAGTGACCCGTAACGCAAGATTCGAGCCTTTTTGTTTTGTTTACATTACAATATTTTATTGACCTCTCCCCATTGAAGGTCAACCTTACATCAAAATATTGATATAGGACTTAATCAACTGTTAAAACGAACACAGGGATAAATCTATTTTTATCACTCAGTTCTACAGCCCTTGGAGAGGATAAGATTTTTCAAAGAGATGAAAAAGCTCTTGTATGTTTTCATTTTTTCCACGTATGAGGGGGGTTCGCAAGCCAAATGATAAGGTCGATGGTGATTTAAACGCGAGAAAATCCACATGCTTTTCTGTTATTTACTGTAAGGCATACATTGTCAAACATGTATGAGTATATTCAACTGCTCTAAAGTTCCTTTTAGATGAATTAGCAAAGAAACGATGTAAGACGATCGTGGCCTATTGGTTAAGTATAATATCCATGGAAAACAACAGGGAAATTGGTTATCGCAACAGTAAATTTCTGTGATCTTTCGGGCGCCAAGCAAATGTCGGCTTGAGATTATTTCGCTGTGAATGGAAATACTTTCAACATCTCAAACAAACAATTGATGGAATGTGGATTTTAAGAATCCGTGTGAATAAGGCTGAAAATTCACCGTTAAGTTACCACGAAACTGGGTTCTATTCCCGACCATCCTCGCTTATTTTTGGTTATTCTTAGTATTTCGGTGTTTTCTATTTTCACGCTTCCTCTCCCTTCCGATGTAATCCTGAATTTCACCGCATAAAAAGAGTGGGGCAACCGGCGACGAATATCCCGTTTTTTTTTTCTCAATCTTTCCTTGTAGCGGATCTAAATTACTTTTTACTAATCGCTCTGACGTCCAAATATTTTACAGGGTAAACGAAAGTACTCACCCTACTGGTAGTATATTGAGTCTCGGAGACTTTTCGTTTTTTTTGTAGCTTTCCCCCGCTGAGGAGAGGTACCAACAGGAAACCAATTATAGTGTAGACACAGATCGTCTTCATTTCAAAACAAAGCCTAAATTGGACACAAAGAAGCAAATAACTGTTGGATACTGGCAAAGAAGGGTCTTCTTTTAGTTACGATATGAACAAATTAGGTGATACCTATCAGCCTTGTTAGCTTCACCTCTCCTTTGTGTTAATGATGGAAACCGTTACCTCACTCCTCCAATGTTCGTGGCTTCCAAAACGGTGGTTAACTCTGTACGTACGGCTCTTAATGGAAACGTTCCCTGAGAGGTAAAGAAGATATAAGAGACGGAGGAAGTATCCTAGGCAAGAAACTCGAAACTGAGAGTCAGCTTGCACTTCCTGTTGTCGTGACTGACCAATTATCTGTCACAATATGATACTTTTCATTTTTTTTCGCGAGACCGTATCAGAGTGCATTCTTTTGTAAACGGGAGCACGTTTCGTGCATTCCATCATACAAACACTTATTTATACACACATGCCATCACGAGGGGGAACGTGTTGTGACTCAATGTTAAATTTGTTTTTGAGAAAGACGTCAGTAACAAGTTAACAAAAATATGTTAATATGTTAGTATGGTTGTACGTCAGAAGGAACAAATACTTTGCGATCGGTTCGAAACAGACTATTTACTTTTTATTCCTTCCCTTTTATGTTAAAACTGATCGACCAGAATACATAATTTGCAGTCACGTATATACGTTGGAACCATTTTCTCATTAATATTGGGGGGAGAGAGTGGGTAGAGAGTGAGTATCCTTCAGCGAAAAGGGGACTTAAGAAACAGCAAGTCAGCTAGCACTTCCTGTTGTCGTGACTAGCGAATTATCACTCATGATGATGCAACTGTCAACATTTGACAAAGATGAGGAAGTAATTTTCGCTGGGATGGTATCAAAATGTCATTTATATAGTTATAGTACATAAGGAAGAAAGCTTTTAGGATTCCATCATGCCTACACTTTTTTACACAAACGCGGAAACAAAAGATAGAACGTGTTAACCTCGTACTTGGGCGGATCCACAACGTTCCGAAAAGGGGCCGAAGAAATTGTGGCTTGAGCCTTGTAACAGTTGGCAGTCTGTGACGAAATATATAAAGGATATCGTGCCTGCGCAGAAATACGAACTTTCTCTTCAAGTGTTAAAAAATATTTTACAATGCGCGCAGCGTACGAAGGTTTATATTCTCCAACAAGGGAGGAACACTTAACAATAACCCGTGTGAGGAAAGCGGCAGTAGGGAAATGAAACAAAGGGAAGAAGGGGGGTCGGCAGAGGAGTTTGACTAATGGTTGCGTGAAAAGCTGAAGCTTGCATTCTTAAGCCTTCAAGCATGACAGCATGACAAACCAAAATACATGGCTAAGCCCTTACTAACCAGGAATAAGGAACAAGATATTCTGGAAGGGTGAAAGGGCAAAAACCGAGAATACAGCGTGAAGCAGTTAGAGAAGAAGACAGGTGTGCTCGAAATTCGAAGGGTAATTTTCGGGGAGGGAGCGCAACTAGAAACTCGCGTTGCCAAAAAAGAAAGTAAGAAATAAGGGAAAAAAAAAAGGAAAACTGTTGAGAAAACGCGTTTCAAACGAATCGCCTTGAACAGATGTTTAAGCTTGTTGTCCCCATTCTGAAAAAAACCACGTCTTCGGATCCGAAGGTCTGAGGTTCGATTCCCCATGGGGACTCAGAATTTTTTCTATCTCACGCTCGTGACAAGACGAAAAAACATCTTTCTTAATTCCTTACCGAGCTCAAAACTTATCATCTCTACTATTTCTCTCTAAAATAAAGCGTGTTCATGGTAACAAACTAGTCGGGTAAAGAAGAATTTTGGTGTCGTGGTAACCATAAACGTATTTCTGAGATACTGGGAGACGTAATTAAGTGTTACACAAAACAAACAATCACAAAAGAAAAGCAAATAACACTATCACAAATACCCAAATAAGACCCGCGAGCTGAAAGGCGCGACCCGTGATCATTATTCAAACTCTTCACAGAATTCTTTTTTCCGCGCAAGGTTGCTTGCTGATGACAAACCTACTCGGTACATGAGCAAGAGCACTAGTATCCAATTATGCTCGATAACACGCAAAAAAACTGTTCTTCAAAGTAAAAGTGTAAAACGATGCCTTCAATTTATTACTTTTCCAAATATCTACAACTTTGTCAGCGTTTTACATCGATAATTTAACTGACAAGTAAAACTGGTGGTTCAATAAGTTATGTAAAATTCAAGCATTACAATAATAAGCAGAAAACATACGTTACGATTTTTATCCAAAATTAAGTTATGAAGTCTATATATTTGGTGTAGTCAGGCGTAAGTGCTCCCACAAGGAACCTATTTTCACATGTTTAACATGTTTACTCCCTCCTTAACACTACAATCAAAATGTGAAGGTTTCAGACCCTCTTGAACTTTGAAATTCATTAAAATATAATTTTTGGTTTCTTTTGAAGACAACTCTAAATATTTGCGTAAATCTACACAACAAAGGGGAACTAGCCGTGAATTAGCCCCTCTCAGGAGCTAATTCACAGGAATTAACCGTAAATTAGCACCTTTGAGGAGCTAAATCACGGTTTTAGCAAAATTGTCAAGTTCGTCATTTCCATTTGTAAATCTCCTCCATCCCTCGCCTTTCAAATTCTTATTTGCTTCTTATTCAGCATTTCTTCTTTAATGTATGACAAATCTAAGAAACCGTAAACACTTTTTTCGTCAAATCAATGGAGGTTTTCAACGACCCAATCTTCTTAATTCCTTCCACAAAACCTATACGCTATTTACTTTTCTACAAAAATTACCTTCATGTGTACATCTTTCGAAGAATCAAATTTTCCACAAACATTTAAGGCAGAGCTATGTGCCTTTAATATATTATTTCGATATCATTCCCTGAACAAAACGTGCTTATATTAACGGAGCTGGGCCTTGCAACTTAACACCATATCGGTGCTGACAGGTTTTTTTCCTTTATTAGCTAATACGAATGTCAACGCTGAAATCGCAAATAATTTTAACGCGTGAAACGCTTAGGAATTAACTTCTACGGCAAAAGTTCGCATCTTTTCCTGTTCGTTCAACCAATGGATTTTGGGGCAAGTGGTTGGTTCGCGAATAGAAGGGACAACTGGACATAATCAAAACCAAGTCCGTTTAGATGGCATAAGACCTGAACGTAGCCCCGCTTCAAATAATAAATAATCTTACCAAAAACGAAATACACCATAACACTTGATATTTTTCTTCTGATCTAAACCATATCTCCTTGAGGATTTTTCTCAGGACACCTTGTTGACTGATAATCAATTTCCTTGTTATCAGATTCTTGATTATCTTTCGTCTTATTTTTTCTCAGACAGCGGCAATAACATTTTCCGGCGATGGACAGCAAAGTCAAAGCACATACAACAGGTAAGACAATTTTGACGATCCTCATCAATGGAACTGTGTAAAAAATAATGATAACAATACTGATAATAAAATTAATAATAATAATCATGATAATCATTATCATAATAACAATAATTAGAAGAATGATAGTGATAATAATAATGATGATAATAATAATAACGATAATGATAATTACAATAACAGTAATAATTAGAAGAAGAAGAAGAATACTGCTAATAATAATGATGATAATAATAATTATTTAATAATAATTACGCCGCCAGAAAGCTTTTAACTTAGTGAGCTTGTGCTGGGCGCAAACAGTTTGCCAGCAGTTTTGTCAACAACAGAGTCACAAACTGTTCTAGGAACAGAAAATGTCCGCGGACAAACATTCGTGCATATTTTAGCGCCAAATGGGGGCTATTGTTTATTCATCTGATCTCATGGTTCCTTTACCTTCCTGTTCTGTGAGCTGTACATGGTTCTAAACGACACAATCTTTTCAGAGAGAAATTCGTGTCCCACGAAGCCATTGGACAACTTTCCTTTACCCGTGCTATGTATGATGGAAGTCATTACTTAAATATAAAACAACAACAACAGCAACAAACAAACCTATGAGTGCAACAAAAAAAAGATTAAGCTACCTTGTTCGGTTGGTTTGGATGTTGGTGAAGGTTCCTTCCTTGTGCTTCCTGTATTCTTTGCTTTGGTTGAAATGACGCTTGTTGGTTGGATGTCCTCTTCGACTCCGGGTTTGAGCGGAGGGGATGATGTACCATACAATATCAAAGACCAGCTATGAAGTTTACCTTAAGAACCAAAATAAAAGACAACATTGCTATAGGAACAACAATAACTCCACCGTTGCGAAAATATTAACTTAACAAAAATGAATTGTTGTATCTGTAAGCACGTGAAAGGCTTGGTTATCAAATTGATGTTAATAAAGTTTAACCAACTTCCAAGTCTAACGCGGAGAAATGGAGATTTGTCAAAGCAATACGAAATAACTCATCCTTCCAGCTTTCCGCAGACAAAATATGTGCTCAAGTTAAAACTACCTTGTTGAGAAAAAATTTCCAGAATGGAAAATAAACAACGCGTATGAAGTAAAACTACTGCACAAATTTTAAAGTAATCCAAAAGTTTGAGACAGACAAAAACATATAAAAATCAAAGTGAAAATATTGCTAACTCGTGGATACGCTGTTTAGAATTTATTGTAGTTATATGATACAAGAAAACAATATTGTATGAAAGAATAAAGTGGTTTTTCATAGCTCTGCTTGAATGAGTCTTGGATCAATTTAAAAAAATATGTCCAAAAGCTACATCCATTCGGTAGGGTCACCAGGAGGGTGTGAGGGTATTTAGAATTTTCTATCATCGTGGTTTAAAGCGCGATAAATGGCACTAAAACTTCCACCAAATCGGAGGACAAGATAAAAGTAATATTCTGAGAAGTTACATTACTATTCATGCGTGTTGTCTACAGACTTGTTTTCTTCGCTATTTATTAATCGCCACTAAAACTTTGTGGTACAAACACAATGTACACCTTTGTTACCGACGATTCCCGTCCTGAAAAGTACTACGTGTATCCACTAGTTGAAAAACCACAAATGAAAACAGCCACAAGAAAAAAATTACAACAGTAACTAACAACATCTAGTTGTAAAGAATATGTTGAACCTGCACTTGGGTTTCGTGGGTCAGCATCACTAATCTTGAGCTCCCATTTCCCTGTAGGATTCTCTCCCCAGTGAAACAAAGTTGTAATGAACCAGTCTGTCAAGTTCGTGAACTTCTGAAAGTTATCTGCAAAGCGGTCTCGCGTCAATGGACAGGTTGTGTTACTCGGTGACTTTAAATGAAGTAACAAGTCACCACGGCGAGAGAAATTAAGATCTACTCTGATCTGCACGTGTTCCAGGAACTTGATCTCGCAATTTTTCACCTCCACTGAAACTGTATTTGGGATTTGCCTAAAAACGAAAATGTTGTAGTGAGTAGGTTAACTGCTGTAAAAAGCATTTTCCATTGAGCCAAAAGTTCTAAAATAACTACTATAAATGTACTACACGCAAAAATTTACCTTATTCAAAATAGCCACCGTATTTGCAAAATATCTGTTAAGAGCTTCACAAAATGACATATGATGTTCTGACGGTACATCAGACAGTTCTCAACTTTCTCAAAAAAATTGATTTGTTCAGCGAAAACGCCAGATGGTTGTTTATATCCATTGGCACATAAATATATATATATATATATATATATATATATATAAACTACAACGGAAGCGAGGTCCGCGTCCACGTCCTGTAAGTCCGATAGCCTTCGAATATTCATGTGACCGGCCGTGTAAGCGAAGCCAAAAGGAGTTTAAAATAAAAACTTGCATGTACCTTCCACTCCCTTCAATTTCGCATTTCCGCTGTAGCGGGACTTGAGTCCAGTTCTTTGCTAGATTCACCATCCTGCCAGCGTCCATGAGTCCAAAGCCATAAAACTTACTAAAGTAAAATCCTGCTTTGTTTTGCTGCCACTTTCCACGTTCGAGGAAGACCCCACCCGGCGCTGCTCTTGCACTGTTTGCTATGATATGCTGAACGTCACGCCACGTTAAATTAGTACTGAAAAAGATAACAATACACGTGAAATACGAACTTAATCATTACATTTTGTTTGACCTTCGATGTATTCGGTACCAATGTGCTGATTGTTCACAATGGATATTTGCACTCAAATTTTGTCATGGTCCATCTGGAAAATCCTCACCATCTAAGGAAATTATTCAAATTTAATACGGCTAGAAGAAGCTCACTCTCACTGACGAAATCCATTCCCATTTTTAGGCTTCCGTCACCATATAAAAGGAGTCGTGGTTATACATACTCAATCTCAGCTGATGCATGGGCAGGATTTCCACTGGGTCGGGGATTACTCTAGTGTTTTAGTAGCATTACCAATTTTCACTTTGTCTCGACATAGAGGCATCATATGCACCTGGGACTCAACCTTCCCCCTTTTTCCTTTGCCAAACTCCTGACTAGTGGTCTACAGGAATAGGGTAAATCATTTTCTGTTCAGCCACTTCCCTCTCAAGTTTAAGCCAATGACGTAATAATCTTACTTTGCTTGCAGGGTTAGTGCAATCAATCCTGATGCGATTGCAGCAGCCGCTGACGATTCCGAGAAATTATGAACACATCCATCCTTGTTATCAACAGTCGTCTAAATGATATATAAAACTGAATCAGCCACACAACTAAAACAGTCGCTAACCACTGCTCACATAAATTCATATGACAAAATTGAAAGAGTAAAACTGTCTCAAACGAAAACAGAACATTTCGCAAAACATTGGAGAGGAAAATCAGAAAATTAACAAAAAGCGCAAATGGAAAGTTTGGTAAAGTCATTTGCTTCACAAGTTCTCATTGCCCTAAGAAATGGGATTTCCATTACGGTTTGGCTAACGACAGTTTTGTTTCACTCCACTTACAATAATATGTTTGTCTGAATCCCTGGCGTTTTTGTTTTTGTATGAATCCCAACTATAAGCGGTGGCCATTATTCCGGGGCACTCCTCAGCATAGGTGGGCAGGGATCCATCATGATTCACACCGGTAATAGCAATGGTGTATATACTATTTACATAACCATTGTATGCACAACTGTCTCCCCCTAGGCCTCCATTACCAGCCGCAAACGTGTAGATGGCACCCAGGCCACCACGACCCTAGATTTACACAAAGTTCCAGGCATAAACGTTTGTAGAACCTCCAAAGAGTGCGGTAACTGATCACAAATCCACGTGCACATACTCCTTACATGATAAATTGTATGTTACTTTACATCTATCCATTCAGACTATAAGAAACAATCATAGAGGATACCGAAACAATAGCCCCCGAAATTTGCAGGTCAGAGTTCAGTGAACGCACTGTAAATAAGACAGTTATCGCCAAAAAGGAGAGTAAAAAGTAAGGAATCACGTTATCAGAAAAAAGTTAATAAGACTTTACATGGCCTCAGTATCATGAAAAGGGGAACATGTTTTTGGTTCCGACGGCACTTTAGTTTGGATGTTGTGGCTTCCACAGACCATTCGCAGCATGCTCGTATCTCGAGATCTATTTGTGTATGAACCCAACGCCATCAGGCCAATCCTGGAACAGCAGTATATTGCTGGTAACGAGAGGGGCTCACGTTTTACCTTTTCCTTTCTAGAAATGCCACTACAATTGTCACCTTGATCCCTCTCTGTACCATTTATCATATCATTTTGTTACCTCAGGTACACCAAACATATTTTTATTTAGTACCTATATAACTGCGTTGACACCTTTTACCGCTTTTATAGAAGAACCTCATCAATTCGAAAGCACACAATGTGCAACGACCCAACCTCATAAGAAGGAACCTTCTCCAAACTTTAAAGTATGCCACGACTATGGGGTTAAACGCAATTCAAAACGAATGTCGAGGATGGACAGAACATCTACCAAATTACACGACACAAGGCCGACAAAATGGTGAAAGGTCTGTTCATTCTCTGTCAGTATACCATACCGTTGTTGTTCCAAGTTCTAAAGCTTTACTGGCCAGCGGTCCAGGACCTTTTACTTCCCAGCCTATGTTCCCAGGCCCCCAGCTGTTGGAATATATGTCAATGTATTCTAGTTTATGTATCAAGGACGAGAGTTGCTGTGCGTCAGTCGACGAAACGCCAGAACCAAAGAGGCGAACACCTGAGACAAAGGAAAGTAAGATAGCCTCAACTTCCTTTTAATGATTTAACGTTTCAAATTCTAATGTTGATTGGTTTTGACATGTCTATGATCAAGCATGATATAGAAAAAAGCCGCGATGACGTTGACCGGGGCTTTCCATCATAACGTTCGAGAAGATTTGGCAATCTCTGCGGCATTTTATGGAAAAAATTTTCCAAACCTCAACTGTATTTGATTATCCTCAAGATACAAAGTGGGGACATGCTACATATAAATACAATTACCATTTTAATAACAAATGTCTCTCAAAGATTTTCCCACCTCAGAAAATCTTACACAAATGCTGTGTTAAGAGCTATTTTTTTATCAGGTACTATTACAAAATGCGATTGTGCACATACATTTTGGATGGTTAATACATTCCGAATTTTTTCCATTTCCTTACTTTTTGGGGGAGGGAGGGGGGGGGGTTTAAGTCATCCAAGTCTATACCCTGACTGACATTAGTTAAAACTTAGTTGAGTGAAAAAGTGAGACTCTTCAACAACCTGTGTAGTATCCTATAGGAGCGAAAAGGCAGTAAAATTAATCTACTAGGGTGATGCTTTTACCTGCAATGCTGGCTTCATAAGCCAGTCCTGTTCCACATAAATCATTACCACGTTTTCCAGCTATGACACCTGCACATTTATTGCCATGGCTACAAGTAAATTGCATTACGTAAATATTGGTCTCGCTTCCTCACACAACTGTGATATCAAGTTTGTTTGTGATATCAACTAACACTGAAGATTTTGGTAGATAACATAATCCTTGACCTTCAGAATTCAAATGGTAATCCGATAGTAATGTCTCAATAAATCATCTGAAATTTATATTATTTTATTTCTTGTAGGTTTGAGCTACATTAAGCTGATCTTAACAAGTGTTTGACCTGAAATACTTATCAACTGCAGTATTGATTTACATACAGTCCAGATAATTTCACCCCACAAACTTCAACATCTGACACAATAACATCCACACCCTCCTTGTCCATTACCCACTTGTAGCTTTTGGATATTTCATTTCTAATCTTCTAACTGGTTCATTCAACTCCAGTTATCAGCTCACATTCTAAGTCACCTTATATGGAGATGCCTTGCTCTAGGTGTTGTGGAGTTGAAAATTTGGTTTCATAAAGCTCCAAATATCCATATCCATGTTTAAAATTTAGTGAAATTTTTAGTGAAACAACTATTCCATTTGAGCTTGTTAGATATACACATTGGACTAATACTATGAAAAATCTGATTGGCCAAGAACATACCACCAAGATACAATAACATGTGAAGCTGACATGATAACCCATTTTCTGAAGCAGGTACATTATTTGTTATGTCTAAGTTCAGAGTCTGCCTAATTTCCACGCCCCTTATCTTTGAAGTGTTCTCAAACTTTTTCAAATTCAAAAAGAGTTGTCTTCTTTTGCAGATTGTTAAACAAATGTGTAATAAAATAATAATTGAATTTGGTTTTTTGCACTATATCATGACTGGTAAAAAACTCCTACTTTCTACTTATTCACTTGCCAAATTATTATTGGACAGTTCAATAAGCCAATCACATTCAAAATTGTAGTTTAAATCAACCAATCACAACCTTGGTTTCAATCACCATAGAAACAGTGTACAGACCTCCTTTGTCACTCTTTTAATGCAAACTTTCCCTTTTTTTTCAAAAGCAAATTGGACTCCTGCTCCATGGTTGTCCAATTTTGTCATCACAAGTATGATTACAGACACAATGGGACTTCACTCAGTCTTATTACCTCTATTTATCAAACCTCATGTCTGTGTTATCAGCCTCAGCCTTTGCCTTCAGCAGATTCAGTACATATAGTAAATGGTTTCATTGATACATCAACATGTAACCAAGACCTCAGTTTTGGTAATTCATGTTATCATGTTCAACCCCATCCAATAATTACTAAGCATTTTCAGTATCATGAAAGTAAGCCATACATGCTCTCCGAAAAAAAAAAAAACACCAAAAAAAGCAATTTACATACATGTACAAACAAACTTACCAATGAGCTTTAAGTGATCATTTAAATTATTTAAAATTTTTTTGAGAATTTTGTTTCGAAATTTTCTGTTTGGTTGATTATGATTACACACCCAGCCATAACTGCATACTGGTACCCTGTTAGTTTACTTTTTTTCAACACACAGATACAATAAATGAAGTTACATGTATGTTAGTTAACAATCAACATACCCAGATACAGATGCTCCATGATCTGAGGGATGGTTATTCACATAATCGAAACTTAAGTCACTTCTCTGATGAAAAATATTAAATACAAAATACATCAACAAACAAAAATCTTGGTTTAAGAATGCCTGTCATTAAAAAAAACTTTCATTTAGCTTAAGCTCAAATTTATTTCATTCATAATAAATTGTAATGTGCAGTTTAATACTATTAAAGGGACCAAATTATTCCAAGGAAAACCATCTTCCCATCAAAATACTTATAGAGAAATTTTTGTCTTTGTCTCTAAAGAGGATTTGTGTAAACATTTACATTGTTTTCTGCAAGAAAGTATTAACACTGTATAATAAATGTAAAAAGAGAGATTTGCTTTTATTTCCTTTTAGGTTTATCTGTCCTACAGACGAAACTAGTTGTAATGGAAAGAAGTAACTTTAATGTGTTGGTGTCTTTCCAATCCTCAGTATGAACCTCAGAGTTACAAACTAACATTCAAGTACAGGGGTAAAACAGGATCACAACACATGTTATTCTATCACTGCTGCACTTTTAAATGCAAATGCATGTCAAGCAAATAGCACCATCATGTATGCGCCAATAACCAATTAATTAAGCATTACATATTGCCTTCCCATTCAGCACAAATTAATTTTGTTTAAAATTCACTTCATTACCAACAAGGCCAATTAGGGTTCTTTTGAATTCAATGTAAAAGAAAAACAAAACATAAGAATGAGCCAAAAATAATTACATAGTTTTCCTTTAGTTCAGGATGATTGCCATCAACTCCATTATCAACTACTGCCACTGTAATTCCTTTTCCTGTGTATCCTGCCTTCCAGGCAGAAATAACATTCAATGTTGGGCCTTGGGATCCCTCAGGTCTATTCTTTAATCCAAAAAATGAGAATAAAAGTAAGCCTGATAAGAAGTATTATCAATGATATTAAGCAATGTCATCCCATACTTCAAGCTGTGATCATTTTAGTTGCCATGGTAGGTAAAATAAAACTTTTAACACCTAGGTTACAGAGAAGGATGTCAATTAACCCCAATTGGTGCTACGTTATCATTAAAGACAAGGAGAGGAATGAAGACACAACACTACCAGTTCTGATCACAATCATTACAATTAAAGTATTCCTAGAGGACAGTTGGACAGTTTTCACATAGTTTAATTCCAAAGACACATTTAAGTTATCTGATTAATTTTGCCGTCACTTGAAGTATTACATTTCAACTGTTTTTTGGCTGAAATTATAAAATTTCCACTACCCAAAAAGTAAAATAACTTGATTTGAGAAACAATCCATTCTTAAGAGTCCAGTGTGGCTAAAAGTTTTGTTTTTCCTTGTAGTTTTCCCCTGCCAAGTTTCAAACCTGGGCAAAATATCATTCAGTGGTAAAGTTGATGAATGTAGGGTCTTATCATGACATGTTTTCTTCTCTGACTGATAACTGGCCTTAAGATTGAGGAAACTCCTTGTTTTTCATCATAACCATGTTTTCCATGCCTACTATCCCTATTTTCAGCAGTTAAAACACAAAAGCATGTTTACTCCAGCATCACATCTCTATATACAACAAAATTCTTCCTTCAAAAAAAACTTCAATTGTATATATTTTGTAAACATAGCATCTTCCAATTGATATTTTTGCAAGGAGACCAGTTCATCAATTATCTTTAATATGTGAAAAAAAAACCATTAAGCCTTGAGGAATACCTTAATGTGAATGGTGCATTAGCTGTTTTATTTTTTCACCAAATATTCTGTCAAGTTATCTGATAGTGTAAGCACACAGTTGGCTGCGATCGAACACCTGTAATCTGATAGTTTTAAATAAGCAGCCAATCATACTAAGTCCTCTCAGCTAAATCCACCAATCACAGGAATTGATCACAATGACCATAGTAACAACCACTTACTCTACAAAACTAGGGAATTTTGAAATGGAGGAGTTTTTAATTTTAGACCATGTCTAAAACAAATGTATTTCTTTTACTTCAGAAGTTGTCATGGCTATAATTTATTAGTAACAAATTTTCTGTTTTCAAATTCAGTCGGTAATGATACTCATGATTGACAAATTAGACTCCCACTTTGTGTTCCTCTGCTTTTGTAATCATTCACAGAGTTACAGACCTAATTGAGCTCATTTCAGAGAGAAGTGGAGATGTCAGCAGTAGAGTGTGTAATGTAATCTTGCATAAGGTGTCCTTTTGCCACTTGGAATCCTTCTTCTGGCAATTCTGTTGTGATTTTAGATTGCCAAATGGAAAATTTGAAATGTAAGTTAAAATTAGGGCAAGACTATCATCAGGTTCATTATCATTACCATCATAAAATACAAAAACCAATAAAAATGTCAATAAAAATGACTTACAATGTACCAAGGTATTTCAGGGTGTTTATTTGAAAACAGTTTATACTTTTTCACCTTCTGATGCATAAACCACTCAACCTGAATACCAAGGAAATAAAATAATTAATAAAATAATCAATAATTCTTAAAATGGTTATATCATTGAGACACAAAATATTCCATTGCATATTTCTCAAATTCCTTAATATCAGGAAGGCACAAAGTCTGCAACAAGTGTATTATTCGGTCTGACATACAGAAATGAATTATCTGTTCATTCAAGTAGCAGTGCATCTCCTTCTCCCACCCAAAAGTTTACATCTTGACTTGTACATGTATAATATAAACAAATGTACCTTTTGCTCCGAAAGCAACTTGCTATCAATCTCCAATGACAGCTTTGTCTTTTGAGAACTTTTAGGCAGATCAGGTCTTTTTAAGGTATGATAGTCCTCAATGAGCTGAAAAATGTCCACAGAATTAAATCACCCTTATCTTCAAGTACAAAAGTTTTCTCTGAGGACATGCTGTCAGTAAATTTAGCCCCAATTCTGCAATGACACATTACAGTGTGCAAATGTGAGAGGAAATTATAATGGTCCAGGTTTTTTTATTTTATTAATTCACACCACTAACAAGATCCTGATTGCAAACTAGTTTCTTGGAAGTCTGAGGAAACTTCTTCTTTTATCACACTGTTAAGAAAAATGCTGGAAAGTCTGTTTCTGGGTTCCAACTGGTCCTACATCCAGCTGGGAAATGGTTAGAGCTTGAATTATGTGCCACCTTAACTTGTCAGCAAGAGATCTTTTAACCACAAGTGTCATTGTCACAAGGACCAGCACAACATCTAGTATGAAGTGGCATTATCAAGTCAAGTTCAAGTGAAGATGACAAAAAGAACAAATCCAAACTAGAGTTAAACCAGGTACTGCAACTTCAAAGTCAAAATGGCGGATTGCTCATGGCTCACCCTTGTCTTTTCACACCTCATGAGGTGAACAGACCTATCATCAATTTATCACTGACAACTGAAGTGCTTTAATATTACTTTTTAAAATCTTTATTAAATATGCATGACTAAGTTATTTTAATTTCAAATGATTTTTAAAACACCTATTGTAGCTAATGAAGATGTTTCACATTGAAATTTTTCATTTTTTCATTTCATGGCCAAAATCTCAAAAGTACCAATGTAGTAGACAATTACATGTACAATCCTTAAAATTTGTCATATGGCCTGCTTGACATCATGTAACCCTGCTGCTGATACTGTGGCTCTGAGCGTGTATTTTTTGTCACCAAAAATCACATTTACTATTCATGTCCTATCACACAATTGCTCCTTGGACTAGCTTATTTAAAAACCATATTTGTTCAGTAAATGTGGAAAAAGACTTGCATTTGCGTACTAACGACTGACTAAAACATTTTTAAGAATTGGAATTTCTCCTAAACAAGCTGAAGCTATATTTATGCAATCGTAACTTAAAATTTTATCAATTTTTCAGAAAGCTTAAGTACACCGGCAGAAATATTCGTCTTTACAGACAATCACAGCCGTGTACGAATAAAATAAGGCTACATTTCAAGCCCGAAATAATTTCAACTGCCGGTATCTACCAAAAATTAATTCAGTGAAAGGTTCTACCTTTTTCAAGAAAAGTTTAGGATGATACTCAAGTTTATTTACGCTCCTGAAATCGGGCGAAACGTTGACAAAACGACGCAATACCTACATGTCTATCGTAGATCAGATTATTTTTCAAGGCAAACCGCTCGACTTCTTCCTGATTACCACGAAATTTTACGGCCCATACATTGGTATAACTCTCACTGGCAAAAGCATCGGTTAAAAAGAAGAATATTAGAAACAGAGTAGAACTCGAAACCCTGGCCATTCTGACTTTGGCGTCGTCGTTGAATTGTTAAAACCATCTAAAGAAAAAATTATCTGTACGTGATTATCGTCAAGGCTGAGTGACCTGGCATGACATGAGGGTAAAGACTGGTAACAAGGAAGAACTCTTAAATCTTCCTGTTTGTCTGTGATGTGTCACGTACAAGCCGTAACTGTTATTATTAGCGTTTCTAGTGAAATTAGACCTTAAATAGCTCCGTAAAAATTTGTAAAAGTTCGCAGGGAATCATTATCTTCCCATTTAAAATCTTGATTTTGCGAAAGGTGTGATAAAAATTCGCTCGCAGCTTTAAACGGACAAGCATCCGTGAACGTGACTTGTGTAACATTACGTACCAGACGTTGTTCCCTCATAGGTTCGCTCCGCCCAAGTGTCATAACGGGGATCTTCGTTTTGTAGAAAAGACCCCCTGAATCTACAAAACGAAGACCCTTTCTAAAACGCTTTGTCAGACGCCAATTGACGCGAAATCAATGGGGTCTTCGTTTTGAAGAAAAAGCCCCCTGAATCTATAAAACGAAGATCCTTGCTAAAACGCTTTGTCAGACCCCGGGGAAGGGGGGGGGGAAACTCCTATACATTGCCTATAGGTGTATGTGCTGCCCGACGGGGTCATGATTTCGGAGCTAAAACGCTTTGTCAGACGCCAACTGACGCGAAATCAAGGGGGTCTTCGTTTTGTAGAAAAAACCCCCTGAATCTTTACAACGAAGACCCTTGCTAAAACGCCTTGTCAGACTCCAAATGACACGAAATCATTAGGGTCTTCGTTTTGAAAAATTCGAAATGACCGTGTGAATATACAAAACGAATACCCTCGATTGGATAGTTCCCTTTGGCAATGAAAGTTAGACACAAAAAGAATAAAATATTGTTTTATTTGTGGTTATGCAATTCTGGAATTATAGAAACTATACACAGGGAAAATGTCTTCGATTCCTGATAAAATTAACAAAATTTTAAATACTCATTCCTATTTAAAAAACATTAACAGAAACTTAAGTAAACAACGATGTGCTAATTATCAAACTACAGTGAAATTGAAATCCCCTGTATCACATTTGCAGTGATGTATAAGTATGTATAAAGTATGTATACAGGCATGCGAGTTCTCCCTACTATTGACATAAGCTAGAATATACGAGGAACTAATTCATACTAGGAAAAATGGCTGCGATCCTCATTTACAGGGTTATTATTCTAACAGCAATTACAGGAAAAAAATGGTACTCATGTTTCCTTCGAAATATCTCGTCTTAGTAGCTCGCTTTCAAAGTACACATTTTGCCAGCGGGTTGAGAGTGATGCACCAAAGCAAAGCTTTGCGAAATATGAGCACATAACCTAATGTATAAGGCCTATTCAGCCAATTATATTAGGATCTGTACTAAGTCACGCAAGAATGCACAGAACAAAACTTCCTTTACAAAATATGTGCAATTTTTATAGTGTCTTTTTATATTCAGTTATAACCTGTCAGTTTTAAGAATCCTTGTTTGAAAGCGTTAAAAATTGAGGCACAGCATGCAGAAACCTCGCCATCACTGCTTCTATTTAAGAGATTCCAGGCAAGATAAGCACAGTTTCTAAACTCTTATATCTACCTTGATTTAACAAAAGGTACCTAAAGAAATTGATCATAATACTATACTTCTAACATAAAGCTTTTTGCAGAGATCATTCCGTGCGAAAAATCGTATCTCAAGGAAGCGTAAACTACTGTACTATATGTCTTTTCGGACCAACAATTGTTTCAAAAGCATATCAATGTAATCGTGAACTCTAAAATTTAATTAATATTGTTTACATAATGAAGTAAAAGCATGTTTGAAAATAAACTTTAAGTGCAAGCGCGTGAGCCGATCTGAAGCTTTCTCAAGCCATGCACGATCTCAAATAAATCAAGGAAAACCGTTTTACATCGCCGATAGCTTCATTTTCGAGGAATTCGGAAATAAAAGCTAGCACCATAACTGACCCAGTGACAGGTTTCGCATATGGTTTATGTCAGTGGGCGACAGGATCGGAAACTCACGCCCACGAACCGAAGCTCCGTCATAAAATTGGATAGCTCGTTCTAAATCAGGAGCTCCGAAATCATGACCCCGTCGGGCAGCACATACCCCTACAGGCAATGTATAGGAGGTCCCCCCTTTCCCCGGGGTCTGACAAAGCGTAATTTCGGGAATATATATAACGGCGTAGTATGCGACTAACACAGTCTATATAGTGTAAGATTTTACGCCACTGTCCGTGCCTTATTCGTGCAAAAAAAATTAGGGTCTTCGTTTTTCGGTCTTTGGTCTTTGGTCTTTGGTCTTCGGTCTTCGTTTTGTAGATACCCGTCGGCGGTGATGTATATATGTACGATTTTAGGCCAGTAACTGACGGCGTAATTTCTTCCAGTCGGTGATGTATATATGTAAGATTTTACGCCAGTAACTAACGGCGTAATTTCTTTCTAGTCGGTGGTGTTTCTATGTAACATTTTACGCCAGTAACCAACGGCGTAATTTCTTCCAGTCGGTTGTCTTATATGTACGATTTTACGCCAGTAACTAACGGCGTAATTTCTTCCAGTCGGTTGTGTTTATATGTAAGATTTTACGCCAGTAACTAACGGCGTAATTTCTTCCAGTCGGTGGTGTTTCTATGTAAGATTTTACGCCAGTAACTAACGGTGTACTTTCTTCCAGTCTGTAATGTTTATATGTAAGATTTTACGCCAGTAACTAACGGTGTACTTTCTTCCAGTCTGTAATGTTTATATGTAAGATTTTACGGCAGTCACCAACGTCGTAATTTCTTCCAGTCGGTGATGTATATATGTACGATTTTAGGCCAGTAACTAACGGAGTAATTTCTTCCAGTCGGCGATGTATATATGTAAGATTTTATGCCAGTAACTAACGGCGTAATTTCTTCTAGTCGGCGATGTATATATGTAAGATTTTACGCCACTCACTAACGGCGTAATTTCTTCCAGTCGGCGATGTATATGTGTAAGATTTTACGCCACTAACTAATGGCGCAATTTATTCTCGTCGGTGATGTATATATGTAAGATTTTACGTCAGTAACTATCGGCCTAATTTCTTCCAGTCGGTGATATATATAACGTAAATTTTACGTCAGTAATATAATTTAATCATATATTAACTTGTTATAATTAATCTACCGACTGAGTTAGCGGCGTAAAATCTTACACTATATAGACTATGTTGGTCACATATTACACCGTTATATACATTCCCGTTAAAAAATCCAACGAGTTGCGTTACCACTCATCAAGAAGCCGCAATTTCACGAACATTAGACATAACTACTGAAGTACAAGCGTGACAATTTAGCTATAACTTCGGGGATCTTACTCCTGTTTCAGATTTGTCGTTTTTAGACGCTTAGAGACGTTGTCAGAGAAGTAAAAATAAATGTGGCCTAAAGCTCTGATTCCATCTTTATTAGACAAGAATACCGTTTACAATTTACAATACATATCCTGACTGATCAATTCTCATTCACTCATTGAAGGGGTTCATGAAAGTTAAATTCAGACAAAATAATTAACGTATGGCAGAGATAACTTCAGTTTTCATTGTTGTGAGGTACCGTTCTTAATTCTAGAGCAAATCAGAAGCTATTCAGAGAGAAATAAAGACAAATTTCAATGCCAATATTAGCTAATGAGGTCTCGTCTGGCATTCGTAATTGATGCTCCTAAGCTCCTAAGCAAAGAGGTTTACTGGAACTACGGTCGCATCTGGCTTCTAAGATTAAATGGTGATTTTTATCTTATTCTTGGATTTCATTTTCTGAGGAAGTAAATAATAAATTTGGCAGGGAAAAAAATTAGTTAGGATTGCTGAATTCGAAATGGTTAAGTTTTTGTCAACAAAGCGTGTCAGTAGGGTGCCAACATGATAACACAGCGAAGCTTAGTATGCGGAAGATTTAGGTTTGATACACGTTGTACCTGGTTACACTGGAGCACGTAACGACATTTGGTAAGATCAGTTGAACAGGAAATCGCCACTGCAATAGCTGGAACGTCATGATAAACGATGTAGAAGGGAAGAAGTAAGTGACCCATGAACATAGTTGTAAACATCAATCACTGTGGACGTGACGAAGATATTAAGGAACATATTTCCCTTAAATCTTTCCGTTTTCTCTCAACGATATCAATTTACTTTATTGTCGAAAAATAACAGAAGGAAATTTTGAATCGAAAAATAAATGTAATTTGTTCAGGTGATATCTTCATTAGGCCTCCTTAAATACAATTTCTATATGTAATCAATATTTATGCAATCAGTAGGACTTATAGGACACCACGCATACGAATCCCTCTGTACTCGAAGATCAAATTCACGTCCACGAACGCGGCCATGTCATATCCTCTATTATTACAGAATACAGAATCAGTACCAAGGTTATTAAATTCCTTTTATTTTTTAATTCGTAGCCAAACAGTTTAGATTGCTCACAGACGGATTCCAATGCGTATAAGTCAGTTACGATTCTCTAACAGTCAACTGGATGACTGGTTGTTGGACTTCAAAGTCTGCCTCAGTACCCTCTCCACGCCGTGGGTGACATAATTTCAAATACTTTCTGTCTTCCGAGATACTTTCAGTTTAAAAAAAAAACTCTTCTTAAATGTTATTTAGGCCCAGCTCCTCAACAATAGCTGCAGCGGCGAAAGAGTGAAAACTGCTGATAAATAGAAGCAGGAAAGTAACAGGGGCTCTGTTAAGATGGCTATTATCAAACTCCATGAGCAAAGGGCTGTCAGCCGATGTGCATTTTGGTGCCCACGAGCACTGTATTGTCAGCTGACTTCTTTCTTCTGGCTTGAGGACCAGGTTTGACAGCATTCTCTGCTTCTCTGCATAGTTAAACGGGAAGCTCTCTCGTGCTGTCCATCACCAAAGTCTGCAGAGTTAGGGCTATCACCAAGTGTGCAGTCGGACTCTAAAACTTGTTGTCTAATTCCAGGGGAGTGGTGTGGGTATGAAAACTGTATTGTAAATGGATGTTTTATCTTG